TTATGGGTGACACGGCAATTTGAGCACGGTGTCTTTCTGCCGTACTTGTTGTACTCGCTTTCGCCACAGTCAGGGCAGTATTCAGTCGGCATTGTGTCGAAATCTGCGGCTACTTCAGCATATAATGCCGATAAAGATCTAGAAGAGGTCGACCCATCTTGCGGAGAAGCTTTAGCTGTTCAACAACCCTCACTGATTGTGGGTCTAGATTGAAGAACGAAGAGTGATCCCCAATTGTTAGTATGGCTCTGGATAAGACGTATAAGACCGGCATACTGTAGCGCCGCGACAGATGTAATTACCGCAGAGTGATTCTTCTCCTTGTGTGCTCTTACTTTAGTTTTTTGATTATTTCGAAATGCGCTGGGGGAGGGCGGACTTTATACTCCACATCCTACGCCTAAGTGTTTGATAGGCCTTAAATAGGAAGAAGAAAACGCATGCACTTGAGGGAGGGGCACAGGTACTAGCCGATCTTGTTTATATTTAGACAAAACTCGGGGCCTTCAAGCCAAGCGATTCTCACAGCTATGAGCCCTGTTTTGCATAGATATGCTCGATCTGGCAAGGCCTAGGTGGCCGTTAGCCTCTTCTCTTGATCCTCTAGCAATGTGCAAGCACCTCTTTGTGGTGTTAGAGACCAGTAACCGTCTCCTTGATTGAGTAGTCGGAGATGCTAGGGCTTAGGGAACTTTTCTACGAACATGCAGTTAAATTTAAACATGGACAATGAATAAGAGGCGTAGCTTTTGACCAAATAAACTACGGAAACAATAAGTTCAGACAGCAGTAAAGGACTCAAAGAGTGTCGGATTATTGATTGAAACAACAATCGAGGCATAATGTGCTTTGGAAAGGCTCTCATTTCGAGTCGACGAGATATTGATTTCTACTTCATATACACGGTCATCAATGACAAAATTGAATTCCGAGCCTAGTGAATAAATTTGTGAGAGGCGGGGTGAATATTTCCCACCCCCTCTCACACCTTTCTCAACCCTCTGTAGATCCAAGCAAACAAGAAAAAGGCGAAAAACCATATTATTCTAATTTGATTGATTTCTCGTCTATTAGTAGAGGAAATTTCTTCCACTCATTCCCCTAAGCCCTCCAATTTTAAATCTAGCGGTATGATAGTGAGACTATAGTTTCGGCCATCATTGTTGTCAACAAATTTCTGTCTCATCACCTCGTAAAGAACATATAGTTCAACATTGATACCGCTTTCAGGGATTAGACATTGTATATCAATGGTAAATGTGTAAAGGTCATAGACGATCGATGATTGAAGGTAATCCGTTTGGCAATGCTGGGCTGGGATTTCTGAGGTCGTCTTCCACCTGTCAAAGCTAAAGTAGACAGAAACTCTCTTTTCTGCGGTGGCGATATTGGCAACATCAAGGCTCCCTTGCAGACGGAGACAATATACACAGAATTGCACATGTTTGAGCCTCACCCAAGTCAAAAAAGACGATTCGGGAGAAACCGAAGGCTGCGCCCAGATTGGGCGTTTTAAGCTAAGACCAGAACACGGGTACACTTCCATTGCCGCTGGACACATGTTAACTCCGGTGGAGGATAACACGTCTTTGAGGGCTAGAGGCTTCTCAGATGGATGGAATTGACAAATTTGGGTAGAATTGTCATCGAAATGAACCCTTTTTGATGTCGTGGGAGAAAATACTTGCGGAAATTCCCCGCGGCCGTTTGAACCGTGACACCTATGTTGGCAATTCAAGTTTGAAGAATACTGCACGGACATTTTTATGCTTGCAGTTGGGTTAGATTATTCTGTAAATAAATAGAGTCGTTGGTTTTTCAGATGAAAGCTCAACGCACAATTAGTTTCTGGAATTGTGAAGATTTCGCGCAGACGTCTGATAAAAAGAATGAGTATTGAGAGAAAGATCAGTTTTCCTGAAAGGATTAGACAAATTTTCGTGGAGCGACAAGCACCTAGGAAAGTCGATTAGTCGCTTTTCCCGTAAGTTCCGTGGGTGGAATAGCGCGGCAAACTGCGGAATCTTGTAAGATGTTCATAGCCAATCACGTACCGTCACGACAGCAGACAAATTTAGCTATGACACTAAGACTGTGAGTCGGACTTGATTTGAAGTGCTGGATACTCTTTCTTGCGCCGCATATTCTCACATTACCTGAGTTTCATCCTCGTAACAAGCCATTACAGTCTCTGCACACTCGAACCCGAATTCTTCTCGTTCCCTGGTTTTCGACGCTCGCTTAACCCTTGCATCAATTTGATCGCATTGATGCGGGCTTCATTTACTACTGTAACGTGTGCAACCTCTTCTTTTGGGCAATCCGCGGAAGCTGTGTCCGCTCCTGTCGAGTTAGTGACGCGAGAACTTATCAAATGAAAAGGGCATATCAAAAGGAAATGAGCGGGGTAAACCGCGATCTGTCGTGCGGGTTGAGCTGTATGGCCGGGATGCATCGTTATCCACGCCCTTTATGGGCCTCACCAGCCAGGTGACCTCTGTAGGTTCGGTAGTCTTGTAGAACACGGCATGGATTGTTATGGAATACCCATGACTCCTCATTAGCTCGGAAATAGATTTAAGAGATCGGATAGGGGCTTTAAAGCGTTTGCAATGGGTGCCATGTCAACGTGTGCTGTGAAATGCCGCGGATTTGTTTCCTACCACTATATTATGAAATTAAAATCACGGAGCGAGCCACTAACGGGATTTTGCTCTGTATTTACTTGTGGAGCACCGGCTTGTGAAGTTATATTTTGACGCTGTGAAGAACCATCTGGGTGTGTTTTCATAGCGTATTGGACCTGCGGGATATTTAAAGTCCACTTGGTTTGAATTGCAACTTGGTTTGAATTGCATTCATTGCGAGGAAGCTGATGATTTGTGAAAACACAGTGTGTACATCAAATTTAGAAATAGTTTGTGCTTGGACTGACATTAATTTTGACTGGCATATTGGCCGCGTCCGTGGTATTGTCATTATTCACTAAGCTTGAACCCGACATGATTGTTGAAATATGAGAAGGTAAGGCGGAGGAAATGAAAAGAGACGAGGCAAGAACAAATCCCGCGCGATGTGGGGTATGACTAGGCTGCGGCATATCGTACGATAACGATAATGATCCGTTATCGTTATCCGCACATTGCGGATTGCGGATAATGGATCATTATCATCATCGTCGTTGCAGATATCAAACGATAGTTTGGATATCAGCAAACTATCCACACTAGCATAAAACTCGCTAATATATCCTATCCTGGACTATCAGGTGATACTTATGAAGCTGACAAAATAATATCTTACATCTGAATCTTTACATGTTTGATCATAACAGTACTCATCCCCTATTTCCTTCACTTCTCTTGAGAAATAATAAGAAACGGTATTGTATTCTTAAATAAATGCCTTCCGCATAAGAAAATGTTTCAGTATATGGCGAGCGAGTTGTAGTCGCGTATAATTTTATAATTAATGGGCGTGGTTTGGCAGAGATATATGTGGCACAGGGGAGATCGGGGAGGATTCGAAAGAAGCCAAAGCAGCCAGATGGATTTGAATTTGAATTTGACAACCTTTAATATAATCTTGGATAATTGAATGCTGTCACAACAAAGCAAGACAAAATAACAAAATAGGTTAGTTTGGAGAGAAGATCGTAGGCCACTCATTCGCGTGACAAATATAGAATCAATTACACATTGAATACTCCAAAAAACACAGGGAGGATGCATAATTTATGCAAACTCGTTCACGTCACGAGTCTTGGTATGTTTGCAATATTTGTTATCGTACGATAATCCGCGGATATCCGCAAATGAAAATATAAGTATCGTATCGTATCGTTGCGGATACGATAATCGATTATCTGCCGATAATTTGGATAGTGCCGCAGCCTAATTTCATGTGTATTCAAATCGAAAAGCAAACCTTGCGGTTTCCACTCTTCGGGGGCGGCCCATTTGAGCAACTCGATTTCAGGAGCAGGGTAGTAAACTGGCTAGCTGCAGTAGGCCTCGTTGAAACGGCTTTAATGTTAAGGCCCAGGATCAAAGTGTCTTCCCCTCGTCAGGATAGGAGCTGGCGGACTTTCGCAGAGCGCCCTGTGCTGATACGCCGACAGCTCTGTCTTGATAGCTGCCTCGTTATGTGGGGGTCAAAATATATCCTTGCTCGTGATACGATTGGTAAAATGTGGCCACCACGCAAGAAAAGGAGTCGAATTCCCGGCATAAAAGTGTAATGTCCAGCTTGAAACGCCATTTCTTCGATCGCCCAAATTATTGCGAGTTGGCCATGAGACAAAAAGGGAGAGCTGCGCTGGATAGTGGGTCCATGACGGTTCGCGGAGGAATTGATTGGACGTCTTGGCGCCGACTCGTGTTCTCCTGGCCAAGGGCCTCCGTCACCACTGGATACCCGACATCCTCTGACCGATGAAACCGCGTCGCATTTGATCTCTGTCCAAGCGTGGCAAGATGAATACCCTCGATTGGTCAAATACAGCGTCATGAAACGTGGAACATCGTCCGATCCACGCGACTCTCAGAGTGATGGTGGGGAGCGGCCGTCCAAAGTACCCCGGCGAGGTAGCTTGAGCACGAATCCAGAACCTTTGCAGAGGAAGCACGACCGTAGGAAATCATCACAGGCGCTTTTCCCCTCTTTGCCAGATCACCCTGGAAAAGTGAGTAGCGTGTCTGGGTTGACGACGTTCCAGTAGCTAACTGCATAGGAATCCAATCCTCCAGAACACCCAACTACGACGCCAATCTCGCTCACGCATACGCCCACCCCGCTTGAAGACCAAATATACCACTGGATACCTGCGCCATCAGCAGCCAGTACCGTTGAAGCGATGAGCGAACCGGCATCCAAGCGATCCCGATCGCGCTCGGTCTGTCTCCTCGGACAACAGCGAAAGCAGCTCGGCTCTTGACACTCGGTCATACGCCTACCGAGCTGTGAACTATGTGACCATACTGGAGACCAAGGGTTGCTTCATGCAGCCGTCCCCAGCTGGCCCAATGCCAGATGATATCACGCTCTGTGAGCGTCTTCTTCATCAGCCGGTAGCCACTCCCCAGGGCACCCTATTCGACGACGAGTATATTGACAGATTCCATTACGCGCTGCGGAACCGGTCTGAGGCGCGTCTTCTGGTAGACCTGCATCCCCTGATCATGCCGTCCGCGGAGAATCAGTTCATCAAGGGCACGCAGGGCCTGAGAGACGTCATAGATGGATACAATGATCCATGGCTGAAGACTGAGCCGATCTATGGTCCAAAGCCGCAGCCTGACCATTCACGTGGATTGAAGTGGTCAGTGTTCACTGAGAGCCAGCGGCGCAAGCTCGGCATCAGACCCGACGAAAAATCGCCGTATACGGCGCGCGAAGACATGTACTTTCCTTACCTGACCGCTGAAATCAAATGTGGAAACCAAGCGCTGGAGCTCGCGGACCGGCAAAACATGCACAGCATGTGCATCGCGCTGCGAGCCGTGGTCTCGCTGTGCCAAGCGGCTGGGTGCACAGAAGAGGTGCATCGGCGGATTCTCCGATTTTCGATCTCTCATGAGCTCGATGGCTTTCGCATATACGGCTACTATCCTGAGTTCGAGGAAGGCAAAGTGTTATTCTACCGGTGGCCCATTGCGCAACCCAACGTCTGGACTACAGAGGACCGATGGACGTGCTATCGATTCGTGGAAAATGTGGACCGTGAGTTTCTACCCATTCATACTAGTCGGGTGATTCGCATACTTGACAGAGTGCCTGGTCCAGATGAGGGTGCTCCGGAGGTCGATGTCAGCGAATTGGAGTCCCAACTGTCCATCATTGGGTCGCAGGAACGTCCAGGATATCGTAGAGCCGCATCCTCGCAGAGCCGTGGACTGCAACCTGAGCTACGAATGATGGTCCAAACACTGCAGCAACAGCTGGCAGAATAGAAGGTAAAGGAGGAGAAACGGGAAGCAGAGCAGAAGGCGCGGGAAGAGAAACTTCTTGCTCAGTTGGAACTACAAGGGAGACTTCTCGCCCGCTTAGAGAAAGAGGACTTCAAATGTGCGTTCTACTTTCGGTATACCTGAATCCTATTGGAAGCGCTTTAGCTTGTATCTCCTCTGGTAGCTAGATGATCTCGGTCCTTGATATCAACACAGCTAGAGGGCATCATAAGCACTGTCCAACATGACGCTGCACCAGTTATGTAACCTAATCACCCTTGCGTCTACAAGCCAATGAAGTTGAACTTTGAGAGAACTGCGGAGATGTCTAGGCTACAGATGACTGCACAATAGGTGTTGAGGGTGCGCTTAGGCTGAACGAAGGGGAGCCGTGGGTTTGGGCAAGGATCCGCGCAGTTGTAGTAGTCGACGTCTCATTGCGGTCAGTGTGCCCAGCAGAACTGTCGCCATCCCAAAGCGCAGCAGATATTTGACCAATGGCATCTGGAGCGCACAAACTGGGTCCATCGGTCCAACCCAGAAGGCGATTGGCGACGTCAGAAACATAGCAGTGAGTGGCACCGCCCTGGCCCAGGTTGCCGCTAGAAGCCACCGCGCCGGAGTTGTAAGCACGCGCAGCCTTGTAATATGAAGTCACATCTGCTGTGCCGCCCTCTTGAGCTATCAGTGCCTTGAGGCCAGGCCTGGCTGGGGTGCCTTCAACGCCGTCGAGGATCATCTGGAGTATCTCGCCCCTGGGACAAGGGTTCTGAACCAGCCCATTATCGTTGCAGGACCCAGATCCCTCGTGACTTTGCATCAGTCCAGGATTAGCAACCCCATTATTCGTGGTCTGGACACGAACGCATCCTTTGCTCTCCTTCATGACGATCGACAAGATGAAGCGCGCGTCGACGCCGCTTGATTTCTCCGCTTGGTAGATGGCATCCTTGATGAACTGGGTTTCGTCTTCCGAGTTATTGGGGAGCCCCCATTCGGCACAGCTGACAGATATGGTCCCTTTGTTGCTCTCAAACATGGCTTCAAGAGAGTCAGCCCATTGATCGATACGTGGCCAGCCGTCGGCGATCTTGCCGTTGCCACCTAATACTGCCGCATAAAGGGCAGTGCTGCGCTCATGGGGGGGGGGGGGGATGCTGCCGATGAGAGGAGGTATCGACCGCTCCAGCGATCATCTGCAGGATTTGGACTGCGAAAAAGAGCGGCCAACGAATCATTCTAGCCCAGGGTTGATTTTCCAACACGAGAGGGCTATGCTGGGCAGGAAACGGGAAACCTCGTTTGGTGGGCGCCTGGAGCACTGAATAGATTGGAAAGATATGGAAGTTCTTATGAGCTTTGAAGATAATCAGAAGATATTGATTGACGTTCACTTGGATCGCAAGCGGCCAATTTATTTGACTATGAATCCAGGACACCCAACGGATATGTTCATCAGGCTACTTTCTTTGGCTACAATTATCTTCTTATTGCCCGCTGCAGGACAGGGACTGCTGCACGAGGAGGCTCTTGTTGAGGGTTGGTTGTCAATGAATGCTTGATCGATAACAGAGATTCTGTAGACGTCTTGGGCCTCATGAATAGGTTCCAAATGGATGAAGGTGCACTATTTCAAACCGATAAGCTTATTAGCAAATAAATATTTGCTGAAGAATCTCAGTTTCAGTGGCGACTAAGCCCGTAGCAATGACGAGCATGCATGAAATGCGGCATCAGCCGCCGAAACATGCATGTCAGGTCTTTTGAGCCATTTCAATTAGCGTGTTTGGTTTTTGAGTCGCTCACATGCCCTTACTACGCACCAACATCCGGCAATTGCGCTGGCCTGTCTCAGGAACATGATATCAGAGCATCTCGAAAATTGACCACTGGGCAAGAGGTCTCCAGGGCTCTCAACGCGCTTTGAAATTGCGACTCGATTGAAGAGCAATCAGCGTCCGGAAAATGACGGCATCCGCAATTTGTTATTCGCATACGTGATCAAGTATAAGGCACGCGACGATATCAGCAAGGCAAGAATGCATAAATAGTTCCTGTAGAACACACATCACTTCGATCCAGACGTATTCCTTCTCTAGCTTTTCGTCATGTCATCCACAGGCATCTCTAAAAGGCCGGACCCAAAGCCAAAGGTCTCTCCTTCCAATGTGGATAATGTGGTAAAAATGGCAGAAAATGGGTCTCTTTCTGCAGACAAGTTCCAGAGTGGTGTGGAACAGGCCTCGATATCCCCAGCAAACTCGAATCAGAACCAGATATCTTATCCCGATGGGGATGATCTGGGCCGGATGCACCAAGATGCCCCTGTGGAGGAGAATTCCCCACACCAACCTGATAAGGCCATCCCATCGATCGAGTCAGATGATATCGAAATGAAAGATCTCAGTCCAAGCCGTGCAGACAATGACCAGCGGGAATCTGCACAGAGCAATCGACCGGATGTACAAAGTGATCATCCCCATCCAGAAGTGTCATCATCCCAAAGCCAAGACACCGCTGGCCTTATTGAAGGCTTTAAATGTCTGGCTGTCATCGATACGCCTCGGAAAAAGAAAGCAAAATGCCCCACGGAGGGCGAGCCTCTTGATCCCAACGCCACTGTCGATGGATGGGGCACGCTTAGAGGATCCACCTTCGTGATCGTGCAAGAAGGTCCACCTCACGCGGCCAAATTCACATTCAGATATGAACCCAGCTACACCAACGATCGCTTCGCCAGTACTACCGACGAAGACTTCCGAATCTCGGCGATTCGAGACCGCACTGCTAGTGGGAAGAAGGTATAACGGTATACGACCGCCAATGTCGCCGGCATTTATGGAGCACTCTTTGAAAACGCAGGCTCCAGAACCTCCACACGTAGTCCATGCTCGTGGGTGAAAATTCTGTGGAAGGGCTTGAGAGATGATGACAAAAAAAGGTGCAAAGTTGTAATGGGTTTTTCGTGGATTCCCAAGTGCGAGTTCGTTCGCTTTTGTCATGGGCACGAGGCAGCCGAGGAAACAATCAAAGAAGTTTGGGACAACCAAGAGAATCAGTATGCAGCCTGGGCTGAGAATCAGCCCGGGTCCGGAGGACGCAGTCGTGGTACTACGCCATGTCCATTGAACGCCTCCTTAGGCCGCCTTCGGCAACGGAGAGCCACTTCGCGCCTACGGACCCCAAGTGTTAGGGGTTCCTCTCTGACTTCCGATACCAACAGCACATCTCCACCGTCGCCACGGAACAACCGGGCAGGCACCAGATTCAACCCCGTCAGTCTTGACGAGGAACCTGACGATGTCATTTCTCCAACCAGGCCAAAATCAGGACCTGTCAATGCTGCGTCGAATGAATCTGACAACCACAACTCAGCCGAAGCTCGGGGTCAGACTCCCACCGTCAAATTTAGTGAGGCGGATTTCATGCAGACAAGAGGAATGAAAGAAGGTTGGAAGGACTTGACTCCTTCAGAAAGAGAGGCCCGAGAAGTTGTTGCCGAGGCTCTATACAAGGTTTACAGAGAGACCATGCTGCAGAACAACGGAGAAGAGGTCCAAGGACTGATTGCCTCTGAGGGTGTGGAGGAGCTTTGATTGCTGATTGATAAAAGCAAGTCGTTTCTAGCATCGAGTTAATTGTCACTGGTATCAATTTTTTGAGAAATATGGAAAAGAAAAAAAAGAGAAAAGAATACCAGCAGAAAAGCTACAAAAAGGTCTAGCTAGTCCGGTTGAGAGTTAAGTATATATGAACGTAGTGTCGAAAGGGAGAGGTCTTTGTTCTCTATGATATGATCTTCAATTTGTGCATTTTGCTTTACAGAACAGAATTGATTGTGTTTGTCTTATATGGATTTTCAATATTTAATATTCGTTTGGATACTCGTTCAAAAGCATTTGTCGGTGACTCTTTATCCAAAATTTCCTGGCATTCCCGCCAGACAAGCCTAAAATTCATCGCGGGCGTGAATGATGGATTCATCTCTCACGGTGAAATCCAGTCATTTGGCTTACACACTTTGATTGATTTCAGTCCCTCTTTGACATTCTCCATGTTAAGGCCTTGGATATCACTATTGAAATCTTCAATGCCCTTGGCATTACATTTTCTGTTACTGCCATTCCTTCGCTGGTCGTCCGTCTTGGCGTCTCTCCTGAGCAACCTGCATTTTAGGGAAACAAATCAGTTCTCGGTCTAGATGGAACATCGAGGGGATTTGAGGGTACCCCAGTTTTCAAGTACACACCTTCTGCATCTGCCCAGTCTGCTTTGTGGACTAGCATGGTTGGACTGTAAAGTCAGGGAAGACGAGGGCGCGTACGGACTGATTCTAGATTTTGACTGTGCAGATACATTGGAGTGTGTAATGCTTCTAGACGTGTCGTCAGAAATCAGGTCAAATCGCACCCGTTTTTGTATTCCGTTACTAGGTCTTCTTCGGTTCGCGGATGGGCGACTGGATTTTTTCGAGTCCCCTGTCTTTTGCAGGGATGCTGTCGGTACTGGGGAGGCAGATCTGCCGCCGGAAGCTTCAGTTGTTCTCTCAAAATTCGCGATTCCCGTGCGAGCACGGTCGGCAGACGACGAATCCAACTGTGCCATTATGAGGTAGGGATTGTTGGGTTCAAGAGATGGGGGCATGTAGATTCCGTAGAGGTACTTTATATAAGGAGTTCATGAAGGAGCAAACTTGGATCTACGAGAATTCTGGAAGAGGACGTATACCTGAGGCGGCGGCCCATGGGACAATGGCGAATGGACGGGCGAAGTGGGTCGAGGGCAGATCAGCCATTGTGAACCCAAATACTGCTTGCCCTTCACCGCTTCACCTCAAGTTTGTAGCCCGACGAGTCAACATCAACACGCACTCGTCAACACTCACTCTTCAAGAATCACTCGCATCAAGAATCACTCGCATCAAGAATCACTCGCATCAAGAATCACTCGCATCAAGAATCACTCGCATCAAGAATCACTCGCATCAAGAATCACTCGCATCAAGAATCACTCGCATCAAGAATCACTCGCATCAAGAATCACTCGCATCAAGAATCACTTCCATCAAGAATCACTTCCATCAAGAATCACTCCCATCAAGAATCACTCGCATCAAGAATCACTCGCATCAAGAATCACTTCCATCAAGAATCACTTCCATCAAGAATCACTCCCATCAAGAATCACTCCCATCAAGAATCACTCCCATCAAAAATCGCATCAGCTAAAAGTCGCTCTCAGCACCGTTTCCCACTTTTCAAGGCCGGACGATCTACGACGGGTCAGGTCACCTTATTGGTCACCGTCACGAAAATCCTGCCTGGACGGGTCCTGGCATTGGATTCGCGAATGAGGGAATCATTCAGACAAACTGCCTACTTTTAACATATGTCTCGTGCAGTTAGAAACGAGCGCTTTGAATTGGCTCATCAGTGGGCATGTGGAGGAACCTTTTGCGTAAAGCGACTTTACTAAATACGACTCTAAGTATGGCCTACGAGAGAGCTTTGAATCGACCGAATTGATAATGTGATAATTGCATTTCCCAGTGGGCTGCTATGGCTCATGCTTTAGTCTATCTACTGTGCAAGTCTTGGCTTCTTCAGTCCCCATGGGAGATGGGAGATGAATACTGGTCCCTAGCACCACGTAGAGGTGCTTGCACATTGCTAGAGGGGCTTGGTTTCGCAGCTGTCTCCTGCGGAGACTCTTTGTGTCGCAGATGTCCCTGCGGAGACTCTTGTTGTCGCAGATGTCCCTGCGGAGACTCTTGGTGTCGCAGATGTCCCTGCGGAGACTCTTGGTTTCGCAGATGTCCCTGCGGAGACTCTTGGTTTCGCAGATGTCCCTGCGGAGACTCTTGTTGTCGCAGATGTCCCTGCGGAGACTCTTGTTGTCGCAGATGTCCCTGCGGAGACTCTTGTTGTCGCAGATGTCCCTGCGGAGACACTTGGTGTCGCAGATGTCCCTGCGGATCCTCTTGGTAACGCATTTTTCCTTGCGGAGAACTTATTTGACGCAGCGGTCTCCTGCGGAGAACTTGTTGACGCAGCGGTCTCCTGCGGGTCTCAATTGTCATCACAGCGTCCCCCTGCGGAGTTCACTTGGTAACGCAGCGCCCCCCTGCGAAGCACTGTTCTTATGTCACTGGGCTTGGATCAGCAACAGCCGTCGTCACGGAAACCTCAGGCCCGAAGGTCAGAGGCGACACACCGCGGCCGCGATGTGTGAAGAAAGACAAATGGATCGGGGGAGGAGCCTGCTTTTATGGACTTCAGCTACGCTTTCTCGCAGATACCAGCAGTGCAGGTTTCTCACCGAGGACGGTTCTGGCGGTCGATGCAATGTCCCCACCGGTCCTGAACCATGAGCTGGACGATGCTGTCGAATGGATCGCCAATCATGTCGCGGCAGACAACACCGGGACCGTTCATTTCGAGCTGGATGGTAGTATTCCTGACTCACAAAAAGTGCTAGTCGAATCACAAAATTGGCGTAGTTGCAATCGGAGGGCAAAGAGCTGGCTCGCCCATGGTTCACAGTCGTGGTACGGTGACCTCAGAGAAGTGACTCAGAATGAAGGTCCTCAGCATTATGCTGCGCGTGAGAAAGTGCCATGGTGGAGGGGTGTGGTCAGGCCATTGGTCTACTTTGAAGGGGCCCGTCGAATTGCGTGCGGCTTCCATGTCACCTCCGCTTGACTATGCCCAAGCTCTGGCGGCTTATTGTGAAGTACTGAGGTATACTGCTTGACAGGTTTTGTCTTTGCTGCACATTGAGAGAAGGCATGCCTACATGATTGCTATTCAAGGGTATTCCTCCATACATCCATTACAGGACTTGTGCAGAGTCCCACGAGTCCACATATTCTAAGGGCTGATATTATGTGACCAAGATTGGCAGCGGAGAGGCTGCAGAGAGCTCTGAGCTCTTGGTGGTTGTCAATATACTCTGAATATGGCATTACTAGTATCAAAAAGCCCATGGCATATGTATCAACTTAGTGAATAACTGTCTCCAATTCTCAACTTTTGGCGTGACGCACTTTTGTGTCTTTCGTAGAGTAGTGTATGCCCAGCACCCGCCACTTGAGGAGCGGTGCTTTTTGCTGGAACGGCCGAAATGTAATGGAAAGCGATTCCAAGGACGCTGTGGAGAGTTTTCGGATGTCGCACAAAACTGAGCAATCTCTCATTCACCATCATTCTCTGAGGGCTACTGGCTTTCCTCGCTGATCATTCACTGTCGTTCACTCAACGTTGAGGCATCAGAGTGGATATGATGGTCCCACCTCGACCCACGGGCCGCGCCGGTGTAGATCCAAGGTACCCGGTGTTGGCTCAACTTGAACAGCTTGCATTGTTGTGGTCTTGCCACTTTGGGCTGCCCAAGGTTCGCATTCTGTTTGAAGAGCAACGGCAACTTTCACGTTTCCTCCAGGGCGTGTATTATGTGCTGTGTTCACTTCTCGTTGTCCGTCCATACAAAGGTTGTAGAAGCGGAGCGAGCAAATCCATTTTTGTTGTTTGTAGGTATTTATTTTTCCGCTACTTAATGGGTGAGAGAAAAGTCAGGAAAGTAGTCAAGTCAGGAATTAAAACGAGGACCTCATGGTGCTCGCCTCAACTTTCACTTTTCAACAAGTATCTGTCATTCCAAATATTGTTGATGAAGCTCCTGTTTGCTCATCCCCGTTGAGTCAACTGATTCGCGAGTGAATAAAGTTTACGACCTCATTCGGTCATCCCTAATTTGAGTGACCGGGACTCGTACTTTATTTCAAGGATAACTACCAAATTTCATTCCGCACATTCTTGGGACGCCTCATATTTGCCCATCGCTGTTGATTCAACTGAATCCGCTGGTGAATGAACTCTGGTCTCTCAATTAGCCACTGCTCTACTTTGTTGGTGGCATTTTCTGGCCGCAGTCTACCTGAATCTTAATCCTTGTCAATTTTTTGTCATTTGGTCTTTGCTGCTCCTGTTTGCTCACCACTGGTGAGTAGCCATGTTGCTTGAGCGCAGAAAACCGCTTGCTGGTATGCCGTTTTTCCTCTTGCCTAGAAATAATCAAAAAGTCTGACAATTTGCCACTCTTGATCCAAGCGAAAGACAAGGCACTCCGCCCTGGAGGGTATAAATATGCTCCCACCCGTCTTGCTTGACTTTCCTCTTGCATCTCTCCTCGCACATGTCATTTGCGAAGATTGACTTTGATCTCTTCTTTTGTCTATACTTGTAAGTGTGCCCAGCCATCAGCTCAAGACTATCTTTCTCTCACTGATAACACTCTTTCTCTAGGACTGATATACGAGGACTTCAATACGTGAGTACCACCCTTCCTTAGTTAAAGCTTACACTGACAACGTATATCACTCGGTTTCGGCTAGGCTTCCAATAGATCCACCGTGGCACGCAAACCCTCTACCAAGGTGAGGTGTCAAATTGGCTTGATCCATGGAAGCTGTACTATGTCCTATCTAACGATCTCATAGTAGAGCTTCTCGAACGGTCTGTGTACAGTCAGATCTGAACACATTCGATGACAACCATGACTCTCTACACCTGATACATTACGGTAAAGCCTTTTTATACGGTAGGCCCAATAACAACTCCATGAGGTCAGTCGCTGATCAAAAGAACTTCTATCATAGGGACCTCCTACAGAAATGTGTATGGGTTGATACATCACGAATACCGGCGAACGCTGAGCGTGATCCGTATCCCTCGATCCTTGTTTGAGTCTATGTACATAGAGCTGGCTTATCTTCTGTGGCAGACATCTTCACGCCCCCCTCCCCAAGTCCTGGCGTGGGCTATCCCGGATGATGGATGGCTCATGAAGCTTTCTACCCTCTCGATCTTTGACTCGGTAGCAAAGGCCCAGTTTTCGGACAGAGCACCCATCATGCAACGAAGACCAAGGCCGATTTCACCTCGAATACAAGAGACGCACTCTATATTGAAGCGTCTCTAGCCTTGCGACTTCGCTTGCAAGACCAAAAGACGCTATAAAGAAGAAACAGTTCGTCAACCACATCAGCGATGAGAATGTGATGCCATCAGGTACGTAATTCATATCGGCTGATCTCGCTCTTTCCCATCCGGCTTTTTGCGCTACATTTTCCAAATTAATCCGCGCCTAGATGGTTCAAACCTTCACGGTATAGAACGTGGGTGAGTGATGGCACTTCTTAAACAATTCGCTAATAACAGATCATTGACCCTTCACAGAACCTATCGATACACCGGCAGTAAGCCGGTGTGTACGCAATACATGGCGCGTGCCACTAAAATGAAACGCAAATCCAGGGCCACTGCAAGGCTATATCGATGGTTTCAACGTCGTCCGCCCACACTCCATCTGATCCAGCTTTCCCAAGACGAATAACCATTCATCTGTCTGCAATCAGTCCTTGCTGATCTAATCGTGCTCCATGTTATTGAATGATGGAACTAGCCCCTCGTCAACCTTGTTAGCTTCAGCACGGAATGGGTTGGCCCGTTTCGCCAAGCAAACTCAGTGTGAGCTCTAACCCATCATTTTTTATGTATATTGGGAAAGCTTTCAGCTGACACAATCGAGCTCCGTACATTCAATGGGCATACACCCCACAGCCACGAAAACTAACCTTCATATCTCAAGCTACGGATTATCGGTCATTTCAGAGCTCCGAGGACTGCGTCTAGTTATGCAGCCATGTTAAACGACTTCTTGGCTGGCAAGGGTTGCACTGCCGCCTGTTTTAATATATATCAGCTACTTTCGGCATTGACAAGAGTATCCCCACCCATGCTGACCTATCCTTATTCCTCCTCTCTGGGTGCTAATATTGCCTATAGAGCGACTGGTTACCGACACGCTTCCCAAACACCCACTCCATGCGTGTATCAGCTTAACATACCCTTCGGCGCCTGCTCTGGATACCTAGTCCCAATCGCACTACGAATCTACTACAAGAAGCGCATTACCCACATTATCCAACGTGGCTTTGTATAGCGTCCTCCCCTCCCCTGAATTTACATTCGTATAGCTGACTATCGTTCTAGTAGACCTCTCACGTCGATCGAAAGATTTTTTACCTGGTCCCTGCTCATTCCATTGGCAATGCCGTCGTCTCTTGTCAAGAGCTTGGTTTTAAGCGGCATTAGACGCGAGGCCTGCTGCAGTCAGGCTCTGGAGGTTAACAGTGGACGGCTAGCGTGGCTCCCTGTCTCACCTCACCCAAGTCAACACCTACACGAAATGAACAGTTTATGACAAGACCTGCTGTTTGATCCGCATTATGCATTCCGATGGCTGATCTCCATTGTCATTAGACAAGGCCACTTTGCATCAGCGTCTTCCGCCTCGGTCATCTGTGATGGTGCTGAAGAGACATGTTCTCAGCACGCTGTGAGCTAAGCCTGTTCAATGTGGGCTTCACATTTATCTAGCGGCAGAGCTAGTCAAGAGTACTACTTTTAGGCCTGTGGTGGCCATCTCGCTGTCGCCATGACCACTTATGATGCGTCTGCGGTATAATTGGTCGTCGGTTTGAAGGGGTGATACCCGATAACACATACTGCGAGAGGATAAGCTGGTTGAAACTCGACTCTCAATATGGAGATCTGAGGAGCCAATTCCAATGATGCAGCTCCGTTCCAGCACCAGCATCAAATCACCATATCGTGTCCATGTGGCTGCGTGGGCTTTCTAATGGGCCGAATTATGAAGCAACTTCGAACATAAAGACAGTGCCAACCTGTCCAGTGCCTTGTGAATCTTCAAGACGGCCTACGTTGACGGAATCAGACTTGGGTCCCTGTTCTTGGATGGTCCGACGCGCCGCTGACTACTTGTCACAGCTAACTTCGCGTGACGTCATTTCCCAAACGCGTCTCCCTGGGATGAGTTCATCTGACAAGTGAGCATCGATGCATGAGCGTTGAATTTCCACGACGATTGGATCGTTCTCATCTGCGCTTTTCCAACGCATGATTCTTCTTTATATTCTCTTCTTGCTGGGGCTACACCAGCTCACGCTCTTGACAATCTCAATGTTCGTGAGCGCAAAACCGTGTCAGAGAAATAGAAAGGAGGCCAGCAGGGAGCTCCAATGGTCCGAGCAGTGCTCTAGGGATGGCAAATTGGGCCTTACACACCCAAGCTAATTATGCAATCAGACTTGCAACCAGTCTTGTGAGCGCTGCGTTGACATGGATGCGACGTTCAACAGTGGGATCAGCAGCAGGGTCAACCAAAAATTTGACTTCATGAGAGGTTTTCATACATGACGGGGGCAGCATCGCCTTGTGGGCGCTCACCGCGTCCCCGAGGCTAAAGGCCAGCTAGTCCGACTTGAATCGGAGTAGCTCCCAATCACAGATTCGCCCTGATGGGCTTTAGTGTTGTGGTATTTGAATGAAACTACTCGCTTAGCTTTTTCGTTTAGAACGAAAAGGTCGGACTCTACCAGCTACACATCCACTATCGCGAATCATAATCTTTGGCACGAACACTGCCGGGTGGGCTCTCGGGGGATATTCTGAGGTTGCTTCCATGAACGGTATTGGCCGCGACCTCAAAGCTTGAAGTTATGGGTTTGACACTAGATAATTATCTAACAGATGCTGTCTGGCCATGGGTGCCTGTATCAGTCAGATATTACTTGTTTACTATGCTCCAAAATGACCTCGGTGGTGGTTTCACTGCGGCAAATATCGGTCGGAGGAGAGGCCAGGCAAGAAACTCACTTTTCTACTCATAGCGGGTGATTCTACTATGTGTGATGCACGATTTCCCTATTTGGGTCTACAGAGGGACCTATTGCCAAATATCCACTCCCATTCTGGCGTGTTTGCGAGATCTCCTTGTGGCCAGATGGCTCTTAGTGCATGTTATGTCACAACAAGAGATTATTGGGGAAATTACCTGCCCTTTCCTAAGGTTAAAATGGAACATCTTGAAATCAGCTTGGCTCTTCGTACAGATGCATCGGGATTCACTCCGATGGTGCGGCTCCGTTCCTGTTCGGCACCAACCTGGAACCACAACAGGTTGACCCGGCTTCCACATTCAACTCCCGCCCAGGGCCGGAGAGGGCCGACACCCGTAGGGTGGCCCCGTATACCGAAGGCCCGCCCGAACCAAGCGCCACAACCCCCGGAGGGAAAGTCTAGAATGGTTTCCGCGGGCACATTGGGAGCGGACAACTATGGACACGTCCTACCTACTTAAAGCCTCATATTCCTACGGATGATTTGGGAATGGGGGCCTTCCAAGAATCAACCTGCAGGTTCTGATCAAATGAATCTCTCCTCACAACATCGTTTTAAATCTTTCAAAGTGGGGATTTGGCACCATAGAACGAGGTTGATTCCAAACAGAGCCTTAGAGTCATAGAGCCCGTAGGCTTAGCGTAGGACCTTTCACTACGATAACCCGCGCGGCTCGGACGGAAACATTGGACGTCGCCACGACACGCCTAAACACTGAATTTCACTTCCTGAGATCTGAATAATTGACTCTTGTCGAATTTCCCGGACAAGAGGATTGGAAAAAGTCCCAAGACGACGTTAGTGGGTTGATCTTGCCCGTCGCCTATGGGAGGCACCCCCGGCAATTGGAAATTGCCTCGCCGACCCCCCTGAAGGGGGTCTCTGGGGGGACCCCGCCCCCCGGCTCGAGGGCGCTTGGGCAATGAATCAAATCCGGGCGAGGCCACAGTTCGGAAAAGTGATTCGATACCAAATAAGTAGCATTTATGCCGATGCAATGCCTATATCTTGCGACGATCAGAAGAAATATCGCATTCCGGAAGGCTGACTTTATATATCGACGCGTCAACAGCGGTGGTCAGTGGGCCAAGTATGGCGAGTTGACACATCCACGCGCGATGCATATCTACCACGCGTAACCTCAGTTGCTTATTGGAATCCCTGGCGTTGTCGCTCAACCCCAATCTTGAGAACACTTGGATTGATCTCGATATGTCGTATCTAGAGTGGTGTTCGACTTCGTTCCCATTTAATTTGCTCTTGCCGTGTTAGCCCCTTCCCTGAGCAATTAAAAAAAAGGAGGCCAGCATGGAGCTCCAATGGTTCAATAGTGCTCTATGAATGGCGAATTGGGCTTTACACACCCAAGCTAATTATGCAATCAGACTTGCAACCAGTCTTGAGAGCGCTGCGTTGACAGGGATGCGACGTTCAACAGTGGGATCAGCAGCAAGGTCAACCAAGAATTTGACTCCATGAGATGTTTTCATACATGACGGGGGCATATTGTCGCAGCATGGCAAATTTTTGGCTTCCGCCGCGTTCTTGAAGCTAAAGGTCAATTAGCTCGACTTCAATTGGGGTAGCTCCCAAGCGCAGCTCGCCCTGATAGGGCTTTGGCGATGTGGTATTCGAACTACCGACTCGCTTAGCATTTTCGTCTAGAACGAAAAGATCGGGCTCTACCAGATACCAATACACTACTGCGGGATAAAACTTTTGGCACGAACGCTGCCGGGTAGGCTCTAGCGGGATATTCTGAAGTTGCGTCAATGAATGGTATTGAACGCGACCTCAAAGTTTGAAATCACGGATTTGACACTAGAGACTTTTCTATCGGATGCTGTCTGACCATGCTGAGTGCCTGTATCAGTCAGCTATTACTTGTCTACTATGCTCCAAAATGACCTCGGTGGTGGTTTCACTGCGGCAAATATCGGTCGGAGGAGAGGCCAAGCAAGAAAGTCGCTTTTCTACTCATGGCGGGTGATTCTGCTACGAGGGATGCATGATTTTCCCAGGCGGGTCTACAGAGGGACCTATTGCCAGATATTCAGTCTCATTCTGGCGTGTTTGCAAGATGTCCTCGTGTCCAGATGGCTCTCAGTGCATGTTATGTCACAACAATAGATTATTGGGGAAATCGCCTGCCCTTTTCCGAGGTAAAATGGAACATCTATCGGCCTATTTGCCATCATCGCACACGAGATCTTCCGTACGACGCCACCTTTCGCCGTCTGGTTTCTGATCAAGATCATTCAAGCCGAGAGGACCAGCCTCAAGTGCTGGGAACAAGGTTTGCTTTGACGGAAGGCAGCCTATTTGTCGTGGCGGGATACAACTCGATGGTGGAAGTGCCATCGAAAGTCGGCATGTATTGCTCTATTCATCGGTACACCTAAAGCACGGCGCAGGCTCACCACGGGTATTTCGCTAGCGCAAGAACGGCTGACTCACTCGCCTCAACGATACGACTCAAGAGTTTCCTAATCCAAAAAGAGGACGAAAGCAGATGTGCGAGACTGACCGAAGCACCACAAACATCGAGGCCCTCAACAATGATCGAAAAAATTTCACCTTGTGCCCTCCGCTTCAACTCGAAGCTCCTGGTCGATTTCTGGTCCTTTCTTTTATCCAAGATCAATTCTCCCTCTTAAAACCACCCGTTTGATTCCTTCGAAATCTCGGTGATCGACGGAGTGGTGGACGTGGGAATTGTATTCGGACTGACATCAAATGCCGAGCTAATAGCCTCACTACTCTAGACAGCCAGGAAAGCCTAAGTTGTTTTTTCAACTCACCCATGGTAAGCTGCCAGTGAGTGTCTCAGAGGATCAAATATCGAAACACGAGCAGTGATTGCCAGCGACCAAGACGCAAATACCAGCCCACGATCAGGGACCAAGGGCATATAGGCATATATGACTTCGAACTAGAATATCATCTATTGGGCAAATGCAATGGGCAGACATGATGCTATCTCACAGTTGCCACATGGTGAAGCATGTAGAACCACTACAGAGCGGCAAGACATCGCTGCGATGGTCATTAGTATTGAAAAGTTCTCATTTATTCCCCTGCGTCTTGACTGCGGATACCAAATAACCAATGCTGACTGAGCCCAGATCCGAAACACTGCGTCGTATGTCGAGAGGAGGTGCATGGAATCCTCGAGGCCATTGTCACCGAAAGAGACGAGTCAAATGTGGTGCTGTCGTCTCAGCCATCTCAGTCTGGTTACATGCACTCGCTCTGGCGAGCAAGTCAGGCCAGCAGCCCTGTCCTGTCGGCCCAATCCTTTCTCCAAGCGACTCAGCCATTCGAAAAAGGTTGAGCAACACAATAAACCTACTAGGAACGGACTCGATGGGTCTCATAACCCTGTGATCCACTCTGTATTGCGTGATGCTATCAATCCGTCAAATGAGGCTGTGCGACCGGAGTATGCCGTGACTTTGGAGATTGTTCTTTGGCGAAAATCGGCTTATGCAAGTCGACTTTCCGAGCTGGAATCAACTCACCTTGTGCTTACTCCTTGGAGAAGAATCAATTCAGTAAGTTGTCAATTCAGTTCAAAGGTGCTCGTGGTATGTGCCCGTAGCACATTCAATTCTTCATAGAAGGCGCTTACACGGCGAGGGCAAGTGAAAGGCAGAAGGTGTAAAACACTAGTCCAGATGCGGAATATCTTGATCAGCCCAAATGCTCGCTGGACTTCGTAAGACTAATAAGGCCTCTTCGTGGCTTTACGGTAGTGCTAACAACTAGCCGAGGTTGCGGGTAGTAATATGCATGACGGGTTCACGCCTTGCCCCGTCATTCTTCTCCTACCGAGCACCGCTTTTGACGCCTGGATATCTGAAGTCGGCCTTCTGGAATGCGATACCTCGTCTAACTGTCGCAATACACGCTCTTTTCACGACGGGCCGGGGATGCCTGCGCCACGTGTGCACAACTGCTGATGAGTTGGTATTACATCACTTTTCCAGAAAAATCGACCTCGCCCATTAGGAGGATGTCCATCGCCCATGCCCATATTTGGTTCATTCCTTGAGCGCCCTCGAGCCGGGGGGCGGGGTCCCCCGAGACCCCCCTTTACGGGGGTCGACGAGGCAATTTCCAATTGCCGGGGGTGCCCCCCATAGGCGACGGGCAAGACGCCCACATTACTGCGGTCCCGCCATACCTCTGCATACCATTACATCTATCATCCAGCGATCATCAATTTGCGCAACGTATAGAATTCGACAGTATACGCGCTTCAGCTTCAGATGTGTCGACCAGTCCCCTTCCCGTACTGGTGGCTGGTAAATAGACAACAGTCGCCTTTGGCCTCAGCCATTCAGCCAAGTTAATTCAGATACTTCACATCACCTATCAAGCTCTCAGCAACAAATGCTCCATTTCGGAATCAGCAACGCAATTTCCTCTCGTCCCTTTGGGATATTCTTGGTTATCAATGTTCAAATACTGGGGATGATGCGACCTTGACCGCGATGGCTCAGCGGGCGGAAGACTAAGGCCCTTTCTCGATCATCTGCTTGCACACGGCTAGAATCGATACAGGCGTCTTCACGTCACAAGTCGATGATATAGTACTGAGAAGTTGGAGTGGAGCCCCGACATACCTTCGAGTAGTCGGGCACGGCAAGGCGACGAAGCCGGGAATAGAGCCTACGTCCAAGGGGATCTTCAGAATGCTAACATCCTTAGGCTCAATCAGCGATTTCCGATATATCGAGCTCAATCGCTCGGGCACTGCACTGAAGGTCGCTACAGACAGGCTCAAAAGCTGATATGCGACTTGGTTTCAAGTGCCTTGATGAAGCACAAGCTTGGGAAGAGTGGCCCAACGTTATTGATTGAGGCGTGATATTTGCTCCAGTTGAGAGCATGAAAGATGGGGGCAAATGGAGAATGGCCGGCAAATCTTGCCCGTCGCCTTGGGGGGCACCCCCGGCAATTGGAAATTGCCTCGCCGACCCCCATAAAGGGGGTCTCTGGGGGGACCCCGCCCCCCGGCTCGAGGGCGCTTGGAAAATGAATCAAATATGGGCATTGAGTACATGCATCATAGTTTTAAGGGTGGGTCTGATCAAACCAATAAACGTATCCCACAAGTTCAATCCGTTGCCATCCCATTTCACTTGGGATGCGGAAGGATCTACCGGACGACTTTACGACAGACTGTTGAACACCACTGGGGACCACCGTTCGAAAAGGCGCGAGTAATAATCCAGATTTACGCTCGAGAAATTTGAAAAACCACTACGACATCACTATCAAGAAGCATTTACCAAGAGGCTTACATCTTGTTGCACCAAATATCATTGATCACACAGTATCTACTACAAGAAGACTTCTTCCATGCTGTTTGATCCGTGAGCGGAAGACGCATGGCAGTCTACCTTGCTTCAATGAGCTGGGCTGACAAGGTCCAGGTAAGGATCAGTATCATTTGGATCTGAAATAGTCAGCCACCGTATTCTTTCTGTGCAAGACAGAACCCACCTCTAGCGCAATGTCCCAAGTCTTCCATAGAGTGCCTAGCACTGCAACTGCCAGTAGGATCGCAAACAAGGCTGACACGCAGAAAGAAATGATTCGAAGGCGAGTTCGGGCTTGAGTTGCCTGACCAAGAAGCCACAGATACCATGTCGTCACCATCAAGTAGTCAACGGCGAGAACGAACAGACACACCGGGTGAGCTGCGGTCGGGCGAAAGGCTCCAACGACGGAGCTTGCTATCTTTGCCAGGCTGGAGATCACGGCGTATAATTCATATGTTCTAAGTAGGGCAAATGGGGTAAATGGGTTCTCGCATTGTTGAAAATGGACCCGGAGAAACTAGAGTCAGCCCATTGCGCCAAACTGGTGACTCCTAGACATACCACTTGTCCGGTGAGAAAAGCCGATGTCATCCACAACAGCGTTTGACACCAGATTGCATGGATCCCGCCCCAGCGAAGACCTGAAAGTACAACGAAGGAAATACTAGAGGCAACCGATAAAGCAAGGTCGAGGTGGTAGAAATGCCAGGGCCGTTGGAACCGAACTATCAGGGACAGCCTCATGGTACTAGCCAGAGTGAGAGCGGACATCAGGATCGACTGGCCTTGGTCTTCCGAGATCATTTTCAATGCATGGCGAACGAATACGTAGGCGAGGCGAGGCAGTCTGTGTTACTTATGTACATTGAGTATAGCACACATGATCCTCCCTGGGTAGTATTTATATCTACGACCTCCGCATTAAAGAGAAAACTATTTTGTGGCGACGGATTGTCGCACCTGACTTTCTGTAACTCAGAACCGGGATCGTCGTTGCGGTTTCTAGGGAGGCTATAGGAGGCTCCCAGGACCAGGACCAGTGTCTCCAGGAGCGGCACACGGGTTCCCAGAGACAAAGGGGCTCCCAGGATTAGCATCAACCTTTCCCAGCCTGGCAAAGATGATTCTGCCATACGAGAAGCCCTGGGCTCGGTCACAGTATGTTCAAGTCGGGGTACCTAAGCGCTATAGCGTGTTATAAAGCTTTGCCACCCCTCCTGTCAACCTACATCAGCTCTAATACTACATATGAAAGATGCTTAGCGACCTCCCAAATGAACTCTTGCTCTGGATCTTCAAGAGCCTTGACAAAAATGACATCGTTAATATGATCGCTTGCTGCCAGAAAACTGCGACCATTGGCGCGACGGCTCTCTTTGACAATCTCCAGGGCGATGAGATGCCACCCCTTCATCGAGCCATACTCAACAGACGACTAGACATTGCACGACAGTTGTTGGATCTTTATCAGGTAAATCCCAACTCCGAGTACCATGGGATGAGCACGCTTCTGCTCGCCATTGAGATGAGCTACCCACAAGCAGTTAATCTCATGTTGGAACATCACTCACGGCTGTCTATTTGCGACTTTCAAGGTCGAGGGCCGTTGTCAATCGCTGTCGCAAAGGGCACTTTTGCCATCGTTGAAACCCTGTTGCAGTACCCAGCGCTGGATGTCAATGGCCGATGCACCGATGGCATGTCCGCTTTGATGTACGCAGTGGAATACTCGGAGCACGCCATTCTAAGCCATCTTCTGACCGATCCCCGCGTGAATGTCAGCATCGAAGATCGCCTTGGGCAGAATGCGCTACATTCCGCAGTTCGAAAAGAAGACCATATCTCAGTGCAGATCCTAGCCCGAGACCCTCGCTTGGATGTCAATTGGTGCAGCACCCACCGAAATACGGCACTACTTCTCGCGGTCAAGACCCTCAAAGGGAGGTCGTCCCGACGGGTAGTGGAAGCCCTACTGCTCAACCCAAAGCTTGACATCAATCACCAGGATTCTAGGGGGCGCACGGCGCTGTGGCATGCGGTGGACCAGCAGAATGAGGAGCTAGTGCAGCTGCTCTTGGACCAGGATGGCCTCCGTTTGAATGATGCGGACGGCGGGGCTGTTACCCCTCTTGCGCGAGCAGCGGAGCATCAAAGCCCTCGTTTACTGCAGATGCTTCTGAGACAGCCGAAGATATGTATCAATGCCATGCCTGGTCCGGCTGTTCCACCGTTATGGGCAGCGTGTCGGGCGGGTTCGCTCGCCACGGCTCAGAGGTTGCTGACCCAGAAAGCTATTCAGATCAACGAGAAAGCCCCGTCTGGAACGTCACCCCTGCATGTGGCCGTGATCAATCAACACTTGGGTATTGTGTCTCTTCTTCTCGCGCAAGGTGAAATCGCACTGAATGAGGTTGGGCCCTTGGGCTTCACGGCCCTCATGTTTGCTGCTGCAAGCGGGTATACTGCATGTGTTGAAGGGCTGTTACGACACCCGCAGATCGATCTGAAAGTGAAAGATGCGTACGGTTACTGCGCTTTCCGCTTAGCGATACTATATAAACATGTTCGGTCGATTAATCTGTTACGCAGTGCGTTCGTGCGGCAGACAATACGAAAGTTAGGCTGACCATCGGTCTAGCTTTGCCAAGACTGAGTGGGGGAGAACTAGAAAAATTTAGTAAAAATAATATTTTGCGAGACTGCTATATTCTCCGTCTAGGTTCAGATGACTCAGAAATTGCTAGGCAGCTCAGCTCAGCGAGCACGGACGTTAGCCAACAGTCCACTGGAAAGTGCGGTCCGCTCAATCACTGATTTTCCCGGTTCAAGGACACAGTACTTGAGTATAATACCGTAGCACTGGCTGTCACAGGGCTCTATTGTTCTCTGCTATTTGAGCGTGATATGAGCGTGATCTGCCGCGAAACAAGATCCCAAAGCGCCGGATAGGAGCCTCTGTTCTAGCTTCACTAATGGCCCGCCCTCCGTCTAATGCATCGAGTGTATACAGTCGCTCGCCAGATACACCAAGACCACACTCCTCAAGGGCTATGCCTGTCCCCGTCTGGGACGATCTTCCCGAGATTACACCACTGGACCATCGGATCTTTGTGGCGGGGAGAACGACCATGGCATTAGAGACGACAAAGACACACCTCAGTACAGCAAAGAGCGTGGCACCCCCGCCAGACCCAATCACTGAGAAGCGGAGCCAGCGCGATCAGCAAACTCAGGAGAATGAGTTCTACCGCACCTGTTGCGTGAATTTCTGCCATCTAGCGACAGCCGTGGTTGACATCACACAAAAGCTTGTATTGGAAGAACACTTCCATTCCGACCAATTCGCCCCGATCAATGCACGCTTGTGCCGGGCTACATTGGCTCTCTGGGCAGCCTTGGACGCATCAAGGGTGGAGGAGGACAGGGCGGAACGCATTTGGATGCAGGAATTGGATATTCCGACAGCTTCGGAGCCATCTTCCGCGTGGATCTAGGGGAAATTTGGCGTCGTATACGATTGAAGGCCGAGCTGGTCGAGTCTTTGTTATTGAGATCTGAGATTGTTCAGTGAGATGTGACGGGCGAGGTGACAGCCCTGGATGAGAGTGGCGAATGCGTACATTCGTTTCAGGTGACGATGTGAGGGCCAGCTACCCTGGTCTGACGACCAGCCCTGACGGTGGCAGTTGGCGGGCCAGGCTTGTTGATTGGCTTGCTTTAAGAAGGCGGTAGCAATCACTTCCGGATGGCGACTGACCAATCATGGTGGCTTTTTGGGGTTCAACTTGGCAACCTCAGTTGAACCCCCTCTCGGGTTCCCCCCCAACCCTGGACCTACGATTACACCGTTCTCCTTCTTGTATGTGGTCTGTTTACATCGAAATTCTAATTAGAAAGTACGAATATTCATCCTCGTTCAACTCATTTGCCTAATAAATACAGTTCTGCCCTGTTTATTGGGTTGTAAAATTCCTCAACATTAAGCCATACGAAATATATATCTCTGACTTCAGGCAATCATAGTGGTATAACACATCACGATTTCTAGCAAATGACAAAACCTCGATCTCCGAATTTGATCGCGACTGCAGATCTTGCAGATCTTCCAGAGCCTCTGAGGCACCTGGGTATAGATATCCCGCTGTCACGTAGTCTGGTAATCCCAAGGTTGGTCAGGTTGGTGGAAGGCGGGCCACGTGGAGACTCCGTCACTCTGCGGTCGGCCCGCGCCCGGCATCTTCCTAATGACCTCAAACAGCCGAGGGAATTGGCCTTTCAATATAGCACCATGGCCTTCTAGTCTAGTCATATTCCAACTACTTCCGGCTCTGTGGGTGGACGTGGTATGGTCGCTTCATGCCGTCCCTCTGCAGCCTGGCTTTCGTGTTCTGACCTAAGGGGAAAGACCCAAGGCTTCCAGGGCCTTCAATCAAGACAGCTTCGCGCTAATTGCGCGATCAGCATCCGGTTCGACGTGAACGTTGCATACTGCAGGAGGGAGCAGCCTTTGGTGTCGCGCTGGCTCACCATCGATTGTGGGTGAGAAACCAACAGCTCAAGGATCGCGTCGCGTCTGGGCTCGAAGCCACCGTACGTCTTGGCAGCGAGAAGCAGTGCGCTGTCCCCTGCAAAGTTGGACCGATCGACATCGAGAGATCTGCTTTGCAAGAGGATCTGAACTGCAAGATGATCGTCGTATATCACCGCCAGATGGAGCGCAGTGTGACCTTGGCCATCTGTGATGTGAACATCGATTCGCGGGTCACCCAAGAGGATCTCCAAGATCTCGTGCTGTTGATACTCTAGAGCCGTGAAGAGCGTGGGCTGGCCCTTCGGTCCGCTGCTGTTGACATTGATGCCGTGCTGAAGGAGTTGAATCACGGCTTGCACATCTCCCCGAGCAATTGCAAAGAACAGTGCATTCTGAATAGACAATCTGCAGCAATGAGCAGCGGGACGCTCTTCGTATGACGGCGAAGAGCCTGCTAGAATGGGTAGTCAGCACCCGCACTGACACTGGAATAAGATGACCAACCGATGGTATGGAGGTGGTGCGACATCTCCGACATATAGTGAGAGGCTGTTTCGGATGAAATGATAGTGGCGCCGAACAGACTTACGGATGGAGGAGCAATACTCGACCTTGGTGGTCAGTATTTATAGAAGCCACTATGATAAGCATTTCATTCCTCTGGCTGATTCTCTACTTTACATTTGAGCTAGATGGAATTCGGTTGGGGTAGAATCACGGAAAATGAGGCCCGTGGAACAGACAGGCTGTTCCCAGGAACTCTTGTGCTCCCAGGAATCTCCATGATCTTCCTGGAGCCCTGCGTTTGCGCGGAACGCCATGGATTCCTCGCATTTTCAACAAAGGCTTCTCACAGCGGGCCAATCTCTTTGCGTCTAATGTGTAGGCTAGTTGGTGCAATCCGCTGCCTCGATGGACTGGAATGCCTGCAGGTAGTCTATTAGAGCAAGTTGGACCATGCAAAGGCCCCGCTCCTGACTTACCCTCTAGCGTACATTCCACACTAGGCAGGAGCCGGAGGAATTATAAAAAGCTAGAAGGCACTCAGAGAGCCCAGTGATAAATTCTATGCCTACTACTTGTCTCATCTTTGATTGTCGATCTACATTACATTTAGTCTTTTCGCCATGTCTACCTTTTGGAACCCAGTCAGCGTTTGTGAGATTGGTGAGGGTCTGGCCCACCAGGCTACCTGCTGCGGCATCACAGAGCGAGGTGCTCGCTGTAAGAATAGGATCTCTGCGAAGGTGCTCAAGCAGGGAAAGGAGAAGCTGAGAAGCCTTGCTCGAGCACCTATTCATGCGCAGACCCTGCAGCCGATTTTGCACAACATTGCAACTCATTTCCTGTGCTCCAGGTGGCATCGAGATCGGCAAGCTGACCAGGTTAGTCGACGCTGGTATGATGCCGCTGTTCGCAATCAGCTCGGCAGCAACGTTGTGCTGGAACACGCGGCCACGCTAAGCCATGAGGAAAGTGACCTGGGCCAACCTGCAACCCATCAGTTGGACCATGGTGTCTCATATGATACCAGTGAGACTGAGCGCGAGCTCCCGCAAGCAATCCAGCCTTATGTATCCCCCGCGATGCTGCGTGCAAACAATGTGCCGTGGGCTGTCTCGCCGGCACAACCCGCCATTGCGTCCGTCGCGAATATTTTGGCAGGAATTCAAGACCTGGAATTACACTGCCTCGCTGTGAGCCATGATGTGAACGACATCCATTGTACCTTTTGCCTGGCGGAAGATGGAGACACGACCGATGAAAATGTGATTCTCCGATGTCGACAATGCCACGCGCTATCGCACCTGTCCTGCATGGAACTCTGGCTGGACCAGCGTGACACAGGCTTTGGCACCTCTTGTTGTGTTTGGTAAGTTCACTCGCTTCAACGTTATGGAGGGAGGATTCTGACAATCAGCAGCCGCAGTAATGGTGCTCTAGATGCCCTCATCCGTCCAATTAGGCGTCGGACCGATACTGGTTCCGCCAGCGCGTCGACGGTAGACCGCAACATAGGTACGGTGCATGATTGCCGGCTAGGAAACTCCTTGCCCACCGAGGATACAACGACTTCTCAGGGCCGCATTGCTCGGTCACCCCGTGCACCAGCACGGCATGAACAGCCCCGTCGGTCGGCGCGGCTGACGCGGAATGTCGATAGCACTGCCCCGCTCCGACGTTCGACAAGATTGGAGAATAGCCGACCGCGAGGCTGTGAGTGATAGCTTGACTGGTCGAGATGGTATTGATGGATACCAGATTTGTGTGATTGAAGTCGTAGGTAATCTTAGTCTACAATTGAATTGATGATTTTCGAGACTGATGCTCCTTTTTCATTAGCCTGACAGTTGGCTGCATGCACATTAGATCGATTTAGTTGGAGAGATTTGGGCGTTCGGAGCGAGAGTGATTACATTTTGCCTTGTCTGGCCTTGTCTAGGAAGAGGGCTCCCGGGTACTCTTCCAACGCGATATCCAAGCTTGAAGGATTTTGTTCTAATATTGGCTCAGTAGTTGGGACTCCCAACAATTTAACGCATTTATAGGAACATTGGAAACGACTGGAACAAGATAAATACAAAATGCGCACTTCTCCCAATGGTAGAACCGGGACGCGTTGAAAATAAACATGTAGAGCGGGGAAGCGATCTAGGAGCCTACGAGCTCTCTGCCATAGCATTTATATCTTTAACGGTTTCATGATCAATTCACTGCTTATAAAATGAAGGCCTGAATTCACCCAAAAGACAGCGCAGAATTCTTGTCCGCCATCCCCTTGGAAATGCCCCCAGATGATCTTCAAAAATGTCCAGTGGAATTATCACAAGGTGCAGAGCACTCAAAATCTCAGTAATCAAAATCATCCACATAGAAGAAAAACACGCAAACCAGAACCGGAGCTGCAACTATCTGGAGAGCAGCTTTACTTCCCTCATAAGCCACATTTCCAACCAAGATAATAGGAACTGCAGCAGCCATTACAGTGGCACCAACTGCAAGCTTAAGCCCCTTTACGACCTTTTTTCTCAATCTTCTGCTCCGACGAGCAAGATGTGGTGTTTCAGGATAGGATGAGGTTGTTGGTGGAGGCACTTGAAAAAATCTCTCTGCGGAGGTTGGCCTCGACGGGTGGGAAGAAATATCCAGGGGAGAATCCCTGATGCACTCTGCATAGTCTGGAGGGGCTTCTTTCGGTACACACGCCATCTCGTTGATGATCAAAGGACAGGCCTCAAATTAGAACTGAGGGGTGTCAAATTCTATACAGGTCAAAGTCTGGAAAGAGGCTAAAAGTCTAGCTTAGATAGTCGCGGTGAAAAGAGTAGCTAGTGAAGATCTCCCCAGTGTATTTATAAATGACTCGGGTGGTGAAATACAAGCCGAACCAGGTAGGCCACAGGGGGACCGAACAAACCTTTTATTGGGTCTGTAGCTTGTGAGGGAGAGTAGCGTATGGGCTGTTACTTATCAGCCGGAGAATGGTCTCAGAACCAAGACTTAGAATACTAGGTGCTCCAATCCCGCTCCTGGGATCCAGATGATACATTCTGGGAGCTTGTCCGATCCTGGGATTATTCCCACCGTTCCCACGCGCAGTACTATCGACCGGTTAGGCCCGTATACCAGGCATAGTTGTATGGATAGAATGTAGATCTCAGGAACTATCTGAATAAAAATGCTATAAAGGATATCACCTTGCAACCCAGATGACTATAAATATCAGACTAGGACGTGGTCTCTTGCAAGAAATCTGCCTCTTTCTCGTTTGTCTATCGCATCCGCCCGCAGCCACGCCATGTCTAACATTCAATGGGATCCTCTGACTACCTGCGAGATGAATATTCCCTCTCAAGAGAGCAGGACTTGCTGCGGTCGCACTATCAAGGGTGCTTCTTGCAAGAGCCGTATTACATTATCGGTGGTCCAAAGGGGCCACCAAAAATTGATGAGCCTAGCCAGACGCCCACTGGACTTGGCGACCTTGGAGCTCTGCCTTCGTGATATTGCAAAGTGCTTCTTGTGCACGAGTTGGCACCAGAGCCGGCAAACCGATGATGTTGCTCAAAGATGGTATCAAGCCGCTGTTCGAAACTCGACGCCATTCAGTGGTACCGGCCGTTCGCATTCACCGCCGATAGCGCATTCGTCTTCGAGAACCTCAGTCGTTCAGACATCGGAGCTCGATCCCACCGTCCAGTTATGTACGCCCAATACACCACCCCACATGCCTGCTACAAGCCTGCCATCTCCGAGCATGGGGTCGTTTGTCACAGCTGCAACACTCAGATCAAACAATGTCCCGTGGAATATCTCGCCTGACCATCCCGCTTTCCTATCGTGCGTCACCAATATTCGGGCCGGCGTGCAAGGCATAGAGCTTCATAGTCTAGGCCACAGCGATGGTTTCACCGATATACACTGCGTCTTTTGTCTGACAGAAGCTGAAGGAAATTCACGGGAGACAGTGGTCCTATGCTGCATACAGTGCGGTGCTTTGTCACATCTGGGGTGCATGGAATGGTGGATGAAGAATAGGGACAGAGGTTTCAAAAAGTCCTGTTTTGCTTGGTGAGATAAACTCTGTGCGCTTAGTTGACTATTACTGATTAACAAGAATATAGTGGCAATGAGGGTGCCCTAAAGGCTTTCATTCGTTCGAGCGGAGCCTTAGAGTGCGGGACGGGCGCATGCGCTAGCCATGCCACCTCAGAAACGGATCCTTTGCCTACCCACATAGCAAGAGCCGTAATGCCCGATCCAACCGCTTGACATCAATTTGGTGAAATCCGAGGTCAATTTGCTGGTAGTATAGAAAGATGTGACCGGAAACAGCACAGAACAGCACTATTGAGAGCATGGAACTGTGGGCGTGTGCATCCCGGACTGCTAGTAGAACTGTGTGATGGGCCATAGTGCTACTTTCCCGCAGACAGCAAATTCATTTGATTTGACAAAGACCCTAGTGTAAGAGCTTTAGTGCGGCCTGGCTCCGGCTACTATAGACAAAGCGATAGAAAGTACAAGGACTCAGCTTGGCAGGGAGTACTTCTTTGTAAACTGGCCTGCAGTCCTGATACCCGCTTAATTGGATTAGAAAACCCGACTCTTCGGGGGATTTTTATCACAACTGAGCGGGTATTATCTGTAGGTCTAGTTCTACTTCCACAAGGCACTCGGCTCATGGAACTTGGCTCAGATGAGATCAACCAATACGTAATCTGGATGTGGTACTGTCTAATCCTAGTCGCACGTTTCCTCGGCTAGACTTTCTGGGATGAATCACTGTGGGCCTGCGAGGCTTCTCGTCACCTGAGCACCGTGACAGGATCACGTTGAAACAGTTCTTTGTTACGAGCAGAATCAACTCTTGATTTATGCTTCTCCTATGTGCCTCCGACAACAGATAGCACACATTGACATTTGATAGTTATCTTAGTTTTGTTTCCGTTCCGGAGGAGGCATGGCATCCCAAATTATCTGTCCGCTCTTCACACCGACGATGAACAAACTGCCAGATGTCAGGTAATGTATCTCTTTCTTCTTCGCTCATGTATGATAAATCCTCAGCATATATCGCTGGAATTCCGGTCAGCCATCGTTCAATTATCCTCTGGAACGGTGTTTGATAGGCTTCGGATTGATGCATGGATAAAGAATCTCGATTAGTCGGCTGAGGCTCCGGTGAACGTGGTTTTTCGATTGGCTTGTGTGATGAAGAATGCTTCCGGCGTAAAAGACGATCTTTTTGTCCCCTCAAAGACCCGGAAGAACGCCTAATTTTATCTCGATAATATTCGCGAGAGAGGTCTTTCCAAGATAGGCTTCCGTGCGCCTCTAGCCATCGTAAAAGGTTTTCTTTCTCCCAATCCGACCACCCCTGCACAGGTCGCGGCATTCTTGATTTGCGTCAGATATGGGAGATCTCGCACGGTTGAGCAGGTTGGATGAAATCAAGTTTTACCAACATACAGCGGAGCGAGAATCTGGCTTGAAAGAACCATGACCGGATTGACTCATCTAAGGATCAGGTTTAAATTTGTCTGTCTCCTCGGGAAAAACGTATCATAGCTACCCTGGTTCAAAGAGTCGCCAGTTCATTATGAAAGTGCTTAAGATCGGTTGGTAACCGTAGCCGGAGGTGTTCACTGCACATGGTAGGAGAAAATGCCATAAGCAAAGACAAACTTGTTTTCGTTGGTCAAACACCCTTGAAAGTTGGGGAGTAAACAACGGTCGACTCAACATGGGATGCCCTGTAGGCTAAGCTCACTTGTCTCATGCCAAGCCCTTTGGTCCTACGCACAAGAAGCCATTTGCTCTCTCAATTTCCTTCTCAATCAAATTCATTAGAGGCTGCTTTGCTATGCCCCAAGAGATAGTAGCGCAAAAGGAACACCAACACCCCAATTTGATTTCGAAACTTTTGGTATGTCATCCTCTTTCTACAATTTGCTGTAAATTGTACGACTCAATTATTGTCAATTCCAAGCCACGATGGACACCACTCTCACGAGTCTCTCGTCCAAAGCTGGGGTCATACTGTTGGCAAACATGGAGATTGTGGAGGTTGTGTCTATGTTCTCTATCGGCGCTTACAATGCCCTTGAAATTGCGATCATCACTTTCAATGCATTTGACAGATATCGCGGACTGTACTTCTGGAGTATGCAGGTCGCCTCGTGGGGCATCGTGCTGCACTCCATCTCGGCCATGGTCCGGTTTGTCTCCCAGGCATCTGGTCTTGCAATGTCAATCCCATTCTTGCTGGGTTGGTGCGCCATGGTGACTGGTCAAGCTGTTGTGCTCTACTCACGGCTGCATTTGGTGGTTTTCGACAGATACAAGATGCGCTGGACTCTGTGGATGATCGTCCTCAATGCAGTGATCTTGCATATCCCAATGAGCATCTTGTTTCTTGGCATTGGCTAGGGCAATACTCACTTCGCCCGAGCCGCTGCCATTTACGATCGGATCCAACTGACAGGCTTCTGTATACAAGACCTGATTTTGTGCGGAACCTACATCCGACAGGCAGCACGTATCATGAAGCCGATCATGGCGCTTCGTGATTGCGCGGAGCGGCGCATTATGGTCCACTTGGTCATGGTCAATGATTTTGTGCTCTTCCTCAACCTCCTCCTTGTGATCGCTGAATACAAATTTCATTTCATTCAGATCAGCCTCAAAACGGTAGTGTACAGTATCAAGCTCAAACTAGAGTTTACTGTCCTCAACCGCCTTCGCTCCCTGGTCAACTCCGATCTTTCTACACCCAGTAGTAGATTTCATTTACACTGACCCCTCGCAAAGCGATATGCAGTATACGACAACTATAAATCTTGGTTATGTACATGTAGAATGATCCACTTCCTGACAGAAACTTAGAGCCTCGTCACGGCCTGTCGTGGCCCAATGCCGCTCCCATTGTTCGGCTGCCCTTATGGCGCGCGGCTACGAAACCGCTGTGACGCCTCGGCGAAGTCCAATACGGCTTGGACCGTCTTCGCCCTTGAGACGGTGTCTGGTTTACCTGTTGTGATTCCAGGTTGGTGCAGATCAGGAACAGAGCCGCACCATCGGAATTAATCCCGATGTATCTATACGAAGAATCAAGTTGATTGGAAATCAACTTGTTCTTCTCGTTGTATATATAGCCTCATATTTCCCTCTAAAGAAGAATAAGAATCAATCTTCCTTTGAACTACAACAGGTAGCTTATGGAGGCCCTTCATACCTCACTGTCTTCGCAACCTAGATTTATTATCGAGACCATTCTAGGTCCGTTGATTGAATTCCCAGAGGAGCAGCCGAGACGGAACTGATATTACACATCTTCCACGTTAGCATGGTCTCAAATGATCGAGCAACTAAACTTACCTGCCGTTAACAGATTCCAGTATCAAGCTTAGATGAACTAGGGGCGATAAAACAGGTCAGTTCGACCCCAAGCACATGATAGTTAGGGTCGGGTCAGTCCATACTGGAGGAGAGCAACTGGTGAAATCGAAAAGTGTCCGATATTCCTTGCTCCAGGATGACAAGGGAATGCTTGAGAACGACTGTTCTGCTGGCGAGAGTTCGGGTACTTATAGCATTGCATCCAACCCTTACTCTCGAGTCGATGTAAAAATCTTTGCGAATTGTAAGGGTCTCAACACCGCCGACCGTCATATTGCAGCTGGTTCAACATTTACCCAGTGATCTGACGCAGTATTTGGAGGCATCGCGGCTTTTTTTTGATGATTGAGTCGTCAAAACCCTTCCTCACTGTTGGCACCGTTGCAATAATCCCAGCGGTCCGCAAAAAGCGCCGACGACACGCTTCAGCATTCATCAACATGGGTCTGTACTTCATCGCTACAGAAGGTGCTATGTAAATCAGCGGCCACCTCGTTCAATATTATTTACGAATCATGAACACATATTTCGCCGATCAAACGTTCAATGGTGGAGTTAAAGGCATTTGGAGCGGATGCGGTCATTATCTAACAATAATACTAGTAGGATTTTCTTTCCCGAGTTCGCCGTGAGTCTTTTTATTTACTCATTTTCAGTCCAATTACTAATTCATCAGTCTGCTCCGCCATGTTGCTCACGCGCGGAATATCGCTCGTCAATTTTGCAGTTGCCTCTTCAGCATTGGCATTCCAAGTCTTCGTCTTATACCCATGACACCATCAGTTAGAAGACGAGTTCAAAGCTTTTGAAAAAAGAACACCACCGAGTACTGCGCCAGATAGATCCACGCACACCCTTTTGAGAATAAACGAAGGGCGAATTGAGACCAATGACCTGGCTGGGATGTATATAGACGCCGGCGACAAAGACGATTCGTTCACTTTTTCTTGTTTCCAGCCTTAGTTGTAGATGTAGAATGATTATTTTTATGGGCGTTTCCTTTATAGACAAGTTAGAAGTAGCTCGTCTTTTGAATTGTTTGCTATTAATCATTCCTAAATACATTTGTAATTCATATCAATTAAAAGCGATAACTGTATCCATCTCTAGTACTTAACCAACCGGCAGGTCTCTTCGATAATGACTGTCTGTGGACCAGCCTATAGCTTTCAGGGAGAATTCCAATTGCTAGTAGGCTGTGTAAGAAACTGCGAAGAAGAGGAAACAGCAGAATCCAACTCATGAGACGTGCCCTGTGGTTGGCCACTAGACAACTCAAAAATCTCATGGGCAGGGCCAGTACCCAGCTCGGCCCTCTGGGAAGAGGCTTGGGCATCGAGCTCAGGGATGCCCTGTGGTAGCTCTTTTGGTCGCTGAGAAGGCAATTCCGCCCTTTCTTCGTGAATATCATTTGAAGGGAGCTCCACGGCAGATTCAGCCGGAGACACCACCGGAGACACTGTAGAAAAATACGGCGAGTTCAAGACCCGCATGAGCGAGGCGGTTTCAGGGGGCGGCGAAATGTCTCCACGAAGCAACTCCTTTGCGGTCACTTTCCGTCCATACATTTTCTTATTAGCGTCAGCACGCTCTCCCAACACCCCGCCTTCAAGTGAGACACCGGCGTATATACCCCGAGTCTTGGAGTACGAGAGCATACCCGCCACACCTTTCTTGCTAGCTGTGCCAGCTGCCTCAGCGGTACGCCCAACAGGGCCAGCGGCCATTGATACGTTTCCGCCCACTGTTAAAGAGCCAGATATAGCGAGCGTCCTGACGGCCTCGTCGGTTGTAATTACAAACACAAAGTCGGTTAGCTCAAAGCCTATGAGGCCCCCAACCCCACCCCCTCCAGTCATCAGAGCAGATGGAGTAGACCAGCTGCCATCGGGGAGGCGAGAGATGATTAAACCTGAGCCGAAGCGTCCAGAACCCAGAAAGCCTGCTCGCAAAGAGGTGATGATCACAAGGCCCTACATATATGAATGGTGGGACGTCAGCTTGATAACAGAAGCCCCTGAAGATCTGAGTGGCTGACCTTTGCATTGGCAAGAATCTTGCGGGGAATGCCAACATCAAGCTTAACAAAGCGAGGATTGATGAACGAGTCAAGGATCTGACTAGCCTTCTCACATTCGCCTATGATACTGTCAACACTACTCTCGGCGTTACTTAGTTAAGCCTTAAGCCAAGCAGGGGAACACGCACTAGCCAGTGAGGCTGGGAATGGGTTGTGTATCGAGTTTCCACGACCGAGCTTCTTTTCTTTTGACATTGTGCGATAGATGTCCAATTTCAGTTGCAATTTGCAAAATTTCTTTTGTGTTCAGTCAGCTCGGTACAGAATGGTCGAAAAGAATAATAAACTGATTAATTCGTTCATTTTCTGTTTAAACACTGTGAAAGAAGCAAGGTGTTCATTGAATATTATTGGCCAAGCGGCACGCTCCACCCCAAATCACGCGCATTTCCTAATACCCAGTCACCCCCTCCCCCAATTACTGGTGACGCGCGCTCTCGCACGCTGTACGCCCTGAAACGACCAAGGAAAGGGGAGAATAAATCACGTGGTTTTCATCACCTGCAATGCCAAATACCTGGCCCGTCTCTATCGGAGCGCCACAACCCAGCCTCCCATCAGCCTCGGGCACTCAGGGTTTGTAAACCCTTTCACTTCGTTTCAGGGCAATCCGCTGCAAATATTATTTCACCCTGCCTAGACAGATGTCCTCCTGAACAAGCCAGTGCTCGGTCCACTTCTCTACCATATTCCCCAGGCCTCAAATTCCAGCCCTCTTCCGTATGAAGAACTACGTATGGATCTCTCTTTCTGAAGCTTTCGTCGCAAATTTGCAGTAAGTGGCTGATATAAGCCAAAAAGTAAGGTAGGTTGGCTTGGATTTGATGCCTGGGGAATCTGACATAAAAATGGACATGCCATGGGCCTAGAGGATCTGTCGGAAAAGTGGAGGTCTATTTTTACTAGCGTCCATGCATTTTATTCAACACCACATCATTTTCATTCCTTAGGCATCAACTGCTGAATCAGCACAGTCAATCCCCTTATTTTGCAAATCATCCTGTATTTAGAATAACACATTTCAAGTACTGTTCAATGACCCCATTGGTCTATCTCCGTACTAGTGCGTACAGCTTTCTTCGGAATCGACAGGATCCTTCCTAGACATGGAGGGGCACTGAGGAAGGAGTGTATAGGAATTTCGTGTAATATTGTATATTACACGTAAAGGATTCGTTCTGGAACTAGATCATACAGTGGCGTTAAACAAGTTCTCGTAACGCTAAAAATGCCAAGCCTTAGTAATCTGGCGGTGTAAGGGCGGTAAGGCTGCTACCGCCCTTTCTATAAACAACGCGTCGATTTAACGTGTTATACATTAATATTTTATATCTTTTTACACCTTTTTATCTATTAAATCAATCAAATTTAACGTGATTTAATATGCCTGCTGACCGTGTCCGTGCCCTACCCCCTAGATTGCCGCCAGAACCAATATACGGCACAAATCAGGACAAACCCACCGCGTCGCCGCCGAGGGCCGCAATTAGATGTCTTTACACGGACAAAGATCACCACACTGAGAGGAATAGGCCTTAAATATAAGGATATCCAAGCTCAAATGCCTCATATTCCTCTTAGTACAATATCATCGACATGTCTTCTTGAAAAAAAGCGACAAAATGAAACGTTACCACGATCTGGACGGCCGCGGAATCTGAATGAAGATGATCGTGATCACATTTTTGAGTCAATTCATGGCGATCCACGCGTTAAGTATCAAGATTTATTGGAAGGGGTTGATCACAAAGTCTGTCGACAATCAATTTGGCGACTTCTTCGTGAAGCAGGCCTACGAAATGGTTGTGTAGGAAGCGGCCTGAGTTGACTCCAGAATGGGCTGCAAAACGACATCGTTGGGCTCAAAATTGGGCCCATTTAACCCCAGTTCAATGGAAAAGACGACTCTATTGGTCTGATGAATCAATGGTTGAACGAGGGAAAGGAGCTCGTCGTGAATATACATTCACAAGACCACAAGATCAAATAAAAAATCAGGATGTTCAAACATATTCGTATAACGGTATAAAACAAATGTTTTTTGCTGCTTTTTTAGGCAGTGGACGTGGAACTGGATTAATTCCATTATATCCTCAAGTTAATGAAGATGGTACTCCAATTGGGGGAATTAATCGTTGGGTTATTTTAGAGCTGTAGCCGTGCCACGTACACTAATCCGGCTACCCCGAATTAGTGTCCCCCACCGTAAAGGAAAATATCACCGTAAGGGAAAAAAATCACCAAATCTTCAATTTTTAACTACATAACAAAAGTATCGTGATAACCAATTACATCACCATTCGCACCAAGAATTTCTGTAGATACCATACTATTTTGACCTCTAACAGGACCTTGGGAAGGTGTCTTTGCATCGCGTTTTTTAATCTCTCTTGCCACTCGTCTTTCCTCTGCTGCATCTTCTTTCTCACGCCGCTCAGCAATAGATCGATTTGCATCTTTCACACGTAGAATACCATCATTTTTGAGGTTTAATAATTGTCTTTTGGTAGTTTTTTTAGCCCGCGGGGCTTGAATTTGGGCCATTTTTGCGATTGTAGTTGATGCATTCTGGATAGCCTCAACATGAAAATTCATCTCGGTAAGGACTTGCTCAAACCTCCGTTTTAATTTGGGGGTAACACCATCCAATTCCATCAGCGGAGCCAGTTTTTGTCGGCGTTTTTGAACGTCTTCGATTGTCTTTGAAGGTGTATTTTCAAGACTTGAAGATAATAGATTTTCTGGGGGTGGTGATGGTGTATTCCGAAGGTCAATTGATATGTCAGGAATCGGAGGAAGTGCATCTTCTAGTGGCTTGCAAACAATCTCAGCGTTAACTGGATAAATGCCTCTTTCCCGGAAGGAATTGCGGCAAACTCGCTGTGTTAAAGCTTTATCTCTAAAGCCCATAAGGTCTTCAAGAAATGAATTTTTGTTGGCTGTAATGCCACCACCCCACTGTGAAATAAGGTTATTTTGTTGACGAAAATAGGCCTTATAAGCCAAAAAAGGCTTGCCATCTAGAGGTTGAATATAATTGGTCTTATTTGCTGGAAAGCAAAAAATCTTTATCCTCTTCTGTTCAGCATACATTAAGAATTCCACAGTCAAATGGGAGCCACAGCCATCAAGAAGAAGAATTCTATACTCTCCACGTCTTACACGATGCTGTGTTTCTTGGTCAAATCTTTTAAGCCAAGACACCGCGAGTTCATCAATCATATAGCCTTTTTCAGTAGTAGCTGTCATCCAATTCTGGGGTAAATTGGTGTTATACCACGACTCCATTTGATGACGTCCTTTGAAGATAATAAGTGGTTCCATTCGCCAGCCATCAGCTGCAATACACTCAGCGACTGTCACTCGCTCTCCATGTTCTTCACCGGCGAGGCGAGGAATTTTTGATTGATAACGTGTAAAGACTTTCTGGGTTTGTCCTTGGCCAAGCTGGAAGCCAGTCTCATCAAAATTGTAGACGAGTCTCTCGGGCACACCGTTCATAATATTGGCTAATAAATCATACCAATGCCGTAGGATAGCGACATCTTTATCACTTATTCTCTTTGAATCGGTGACTTTCTGACGTCTCAGCCCAAAACTATCCTCAGAATCATTATCATCTTTGGAGAACCTTTTCATAAATCGATAGACCCAGTTTTTACCAACTGTTCGATCTGGTGTTGCCGACCGAGCAAGACTCATATTTGCCCACTGTTCTATAATATTTGGTGTCGGTGGAATAAATGCATCGTCTAATGACTTGATCCAATACATCAAAGCAGCTTCCTGCGTATCATTTAAAGCCTTATTCGTAGGTTTTCGTTGGTTTCTAGGCGTTGAATTTTTACGGACGCGAGTCCACAAAACTTTAGGCGAAATCCCATATTCCTCAGCAATGCGCGATAAATTTGGCTTTTCAAGGGTAGAGATATATCCAATAGCCTCTTCCATACAATATTCCTTATTTTCATAGAAATCGGCCATAGTTAAGGATGTGAAATTGATGGAATGGTGTGGGTGAAGAGATTTTTTCCCTTACGGTGATATTTTCCTTTACGGTGGGGGACACTAATTCGGGGTAGCCGGATTAGTGTACGTGGCACGGCTACCAACAAGTTCTTCCAACCTTAATTGGAGATAATCCTGAGGCTATTTTTATGCAGGATAACGCCCCTGTTCATACAGCAAATGTTGTGAAAGATTGGCTAAGGGAGCAGCCTTTCGAAGTAATGGAATGGCCACCTCATTCGCCGGATTTGAATCCTATCGAGAATCTTTGGGCGTTATTGAAGACAAAGATATACGATATTCATCCAGAGCTGCATACAATGCCAGATAACGACGAAACCCTTAAACATTTGGTTAGCTATGCTCAGGAGGCATGGTCAGAGATTGATCTATCAGTCTTAGAAAACTTAGCTGAGACAATGTCTAATAGGGTGCAGGAGATCATTGAGAATGATGGATGGTATACTAGCTATTAGACCCTAAAGAAAATAGAAGTTTTTTCGGCAGAAAATACGGCAGAATATTACATAAAGTGGGGCGCCAAGAATTCTCTTACGAGAACTTGTTTAACGCCACTGTACGTACATGCTGATTGAAGGACGCGTCTCCCCACTACAATAGATACAATGCATACGTAAGTTAGCGTGGGGCTGGAGGCCTTAGCTACTTTCCCCACTCTAATACATTATAGTATCATCAATTTCAAATTCCCTAGGCAAAGAAATGAAAAATTAGATATAATAAAATAAGATTTTGTTCTTCTGATACGGTATAAGCTTTGGACCTATGGAGTGGGTAGATGGGCTGTCAGCTTCTATGGGTTTCAATGGATAGGATGCAACATCTCCTTAGTACGCACCCCCTGTGCGGTACGCGTGGATTTGGCCCCTGCGTTGAATCATAAGCTATTTATTTTTGTTTCTAGTTAGAGCAAATAACAAGCACACAGCGACTGTAAACAGGATCTGGGCCAGTTATTTTTATCAAGTATATGATGCTCGCACCTATTTATTCCATTCAATCCTCCTCGATCCCTAAATACAGCTAATTCGTTGTTTTGGCAATTTCCACATATTCTTATGCAATTCAGTTATGTCGTGGACTCAAGAAGATAGTTACTGGAGCCGACCTTTCGACTGGCATGATGAATTGCTTCAATTTGTCCGTATCCAGGGTGAAGAAATCAACCGTGAACAGTGGATGTTTATGGTAACGACCAAGATTGGCTTCACACCCCAAAGCGATAATATTGTGAATCGGCTCCGCATCGCATGGAAGGCGCTAAGATTCCGTCACCCTGATATTGCTCTGGAGGTCCATGGGAGTGAGAAGCGGTACTATCCGGTTTACAATGACCAGTCGCTAGAGACATGGTGCAACGAAACGTTTCGCGTCGAGACTGAATGCTCCTCTGCGGAGGATTTCTTTACTCAGCACCGTTGTGCGGCCCCCCTTGCCAATGCGACCTTTCACTGGGTCCCCACTACAAGCGAATTTGCTCTGGTTTCAGCTCATGTACTATGGGATGGCCGAGGTGGTATCTCCATGGTGCATGAATTTCTATCTACTCTCGAGAACCCTGTACTACCCCCGGTCTTTGATGGAGCTGAGGCTAAGAACCTTGTTCCTTCACTAGATGCAGTTATTGGTATGCCAGATAAGCCTAAACCTGAATGGGAGGAAAAGGCCGACGAGATTCTCCGGCAGTATGTTGCTGCTCAGCCATCAATCGGGTTATTACCACCTGGAGATCCTAAGGCTAAAGCGCTACCTGCTGAAATGAAGCGGACTAAGATAGTCCTCTCCCCCGAAATAGCAAAATCCCTACGCGAGGCCACCTGGAAACAGAATATTACAATATCAACTGCAGTTCAAACCGCGGCAATTATGGCCCTGGTTGATGTGAATAATCGTGATTCTCAACCGGAAAATTTCGTCGCCTGGTCCTTTTTTGATTTGCGCAAGTCTCTCCCTCCTCCATTTAATGGTCCAGAGCATGCGCCATCAGTACGACTAGGGTGCATCCCTATGGTTTCGAAGGCTCACAGTTCCTGGTCTGAAATTTCGAAGACTGTAGATCAATTGAACAGAACTCCTTGGAATATGAAAGAAAGTGATAATATGTTTGTCCGCCAGTCCTTAAACAGGAAGAGTTTAAACATGTTCAAAGCCGTCGCATCCCAGCCACCAGAATTGCAGCCACCGCCCCAGAGCGAGCCATTCATTAGTAGCATGGGTATTTTGGAGGACTACATTAAACATGACTATGGCCCTTTCTCGGTTGCGAATGTCGAAATTTTAATTCAATCGATTACGCCAGTTATCTGTCTCCATTTTTGGTCTTGGAGGGGTAGTCTGCACCTTAGCGTCAGTTATAACGTTGCGTTCTACACGTCGGATGATGTGCAAAGATACCTGACTATTCTGAAGGATACTATGCAGAGAAATTTGCTATCATTTCTTTCCGTTCCTGATGAATGATGAGATTCCTGGGGCTTATATTGATTTGGCTTTTTCCGCACATGTGCTTCTGTTGACAACTGTTATTGAAATAAGTCAGAGGAAATGCCTCGTGTCTGTATCAAATATATTTTACAGACGCTTGAATTGGAAATTACAAAAGAAAAGCTAGTTATCAGAAAAGATTTCGTAAGCCTTTGAAAAGATTCCCCAGGCTTGAAACTTGGTCTAGCTAAATTGTCTCATGCTGGGAGGGTTTGGAAATATTGCGCGGTTTTTAAACTACCTTTAATTCCAGAACTTCCCATCGAGCAGATCTCGAGGCCAAATGCACATGCGTCTGCCTAATGCATGCTCGTCCTTGTTTCTATATACTATTAATGGCGACTGACTTGCTGTATGGTTTCGTTTTACCACACGAACGGATTCATAAAAGATATAATTATCAATATTTTGGTGAACTTTTGAGTTTTGCCTCATCTTATCAGAATGATATACTGTAATCATCTCTGAAGTATAGATTATTACTCAAATCTGTTGCCGGTATTCGGCATAACTGATGCCTGAGCATTAGGCTTTGTGATGCATCACATCCGGCATCATAACGGCGACGCACACCGAAGCCGGTCGAGCTCATAAGTGGCAATTCTTGCCGACGAGCTTCTGCATGGACGAAGATGGAACATCTCCGATTGTTTGCCATGTAGTTATTTGTCATTATACGGCATATTTTGTATGTAGACCTACCGGGAAATACGTGTCCATAAATACGTGTTATCCCCGGCAAGCTTTCGGCAGAAACACAGCTCATATTGACTACCAAAAGGATCACTATTCTCCCTTCTCCATTTACCCGTAACAAAATCGTGGTTGAGATTAGAGCCGCAATCACAGATATAACATGATTACACGAACTGCCCATAAGAGATACGCTAATTGCATCTTGCCCCTCTCAGTTCTCTGGCTTAGAAGACCAATGCCTGTCCTTTGCTGTCCTAAGAATCATTTACACATATTCATAACGTGGCTGAAGCTGGAGATTGCAATCATCTATTGACACCTTGCACGTATGGTACAAGACCTACCATCCAGAAAAGGAAAATCTGGAGGCACAAGCCGACCTCCACATGAGACAGGTCGAATTCCCCGGCCTAGCCGCCGGACTCGGAATGGGCCGGAGGTGGTCCTCACAAGCAGGTTGAAAATAAATTTCAGTCAAAGACCCGGGGGTGGAGAGGTGTTAGGAAATGCACGGACCTGCACATTGGGCGGAGAAGGGCTTGTTGGGTAGCCAATCATTTATTATTGCAATATAGAGTAATTTCATTTTGAGCGGCTCCATTCAATTGCACCCTTTCCCGTTAATCATCGCTCGAATCCATTAATAAAAAAATGTCGATTCCGAGGAAAGCAGTACGCACTAGTACGGAGATGGACCAATGAATTCCTTGAACCGTACTTGAGATGTGTTCTTCTAAATACAAGATGATGTGTAAAATAAGGGGGTTAAATGTGCTGATTCAGCAGTTGATGCCTAAGGAATGAAAATGATGTGGTGTTGAATCGACGCTAGTAAAATAGACCTCCACTTTTTCCGACAGGATCTAAGCACGCGCTGAATCATCAATCTGTAATAGGAAAGGTGGTAATCTTCTCCTGCGGAGTTCGACAAGAATCTCTGTGTGCAAGTGGTGAATCTGTTTTCGATCCATAGTGTATCTCCTTGCTGGTTGAAGAAAGTAAGCCGGCCGGTCTTTTCTATGAGGATCCACACCCCTGGCAGGCCGTCTACTGTATTGCATGCCTCAACGAACACCATTGGTAAGTCATGGCTGGTATCATTTGCGCCTCCGCCCAACTCTAGAGACTCGTTAGCTGGCCATTCATAAGCTGAAAACAGTAGAATCCTTACTCGAGCAGTCTTTTGCATTTGGAAGAGCAAATGGATTCAAATGACCTGTGCAGCCATGATTGCCATTTGACCATATCAAGCACTGGTTGCCAACATCAACGACGCCTAGAGTACTAGCAGCAGGAGACGGCCCGTAGAGAATGGCAGGGAGTGCGAAGAGGAATCGACGCACTTTGTCAGTATATGTTATGTGAAGGAATGGAGGAAGAAGACGGTCGTGTCAGCTTCCCTTATCTGGTGAAGAAAGTCCGAATAGCACAACTCGACATGGGACAATTTGCTGCAATTGATACCTTGATCAAGCGACTGTCTTGGTCATTCGAGCCAGCAAGATCCTAGCGGCTTCAGTAAAGTGATTAAAAAATTCAATATGTGAGGCGCATGGTGGGTGTCCCCATTTTGTGTCGGTCACATCTGTAGGGTATGTAAGACATACGTCAACCTAGTCTTACTTTATCCGCATCATTTATGAAAACTCAGTACGGGCTCTTCTTGCATACATTGTCTCGATTCAAAATAGCCGACATCAGATAACGTACGATTACCTCGTTTGCCTTCAAATCTCACCTCAGGGCAGTTGTGGCAGCCTGTGTGCATCCATCGTCATTTAATTAACCCAGGCCAAAACAAATAGTTCTTAAGACAGAGCCGTCCCCTGAAAGCCATTCTTTCTCGGAGTCTGCATATGGGCCGACTGTCTTGTCCGTGAGTTTTTGAGGACCCGGCGACGCCCATCTTTTGGAAACTTTTCAACATTGGCGAGACCTGAAGCTCCCGGCCGTACGCCGATCAAAAATGAACGACAACCTGCAGAGTGTGAACACCGCACACTCCTTATGAAAGAGAGAAGAAAAATTCCACTCAAGCGTCGAATCAACCGATGGCTCCGAAATATTTCCACGGGACAATCAGACCGCAGTGACTTGACTGGTAAGATATCACCTAGTGTCCTTCTACTACTTACCAAGCTGATCAATTGATAGGTCTCAAGACAGTGCCGTCAGGCTCTGCCCAGCTTGATTATGCAAGAAACTTGTCGTGGATCTGGGACTATGCTCATCGCCTCGCTGCAGCATGGAAATTGGCTCTTTGAGATTTTTTTAGCAAATGAAAGAATACATTGGGATATATAGTGTTCAATGAAGCAGGATGTTTCGCAAGATAGATTTTCTTTTTCCCAGAAACATAAGAGGCTCTCCCCCCTAACACCCCCCGAGAGACTCGCAAGCTCCACGTTGAATCGTCTAATTTGACTTCTTTACTTCAGAAGATAAGTATACCCGGATTAGAAGCCCTCTTCCCAATTCTGCCCCCTCGAGTGTCCTCATCGGTTGGTTGTACATATTTGAAGATTTGAATTGACAATTCTTCAAAAACCCAAAGCGTTGATGATATACCCGCTATATACAAGATCAGTGTCATTGAAAACAATTACAGCCCCCTCATTGAAAGCCGGTAGGTCGTCGAGTTGAGGTCACACAGCCAGACGAGATGGCGTGAACCTGGACCTGGAGCCTCGACTTGAGACGTGATGGACTTTGCAGCTTGAGCGTAATTTTGGCTGCAACAAGCCAAGATTCTCCTTTCATCTGCTCGCGAAAGGAGAGGGGATACTTTTCCAATAGAAAAGAGGAGCCGTGGGCTTCTGGAGCCAAGTGAACAGGGCCGATGGATACAAGTAGCCAGAAGTACCCACAGGAATACTTAAAGCAGTCCTCGCTAGTGCCCCATGAAGTAATGAGTGTGTTGAACAGAGCGCCAAAATCCGTCCCCGGAAGTCCGATATAAAGATATTCTTCTGAGCCACTGACATTTAGTTGGAGACCTTCAATGATCAGCTCCCCCTCATCCAAACGTGGGTCGAGTACCACGGAATCTGACATCCAGAATTCGGTTGACCAAGAAATGGGTGGAAGCAGAGGCTGAGGGAGAATCGGGTCTTTGAAACGGACGAGGAGCTTGCTCAGGCTTTTGCCTGATTCTCTCTTAGTGCGGCCCTGTAGAATGATTTCAGCACCAGATCCATTCTCGTCTTGAGAAACGCCGATCGCACATTTAGACCAGTCAAGATTTCTAAGATGTGCAGGCTCGTGAACAATCACGCCCAGTGGTCCAACAGAGACGAAGATGTTATCCGTGTCAGGAACATTCCATGCTTGGCCGTGCGGGAGCAGCGACGAGTTGAGCAGCATGTTCATTCGCGCATCGCAGAGTTTCCGTTGATCCCATTTCCACACTAGCTCCTGCGTTCCCCAATATACGAATGGCGAGGTGCTGATGGTTGCGGTAGGGGCGTTACCTTCGGCTCGAATGAAGCGACCACTGATTCTCTTGGCAAGTCCATCAGTGATCGAGGAGAAGGATTCCGAGCCTTTCTTCCTAGAGGCGGGGAGAGGAAAGCTCTCTCGACTGGGAGACATGAAGGGTGTCATGGAGTGGCAAGGGGGGGGCGGGGTGGGGTTGATAAAGATGATCCTCGAAGATTCTGAGAGTCGCCATCCGGCCGGTTTTAAGCTGCGCCGGTCAAATTCCAGCAGTCTAAATGTGTGTTTGAATACACTAAGAGCTCGTCAGTTCTTGCTCTGTCGCCAAAAGACCCAACCGTGGCGTGTAGGCGTTGCGGTAAACCTTATGCTCGGTGAGTGATCGGTCTTGGTGAGCAAACATGAGTGATTGTTCTAAGAACAAGCCTGAGTCAATACCTGCCTCATATAATTTACTCTACCTTGACTGGAAATCCTCCAACGTAGATCCCACTTCGAGTTCAGCGCGAATTAAATATCTGAGGCAATCATCGGTATGTACATTTAATTCTCGTTTCCGGGGCTAGCTTAGGGCTATGGCTCGAAACATCAGTCATCAGAATATTAATATGAAACAAGGCTACCACAGCAAGTAGTGTAAAATTGGGAAGCAGATTCACTGCAGAATCATTCGAGTCTTTTTTTTCCCAGTCGGTTTTGCGAATAATCGTTGACAGTCTATGGCTGAGCAGCTACTTGTGTCTTTTGAGACCTTCGGACATAGCCACAACAGGCAGGAAGAGATCGCTCTCTGACCCGGGCGCTTTCATGCTTCTCAGTCTGAATACTATACTGACATACTGAGATGATTCCCGGGGCATCTCATTCTAATTTCCTGTACCTTGAATACGCAAGGATCATGTGAGTATGAGACGCGTTTATTCTCGCTGCACGGAGCTCACAGGCCCTGATGATGATCCTCAGAGTTTTCTTCACACCTGTGTGGCCTAGCAAGGAAACCGATTGATCTAGCGAGTTTTCTGCCAATGGAGGTGATCATTTCAAGAAGTACATCTAGGCTGGTCGAGCCGTGAGTGATGAAACATCTATTTGAAGATGTAAGCGCAATCCACCTTCTCTGGTCTTGACTATTCCCCGCGTCGACTTTTACCACGGGATAAGCCATTGGAAATGGCGGCTTGTATCTAGTGTGGGAAATACTGAGCTTGGGATAGAATTCTGTGCTTTACTGAGCCGTCTTTCATCTCAGGGAGAGTGTTTCGGTACGGGTAGTTGTTGTAGTTTAGAGGAAGGTTGATCATTGTTCTGATTGTTCAGAAGGAAATATGTGGCTATATATACAGCGAGAAGAAAAAGTCGATTTCAAATCAACTTGTTTCTTCGTATAGACACTTCGGTATTAATTCCAGCGTTGCGGCTTGGTTCCTGATCTGCACCAGCTTCAAATCACAACAGTGATCAAAGAGGCTTCATTATGGATTTGCAGATATTGCATTTAGACAATGGCCTCATTTATTAAACAAGATACTTCGTAAACAATCTAAATACTCGCATAGAGCCTAAAGTGCTGTTCGAGATTATTTTTGACGTGTTATTTACCAGCCCAAGAGTTGGGTATGGAAGATCTCTGACAAAGAGGGGAGCCTTTGGTATACCAAAATCAAGGGGCAGACTGCATTCATGTCATCCGGAGCAACTGCGGTGAATTAAGAAATCGGAGTTTGTGAGACTGAAATTCCATTTTGACGCGGCTCAAATTCGTACAATAAATCACATATCGCTTGCTATTGAGACCAGCAGACCTCAACTGAGAAATGAGTCATTCGTTCCGCAGCAATAGCAGCAGTATATTCATATGCAAGTTGCAAATGAGCCTCATTCATACAGCCCTTTGCAGATTCCAAATGCAGCTCACCCAGGAATTCAAAGTGTAGCTTTACGCATCACTGAGCTTCGAGCGGCCAGCCATGAGGTGTCAGCGCACCGCGAAAATCAGGATTGTAAAGGGCGCTATGTTCGTCTAGAGTGACTACATAGCGGTTTCGACCTCCACGTTTCCCATGGGTCAGATAATGAGAGTTGAGGTTATCACGACGGACAAACCTGCGATGACACCCGGGAACCCAGCAGGCATGGACTCTGATACCTGAGTGACAGTGCAAGTGGCGTGAAAGGTTCTTCTGGCGCTTGAAGATTTTATTACATCCCGAGTGAACGCATATGAATCCTGGCGCTGCGATATTTGGCGGCAAGGACGGCAGCCCAACTTCGTATTGAGCACAATTCATGGATGACTCGACCTTGCTCGGCTTGAAGCATTCTCTTTCATCTGAATTGAGATCGATTGAAAGATCGGGCCAAGGAGAGTCGCAAAGACGGTAGGGATCGAGTGAGCCTGACCCGTGGCCGTACGACCTCGATCGTGCAGCGAAGGTGTTGGCAAATTCCCCTGGACAGATTGGATTTTGGTAACAGTCTGCTGTTGCTGTAGCGATGCACTGATGATTCACAGTACTGAGTAGAACTGCGACTTGGGGATAAAGAGAGTAACTGATGTGATTTTGCGATTCTGGAATGATGATTGCTGATTGCGGGATAATGTATAAACCCGTGTCACATAAGGGCGGTCTATGAGCTGTCCAGTCGGCAGGTGCGTAGCTGCAGCTCCTGTTCAGTTGGTCAAAATACATTGTGCCGTTGCTTAGCAGAGGGCCCAGCTAGTAATATGACGACCTGAGCAAAGAAAAGGATATTTCGACTCGTTCAGAGATCATTCGTGTTGGGTGAACGACTGGTGTGGGATGATATTGTCTCAGGGACCTTTACAAGGTGGAGAAGGAGTTGTTATATGAACGCTCGCCCAAATTTCTCTAATTTTAGATTCTTCGTGATCTTCCAATTGGAACCGGCTTAATTTGGGTTGAAAGAACGAAACTAACGGGGGTGGTGAATGAACGTTGACATAACTGTCGAGTCGAGCGAAACAATTAAACTTGGAACTCCTCCCTGCTTTCTTACTTCTTCAATCTCATATTTTTGAAAGGAACTTCAAAGCAAAGTAACTTACTTTCCAAAAAGTATAGGTATGCCTCAGCACGTAAAACTGTCATCCCAGCCAGCTCTAGACATGAAAGCCTTCAAAATGGGAAAAGGTTTGGGACCACCAACCCAATATTCGCATAGAGGTAGAGTGGTTATGAATCTCGAGAAAATAGTTACTTTCACTGCTTGCTCCATGCCGCACCATCAGGCAGTAGATATTACCACCCCTGAATATCAGGAATGAAGAAGCCTCCTATCTGCCATCACGTTTTTAAGCATCTGAAATCGGTAGACACAAAAGAGCAGTGAAAATGCCAGTGTAGTAAAGCCAGTGATAACAGCCGTTGCCAAAGCCATAACGGACCAATGGCCCGCGCGTGAAGTGTAAATATTGACCAGGGTGGTAAGAAGCCCGGCTGCGGCGTTCAGAGACACTGGCCTATTGCCTATCAGTAAAGAACCCTCATCTTTCTTGGCATGACTCACATGAAAATCTTGTTGATCAACCAGGTGTAGACATATCGCAGTTGACGAAAGTGGAATAGCCAGAGAAGAGCGAAAGCCCCAACCATCAAGAATAAACATGCTATGCCGAGTAATGGCGGGTTGTGGATGGTATGTAGTATATGACGTCCAGCGCCGTTGTGGTTGAGAGCACTTTCGACTTGATTGGACGTCTGGAGGGAGGTAAAAGTGCCAGGAACCACCAAGTATCCGGCAAGCAGGACCCAATTGGCTGTACTTGCAATAATGTTGTATGTGAATTGGACCTCGGCCTCTTCTCGCAGCATTCGGGCATAACGAGACTCGGAGCGGGGTCGGGGTACATCTTGACTCAAGATATTCTTATCGGAGTTGTACCAGCATCTCACTGCCTTCCAAGGAGTATGTGGCAGGCGAATGAATGTGTATATCGACATTGTGGATTCTGATTAGGGGAAAGCGATAGCACCATGAAGTCTTTCACGAAGGAGTTGGGAATATGGGGCACTGGACGTGATCTAATTTATAGGGCCCTATGAGACTGTAGTTCATTAAGCCTCACAAATGCCCTGTGACTCCTCCCTTTATTACCATTCCTGGGCGAGCCGACGTGATTTTGAACTTCATACTTCAAGATATTGCGGTCAAGCAGTTCTCTCTACTAAAGGATTACAAAAGTTGATGGGTGCGGTTATATTGCGTTTAGGTGGCTGTCATGAGCCCTTCGTTATATGCAAGCAGCTGATATTGGGAGGACTCAAGCAATAGAGACGGACAATAAATTCCTTATGAGAATCTTTTTTTTTTTTTTGATGTTGTAGGCTCAATATTTGCGATTGCAATCGCAACCTTTTCATCAACATTGGTGGAGTGACAAAACTAAGCTACGAAGACTCTGCACGGGGAAACCCCATATATTATGCATTTCTGGTCCCAAAGAGTCACATCACAACCACCTCATGCATCGGATGACAATGCTTACCGACTGGCTATCTCAGCGAGAAGTCCAAGAGAAATTCGCGCTAGCAGCAGCTCTCGTCTTTACAGCATGGCTGCTTTACTGCTTAACGCACCAGATAGGGCGTTATTTCTCACGCGCATGCCAACTTGTGTCATGGTGGGCGTTCCAATACCCGGTGCCCCGACATATGTCCTGTGTAGGTCTGTCTTCCTACGCGCAGGCCATAATAGTTGCGTTCTTATGGGGCCTCAACATCGTAGCCTTGGTCCTCCGAGCTTCGACGTGGAGAGACGTCCAGATGCGTGCCGGCTGCCTTTCCGTCATACACCTGCTGCCACTCTGCGTCGGGTTCTCTTTCAGCCTCCCCGCCCAGGTTTGTCACCTTGAGCGACAGGCCTTTCGGTGGCTGCACAGATGGCTCGGACGTGTTTGTGTCTGTCACTGTCTGGTCCATACGACACTGATGGTCAACGCTATCAAGAACGCAGCGCGCATTTCGACCGTACTCGTGCTTCCAATTGTGGTAGGTTTCCTCAGCACGAACACATCCTCAAGTCGATCACAATCGCTAACACTGTTGATTTGAATGATCCCAGGCGGCATGCAGTCTAACTATGATCCTCCCACTGTCGCTTCATGTCTTCCTCCAGCGACGACCGCGATTCGTCTTGCAGACCCATTATGCTCTTGCCCTGATCGCTGTTTCTTTTCTGGAAGTGCATCTGTTTCAGGTCAATTCCGTGTATCGTTGGGTCTTGCTTGGCGGCATCTGCTCCTGGATGGCCTGCAGCGCAGGAGCTTTGGTGCATGCTATGTGGTCGCACCGATCGTGGTATCTAGGGCCTGACCTGGTAGAAGTCAGCCTATTTAACAGTCTTCTCTGGCTGAAGATCACGGTCTCAGCTCAAATGCGGACAAAACCTGGTCAGTATATTCAACTGTGGATGCCACGCTTGGGGGTTGCCGTTTGCCTGGAGTTTCCAATTTTTTTCATCACGTCGACGGAGCGCGAGCACACGAACACAGATGGACCATCCACCTCGCAAAAAGGAAAACGTAAAGTTCTCCGAGTGGTGACCAGACCTTCCTCCAGCCTGACAAAAAAACTAACGCAGCGTATTTTACACGCTGGCGTGCCGAGTCTGAACCTGCCAGCCTTTGTGTTTGGCCCTTACGGAGGCGCACATTCGTTAGGCCAGAATGGAACGGTGGTATTTGCACTGGAGGATATCGGACTCTTGCGGGCTTTGCCATTCATTCGTGATTTGGTGGAGGGAAGCCGCGAACGCACCAACAAGGTTCGACGTTTGGAAGTTCTTTGGCAGACTGAGTATTCAAAGTTTAGTAAGTTAAGGACGCTCCAGATGCCGTGTCTAACTGACCGAATCTCTCAGAACATCAAAGCTGGGTCCACCGCGAAATCCAGCATATACTGAAGCTTGATTTGATGGGAGACCGAATGGGATCAGGGACAGGGGAAACTCCACAGGAGCATCACGGATTCGATGTATGTTTTGCCTTTGTAACCGGATCATCCTTGCAACCTTCACACTGACATTAGACGGACTCAGATCTTAAACTTTTCGATTCATCTTCTGCACGCCCCTTCAGCGACGCGCAAATTGCTGAAGAATAGAACGCGTCTGCACTACTACTTCGCACCCGTTGACGTTGAAAAGGTCATGGTGCATCATATCCGCACACAATCGGGTAAAATTGCCGTCGCAGGTAAACAGTTCCCAGCCCCTATTCCGAAGTCGTGCTGATGAAAAGTACAGTGTGCACTGGCGAGAAGCTACGCGAGCGTGTGGCCCGTATTACACAACGAGAAAAGTGCCCGAGGTTGTCGATCGTCAACCTTGACATGGAAGTGGAGCCATGTGTCATGCGCACGACTGGTGGTGGGGAGGATCCTTTGGGCGTTGAGTACATGCAAGATGACGACTCTGCAGCGCCTCAGAGGCAGGGGCCGGGTAACTCTGTCCGTAACACCGCAGTAGGATCTTACAAGCGCAATGGTGGAATTTTTGAGGACTCGACCAGAGGAATCCCGCTGGTTTTGCTGGAAGACAATAATCACGCGCGGTGGGTTAGGTCCAAGATTCTCGATGGGTATAAGCGGTGATCTTGTCCGGGGCGCACGGCCCTCCTAGGAAGGATCTATTGTGTTCATGTTTTCAACCAGTGGTGCTGTGCTGTGCCTCTCTACTATGCCGGGCTTTCCAATGGAAATTTGCTCGTTGTGACCTCAGGTGTCAACTAGCCTATCAATTCCCGCATCAAAGTTAAACCACCGTTCTCGGTTATCACATGTTCCCGTAGATAGCTTGGGCTGAGATGAAAATAGCTAGTTACCTGGTAGGCAGTCGGCACAAGACCATGATCCATAATGTTCACTGTTGAACTTGGTCGCTACGAAATGCAAGGGTTCTTCCCTCCTGCTTCCATTGATCCGATTGCTTTGAAGCGCCCTAGACCATCTAGACTCAAATCTCGCTCGACGAGGAACTAAAGAACTAATAACATTGCCTTAATTTATTCTCTGAAATGTGCCGTATCAACGTCTTATAACAGAACTGGCTTACTCATGTCTCCTTTCACAATGACTCGTTCTGCATTCAATCTGCCCATTTATCCAGGTCAGGCTCCCAAGGAGGCTCATTTCTCCATCCCGCCTGCCTCGGGCCTCGAAAAGGTGGAATACCAACATCCCAGCTTTTCACGGTAACTGAAGCTTAATCCTCGCCTCGATCAGAATACTTGACCCGGTGGTGCGCAGTCTTGTTCGTGATGTTGGTCATCATTACCAACTCATCGATTGGAGGGCCCGGGTTAAAAGGCGTGCTCTGTTGGTTGTCAGCTGCAGAAAAGGAGGAAGGCGGATAACCATACCTGCAATATTTCATTCACAGAGCGTGTCTCGAGCTGCAAGGGAAGATTCTTGATCATGGGCAACCATTCGTACGTTGTCGGATTCTTTTTCATCAGACCGCTGATCACGTGGGCCAATGCGGAAAGCTTCATAGTCGCAGCATCCATCGCTTCTGGGTCGATCTGGATGCTGTTTTCGACACCGGCTAGACAGACGTTAGCTCTACTTTCCATGAACTGTGTTCCACCTCGTACCAATTTTTACTTGACCAGTGGCGGTAAGCAATATTGTCTTAGCATTCAGCACATTGAGGACCCTCCCATGGTCCGCAAGATGTCGAATGCCTTCAAGCACCTGCTGCAGTTAGAGATACATTCCTGAAAGCTGCGCAGCACTTACCGGTTTCGCAATGGCAATCACCTCCGTCGCTTTGATGATGCCTTGAGCCGCCATGATCTGCTCGACGGATACTTCAACTGGCTCCCACATGAGAAACGCCATACCGCCGTGGCGATAGCCTCCGAGCAATTGTCGGAAGCTGCGGTGGGGAGTCTGGTCGTTGAAATCTTTTAAGATGTTTCGAGCCAAAGTAGCGCACTCTGACTTTTGAATATGCACCAATTCTCCCTTTGCTTGCTTCCGCCGCGCAATACATAGAGGGCGATCGTACATGATCTCCGCAGTTGAGTCAAAGTGGTCCTCCGGATCCTGGTCACATATCTTGACCTTGGGACCGGGACCTGGAACCTCTGGTTGCCTGGCTGCGTTCGAGACGAGAGTTGTCGTTGAGCGAGGATCGAGGCTTTGATCGGATGCATCGACCCATATTGTCTGGCGTGCGCGGGATGACATTTTTTCTCTGGTGAGTGTTGGAGACTCGCTCGGCTAGAAGAGGTCTTATAGACCTAGAGATCTAAGGTGTGTGTGGATTCCATGTAGGGACTCCTCGCTTTTGTCAATCCTGCAATATTTTGTGGTTGATTGATTCGTTTGCTCGGGTTTTTTCAGGCGACTCAAAAAACCATGTAATCGGTGACAGTACCATCGTAACCATCGTAACGACCATTTGTGAGGACTGGAGGCTCAAAATTGTTGGCAGCTAATACCTCATCTTAATTGATCTTCTGAGCGCGCCCAACGTTGATCCGTCGGCGCTTTACATATCAACATGACACCACGCACTCTCCATATATGGACAGTTGCAAGTGAGGCGTTAGGGAGAGAACTGAGGCCCGGCTATGTCTCTCTCTTCTGAGCATACATTTGGAATACGACATGCTGGATTACGCCGTCAATTTACAACAGGACTATCCACCCTCAATCTGTTGTCCACTCCTGCCAGATAATCGGTCCAAGTCGATTGCCATTTTGAGTGTCTGCCGTTTATTGCCTTTCTGAACATTCTGAATTAGGCCCCTCTGTGAAGGAAAAAACACCGTCGTTGTACAGTTGATATACAGGGTGCTCTACGAGGTCCCTCAACTCTCAGCTCAAAGATGCGCAGCAAATGATAGGTTGCATGCAAGCGGCGAAATGTGACTCCTGCAGTCCGCTTCAAATGATACCCTGGAAGCAGATTGTGAGGATACAGACTAAAGCGATAATACTGCGGTCCATCAAGCTTGGTTGATCATCGCTATATAAGAGCGCATGTCATCAACCTAAGATGACCGAGACTAGCAATGGCAGCATGGCTCGATCTGGTCCGCGAGGACGGCGTATGGTCCTTGGTAGATACCCATCGCCTGGAAGAGCTGGTGAAAGAGATGCCATATCCTAACTGCCAGTATCCCTGTCTGCTCTTTTTTGTGGGAAATGCGAATCGTATGCGGGCATTGCGGACTCTTTTCCCGCAAAACAATGTCTCACGTCAAGGCCCAGCAGGCATGGTCCGCCTTCATCTCAGCGCCCGGACGGCTCATACAGAGCAACCAATTTTGTTCGCGGAGAGCGCTTTGTGTTGGGAAAAATCTCTAGGCGACACAAAATGGCTCAGGTATGCGACGCGTATGCACCAGAGGCACACACTGACTGACGTCGGCGGTGAATTGGTGCCCGCACGACTTCGCCAACAACTCGCTAGCCACGTGGTCATGCCCTGGACGCAGATGATGTGTCTGTTTGTCGATACGTCGGTCGACCTGAAAGCAGCCGGGGAACTGCTCCGAATCCCACGCAGACCGCTGGCGGTTGGGGACGAATGTCTCTCCAATGCGCTGCATGTTGTGATTGTGACCGAGAAAATCCCCCCGGAAGACATCGGGCGCCAAGTGAGTCTATGGGAGCTCTCTCACGCCGATAGACTCACTATCTTGGATTTACGTGAAAGGAGCCGGTGTTCCGATGATGTTGCCTTTGAACCCTTGCGTGGTCTCATTTTGGACCGTCTTCCAGATATTTGGACCGCGCAGCAATCAGACTATCGACTATTCTCGGCATTGCACCTCGGTGCATTCTGGAAGTTGAGCCTGCAACACCCACTGCACATCCTTGACACCACGCCGTTTGATCTGTTGGCTCACGCGCGGCGCAATTTTGCAAAAGCCCCGGGTTTGCATGAGTCTTTGTGCGAGGGTGTACGCTTAATGCGAATAGACGGCTACACCGAGGGAAATATTTACGGAGCCGTGGCGTCTGCGCTCCTCATGGATGCGTATCCCCCGGGAATGCACGGTAAGATCAATCCCCCTTCGCTAAGCATAGTGCTGACTTCTCAGGATTTTCGCCGGCGGCTTTGATGAAGAAGCTTTATGGGGAGTGGTGGGCTGCAGAGCGGGCCGGCGAGAGACTTGGCCGCTACGGATGCGTGTTGTCGCGATTCAAGCAGTATTTTGCGCAGCTCGGCCCGCTAAGATCATCGTCGAGCATTCGGAAGACCACGCTCAACCGCCTCTATCGCCAGGGCGGTGAGAACGCGCTGCGATCCGCGGTTGTTTGTTTGGTTTGTCTAAGCCGGCCGCCCGAGCATATGCTGCCATGCCGGCACGCCCTGTGCGACACGTGTGTCGTGATCTTCGGGCAGCCCAGCGAGCTCGGCCTTAACCATGTCAATATACCTGAATGTCCTCTTTGTGGCTGCGAGAATTATGTTGTCATCCGCCAACTACCTCCTACCAAGGGCCCGTTGATTCTCAGCTTGGACGGCGGCGGGGTGAGGGGTCTGTTGCAGCTGCGGCTCCTGCGGGCGCTAGAAGAGCGCATCGGCCTGCCCATCAATTCACTTCCAGACCTTTGCGGCGGGACCAGTGTCGGTATGGACAGCCTACCTAATTGACGAACTACGCGCTGAATCTTTCTAACAGGAGCCTTGTCCGCCATCAACCTCTTCCTCAACGACCGATCGCTCGATGAATGCCTGGATGTGTTTCCAAGCTTTGCGCAGAGAATCTTCCGACGCGCGAGACTCCCGGTACCTCGCTGTTTTCGATGGATAATGTCCGCGTTCAATCTGCTGACAGGTGGCCTCTATGATTCTTCCGAGTTATCGGGGGCGTTGAAGGAAGCCGTCGGCCCTGAACACCACATGTTTGCCCCTGCCAGGACATCCCCGGCAGGCTGTCGTGTGGCAGTTGTGGCAAGTCGCACCTCGGATGGCAAGGCATGCGTTTTGGCCAATTACCGGGGCTGCGGTCAGCGTGGTGCATCTGCTGCCTATCGATTTTTGGTAACGAACAGTCCGGAAGGTCCGTTGCTGGCTGATGCGTAAGTGATTTTCTATTTCTGGTTATCGATCATATTTGGGAGAGGCAATTCACAGCTCACTTTCTTTGTGCAGGGCAATGTGCAGCGTAGCGGCCCCATTGTAAGTGACCGGCCATGAATGAACTTGACCAAATGCTGAGTGCCTCTTGTAGTTATTTCCACACCACAACCTTGCCAGAGTTTGGGCTGTTCCAAGATGGCGGGGTGCGCGCGAACAACCCGGTTGCGATTGCCATGCGGGAAACAAGCGTCATCTGGCCTTCATCTTCGACATTCGACCTCATATTATCTGTCGGAACTGGCTTCTCGCGGTCCTCGATCAGGCCTCAGTCGGGCCTCTTAGGGTTGCTTTGGGAAGGGGCCCTGCCTCGACTATGGCGCGCGATGATGTCTTCCCCCTGTTTGGATGGAACGCAAGGTTTTGCGGAAGCTTTGAACTATTTCCCCCGTGACTCACATGACAGAATCTTGCGACTAGATCAGGAAATCGACGGCCCATTGCCTCATCTCGACGATGTGAGCGCGCTTCAAGAATTCTCAATGATGGACTTCCCCGTGAGCGACCATATTGTTCGCAAGGTGCTTGCCAGGGGCCTGTTCTTCTTCGAGCTAGACGATATCCCGGTGCGGACCCATGCCGGCTTCTCTTGCAAAGGCTCGGTGCTGTGCTCACGACCAGAAGCGGCTCCAGTCCTTGGCCGCGTTTTCGTTGAATTTCCTCATGCGACGCTCCAGATCAGTAGCGGTTGCAAGCTCGAATGCCTGGACGTTGAGGACTGCTGTCGTACCTGTGGCCACTTCAAAAAAGGCGTCTCTTTTGCTGTGTCTAGCCTAGAGGAGAAATTCTCCATTCAAATAGCCAATGACTGCCACAGCGAAACGATCGGCGGTTTTCCCAAATCTTTACTGGAGTTGCTCCAGGAGCAACAAGCCTTTGATCATTTTGGACGCGCGGACCACCAAAATTCCGTCTGGCCACGTATGCGCTCCTGCAATTGTTTTCGTCGGAGTAAAAGGAAGCTCCAAATTGTGGAGCCTTCCGTGGCTAACAAAAAGCGACGCTTGTGAGGGTGAGGCGCTTTTCACAAGTCATGGTCCCACTCGACGAGGCCAAAGGTCTTTCTTGATTGGTGACTGGGATTTTGCAAGGTCCTACTATTTACGTCAATAGCAAATTGAGTAGTTTCAAAAGATACTTTTTTGATTAGCACTTGGGCTCCCAAATCTCGTGTTTTGCGGAATCATTCACTCTCACGCGAAAGCAATGCCTTTGCTATTTAGCACTATTCCATGTGGCTGGCTACACGTGGGCTCTCATATTCAAACTGCTTATATATCTACTTGCAATAGAGTTTGTAATGCTTTCTCTCAGCTTTTGTCATTTCTGCAGCCTCCATGTAGATACATTATTCACAACCATCATGCTCTAGATCAAAGCATGGGTACTAATATGGCCTCACGCCACATGTGAACATTCAGCAAACGAAAAGTCATATCATTCAAGTACAGGTCACAGCATGTTCACCGACTCTCGCTCTCAAGCGACCTTCTTCAAATACCGGGCCAGTGACCTCCATAAAGCCGGTCGGCGGATAGGGATCTGCAGAGCCGGAACTTTGCCTGCAAGAGTGTCCAAGCTTGGCGCAGAATCATAGTCGTGCGGTGTTCTTGCAATCTTTGGCTTGTGGCGGGTTTCCTGTTTACTGTGAGCACTACTGTGAGATCTGATTTGAGTTGCAAACTTGCCATGTCTTTTCCTGAAGGCGACGGAATACTCGGGTGCGAGTGGTACGTGAAGATCTGTCCTTCGGGCGACTCCATGACTAGCCAACTCTTGATTCCATACAGACGCCAGAAATCGTTGTGGCGTCGCAAGAGATTATTCCGACGCTTGCGGAGTTGTTCTTTCTGGACACGGGTAGACACTGGTGCCATTGGGAATTGAGATGTTAGGGCTGAATCAGTATTTTCGAATGCAGGGTGAAGACGAAGTTATATATATGCTGGTACCAAGAAACTCGCGCACTACCATTGCCGACGAAAACCCCTCAACGGTTGATCACCCTCACTTTATGAAACACTTGAGCGTCCAATTCTGAGCGCTCGACCAGAAGCGTTGAATGTTGCCCATTATGGCTAATTCGAACGGGCATCAACGACATTTCGCGTTGAGCCTGCAATCTATATCAACACCTTTATTGCCATACGGCGCCTCAATTCCGTAACGAAAATACAACGATCACGCTCTTGTTAGCGAAAAATGCCACATTGGTCTACTATAAGACCTAGCACAGTGTTCCTTGTCCTGAACATCACTACCTGTGACATTTGACGTGTGTTTTCTATGCAATCAATGATGGCACTTTTGCACCAGGTCGTCAGACGTCAGGGCCCGTATTATCAAAACCGTACCGTTACACAAGAAGAAATGGTGATTAGAGCAATGGTATTCATTCTCTGGTTGGTCGCAGTGCGATTAGAAGCTGGTACTGGGACGGTTCGAGAGAACAGCCTTCTATCCAGCTACCCGGATAAAAAAGACTATTTCGAGATGGACCAGTCAGTGGAAGAGAGCCAAAGGCGTCTACCCATGTCCAATTCACAAATCCGCGCCCAATCACACTCCAGCAGCGGGAATTAGACGGTATTCCGACGATCCGTACGAAAGGCACGCCATGCTCCGCTACTTCGGATATGTTCAAAGAGGCAACTCATAACCAGTTGGAAGGGCATCATTAAGGCAATTTCTCCCAAAGTTCGACATTTATCTTCTCCGATTCGCTCCCATATAAGCCTCATCAACGCTGCGAATCTCTTACGGCTGGTCTTGCTAGCGGCAAGGCAGTGCGAAGAACTGATCTCAACCGACGGTTCATCAATTCAGCTACGAGATCCCGGATCGTTGGTGAAGGTTTTGCTCACAAATCTGGGTCCTGAATTGAGCGGCGAGGGGCGGAAGCGTGTCGCTAGCTCTGCGACCAAGGTTGAAGGCGGCGCCACTCCTGAGCATGGGGATGATTTGGATTGAAGCTCACGAGCCTTATAAGGCTGAGAACCTCGCGTTTTCTATAAGGGTTGCATTTGGTATGATTGAACACCTCACCTTGGAAATTGTGATCTGCAACACGAGGAAACTGTCGCGTGTGTCTTCATATAGCTTTGAACCGAATTTCTGCCTGCTGCTTGTATACTTTCATTAATGTGAGAGATTTTCACTGCTGAATGGTTCTCTTGGTCAGCATTGTCAGCATTGTCAGCATTGTCAGCATTGTCAGCATTGTCAGCATTGTCAGCATTGTCAGCATTGTCAGCATTGTCAGCATTGTCAGCATTGTCAGCATTTGTTATTCAAGACTGATATGTGGTCATCGATCGAAGATTGGCTACAAGGCAGGTTCACTCTTGGTCTGCAGCTATCAGGTAGTACATTTCTCAAATTGGTAAACAACATTTGAATTCGGTTTTAGTGGATCCATAAGAAAAAAGAATAAATCGCAGATTCATTTAAACTCGTACTGAAGCATGAAAACGCGGCCTGCGTGGCTCGTGCCTAGCCATAAAGATGACTGCCAAGCCAATCACCCAGACATTCATGCAGTCGGAGGCCGAGCGATACACCAGGAAGGTGCTGCAGAAGCCATAACTGGAGACGGTGAATGCGAGCCGCTTGTCGGGGGAACTTGCAAGGCTGTTATGCCGCGGTCGCCGAAAAGCGGGACTCTTGTGCAGGCAGGCAGGTTCAGGGGTGCCAACTTTGCCGGGTCGCCGTTGTACTCAAGAGAATTACATGGGTGGGGGAACCGGATATCGACGTTCTCTGTAGTATTACAGCCATTGATATTCGCGATGAACATTGGTGGGAAAGAAGGCCGTGTTTGCGATCCGTTGGCGGGTAGACCGGTGATTTTGATGGGGGCGCAATTCATGTACATTTCACGATTGCCGATCTGATTAAACCACGTCCAGGCCAACGTGTAATCCCCCGGTTCCATGCTCTCGGGAATGGTAAAGTTGAACTGGAAGGGATCCACAGCTGTCGAGCTACTTCCAATGCTACCGCTAGTACTGGCCGGACAGCCGCCCTCGAAAGATTTGATGACCAACCACTCCGAATCTTTAGACGGAATCCGGTCCATCGTCAAACTGACTTGGCAGGATCCTCCGCCATGCGTGGCGCCTCCTTCAAAAGATAGGGGATGTGTTTCTCCGACGCCGACGATATTCTGCTCCTCGGGCGCTTCGAATGCACCCGGGCGTAGCTTGCACGGAAAGTCGCTCCCATCTGCTGCGAGCGGGGAATTGTTGAGCGTTGCCTTGCCAAATGGTTTGGGGTTGTTTAAGATCATATGACCGGAAGCCCAACCCATAGCCATAATGATGGAGGCAGCCTTGATGAGAAACATTGCAGCGCCTGAGGCGCGAATTTGGATATGCACAGCAAGAACGAGATATGTGGCGGGCCACAAGAAGCATGGGCAGATCGTCTCATATACCCTCCTGCTGATTTGATGAAGGGAGATAATTTGCAGGAGGATTTTGGGTGGCCACACTTTTAGCATCGGCCTGCGATAGTATAAAGTGCTGCTGCTCAAATTTCGTAAACGATGACAACTAATTGAGGCCCATTTGACTCAAAGAACTCTTTATTCCGATGCAGGCTGAAGATAGTCCCAGCATATCAGCCGTATGTTCAAGTGATCATTCGATGGATATGAGCAAGAACACAACAGAACTCTTCGCGTGATTCCGCTCACGCGACGCACCCCGTACTTTGGTCTTCTTGGGCAAACTGAACCACCGCTGACGGTAATCCGTAGAATGACGAGTCTTCGTTCAACGCAATCATGGCAAAATATTGCTTCGCTCTATCCAAACGCTGGAACGCACAGAGCATATCTGGCTCTGAAACTAATCGTTGGGCACATCCGCATAGTGCAGGCTCGCGGGCATCCGTAACTAGGAATGTCAATAATAGGTCATGTCAGTCGATTCGTCGGGACTTACTTTTGATATGGAGTAATTTGCAAGAATACTCTGCAATACATTCTTCTTCGTGGAGGACAACGTGGTATTGCGCTGCAGTATCATGGTCCATTTGCACTGAGCGGATCCTGTGGTTCTCCCAAGTGACCACCAAGCCGTAGTGCTGATATGAGGTTAATTCGATCCTCTGCGGCATGAACCTCAAGAGACGCCTGATATGGCCTAAATAACGTCTTTCGGTAGCAGCCAAAAGAGGAGAACTCTGGAAAACAGAATCTACAGCCCGAAGCATCAATTCTTCGATAGTGTGATCACAGAAAAAGGCCACGTCTGGGCCTACCATACTCGCATCCAACTCATAACAGCATGAGCCCCCACCGTGCACACTCTGGAAGTCAAGCCACAGGCCACGGATCTTCAGTATGTTATCCTGTCGATCAAAGCATACGTCAATTGCTTTGCCGTTGGTTTGGACAAATTATACCTCGATATTCTGTGTGGCACTCAAAAGAGCCATGCACGCTCTCACCGCTCTCGCAACAGTCTGGCCAAAGGTGGTTGTCGGATGCTCGGCAAGAGGTGCATCCTTCAATCGCTTCGTCTGTTCCTCTTCAAAAGTTCGGATGGACGTGCTCGATCGAAGCATTTCCCAGAGCGGCGGAGGTAGCGCCAATGAACGGCAGTATCGCGATACCAAATGTGCAGTTAGTCTAACCGACTGGTTTTCTCTTCGCCTCAGCTAGCAATTTTCATTAGATCCAAGGTGAACAACATGTCTCAAGTCATTTGAACAGGAAGTGACCACTAATAGGTCGCGTATGTTGTAAGATGCTGGTAAAATCCTGGCTCTTGGCCACCAGCGATCCAATTTTAGCAGCTTACCAATCCTAACACGTTGCTACAGTAATGGATTTGACCAATCAGAGTATTCTCCAAGTCAAATAGTAGCACGCACGAAATCCAAAAAGCTTTTAGGTCTCATTGCCATATCCTCCCATGTTGCTTCGGCGGAATGGGTGTCGATGAACTGTGGCAGGACGGTGTACACTAAGATATGGTTTGCAAATCCACCAAGCTCTTGCTAGGGGCGAAGAGCCACTCCATCCCCCTTTTAGTTTGCATCTTGCATTACTTGTTGTAGTTCAGAGGTATGAATTATTATTTTTACTCTCGGAGGAAGGATGAGGCTATATATACAACGTGTAGCCAAGTTGATTTCCAATCAACTTGGTCTTCTGTATAGACACCACGGAGTTAATTCCGATGGTTCGGCTTGATTCCTGATCTGCACCAGCCTCATATCACAACAAATATTCCAGCCTGAAGAACTCTGAAGATGAAGGACTTAAAATTAGGGCTGTTGACGATATTGACGATATGCCGATTTTGCCGATACGATATCGACAGACGATACGATATCGGCCCATTTGGAATTCGCCGATGCCGATTGCCGGTACGATATCGACGGGCTTCAAATTTGACGATATCGGCAATCATGATATCGTCATATCGTATCGGCATTGGCCTTTTTTTTTTATCATTTTGGAGAAAATGGAAGGGGTTTTATCAAGTTTATTCCGCAATTCATGGCACAGAGCTGCAACAACGTGATGACAATATTAAATCTCATTCCTCGATCGCTACCACTTATAGCCATCGCGAATCAACATTAACATTCTTATGGTTTCACCTTTCAAAGAATATCGTCGGATACCTAGCACATCCCTGGCTGTACTAAAGACTCTTTCAACAGCAACTTCAGAGGCAGGAATCGCGAGATAGTCTCGGGCTGCTGCTGCCATCCCTGGATACTCGCCTTTATGCATCTTCCACCAATTACATAGCCAGTTTTTGCCGGTGGTATCTGCGACGCTGATCGGAGAAGTGTCAAAGTACTTATCTATATCTGACAGCGGCGGATCTCGTGCCTGCAACTTCCTCAGCATTCTAGACTCCACGTCATTTTGCTCCAGGGAAGATAATTGCGAGGCAGCGACGTCATGCTCCGGGTTGCTAGCCGCGTATACCTGATGGAGATTCGTGCGGATTGTTTCCAGAATCATTCTTCCGGCATTGTCATCTTGAAGTTCCCGTAAGACCAATTCACCTTTGACCCGAGGATCCAAGACGAGGGCAGTGTAGTACGTGTCGCAGTCATCCATAAAGGAATAGTACTTTTCATATTTCTTCATCCCTTCATTCACGGCAGCCCTGATGTTTTGATTTAAATTCGCGAAGTCACCATTACCTTCCCTCATGTCTTCAAGCAATTCATGAAGCTCGTAGTAAATCGGCACAGCGAGGCTGATTTGTGGATCGCGTTTCGAAACGAACAGAGTAAGCTCATTAAACTTGTGGAGCACTGTGTGTATCTGCTCCAGCCACGACCAATCTTGGAGAGTGAACGGCGGGAGTTCCTCTTGAAGATCTAGGAACTTGTTGACTTGTTGCCTTGACTTCAAGCCATCGTCGATCATGCGAAATGTTGAGTTCCATCGTGTCGCTACATCGTACGCAACGAATTTATCTGGAAGATTATTGAGTTTGCAAATATGCTTCCATTTTTGTCGGCGCTGAGGACTTCGGTTGATCCATAGAGCGAGGACCCGTAGTCTCCCTATAGCTGACTGATCGGTGATCGAGTTGCCAGGCTGTAAAAATTCACAAGCTACTTGAGCTTGTTCCATTGTCCCTGATCCTAGGTTACGAAGGATGTCTTTCACGATAAGATTGAGGATATGAGCCAGGCAGCGGATGTAGCTGTCAAGGCCTCGATATAGGGGTGCTGGCATTGCCTCTTCCCCCCGAGCCGGCTGGAAAGAGAAATGTACAATTCTGAAGCCATGGCCTCATTGTTACTGGCGTTATCGCCTGTGATGGAAATAAGCTTATTCTCGAGGCCCAACTCGGTAAGCATGGTTTCTACAACATTCGCTAGATTTTCGCCACTATGAATGCCCTGGAGTTCAGCGAACTCTAGTAATCTCTCGCGGTACTCAAATTCATCAGTCAGCTAATGGCCAATTATCCCTATGATAGGAAGGTGGTTCTGAATTGTCCAGATATCCAGTGACAAGGCAATTGTCTTGCAAGTCAAATTCAGCTCATTTTTCAGGACTTTGCGCTGTATGGCGAACTCTTGCATGATTCGATCCCGCACGGTGTGGCGAGAAGTGAAAGGAGGCTCAATCCCAGGAATGTCTCGAAACATTTGCTGAAACTCTGGAGACTCGACAGTGGTGAAGGCTTTCATATCAGCCACAATCCAGCGAATGGCATTTCTTTCCAAGACCTCTTGATGCGTAAGACTCTGTTGACCAGCCATGAAACTGCGAATGTCTGCTCCCTTCGTCGCAGGCTGTGTACTGGAAGTCGGGCAATTAATGTCATGCTTTGCCAAGTGGGTTCTCATGTTGCTGGTAGTATTTTGTCTCTGGGAATCTGACGTATGCCAGTTACAGCGTGTCTGCGTTCTCTCATCTACATGTAAACAGCAGATCTTGCGGTCTACCAGTCGTCTCTTCTTGGTCCGTTTAATCACCCATGGACATTCAACAGCTATCGTCTCGAAGCACCCCCAGATCCATTCTGTAGCAGGTGCCGACCGTCGAGAGTACCGAGAGGGCACGTAGCTTGTGATTGAAGTACCGACATCCGTTGAGCTGTCTTGAGATACGAGCACTTGTGATACAGACTCAGAAGGCAGTAGCTCGCAATCCGGTATATCGTCGAGGACCTTCACGCTTTCTCGACAGGCTGGAAGAGTATGTGAGATGTGATTTGGTAGTTCGCTTATTTGGTTTGATTGGTCGGTTCGATCGTCAGGCAAAAACTCTTCGTCGCTCTCGTCGTTCAGAACCCGGTAATTGAGGCGTTTCTGTCGGGTACGCATTGTGTATACACCAGACTACTGATCCCGTGCAGAAGTCAAACGAGTTGCGAATCTCTGCCCATCGTCGATATCGATCCAGCGACTAAGTTGAACCGGGGCTGAAGAGCCATATGTGAAGGAGGGTTGTTCCTGGAAGAGTGGGTAATCGCGAACAAAGAAGAGATTGCGGCACGCGTACCAGACTCTTGGACGCGTCGCGCTCAAACCTCAAACGGACTTGAACCATGGGGAAAAGATAAACGCATACATGTGGGCTTCAGGGAATGTATGGGTAGTGGAATACAAACACTTTATAGATGATTAAGCAACAACGTCGGTTGGTCGAGAGCAAGATCTCCGTGGACGACCGCGTGTACTGAACATATATATAGAGGATATACCGTCAAACCACATAATGGCGGACTCAACGCCATGTAGCACCCATATTGTTAAGTTGTTATTGCCCTATCAAACTAATGTGTTGAGGAGTCTGAATTTGCGTTGTAGTCAAGTTGTCTTTATCTAAAATATGTGGCTATCCTTTTATTTTATTTTTCCGAATAAAAGTGAAGATATATCGCCGACGATAATCTTCCTTGCCGATATCGTATCGACAGTCTGAAAATTTGACGATGTCGATTGCCGGTACGATATCGGCAGACTTTGAAGTTGACGATGCCGATTGCCGATATTGAAAAACAGTGGCGATATCGTATCGTCAACACCCCTAGCCGCAGAAGGCCTCATGCGGACTTGCAAGATGGTAATACTATCGAAGTCGAGGAAAATCGTGAGCCACCCCCTGAGGTCAAACCACTCATCGACATATTTCCGGGTGTCTCCGCCGCCCTTCTTACTCGCATTTTCGAGAGGAAGTTGAAGGCGACTGAACTCATCCGCTTCAAAGAGAAGGCCGTCACCGAGCTAGACCAGGAGGACAGAGTCTTCAAGATGACTGAGTACGGAGGCACGGTAGGCTTCAAGAAGGCAGCTGCATCACTCAAGGACTGGGGTTCCAACCCTCAAATATGGACGGGCTGCTTTCTTACCTACCTGGCCATCGTGGGATATCTCTTCGGCGAGAAACATCCCAAAGCAGTCCCCAACCTACTCATGTTCATGAGGCAGATCCTGGACTACGCCCAAATTTACGAGTGGTCGGAAGCAGTGCTTCCACTTGCCCTTAACTTCCACCAATATATTCTAGATAAGGGAGACCTGTCGATGGAAAACACCCTTATCACAGCTCTATTTCGTGAAAAGTATCTCCGTCACAATCTCACCCTGCCTGCTAAGTCAACGACAAATCCTTCAGCCCAATGCCGCCAAACAAGGTCCACCAGGTCTTCCAATAACGAGACAGTCGTTTGCGATAAGTTCAACACATCAGGATGTCTTTGGGAAGGCTGCAAGAGACGTCATGAGTGCACACTATGCGGTCTGAGCGAGCATGGTGCCTCTTCTTGCCGTAAGAAACCATAACAAGTGAATATCGCGGTTAGGAAATATACTGCAGAGGCTGTTAGGACTGTCTCCAGCCTTATAGCACCAAACCTAATACCGCAAGGCCAACCGTCCAGACCAAATACTCTTGTCCAATATCCTGCCTACAACCCAGAGCTCCCAAAGCTACAGTTCTCTCCGTCGCCACTTTTTGCAAGAGGCTGGAGCAACCTCCTACGCCACTATCCAGGCGATCTCGGGTCTACTATTACTGGTATCCTGACCTATGGGGCCCAGATCGGCTATAGGGGCAAGAAACAATTTTGTTATTCCCCCAACCATAACATACACGAGCCGGGTATGATCACGGCCAAACTAGCAGAGGACCTCAATCGCGGACGCATTCGATTGGCCTCTGGACCCGCCTTTATCTCGCCGCTCGGATTAGTTCCCAAGCATGATGGGGGATGGCGCCGTATCCATGATTTATCCTGGCCCCCTGCACAAGGCCTCAACCAGGGTATACCAGCCTCCTGGTCAGCCATTGAATACATATCTATCGATGATATCTACGAGCAAGTCGTACAAGCTGGCCCAAATTGCACAATTATCAAGAGGGACATTAAGGACGCTTTCCGAATAGTCCCGGTTGCCGAGGATAACCAGCATCTCCTTGCCTTCCAGTGGAGCGACTCCACTTATGTCGAATGCTGTCTCCCCTTTGGTCTCGCAACGGCCCCATTTCTCTTCAATCTCTTCGCCGAGGCTCTCCATTGGATACTCCAATGTCTCCTACCTGCATTCCATATCAATCATTATTTAGACGACAATTGCTCAGTCTCCCTCAGGGTCCGACCCTACGGGTCCCTTTGATGAGGTTTACAACAGAGTCACCGACTACTTACGTATCCCTCGCAATACAGGAAAGGACCAGCAAGAGACCAGCGTAACAGTCCTAGGTATCCAGATCGACTCCATTACAATGGAAGCTCGTCTGCCACCGGAAAAGTTGTGCCGCGCCACACTGGACGCCGCAGCTGCCCTGAACGCAACGAGTCTCTCCCTCAAGCAAACAGAACGTCTCACAGGCTCACTAGCCTTTTGTTCAAGAGTTGTCCGGCTTGGAAGAACAAGGCTACAGTCTCTTTACACCTTCCAAGCCGCTTTCCCACGTGGGAAAAGCGCGCGCCGCCGTATCTCGTACGAGGTACGTGACGATTTGGAATGGTGGAAGGACTCCTTGTCTCTCTTCAACGGCGTGCTCCTAATTGACCCCTGCCGCCGCGCTGTCACACATCTCTACACAGATGCCTCCAGTATAGGCCAGGGGCTCTTTTTCTTCTCATCCAAGTCTACATCAGACTGCTGGCTGGCCCATTGTCACCAGCTTCACTCAAGCAATGCTGCCTCACTGGCCCTTGCTCAAGACGCACATGCGCACATCAATGCCAACGAAGTAGACGCTATTCTGCAAGGCTTCCTACTCTTCAGCCACCATTGGCTTCATCATAATCTCGTTATCCACACGGATAGCTCCACAGCGCACACAGGACTAAAGAAAGGCTTCCTTCGTGGCCCGCCTAACGCACCCCTGAAGAGCCTACTTATCCTAGCGGCGGCGAGGGACATCCAAATCATGCCACATTGACTCCCCTCCGAGGAAAATACATTAGCAGATGCACTCTCCCGTAACAAATTTCAAGATATTGCTAACATCTGTCCACACTGGCAGGACCTCTCGGTATTGAACCGCCCGCGTGGTTCTCTTCACGCGCTTCTCAGCGCAATGCAGGCCACCTAAAACTGCTCTGGAGCGGACTCAGCGCTAACACGCGTTCCACCTACCTCTCAGTTCAACGCAGTTACGAAAAGCACTGTGCACTACAAAACCTGTCGGCATGGCCAGCCTCAAGACAATCGTTGATCTCGTGGCTTACCTCACGACTCCTTGGCAACGCTAGTCAAAAGACCGTTAAGCCTGACACCGCGCTCGCTGACCTAGCTGCTCTCCGAGCCTACCATATCGATAACTTCCTCGACGACAAACTGTTTGATAACAAGCACTTTCGACGCCTCATAGACGGTGCGAGAAGACTCAACCCCATCTCTAAAGTTCGGGTCAGGAAGCCGATTTCGCGTGACACTATTACGAAATTATCTGCAGGACTCGCCATACTCCCGTCACAGCCCTTGGAGATGACTACAAACCTTCTGGACGACTTAAACTTCGCAACCGCCTGCCGAGTAGCATTTGCTGGGTTTCTCCGCCTCGGAGAATTCACTTACAAGAATGAAGATATTAACCAACGTCCTATCTTCTTAGCCACAAAGCTAACGCGCTCTGATATCCGATTCTCATCATCGCTAGACCACGCGCAGCTCACACTCAAGCGCAGTAGGACCGACCGCCGTCACGAAGGAGTACAAATTATACTTGCAAAGACGGGTGACAGAGCGTGCCCAGTTGACGCACTTCAGAAGCTGCTGCTCCTTGACCCCCGAGGCCCTGATGCCCCATTGTTCTCCTTCCACGGAAGACCGTTTAGTCGCAACAACTTTCTCTCTACCTTGTCTACTAAACTAAAGGCGCTCGGTATACAGGCAGAGGGCTATTCGGGCCACAGCTTTCGGAAGGGCGCAGCCCAACATGCGCACAACAGTGGGATACTCGACGACCAGATTCAGGTGCTAGGGAGGTGGACCTCGGAGGCATTCAGAGTATACTTTACGACGAACGCATCAGTTCTGTACAAGCTCAACCGCCAATTCCAGACAGGGTCGCCGGCCCCGCTTTCCCTGCTACTTCCACCACCGTCCCCTCCACCATCCTAGTTTGGCCCGGGTCATTTGGGCCCTATCTGACGCTTCTGGTCTAAGACCGCAGCGCCAGGTGACCCGTTACAGCCAAACCATAATCTCTCTTCTTCTTCATCTTAACTGCGTGAGGTCACCAATAAAGGGTTTATTAAAACTCTCTTTCTAGTTAGTAACTTCTAATTCTCTTATTTAAGTTCTTCTTAAAACTCTTTTCGAAAGCTTATATAAGTTATATTGTTTTCCTGATCTGAAGGCAGCTACCTCCTACTTTTTCTAAAGGGTGTTTTCCTCAATTTGCTCTCCTTTCCTTTCGTGACCGAAGGTATAATAGAATCAGGAATTTCCTTGCTGTATCATATCCTTTTATACTAGTTTCTTTAATTGCTAGTTGGTTTCTTTCCGACAAGCTTCGATATACTGCTATTGTTCTTGCTCGGGTATTTCTTGTATAACGTATATTGTAGAAAGACCATCTTTGTTCTATAGAGGGTATAAAGAACAGTATAACAACTGTAAGGGGATAGCGGGAATTTCGGTGATTAGTGCTTCGAACTTTGCTTCTGTAATACTACGTTTGTCTTGAGAGGCGCCAGGGATTACCCAGAAGTCCCTGCGTCGATCACCAAATAACTTGGTAAATTTAATAAGTATATATATCTTACATTGTGCTAAACTAAGAACTGAAGCTGGGAATATCCCCGAAGCTGCCTAATGATGTAAACCATGCTAAACTACTTCTGGAAGCCTCCGACCGTAACAACCTGAGGCATAGCGCCGCCTATCAGGCGACTACGGCTTCGCCATTTACCTTCTGCATGTGGCCATCCAGCAGCGCCTGCATCTTCGGGACCGCCTGCTGGATCAGCTGACCCATTGCCTGGATGTTGGCAAGGCCCTCCTCGCATCCGAAATCGAGCATCGGGCTGAACAGGTCGAGACGCGACTCGTTGATCCATTTGACAACGACCGGCTCAGACAGCCAGATTGAGATGTTCAGGCAATTAGCGATCGCACAGCGCAGGTAGTCGAAGTCCTTGTAGGGCAGCGGTACGGGCTGGGTCAGCTCATTCTTGCGCTTCTCGTCGGCGTCTACATTGCATTCGACGTTACCGATGAAGCCGGCACTGTAAACCTGCTGGCACATGCGGACGGTCTGCAGCGTGATGCGATTGCCGTTGAACACCGGGACCATCGGGACCTTGGGCAGGCCATCAGCGGCGCAGTCAATGAACACGGCATCGGCCGGCGCCGGATGTGTACCCTTAGACATGTTCATCTCAGTCAGCGACACCGACTCAACATAGCCCTTGCGCACCACGTTCTTCACGCGGCGCAACTGCTCGAGTTCCAGTGGGGTGAACGTGGCACAACGCCAGCGACCAGGCTTGACCGACGGATCCAGCTGCATCACCAGCTTGCGCTCAACGAGTTTCTTGAAGTAGTCGTCGTAGTCCTCGGCCTCGAGCGCAGCCTGCAGCAGGCCCATAACGTACTTGGTGACAGGATCGCTGAACTTGCGGCCCGGATTGACATCGAAACGGTTGAACATCCAGGCGTCCGACGGCATGACCCAGGTTACGCGCTCCGGCTCGACCTCGTGGGTCAACAGGAACAGCACTGCATCCATGCCTGTCTTGCCAGAGCCGATGATAACGAAGTTCTGGTGCTGCGAAATGACCTTCGGCAGCAGGTTGACGGCCACCGCGTGCGCGCCGCCGGTCACTTTGAAATCTGGCTCACGCTGCGACGGCACCGTGACGTTCAGGTAGGTCGCGTCGACGAACTTCTTCTTGGCGCGGAACTCGTGTGTTGCACCGGTGACGAGCGAGACGGCGGTGTTGTTCTGCTTGTTGTACTCGCATAGCGGGAAGAAACGCACCCGCCCGGAGGGTAGAAAGCGCTTGCGCATCACGGTGTCGAAGTAGGCGACCACTTCGCTGCCGCTGGCCAGCTCGTAGCAGCCCTTGTTCAGACCGACCTGATCGATGCTGTAACCGCCCATCTCAGTAGAATTTACGCCGTAGCAGGTGGAGGTCTGGTGCAATCGAACGAAGGGATAGGCATCATTCCAGTGGCCGCCCGGAAGATGCTTACGGTCGATGATCGCGACAGTCGCGTCGGAGTGGGTGACGATCTCGTCGACGAACGCCATACCGACTCCGCCGGCACCTGCCACCACATAATCGACTTCGATAACTTGCGTCATTTGCAATTCTTCCGCGGTCTATGATAGACCCTAACAATAGTATCGTTAAGCAACCCTTCTTCTGTACCTAGCTACGGTTCTATATACTAACTATAATTATCAGGGCAACCTACAGTTCCGAGGACGGATGCAGAGGGAAACTGTTCTACGGATGGTTCCGCTCGATTTGCGGGGAGACCCAGCGGGGTCATGAGTGTGGAGAAGCAGGACATGCTAGGGCAGGCGGGGGCGGTTCACATGGCGGCACGCGGCCAGGGCTCGAAAACGCGGAATGAAATCCCGCTCTCTAGGTTCCTAGCTTGCTCCTCTAACTGTATCCAATTAAGTTTTCTCTCTCCGCTGTCGTTTTTCTAGCGAAGTATCCCCAGTTCCGTGGCGGATGCGGGGTGGGAAAAGGGCGGGAAAGTCGCATCACGTGTTCAGGTGAAGGAATTTGGAGCGGCTGGCGACAGACCAAGTTGGAGAAAGCCTTTGGAGTGCGTGGATAGTAGGAAATGGATAATTTGCATTCATATATATCACTTAATCTAAAAACAGTCTTTAAATACTGAAGCAAGTTCGGTACCATTCCCAAACATAAAATTGTCGGCCGACTGCCACTGTTGAACATGGAACGAGTTCTGCCCTGCGGCTGAAATGACTGGCTCTCCCATTGCTTCATACCAGTCCATAAGCTCTCGGCTCATCTGCATTCCATTTACTTGAAATTCATCAAGCATGACGGGGGCAGAACTCGCGCCCTGCGCGATAACACGTTCTTCACCGTCTTGACCACTGGGAAAAGGCTCTTGTGAAGCAGGCTGGTTCCAGAGCCCCATCTGCGGAGCGAGCTTCCTTAGGCCTTTTATTGACTTCCATAACCGCTGTGAGACGTAGGATTTCATCGAGAACCCCTCAATAAGCTCCAATACCATATAAAACTCATCCTTGCAACTACTGCTAAACTGAGCAGGGGCATGGGCAACGGCAAGGAAGAGCACGGCTAGGGCCGAGATTAGAAACCAGTTGAAGGCCACTTGCTGCAATTTGTAGATATCGGACCATTGATTCAAATGAGTGATAAGTCGGATGTTTTCTTTGGCAATATCTACCACCATCGAAGCTTCAGTAGGGTTCTGTGAAATGTGCACTGGGCTAAGAAGGATAGGTCGGTGAATCAGTATCCTCATAAGGTTGGCACGGAGATATAGCAGAGCTTTGAGGCGCCAGGTACCCCGGTTCGGGTAGTTCAAGGGTGACTTAGCAATTGCCTCTGGGTGTGGTAGCTTTAGCTGGTCGGGTACCGATTTGTACCACTGCATGACCTGCCAGTCAAGATAGGACATCTCCTCCGTTCGGGCCTTGTGTTCGCTAGTGGAGTTGGTAACGAATTTCCAAACCTTCTCTGAAATTCTGCAGTAGCCAATCATGGAGTTGAGATAGGGCACACCTGTCTAAATTAGGTGTCAGAAGTTCCATTCCAGGCAAAAGCTAGAGGTAGGCCACTCACCGGCCTGGGAAGTGATGGGTCAATGTCGCTAAACTCAAGATGACTCGGCATTCCTGTGCCCAAGCTCCATCTTACGTCGAGCGTATAGACGGACCAAAACAACTTGATAACCTTCTCATGTCCGATGTCGATGATGGCAGGTTGAGAGAATGTCTCAGCTCGATGCAGACCCATTTCTAAGCACATGCGCTGGACCGTTCCCACCGTTCTCCACGCAAGAGTTTCCTCATCTATCTGGAAAAGGAAGATAGACTGGGGTGGTATCAGCAGAAGTCATATATATACAGTTCTACACTAGCAGCGCAAGATCGCGGCGATTTGATGGTTCGGACGTACCACAAGTGTTAGGAGGATCGCCCTCTCGATATCCGGTTGCCTCCACACGACGTCAGTCACAGCATCTCTCACGCTTCTGAAGAGCCTCATGCCTAGCTCGCTGTGACCATTCTCCTCCGCTGTTAAGGCACATGCAAGCACAAGTTTGAGTATGTTGATGTCATCATCTGTTAGAGCATGTACATTCGATGGCGATGCTCTAGAAGCTGATAGAGATCCGAGATGGCTATAGAGGGTATTGACCTGGCTGATGGTGGAGCCTAGCTCCAGGACAGGATACATAATACCCATCTCTTCTTCATAGACGTTGCATAATCGAAGCGCTTCTTCCCTGCTGATGGCCCACAAGGGCTCAATAGATGGTAGACATTCGTCCCGATGTAGTGAGAGTGAAGGCGATGGGACGGGCGTCGGCTCTTGTGTGATATCACCTGCCTTGTTTGGTTCAGTAATTCCTCTATTCCGCAAGCTCCGGCGGGCAATATTGAAATCGAACGATGACGTGGTTGGCCCATGAAAGGAGAGACTCTGGGATGACGACGCTGCCCTGTCGCAATCGACGATGGACATCAGTCCAGCGGATGAGCCCTGTTGTAAACGCGTCGATCTCGAGGGTGGCCTTGCTGCTGTCAGGCCATCGATTTGGGACTGTAGAGACTGTACTTGGCGGAGCAGCCTTTCGATATTGCTGAATTCCGTCACTTTTCCGCCCAGACGGGCAGGACAGGGGCTTCACTTACTGGCTATCCGAGCCACTGTCGTCCGCGGCGTATTCGCAAACCAGTCCCTGACGCCAACAACGCTGACATGGCTGCTGATCACTGCATTTGATCTTGCGGCGCTTGCACTCGTTACTATGCGTGAACCATTAGAATTTGGTTCTGCAGACGGTACGGGACCCTACCATGCCTTAGCGATGTACTTGGCACGTTTTCGCTTCTCAGGCAGTGCACTTCCACTCTCCATGGCTTGCAATGCTTCCGAAGACATGGGCTCGCTTGCCGTGTTATTGTAGGTTGTAATTGTGTGCGCGGATGATCGTGAATGTCTTACTGGAGAAAATCCGGGGGAAATGGCGAACTTAATATGCGGGGTTAGGTGGATCCCCAGCATTTCGCTTACCCAGAACGACCCCGCCTGCGAACGTGACTAGACCTCGCCAAACGTGGGTTTGGGTTGGGTTTTCCTGTTGAAATATTAAGTGATTCTTCAGTGTTTGTATTATTGAGGGAGTTGATTGTGTGTTGTGTTGGATGTATTGTGTAAGATACAAGTAGTTTGAGAAGTCAAGTATATGAGTATGCACGTGATCCCAGCCTCATTATTATCCATGTAACCGGGATATTTCAACACATGGGCTGGGTTTTCGCGGGCGGGTTTGGGCAGTGGGCGGGTTTTGGCGAGGCCTAAACGTGACATTTAGCGCCTTGGCGCAAACATAAACTAGGTATATTTTGTCACATTTTCTGCAGGGAAATCATCAAGATGCGCCACGTCTGCGACATATTATGAAGGCGGTGCTTTTAAGATGAGCGCAAAGTCGGCTAATACTTTTGCATCCTAACATGGCATGCGTGAATCGCACACCGGGAAATTTTGGTGAACTGTGAGCAATGCTACCGTCTGCTTTACGATTTTTTGGACGTTTTATATACCCGATATCTAGTAAATAATGATATCCGCGATGCCTTGCGGGTTCTAATCTATCAGCGTGGCACTTTCTTCGACCTTCGTATAATCAGATAAGGTTCTCGAGCTCGAAAACTGCGTATTACCATGCAGATAGATATCACACCGTCGCAACTTCCTCCATTGTTAAAGGTCCTGGGTTCGTTCCTGGCTTTCAGAAATCCATCGCTGTAAAAGGACAGGGTCCCGTGCCTTGAATCTGACCTTAAACGGCTTAGGCTCCGTTGCGAGTGCCGTGGGAATCATGTTACACTCGAGAGCATCCAAGATCGGAGAGTCTGCTGGATTTTGTGGCGGGTGAATGGTGAATGTTGTGATTGTTCGGATGAAGGCCGTATAGAGCTCTCTGTTAGCCAAGTGCGACCCGGCACACATGCGAGAGCCTGCGCCGTAGCCGTAGTGGGGCGTTCCAGCATTCTCTACACTGTTCAAGTACCGCTCTGGTATAAATTTCTGAGGTTCGCAGAAATAGCCGGCATCGTAGTCAGCAGCCCAAGCATTCTAAGAGCCAGCAATGGCACGGGTCAGCCTTCACGTTCGACTTTTTGGTGGGTAAGTGTACCAAACTCACCATGAAAAAGGTGGTGCCAGCGGGAATGACAGCGGAACCCCATTTGATATCTCTAATACTCCTGCCAATAACGGAGGACTTCTTTGACTAGGGCCGTGATGTACGGCACCTTCTCTTCGACGAGGCATTTGTCCCACGCGTCGCTTTCTGGGTAGACTTTCATTATCTCTTCGTATGCCTTCTGTTGGATGCGCTGACCATCCTCGGAGCTCAAGTATGCCAAAGCCATTACTAGGTTGCCTGGAACCGTGTCCAGACCGGCTGAGACCATGGTCAAACAGAGCGATTTGATTTCAGCTGGTGGTGACGTATTAGCGACTATAGGACAGACATTGCCAACACAAGTCGGATGACTTACCATCATTGAGCTTGGCCTCGGGATCCTTCAAGATGTTCCCAGTAATGCAAGGTTTGTCAGTCCCTTCCGCGATTTTCTGCTTGAGCAGGCTCAACAAATGAGTCAGGTACTTGTCGCGGTGGACACGGAAATCTTCAGCTTCTTGATTCATCGTGGGAAATATGCGCAGCAACGGGATAAAATCCTGCCAGTTATTACTCGTGCTCCGGAAATTTGACACTCCACGTTCCACAGCAACAATCTCCTGTAGCAAGGTGTCTTGAACATTGCCGTCAATCCGGATGCCATAGTTGAGGGTCAGACTAGTATTGAGCGCGAATCGCTGGAAGTATGTGTCAAGGTGTAGGGAGTCAAAATTACCGCTATTCCTGATGGATCAGCGCCACCGCTCTCCACATCTGATTCCTGAGGTATAAGCCAGGGACGGCCCTAATCAGTCTTGGCGTATCCATATAGAGTCCACAAGTTGTGGTTATAAAAATATCATCAATCAACTCCCGTCAATTTTGATATGATTGGTCCTGCTAGAAACACGCTGATACCGTATATCTCAATTCCGACAGTATGGAATAGGGTTAATGTCTCTCGTGCCTCCTTGGCTGTCGGTAAACAGTTCTCGGATACTCGTCGTCGACTCCAAGTCAATAATTGGCATATACGATTGGACTGCAGGCTTGCTAAGGGCGGTGGCCGCTGCCTTCCGCCGGCTCTTGCACGAGTCATCCCAAGGCGATGTCCCAATGGTGAAGCCTTGAGAGCTGGATACCACACTATGGAAGGTATGGAACGTCGGGCGAGAAATTAGGGCTGATTGCTCCTTCAACCACAGCTGTTTAACAGATTCAAAACTATTCGCAAATACAATTCTCTTATAACAACATTAGCTACTCCGACTCTCGTTCCATCTGGCAATCTCTCATTTGTTACCCATGCGTACGTGAAATACAGGGCCGTACGTCTTAGCCCATCCTGCGGCAACCTTCGCGTGTCGATCGCCAAGCTGGATGAGGTTGCCAAATAGTGGTACCCCAGGAATCTCAGGGAGACCATTGATCTTGGGAATATCGGTCTGGTTGAGATAGCGATATAGCACGAGAATGACCGACACGACGGTCAATGCGATCGTTTCGTAGCCATTGTGTCAGTTGCATCTGTAAGAGAGTACCTAAAATACGCAACGATGGCATGAGAAAAGTTGCCGAGTTTCCTGGAAGATCAATGCGCCTAAAGTTTCCTCACAGTCCACCTCTGCTACAATAATGACGTCTCTTCAAGCCTCAGCCACCACGGTGAACATTCCGCAGCGTCCCCTAACCTTCGGCCTTGGATGAAGTGCAGGACTGTTACGATCAGCGCGGAAGAGAGTTCCGTGATCGATGTCGGCTTCGTATTCCGCTCGCTCCCTTGACTTGACCCGTAGCGTATCAGGTTGAAGGTCACACGGCAGACGATTGTTCGGACCCAAAAAATGTGGGGCCCCTATCTGGACCTCCGCAAACTTCTCCTCTGTCCCCGCGTTCCCAACACCATGGCCAATGAGCTGCATGCGATTTACAAAGCGATCGCAAGCTCCTGTGGCCTAACTTGGGTCAGCCCTCTAACCTCACCTCCGCCTTCTTGCTTTATATTTACCCTGCATCCCCGCACATTTTTTTTTGTGCTTTCTCTCTGTCTCCCTCGTGGCTTACCCTTTCTTTCTCGGCCCTTCCTGCTACGATCATCCCAACGCGATCTCCTTGCACGTGGTTTAACATTACCCCTCCCCCGCCCGGCAAGCCCTCGCTATGAAGTCCCCAAGAATTGTTGCACTGCGACGGAGCATGATTGGTCATGGTTCCTGGATGATTCTGTCCACGCTTTTGGGAGGGGTTGGTCTGTGGATGTATATTCTTGGAGGTTTTGAGCTCATCCCTGGCTACGTCCTGAAGTTCAGTCTCCCCGGAAGCGAAGCCGGCTGGGTACGTTGCCACACAGGTCCCGCGGCGAATGGCTTCATGGTTATCGTCTCTGCACTGGGATTGCCATATCTTGATCTCCCTGATTCGACCGCTGAATGGATTGGCTGGATTTTGCTGATGGATGGATGGTCCAATGTGGGGTTCTATTACTTTGCCAATATCTCACCAAACCGTGGTCTAGCATTCGGCAAGAGCCGGTTGGGGCCTTCGAATATCTTCAGCGTCCTGGCTCTTGGCCCAGCCTATCTATTTGGTGTCTTGGCCATTGGGGCTTTAGCTGTTATGGGCTATCATGCCCTATATGGCCCGAATAGGCCCAAAGCCGCTGCACGCAGGGCATAGACTATACTGCCCCCTCCGCTAGGACGAGGTAGACGCGTTGTTGCAGAATGTCATCCCACGAACCAAACCGAAATCTCGATCGCCAGTACAGGAAAGAGATGTCCGACCGATTTTAGGAGTTGCGTACTTCAAAATGCGAGCCCAAAGGCTCACGCGGGTATGTTTGATATGAGGTTTTAAGCAGGGTCCGGGTCCTTGCTTGGATAGTTATGTTTGTATTTAAGCATATTTGGCGGCAGAATGTATCTGCTCCTACACACAACGAACAACGATTGGTGTATACAAAACTTCCCGAGAACAATTCAGTCATGTGTCTCTTTGCTTCGTAATTGCCACATATCGTTTGCAGTATTGTGAATAGGCGTGCGTCGTGTAATTCTAAGTATTGAGCTTACAGACTAGACAAAAAAAAGTATACCAACTAAAATAGAAATTGACTTCAGACTCTCTAATTCCATTAAATCTAGGGCTTTATATATTCCCATTCACCATCATCCCGCTTCGAACGCTTTGGAACACGCCCTGATGTACGCCTCTGGGTACCACCTTCATCCTGCAGATTTGAATTATCAGGTAGCGGAATTTCATCCACTTGGTCATCATCATCCTCGTCTCCGAGTTCAATCAGAGGTGTGTCTCTGATATCTCTGAGGGGTCTCTTACCAAGTGCAACCCTGCTCGGAGCCTGCGTTGGTTGAGCCTTAGCTGAGGGATCTTCTTCAGTATCACTGATCAGATCAAACACATTATCATCTAGTCTTTCAGACTTATTTTTCTCCTTCAGTGTTTGTATCTCCTGCGCTGTAAGGTACTCCTCTATGAATGTATGCTGCTCACTTTCAATGTCGAACCTGGATGTACATAAATACATCATAAGATCCTGGATAGTGGTCGGTTTGAGAGACCCTCGGCGGTAGTGACAGATATCACGCGCAGTGTTGAATAGCCGTTCGACCCCAGAACCAGTTGCAGGAACAGAAAGGACATCTCGTGCAAGGCTCGCAAGAATCGGGAACTCATACTGATTACCTCTCCAAAAGACACAAGGGTTAATCTTGCGAGTACCTATTGAAGGATTAGTAAGGGATAACAGAAGGTAGTAAGTTAATGAGTCACTTACTGCTGCCAAGATATTGTGTAAGCTCATCGTCTCGGTGAATCTCAGACCCCTGGGCAGTCTGTCTGTCCCCCATCTGATCAACTACAGAGAACTGCGCTATAGAGGAAACCCCATGTGATGCTGGCTGTGTTTCTAAGTGACGCGGCTTGTATGGCTCAAGGTATTTGTCAAGACTCTCGCGGTATTGTTTGCGATAAGGCTCCTTCCAGTCCTTCCCGGAGAAGTAATCAAGCTTGTTCTGGGGTGCCATAATAGTCGCAATCGCATAGAGATCACCATGAGCCTTGTCGGTCTCAGCATAATAGCCTCTTAGCTTCTGTATTGCATACTCGAGAGCAGTCCGCATTGTTATCTGCCACCTTGCTTTCTTTCGTCTAAGCTGGTCTACAGACCTCTCGAGATGATCGAAGAGCTGATTGTAGATACTAAAGACTATATGGATAGTGACATCCTTAGTCTTTGAGAGGACAGTTGTGAAGTTGAAGAAGGGCTGTGTGATAGAAAGAAGATAGTCAATCTGCTTCCATTCGTCTTCAGTAAGCACAAGGCTAGAGAGGCCACACTCAGAACAATACTTGTCGCAGATATTCTGTAGTTTTTTGGCACGCTGAAGCATTACAAATGTGGAATTCCAGCGGGTTTTGACATCCTGTATCAGGACAAGCCTTGGCTCTTTAGACTGGAGCTCGAGGAATTGCTCTCTGCGCTGAGGGCTTCTATTAACCCAGACTGCCAGTCGCCGAACCTAGGTTGATTTTAGTATAAGGTCAGCTAAAGAAAGCCTGGGCGCCCGTTCTTACCTTATTGAGAGTAAGCACAATATCTTTATTCCTCCCCTGAGTTTCACTCCGGGTCTCAGTTTCTGTCCATTCCATTTCCTCTCGGTCATTCTTTGGGACTGCTTCCATCCTGCCAAGAAGCTCGGTTAAACTGAGTTGGATAACATGTGCCATACAGGGAATTCGAACAATAGGGGTGCCATCTGGTAACGCGAGTGAGTCAAGAGCTTCCTTGATACTATCATGGAGCGTCGTGTTATTTGAGGCATTGTCAGTGGTCATCGTTAAAACCCGATCTTCGATCTGATGTTTTTTGAGAAGATCCAAAAGAGCAACACTAAGGTCGGCACCTTTATGGCTTCCATGAAGTGACTCAAAGCCAAGCAAGATTTCACGGTAGTGCCAGTCCGTATCAATAAAATAACCGGTAATAGCCATAAAGGCTTGGCGGAAAGGCGATGTCTAGCAGTCTTATGCAATAGAAAGTTTCGCACCGGGCGGAAGCATCTGTAGAAGGCTCTTTTGGCGTTCTATCACTTTCGCCTGAATCTTCCGCCGTACTAGATACGCAGACAAAATCCGAGGCGGAGATGGAGCGAGACTAGCCAGTTTGACTAGTTTATGAAACCGAGGATGTTCAACAAACTGAAATGGTAGTCGTAACTCTGTAATTAGCGAAACCACACTCTCATCAAACTCCTCGAGGGTAAAGCTCTCTGGTTGAGGGCCATGAAATACCTAAGATAAATTAATTTGATTAGGGATTCAAGGGATGAATAGACATGTTAAAAATAAGTTCTAACCTACCCCCGGGTTAAAGAAGCTTTCGAATATCCTGGGAGGGTTTCGATCTCCGGCAATTAACACCCTCTCTGACATGTTTATTCAGGGAGGATGTCCCGCGATTTCCGACCGCCGGGTGGATAATAACCTGGCTACATACTTTGCACATAACCTTAGGAGACCCATCTTGAACCGTAGCAACCTGATGGAAGTGCTTCCAACAGTCCCCTTGGCGTCGTTTCTCAAAAATATTCCTTTTCATCTGACTTCCATACTCTGTCACCAACCACCACCCACAGAATTCATCGTTCATCTCCTCGGTCCAGAGTATAAAAGGCTTCTGCTTTGTCGTGGGCCCAACGCGCTCTAGGATCTGTGGAATAGGGGGCGCTATTAATGGTCGAACGAAATCGCCATCGGGCGTAAGGGTAGATGTCTGCTGAAATACAGCATTGGGGGTAAAAGATGCCGCCCTGTCAGAAGGAAGATATGAAAGATTTTCTAGAGGATTATCCTCAAAGATAGATGAAGGGTAGGTGTCCGAACATCGAGAGGCTTCACTTTGTGACATAGTGAATAAGTGAGCCTTACTGCCAACTCTAGTAAAAGAGAAAGACGGAAACTTACAGGGACCAAAGAGACGAGAAAGTAGGAAAATTAAACAGACGCGACGAGGAGCGCGAGCTGAACGAAGTTGTAATATGGACCAGGCGACCCATCACCCTACTGGTCCCATCAACCTACTGGTCCCATCACCCTACTGGTCCCATCACCCTCCTATACGATTGGCTTTAAGAGCCAGAAGGACCCACAGAAGAACGGATCTCAACGGGTTGATCCTGATCCGCCCTGGGGAAATCCTGATTGATCCACCGCGACCCGCCCCCTGAATCCTTTAAGCAGGGCTGAATTTGCCTGAGTCTTTGATCCCCAGTCTGCTTTGTAGGGAAGGGGGATAGGGTTTTCAGCAGGAACCATTTTTTGAGAACAAAGAAAGAAATAAAATACTGTAGTCTATCAACTGGCTAATTGAAAGGACGCAATTATTTCAGAGGGCTGCCCTATAAGATCTTTCAAAGAAGTTCTCATCAAGAGGGATGTGGTACGTGGTGAAAATATATATTTCTCACACCATTACAACACGCCAACTCTACCATAATAAATCACTAGCAACAAACAAACGAAAATGATGTTAAAGCTAGTACTATTCAAATTACACAAGGAAGAATATTTTATATACAAGCTCAAAACATAAAATTTCAATCAAAAATGGCTACATCTGCATAGTTGTGAATGCACTGACCGGAACAAGTGTTTATTACAGTATTTTATTTGGATGAATCATCAATTTATCCAGCCAGAAAAGGAAAGTCTTGGCAAATTTATGCATATCAGGACCAAAACGGATTGATCCTAATCCGCCTTGTGCAGAACCGCGGCGCGGATCCGGATCGAAGAACTCGATCCGGAAATCCGGCGGATCAGGATCAGGATCTAAAAGTTGGATCCGGATCCGCCCCATTTCGAGGTCTAATCCGCCATATGGAGATCTCTTCACAGCTTACCCAAGATCTCCAACAAATCAAATCTCAACAAAATAAATGTCATCCCTACCGAAATAGTCGGAAACAAGTCCCTGTAAAGGGTCGTCTTTCTGCATATCACGGTAAAAGATTCGTTAATGCCCGTGATCATCAAGAGATATACGGAAAGCTAAGAAAGACATTGAATGCTGTCGGACTGAAGCGAACGCGTATGCACTAGTACAATTCGATCCAATCATGAGGGTTGGGAATTGATGTCTGGTTGAAGAACTATCTCTGCTTTTCAGGGGGAATACATGGAAAATGCGGGCGGGCGCTGTATGCACTAGTCCTAGAGAGGAATAGTGGTAAACCACTCCTCTCTAACTCGACAAATGCTTTACCGCCACCAGAGGTTCCATATCGGGAGGGGGATTACGATAATCTTCCAGATGATAGCGACGTGTCTCAGCTACCGAATGAGGCTCTTTTTACCCTAGATCCCCCGCTAAAATAGCCTTCTGAATAGCTTCAAAATTGATTGATTTGGTAGAAATTTCATGTGTGTGAAAATTTTCATGTGTCCGACAGCACCTACCCGGGAGGGTGGGGCGGAGATGCGGTGAGACAGCACGGCTAGCACAGACTTCGGCTCGGGCCATTTCCCCACAATACTGGAGAACCTGCTCGATAAAACCCCCAAAGACGGATGCGTCAGTTGAACCCTGGAACACTCGAGACAAAACAATGCCGTCTTGTGTATATGTAGGCAGGATTTGATAGCGCTGATCACGATGAAATTTCGATAATTGAACCGGTGCAGTACCAAGGGGGGACCAACCCGTTCGCCGGAGCCTATTCGTTTATCACATCCAGATTCATCAAAGGTGGTAAGACTTGAAGTCTGATATAAAATGATGGTATTCGTCCCGAAGATGAAGGTTGCGCTCTCGGGCCTTGATCCGTGCCGTCTTTTTTGACCAGCCTTTGGATGAGGGCGCGACTTACGGTAGATTTCGTTGTTTGAAGAGCGAACTCGTCCGACAAAAAAAACCATCATCCCTTCCAGGTATAAGGCAGGCTATTCAATCAGATGATCGCACAAAGCCTCGAGCATGACTGGAGTGATACTACGGGGTCGTCCGCCTTTAATTAGCAGTGATTTGACGCTGTGAAACATTCTTATATTGGAAGAAATTCTTGAAATGGTGCTCTTGTTGCAGCCAGCAGTCTTTGCTAACTCAGTTATAGATAAGCTGCACGTTGCATGTGTTTTTGACGAGTCTTATGTGCTGTGGCCAAAGCTCGAACAATGTCGGAATCTCCACATATGATAGCTAAGAATGCCATTCTGAGGTAGTACGGAGATTGGTCTCTAAGGAATTGATTGGAACTTGAGTGCGTTATTTGTACACCTGGCCAGCCACATTGGGTTCGAGACGGCACAAAATATACCTGCATATTGTAGGTTCAGGCCCCCTGAAATTCCAATGCCATGCTTCGCCGTGCATGAATATTACTTGTCCTCAGTTTCCACGCCCTTAGAAATTGAAGACATTTAAGACTGGTAACGCACTATACCCTACCACAAAAATCGCTCTCAAATTTCGTCTTCAACCATGTCAAGCCCTCGAGGTCAACGCATCCAAGCCCACTGTGTGATTATATGGGGAAATGGGGCCTATGACCTGGACCTTGAGACCGACGATTGGCAGACGTTCTGGGCAATCGTCAAAAAGGACTTTGGGACTTATTTTGGTCCACCTTTAACAATAACTGGGATTTGCCGCTCGGAGAACCATGCGTGGAGGGAGTTGGATAGGATGTTAGCTGCATGGGCTAGAGTGATACGGAGCGGGGAGCTGATGACTGAGGACGAAAGGATTGAAATATTCGGCGGTCCAAATTGGCGAACCAACTCAACGCTGAAGACTATATTTGCTGAAATGGATAAATTGGAATCTAAGTATCTTTGCGCACAGACAACTGGTACAAGCAAGGAAGATTAGCCAAGTAAGAAATCACATCATGCGAAGCTCATAAACGCAGTCTCCATAACTGTGCCAAATTTCTGACTCATTCTTTGGGAAGTTTTCCTTTGCAGCGAAGTATACTTTCTGTAATAGATTCATACAATTGAACTCGATTTCATCAATCGGCAGGGCGAGTAGGATATATACAATCTTCATTCTTTAATGACTTGAAGCTCCTTCAAGTTCATTGTTTCCTCTTCGGCCTTTTTGAGATAACCTGTTTTCAGGTACTTACTCAGCGCGGGAGTGTAGTCAAATATCAAGTCACGAAGTTTTGCAAGAGGCCAAGGCAAACCATGAAACATATGTCCAAGAAAACGCGCAAATTCCATGTTGTGGTTGACATAGTCTACCCGCTGCTTTTCATAAATCTCAAAACCGGCAGCGACTGCTCGCGGATCACGCAGGTCAACACCGTCAAGAGATTTGGCAAGGTAATAGCCATCTTCTATCGCCATGCCCATACCATAAGCTGCATAGGGTGATACTGGGTGCACGGCATCCCCAACGCAAGCAATCCGTCCAGTCGACCATTTATTCATCGATGGTCGGTTATAGATTTCCCATCGATACACCTGGGTGTCGAAGTCGGTGACTTCCAGAAAACGAGGCATGGGCTGTCCCCAATCCTTAAGAATATTGGTGAGATGCGCCTTAGGGTTTTCTGGTATTAGTTTTCCTTCCCAGGACGGTTCCACAACCCACCATTCGAACCCCGGCTTGCCATCGTGCAACATTGGGAAGAAGCTGGCCTGGTATTGCGAGTCATGTGAGACCATACCATAATTCTCTGGAATCCCTGGTATATAATCACACCAGGCCAACCAGAGACGAATTCCCGTGTGAAAAAGCTTCGGATCACCAAATGCCTGCCTTGAAACTTTCGACCTGATCCCATCAGCACCGACAAGGATATCAGCCGTTATTTTCTTCCCGTTTGTGAATTCAACCTCCACAGAGTCGTTTAGTTCACTGTACTTGGCGAATTCGTGATCGATATAGATAACACCTTCTGGAACAAGCTCAAGCATCTTCTTGAAGGCAGATGAGCGCAAGACTCCATAATGCCAACCTTTAATACCCATGCATCTTTCGACTTCAGCATTAAAAGGCAGTTTAAGGCGTTCTAAACCCGCCTTGTTTTTGAAGTACGTGACTGTATAAGAGCCCACGTTTTCCAAGCTCATTCCGTAAGACCGTAGAACCGCCAACACAGGGGTGGACAGGAGGACAGCGCCTCCGATGGCTTTACATTCAGGTTGCCGCTCGAATATGCGCACATCGTATCCGCGTTTGAGAAATGCGAGGCCAGTTGAGATGGCACCGGGGCCTCCTCCGGCAATAGCAACCCGCTTACCGGGGCGCCACTGTTGATAGCTCATTTAAAGAAATCGATAGTAAGATCCAAGGTAAAAAGTGAAATAAAGAACACAGGCAGATGGAAGAGTTGGGAGGTATCGTTGAAGCTAATAATGTTAAATAAATAATGTGCCAGCATGGTTCCAGTTCTGAGTTCGGATTCGGGTCGGCACGGCGTGTCCACATTTCCGATGCACAAACACCACCGCCCCAATACTACGCCGGTCTATGTAACTTGCGACCCTTAACAATAAATGCTAAACTTTCCGGCAATAGACGGAACCTGCCCCACAAATCCCTTCACAAGGCACCCCGGGAAAACCTCGGTCAGAGCATCCCCTAATTTCAGGATTCTACGAAATAGCAAGGTCTCCCCGGTTCCCAGACATGACACATTTTATCTACCTTACAATCACGTGCATAAATTTCTGTTTTATTGGTGACCTCACGCAGTTAAGATGAAGAAGAAGAGAGATTATGGTTTGGCTGTAACGGGCCACCTGGCGCTGCGGTCTTAGACCAGAAGCGTCAGATAGGGCTACCGCTCCGCACGAATCGAATCGAACCGAACTTTTGCCAGATTCGATTCGATTCGAATTAATATCGAAAATAACGGTTCGTATGAGTTCGAATTGAAGACCGATTCGAATTCGATTCGAAGTTCGCGAACTTTATACTAAACCCTTATCTGGAAAGCGGTAAATCACGTCCGACTATATCGTACTATATCTGTGTCGACATAACATACAGTAGTTAGGCTAATAATTAGTTATTTGACAATCTCAGAGATAGCTCTATCTAGTCTGACACCAAAATGAGCAATTTAGCTTCGGGTTGGTCAAGCTGTAGAGCCGTATCAATAGATGCAAATTCTCGTCCCAACTATCTATGAAGAATATATAATTATACTTCCAAGATTGCCCAACAAGTCCGTAATCGTATCTGTGGTCAGTTTTGTTTCAAATTATATCAGCTCATAGACCGTATCAAGATACACGTAGTCTATATATATGGAGTCAAGACATCAATAATTGCACATTATATGCGATGTAGAGTAAATGGATGGTCTAATCGGGCTAGCGGAGATTCTACAAGAGCGCGTCTCCGCGTGGACGTGCTTTTACCAAGAGCAACATCCAGATCTCAATCAAAAGCTAAAGGAAATCATCCCTTCTGGTGCTCCAAAAGTAAGCGATCAATTATGGCACACGCATGATATACTAATATAGCTATACAGATGACATCTCTGCCTGCAGCCACATTCGACTGTCCTAACACCAGGAAGAATAAACGCGATTATGCAGCGCTTCATAAATATGGCCTTCTTACAGAGGATGTCCCTCTTCCGCGACCTCGAAAAAAGATGGCGGTCCGGCCGGCCCTTAACTCACCAACTACTCCAGTTTCAACCTCCCCGACCGCTCCCAGCAACGTTTCTACCAGCTTGTCGAATCTTGATACGGATATATACCCCTCACAATCAATATCTCAGGTTGAATGCGAGACCGAGTGTGTTGCAATCAAGCAGAGAGACGGGACTAGGTTGAAAGAGCGTAGCTGGGTGTGGAAATACTACCAAACAACACCTGAATCTGGTACGTGGAAATTAGGAGATAAGGAGCGGCCCGAGCTTAAACATCGGTGTATTGTATCACCATCTACATGTCAGTTCTTTTGATTTGCATCGAAACTACGATCTTCAACTACAGCGTTGAAACAGCACCTGCAGCAAACCCACAAGCTCTTTCAAGACGGCCATTCAGAGCGTCAAGGCCCGCTAAGCTCATGGATTACCAAGGAAAAGAAGCTTCCATTCGAAGAGGCTATCCTGGATTGGATTATATCTACCTGTCAGCCGTTTACATGCGTCGAGCAACCTTCGTTTAGGGCCATGTTGAGGTCTGTAGACTTTGAGGCGTCTATACCAAGTGCGGACACTGTTTCGCGCCGATTAGATCTTCGGCTTGATGCTCTTGACGGTGAACTTCGAACCTTGATGGCTTCGGCATCCTCAATCGCGCTATCCCTTGATGGCTGGACAAGCCAGAATTCATTACCAATGCTAGCAATTAATGCTCACTGGATGTCATCTGCTTTCCAGCAACATCGAGCCTGTATTGAGTTTGTTGAAATCACAGGCAATCACTCCGGAGAGAATCTTGCTAATATTGTTGCGGCGGTTCTTGAGAGATTCCATATATCTGATAAAGTTATGACAATTACAGCTGACAACGCATCTAACAATGATACGCTACACCGATGTCTTTTCCAAAAACTGTGTCAGCGGTACGATGAGTATCTGGCCGATACTGTTATTCGAGAAGGGACGATGAGATTTACCCAGAACTCCCAAATCCGTTGCTTTGCTCACATTCTTAATTTGGCCATGAAAAGAATATTGAGGTCTCTACGCGCAAGCTCCCATAGGGAAGCTTGTGACTTCCTTGATGATGTTGCTAAGACGAGCTGGAAGACAATAAACGTTCCTACTTCCCCGATTGCAAAGCTTCGGCTACTTGTCCTTTGGATTGCGCGGTCTCCCCAGCGAATACAGAAGTGGGATAATCGACCTGGCTGCACAAAAGCCATCCACTACGACGTGGATACTCGATGGAACTCTACTTTTGTTATGATTGAGAGAGCTGAAGAGTGTCGCCGACAGCTCGAAGATACAGTCAACGATGAGCCAGATATCGAAGCCTTACGTCTCACACCTAACGATTGGAGACAGCTCTCAGATATCAAGAAAATCTTGGCTCCGTTAACGAATACACTGAGTACGTCTCTCGGGATAGCCCCTCAATTCATATGGCAGCGCGGATGTTTGAAGAGCTCCTTTCTATACTCTTGGCTATTAAGGAACGGCGAGGCGATTGGCAGAATGTCTCGCCAGCTCTAACTGTTCCTATGTCTGATGGCATCACACTTCTAGAGCGCTATCACGGCTGCGTCAAAGACAACGACATATACTATATCGCAAGTGTTCTGGACCCTCGGATCAAGACCAAGTGGCTCAAAACGTTGCCAGACGGAGAGAGGATCATCAACCGAATCAGAGTGTTCCTAAAAAAAGCATATCCCTCCCCAAAACAGCCTATATCGACTGCTCTGAGTACAAGTTACAAGAGCTTCGAATATCGATTCCTGGAAGCCTTTCAGCCTACGCAGTATAACGTCGCTGAGTCTGATATTGACCGGTATTTTAATACGCCTACAATAAGCACTGGTTTCGATATAAGCCAGAGCCAGACTGAATTCATACGAAAATGGTGGAAGATCAACAGGCTTGAATTTACCTGCATGGCCAAGGTAGCACAAGATCACCTTGCTATACCAGCAGCAGAGGTGGATATCGAGAAATTATTCAATGATGGGAGAGATGTCCTTGGAATTCGACGTTTCTCCATGAAAGGAAGGACGCTTGGGACCTTATTAAGGCTGAAAGATGCAGGACGTTGGAAGTCTGAACAGTTACATAGTGATAGTTTTGACAACGTGGAATATAAATTATGAAGCATACCTAGAACGACCTTCTATGTGCGAACCCAATGGATGCAGTGGCCAGGGTCGTTGAGTTTATGGCTGCCCGCATGAGTAAACAGCTACTTGAATACTAGATATTAGTTCGCGAACCTGTTCGAAATTCGCGAATTTTGACGAATCGAATCGCCCATAGATTCGAAGCCCGAAATTCAAGGTTCGAATTCGATTCGATTCATTGAAATTCGCGAACTTCGAATAGTTCGAAAGTTCGTGCGGAGCAGTAGTTCAAACAAGCGAAAAGCTGACGATGGCCCGTAAACCCCCAAGGAGAGTACTCTGGTATCTATCAAGCTTCCTATACGTTCTCAATATCCTCATTTGAGAGCCATTTTTGAACTTGATTTGTGCGTCAATTTAAAGGCCCTCATGGTATAACATGCATAAATGACAAGGGAAGAATATTGATTAATGGTACGACGCAGGTGACACTTGCTGTTAAAATCATTAGCAGATGTCAAGGGCGAAGAATGAATATCACGTCCGGAAACGCTATTATCCTCAATAATTCTGTGAAACTTTCCAGAAGTGGAAATAAATAATACATGACCATCATTTGATCCTAGCAGATACGTGAGATTTGATCTTCAATTTTCGTTAAATTGCATTGCAGCCTTGCATGATTCTCCACGGTTCATCCTAAATATGAATTGAGCTATCATTCAATAGTTTCCGACACCCTGTTCCCAAACCGTGGCAAGAGTCAGAATCGCTGTAGGGATCTCCAATCTCATCGGCTTCTCTCAACCTTGCAGTCCTTGCACTGCTTTTCCTTGTCATTAAAGCTGCTGACCGGCGCATCCTTGCCCACTGTGGCCGTTTCTTTCTTGCCGGTCGAAGGCGAGTCATTCAAGCGCGAATTACGATGGGACGTTAGAATAGGACAAGGGAAGTGGGAGGCCTAATAATTAGCATATTTTACTCAAGTATCATCTGAAGATGACATACCATTTGATGGGAAACAAAATTCCAGAACCCCGGCTCGTCTGCTGAAACAATGTGTACTTCGCCAGTTTCACGAATGCGAATCCCGACGCACACATCAGCATGGCAGAGGGCGCTGTATTCGAGAGCTTTCTTTATGAGTCCTGCTCTGCGGCGGCATCTTTTTTGACGCACTAGTTTTCTGGATTTCGATTGTGTAGCAAGTGTGCTCTCGCTTGCGGTCATTTTAGATCGTGCAAAGGTGGGTGATATTTTGATGCGATGCTGGAACTCGAAAGCTCAAATTTAAAGCAGCAGACTACACGTCATTTAAGAAAGCGGTATGAAATTTCTTCATTTACCAATAAAACTCATGGGTTCCCTCAAAGTTCAGCTTGGTCAAATGGCACAGCTATTGACCTAACTTTGAAGGCCGCTCTTCGAAGAAATGCGTCGCGGGGACTAAACAGAACGCAATCTTGGATCTGTTCCACTTCACCAGTTGAACAAACACCCATCTTCTAAAACATTGGCTTGCAATAAACTTTAAAAACTTCCAAGCTTCCATGGGATATTCATTTGTCATCGGGTCAAATAAAAAAGTCACGCATGGCATCCTAGTAAAATGCTGATGCCAGATGTAGCTAGCTCCAGCAAGATTTGGTATCGACTCGATGCTGTACTGTTATGTGCCGCTCAAGTAGCGGCTTCATCCCCGCCTATTGAGATGAGCGGTGCATGACTCGCAATTCAAGGTTGAACCGCAGTGCACACCTGATCATCATCAATTACCATTCCCACTATTAATACCAAGCGATCGATAAAGAGGCCAGAAGAGAAGCTTTGGATTTCAATGGCAACTGAATTCTTACCTAGAAGATAGTCTTTCACAGTACGCTGCTCCGTTGATATTGGCAGACCTCGATAGCGCTATTATATTGTTGGAGTTTAGGTAGCATGTGCATGATAGCTGTGAGAAGATCGCAGAGAATGCAAAGAGGGCTTCACATCATACAATGTTCGCATTGGTTCCTTCTTGTATCTTTGCAACGTTGACATAAACCCCCGTAGAGCTAGACAAGGAAGAAATGCGCAACGCCAATCTATATGTTGTTTCCCCCCATACAGTGATAGCTTTCCTCCAGCGTAAAAAGGGAACGTGACCCAGCGACAAATACTGCACAGGGTCCTAGGATAAAGACAATGTCTGAAAATTAATCCTAAGGTTGAGAAAACGGGTTTGAGAAATTCTTTTACATAAATGAAGAAAGAGGGCCTTCAACTTAACCTAGATATATTGATGTTGGGGTAATTGATTCTCTGCGCCTGGCGTGCATTTTCTGTCGCGCGTCCACCGCTCGTCAGACGGTCTTTTTTTCTGCCGTCTTTTTTTCTGCCGTCTTTTTTTCTGCCGTCTTTTTTTCTGCCGTCTTTTTTTCTGCCGTCTTTTTTTCTGCCGTCTTTTTTTCTGCCGTCCTTTTTTCTGCCGTCCTTTTTTCTGCCGTCTTTTTTTCTGCTATTTTTTTGCCGTCTTTTTTCTCCTGTAGGGAAATAGCAAAGAACATGCAAAGCCACAAAATATCGAGAAATTGATAAACAATGACCTTCTCGCCTGTCGAAAGCCTCCCTGGGAATATTCCGGTTAAAGAGCTGAAGCGGGCTGCTGCCAGATTGCCCTGATATTACAGCAATGTGGCCAGCTGGTCATGGTACCTGGTGTTGCAAGCCTACAACGGGTGCACAGAAATGGAAACCTTTCCGAGCTACTACGCTGCAACAAAGGTATAATTCACCATGCTCTCCGTTGGTGTGCAAACGATTGTTTTTCCGCGAAATAAGCAACAGCTTCTTAATAAATTTTGAGCGATAACTTTATTTTACTTTTTCCAAGTTTGCTTCTTTCGTACTTAGACAAAGCCCGTATGCCGGTTCCATCAGCCTTGTAAATGGCAGTATTGATTGTCATTAGACAGTCGTTCAAAATTTATGGACGCTGCCCCTTTTCTAAAACTATGACCCTTAAGTCATGTGGTATCCTCCCCAGAGCGTTTAAGCTTGGCGATAACGGCGACGACGGGGCCAGTGCAAACTTGCACTCGATGATTAGACAGGTCATCGGAGAGCCTTTGGGCAATAATAGAGGGTTCCTCAATATGGTGATTAGATGTTCGGCGGTCTGTCAGCTGGCCCGTACAACAAGGCGGCAGCCGAATGTGAGAATGCCGCTGCAAATAAACCCTAGATCGCCAGGATAGCGTTCAAGGAGAGTTTCCCACGCTGAACTGATAAAAGGAGAAGCAGAGTTACGCAGAGGCGGAAGGGAAGAGTCAAATATCTTAAATTGAATAGAAGTGTTGGGACGCGGGGCTGGCCAGCTGGTTGGCGGCGATAGCGTTTGGATTATATCAAGGCAGGCTGTGGCGTGGTCCTAACTCGCTGGTTTCACTTTGCAGCTTATCATAAATGGTCGTTACTGCATTTAGAGCAAACGTGCCTACGGTGACAAGTTCGCCAGTAGCAACCAGCAGAAGAGTTGAACTTTTCACAAATGACACAATCGTTGTTTGGGGCGGCGGTTGAGCGCGTTGATCGTGTGGTTGGGGTAGTTGGTGCCGTCTTTGCTGGGAGTACGTTGTCGGGGCGTAAGTAGGAGCTTTCGAGAGCTTTCCCGATTTCCCAGTCGCCAAGAGAAACGGTGAGGTCGCCTTTATCGACGACCATCTGGTGGTGGTCTAAGGACATTTGCAGGATACACTCCTGCCACTTATATGCCCTAGCAAGGTCACAAATACGGCGGTGAAAAAGAACTATTCCACTGATGCATAGTAAGTGCTTGGCAGCAAAGAAATCACACCAAATAGCAATGTAATTACTGAAGCAGTGGGCCCACAGGGATGCGGCTTTTTCCCCAGTCCTTGATTAGAACCACCTTGTGGAATTGCAGGCCAGACGAAGTGGACTTTAAGTCGGAGGGATCGCCATCTGGTGCCGTGGCTTTGAACTCGGGGCTGCGAAGTTTTATGAGGTCCTTCTTTGGGCGGAAGGTGTGTTCGAAAACGGCTATAATGGCAGCACGGTCGAGACCGGGCAAGCGGGGGAGGACTGGCAAAACAAGAGATGGGACCCTACCGTCGTCGAAGTCCTCGTCTGTGGTGAGATCTATAGGTGGGCGCTTACGCTGCCCGTCACCCGCAACAAGGGAAGCAGACACGGTGGACATGAATGAATCGCGTTGGGTATCAGAGAGGGAATTCCAAATATACTCCGGTGGGTAGAACGAGGAGCCCAAGGTGGTCTGTCCCCCAGGACTAGGACTGGGGCCTCGGAACTATGTCGCACTATTCAACATTGTAAGAGGAACTCTTGAAAGAAGAAATCGCTGCGAAGAGAGCCCAACTCTCCTTCGAAGCGGCGATATTCCGCTTCGAAGGAGAGGATATACGAAAATATCTGTGTGCGATTACAAGCACGGAATATCATGGACCCGACGCAATTGGGGGGGCTCTCCGCAACAATCCCGAATAGAACATATCATCTTTTGAAACCCTCCCCCCCCTCCCCGTTGACTCCTATCTCCTGCTCCTGTCCCTCCACTCTCCCTCCCTGTCACAACCCATCTATCCTCGTCAAGTCTGTCCAAAAAGCATGACTTCTCATAAAAGACCAAGGCAGGTTACCCTCTCTTCTGAGGAAACTCATTCCGATGATCCCTTGGATGACACGGATAGTGAGTGGGAGAGGATCACAGAAGACCCTGTCAAGCGAGTCGCCTTTGAAAGAAAGTGCATTGAAGATGAGCTCACCGATCAGAAACGAGTAATTTTATTGCAAGAAAGTCCCAGCAGAAGGAGTCACTGTCGTTTCTGGGACTGTGTTCCTAGGAAGTTGAATGGAGAACCCAATATCAGGTCTGCTTTTCGTTTCAATGTTAAAGACCTTTCCGGTCGATACTATGGTAAGTCCTCACAGTCCCGAAAAAATCTACCTTGAATCTCACCAATAGTAGAACCGAACAAGTACTATCATGTGTCATGCATGGAGCAAATATTTCCCGACCTGAGTTCCCTGGTAGAGCGGGAGGTTTTGCATATGGAAGGCGGGGTCACCCAGCTGACCTCAGCCTGCTGGCAGATATCACAGTTTCACAATGCCATTGAAGATTGGTTCCGCTTTAAGGGCCGTACCTTCGAAGTGGACATATACGATCGATTCCGAAGAGCACATGCCAAGTGGGACCGGAAAGACAGCACAGTGGAGATCAACCATCAACTCGGGGATCATGAGGGTAGTCGTCAGGATTGTGAGAAGTGTGAAGAAGTGCCGGATGAACCACTGAGAAAAGATTACTTTCCTGAAGAGCCTCGCAGTAGCCTACTGAGTGAAGTTCTGGCCTCCGTGGTTGGCGTGGGACACTTGGATGGATTAGATGGAGATTCGAATGCTCGCCGTTGTAAGAAGATTCGGCGCAGCTAGTACTGCTATAATTTGTCGATCATATTGTTGCTCTGATATTATGACTATGAATCGTTTTTAGATGTCTCGGCTACGAGTGATCATTCTTTTCTCAAAATCAACAATTGTGCGATCAGAGATTGGCATGTTGTTTACGCTTTACCTCGCTTTGTAAGACACAGCTAAAGAGAAAAAACAAAAGGCACATCTAATATTTATGATAGTTGTAGGCCAAGAGATGGTAAAGGTAAACAGGAGACAGTTCCATGCACTCTTTCCGCATGGTTCAGCAGTCCCGATTTTGACATCAGCTTTTCGCCGCAAACGTGGCACTGGCAGTGCATATCATTCGGGAACGGCTTGATATGCCGGTTGACAAAGTGCCGACTGAGAGAACCAGGGTTCTTGTACATTCTCAGACGCTCATTTTCGGGCAGCCCAGCATTACCAAGGCAAATAAAGCAGATCGTTGGTCTTTCCTTTTCGTTTTTGACGCAGACAGAAGCGATGGCTTGAGAAAAAGTATCGTCTCTCTCTTCTGGAAGGGTGAAATTCTGCCTCTTAGGCACGGGGGCAGCAGCGGGTACATCAACTGCATCGAGCGGGCGTTTCTGCGGTGGAGGACGCGAGGGAGCACCTTCTTCCGCATCACAGACAGCAATCACCGCATTGATTGCAGCAATTCGGCGTTCGGTTTCTTTTTCGACTGTCTTCCCTGGCATAGTCAAGACACTGTCGATAAGCGTCATATGCTGTGGTGTCATATAGCCTGTACGCTGCAACGCACCCATAACTTCTTCATCAACAACCTTTCCGGCAAGTTGCCGCTCGCTGTCTATCACTGGCTGCTCCTCTTTGTACCGCTCTAAGTTCTCGCGAATCAAGCGGTGCTTTTGCCTTCTCTTCTCATTTCTCAACTGCCTCACTGAGTGCTGAAACAGGTCCTCTGCGCGATCGTATTTCTGGCACAATTTCTCCACGTTTTTCTTTTGAGTTCTCCACCGCTTGTGAATTCTTCGGAAACCCTGAGTTGCAGGACTCTTCTGCGGGGGATCATCGCCAAATTCCCGCTGAAATGCGGCCTGCGCATTTTCGTACGTACGCTTCTTGACATCTCGGATCCGTGAGCGCGCCTGCTTCCTCTCTTCCAAGGAATGCACATGAGGAATGTCATTGATACAGCTCGAGTCCTCTAGCCGGTATGGTCTCCGAGGATCAATGGACCGACTCATTGAACAGGCAAACCGCATGAGTTGCTTCTGGGCGGGCAGGCCCCTTACAATTGCCTGAGTGTCCACATGAATACCCACGCTGTAGTGCCGAACAAAGGTGTCAATACTTGCATGCTGCAGCATAACGTTCTGTAACTCATTCGATACATCCGCTGATTGGGGGATTCCATTAGCCACCTAGTTATATAATGCGGAATTTGTGACTCACGACTATCATTAAATGCTTTCGCTGCGCCGTATCGAAGGCAATACGGCTTCGCGACTTCTTCAAAGCCTGTGATCTCACCACCTCGTTTCATTCGGTAGCTTAGCCATCCTTTATTAAGACTCTTTTCCAGCGCTATCCGAATTCCGTCCGGTTCTCGTAGTGCGTGACAGAAAACATGTCGATCGAGGATTTCATCCTTGAGCTTCAATTCCTGCTGTCCAAGTCCACTGAGGACCCGAAGACTGTATAATTTCTCTGGACAGTTCATCACCGGGCCGTCTTTGGACAGACTTTTAAACGCGCCAATCCTAAATAGCATGCCCAGCAGGAAAACATGAGGACTGAGGACCAAGGTAGGGTCGAAGATAATTTCCGGGATCGGGAATGTGTTCCTAATTGAAATGATCAGCAAAATGGCGGAGACAATGATGTGACTGAAGAAGGATAGGAAGGAGGAAGGAATGACTTTTCAAGGGGATATTCTCACGATTCTTTCTCGCCGAGAAATGACTTTGTGAATTCTGGCCTCAGGTAGATAAAAAGTCTGGGGCGTCCTCCATCCGGATCCCGGATTAACGTCAACTTTAGATCCTGGAAGCGAAGTTGTAGCAACGCTCCGGGCCGACTACCGGTAATAGCCGCTAGCTGGCAGAATAGGAGGAGTTGGATCCGGTACCAGCCACAAGGGAAAGTCATTTCTGTGGTGGACAGGATTACTCGGGCGAATTCAGCCACGTCCTCGACATACATGGTCGCTTTGGGGCGCTTCTTGAGGGAAAGCTTTTTGTCCGTGGCCACTATCGCGAGCACCTATGGAACGTCAGCGGGGTACAATCGATGCCGGTTCTGAAACTCAACCATGATCTTACATCGCGGACCTTGACCTGGATATCCTTGCTGAGACCGTGTCCAACCTCGGCCGTGTATATCAGATGCCACCACTTCCAGAATGCGTCAAGTGTGCTTTTTTTGTTCACTCCTGCGGTGCGACGTCCATCCTTTCCCCGTCGCTGGTCACAGCGCCAGGAGAAGAGGGCTTTAAGGAAGCGGACCGTCTGCTCTGTATCAGAGAGCCAGGAAAGACATTCTACCGGATCACGGTTTGTGCCTCGGCAAAACCTGCGAAAAAACATCAGCGAACCAGGCCATGTAAACGGCTTGCTCTAGTGGTATCCTACCTGTCCCAGAAATCCTGCGTCTCATCCAACCGCTCTTGAGTTTTCGGACTGTAACGTTTCTGTCGGAGCTTGGAGACATCTAGAGACTCGGCTTCTCGAAGGTAGTGTTCTGGTGAAAGTTGCTCCTCTTCATCATCTAGCGCCAGCTCATCCTCAGACTCAAGCTCAGCTTCGGATTCGCTGCTGGTGTCGAGGTCGCTGGCTGCAGTGGAGGAATCAGAGTCGGAGGCGTTGTTCGAGAAGACATCTGGCAGAACTGAGCTGGCGTCGCTGTCGTCGTCAGCTGGAACTGGGGACGGCGAGGCAGGCATGGCAGCGGATTACAGTGCGTGACAGAGGCGGCAAGAGGACTACAGAGACCTGCTGAAGCACGAGAGGGGGGGTGGTCGAGGCTGATATTATTTCAGTTTGGACGAGTCATCTGTTGGAAACTCGGGCTTGGAGCTGGAAAAGCTGCTGGAAAGCGAGCGAGGACTGCCGGTCGGGGACCATGCTTGGGGGTATTTATGGAAACTCAGAGAATCAGAACGGTCAACAGGGGAGCCAAAAATGGCTCCCCTCCCACCTTGACTGGGAGTTTGAGCGAACATGGGACCCTGCGGCGGCGGCTGCAGCACGAATGGACATGGGCTGGAACGATGGGTCAGGCACCAGGAACAGCCGACAGGACGCTCGGGTGGCATTAGATGGTGAGGCCGTGGTCTTTGGCACACGTGACGCCAAGACCGCCCACGGTGAGCGGGCGGCTTAAAACGGCGTCAAAGGCCGCCGTTTCTGGCCTCCAATTCACCGTGTCATCGCTATTTCTAGTTATTATTAATTCTATATAGTTTTAACTTTCTAGAGATTAACTTCTAGACCTTCTATACTAATAAAGAATCCTAGGAATTTGGTATAAGTTATATAGAACTTATATTTCTCTAGAGAGGCTTATAGACTAGTATTAATTAGTTGCTATAGTATTTTATTTATATATTTAATATATTCCTTTAGTAAATTACTATAAATCAAGATATTATCTATATATACTGTATAAAAGTTATTAAGGTATTCTACTAACGTTATATTAATAAAATACTAAAATATAATAGGAGTATTAGTAAGCCCGAATAATATTACTTTATATTTAAATATCCTATATTATATCTGAAAGATTGTTAAATCCTCTGAGTCTATATATATCTAGATATAGTAGAATCCCTGTTGGATATCTAGTCTTATAAAGATCTTTACACCTACTACTTACTATAATAGCTTATTAATCAGTAGGATAGGATATTTATCCTTCTTAGTAATAGTATTTAACCTCTAGTAATTAATATAGAAGTATATCTTCCTACTAGGTATCCTAGCTATTAGGATAGGTAATATAAAGGGTATAGAGCTTAGCTTAATAAAGCTAAGGTGGAGCTTCTTAGTAATATACTTCTTATAGACTTTTAGTTTTTTAAGGAATTACTTATAGAGAGGGTAGTATCCTAGATTAAAGATACTATTTATCTAAATAATATAATTAGTACTACCCTACTATAGTAGTATATTATTTAACTCTAGCTTAGAAAATACTTATACTAAGTAGTGATATACTATTAATATCTTCTTCTTAATCTCTATAACCTCTTCTTATAGAGATATCTTTTTAATAATATAATCGATCTTATAGAGTAAAGTTATAAAGGTCTCTATATCTTCCTTCTTTATATATTAATAGAATCCTATTACTCCGATTATTATAATCTTAGGGGGAGGAAGGAGATAGGATAATACCTCCTTAGGCTACTTTGGGAGTAATTCAGTACTAGTTAAAGCCCTATCTATCTTTGCTTATAATTCTTAGTGGTTATATTATTGTCTAGCTAGATAGCTATATTTTAATTAGGGCTCTAGAGACTCTTCCTAAGGTGTAGGCTCTTTAAGTATAAGAATAAGATTGTTTAGCTAAATAAGCCTATTGTTATAATAGTCTATTAGGATATAGTATTGTATAAACTAGTCCTAACCTAGGATTATATAATATTAATCTAGGTCTACGATTAAGAAGGGCAGCCCGGTTATCTTCTGTTTGTCTATTGTTAAATTTAATCGCACTTCGTGGGTGATAGACTTATCTTTATATCTGTTAAAATCCTTTAGGATTATTGGAACTGGAAGATAATAGTTCTTTAATCTGAATTTTTCTAAAGATATAATAAATACTATATCTATATATATAAATCCGGTAGCTCTAGTATTACCTAATGCTAATATAGGATAAGAATATTTATTAAAGGCTATCTTTGTCTTAAGTATAAATTTTTTACTTATAGATATATCTTCTATATTTAACTTAGGGATTAATATCTCTCTACTTATTAAGAAAACTAATGATAAGCCTAATCTTTTCCTGCTTTAATATTTGCTTCTAGTTTTATTATTTTAACTATAATAAGGGTCTTTCTGGTTGTAGCCTTAGCTATAAGATAAGCTATATGGATAGGATAATCCTTACTATAATAGTCTTATTTATTATACTTATAATAATATCCTTCTTTTTACTATCTCTAGAGTTTAGTTGTATTTAACTTTAGGTATAAGATAGCTAAAGAGGATTGGTTAGGAAGGTCTATAATAGGCTTTATATTCTATATATTCTGTGTCCTACCGGTATTATTAGTAATATTAGTAGTAGTAGCTATAGTTGTAATAGCCTTTATAGTCTTTGTCTGTTGGGTATTAGTATCTATAATCTCTAGGATAGATATAATATAATAAGCCTTCTCTATATAGTCTAGGAAAGTAATACCGATCTTTAAGATCTTTCTAATAAGCTTATATTATAGCTTAGGGGTTAACTTCTGATGGAGAAGTTTTATATATTTATTGCGGGGAATAACAGCATTATTAGCCAATTAGATAAATTCAGTAAGGAAGACTGTGAATTTCTCTATTTTCTTTATATAAAGCTTCTTAAAGTCAAATTTGGTATGATCCTAATAGACTGGGTCTCTATAGATCTACTCTAAATAGTCTAAGATATTATTACTATTATTAAGAGTATTATTATTATTATTGTTTAGGAGAGGTATAATCTAATTATATATAGCTCTAGTTAACTAACTTGTTATATATATCTTATGTAGATTAAGAGTTAAGAAATGATTTGTATTTATATATAGCTTTAATTCTATAGTAGTATACTAACTATAAAACTTTATATTGGTCTTACTTCTATTAGTAAATAATAGGGGATTAGTAAACTTATAGGTCCTTACTTTAGTTTTTTTAGATACTAGTACTTCTAGTTAGAGAGTATTATATATATTATTAAGAGCCTATCGAAGTTTATCTCTCTTTTATTTAGTTTCTTAAAGCTATTAGAGATATTGCTTTAAAAGATCCTAAAGCTAAGTAATATCTATATAATTCTATTTATAGGTATTAATTCTTTTATAAATTGTATTTAGCTTATCTACTATATCTTTCTAGATATTAAATAAGTATCTATATCGATATAGATCCTTCTATAGGTACTCTTATAGATCCTTAGGTTAGCTAAACTTAATAAAACTATCCTCTAGGTCTAGTTTAGAGAGATCTAGATAGGTAAAGATAAATAATCTCTAATCTTTTTTTAGACTTAGAGGATTAAGCTTCTTTGTACTGTCGGGTTATCTATAACTACTATTACCGTTAGTAGGTTCTTTAGATTTAGTTCTATATATTAGTATCTTATCAATAGTAAGGATTTCATAAACTATAGTAATTTATTTGTTCAGGGAATATAAGATAGATAAGACGTAATCTAATTGGCTGAGATATACTTCCAAATAGATATAGGTCTATACAGCTTTAAGTAATATAAAATAATCTTTGATATAATGTAAGAACCAGAAAACAGAAGAACTTTCGTACGATTTAACTAAAATATTAAAGATAAAGAAAAAGGAAAGAGGGGAGTTAGGCTCCTATACATTATTATACAGGAGAATCAGATGGGTGTGGGATTATGTGATCTATTATGTGATCCCGCAACCTCATAACCTCAACATTAGTATTAACTCAGCATCGGTTCGTTACAGATTGTCTGATTGGAGTTTCGGCTGAGTTTGGAGAAGCTTCTTTCAATATAGATCTACTAGAGGAAGAGATGATTTCAGTATCTGATTGACTCAGTAAAGCTATTGCAATGGGGACAGAGGGTGCCTCCAAAAGTCGTGGATTAATATTTTTCATCTTGAGGTCGATGGAGGAGGCGGGAGTCTTAGTCTTTTATCGATTCCCTATCTCTAAAGATACTTCTCTAGATGAAATATCGTTGTAGCTAGTTGGTAATACCTATGGGAGATAACACAATTTAATTTTGATATTATATGAATGTTCAGTAGAAGCATAGACCAAGAAATTGGTAATATCGCTGAACTGAGGGACGTTGCGATAGCTTCCCCAATTGCAGCTAATTCCGTTGCGCGTATGGGCCAGATGCATGTCAATTAAGTGGCGACGAAGAGAGTCCTATCGGCTGTGGGGGAATTTATATGGAGGAGGATTCGATGATGATTGGCGAGATAGACCATAGTAAATGATATATATATTCGTTGGACATTCCATAGTGTCTTTGAGGCACAGCAATTCTTCTAACTGATCGAGTAATCCACCTTTATTATCAAAATCCTAGTTAAGCTGATTTCCTTACTTACTTAGCTTGTTTAGTTGCAACAACACAACTATATCCCTAGTAACCTAGATATGTCGAGTAAGTAGCTTGTTATTATTAAAACTCTCTATATCGGGTCTATAAAAGTTTTCCACTAGATATACCCGTTTAGCAAATATATAATTAGAAGCAGGTGGTTCCCAGCTTCAATCATTAGAGTTTTTGTTATTAGAGACTTTATTAGACTTACTAAGGAGTTACTTTATCTGTCTGTTAACTTCAAATATAGATGTATTTTGGAAATGGTCTTTCCTAGCTGCCTCTTATATATTAGTTACTAGCCTTTTTCTAAGTTTAGTAATTTCTTTTTTAATATTCTTATACTTTTAATAAAGGTAAGGAAAGGGTGTTCAAGTGTTCTTCACAGAGCTGGCTAGTGATCATATCTCTGCTATAAACTCTCTTTTCTCCTATTGAAGTTATAAAAGTTCTGGATATTGGTAGATAGTATACTTATATATCGCAGTAAGCTTAGACAGGGTGTAAGGGTCTCTTTTTCTTAGTATACTTCTAATAAAATATATAAGGCCCTCCTAAGATAGTCGAAGAAGAACAACATATTAAAGATCATATCCAATAAATTATGATTAGTAGTGTTTTTTGAAAACAATATCGCTAGACTGGCCAAAGACCCTTTACCGCTCTTAGCTAATGAAATTACCTATATACTACTTGTTAGCCTTAGTAGTACTAAATCTCTATTTCTATAATATTATGATTTTAATAAATTTAGTATATAAATAACTTACGATTAACTTTATTTACCGTCTAACAATAAAAGTTGTAATATCCGATTTTATCTTTAAATCTAGTATCTTAGCCTAGTTCTTTTAGAGCTTACCAACTTAATTTATAAGTTATTACTAGAGAGTTATGGAGTTTATAACTATATAGAGTATATATAAAGTAATATAAGAGAGGTATATTAAGGACTTCTAGCTTCTATTGGAGGGGAAGAGAGAATTAGTACTTAGGAACTTATAGCTGCTAAATAAGCTTAGGTAAGTTTAGTATTAATAAATACTCTATCTCGGAAAACAAACAAGATTATTTAAGTAATCAGGTAATATACTAGTTAATAATCACTATATATAAAAAATTTGGTTCTAGTAGTAAGTATTAGTATTAAATCTATAATATATAAATCTGTGGACTAGGAGTCCTCTTATCTATTAGTACTCTCTAGTTAACCTTTAAGATTATAAAACTCTATGATAGTATAGAGAACATTATATTTACTTTAAGGATCTTTTAGGTAAAAAAGTTTAATATTATAATAGTAGACTAATTCTGGAAGGTCTTTTAATAATATATACTTTAGAAGATTACTTATAAAGATTTTAGCCTATTTGTGTTTGTTAAGGGATAAGTAGTTAGATAAGGAGGTTTCTTATAAAAGTAAGATACTAAGGTAAGTTCTAGTAATAATAGACTATAGCTATACTATAGTAAACTAGATAACTATATTTCTATAATAAAAAAACCTTAAATAGATCTAGTAGTACTAGTAGAGTATATAGAAGATATCTATATCTAAAGTATTCTTATCTTTTGTTTATTAGGGGATTTTGCGCTTGGCCGGGAAGGGATCCTTTAGAAACTATACTACTATTAGCTTAATTTCCTCTAGGATAGAAGGAATACTTATACTTATTATATCTATTTATAGGTGTCCTTATTAATACAGTGATAGACAAATAGCTTGAAATATTGATAAAGGTATCGCCAGTACTTATTATAAGATTATAGTCCTTTTTCCTATAATATTCTAAATATCTAATTAAAAAAATTTATATAGATCGTATAGTCCTCCAGAAGAAGATAGTCTATATAGTTCTTATTCAACTAAATATAAAATCTATTTTTATAAGTTATTCCCTACCTAATATATCTTATTCTAAGAAGTTTCCTATTTACTTTCGCTAGTAACGTTTAACGATAGTAAGACCTAGTAATATCTTCAATTTAAAGTTTAGAGGTAGCTATCTAAGACTATAGAAATATTCTAGTCTAGTTTAAGTTTTCTTGTAAAGAATAGGGTTAGTCTAGTATTAGTATTTATCACCCTAAGTCAACTAAGTAAAAATAGATACTATAGTAAAAAGCCAGGATAAATGGCCAAATTTGGAATCTCGAAACACAGCCAATAAGGTTGTTAAGATCGAATTTGGGAGAGAAGGTTAGGGATAAGGAGAAAACTAAGAGAACGCAAGAACACCGAAAGAAAGGGAGGAAGAGGTATCTTATAGGCACCTAGACAAACAAAACAAAAAGAGAGGGCACCTAGATAGGACCACAAAGAGAAGCCACTTTCGGTATCATTTAGTCGCAAGTAGAATCTAAGGGAATGACTGTTGAGCAAGCGCCAAACAATAGGACCAGTTAATAATAACTAAAGGCGCTAAGTAGGTGCAAAATAGTAATAGTGCTGGACAATAGGCGGTGAAGCGCTCGCTCGCCCTCCAAAGTTACGGGTGGAAAAGCGGCCGTTTCTGGCGTCAAAGGCTGTCATTTTCGGCGTCCTTTTCACAGGTCCTTATATTCTACTTGTAATTCTTTTTCTCTCTTTCTGTATTTCCTTTCTAATTTTGTTATCAAAATGTCCATTGAAATGGACACTCATGGCACTTTTACGTCGCTTTAAGGAAGTCGAGTCGTGTCACTTTCTATCTACCTGATGCTTTCTCAATACCCTCGAAAGGGTTTACACAGAACCTGGCCTTGGTCAATGGCTGTGACATCGTTTGGATGTAACTGTACAGCCATCGATTTCCCATAGCAGAATCAAGCCAGATGTCGCATACCAGGCAGGACCTCTATGTTAAGCTCAGCATCGCTCGCCGGTTCTTTTTATTTGTCTTTCTAGTTGTCTTTCCAATTAGTTCTCTACATTATCTATGTAGAGCTTACAGTACAGGTAGCTGTGTAATCGGTAGTAAAGTCTATCTATGGCCAAGGGGGGGTTTTCCCCCGATGATCGTCATTGTCCCACGTACCTATAAGAATAAGGGCAAATAAAAGACTTTGTTAAGCCAAGGGTAAAGACACGTATGAAAGTTTCCTCGTTGAAAGAATTATATACACTAGAACAAGGTAAAGCCACATTCACATTCACGGTCCCAATATGAGACCGACACCGCGGACCAAGATAAAAGGTGTAATTTTAAGAGACAATAAACGTTAGAGAGGGTATCCGATAGACTTTTCCACAACCACTCTCATGAACAGCCGAAAACCAGTCACAAGATTGAGTAGCTAAAAACCACTCGATGCCATCTGTTTTATACCAATGCCCAACAAATGGCAATGGCAAAGGGAGACGCGACTTTTTTTACTTGATTTGGAAAACCTGGTTGTCATGATTATTTCCTTTTCTCAACTTATGAATCACCTCGGTCAAATCGGCTAAGAACCTCCGCCGGCACAGTGGGAATGTACTTCCGTGCTCGCTCACGATTTGTACCGCCAAGACCAGCACCATAGCTAATCAGCATGTCTGTACTGGTTGGAAGAGAGAAGGGAAGGAAGAGTGTAGGGTCTAAAAAGACACTATTTATATTCGGGCGGTCGTCTCGTGCCGAAGCCGCCAAGCTCATACTCGGGCGGGACGATGCAGCTACCGAGCCGGGAGATGCGTGGCCCTGCTGTTCTGGCGAGGCATGGTTCTCGGATGAATTCTGGTCTTTAGTAGGTGTTTTAGGACGGCCTTCTTCCGTTGTAGGCGGGGGTGCTGATGCCTTCTCTTTCTCTGCTTGGAGTTTTGCTTGTTCGCGGAAGATAATTTCGGGGTCGCGTTGCATTTCCAGAAGATATTTCATGGCTTGTTTGGTTAGGCCCTTTTCGCCGACTTCGGGTCTATATGATTTGACGGCGTGGAGGAGTTGGATTGGAAAGAGCTGTTGGAGTTGGAGGAGAGTTGTGACGAGGGATTCGTGGTCGTCGCCTAGAGAGGAGAAGCATTGGAGCCATTGGAGAAGTTGAATGACGGGGGCTAGATGGCGACGGGCAGAATCGATTGTTGATTCGCCGGTGCTGGTCATAGAGCCGTTTTCGTAGTGTTCGGGTTGTCTGTTGTTTGTGCGGCCCCAGTCTTCTAATGCTGAGACATTCATGCGTATTTGCATGGCTTTTGTTCGTGCTAGGTAGCGTCTTGTACTCATGATACGATTGAAGATCTCGGCGCTGAGCCAATAGAGAAGTTGGGAGATGATTTGGGTAGTGATGACAGAGTGGACGTCATAGAGATCTAGGACGAAGAGTGTTGACGAGAGCAATGATGTGATGTTTCGAGGGGAGACTTGGGCTCGCCGCCGTGGAGAGGGAGGGCGGAATCGTTTCTCTGCTGGTTCAGGGGCCTCGGACTTCTTCTTGCGGAAAAGTTTCCATTCATTTTGAAATGCGACATCTTCTAGTCCTGGGATGGTTTCATGATCCAGCATGGCTGCATCTAGGACTTTGTTCATTCGTCGTTCGGCGTCGCGGATAATTAGAACGAAGATTTCGTTGACTAGCTCCGCTAGATGTAGTTGAAATTCAACGGTTGACTCGACCAACCCGCCATCTTTCTTTAGATAGTGCAGTAGAAGTGTGGCGTTGGAAAGCCAGAATGCCTGCATTGTCATATCCCACTGATGGCGCTCAACAACGTCATTTATCTTTTCCGTTGCAGAGGTTAGAAGCTCAGCAAGTAGCTCGGGACTAGCATGATAGTGAGCATAACGCGCACTGAGAAACAACAAGTTCGCAGGAACGGGCTTTTGAGACGGCGATCGTTGTGGCGTCATGTTGGTGATAATAATATCCAAGATGTGCTCCAGTTCATGATCCTGAAAAACAAACATCTGGTCGTTCAAACAGCGATCCCACACGAATTCCTGCTGCTCCTGTTCGAGATCATCCTCATCCGACGGCTCAAACTTCTCATCCAACCCAAGACTAGACAAATCAACCTCCAAATTGATCGCACTCTCTTCCATCATCATCCGCCTCTTTATCTCATTCTCCGCAAGTTCTTCTTCAAACCGACCATGCGCAAGTCCAGCATCATAGAAATCATCCACAACAGCCCCGGGACCAAAGTTATACCCGTTCTCGTGTAAATACTCCGAAATCTCACTACCGGGCTGCGCAAAGTCAAACGCCGTCCCGCCAGAAGAAGACTTGATATCCGGTGAAGCCCCATGATCAAGCAAGATCTTCGCAATAGCTTTATGTCGATTCGTCATAGCCCACATCAATGCGCTCCACTGGTTCCGATCCTGCTGATCAACAAAGGCACCAGCATCAAGAAGCGCCGAAACAACATCTTGATGCCCGAAACAGCTTGCGTAGATAAGCGGCACTGTCCCTTCCTCATCCTTCATGTTTACATCGATATAACTTTTCGCATCGCCCGTAAGAAGCTTTTGTACTCGTTCCACGTCGCCGTTGCTGGCTGCCATGTTCAGACTCTTTTGTAAGATATCTTTCTTCTCGGCCGTTGACAATTTATCGTCTGTTGCTATGCCTTCTTCGTCTGCGGCTAGGGAGTCAACTTCACGATGTGCTGCTTGCGCTGCGAGCATCTCCATGAGTCGGGAGTCGCTATCTTCGATATCTCGTCCATACTGGGCGCGAAGGTCTGTTTCCGGGTCATGCGTGTGGTCATCAAGGGCTAGGCTGAAAGTAAGAGGTTTCGCAGCGACAGGTGTAGTAAGGAATTGGGATTGTCCTGCCAGTAGCCATAGCTACATGTTAGCAGATGATTCGAGGCAATAATCCTTACGGGATGGCTTTTGCTCGGCGCGAGTAAGTACTGTTCGTAAAACATCTCGTTCCCAGGCACCATTCCCGAGCTCGGACCATAAAGCGTGTGCGTATCTAGCTGAAGATATGGACTTACCCTGCCACGCATCGTACATCTCTGTCTCTTGCTGATATACCGGGACCGAGCGGCGATCATCGAGTGATTTAGGGAGGTCATCGGGCAGTTCTTGAGTTGGTCCAAGGGACGCGGGGCTATGGCCGGGATCAGAGTCGTCGAGCTGGTCCTCTGAAGCCCCGCGCCGCGGCTCGGTGCTGTCCATCGTGGCGGGCCAAAGGTGAGGGAAACACTGAGCGGGACATCCAAGGTATGCGACAAAGGATTAATCCCAGGGTGAAGTGTGAAAGAGAGTCAAAAGATAGTGAGAGGACTCGGTGGATGGGGGTGAAAGGTGGTGGAATTGGGGGTTTCGGGCTGGAAAATGGTGTTCCGCCAGCAGATCAGTTTACTATGACGCACGGCAAATCTATTCTATGTGAAACAATACAACATCAACTTGAACCGAGGTGTGATATTTTAGCCTGTCGATTAAGTTGATGCGATATGATTTATGTCACTACTTTTTCATGAAACAAAAACCAAAGGACCAGTAGTGGTACTAAAGTCAAAGAATTAAAATAAAGCCAAAAATTTATAGTATCGACTTTGCTATGCCAATCCGTGATATCGCCCAATTCCAACGTGTATGCAATGTTCGCTGTAAACGCAATGAATCAAGCAGAAATCCAAACGAGGGTATGAAGAGCAAAAAAAAAGTGCAGATATAGATACAAGGCACATATCAATCGATATATAGCCAAAAAAAAATCAACAATACTCGGTAGCGAGCAGGGGTATGAAAAACAAAAATCCAATCATCAAAGAGGGAATACGAATCAAAAAAAAAACCAAAACATTAAAATCAAAAAAGAGGGGAAATTCATTCAAGATCTTTGCTGCGAGCTTGAATCTCGTCCTCGCGGAGGGATGACATCCAAAGGCACCGTTCAATAACTCCTTGAACGGGCATGAATCGGTACTTGGTGCTCGCGTCGATCAAACGGAGCAGACTCTTGACGAGCCGGGCAGCAGTCCGGTATCGCTCGAAATTAACCAGCAGATCACCTCCCTTACGAGTGATCTGGGCAGGCTTTTGTGCATTATACGTGAGGTCGTGTACATAGAGACCTGAATGATCGACGATTAGCAATTGTAAACGAATAAGAAAATAAAATGGTATTCCACTTACCGATGAAAGGAATACAGCCTTCCCGTAAATTGGCTGTCTCCATCTCAACGCGCAGGTCATGAAAATTGCGAACAGGCTGGATAAGAGCCTCCATGTCTTTGAACAGCCTCCTGTCCTCCAAAGGAACAAGTTGCCAGGTCCTTTGAAGCCGTGAGCAATCCGAGGAAGACAATGCGATGGCAATCTGCAACATAGTTGCATAATTGCAGATGCGCCGAGCATGGGCAGCAGTGTGAATGAACTTGATGATTGTGCGTGCTCGCTCATTGATGTTGCGAGTCAAGACTATCTCAGAGACTACCCATTTCACCACAAGATTGAAGCGCCCAACAACCAAATCAATACCTTTTCGTTCTTCGGAAATGAGGAACTGGACCCAGCTTTCAATGCACTGGGACCCGCTACTCCATCTCATTTCTACCAAGTCTCTCCAATCAACCTCGCTCAGAGCAGCCATTTCAACCAATGTCAATTGTTGCGCAAGCATCTGAGATTCACATGCAAGGACAAACGGCACATGATCAGGACCATGGTCGATAGTGACATTGTATTGCTCGTTCTGCTCTTTCTCTGAGTTGGAAAGAACATCACTAGAGAATTCAGGCACGCGTCTAGGCTGAGGAGTGGCACTTTCCGCCTCACGGCGCCGAGGAGAAGTGTCTGGAGTGAGTGGCTGGGCCTGGAAAAGAACCTTATCCAGAGGCGATACACAAGAGTTGAAGGAGCTTGGATGTTGAATGGTCATAGGAGGAGAGGGAGGGTGTGCCAGTGGGTGAGGTGGAATTTCCACAGTTGACGAATTGAGGCTGCGGGTGTCACTCGATAAACGGCCCTCAATGGCTTCCCGTCTGTCAATGATATCCACAGACATTTCCGACAGATTCCTGGGTGTAACATGCCCCGTGCTACCGGCCGCTAGTTGTGGGATAGTTGAGCCTCTGGGAATGCGTCGAATGCTATCTGTTTCATTGACAATTTGGATCGATGGGTGAGATGACACCAACTCCGAAGTATCTCGACTAGATATAAGGCTGAGAGGAGGTCCCTGTATATCGATAATCTGGCTATGAATATGGGGTCGATTCACGGGTGGCCGTTTCATAGACTCATCAGTGAGACCACGTTCGAGAAGAGGAATGGAATTATACGACTCTTCTGACTCCGCGACGGAGTCAGAATACGGCCTGGGTGGCGCCAGTCGACCCCCAACGGTGGAGTAGCCGGACATATCTGTCTGTCGTCTCCGAGCGAGAGCGTCCCAACCGAGTTGACTCTTGTCAGGTTGCTGTTCAACGCCAGGGTCCAAGTTCTTTTCAAATCCTTTTTCTTCGTCCGGTGGCGGTGAGTTAGGCCATTTGCCCTCCAATTTTAGCAGAGTTGACTCGACACCACCGTCATCATCGTCTGGAATCTGTGCAAAGCGAGCGATAGCTGCTTCAAACGAGCGACGTTTCTGATCACGATTTGGTCGACCCTGAATCAGAGAGTATCGAGGATTCGGAGGAATAAGAGTACTTTGAGGCCTAGATGGAACTTCAGATGCAGTCATTGTGGTTTCTGCTAGAGAGTCATTGTAGGATCGAGCGGTATCAATACTTCCACGTGCGGGCATTTGATCATCACCCACGACCTGCATTTGACGCAAGTTTCCGCCAGGTCTTCTGCGAAGCGCAGGGCCAGAATTTTTACCTCCCAGGTCTTGTCCATATTGCGAGCTCACAGAGGACTTGCCTGCATCGCTATCCATTGAATTGCGCTGTCTGGAAATTCCACTTTGAAAAGAGGCATATTTTCGGAGTCGAAGGGAGAGCGAGACTCGTTTGCGAGGTGCAGCTTGACTCTCGTTAGAGAAAGATCTGCGTTGGGAAGCAATGCTCTGTGGATAAGGCTTCCTTATATCCGAAACTTCGCCATTGAAACAAATCGGAACGGAGTGTTCACTTTTAGCTTGTGTCGATGATGAAACAAGAGATTTAGAAGACATGATAGCCATATCATGGGTATTCAAGTATTGCGTCTGATCATTATCATCTCGATGCTGATCATCTTGTACAGCTCCCGACATTGTAGGAAATTCGAATCCCGTATCATCGACAATGACAATAGATTCACTGCCCATAGTAATACCACTCTTGATCTTCGATTCATTACCCTCCGGAACTTGCAGGGAATCGACAGGAATATTCTCACCGGGTTCCTGGTAGGTTACCTGAACCGTGGGTGTATCGGGCTGTTGTTGAGCATCCTGTTGTGCCGCTTGCTCCATAGCGTCTCGATATTGCTTCAGAGATCGTTCACAGAGAATATCGATTCGTGCAGGGCGCTTTGGTACGGTAGCCATCTTTCTTTCTCGGTAGTACTCAGATCCCAGAGCAATGTGATGTGGCATTGCAGATGTCTTGCCACGAGATGGCAGACTGCTAAGCTCAGATGTGGTTGTCATGCGCGCAGAGACGCTCTGGCCCCCATTCCGGGTATGGAGAGCTCGTCTGATAGAGCCAATTATAGTTTTCATCCCCGAGTTCGATTGCGCCGTCTTTGGACCACCATCTGTACTTCGACGGTCTGAATTAGTTGACGAGGACGGGGCAGCTAGCGGAGGAGAGTCCGGCACCATCATCGCCATGTATGATTCCGCGGGCGGATACAATTCTCCTCGGATGAATCTGACGGGGTCTAACATCTCCTGCGGAGGTGCCGGCGACCCAGAATCCATTCCAGTTGGAAGCCGGTCGTCTCGCACCGAATCAGAAAAGCTACCACTTCTCTTGTGGCCATGAAATGGATGTCGTGAAAGCATTGGTGATGTTGGCGGAGCTTCATTAGGTGAGATTGATTTAGTGAGACCCAATGCAACGGGCCGTGGGGCTTTGCTCCTGGCGTAAGAAGTAGACACCCGTCTAAGGGATTTGGGAGGCAATGAGCATGACAGCGCCAGCATGCTTTGGTCGCTCTTGGAAGAGAATGGGATACTATGTGCAGTGCCAGCTGAGTCGTTTCGATCATGTTGTGTGACAGTAGGAAAGCTCTTCCGAGAACTTGTGTCTACGTGAGGAGTCATCGCAGGAAGCGGGACAGTCTGTTGAGCAGTCTCGTCATCGTGTAGTTCGATCTGAGCGCTTCCAGGCATAATTGCGCTATCAGGATCATTATAGGCTCGAGAATAATCCGACGCTGTCCAGTAAACTGAACACTTGCCATTCCAGCATCGCTTCAGGTCAATAAGAATTTTCAAGTCGCTCGTGCCACCATTTTGTCGAGACTTTACATCTTGATAAAGCTCATTGATAGTCTCACAAAAGTGGGTGCGCAATTGGTAGTTCATAACAAAGTCGTCAACAAAATAATTTAGGATCCAATGGCGGAGAGCCGCAAATGTTCGAATACGGATAATTCGTCCATCTTCTTGGGGACGATTGATCGCCCATTGCAGACGTGCAAGCAGCAAGGCAAGAAGGTGATCGGCCGATAGATAACAACGGAAAGTGAGAAAGAAGTCAGACACCAGCTCATAGTCCATAAAGGACTCTGAAGAGATCTGTGCAACGATTCGGGCAGGCGTGGCAGCACTAATGTCCTTAGTGCCGGGAATATACCGTACAACTGTCTCGCCATCCATATCCGAAACCAAAGTTTCGTATATTGACGGCTGAACTGGACCCTTTAATTCGTAGACCATGGAATTCCTTGGTATGGGAGAGGCGCGACTAAGATCTATAGCTGCAGTCCCCGAAAACATTGAAACCGCAAAAGACGCACGATGACGCGAAAATGAATCTCGACTGTATGCACCTGGGCGCCCCGGCATGGGGTCAATCATTCCACCAAGTAGAGTTGAATTTCGAAAATTATCGGACATTGAGGTCCGCGTGTAGACGGAACTGTGCAGCATCGCACTACCTTCGGTATTGAATCGTGGCGACCCCAGGCGATAATGGGGAATGGGGATTTCCAATGCTGTGTCAGGCGAGTTTTCATTTGCAGTTTTAGGTCGGTCCTCAGATCGATCGATGACAATGCGTAACTCCCCACGTTTCCCTGCGCCAGATACTGATTGTTTATCCGATATCGTCGAGAACGAATTTGGTCGCTGCCGAGAACGCGTTTCTATTTCAGGTTGGGATGCTTCGATAAAAGCCGGTTTATATTCGTCTCGTACTCGTTCACGTGGGCGCAGCTCAGAGAGCTGGGAACTGGACCACCTCGATGGGTCATCTCGAGCTTGGGCGGTTCTGTGCGGCTGAAGGCGATCGGTCGTCACTTGATCAATAGATGAAAAGGGCACTATTGGGGGATCTTTCTGGGGTGTATTCGCAATCGGCCTGGAGATGGGGGGCGTATTGTCAGCATGCTGCATCACGATGTGCGACACGGGCCCGGACGTGCCGCAAAGAATATTGCAGACAGGGTATTTGAGATTGGGATATTTAGCAAGAATCGCGATCGTACCTGAGAAAGATCTTTCCATTCTGGCCGACACTGCCAACCGTAAAATGACCTGCTCGGCGGCCGGCTGGGCGCGCCTCTAATGGGCCGCGGTGCGTCTGGGATCGTTGCAATGGTCGGTCATTTCGTAATAACTCATGACTATCTTTGGCTCGTAGTGCTGCTGCCCCTGGCGCAGTTCCCGTCGTTGTAGTTCTTTCCCGGTTGGCTTTCAATTCCAGGTTCTTTTTTATCGAACTCCCCTGTGCTACTGTGTTCGCCCGGCGTAAATAGGTGGATTTCGCAGCGGGGCCGCTGCGTGTTCGGTCTGGGGTTCGTAATTCATCGATTCGAACTTGGGGCCGGGATAGATCTTTGGAATGTACGGGCCGATCCAGAGTAGTCGGGAATGGCTCCATGGTGAATTACCATAGGAACTTATTCGCAGGGATGGGTGGGCTATAGCTCTGGTATGAACCGCGCGCGACGCGGTTGCGGGGCCCGTATGTTGCTCACAGGCAAACGTCTCTCAACGAATGCATGGAGGCAGACCAGGTTGAGATTCAAAGTCGTACGAGGAGAATTGGATAAGAAATAAAAAACCAAAAGGAGATATCCGGAGGGGGAACCCAGAGAAGGAAGGAAAAAAAATAAAGGAACCACAGCTCTGTTTTCTTGGGTTTACGGGGAACGGGGGACCCGACACTACGGGACCAAACCGTTGCCACTTGGAGTTCACAGTGGACTTTCTCCCATACTCTCTCTACCTACCTTCCCTTCTATTTCACGATAATCTGTTCTTCTATTTTCCCCCTACATAAATCATCATTTTAATGGATCTATCTACTGATTCATCCTCGTCAATTTGTGCGAGATCCCATCTCCTGCCATCACACCCGTCATCATCTAAGATGATAGGTCCACTGTACCCTTGTCACCCGCCTCACGCCCCTCCGGTGAAGCGACCTACATTAGGGGCGAGTTCCGTGCCCTGAGTGGCTACAGGCCCCGCCGTTAATCCCCTTCTCCACCGTGAGTTCGGCTCACTGGGACGCGCTTTTGGGTATGAGGAGCTGATAGATGGAGCTTTCAGCTATGACACGTCCCGTTCAGACTCCATCTATAAATCCTTTCTTTTTCCCAGCAAACTGGATGGTCTCATGCAGTTCCACCATAAACGGATCCACTGGGGGCCTCAAGGCAACTTGTTGCATGATGCAGCGAGATTTGTGCAGAGATCCCTGACGACTAACCTCGATTCCCTGTTTTTCCTACTGTGTACTATTTAAAAATAAACCCACCCATCATATCATCTCATACACTCGATTCTGTCGTGGACTTATCAATCCTACGCTAATGTACCCGGGGGTGCGTATCACGGGATGATCTATGATCGCGCATCTCACATGATTCAATTGTTGGGGATCGACTGAGGATCCCGATCGTCTCTTTTCCAAACAGTTGAGTTTCTCTTTCCCCCCCTCTTTTAGAATAAAATCCCCGGCCCACAACTCTTGTTCCGGCTGCTGGCCGATCGAGATTGACCGCCCCTCATGATCGACAACTTTCCTCGCTTCGGAGGGAAATAAAAGCTAGTCTAAACGGTGATCGGCATGGAGGGGGTCTGGAAAAGGGATATGTACCACTGAAAATGCATACTACCTAGGCTTGGGATCTTCACTTCAACCGTATTCTTGCAAGCCCTACGGATGGGCTTTCGATGGATTTGCAAAAAAGCTCGCTCCAGATTGTGCCGACTGACACTGTCTCATTTGTCCGTGCAGAATACATATGTACATAATTGGCGGGGCGTAAAGTCTCGGACTCCGAGATTGTCTATTGCTTCTGAGGAATGTGAACTGGTCTTATGCAGATCAGAGACAACAGCATGTGCCATGTACTACTATGCGCCCCTCGGCAGGTAAGTATTCACCTTTTAGGTCCGCGGTGTGAATGCATTTACAGTATCCTGTTCACACATACCTATATGTATGTATCCATGGTTACGGGGTGTAAGGAAGGCATCAAGTCGAGGCAACCATGTAGTATAAAGAGCAACTAGAAGGAGGTGATCATATGTAAAAAACAGATTATGTGTATTGGACCCCGTCATTTCTTGTGGCTGATGAGCGATGTAAACTAAAGTGAAATGAAACCGAGAACCCTGCAAATAGAACACCAGCCATATCAAATGGCCAGTTAAGAGCCCGGCTCCTCGATATTACCTATTCTATCGATCACCAGAGCTTGCAAACTGGCTCCTTCGTGGGACATTGGAACGCTTCCTTAAACTCTCTCGAGTTGGCCATTGTGTTCTGTAAGAATGACATTGATTAGTAAAAGAAGAAACCTTACATGATGTTATGAGCTCTGTGGCTGAAACTTACGATAATTCGTGCTGATTTAGGCGCGTGTGGGTCGTTATAGACAGATTCCTCGGCCGCCTCTTTGGTATTCTTACCACACCACCAGTTGCCATAGGAGATAAAGAATAGCTGCTCCTTGGTAAAAGCATCTAGTCCAGGGAGGTGAAGATCAGGCTTCGCGTCATCACGTTTCTTCCATGCGTGGAACGAAGCACCTAGACCACCGGCGTCCGCAATGTTCTCGCCTAGGGTCAAGCGCCCATTGACATGCAGAATTTTGCCATTTGGTCCTTCGACAGTGAATTTGGAGTATTGGTCAATAAAACATTGAGCGCGTTCTTCGAAAGCCTTGACCGTTTCATCATCCCACCAGTTGGTATAGTTGCCAGATTCATCATAGTGACGACCTGTAGAATCAAAGGCATGCGAAAGCTCATGACCACTCACAGACCCGAACGCTCCATAGGCAAGATATAATGGGGCTGCCGGCCCATAGAATGCTGGAGGCTGCATGATACCAGCGGGGAAAACAATCTCATTGCCAGGAGGGTTATAGTAAGCGTTGACGGTCGGGGTAGTCATATCCCACTCATCATGATTAGTCGGCTTGCCCAGCTTGGACCATTCGTTTTTCAACTCGAATTCGACCACGGCAACCCTGTTTTCGAAGAAGCCATCGCTGGAAACATCAAGGGCAGCATAGTAATTTTCCACGTCTTTTGGATCCAGCACGTTGGGACTCTTGACTGGGAACCCGATCTTCTGAATAATATTTCCCACCTTTTGGATACCAAGCTTTCGGACCTCTGGAGACATCCACCCAGTCTGGTCCAGTGTGAAAACAAATCGTTCCTTAATATCAGACACGATTTGGTCCCCAAGCTCCTTGGACTCGCTAGAGAATGAATCCAACACGTAAAATCGACTCAAGCTCCAGCCTAGGCTTTCATCAAGAGTACTAATACACTTCCGCCACCTCTCCTCCTTTGCCTTTGGGTCCTTTCCAGACAGTTCGTTTGAAAGCTGGTTAAGAGGAGCAATCTTATCATCCTCAATGCTGCTCGCATACGACTGGATGAGTTTCCACTGGAAGAATACTGACACTGTCTCCCGCGGTGTCTTCTTTAGAAGCCTAGATAGACCTTTCATATACGAAGGCGAGCCGACAATGAGACGGTCGGTCTTGTAATCATGTGGTGCGAGCGCCGAAAGGATATCAGAAACCGAGACTTGAGGTAGCAAATCATCTGTTTCTTTGATACTAAGAGGATTGTAATACTTGGTGACATCCTCTTGGGTCGCCGTATCTGGAGTGATGTTTGCCAGTTCCTTCTCGAAAGCAACAACTTTCTCGCTGACCTTTTCGACATTCTTGATATCGAAAGCTTGCAGAACCTTCTGCACCACGGATGAATATTTAGCAACAGTCTCTGTATTGTTGTAGTACTCCCGTGCTGGGAGTCCGATGTTGTCAGGTGGGTTCACAAAGATTGTGACATTGTCAGGGTCTCGATCATCAGGCTGCGGTCATCAGTAAAGTTCACATTGTCAAGAGAGAATGTCTTACAGAAACACTGGCCTCTACCAAAGCTTCGCGGCCAGATTGGATGAGAAACACGACCGCGTCGGTAAGATGATAGCCGGCATCCTCGGTAGTCGCATCATTCGCGGGATAGATATTCTGTAGCTTCTCCAGAATCTCAACCAAGGGTTTGATGCCCCGCTTTCGAATGGCAGGCTCATCTAGACAAGCGTCATATGCATCCTTCAGCTTCTTAAAGTTCTCTGTATCTGCCGAGTCTGGGGGCTCCGAGCGTTCCAGAATATGACGGAGGCGAGTTTGGCCAGTCTCTGCCATTATTGTTCCGGCAAAGATGGACCCCTGGTCAGACCGCATATCATGGTGCTCTCTCCATCCACCGCAAACGTATTGATCAAAATCGGTACAAGGGTCAATCTTTGCGTAGTTTGGATCTAAGTTGTAGAGAATCTCGGATGCGGCATGGATACATTCGGGTGTCTGGCAGATGGCCGGCGATTCGGGTTGTGGGGAGACAGGCTCGTCCGATCGGTCTGAATGGTAATATTCATGAGTATCGGCATCACAGAAAATGATAGACTCTTATAACTCACCAGGTAAGAATCCAATGAGCCACCAGATCAACACGCTAAACAAGGTAGCCTTGAGAATGATCTTCGCGGCGCACCTCCAGGGACTACGGGCCCTGCACTTGCCCTCCCGATTCCTCACTCGTCGATATACAGTTGAGTGCCCTCCAGGGCCGATATCCTCTTCATCGCTCAACAAAGCTCGCCTTTCCTCAATCTCAATCTCTCCCACCTTCACATCCGGATCATAGCTACTCCTGGTGAGCATTAGGTGTCAAGGTCTGGTCTTAGCTTCTTGGGCAAAACTTACTTGTTAATCATGATGGTATTCACGATACTTTCGCATGGAAGGACCGTTACGATACAAGATCAAAACAGCTTCCCCATATACCATGAGGTGAACAAGGGAGCCTCGAAGCGAGAGGGGGCCCTGACGTGACTCCGTCATCGGCAGCTCCGGTGGGTCCGACTCCACTTCAATGTTACAGTTTCCGCCTGGGGCGGTTAGACAAAATCTGAGTCAGCGGCCTGCATGCACACATCAATCATTTGATGCACACATGCATGTGGGAACAAAGAGCTTTATATTGAGGGAAATACTTGTATTTTTCGACAAGAGCGTTCACAATGAATTATTTGACGAGAGAAATATATTATGGACAATTCAATTCAATGCTAGACTCAATGTAGCTTTACAATAAGATGTCGATGACTCCCGAGGTCGCAGCCCTAGAGTGTTTTTACACCATCTGGCTTGCATCGAGCGTAATATCCATAGTTGAGCCTAATTATGTCTATCTTAGGGTGATGCATTCGAATGACTTGTAATATAAACTCCCTAAATTTGTTATGGATCGGAAAATAATTTATGATATATCGCTGTTTATGTCTGTATTAATAACAACTATTTTTATGTGCAGAAGCGGATACTACGCTCGATGCAAGCCAGAGAGGGTAGATTAATAGTATGCACAGCTCCGAAGCTATAGCTGCTTTCCTAGTTCGGCCGGAGCATCTTAGTCCAGGTGATATATCTCGCCCGAGTTGTAAGCTCCTCGGAAATCGGGGTTCCTGAAGATTTGCTGTTCCATTGATCCCTAGTCAAAAGAACACTTCGTGTCACGCTCGTCTCGCGTCCTGAGAATAACCAGGAGTGGCTGGGTGAAGGCATTGCCTGCAAATTGATCAATGTTTGGGCCAATTCCTGCACTTCTGCCTCTATGCTGTCTATCTCATCATAGTAGATAGTCGCCATCAGTCGTTTGGTCACTATGAGACATTCGAGGGCTGTGCCGTATAGTTCTCGTCTCATTGAAAGTTCCTTGGTTGATGGTGATACTAGTGACATGTGCATGCAATGAGTTTTGTATGCTTCCACCCATGCTAGCAGGTCATCCCGGATGTGATCACATTGAGTCCGTAAAAAAGCTCGTATCTCAGCCTTGTATATATCAGGACCTAGCACAGCCTGATCTATCTTGTGCCACAGACCTGGTAGCCTATGCGAGCGAGTTATGATATTAGCCTGAAAATTCTTATCGGCATGATGGAACCTCTAGTTGACATCAAGCATCAATGAAAAGAGACGATGAGATGTGCAGAATGCCAATTTAGTATAGAGATACATACCTGATCATGAGAGACCGTATAGATATGGCTAAGGGGCTTCTTTCAGTAAGTGTCTCAGAAGCCTGTTCAGATGATTGATAAATCTCTATCCAGTGAGGTTCTTCAAGGTAGCACGGCATATTTCTCATGAGAGAGTCAAATAAAACTGTCCCCATGTGAGCAGAAAAAAGCGCCTGATCAAATTCACTCGTGAAGCGCGCCGGAGTTCGATTTTTGATGAGACGGATGGTCCCTTCTAGATGATGAGACCAAATTGCGCCTTCACACGATCCCAGGAGCTGAGTTGAAGTTAGTTCCAATGTTGTGTGTTGCAACGCGCTTATTCATACATACAGCATGCAGGCCGAGTAGTTGCGATGCACAAAGAGCTTCGGAGCTAGTACAGAGTGTTTGGTCGTTCAAGGCATCCTGTAACGCCCGTAGAGCAATCGAGAGCAGCTTAAGATCTCTGGCTCTATTCATTTCACTGGGGATGCAAATGCCTTGTACTTTAGCAAGTAAACAATCCGTGGCACTTGTAACACAAATATCTAAGCCATAGCGACTTGGTATGAATTCTAGGAAGGACCTTCACACAAGCAGATCAGTATGGTTGAGTGAACTCATATCAAAGGAGTATGCATCACCATCCAGTGCCTCCTATCAGTGACAGCAATCGACTAGGATCTGCGGCAAGCGCGGCGATAGTTCCTCTCCCAATGTTGAAATTCGTTAACATAGTAAGATCAGTCAGATCCACCTGAAATCTAGAGCATGCGCCTTCGTATGCAGTACTATGGAAGTCAAACTCCGGGTGTAGACATACGGGAGATTGAGTTGTGTCCCTAGTAGAGGTGGTACGTCGTGCATGATTTGATTGCGTTCCATTGCTCCGCATTCTAGTGTAAGTGGCAAGCCAGCATCCTGGCTGTAAAGATAAATCTTCCTCATGGGATTCTTCACTGCTAGTACGATGTGAAAATGAGCTATCCATGACCTCGATCGGGTTAGTAGTTGTAATGGTGGCAGATCCAGGTCTAACTGGTTATTTTAGTCTAATTATCAAACGGGGCAGATAAGGCTTACTGTTCAGTTCCTTTTCGTTTGTTAACGCCGCGCCGCTTTCTTGTCAGTGCAACGTTTCTCATTGCATGTTGGCGGACTATAATCCTCAACGTAAGCCTAATGAACTTTGACAATTCGCTACTGATTAATGCTGACTTAATCGTCGGACCGGAGGATCATCCTGCAGTCCTGCTCCGCTTGAGATCACGAAACTCAGGCTGTTTTGAGACATTGTTTATCGACTAGAATCTCCGAAGCTATCACAATATGTCAAGAATTCTAGTGAGCAATACTTTTCACGAGTCTAAGTTGGAAACTCGGCATTTTTGCGAACCCCAAATATTTCAAGCGAGATTTTGAGTTTCTCCTGACTCTGACAATGCGGATGATGGTGTGAGAGTTACTACTGCCTGCATGCGGTTTAGTGCACTGAACAGGTCCCTTATTGGCGGAGATAATATGTGGGGGTATAAAAGTGGAGATAATCAGCTTGGATCTTGAGGGTCATAGACCCAAATTGCACGATGACCCGTGTTAGTGTGGTATTATTTCCGAGCTCTTCAGGTAAGGCTTCAAAGCTGAATCCTGACTACTGCTCTAATAAGGAAACTGGTAATTTGATTCTCAGGGTCTTAATATTTATAGACTTATTCACTTTGACGTGCACTAGCTATTATTCTAAATAGAGTCAACTGAATACCTATCATTTTTTAAACCCGTATTGACTGCTTATGTTGAGCCCGAAGTTCGTTGTAACTACTAGCTTAATTTAGATAGTAGTAATAGATAGCTGGCCGCCAGAAATTCAAGCCGTGTCGACCATGTGATAGTAGGTGTCATTCCAAGAGGCCAAGGACATTTACAATTAAATAACCATCAGACAACTTTGACTATATAAGGGCCATTTTAGCCACGTTCGTTTTATTACGAATTCTCAAACCTCCAATTTATATTGCCACCTCACGGTATCAAATGACTACTATCAAACTCTACGACCTCGCTCGGGTTACTAAGTCGGGAGGTAGCTGGTCATACAATGTTTGGAAAACTCGCTTAGCTTTGAACTACAAAGGAATCTCCTACACTACCATCTGGGTGGACCACAGCACCATCAAGTCAACCCTAGAAGCCATCGGAGTGACTCCGAATACATCTGGAAAGGGGTTTGAATATACAGTTCCTACTGTGAAGCTCCAGGACGACTCTATTATCACCGAATCTGCCAAGATTGCATCGAAGCTAGAGGACATCCAACCATCACCATCCCTGCGCCTGGATACCAATTTGCAGGCTGAGGCGGACAGTGTAGTCCGCATGGTCTACGCACCACTTCTTCCCATTTATATGCCGCACGTGGCTCGCGAAGTCATCGACAAATCAACCGTTCCCGCATTTGCCAAGTCCCGCCATGCTCGATTCGGAATGTCACTGGAAGAGATGGAGGGGCTCATAGGAGAGGAACAGGCCTGGGAAGCCACAAAGCCTGGTTTCGAAGCCATGAAAAAGCTTCTTCGTGAGCGGAAAGAAGACGAGGGGCCTTTCATTCATGGTAGTCAGTTGTGTTATGCTGATTTTGTCTTGGTTGCTGTCTTTGAGGCGCTTCGACGAGTGGGCATTGATATGTTCGAAAAGGCTATCGGGATGGATCCATCTTTTGAAAAGCTTTATGATGCCTGTGAAGCTTGGGTGCAGAATGACCAGTAAGGGTGCAGAATGGCCAGTAAGAGAGGCCAGCTCCCAGAAGGTGGCCACATGTAAGCTTAACCTTCTATGATACAATATACTAGTTGGCTAGATGAACCAAATAGTTCTCTCTGGAAATTGTGTGATTTCAATATGTATGCCGTGCTATTTTCCTAAAGGTTTAGCTTGAAAAATGGCTTTCTTTTATCCTTTCTCAAGCCCCAGATTATCTTGACTGGATGTGGTAGAAAATTAAAGACAACGGCTGGTTGATCAATAGGTATCTCATTCTGTGAGTCTATTGCATAGTAAGAATATGTACATATGTAGGGCTGTTTGTATCAGCAACCTTGGAAAGACAAGATCAAAGCAATTGTCCTTCCCAAAAAGCAAAATAACGATAAGTGTGTATCAACCTTCGAGTTCCCATGCAAGTCGCTAAAATGGATGTTCAACACCCGAACAGACTAAAAGCAAAAGAGATCATCCTGATCAACAGGTGGTTCTCAACCCAATTCTTCTTCGACTCGTCCATCATAAGTCTCTTATCTCTTCGAAACTGCGTGGGCCTGCGGCACGAAACTCGCTGACCCCGTGGCCTCATTGAAGATGTTGTAGCCGTAGTCAGCTGCATTCGGTGGTGTGTAGACTGGAAAGAGAGTCAGATTTGACAGGTTTCATATTTTGGATGAAAGGATGAGGGGATAACTCACGATGAAGCGACACGGCGACCTGGCTGGGGTGAGGGTTATGAACTCGGTGAAGACCAATATCATCGGAGATGTATGTCACCTCGTTCATACCGAAGGTGGTAGAGGATTTTATGGACAAAGGCTTGTGTCCAGCGTCTTTCTCGGGGGCATGGTAAACAGTCTCGTGAAGCTGACCAGCCAGGACTTTCATGATACAGTGCGCGTTGGCATGGTCATGGATCGGAGAGCCCTTTAGTGGGTTCCAGACGAGAAGGAGCTATGTAAGTCAGTCATGGGCCTTTGGTCTCAACAGAGAATAACAGGTCATCACTTACAATATTGGCTTTGTTGTTAATATTCTCAATGGCATTTCTGGTGTAATTCTTGCTTGTGTCGTTGTGGAAATACTCGATCCAATCACTAGGGTCAGAGATGTATTTCTTTGCCAGAGAGATCAGGTACTCTTCATCAACTTCTTCTGAGGAGATTCCCCCTGATTCTCCCAAATGTTGCTTGATATCTTTCACTAGGCAGTCCAGGTCATACTTTGCTTTGAAAGGCTGATAATTCGGGGCTAAACCCTTATCAATCGCAGGAACGGTTGAGAGAATAGCAGGCGACATTGTGCTCGAAGACTGGTATTTGTTGAGGGTGGAAGAAGAAGTCTGTTAAAAGATGAATTTTCGGGGATCGACTGAGCTCACTTATAGACTTTCGATGAATTGAATGATAAGGAGTATTTAGATTGATTGTCGGGGCTGCGTGTTCAATGACGTTGTGTGGTTCAATCGGCGATTCAATATTTTTCATGGGGCTGCAATCGCCGATTATGCCGAGGCGTGTACGGAGACGGGTGCGGCCAGCCTCGCTTAGCCCCGTCGGCCCTTGACCGCTATCTAAATACTTCTGCATGAACGTACCAACTGATGCCTTATCTAGCTCACGGATATTTTTTCGGAAACTTACGGTTGATGGCAATTTGATTGTATGCACTGCATCTCTTGTGTTACTGTTATCATTGTTAGTCCCGAATACATACTACAGGGAAGTTCCCGGCATGTTATCGCCATATTTGTCTACATTGGTAGTCAATGTTGGGTATTTCCAAACAGATTGAACGCTTTAAGCAACAATATATATACACCATTCTTCGGAGAGATCATAAGGTCTAGCTTCCGAGCACGTTTTATATATCAGTGGATATCAAAATCAGGGAGAGATGTGAAAAATGAATCATTGTAACAAGTTGGATCAACGAACGCCGATACAAGCGGAGGAAATAGCATATCCTGACCATCTGGCACCGCAGTAGTCGGTCTTGTAGGTTGATTCGAACTTTCTGTGCTACGCGGAGTTGATTCAGATGGAAAGAGCGTCCTTGGAGGTTCTGTACACCAGCGCTCCATAGAGTCCGACAGGTTATGTGCTGCGGAGGTTCTTAGATGATTGTATGCCGCATCCGCTAGGTTCCATATCCTCTTGGTGCTTTTCAGGCATCCAAGAATCAGAGTAACACGGTTATAGTGGTGGTCGAAACACTCTTCGTTGTGCTTGATCGAGGTCGCAAGCTGCACCATACCACATAGTGCCAGCGCGGGAATTGTGAAGGGGGTATGTTTTGGGACGTTGGGGCATAGTGCGATAGCATCCGACAAACGTCGAGAGGCCTCAGTCGCTTTGATGCTATGAATGGAGCGATTGAGTGTTGAAGCTAGATGGCGTGTGGCAACAGGCCAGAATTGTTCATTGGCCTGTGACAAGACAGGTTGCAGATCACTTCTTGGTAGATGCAAAAGCATTGTTGCATATGCGATCGACATATGAGCTTGGAACATTATCTCATCAATATTTCCGTAGGAGTCGACTATATCCAGCTTTTTAGACGGCAGGTGGTTGATCCAACTGACAAGTGCGTTCTCAACAGCTTGCAAGTGGTCGCGATGATAGTCTCGGAGTCCGTTCAAGACGAGCGCCCGACATAATATCGTTGCAGCCTCAATGCGATAACTCGAGGATGAGAAAATCGTCTCCTCGGGCGCAAATACCCTCCGCTTGAAATCGAGGATGTTGCGAGGCGTCGGAATTTCGGATGTACCAGTGTATGATGACTCCTCGCAAGGCAACGCTACTTCCGGTGCCATCGTACTGCACTGGAACGTCCTATTTTTGAATGGCGCTGCCATGAAGATATCTGTGATGTACAACTCCCACCAGGTTCTTCGCATGCTTTCAGCCTCGATAGAGGTTTCAGAATAGGCCGACGAAGCAAAGTCCCTTCGGTTCATCCCCAGTTCCAAGGCCATTTCCACACTATTGGAAAAGGCATTCTGAGCCTCATCCCATTCACCACAGGCATATATAGCAATCGAGTAAATGAGCCAAGCTTGGACCATACAAGGCGAACGGTCGGGGCTGCAAGACAGCTCAGCAATCACCTTGGCCTTGTACTGTTGATTTTGGCTTGCCGAGATGTAATGCGATCCAACAAAATTGACGACTAGTTGCAGGAACCCAGGGTACTGCCGGTCATGATACATAGCACTTGGAACTAAAATTGGATGGGCAACATGAAAATTCTCGTAAAATAGGCGTAAAAAGCGATCATCATTGGCCCATGACTCACGGCTATCTGATCCTGTCTGAGGTAGCTCATTTCTCATGTGAAGCAAGGGCCAAGGAACATGGCCATCTGCAACGCCTGGTGCATCCGAGGAACTCGGAAGTGATGTGCTGTCAGGCGTATTAGGTTGTCCAGGTGTCGAAAGAGGAAGAACAAGGGAAGTCTGATAATTTGATCTATCTTAATACCATCTATAGAATAGACAAAGGATTTTTTAGGGCCGAGTACTCACGTCTATATGTTCTTGGGGTCGATACGTAGACCGGCGAGCAGACTCATTCCCATTTCGAGGTTTCCTGTGGCCACCGCGGCGCGATGGAAGATATTGGCAGAAATACGCATTCTGCAGGCAGCGAGAGCATGTGGGCTTTTTGGCATCACATTTCAGATGCTGCTTTCGACACTCGGTACATGCTAAAGAAGCCAGGCCACTTTGTTTTGTGGATCGAGGTGTCATGGTCTGATGGGGAGGGGGTTGCTGAAGTGCAAAGTAGATGTCAAACCCCGACTTGATTGCGTCCCGCCGAATGACACCGCTTCCTAAAGCTAACCTTTCATCACACATGGTTAATAGGATGACATACAATATTTCCCACAATTAAAATGAGCAAAATATACGAAGATAAGATGAAGAGAACATAATTTCTAAAATGATAAAATGCGGGGCTGCATAAAGTGATGAACATGCTGGGCACTACGTATTTTGGTCTTGTTGTACTGCGCTTGGAGCACTTGAAGCACAGACAACTCTAATATCGGATTCAAGGATTCAAGATAAGAAAGAACTTTGGGAGCTTGTGGGGCCGGGCCGTCTTTTCAAATAACACGACACGTTTCTTTATTTGGATTCGGAATTCTACAGGAATCTTAGAGCCTGATCCCTGTTCCTCTGTGTTTTTGTGGTCTCCGTTCTTCTTTAGATGTCGGGGACGCGTTCATTCGGCGATTGAGAATTTGGCCCCTGCGTATGCATCGTCCAAGTCGTCGTACCTCGTTCGCTCATTGATTTAACGACTGACCCCCTATTCACTATTTTTATAATATTCAACCATAACTGGCTGAAATGATGCCATACAGATCACCGTAAATCTCATATCCATTCAACTAGGGGTGTGGGTTATGAGATGATTGTGATGTATTTTTTCACGATGTTATTCAGAGGTAAAGAGTAAAGAATCGGATGCTCACTCAAGCTGTATCCATGTGGAATCTGCAGCACACCGCCGCTCTATATCGACTATTCATTTAAATAGTACGGCCTAGGAGTAGTATATATGAGCCTGTCATTCTACGTAATGGTGATATCACTTAGATATGAATCTAACCAGGTTTTCTGCAAATGCACGAAACGCCTCTGAAATATTTACTTGATCACACTCGATTATTCGTTATTCCTTTGGGGTCATAGCGAGGTATTCCCAAGGTTTCCGACAGGCAAGGATTCGGTCCAAAAATAAATTTAAACCCACGCCAAAGGCTTGATGCTTGGAAGTTCAATATTTATGCGAACAAAGCTATATGCTGAATCCAAAAGTTGGGGCCGAAGGCCTGGTTTGGCAGCAGTATTAGTAGTAGCCGTGCCGTAGGACACTAATCCGGCCGATCGGATTAGTGTCCCCCAGCGTAACCGAAGATATCCCCTTAACCTAAAACGTATCTTTTGTATGGATGTGTCATGAAAAAGATACCTATTTGTGCTTTTTGATAGATCTTGAATAACTAACAATTTTTATAAGCGACCCCTATAATTTGAAATATAATATAAGAAGAATTTGTCGTTATCTTCTCCGTTTTAGAGTTTGAAGAATATTAAACGAATAATAAACTCTTAAAATTGGTTTGAATAGTCTCTCGTAGTAAACTTTTGTTAGGAAGATATAAAAACAACAATTACTCTTTATTAAAACTTAATTATTGACAGAAAAAGATTATAATAATGATATAATGTGAAAGAATTGTAGGTTGTTGAAGCTTTTTCTAAAATTGTATCTTTTGTATGCTTTGTCATACAACAGATACGTTTTAGTTTGTTAGGTTAAGGTGATATCTTCGGTTACGCTGGGGGACACTAATTGGGGGTATCCCAATCAGTGGCCTCCGGCACTGCTAACACCAGTATCTATACTTCTCTCCTCCCTCCCCAAAGCTTCATTCAAGTTCCTTCTGAAGCTTACAAGCTTATTTTGGGACTTTCAAAATGCATCTCATTTACCATGTCGAATCATACTACTATCTCTTTCAAGTATCTTCTGCGGATCTAACTAGTTAGTTAACGATGCAGTTAGTTAAGTTAACGATGCCTTTGACTCATCAAGAGTCATCACCAGTCACTGAGATCCCACCAAAATCAGATGGAAATCACATCTCCCGACTTGAAATTCCTACAACCTACCAAAGTTTTACTTCCAAAGAGCATACCTTCAATCTTACCTCCGTAATAAGATAAAATTACAATACTCGGTCGTACGCTGCCAACGTGCTGCCCTGTACATAATGCGGGGTCACCCAAGCAGCTCAATCGAGCTCAAATCCGAGAAAATGCCACTGTCGCTTCGGATTCCTACATCTGACGACATCCCTACGGTAGTCGCCATTTTATCGAATAAAGCAAACTCGGAATTCGACAAGTCTATATCCGCGACCCCACCCGACGAATTCGAAGCCATTGCGACAAAATGGACAATTGTTGCAGACCCGCCAACATATCGCAACTTTCTCGTTTTTTATAACGAAGAGCCCATTGGTATCACCGGATTTGGATGGATTGGTCCCTGTAATGAGAATCAGGCAACAGATGATCTCTCCCGGGCCGGTGCAGCGGGTATTATCATTCAACCGCCAGCTCGGGGAAAGGGGCTAGCGTATCAAGCGCTTCGCCTGGTTTTTGACTATGGATTTCGTGAATTGAAATTCCAGGAGATTCGAGTCGGGAGTCATTCCGGGAATGTTCCTATGTGGATGCTGATGGAACGGAAATTCGGGATAGAAACTACCAAGACTCCTGAGGTGGATCGGTTTGGAAATGATCTATTGTGGACTATTCGAAGGGCGGACTATGTCTTACAGTCTTAAAGTATTAAATATACAACCGGTTAGGGATATTCAAAGAGGAAATCTTTAATAAATGAACCGCATTTGAGACAGAATGAAACCGTGAACCAATAAACAGAGCAGTCATATTTGAAAGAGAGCAAGAGCAATAGGATCTCCAATATGACGCCTTCAGAAGCCAATTATTCCAAGGATGCACTCCTTGAATAACCGAACGAAACGTCAACTTTATTTAGATGCGACAGAGTTACCTGCATAAAGGCCATTCGGCGAGTGCTTATCGCCGAACGCTGACGTATCACTATGTCCCATGTGCTCTCCACAGGGTTTGATTTGCGGTCTAGATCACGAGATTGGTTTTCTCAAAAGCCATATGACTTCCAAGCTTGAGGTCATATGCATATGATATGTCTTTGCATTTTGAAGTCATAATGTTGGACATCATGCAGAGCTCTTTCACGTTGGCAAATGTGCCTCGGGCCACCGAGGATCCGTTGTATCGCTTGATGAGAGAGTATCTGGAAGATACTCATGAGAAAAAGATTGATTTGGGAATCGGAGCATGTAGAGATGAGAAGGGGAAGCCATGGGTACTGCCAGTTCTGAAAAAGGTATCATGTTTGCCTTGTTGATCGCCGTGTTTTACTGATTGTTATATTGGGGAGATTAGGCTCAGAGTCGTCTTCATGATAACCCTGATTCCAATCATGAATATTTGCCCATTCGTGGCCTCGATTCATTTTTGATAGCAGCTCAGAGACTCATTCTCGGTAACGAAAGTCAAGCAATTTATAAGAAACGGGGGTGTATTGATCGCCCAGCTGGAAATCCACTCAGGTCAATGAGACTAATTTCACAGCTAGGTCTGCTCTTTTCAAACCGTCTCCGGCACTGGAGCCGTTCATCTTGGTGCCAATTTCATATCACGATTCCACTCGGGGTCTCTTCAGCCTAAAGCATTCATCTCTGATCCAACATGGCCGAATCATTACCAAATCTTTACTCAATCGAGATTTGAAGTGGAAAAATACCCATACTATTCTGCTTCCTCAAAAGGGGTAGATATCGAAAACATGCTTGACTTTTTAAGATGTGCCCCTAGGGGATCGACGGTCGTGCTGCAAAGCTGCGCCCACAACCCTACTGGCATGGACCCTTCTAAAGAGCAGTGGAGGAGAATCGCCGACGTTGTCCAAGAACGTGGCCACTTCCCCTTCTTTGATTGTGCCTATCAAGAATTCGCATCTGGGGATCTCGAACAAGACTCATGGGCCTGTCGCTATTTTATTGAAAAAGGATTTGAATGCTGCATAGCTCAGTCGTTTGCTAAGAATCTCGGTTTATATGAAGAGCGCGTTGGGGCATTTCATTTTATCTGTGGACCCGGGTCCGATGTAACGGAGCTCGTTACTCGCATCGGTAGCCAGCTCGCGATTATCCAGCGAGCGGAGATATCTAATCCACCGGCTTACGGGGCACACGTCGCAAGCTGTGTCTTCAATGATAAAAAATTGTTTGCTCAATGGGAAGGAGTTGAAAATAATGAGCGGCCGTCTGACGGCAATGCGACAAGAAATTCAATCACAGCTGGAAGCACGGAGCACGCCAGGTGATTGGAAGTTTCTTTCAACTCAAATTGGGATATTCAGTTATACGGGACTATCTCCGCGTCAGATCCTGGAGCTGAAAGAGAAGTGGCATATATACATGGTAAGTTCATTGAGCTCGGTATTCACCGAGGATGTTCGTATTGTTACAACTGGACCTAGGGGCCGATGGGAATGTTCATTCTTTAGCTGGATGCTGACAAGATTCTAGACTGAAAATGGTCGCATATCGGTGGCGGGGTTAAACCCAGGTAATATCCAATGCTTCATTGATGCTATGGATGATGTTGTGCGAGCCTGGCCATAACCTCAGAGCATCACCGTCTATTCGTTCGTACCCCTAAAGTGCCAGGGTGTGTGGATTGAAGCCAGATGAGACTGGAAGATAGGTGTAAAGAAGTTAAAAGACCTCGATTTGGCCTGGTTTCCATGAGAAGGAGTATATGAGTATATTGGTAGATTTTGTATGGTCGCAATAGCCTATCAAAGGTTGAAACGGGACAGTAGGCCAAACTCTAGCTATTCACCTTTTCAACAAAATAACAATGGTGGTGTCATTGCTCTATGGTATCCTTGTAGTCTCGTTGAGTAAATTTTGGGAGTATTCTTGTTGACTGTAGGTGTTGACATGTCGCCATTGTTAGATTGATTATCAGCGGGAATTGACCAATCACAGCGCTGCTGGATCGATTCGGGTGCGTCGGGTGAAAGGGGCGGTTGATGGGTGTGGTCGGGAGATGGGGGTTGAGGGAGGAGGCATGCTGGGAGTTGTTAGCGGTAATAGAAGGTTATTCTAGTAATTTCCTCGTAGATCAGTAAGTTCAACACATGAAGAAAGAGTGTCAAGATGCAAAAACGCAAGTTGTGAACCGCAACAACTTGCAGGTTGAGCTTGTTCCGAGTGATCGCGGTTTTCACCGAGCGGGTGGTGTGGGCCAATCAGATCGAGGGTTTTACACCCCATTTTCCAGAGAGAAACTTGAACCTTCTGAACTTCACTCGCATCACCTCTAGCACCTCTTCTCTACTCCATCCACCCCCTCCCCTCCCCCCTCTTCTCGCTTTTGCGATCCAATCCATTCCCATCCATCTAATTGTCGATTGGAGGGTTTGATTTCGTCATGCTGGCCCGTTCCCTCCTGCGCGTGCCCTCCCGGGCCATCGCACGCCAATCGCTCGGCAAGTCCACGGTACGCTGTCAACCACCACAACCCGATCCATTGAGCCTCATAAAGAAGGCCAATCGCTTCATCCGGACCTGTTGCTTTGGAAGAACTGTTTTTGGGCTAATTATCGCAACAGCGTGCTTCCTCCACCGCCGCCGGCGCCGAAGCCGCCAGCTCCCCTTTCAACCTCACCCTCACTGCCTCGCTCGCAACCGCCGCGGCTGCCGGTTCCGCCGCGTGGTACTACCACCTTTATGGCCAGGAGGCCTTCGCTATGACCCCTGCTGAGGAGGGGTGAGTTTCCTTTTTGTGGTGGTCGTGATGACCCCTAACGATTGATCGCCTCCTGGGATCCCGACCCGAGGATTGTGCGATCAAGTCGATTCAAGATAGTGAAGCTAATATACCGTTTTTCGTTCAGTCTGCACGCTACTCAGTACCCTTGGGTTCACCAGCGCTTCAACAAGACCTACGACCACGCTTCGTGAGTTTCCTTTTTAGCTCAGCTTTCCGTCCCGTCATACGCCGCTAATAAAAAAAATTTCCACCATCTTAGCCTCCGCCGTGGTTTCCAGGTTTACCGTGAAGTTTGTGCCAGTTGCCACTCCCTGACCCGTGTCCCATGGCGTTCATTTGTTGGTGTTATGCACACCGTTGATGAAATGAAGGCTATGGCCGAGGAGAACGAGTACGACACCGAGCCTAACGACCAGGGTGAGATCGAAAAGCGCCCCGGAAAGCTCTCCGACTATATTCCCGCCCCATACAAGAACGACGAGGCTGCTCGTGCCTCCAACGGTGGTGCCCTGCCTCCTGATCTGAGCTTGATCATCAAGGGTCGTCACGGTGGTTGCAACTACGTCTTCAACCTCCTGACTGGTTACCCTGACGAGGCTCCTGCCGGTGCTAGCGTTGCCGAGGGCATGAACTTCAACCCCTACTTCCCCGGTACCGGTACGTGATTTATGATTCGAAATCCGTTTCTTGGATATATCCCGGTCAATTGGTCGCTAATATTCGTTTATAGGTATTGCCATGGGTCGTGTCCTCTTCGATGGTGTTGTTGAGTACGAGGATGGTACCCCCGCTACCACCTCCCAGATGGCCAAGGATGTTGTCGAGTTCCTGAACTGGTCTGCCGAGCCTGAGATGGACGACCGCAAGAAGATGGGTGTCAAGGCCGTTGTCCTTCTGACCGGTATGTTCGCCGTCAGCGTCTGGGTCAAGCGTTACAAGTGGGCCCCAATCAAGTCCCGGAAGGTCATGTACAGCCCCCCTATTGGCCCCCGCCGTTAAATATGAAGCAACAAGAGCAAGATCTGTTTAAGTTGGAAAATGGGAGAGGCTATAACGAGGCTATGTGACCTGGGCATTCTCTTGTAATGTTGCACTCCCGTCCTGTCGCCTGGCAGATATCTCTTTCGCCATCTGTGTTTTTTCTTTATTTTTGTGTCTAGGGTTACGACCCCTGTTTTGTTAGAACACTCCCCGGCACATTTGTATCTGTATCCTAGATATTCTTTTTTTTGCCCTTCCGAAAACTATGTGCTCGAGGAGTCACCTGAATTTAATTTCCTTTGTGAACGCAGCCGTTTCAGCCAATTTATACAATAGTCCATATAGCGTGTAAATCAAATCGCACTAGAATGCACTGGGCGACGGGAATATTTGATATCAAGAGTCCAGTTCTTCTAGCTGGGTTTTCATTCTTGATCTTCGAGGCAATGGGTTCCATCCGTACGATTCGAAGATAATAGTTTAAGATAGGTCAAGCGACTGCATTAATGATAGAAGTAGACCCGAAATTATTTACTATATAGAAGAGAAAGGATCTAAATTACATCGCCTGGATATCACCAATAGTCCTCTCACCGTCGCCAAACACCCGCTTGAAGATATAATCATAGGAATTCCACATGCCGGCAAATAGAAGATTTGCCGAGGAAATAACCCATGGAGGACTGCGCCCATCAGGCCCAGCGAACCTCTTTGAGATCTGCAGTGTCATCAGTATAGCTGGGCCCCACGAGATAAGGAATATCCATTTTCCAATTTTCTGACGAGTCGTAGTGACTTCATACGGTCGAACATGAGAAAGATACTCCCGGTATGACACAGGTAAGTCGTGCTCTTCAGTGCCCTTAATGAGCAGGCCCAGATATCGCGCAGATGGCTGCGCATACTCCGGGTCGGGACGCATATGTACTCCGACATCTCCAAAAGTCGAACTTATAGCACAAGATCTAGTACTTGATACTGAAGATTCACCAGTCTTAGCAGCTTGTGTTCTCTTGCGCGCGTCATCCGCTGCGGGCGAAAGAAGAGTGTGTGCCTTGAAGGGCTGAGTGGATGGATGGTATGGGACTGGGTTTGTAGAAGTGTAGTCTTCTGCAAAAGGGAAGCAGTCGACGACTACATCACGGTATCCACGGCCACCACCTTCTGTTGCAATAATTTTCGCGTAGTCTTTTAGTGTTACTTCGTAGACGACACCTATGAGAGGCTTATTCCATTTTTGTTGAGATTCGCTACTGCGCAGCGCTTTTGACTGAACCAGGGGTGCTTTCTCAGATAAGAACTCGCTTTCTGTCACTAGAGACATGTCCTCTTCGGTGTCATATTCGGACTCGGAACTCTGGTCGGGGAGTGAATCGGGGTCTCGGTAGTTGGTGCCTGCAAAACAGGGCTCGGCATAGGGTAATCCAGGTAGATCAAAAGTGAGGTAGAGTTCGGGTATGAGAGCGGGAATTTTCGAGATGGGCTTGATACCGCGCATACCAAGAAAAGTCTGTGCAGCCATATTTGACCCGTATGCTAGGTACAAGACTGTTTCTTCACCGTATGTTTCCGGTAGACCTTGCCCGGCGTCTTCTTGGAGTGCGATCTTTTCCGGAAGACAGACATCTTGATCACGAGAGGTTGTGAGATTAGATGCTTGACATCGTTGAGCGGACGTGGCTGGAATGGAACAAATATCGAGGGTCGGGGGTTCAGGTGTAATCACAGGGTGTGTGGTTTGGAGTCGGTCTAAAGATTCAGTTGCGCTGAATCGGCGTTTAGACGGGGATACCGCCCCTTCGTCGCCATGCTTGGGGTTGTCATCTGAGATTGGAGCCATTTTGATGGTCCAAATCTGCAATCTCGGAGGGACAGATGAATGATCTGAGGATTAGTGGTGGGGGGCTGTTAGTCACGGGTAACTGCATGGCTATATATAGTGGCTTTCAAGAGGCTTCGATCGGCCAAATTGATGCATTCTGCCCGTAGTGGATCAGCAACCAACCGCATTGTTAAGCCGGATTCCGGGATTAATAATCCCCGCAACGGAGCGAGCGCTTGAACCCGATGGAACCGGAGTGAAAAGGATCCGTTATAGCAGACAGTTCTTCACAAAGTTCAACAATTCGGGGCTGTTGAGCGGGGTTACTCCTTCTGATCACTCCAGCTGAAGTGTGGATGCTGGGCTTGGTTCATTGGTTGACTGTGGTGCTAGGCATGAGATTGACATGGGATGAATCGTAACATGGGAGCTTCAGGGATCGACCAGAAAGTTGTTTTCTTGTCATGTACTGTAGTAAATCGAGGGTTTCAAGAGCGACGAATTTCAGAGAATATTGTATTTGATGGCATCATGTGACAGCGTGCTGTTGCCGTCCACGATTAACTCGTGTTTGCTCTCAAGTGCCATTTTCTATACACTCTTCCTTTCTTTTCATCGTCATATATTCGTTCCCTGGTATCAAATCATCCCGTTCTGTTATTCGATGGATGTCTGTCTTTGATTGTACTCATCTGGAAATTAAGGTCATCAGATCAAGCCACACACACACGAAGCTTCTCATGTAAACATCAATGCCAGTTCAAAGCGTGATGTGTCGCCCTTCTAATGGACTACAGACAAGCTGTGTCACTTCTTAACAAAACCTGACCAACCCATGCTCGAGTCTGCTATGTCTTACATGTGACAGCCATACTGTCTCTTCTCAGCACATCTCATTGCAAGACTCCCGTTCGAGGGGCGACATTAGACCCAGCAGATTTCTCTCCTTACTAATTGAAATCGCCCTTGGATTTCAAACAGCGGGTCATGAAAGGTACCAGTGCTAGACGATTACGGCGCGTCAGTCAACCGGATAATGGGGATGGTCATTCTGTAAGGCAGCCACCAGGACCGGGATCGGCAACGCATACTGCCAAAGAGACCACATCACGAAGGAGTTCTGGTAAAGGGCGACAAAAGAAAGTGGATGTGCAACAGAGGTTGAATTTAACTGCGGTGTCATCTACAGGAGACCCACTGCAGTCGTTCCACGAAGATAAGGCTTCAGTCTTATGCCATGCTGCCACCAAGCACGCAATCTCAAGCACAGGGTCAGATGTACCACAACAGCTCCAATCAGGAGATACTGGCCCGTCAGCCACCAAGCGTCAAAAAAAAGGCCATGGTACCAATAGTATCACAATTCAAAATTCAGCTAAGGCACAGAGAAATCTGGTCCGATCGTCTACTAACCCCCGGCGTTTGACACTATCACTCCCTCGGAAACCTAAGTCACGGATGAACGGTGTTGCACGAAAACAACTCACTTTACATCTCCAAACGGAAGTTGACTGGAATGAAGATTTAGACCCAACCGACGAGGATATCACGTCGCTACATGACAAGACTGATGACGAAGGGACTGATGTATCTACCCCAGTTCCCGAACTTATGTATGATGAAAAGAGCGATGTGGCTACAAAATACAAGCGGAGAAGCTCAATAGCACGGCAGACCTCCAAAAAGCGCAGGAACTCAAGAAACTCCATACAGACGAAGAGAGATGTCGCGAAGAAAAAGAAACGACTGTCCCAATTGCCGTTGACTAAAATGGCTGCAGATTACACCGCACCAGCGCAATCAGAGGAAGTTGCTCCCAAACCAAGAGCTAACTCAAAAACCAAAGAACAGCTCGCAAGTGCTAATATGGAAGGGAGGTCCACGGAACCGCCGTCGCAGCGGGCTTTGCAGAACCAAAATGGAAATATAAATGAACCGATGGATGTCATCGAAATATCGAGCGCTTCAGTCAGCCCCAGCTCCTCTAGTTCTGAGGATGGCATCGGTATCCTCAGAAGTGAGGCATATCGATATCGGGTGATTGGAACAGGCAGTAATGGCAGGGGGACGGCTATCGGCCAATCGCTTGTTGATGCACTATGTGGTGTTGAGCTACACACGCAACTTCGACCTGCTATTGAGACGACTCTACACTCTACCCGCAGGGCCCAGAGTGGCACTTACCATGACGAAATTGCCAGTCCTTCTTCGCGCATGCTAAGCAACGATAGATCACAAAGTCAATGCTCAATGCCATACCATAATGCAATTGCTGAAATGATAAGACAAGCTCGAGTCCCGCAAGGCCCTCTTCAATTGACACAGCTTACAAATTTTCCAGTAGAGGTGGCAAGCCCTTTAAAGCCGATGAATAAGGTGGTGTCCAGTTCTTCAAATGTCGAAGAGTCGCTGGATGACAGGAACAAAACTGGCATGAAAGTTGGAAACGATGGACTGGGTGATAAGAGCGAAGACCAGAACGAGCAGAAAACAGACCACCTATCGGAGCCTCCGGAGAAACTTGATCTTCTGGAATATCCTCAGAGAAGAATTACGCCTTCCTATCATTTAGCCGTCAATGGGATGGGTAATTCATCGAAGTCCCCATCAGGGTCAGCAACTAACCGGCATGCGAATGTGACTTTTCAAACTGAAAAGAGTAGGAAAGGCGCGACTCCGGATTCTCAAAGGCCCCTTCTAGCGCAACAAACCCCTGTTCGAGCAAGTCCGTTGACGAACATAGTTAAGACTGCCCGAAAAGGCAGTATCGTGGATGCCAATGGCAGTCCCAGGCTTGTCAAGGAAGCGAATGTGGTGGCTGATCGATTGCCATCCGAAGAACTAAAACAGGTGCCGATGCCCAGTGACAATCAAATTGTCCCTTCTAGCTCCAGTGACTACGATCAAAATTCGGTCAAGTCTTCATCTGACAGCTCAGAAAATGAACTGGCGTGGTCCAAATACCAGAGGGATATGTTTCTAGAGTACGGGTTTGAAACGGGATCTATGAAGAAGAGCACTCAATACTCTGAGGTGAAAGAGAGTGCCGCCAAAGATGGCAAAAATAAGACGCCCTGTCTTAAAGTTACGAAAAATTCGTCTCCAAAAAGTTCACCCTCGATTTTCGACTCGTTACCCGGTGTCGGTGTGACATCAGGCCCAGATGACTGTAGAGTTCACGCAAATAAGGACGCCATGCTTGCAGCAAACCTCCCCCAGAGAGAACCAGAAAACTTAGGTATAAAATCCAACCAGCATGCGGTGATTCCTTTGTCTACAGAAATAGCCGGTGCTATCCTGGCGGCTTCCGAAAGCCAACCCAGTGGGTCCAATCCTCTGGACTGGACTTTAGCTCTACAAAGTGCCCAAAGAAGTGCACACGATTTGCTACTGGAGACGAATCAAGTGAGTCTAACCGATTGCTTCTTCTTTGGAATTTGAATTCCAGTACTTTTCAATGCTAATTTGTTTAAAGCGTCTATCGAGTCAATTGGCGGCAGAACAGGAGACTATTCGTCAAGTGCTCCAAATCTATCGACAAGGATGCAATCGCGTTCTTGATGATTTATTCCAAGCACAGAGAATCCGCATGGACCTTTACAACCAACAGATGACCACGGTCAAAGAGCAACACCGCGAAATTTGTCAAGATTTGATTCGGGGATTACAGGAGCTGGACCAGCGGGTACAAGAGGGACCAGAAAGGGGCATGGCGGGGGATAGTGGGGGAGAAGGTGAAAGGAATCAATTCCGCACGTCATAGGGCCCGGGCCAGCTATTTTTTCACGTTCTTTTTTCACGTTCTTTTTCTCGACTTAACCTAGGGAGTTGCTAATACTAATGCGAATGCGGTGATTGGGATTGGTGGCCGCTCACCGAGTACGGCCACCGAGGGAAATCACGTGGGGCCAGAGTTGAGTCATTATGCCATTAGGTTTTATGGATCGTGGTGGTTCTTATTTTTATTCTTGTTCTTGATTCTTGACTTGTATTCTATACTCAATTCTATATTTTTGTGTCTGTGTCTTTCAATCCAGAATTGGTGTACTCCTATTCGATCTTCTACTCTCTCGATTTCTCTCCAATCACCGAATCCACTCGAAGCCCCGCTATGTCGGTGAGTCGGCCCCTCTATGACAACATACCCTAGCTGTCTAGCAGTGTTGAATTGACTCTGATTGTGTCTCCAGTTCTTCATTGAGAACCCCAATGTGGGCAATAATAGCCACCTCGAAGACTCTCGCAGTATGTAACATACGGTCCCTTGCTCAATTGAAGCTTTACTCATTCCCCTTATAGTTGCTGGATACAACCCTCTTACCCCCCCTAATGTTCTTCAACATGAAATCGCCTTGACCGAAAAGTCACGCCAAACCGTCCTCAAGGGACGTGAGGAATCCGTCGCCGTTGTCCATGGAACGGACAAGGAGAGAGAACGTCTGCTGGTCGTCATTGGACCCTGTTCAATTCACGACCCAGACATGGCTCTAGAGTACTGCGACCGCCTGTTGAAATTGAAGGAAAAATACGAGGATGACCTTCTAATTGTCATGCGCTCGTACTTGGAGAAACCCCGTACCACAGTCGGCTGGAAGGGTCTGATCAACGATCCTGATATTGATAACAGCTTCAAGATCAACAAGGGTCTGCGCACTTCACGTCAGATGTTCGTCGACCTTACCAACAAGGGAATGCCCCTTGCTAGCGAGATGCTGGATACCATTTCTCCCCAGTTCTTGGCCGATTGTCTTTCCGTTGGCGCCGTTGGCGCCCGTACAACCGAGTCCCAGGTTCACCGTGAGCTGTCCTCCGGTCTCTCTTTCCCCGTCGGCTTCAAGAACGGTACCGATGGCTCCCTCGATGTCGCAGTTGATGCCATTGGCTCTGTAAAACACCCTCACCACTTCCTTTCCGTTACCAAGCCCGGTGTTGTCTCTATTGTCGGCACTGTTGGTAACCCTGACTGCTTCGTGATTCTGCGCGGAGGCAAGAAGGGACCTAACTATGATGCTGCAAGCATTAAGGATGCGAAGGCGAAGCTTGAGGCCAAGGGACTCGTGCCTCGCTTGATGGTTGACTGTAGTCATGGTAACTCCGAGAAGAACCACAAGAACCAGCCCAAGGTTGCTGCTGTGCTTGGCGAACAGATTGCCGCCGGCGAGAGTGCGATCATGGGTGTCATGATTGAGAGCAATATTAACGAGGGTATGTATTTGAACGCCATCAGCTTTGTTATTTTCATTTACTAACTTCCATAACAGGTGCTCAGAAGGTCCCTCCTGAGGGCAAGGCTGGCCTGAAGTACGGTGTCAGTATCACTGATGCCTGCATTGGCTGGGAGGATACCGAGTCTACACTGGAGTCATTGGCACAGGCGGTGCGTGCTCGTCGGTCGAAGCTGAATGGCAACTAATGGCTCCATTCCTGTTTCGGCTTTATTTCGGCCTCTTCCCTTTCCTCTCTATCATTGCCATCTCATACAATGTGGCATTTAACGAGCGTACTGTAACTTCTAGCTTGAAAAAAGTTTTTTGAATGTGATTACTAGTCATCTATGGAAATGCAATATATCCTTGATATCTGTTTATGATCTATCCTAATACAGATCAACTTCCATTTAAGCGTGCAAGGATAGTCAGAACTATTTCGCTTCTGTCCAGCTGACGAGCAAAGCTATGTAGTTGTGGGGCAGTACGTGAGAGGGGGGTTACATATGATTTCATCCACCTGGGCAGCATTACATAGTATATAATGGATGTACCCCTCCCCCTACTTTTCAGCTGCTCCTGGCGCGAACTACTGCTTCTACCGCATCATCACCTCTTAGCTGGAAGACAAAGCGGGACAGGGAAGGAAATCAGGGGGCGATCTTGCCAGATCGCCAGATCTCCTAAGTACCAAATGATTATGGGCCCCGGGGATTTCAAGGTTCGGTGGCCCAGAGAGTGCGCGCACGCCCGGGCGGTTATACTAACTATAAACCTATTGGAACACGTCATTGACGAGGCATATTGGTGTATAGTAAGATATATTGTACCTAATTACAAAAGAGTTTACGCGAATATTGGCAGCTCTGCTTCTCAAGAGTCATCCTTCAACGCCCGACGACCCTGCTTCCACTTGTCATCTCTGATTCCCAAATCAGGAATCTTGAAATCAACAATACACGCTGCAAAGGAAGGCTGCCGCATCGGGGAATCCTCATGCTGAATCCCAGGGGCATTGACAGACTGAAGAGCATCCGACTTTGAGCCAAAAGTATACTGACTTGTCCCATACCGCCCAGCAAAATCATCTCGAAAAGCATGTGCTTTACGTTTCCGAGATAATGAAGAAGCTATGAATCCTAGTTCCGTCCTATGGACCGTTGAAGTATAATCGACACTGCCATCTGAACTAACACGCACGACAGAGCAGGGGATGTCGTTTGCGCTTTGGGTTGGTGACGTAAATGTATCAATATCAAATATACTCGCATCCCCGGATGCGCTAAAAGCCCATACTCTTGCACCCCCATTTGAAGACTGCAGTGCTAGCTCGACGACATTTTCCACGCGTCCGACTTCCTTCCCATGTATCTTGAATGGCGATATCATGCCAGCCGGTCTGGATCGACCGCTAAGAAGAAATTCCCAGTCTCCATTCTGATTCTGGATCAGACTTTCGCGACGTTTGCGGAAGTGCTCCGAGTCGACGAACCAGTCTTGAGCGAGGTTACTGGACCCCATTACACCGTCGCCTTGAGTTTCACGCTCTTTGCAGACAATATTGAAAATGTCGAGTGGAACGGAGTACAGAACCACTCGATCCTCATAGGCTGCCACGACACGGAGGCCCCAGCGTAGATCGGAGGCGACAGCGAAGGCAGTTGGAGTGTGGGCTGCAGTTCTCTCTAATGATAGGTCTTTATTGAACGGAGGAACGCAGATAAAGGCGCGAGCATAACTTGTTGGGCCGCCAATCGGGGTATCAGACCCAATGCAGAGGAAACCAGTGCGAGGTTCGATGGAAGCGATATGATAGCCATCATTTATGGGAATAGCGCGATAGTGATGGCAGTGTGTTGCGCGGGTGAGGCTGAGTGATCTTTTGAGAAGGGGTTTACGGTTAATGGTCTTCGAGTCACCGCAAAAATTGAAATGGCATTTATTGAGATGATTTGGGTATGGGGATTGGCGACATGCATATTCGCGGATTCCTGGACCGGCCAAGGAGGAGATTAGGCGCATTTCGGATGTGTTTTCGAGGGAGTTTGGAAGGAAGTGGAGAGTTTCGGAGGGTTGGGACATGGGAAAATGTCTTCGTTGATCAGTTTGTGTTGATTCATCGACCCAGTGGATCTCAATGCCACCGGCACATCCAAAAGCGATGCATCGGCGACCTGGGGAGAGCGCAACCGTTCGGGGCGGATGATCTTCTGAGCAGACGTTGTAGAAATAGTGTGTAGACGAATGTGTGGTTTTTGGCATAAAGTATATGTTGTCCTTGGATGGTTTAGATGACGGACAATCTGATGCGTCGTCCACCGAGCCAGCAGTGTATTCTCCGACGCCATCTTGGGTAAGATTTGGGGCCTCTATGTCACAGACCATACCCACGCGGTTACTCAGCAATGCAGCAACAACAAATCGAGGGTTGCTCGTGTCCAAGGTAGCCGATATCACTTCGAATGGGCAAGAGATACTGGTTATCGGCACCAGATTGGATTCTTCTAGACCGGACGAAACCGTGGGCTTGGCATTATTGTCAAGTATACGGAACACATATATCATGCAGCCGGTCGTAACCAGTAAATAATTACTGCAGTTGCTGACACTGAATGTAGAGCTTCCGTCAGAGTTGTGAAGTCGATTTCTGGAATCTGTAGCTGCATGATATCTTGTCCGCTTCATTGTTTTTGCGAGACCTGAGAAACCCACGATTCCTGTTTTCACGAAGGCCGGTTTCTCGATATTTCTCTTGCGACCCGATAATAAACACTCCGTTGCAAAGCGTTTGCTCATCCTCCATACATCACTCTCGTAACTAGATGGATGGCGTATAATTCGTGGTATTGCACAGTCTTGCCGCCATGCGTCCCACCATCCCGCCCGTTTCAACATGCTTTCCAATAATTCCGGGTTCAAACTGACTTTCATCCACTGTGAACATGTTCGTCGGGCACTGTCAAACTCACGCGGTGTGAGCATTGAGTAAATCTGCAACAATATCTCCGGCGGCGTAAGATTGGCGGCGGAAGGTGACGATACACCGAAAGATTTTGTAAGGACATGTATAATCGGTGTTATTTCCTCTGGTGCGTGACATAGTGTGTCTTTTGTGGCTAGAGGTGAGGAGCCTGCTAGTGAAATAATGCGTTTTTTCGCAGTAGAATCGGGTGTCTGCACCGCAAAGCGTCTACTGCGAGACCTCAAGGCTGGCATTCCGTCTCCCACTCAGTAGATTAAACCCTCCGACATTTACCACTAGTCACACTGCAGGCGTTGAGACCGTTCCAATAAGTAGTTGGCAAGAGAATTTGACGAGAGATAAGAGTTAAATTATGGCGAAAACAAGTCTTGAAGAGGGTCGATCTAAACCCCGATCCGTAATATGGTAGTATGGAATCCACCGGCAATGGTTTAGTATAGAGACGGAAGGATCGGGATGGGCCCCACACGAGTTAACGGTAGATGAGCCCAGGAGTGGAGACCATTAACGATGTAGCGATCGTCTTCGAGTCTGATCAGATCTGGGTAACCACAAGCTTATCGGCTAACAGTAGGCATGGTAGTATCGCTGACTAGAAAATGTAGTGGTCAAGCACGCAAGACCGGCGTTTGAAAGTGAAGTATGCGGGAGGTTGTGGTCCCACTTCAACATTTAACAAATCTCACTGAAAGCGGTGGACTGTGAGGACGGTATGTAAAGGATTAGGGACGACAGATCCAAATACAAGAACAAAATAAGAAAACAATAGAGGTCCCGGGAAATGAGTACGAGGCAAGGGTTTTGTTGTCATGCATGAGCCGAGCAATCAATCATATAGTTCCTATGGGCTAAACCGACCAAATAAACTAAAACATTCGCCATCTGGGGCCAAGATCCTGACGGCGACACGTCCTTGTGAGACAAGGACCACGTTGACGGCGGGAATCCGAAGAACGGTATCAAGTGGAGCCCGTCAGAACATGTTTGTATTTAGCGCGCCTGTATTTACTGGGAGACAGCTGAGAAATCATGGGATTTACGCCCGGTAGGCAATAGACGAGTCAGAGAAATGACTTCTTGCATGCACGAAAGTGGAGCAAGGTTTTTGCTCCCTGGAATGGAAAAGGCAACTGAGAGGCAGATCTTCCAGGCGCCCTGGTAGTTCTGGTCGGGATTGGTATTCGGATTAGTATTGAGATGACTTGCCGAGAAAGTACTGTATGAGTGGGACAACGGATTTCTCAAAAAAAGTAAAACCGAGTAGCCTGTAACTCTTGCATTGAAAGTGGCTCTTTTCATGCGCATTCCATGGTGTGAACAAAGTCAAGAATGCAGGCCGAAGCGACCGTTCCGGATGCAGCGTGACTCCACCAAAACTTACTGCCGGCGTTGCAGAACTGTCATTGATACTTTGTATGTAGAAGGTTGATCACCGTTATTATGATTTGATAAGTCCAGGGGCTGCTTGTTGTCTCAGTGGGAAATAAGATGAGCTGCCATCTTGAGATTCAAGGTTGGGGAGAGGCACGGGGCAGCATTGTTGTGATGCTAAGCGCAAGGCCCGTCAGATTGGAATGTGCCGCGATCGCCGATTCAGCACAATGCCATGTGGACCTGATCCAGGGATTCCAGAAGAACATTATGGTGTTTCCGAGGTATGTACGCAATGTGTACAATGTTGAAACCTGCATGTGGTCTAGTTAGGTCGAATTCGAGCCTTTTCGTCTCGTAGATGTTTTCGACCTCGAATCTATACCAGAACTCCGTGGCATGTAAACATGTAAGCAGCAGAACTTTGTTGAGGACTTTCGAAAGCAACGACTGAGGGAAAACATTCAAAAATCGCAGTCTATGCAAATAAATAAGCAAAGATAGACCGGCAGAGCCGAACGCACTGACATTGCTGACCACGGCCACGTTCACCCCCGGAGCAAGTTTGAAACCTATGGAATGTGCACCAAAGCCGATTAAGACATGATCTTGCAAGGCAGCAAGAAAAGTTGACGAGAGAAAAAGTAAAAAGAAGAAATCTAGATTCCAACATGACATGTGAACTGCCGATATACTGCCGATGCACTACCAACTTGAATGTACATCAGCTACTTGCTACTTCTATGGTTGTTTACAATACAAGTGCTATATAATATGAGATTGGAAAGAGAAACAGTTCAAGACGCGGGGCCCAATAAAAGAGTATCAACGATAAAAGAACGTATGAGGGTCATCAAGACCGCATGAGTATCAAAAAGAAAAAACAACCGAAACAGCGTCATGGCAGGTCCAAAGGGTATCTATCGTGATGTGAGCGAGGGCTTATCAACAGCAAATGTAAAAATGCGATCGAGGTATCACGGTCGTATATCATCATAGAATAATCAATAGGAGGAACACACAGGCCTAGGTGCGAAGTATAAAACAGAAATAGTAGAGAGCCCCCGAGAACTTTACAGTATTAAAAATCTCAAACAGAGAGATGGTTCGAGGTATTGTTGTTGGTTTCGTGCAAAGTCGCACCATTTCCGTGAGCAGAATTGCGACCTGGGAGCCAGGCATCATGAAGGGGCACAAGAAGGCTTGGGTTGACGTACTTCCTTAGCCGCAGCTCAAGTTCTCGCCCGCCGATGCGAATAGGCAGTGCATCGCGGTCTAGACCGGATGGTGGCGAAAATGTGGTGGATGCGGGGGATGGGGACAGGGTATTGTCTCCGCCTGGTTGGTCTCGATTAATGCTCTTTAAAGCGATGAACTTCATTAATGGTTCGTATGTGCGAGCGAACCAGTAGCTGAACCAAACGGTAAAGCCAAGAAGGGGCACCAGAAGTAAAGGACGAGTGATACTTCGACGAAGGGCCAGAACACCGATCATGGCAAGCTGGAATAGAACCAAGCCGACATACACTCGGTTACAAATCATGGGCCAAGCTCGACCGGTAGAATGCTGCTGGTGATCCATGGCGTAAAGTAGCTGGTACTTGTAAATGAGCTTGCCAATAGTGAAGTAGACCAGGCCGAAAAAGCAAATGAGCCATGAGCTGGGGAAGACACTGTAAACAATACAGATGATCAAGATGAGAATGGTTTGTGGGATCGAAAACCCGTAGCTGAACTTAGGAGGCGTAGACAACTCCGCAAATTCGCGGGGTGTTCGTGCCCCAAGAAATCTCAAAGGGTAAAGGGCAACACTGCCGAATTCGAGTAGTCGAAAAGGGAAAAGACCCAAGCCTTGCAGGACTAATAGATTGATGTAGAAAGGAGCGAGACCTTCCAAAGAAGTGGCCAATGCTAGGGCAACCGTCTTGGCATCCTTGAATGCATCACGCAGGTTATCCCATAGTCCATAGAACCCACTTGCTGTTCCAAAGACAGTGAAGATCAAGAACAGATTGAAGAACGTGAAGAAGAAGTTCTTAGAGATGATAGAAAGCTCGACGTCTCCACGGGACATCATCCCTTGTTTGCTTGAAAGCCCTAAAAATTTCAAATTAGTTCTTTGCTATCCTGTGTCAATGTTCATTTTCGAATTTGAAGACTTACATTCGTATACATATGGCACAGCCACAGTCAAAAGCGAGAACGCGAGAGTCGGTAGACCTGTCTGAACCAAGGACTGCACAAGGGGGTGTTCGGCAAGAGCATCGGCTAGCGGAGGAAAAATCTTGTGCAATGTCTCCAGTTCTAGAAGAGAGGCAATCGGCACCAGAAGAACAGACCAAAAAATGGTCAAAAACCCAATAATAACAGTGATGAACCATGACTGCATCATTCTACGGCTGCGCGAGACGTATGTGTTTTTCCAAACCACATCAGCAGGTGCTGGAGCAAGTCGAGCAAACATTTGCATGGGATGCGGGTCCAAAGTCGCCTGAACAAGCATCTGGGAGGCAGCAATCGATTCCATCGTTACGAAGGCAATCTCCGTAGGAGGGTATTCTTTTTCTCGAGCAGCGATAATGTGCTCATCAATCTTGCGCAGTTTTTCCTCGTAATAATCGATGGCATCAATGGAGCGGAATCGTAGCTTGAATGGACCATACCATATACGGGTCTTCGGTCGGGGGTTAGAATATCCAGATACATGGGCACGTTCACCTCCTGAAAGTAATTGTGCGTTTTCATCGTCGGAATCTATTGATCGACTTGATGAGTGAGGAGGTTGGCGGGTTAGTGGCAGGGTATTGTCATCGCTCCGTGGGCGCTTATATCCAATATGTTTTGTCCATGCCCGCTCCAGCGAACGAATGACTTGCATTCGTTCATCGACCAAGGCGTCCAACTCAAACCATTTACGACACAGAGTCACAGTCTCGACTTTTCCAACACGCAAACCTTCCACGAAATCTTTTATCTCGTCTTCTGTTTTCAACTCTGACGGAATTCCCGAGAGGCGTACAGTGCGATCAGTCGTGCTTGTCTGATTACCCAGATAGGTTTGTCGGGTGTGAATGATGCGATTTGTTTCTTGGAGTAGCAAGTAAATAGCCAGGCCACTGAAGATATAGGGGAAGACGACATAGATCCACAGGTAAGGAGGGTCCGTGACGGGATCTGTATCTTTCCTTCCTAGTAATTTGATTGCGCGCATGGTTTTATTTTCCCCAGGTGTAGTGTCGTCGTCCCAGCCCGGAACTCCATATCTGCCGGTATATCTGTAGTGAACCGGAAGAATAATTCCAACTGCGAAGGCAAAGACCCAGAGTAATAGTCGAATCGAATACTTGAAGAATGACAGGAACTGAAGGGAAAAGTAAGCACAATTATTAATAACTAGCTATTCCAAGAGCTTACTCACCACGTAGGCATCTAAGCCAGCTGATTGTAGAACCTCTTCATCTGTAATACGATACAGAACAGGTATCCACCCAAAGAAGCTATCCGGTAGTTCTGGGAGTCGCGATGCAGAAGACCTTTGTTGTCTCCGCGCAGCATATAGTTCTGCCCATTTTGGTCGCAGAACACAAAAAGACAAGAAAGCACCAAGCCCGAGAGCAAAACTTATTATGAACTGTGTATACAGATCCCGCCCATCGATCTGATCTCCCCAACCCCGCCGAGCTCCGCCATCCAACTTGTCGCCAAGCACGGTCAACATTGACGTTGACGCGGATTGTGTTAAAGACATCGTGCCTCGTGAAGCAGTGCCTTGCGGCTTGAGAATGGGAGGTGGAATCGTTGACCGAGGAATGCTCGAGAGTTTTAGTCCATCCAGAACATGTGGCGCAAGGGACTCAAGGGTGACGGTGACGTTGTTGAAAGGTGAAGCCCTCGCAGAACAGTACTGTTAAACAAGGGGGTCGCGAGTCAAGCACGGTGGTGCAAAGGGTCGAATTGTGAATGAAGCGCAGACAAAAAGGAGCTAGTTGGTTTGGTTTGTTTTTGTTCCATGACGCCCACTGGAAAGCTGAGTCATCAGTTAGTTATGCATTTCAATGCGTCGCGGCCCGACTTCGGGATCTACTGATCTTCAATGTTCAAGAACAGCTGGAGTCCTTTAGTCTCCAGCTTAACAAGTAATTATGTCTCTCAATCCGTAGTTCAGACTTCAAGTTGTTATATTTTATCTCATCTGTATATATCTCCAAGAGCTGACATTTTCCCCGCTGGTTCAGATCCGAACAACCAACGCGCAGCGTTTATGAAATGATGTCACGGATTTAATTGCGTGTGCACAAATATACCCGTTGTCAGGCTACTGTCAGTCCACCGAGTGTGGCAACATCCCGAGCCCGTAATGCTAGTATGAGGGCCCTTGAAACTGTATCTACTTGAACTACTAGTATCTCACGCATAATATGGACCTTGAGGAAATTAAGAAGCTCAATGTATCTTTGTATTCTCTAACTTGCCTTTGAGTGTTCAATAGTGGCTATCCAAGTGGCTTTGAATGGTGCACGATCGGATTAAAAGACATGAGAAGTATGACATTATGCAATGGGGCAATTAGGCAAATAAATAGAAATTAAACGCTCTCGTATGCTCAGATCGTATGTTTACTTCGTTTGTTCACATTTAAGAAAGCTTAGCAGCGTCGTAGTAGAGATCAAGCAGGCATCCCGCAGACCACGCTTGGGTGGGTGACTAGATAGATATTCATGTTAGCGATATCTTGGAACTGCATGAAGGAGATAGGAACTTACGGAATCGCCACAGTGCTCGCCATTTTTGTTGGAGAGTTCTGTCAGTCCCTTCCATGGACTTTCTCGCAATGCCTTTTTGCATCCATCAAGACGTCGAGTGACCTGTTGGAAGGACTCAATACGTTCTTCGGGCGTCTTGCGGCGAAGTATATCAAAGGAAAGCAAGGCGCGAAGGTAATAGCCACGCTGCCAAACCCATTCAGGACCTTGGTGATAATTGCGACCCTTAGAGGTTGAAAAGTCTTCAGAATCTTCAGAGTTGTTGTAGTATGGGCGGTAGTTCAGGTCAGATGGATCGAGGGTTGCCATTCCAACAGGGCCAACAATTGCAGAATCAGCAATTGAGAGGGCAGTCAGGGCCTTTTCTGGGGTGAAAAGGGCCGGGGCAACTGCCATAGCAATTGGGAAATTGGCTCGAAGCTGGTAGTCCTCGAAAGGCTTGCCAGATTTGTACAAATCCTTGTAGATACCACGGCGGTTGACGATATTGGCATCGACCTCGTACTGACCATCTTCGCTAGGGTTGATGGGAATGTAGTAGCATCGCTCAAAGCTGTTCTTAATCTTGTCAGCCCACTCTTTGAAGGAGACTGATTTTCCATCGCCAACGTCTACGCCTTCATGCGGGTAGATCTTTGACTCGTGAAGCTTAGAGACCCAAGCCAGGGCGCTGTAGAGCAGTCCGGTGATTTCAATTGATGCTCCATCACGAGGAGTTCCAGGGAAACCCTTGTTTCCAGCCTTCACACTTTCTCCCATCTTATCCTGCCAAGTACCACAGTTATCTTGGCTACCACCAAAGACAATACCAGTGTTCCAATCAACTTTGACGTCAATTTGGAACCCTGCAGACTTCATCTGAACATCAAGGTCAGAGCCAGCATTGTACTCGCGGAAAGACATGCCATGGGCATGTCTCTGGAAAACTTCTTGAACAACCTCCAGGAGGGAAGGCGACTGAGAGTAAGCGCGGGGGTCGTCAAATGGGAACCATGTGTCATCATAAGGTAAGAATCTTCGAGGAACCTTCTCTTGCAATATTTTGATGCCATCCGGCACCATGTTGGTATAATCTTGAATGGCTTGCAGGAAAAACCAAACAGAATCCCGAGAATTGTACCGGGGCAACTTCCCGCTGCTGAGAAGATTGGGAATCATACCATGCTTTAGAACACTTGCAAATGCAATAATGTGCTCCTTTGCATCGTCGAATCGCCCTGTACATAAGAAGAGACCACGAATGGAAATGAAGACGTCTCGGCCCCAGCATCTAGCCCAGTCGACAGCAAAATGGGGTAACCCAGCTGCAAGACTGCGAACCTGCTTGGTAGGCCACAAGGAAGCTGAACTGACGAATCCAGTTTGTTGTACGCTAACCATCGCAAGCTGGTGGACAAACTCTTGACCGTGACGGACGTTTTCACTGAATTGATGAATACCCCTCTTCCAAGCGGCATTGTAGGCCACTTGAACAATAATCGCGAAGTATCGCGGAAGGAGAAAGCTAGGAAGACCCCGAACAGCATCAAACTTCTCGCGAAGCCATGCAGCGGGCTTGTGCAACGAAGCATAGCCTTCTTTCGAGGCCACCTTCTCCATACGGCCAACCAGATAGTCGAGTGCCCATTGACCATCTCGCAGATGGTCACAAATTGGGTGTCCGAGCTGGTTGTATTTGATCACATCCTCAAGAACGCTCCACCAGCCTTGAAGACCTGCGTAGACCAAGGGACCATGGTTAGGAATACTATAGACGCCGTCTTGGCCGTCGCTGGAATCTTTTTCCTCGGCATCACAGCGATAAAGTGCAAAATTCAGATCGATCAAACTGAGCTCTCCAAATGCCTCGTCTGCTCCACTGGAAAGGAAGTTGTCCAAGCCACTGGCATGCTCGGTCGCAGGAATCCAAGTCTCGAACAAAGCAATGGAGCCGGGCACAAGAGTATCGAGCACAGAGATAACCACCTCCTTCCCGTCGCCTTCAATCTTAGTACTTTCAATGTCCTTCGTAGAACTTGGAAGACCCTTCAAGTACTTCTCATCTGCCAACGTTTTGGCTTTTGTTTCATCGTCCACGTTTGCTTCGAGTACCCAAGAGCCAATGTGTTTGGCCTGCGTTCCGGCGATTTGAGTCGGGGGTAGACTTGCACCGCTTTCGTTTCCAGGGAACGCGGTATGCGCAATCAGGAAAACTCCTTTCCTGGTCTTAGGGTGAACTCGATGGACAGTGATATATTCTCCGTCGTGATGAATGTGGGTCTCATCATAGCCCTCGACTCCCATCATGGTGTGCAGCTCATTCAGAAGCTTCTTCACGCCTCCAATTCCATCTCCAGCACCAATTTCCAACTTTTGGGATCCAGAAAATGGAGAGTCATATTGTCTGGTTTCATGGACCAGATCAATGAGTTTCGGGTACAGTTCGTCATATCCCATAACACTTCCGATTGCAGAATCACACATAGCCACGAGAGCAGCATTTGGAAGAGTGTCTCTCGCATCGCGCTTCTGGGCGGGGACTTCATTGTCATGCGTGCAGTCCATAAACAATGCCTGTACTGGGGATGGGCGAATATGAGTGATTTTCTCATCTGAATCTCCGGACTTCGCAGAAGCAATAGCATGACTGCTACCGGCAGAAGGGAGATCGACGTCAAAGCTACCGATCGGGCGACCACCATGACGATGAACCAAGCGACTCAGCTCTGCGGTGCTCCAGGCCTGCATGGCCTCGCGAATAAGCGCATTGATGCCTAAGCGCTTGACGAAAACATAGTCTGCTTCCTCAGATCCGGTGAAAAGTTCCGCAAAGACTGTGAGATTAGGGCGAACCTTGCGTGCTTCATCCAACAAGTACTCGGCTACAACAAGTGGTGTAGAGTGACAGTTATCAATACGAAAGCCCGAAAAGTACTTTGCCATCAGGCGAGTGTACTTGGTCATGAATTCCCAAAGGAAAGGGTTATCCTTTGGCGAGTTTCCGTAACGAAGCTTAACACAATCACCCCACACGATAACCTCACGACAAAGATAGGCTTTAGAGTCAGGTCCAGCGTTATCTCTCATAGCGTCAGCATTCCATATCCAACCGTTGTTGGCAAGGGCAAGCGCCTTCGGGTTGTGCTTCTTAGTGACTTCGTTAATAGGCAGTCGAGTGAAGTAAGCCTCAATCAGTGGGTTCTCTTTAGTCACGGGGCCAAGCTTCGGGCCATGGTCATCAATCCGCAGGTACTTGATACGGTTGAACAGTTGGTCCATGATAGTGGCAACATCTGCATCATATTCTTCATAGAGGGGCAGATTTACCGCATCAAGAAATTTCGAAATTGAAGATTCAATCTCCTCTGAAGCTGACTGGTTTTTATCAGATTCCCCAAAGAGGATTGTCAGGATAGCAGCACCGAATTTAGCATCCACTGAGCGCTCAAATCTTCCGCGGACTTGATTTGAGTTTGGAATACCATGCTCGCGAAAAATCTTGGCTTGCTCGTTGAATGACGATTTCTTGAACTCCTTCAAATAATCGGCCGTGATGATGGTCTCGTCATTGGCTCCATTGGTCCAAGCTTCGAGAATTGTTTTTGTATTGGCCTTGACGTCAATGGCATAAAACTCCCATAATTGAAGCTTATCAATAATTTCTTTGCGCAGAACATTCATCGCAGCAACCAAATCTTCCACCTTCGTGAACTCAGTTGGTAGCCCGAAGGACTGGAGGTCGTCGCTGAATTTCAACAACGCTGTATCCAGCTCCAATGCTGACTCTAACCAAGGCGCAGTCTCCGCACTATAGCCTGCTTCGGGGTGTTCTTCCAGCCATTTGCTGTTGTGGGCAGTATGGTTCCAGACAACATCAGTCAAAGTCAACAGCCCATAGTCCTTTTCCATTTTTGAAACGAGGGATGCGACATCGGCCTCTCCATTGGGGAAGATGGCCGAGTCAAACGAGACCTGATCAAAAATACTGTAAGGTGAATTGGAGGCTCCGCGCTGCATCAGTGGTGTAAAATGAACCATGTTATAATTGCGCTGGCTGATTCCATGAAGATGACGATCCCAGTCGACGGGATACTCCCCTAGAAACTTGGAAATCACGGAGAAGATTGAAAGGGCATTCAGCGGCAAGTCTTTGCCCTGGAGGGTGAGCCGCGGCGACACATCTATGTAATGAATGGGGCTTTTGATCGGCTCTGGTGTCTTGACGGCCTCAACGGAGAAATCAGGGAGTGGTGTGAAGGTGACATAGTACGCAAATGCGCCAGCACTAGGCACGGAAATGTCGATTTGGATATTCTCGTTAAAGTTAGGTTGCAATCTAGATTTGTTCAGTGACTAGCCAGATCTAAAATCCACAACGCCCCGAGGAAATTGTCATATGTACCTGAATTCACGAAACGACTGGCGATCGAAGGCTTTGCCTTCCTCAGGAATGTTGACCCACAAGCTGCCCTGGCGGCAGATGGAGCTGGTTCCCTCAATTATGAACCGTAAAACATATCCTGGGTCTGTTGAAGGTGGCAGATAAACATAATCACCAGGGATGTCGGGCGAACCGTCATCTTTCAAGGGAAGCAGGTAAATCTGGCGCGACGGACTCATGATGATCAGGGCTTAGCGCTGACGAACTGAGATGAATGCAGGACAGAAACAATGAGATGAAACACGAGAATCTCGAACAGCTACGCCCAGTAGTTACTGGGGATTGCCAACGAGCGAAAAGCCTAACTTGAGGCCTTGAGAATGGTGTAAAAAAAAAAAACCGAAAAGAAGGAAAGCGACTAGTTTTTCCCCCTCATCTGGAGTTCCGCGGAGGGTGACATCATGCATTTGGGCTGCACCTTGGCCGCGTATTTTTAGCGGGAGGCTAGACCACCCGTGGCGCTGGAGGCTACCTGGTAGGTTCAGGAACAGCCTAGCACCGCATTGACCGATTCCTGCTACTCCGGAGGTGCATTGGGGTGCATGGTTATTCCAAGGTTGCGGGAATTTCCAGCTTAGACAGGAAGGCGGAGATGTCAATGGTCCGTTTATGATTCACCTGGAACATTTAACCCCAATTCTAGATCAGTAGAAAAAGCCCGTATCTCAATTTTTTTTCAATTTTTTCTTCTCCCTGGCCCAATGATGCTTCCCTGTTTATTGGCGTCTAGGTTCAACGGTGAGTTGGAGATCCTTTTGTACCTAACCAAACCTTATAGATACTATACAATGTGATAGAAGATGGCTACAGCCAGAAACTCAGGAGTTTCTTTTGTTGAGTCTCATTCAGAAGTGGTTCCTATTTTCTTCTTCAGCGCTTATGAAGTTAAAACACTAAGACGCGAGCACTTCCAAGGTTGAGAACTTGAAGAGGTCCGTGTGTCCCGACTCGGCATCAGACGCGGGATGCACCAGTCAGCATTAGGATAATGGTTTTAGTACGTGCCGATCGCCGAACTATTTAGTCTTCTGCAACATCGGGATTAAGCCCGATTGTTCAGAGGGTCTATTTTCCTTAATGGATTGCAGATAGATCCTAAAAATCCAGGGCTCTTATTACAGCGGTATTTGGAGCGTCAGAAACCCCCAATATGGATCAAGGCACAACATAAGACACCTGCTTGTCTATTGAAAATCCGTAATCAATTCATATCGATGCATAGGTACAATCGTAAAGTCTTTATCTACAAGCCATATTCCCAACCCATTTTGTGTCTCCCAAAACCTAGAGCCGTGCAGCAAATCGAGAATCATCGCCATTTTCGCCATTAACATCAGATGAAGTGGAAATCGGGGCACGAGGCATCGGGGGGCTAAAAAAAAGGAAATTCAAGTTCCGCAATTAATGACACAAACTTTTAAGAGGAACCCGTAAAGAAGATTTACCGCTCAATATAAGCAGGGATGTCTGCAACCTTCATATTGCCTTCCAGAATGCCTGTAGAGTTGATTAGCGGTTGTACAACGGCTGCATGATTCGAGAGATGACTTACGGTAGACAGCGGTAAATAGAGGGAAATCGTCTTCCATGCCCTGCTTCTTCAAGAACTTGTTCACCTCAACGGCGGTCAAGGTTCCCTGAAGCTTCTGGCCGTTAAGCTCGGTTCGCTCGATCTCCTCGATCGGCTGGTTGCGCTCAATGCTATACTTAGCGCAGCGGAAATTACGACCACCGCTTGAGCTAGTGATCAGGTCGGCTACACCGGCACTCTCCTCGGTGAAAGTGCGCTGCTCAATGGTGGCACCAAAGAACTTATCTCCGAAGCGCACCATCTCCATCAGACCCACACGCATAACGGCGGACTTGGCGTTGTCACCCCAGCCCATACCGACAACCCATCCAGCAGCGATAGCAACCACGTTTTTTAACGCACCGCTAACGGACACGCCGGCGACGTCATTCACGACACGCACGTGGAAGTAGGGGCGGTGGAAGAGAGACTTGAGAACGGCATGATCAACGGGTGGGTATTCCATGGGAAGTGCCTGCAGCTTGACCTTGGAATAGTTGCCCGATACGTCCTTGTGCTCAAACTCCACCAGGTTCAACTGCGAAGATGTAGGGGAGCGCTGGGGTGTGGGAGCCTTGGAGTCTAGGTGCGGGGGGTCATAAGCAACGGTGGTCTCGCACCATTTTTCCAGGGCGACCTCATTGGCAATATTGGCTCCAGACAAAGCACCGCAGTAGATACCCAAAGCCTTGCCAATAGTCTCGGAGAAGAGACTGATTCCGCTCTCCTGGACGTCAACGCCCTTGATGCAGGAGATACCACGGGCATATGGGAGGATCTTGCCCTTGATCTGGTCACAAGTCTTGTGAATGAATTGGTGAGGAAGATTGAAGACTAGGATGGTGCTGTCCTTGACAGAGTCCTCGAGGGAGGGGTTTGCGTGCAGGTTGGCCGGCAACCGAATTCCTGGAAGGTACTTGACGTTCTCATGTGTGCGATTAATTACCTCAGTAATCTTCTGAGGGCCCGCATTGGCGGGGTCGTAGTGTGGTGAGTCCTTTGCGATCTCAATGTTTTCCTCATACACCCACATCTCTACCTTCTCCTCGAAAAGGTCTGGGTTGCTGGCAGCATTTTCGGCAACGATCTTAGCGATGGCAGAGCCCCTAGCGTGGTAAAAAAAATAATTGATTAGTTTCTTTGACAATGAAGAATCTGTTTCCAGTAACAAGAGGAGTTCTTACCAGTTGCCGGAGCCCACCACTGTCACCTTGTGCTTTTGTTGATAGGGGCCGAGTGATCCCATGTTGAAAAAAGAAGCCGATGAAAATGATCTGCACGGGGAAGAGCCGGACGGCGGTGGTTTATAAATGTGCACTAGGGAAGCCGACGGGGGCGACCGGGGAGACACGATAGGAATCTGGAGTCCAGTGGCTACGGATGGAGGCAACCGAGGCACGAGAGTGGTGGAACGGAGGCCAGGAAAGCAGATCCGATAACAACGGGTTGGGGAGGGCATCCAGAATAGGGTCACCGGGCGCTCAACCAAGCCCGGCTATTCGTTCAAACGGCGCTCTGATGTCACAACCCCGGAGCGCCTTTTTTTTGAAGATTGACGATTGTCCCGAAAGGTGGATCGAATAAGTCGGAGAGAGTGCGATAACCCGGTCACGTCACAGCGAGCGCATTTTCGCCTGGTCTTCCCTTTTTGTCCCTTTTTGTCCAATTTTGTGGACTAGTTTAGTCACGAAAGTGGATATAATTACAGGGGCAAGGTCGGTCGTTGGTTGAATTCCCCAGGGACAAGGAACCGCGGGCGGTCAAGGTGGGGCGGCGAAAGTCCGGGAAAAAATCGTTACCGCCGTGTGGCCGATCTCACATGCAGGATACAGTTCTCTTGCTCCACGTTTCAAACCGGATCATTCTCGTTCCCTAATATTTCCCAACTAGGCGTCATGGCGAAAACGAAGACAACCGGGAAGGTGGCCCCGAGATCAACACCCTTTGGCGATGACTTCCGAACTAGCAAGAGGGACAAGCGTCAAATCAAGCACGCGAGTTTGATATCCAAAATCACCAAAGATTCCAGCAAAACTCCGAAGAAACGTCGTGCGTCAAAAAAACTTGTTGCCAACCTTGAGTCTCTAGCAGATGCATTGCCCGATGCGGCAGAAGAGTCCCACGATGCTGCTAGCCAGGTCAACGTCATCAAGCAGAACACCCTCCGGCATAAGCCCGGTGCATTGAAGCGTCGGGAAAAGTTGGAGAAGGTGGAACGTGATCGTTTCGCAAAGAACATGGCCCAGATGTCAGGCCTACAACCTACCGCAGATGGAAATTCTGGCGAGGACAACACAGCGCCCAACCCCACTGCCTCCCGGTGGTCTGCGCTCCGAAACTTCATCTCCCAGACGATGGAGCAGCAACCAGTTTTCAAGACGGATAAATGAAAATGTCGACATCTTCCCGAATGACACCTTGATACCCCTGATTCACAATACGCACATTGTTGATGAAACGACCAAAAATGACAAACGAGAGAGCGACTGGCCTAGAGTGACCTTTCGGCGGCCCGACCACAGCCAGTACAGACTTGCGACTGAAGTCATCATTCCACCGAATCATGCATGAATTCAATCACACAATATCTCGAGAGTCCCAGTCCGTTATGGGCTTACTTCTTTTTAAAAACTCAAGGAACTCTTTACTGAGCAACTTTGAGCATATGCTATCAATGAAAGCATCTAGTTCATCTTCACACGATTAGAAAGCGAACCCTGAAGAAGAAGAAAGTTGAATTAAAGCAATTTGACAGTATATTTAACTAAAAAGAAAAGTTGACCTTTATACCCAAGAAATAACAACTTCACGTACCCTTGGATCAACTCGCCCTTGATACTCAGTAAGCAAGCCCCATACTGCACGTTCCCTTTGCAGTCATACATAAACCTGCATCATCCCAGTCCTCACTGCCTACCCCTTTGCGGGCTATGAAAAGTCCTGTGGGGTCCCATTCCTGCTTGATTTTGTACAGACGAGGATAGTTTTTGCCCCAGAACGATTTCTGAAATCCTGGCTCGTATCCGTTGGCCTCGTTCATATAGGCACCCATGTTCTTCTCCCCCTCAACCGACCGCAGAATAGGAATCTGCACTTCAGTCATATTTTTGATGATGGCCTTTTGCTCCGCCAGTGTTGCATTAGCACCCCAGCTTTTAGAGAATAACAAGTGGGTCGCAGTCTTGCGCCAAGCTGGGTTGACAGCGCTGTCGATCTTCTCACCGTTGGCCGCAACGGCGCCACCCGCAACTACATGGCCTACCATTGCTTCTCCAGGGGCCCACCCGATGCTTTCCCAGGCATTCGCTAGTCGGGCTGGTCCATCTTGAGATGTCAGAAGGTCTTTGGAATAAAGCCGTGATGCAAGCATGGCAGTACTTCCGGTGCTATCATATTGTGGACCTGCCAAGAGAAGGTCGAATACTGTACTGTTGATACTTGGAAAGGGGATTGCCATTTTCTCAACTGTCAGATTCGCGATATTCCGTAGTTTGGAAAACAGTGGCAAGTATAATTGCTCGATTTCGGTGGCATTTGTTTTCTCCGGAAACATGAGAAGTGTTATCAGAGTAGAAACACTCATATTGACACTTAATGGCAGGTTGGGAAGGGTAAAGTAGTAGCCTGACCCTCCAGCATCATTAAGTGAAGGAATAGAGGCGTGCCATTCTTTCCAAGCATCCCAAAATTGAGGGTTGTCAGAAGAAGAAGTCATGTTCAAATTATACGCGATCACTGGAACATCGGGGAAGGTCCTAATGGTGACTCTAGTTACCACACCAAAAGTCCCTCCACCGCCACCTCGCAGGGCCCAGAACAAATCAGTATTCTGGTACGAGTTGGCAGTTACTAGTGTACCCTGAACATTGATCAATTAGCCTTGGCCTTGCGTGGTTTTTGAGACATCTCAACGAGTACTTACATTAGCCGTCACTACTTCAAACTCTAGCGCATTGTCTGATGCTAAGCCTTTCCAGGCTCCAAATGGCGAATGGCCTCCACCTTGTATGTAACCGCCAGCGGCCCCTACACTATGGCTCGAGCCGGCAATCGCAGTGCGATTATGTTTCCCAAGTGCGAGATAAAGCTCTTCTAGCTGGACGCCAGCAGCAAGATGAACCACTGGGCCCTCGGCTTTGCTGTTTGATGCCCCCATAGGAATGAAGTCATCAACCAATCGGATATCCTTCATCCCGTGTGTCAAAATTTGCAATGATTCTGGCGCAGTTGAGCGGCCGAGAAAATCATGACCGGTATTCTTAATCACAAGTCGCAGGTTGTGCTTTTTGGCAAAGCGAACAACAGACTGGATAACCGAGGCATTCTGCACCTCAGCGGAATACAACGAGATACGTCCTTGCTCACACGTAGTATTTTGGACTGTTTCAATATAGCATGACTGGTGCCGCTCCGGCCAGGCCTCCCAATTCTCCCATTGAACGGCTCCTGGTTGAGATGAGCGCCAGACCGAGTTTGTCCACAGCTCTGTGACATTCTTGCACGCAGTCTGGTCAAATTCCCGAAGGGAGCATACGGAGGCCACCGGCCGCACTGCAACCAATCTATGACTCAAAGTATTGTTTAATGTCGACCACTGCTGTTCGGAAGGCCAACAATCTTCGTGTGGGAGGCATCGACATTGAGGGGACCACGGTGCACCAGCGACCACTGTTGATAACAAAGTAATAAGAAGTTTTTTGATCATCATAAACGTATGTATAGCTATATTGATCCCATATAGGAATATGTTTGGGGTCTCTAAGCTCAATGCTCTCTCGTGAAGTCCCAGGGTTCTAACCCTTTTATGTACACATTTATCTCTTACCCCCGTGGCAGTGCAATGTTATCAAATATTCATCGAATACGAAGAAATCTTGAAAATTATGGAACTAGATATAAGATGGGGTTTCTCAGAGATCTCTGCCCTCGTATTGGCGAAGACGTGACATCATCCTCCTGACAGCCGAAAACGAGATACTTAATTAGGTATAGCGTTAGAATAGCTCGCGAAGTTGACCCAATTGGGAAATGATTTACATTCACCTAAATGGGTCATCTACCACGAGGTGGTTTATAGTTCATGGCGGCTAGTTTATTTACCCATCAGAAACACCCTGTTCGATTTCTTCATGATTAAATGCTCCACAAACCAGGTAGAAAATTTTTCGTACATTACGAGGCATTATTAAGGTACTTTATTGGCTCATTATTTGTACGTAGGTTCTTTCACTATTGTATTATAGTCAACAGGTTCGAAATCCCATCTCTTTTAAAAGGGGATTGTCGGAGTTTATGTATAGTATATATGTAAGATCCCCAGGGCTCCTATATATTCTTGAGTATCTAACTGCTCTCCTACGCGTCTTTCTATATGTTCTTGTGAACCTTAGCTTACTACAGTGCATGATCCTTCTGGTTGTGCATTGGGATAGATAACACTAGAGCATACACGCGACATCAGATGGCATGAGTGAATAGTTTAATATGGGGGAAATCCGGTTAGAAAGCTAAGATTTTATCTCCAAGGTAGATATGCACAAAGCTATTGGATATTTATCTACTTCTCCAAGTCACAGTATAGTAAAGCGTGAAGCCCGTAGGCTCGAAATGATCTATTGACTGTCCTCCAAGCTTGCAAATTGACCCGCACAACGGGGTCATACTAGTACTCCAGGGTTCATTCACATGTTATGTATACTAACATTAAATATATTTTTTTCGGGCCTCAACATCCAGGATTGATACTAGTGGACATATGCAATCAAGGCAAAGGTCTCGATAGTGTCTCTTTCAAGTTTATCGTCTTGGCTGAGAACTTGCATGCTTCAAGTCGATACTAAACGAAGATTTCAAGTTCCAAGGTTCCAACCCTGGGCTTTAACTTGAAGTTGGTGAGTACTAGTACTAGTACCTAGGTATTGGATTTCCTCTACCACTTCTTGGCTTTCCCCTTCCGTTTTAGTGCTCACCCCTCGCCGCTTTTTGCTTACTGAGTATTTTCTGGATCCTATTTCTGCGGAGCAAATCCACCACCCGTGTGATAATACGTGGCTATAACGTATAGATCCCCGGTAAGCTAGATCTTAGTATCGCCATATGATGATACGTGATACCAATTTAAGTCTCAGCAGTTACATTTCGGGTTTCATATTGTGACGACATGAAGTTAATGATGTGTCAGTCTGTTAAATGAGTTGTGACGCTTGGAGTTTTGGGGGTGTTCTTTTTTTCTTTTTTTTCTTGGACGCGAACCATACGATATAGAGTCATTATTGGGATCTATACAAATTGCAGCCATTTGGAAACGACTTTCGTTTTATGTAAACATTAGTCAAATAATTTTATCATAAAATTGCACGGAAACAGGTACATTTGCGAATAGCCACCTATAGAGATGTCCGATCGAATGTTTCTGCTGTAAGATAGCTAGAATTAGACATAGTGAAGCTTATAATTCAACCATGAAATCGTATGGAATATGTATCGCATTTAGACAAGTTTAAATATCTATTTATTTGGCTTCTAATCTCAAAGAGAACTGCGGAATTGCTCTATTTGAATCAACTGAACTTTCAACGGCAAGATACAGAATAATCTCATCTCGGAACAACCAAACCAAACACAGGAGAAAGTGTCCAATCTCATTTTTCAAATAACCAACAACAGTAAAAGAAAACAAGAATCTGAAATCAGCTGTTATACTATGCAGTCTTGGAGACTCATACTTATATCCTCTAATCACTTTCCGGTCATATCATAAAGCCACTATCGCGCATCATTTTCCTATACCCAGGCCAACTGGTTTCAATCTTTTTCATTGTCGCTTGATTTCCCCCGGGATCATCGTTGAGCTTCTCATACTTTAACTTCTGCTCCATCATGCAAGTAAAAAGGTACATACCACAGCCCGCAAGACGAAATTCCTCACTCCAGCAACGAATACGAAAGGCATTAGAGCGGGAAAGTTGGGTAGCACAAACGAGAACCATAAATGGTAAACACCTTTTGGGCCCTCGTGAGATCGCCTCCCGATTAGACGCGACATGAAGTCTTGACCTTGAGGGCGAAGTCCGCGGTATGTGGAAGCGCCATCTGAGCCTTGACAATATTTGGATTATGGGTGGCTACACACAGCAACACCGATGGCATTCACGACGCACTGTGGCACTCCAGATAAAGGCGGCAGTGGAAGGGGTCTTGCCCCCCGCTTATCGGGATACGCCGTCACCACGCGCGTAAAATCTTGATAATAGCGCCGACTGACATAGCGTGGTATATGGAACGAAAGCCAAGAGAACAAGTAATTCCTCCGTCGCGCAAGAGGCCTGAAATAAAGTCATCTCAGTTGGATCTCAAGCTAGCGGTAGCTTGGAATATCCATCCCTCATGAATCCTCGCAGGGTTTTGAGACCGTCGATAATGACTTGCTGCTCATTGACATACCCTAAACCGAACAAAGCCCTTGAAATCAACTCCGCCTCCGAAGCATTGGCTTCCTGGTACGAACATAACTCCAGTCTGCTGTTGTAGTTGCTTGCAAAACTCCACATCATCCACGAGGTTTGCACCCTTGTCGGTGAATCTGATGAAGGCGGTGGTGCCCGCTTGAGGGCGGGTCCACTGGCAGACCCATTTGGACTCCGTCACAAATTCATCCAAAGCGGCAAGTTTTCGCTGAGCCAACGTGATATTGCGTGCCAGGAGACTGTTCACGCTCGGGCTATCGAGAGCAAAGGTGGCAATCTGATCATCGACCTGACTCACTGAGATCACAGTGTTATGACTAGTGGACGCACATGCTTCAATAATCTCAGGACTCAGCGAAACCATCCAACCAAGCCGGATACCAGCCAAACTGAATGCCTTGGACATAGAGCCTGTTAATATTGGGACAGGTAAATAAATTACCGAGGGTTCTAGCCTTGGACCTCTTATATAAGGCATACAAACTATGGTGGATATAAAACATATAAATATTTAGAAGTAGTAGACTTCCAAGGATTAGTTTCTATATAACTTCATGAAAGAACTCTATCCAATATACCACTCTTTATCTATCTAACCCTTTGATATCAACCTTAATATTACTAATATTATTAATTCAAGCCAAGTCAAAGAAATAGAGCAAAAAGAATATAAATTGACCGAAAAAGCCGATCAAGAAAAAATGAAGCGGAAGTAGAAGAAGGTATTAATTAAAATTGGGAAGTATAGAAGAGCCAAGAAACGCCGAGAAGATTAAATTGATGTTGTATTCTAATATTGAAATAGCTGATTAATTTGTTTCTTATTTTTAATTAATCAATTAACTATACGGTAGTGTAGTAAATAGTGGTTGTAGTACGATTTAGAAAAAATGTTCTACTTGGGTGATATATTCCATATTGGTGGTGGACCCTCGCCTGCGAGGGTCCGTAATTTTTGAAAAAAAAACTTAGAGGCCGGTTAGTTTGTAGTTTAATGATTGAATGATGGGTCCGGGTGATGCGATCACGTTGACTAAGCCGATAAGACCACCTGCGGGGAAAGCTCCGAACTTATCTGATCAAACTGTCCTCACTGACTCACTCCAACCCTGAAGTAAATCCGAATACTTCGTTGCCCTCAGTCCTGCTGTGTTCACAGTATCTTGGAGATGCTTCGACGGCCTCTTCAGAGTCGGCTTTCTTTCGCCCTGACGCATCGTGACTTTATCCGATGTCGGCCGCATCTATCCACCAGCCACACGCGCCGATTATCCACCGGCTCGACGAGGTTCCCAACATTTTCTCAGTTTAATCGGTCCGACTTCACAAACCAACCGTATAGCGGGAGCTATGAGCCTGGCTTACCAACAACTGGGCCGTTGGCCTCCACTCCAGCTTTTGGCGCACCTCGGATTACACCGAAAGTACTGAAGCAGTACCTTGATCAGTTTGTGGTGGGGCAAGATCGTGCGAAGAAAGTATTAAGTGTGGCGGTTTACAATCATTACCAACGGGTACAAGAGATAGCACGGCGAGAGGAAGAAGCAGAAGAGCTACAGTCCAAGCGGCAAAGGAGAGAGGCCATGGAGAGCCACCCCTTAGAAGGTATGTTGACACGAGTGTATTCGTTATTACATGATCGTTCTAACCATGTTCATCTGCCTAGATGAGTTTCCAGGACAAAAGCAAACCGTCGTTACTTCATCCACGCCGAAATCCCAACAGAACACGCCGTTAGATCAGAATGCGCTGGTCGATAATTCACCACTTCAACTGGAGAAGTCCAATATTCTTCTCCTTGGACCCTCCGGCGTTGGAAAGACACTCATGGCAAAAACGCTGGCTCGGGTTTTATCGGTACCATTCAGTATTTCAGACTGCACCCCATTCACGCAAGCTGGTTACATTGGAGAAGATGCCGAGACTTGCGTACACCGACTCCTTGCTGCTGCCAACTACGACGTCGAACAGGCAGAGCGTGGCATTATTGTTCTCGACGAGGTTGACAAAATCGCAGCCGTCAAAGTCAGCCACGGGAAAGATGTCGGCGGCGAGGGAGTTCAGCAAGCACTTCTGAAGATTATCGAAGGAACTACAGTACAAGTGCAAGCTAAACCGGAAAAGAACCCACGATCGACCAGTCCTCCCAACACATACCCATCTAATAGCCCATTGGGAAACACTCCATTCCAGCCACACAATGGCAACCCCCCCGGAAAGGGTGAAGTGTATAATGTGCGCACAGATAACATTCTTTTCATATTTTCGGGTGCCTTTGTCGGTCTGCACAAACTGGTTATGGACCGAATTTCCCGTGGATCAATGGGATTTGGACAGCCAGTCCGTTCACACGATGGATCGGGGCCTTCAGACTCCGCTACTCCAGAACCCCAGCCTATTCTCCCAGGGTCTGAAGAGGAAGCTTTATACAAGAAGCATCTCCCTTTTTTCACCTCTGCATCCCCGAACGCACCTGGTAACGAGCCGACGTATTTCAACGCACTTGATCTCTTAACACCGGCAGATCTACAAACTTACGGCTTTATCCCGGAGTTGATTGGCCGAATTCCAGTTACCGCCGCCCTCTCAACGCTTACCCAGCCCTTGCTTCTGCGCATCCTTACAGAACCCCGCAATTCCCTACTGGCTCAGTACACAACCCTTTTCTCTCTATCTGGAATCGAGTTGCGTTTTACCACACCTGCATTACACACAATCGCCACAAATGCCTTCAAGATGGGCACAGGGGCCCGTGCACTTCGCACGGAAATGGAAACTATTCTCAGCGATGCGATGTTCGAGGTACCAGGATCCAGTGTCAAATTTGTTCTTGTCACTGAAGCTGTTGCCAACCGTGAAGAGCAACCCGTCTACCTTGCCCGTGGGCAGGGAGGTAAATTTCACGCTATGATTTCCGCGGAAGAAAGTCAGTGGGAAGAGAAGACCAGGCTGGAGAAAAAGGGAAAGGACAGACATGACACAGAGGCAGATTCCACACAAGCTTCGCAGCAGACCTCAAGTTTTCAGGAATATCGCAAGCGTGCGGTTGGATAATATCATTGCATCATGATTTATTATGTGATATCTTACCTATTGTTACCCTGGTGCTGGCAATTGCGACATACCCGGCGCACATGGTTATTGTATTCTTCTTCAGCATGTATGTAGCCTGGAAAGCATGTACATCTTTGACTAAGGCTCTGTATCTGGCCAAATCGATACAAAATTTTACATATCCTTCTCGTAATGCGCCTCTAAACGTGGTAATCCCTATCAACGGCAGGTAGTGATATATGGCACTCGGGGAATATAGAAGAGAAGAGAAGTGTGGGCAAGTGGAAAAGGAAGGAAAATTATGGCAGAGGATTGGTCAAGATGAGTTCGATTGTAGGAGAATATGAATAATTGGGGTATCATGTGCGAAAAAGAACAAACAACGCTTGTCAATGGAATAATCAATTGCATGGATGAGAATGATGTTGGTGATTCTCCGGTGCTCTCCAGTTTCTGGGCTCTTCATTCATGTTATGGGGGAACGAATTTCTTGACTCTCTCCGGTCACCGTGGTCACCGTGCGAAGGCCTAGAATCCTTCGAGTTGCGCGGTCTCTGCAGCCCTCGTGGTGTGACAGGTGTTGGAGAGTACATCGATGTGACCGCATCTTGATCACGCCGAGGAGAGTTACTGTCGGACAAGGGTTCTCGCAGTTTTGCAAGGAAATGAGCCTCATCGATCCTGTAGTCCTGTAAGAATCCATCGACATCATAGACGTTTACGTGTCCCCAACGAGACCAAAGTGCTCGTAAAGCTTGGTTTGTCTGATTGGAGATCACTATCGTTTTACGGAAAGCAAATGAATTAGTCAGTAACCACCAAGCGAATGCTTCAACGAGTTGATCTGCATTTCGCTCGTCTTGTGTCAGGCCTTTAAGAGCATCAGGGTGGTCATCTTCAGGCCGACTGCCGTATTCTGGGATATCCAAAGACGCAATATCGTTGGACGGATGCCAGTAAGTATCAATGTTTTCCAGGGTGTTCGGGTCAAAGTATGGAGCATTGGGATCCCGAGAGTTGATGTATTGAATCCCTATAAGAATGCAGAATGCACTAAACAAAGTCAGACATCAAGAAGATGCATATAGGAATAGAGGACTTACAATCCCTTGTTTTCTTCATTTTCCTCTGGGTCCTCTAATTTATTGCGGAGGTATGAGAGCACACCTGGCATCAAAACAAGTTTATTTGTTCCTGGCTCTCGCTCGGCCTTTTTGGAAGTAAACCAGTACGTAATCAGAGCAGCTTGCTTCATATCTTGGAAGATATCCTCAGTGAGCAATATTGCGCTGCCATTTGGGAAAAGACTTTGGATGTGACGATTTTCATTCTCACCCACAAAACGAGTATCTGGACGATCGAGAGGTCTGGAAACACGAATCACCCAGAAATTTATGTTAGGGGCCCTTTGCAACTGTTTAATTTTAGGGCGGAGTTTTTGATAATGCCAGAAGGATTCATGGAACAAAACAACACCACCCTTCTTGTAATAATCCGTGGAAAATCTTTCCCAATTTGCTGGATCACGACTGGTAGTATAATTGACTTTTTTGTAATCAAGCCATTTCTCCATAAAAATCAAGTCTTGCTGAGCGTCTTGATCTTCCGAGAGAAAATGAAGATAGAAATTTTGTGCTGTACCATTGGCGAGCTCTTCAATGGTAATACTAGCCGTGTTGCTAATGAAGTCATCAATAGCTTTCCCGATGTTTTCTAGTAAAATGCCTTGAGATTGGAAGGGCTCATGAACGTCTGGTGTGGTGTCCATTGTGGCCAACCCCTCTTCGTCGCCGTCAGTCATATATGTATCGTTTTGACTGGCTAGTGAATTATCCAAGTTGATACTTGTTATCCCATTTGACTGTATTGAGGCCCCTCTAGGCGCTTCTGGGGTGGACATTTGATGGTTGAGTTCGTGGCCAGTAGAACGAGCGGGTGAATTTGCGGCGTGTAACCGCGGAACCAGTGGCTGACGTGAAGGGTGTACCGTGGGAGAATTGACGAGCGAGTGTTCCTTCTGACTACCTTGATCAAGTGAATATGTGGTCACTCGAGACGGAGCTATTTGACCATGGGCAACGGATTGACTCAAATCGCGAACAACATTGTCACTGACGTCTGGATGGTTAATGGGTGGCTCTGGAGTTGAAAGAAAATCATTTGTGGCGGGACGTGGATCGTCTGATGAGGGTCGAAAACGAACAAAATCATCTACTACTGCGAGTGCGATTGGTATATCGTTGGGTAACTGAAAGCCGTGAGTCAAACGGTCATCGAACTCCGAGAAAGGTGAGTAGGCAATCCATGTGCTCAAACCCTCCGCAGGCTTGCAAGTAGCAGCAATTTTATTGTAAAGAAGGTACTCGCCTGTCCGGAATAGTGCTGTATTTGTTTCATCAAACCGAGGGCCTTTCAGTCCTTCAAGAAATGCATTCCCTTTAAAGAATTGGAGTGAGAACCAAGGGAACTCTTCGATTGTGTACAAATGCTGAAACCATAGCTCCAAGGGCCCCTTCGAGGCTTTGACTGAATTCAAAAGGTTCCTTTTGTTGAAATGTTCTGAACCGACTATTCTCAGAGGACCTATGTACGTCCTCAATGTACCGAAATACACATGCACAAGCACTTCCCCTGGGTTCCAAAAAAGGTCTCCCGCAACTTTCACTGCATTAGCCCCGGGACTCCCCACCCGCATAAGTGCAATCTTTTGTTTTTCAGATAAAGTTGCACCTGAGGATATGGGCTGCGAAGGTTCTTGTGTTGTGTCGCGACTGGCCGTGCGAGCTGGCGGTCCCGAAAAAGGAGGTTTGGCCGATAATGGAGATAACGGATGTGTTGACTTGGAGGGGTTGCTGAGCTCTTGCGATCTCGAAGGCCTAAATGAATCATCTCGACTTGAATAGTTTGGTCGATATGAATCGTCTCCTACGACAGAATTTGGTCGCCGGCTGTATATATCTGGAGACCTTCGACGGCTATGCTCTGTTGGCCTTTGCTTACTCTTTCTGTCGGTTGACCATGATCCTTTTCTTGAGTTTGGTAGCCTTGGAGACCGTATTTCCTCACGTGGCCTGTCTCGTCTTTCTGTGACTAGCGGCTTAGATGGAAATGGCCGAATAGTTGACTGTGGAAGCGCTGGGGGTTCCATTGAAGTTTGCCCGGAGCCTGAAGCTTGAGTCGCCAATAATCTTTCCGTTATTTCATTTGTCACCCCACTTGTATGGTTAACTCGGACTGTTGGTGTGACATATCCATAGTTTTCTCTGTTGGCATAATCGGAAGGCTTCCTCAGGTCTAGAGGAATATTTGGTGCTTGCTCATCAGCTCGCGATTGGCGGGAGCCTGGCTTTTGGCGAGGACAAGCTCTTTGACCAAACCCTCTAAAGACAGATGCAGGCTTGGAAAACTTTGAAGCTGTATGTATAGCCTTTGTTGCTTGTTCATATCTTCTTGGTGACTGTGCTACTTGATTACGAGCTGCTTGTTGTTGGGTGACTTCGGGCCGAGATGGCTTCGGTGCTAGTGGCCTTTGCTGTTGGAGCGTCTTGCCTGGCACCGAAGCTTCGGGGTCCAGACCCGCCGGCCGTGAGGACTCAGGTGCCTGCGGTTGAGAAGCGTGCGATGGTAGAACTGCAGGGCCCATGTCTGGGCCCCCGGGCGGTGTTGATGTGTGTGGGCCGGCAGTTGAAGACATAAATAGAGAATCAGTTGACGCGGCCGAGGCCGGACGTGCCGGCTCAGTCGTAGAAGCTGATGAAGCTGGTTGAGCTGGTTGAGCTGGTTGAGCTGGCAATGGGAAAAAATAGTCTTCCAAATTAGTCTGAAGCTCCGAGTTATGCTGCGCCATATCCTTGCCAGCCGCACTGAACTGCGCGTAGACCTTTTGGTAGTCTCTCTCCCATTTTTTCACATCAAAGCGAGGCTGACTTCCAGATCGAATTTCCAGGTTCTTCCGTGCCCAGTCCATCAATGTATCGTCGGAGTTAAATGAATCTTCTGGCTCCCATGTCGCATTCAGGATATCATACCCATCCCACTTGACGAGATACTCCATGCGGCCGATGATGCCCCTCTGAGCAAGAATTGTCTCTACATCGAACACCTCCCCTGCTTCGCTCTCGCCTGAGACAGATGAAGATATCACTGATATATTATCATCATCGGCTGCACCCCTTTTATCTGGGTTTGGAGCCATGCTCACAGTGCGCCGTAGCCCTCACTCTCTCTCTCTCTCTTTCTTTTTTTTTAAAGAAAAAGTAGCAGCGAGGTATGCGATGTGGTATGTTTTTGGTCCTCTGGCGATCAAGGCTATGTAGAGGTGAATGGTATGAGAACTATTTCTCGTTTTCAGAAATATTGATATCTATGTGGTTTCAGAAGTAAGTAAAAAAGAACCCCCCGGTTCACCGGAAATGATTGCGACACGAAATCTCAGCTGACTCTTTCTTCAATCGTCTGTTCAGCCGCTTCCTTCAACTAGTCGAAGATCCAAACGTTCTACGAACTTACCGAGCGGCAAAAAACAACACCCCCACGTGACCCGGTTGTTAAAGGAGACGCTCCACCTGGGGACAATCATCTCTCTCCCTATCGGCCTGTCATTTAACTACACTTCCCGCTTTTTTTCTTCTCCTTTTGTGTTCCCTCCCCCCTTTCGCTTTATTCTTCTTATCTCTTCAAAATGGCCAACGACGAATATGACGTGAGTGTTCTTTCCTTCTACTACCGTTCCAGTTGCTGACCTTGGCCCCAGTTTCTCTTCAAAGGTAACGTCGCCTCGTGCAGCTGCCTGTGGGTAGTTATACGAAATCCCCCCTCGAACTCCCGCGCTTTCTAGTCGATACCCGGGTACGCTGCTATATACTAATTCGGCCATACAGTGGTGCTGATCGGAGACTCGGGTGTTGGTAAATCCAACCTGTTGAGTCGATTCACCCGCAACGAGTTCAACCTGGACTCCAAGTCGACGATCGGTGTGGAATTTGCGACTCGTTCGATCCAGGTGGACTCGAAGACCATCAAGGCACAGATCTGGGATACTGCTGGTCAAGAGCGCTACCGTGCTATCACCTCTGCCTACTACCGTGGCGCTGTCGGTGCCCTTCTTGTTTACGACATCAGCAAGCACCAAACTTATGATAACGTCACCCGCTGGTTGAAAGAGCTCCGCGACCATGCCGACTCTAATATCGTGATTATGCTCGTTGGTAACAAGAGCGATTTGAGGCACCTGCGCGCGGTCCCCACCGACGAGGCCAAGCAATTTGCCAGTGCGCATACCCTTCCCGAAGTTCCAGAGGACTACCCTCGAAATGAGTAAAATGAATGGTGATTCTAACGCTTTACCAGGTGAAAACAACCTATCATTCATCGAAACCTCTGCTCTCGATGCCAGCAACGTCGAGCTTGCTTTCCAGAACATCCTCACAGGTGCGCCCCCACCAGACGCCACAACCCCCACATATGATGCTAACTAGTCCCCTTCCATTAGAAATCTACCGTATTGTGTCCAGCAAGGCCCTTGACAACGGCGAGGCCGCTGGCGGCGTTTCTGAAAACCGCCGTGTGATTGATTTCACTCCACAGGAAAACGAGCAGAAGCCGGGCTGCTGCTAAACGACTTGGGAGGACGCCTCTCGAACGCGACGACTCTTCTTTTACAATGGGATATTGGAATGGCACACTTGATCCGGCATGCAGTCTGTAATTTGTGACATGAAGACGATACACAGGCAGGATCTGGTAGAGGACTTAGACGATGGGTGTCATTACCCGGACATATCTCCTGATGGTCGGACCTTTGTTTTATCTCTTTCTTCTCTTCATTTTTTGTTCGTTTTCACTGCGTGGCTTTTCCCCTTACGAAATTGACTTCTATTCCACCAAGCCTATTCTTCTGTTCCCCTGTTGATGCTCCGCGGTCGGTGCAATGATCTTGGCTGGGCGTCACTGTGTCTATGTGGGCTGTATGAAGTCTTCCTGCGAAACCAGTATATTGTGGGTTATATTTTTCTGAATTCCTTGTAGCGTTTGGGTTGGGAATCGTGTTTTGTGTGTGTGTTAGTGATGCGTCTGGCCCGGACTCGGGCCCACTTTCAACTCCACTCCAGAAATGCACTGTCTATCTATGATCTATGATACGGCAGTGGCGGAGATGGTCTCATAATGGGGCGACTCAACCCAATAACATTGCACATATCGGAAAACATCCAAAAAACACAAGTTGTTTGCCATGGAACACGCAGTAATGAAACATGTAAAATACTTTTTTTATTGAAATTAACCAGTACAAGACTTTGCCTTGACGCCATAGCAGACCATGATATCGTCGCCATCAAATATACATGTAGTTAAAAAAAAGGAAACTCCCAAGACGGGTCAAATGAATGCAGAAAGTTGAAAGCCCTTGTAGACTTATGCGAATAATTCCCTCGTACCCAAAGCATCTGTCTTCTTCGAAGAGTTGTCGGTAAGACCCAGGTTCGTGCGCTTGGCCTCACGATCGGTCTGCACGTCTCGGCGGGAAGCATAACGACCAGCCTTGCCCATACGAATCTCGCGACGGACCTGGTTGGGGCTGACGTATTCCTTGTTCTCGTAGATGACAGGGCCGCCAAAGCTACCTTCCAAGATAACAATGGGGGTCAAAACAAATCGTGGACCAATCTCAACCAGCGACACATCGGGTGTTAGACCGTCGTCCTTGCCCTTGGGAACAGGCTTGACAGTCTCTTCACCCTTCTTCTTGTCTCCACCCTCAGACTCGCGGATCTCGTACACCCGGATCCAAATCTTGCCGTCCACACCGAAAATACCGATGATGCGATCAACAAAAGGCTTCATACCCTTAACACCACGCTTAGGAACACAGAAAACCCCGCGCAACATTTCTCGGACGAGCGCCCGGTATTCAGTTCCAGCAACACCCATGTCGGGGCCTTGCTCGTCGAATGATCGGTCGAAGACGACAAGTCCTCGGCCACCCTTCAGACAGTTGCCTGCAAATCCAGCACCGAGCTCACCCATGGTGTGCAAGTTGTTAAGGTGGAACTTGATTGTAGGACCGTTAGGCGGGCGCGCAAGCCAGAGGTAGAGATCTTGACCGTTCTTGCGGGCCTCAAGGAAGAAGATCATGTTGCATGAGTGGAGGTCGGCGAGAGAGTTAAGTAGAAGGTTGTACCCGGCAGTCTTCTTCTTGGTATCGAGCTTAGTTTCTTTGTGGGTGTGGGGGAGGAGGTTGCAAAGATCAGCCATCAAGTGTCGGTGACTAGAATTGTAGAAAAATTGCGCTGGTCAGTGAAATGCGCTCTTGATTCGATTGTGCAATCGTGGGATCACTTACCGATGTGTCACGCCACGAGATGTCAGAATAAGGACTCTTGTCTTGGGCATAAAACCTTGGGCTAATTGTTTCTTGGCTGCGGTGATACGGTCCTCTTCTTCCTGTTCCTCTTCGCTGTCGGTGGTATCGTCCGCATCATTGAGGAGTTCGTCCATTCCAACGTCCATATCACTGTCAACTTCTTCCTCGACTGATTGCCGGGCCTTCTTCTTGTTCACTGCTTTGTAAACGGCTGCCATGGTGATTGATTTTTGGGTGTATGACTGAAACAGATCAAACGCAGAAAGCTTCGGAGAAAAGTTGATGGCAGAATAATTTTTGTTTTACACCGCTCTATTCGGCCAATGTCACGTGCAGATGTAGACAAGGTTTGGCCCGTTTCGGTTGACCTTCCTCTTTTCAGATCGTCGTTGGATGGATTTCTCGGAAAAACATACGACAATCAAGAAAATGGGGTCACGTTATATGGGTGAATTTCTAATCTGAAGGATAATACTCCAAGGCCCGATCTAAGCCCGAAAACCCTTCTTGTGATACCTTCATGCCAGCGATTCGATTGGCGAACCTAACCTTGGTAGAAAGGTCCCACTCCTGATCTCTACAACTCAACGCGTATAGCATTCCTGCATTAAATGTATCCCCGGCTCCAATCGGGCTATTAACCGTTAGCCTGTTTCTGCGGGAGCCATGTACATACGTCAACTCACTCCACTACTCGAAAACCTGCTGTTGTATAGGCTTCTGCGTGTACTAACTGTCCTGTGCTAGGTTCAAAGGCGGCTGCTCCATCCTGACCCCAAGTACAGAAAAGCAGGGATCTGATGTTTCCAAGTATTAACTCACGCTTCAAGCACAACTGAGCCTTTGAACTTAAGACATACGCATTCTGTGTCTTCGTCGACTGTTTTCGTAGACAATCCTCTGCTGATATGTATCCATTGTGCTGTATGCTTATCAATTTCAAGTTGTGATTTCAGCCACGAGAACCCGTGGATCTGAATAGTCTCGAGATTTGGATTCAGACGTCGACCTACCTGCGCCCATGTCTTTGAATAAAAAGCCACATCAGCGGCTTCTGCCAGCTCTTGAAGTCCTTCTCGACCAGGTTTCTCAATCTCAACGCTAATTCGCACAGAAGGGTACTCTTTGCGAAGATATTGAATACAGCCAAGAATAACCCCAGGAATGCGACCCTATGGTTATTAAGAATCTAAAGTCTAGGGCAAATAAGACCAGCGATCACATACCTCGAAGTGAAACCAAGTAGCACTCGAAACCATCCGATCAATAATATCAGTCAGCTCTCCAATTGTCATATCTGGAAGTTCATTGTAGTTGACAATCGTTCTGCTACCCGTTGATCGACTTGCAATAATGTAGCTTGAGGCCGGCTCCTGAAAATCTTCCCTATAGATACAATGATCGAGACACACATTTGGCTCGAGAGTTGACCGGATTTGCTGTGTAGCTACTGACGATTTGCTTGGTAGAACGGTAATCAGGCTTAATGATAGAGGCAGGATGGATGTAGGTATTAATTGCTTCATAACTTCGAGACTGTTTGGACAATTTCCCCCACGTCTGTGAGTAATACTCGATGCTCGTAGCTTCTCATCTTCTCCGGGGTAGTATGGTGTGCTAAAATTAAACAACGAAGTTAGTTTGACTCGTATTTTTTGCGGCCTTGGGCAAGAGGTTAAAGATCACGTACCTAAGAATGGTATCCAAATAACAGGCACCCACCGCGACTAAAGACATGCTGTTATCCCAAGACAATAAGAAGCAACTTATCACCTCGGTTTGATACTGAATCACAATTTGATGGGGTGCTGTTCGAAGCTCTACCATCTCGACTGTAATAGGTTGAGACCGACTGGTGAGGGGCAGATTAGTCATGGCGTGTTGACGCTCCAGATGTCTCAACAAGTGCTGTTCTTCAAACGTTTGTGCACACAACATCAACTTGAAGGCTATCTCATATACAATCATGAGGGCATGTTTCGTATATTGACGCCAGGGAATCCTGTAAATAGGAAATATGGTGACTAGTGATACTTTGATGATACCGGCACTGGGCTACCTCGTCCTCTACATCATCCAACGCCAAGCCTCCAAGTGTGTAAACTACGGCAGCTAAACGTGGAATTTTCCGTTTATATTTCTAGATAAGTGGTCTAATTCGTTTTTGCTTTGTTTGCTGTGTGCTTTCAAATAAGCTGCATTCTGGCGATTGCTTCGACATGTAGGGCACGGGACGCCGCCTAATTCGCCCAGCATAGTATACAGGCCCTAGTAGGTATCGTTTCAGAATATTTTCATGTTATGCGATAGCCAATCCTGGCCCATTTGCCGGGTTTCACTTGAAAAATTGAAGACAATAACATTTCCGCCTTTGGCTTTGATATACACTCTTTGATAGATCTTCTTTTCAGGCAGACCCTGTGGAACTACTAGTACCTATTGACCAAACCCCACGCCGTAGGGTTGGATGCTTTAATACAGTTTCTATGATTTTCTTTACAGCAGTAAGCAATTCTGTGTTTTTGGTTCATGAATATTTAATCAGATGGGAATGTACACTTCACTGAATCTCCTACCCACAACCATTTCACCTAGTTTTATGAGTTTGGATTGTATTGTTAGCACCCAAGAGAACATCAGAACTTCATCATGCGCCAACGTGGAAAGGTATTGGTTACTGAGGGACCAACTCCTAAGTTCCTTTATGCTATGCTCAAGCAGCTGGACCTGAAGATTGTAAGATGTGATTGGATGGAGAAAGCCACTCGCACAGGGAACAAGCCATAACTGATAATCTCATTTAGATTGATTGGAACCAGGTTGCCTTGGATATTGAGATATCAAATGGCCACGCTGCTCGGATGCGATTCTCTCGATTCCGTAACCAGATGGAAGGTACCACGGGAGCCAAGCGAGGGCCGAAGAAGAACACCTCTAAAGGGAAAAAGGGCGAAAAATGCGACATGGAGCATCTTACACCACATTTACCGAATATGCTTCAAAATCCAAACCCCAATCCAAATACACTGTCAGTTCCTATGCAAATTGAGGAACCTTCGAATGGTGTCAAAATGGAGCCCCGGGACAACGAGATTGACCTGAACACAGTCAAATGCGAGCCTAATAACGAAGAGTCATCGACACTCGGGAGATTTCCCGAGCTCTACCATTCGCACCATTGGTGTCAGCCACGCTTAGCATCGAGCATGGATTTTGATTCGCAGATGCACGCCAATCACCCCTTCTTTCCTAATGAGATGTATTTTCCACTGGAAGGAATACCCCATACAGCTTCCTCAATACCGGAAATGAGTCCGCAGCAATTGTATCTTCATGCACCAGAGATAAGACACCAGCAACTGGCTTCAAGTTTCCCTCATGCTCCGGTACTACGATGGGAGCCACCTGCTTCGCCTCGGCATTTATTTCAGCCCCTGACAGAAGAAGCCTTCTTCAATACTTCGGTATCAACTTGGGAGCCATCTGTATTAGCTCAGAGCTCCTCTCAACCCCCAGCACCAGTCGTGAAGACCGAGGAGGACAATGAACTGACAGGGACTTCCTGTAAGATAGAGACATATCAGTTGGATTAAATTGATACAAATAGGAGTAGATTGTCGTCTTGATCGAAAGTAGCGAATTGCATTGAATATTGAAAAGAAACCCCCGAAAATATTTTGATTTATTGCGATACGATTGGGGGCAAATCTGGTGTATTAGAAGTGTTGGGTATCTGTTACGCAAGAATCAAACCGTTTCCTGAAGAGCCTGTCTAAAAATTTGTAACAACAGCACCGTTGAATATTCAAAGTAATGTCAACGATTTGTCCTCTGAGTGGCTATGTAGTCCATAGCTATAACTTCTGAAGAGGATATGAATAGCCCTCCTTTCTACTTGTCTCTTTCTTGCGTGCCTCATCTAAATTGACTTAGAAACTTTCAACTTTCCTTAACAAATGAAATTTTGCCTTGGTAGATGAAATGCTTTTAATTTGACCCGTCTAATTTGATATGCTTGCTGTTCTTGGTTCGTTTCTCTCATATCCCCCATCCCCGCCACCCCCACTCCCTCGCCCTCACTCTCACTCTCTCACCCTTCTTCTTTCTCTCTCTTTACCCCAGCATATGAATATTTTCGAATATTTTCGGTTGCTTTGTCTTTTCATTTTGTTTCGAAAATACCTTTTTTGGCAAGCAAATTCTTGTGACTCTTCTTTTTTGTTCCATCATTCAAGATGTCTTCGCCCGACAAGGCTTCTGCCAGCAAAGAAAAAGCTTCTGCCAGCAAGGAAAAAGCTTCTGCCAGCAAGGAAAAAGCTCCTCAGAAATCACCATCTAAGGCAAAGTTGTCCGATGACAAAATTACGGCCGAGATCCTGCGAGCTATCATGTCCGATGAACAGGTATGTTCTTGAGCTCCAAGGATATTCAATGATACATCGATTTGACATCAATGCTCCTTAGGTCAAAATCAACCTGAATAAACTCTCTATCAGCTGCGGAAACATGGCCAAGAGTACCACTGAAACCCATTTCTATCGAATCAAGAAAGCGAACGGCTTGAATATTAAGGGATGTTGGATGAATGAAAAGGTACAAATGCCCTTCCCGTCGGTTTCGAGATTTCAAACTTCATACACTGACCTATTGCTTCCGAAAATAGCCTCGTGCCACTGCTGCTTCCAAGTCGCCTGCCTCACGTTCTCCCAAGAACCCCCCTGGAAGGAAGCCCCGGGTCGGAAAGGCCAAAAGTCCATCCATCGAGGATGAGCATGAGTCCTCAGGCCCCGATTCAGTCAAGCACAATGAAGACACGGATTCTGAAAATATGGTTGACCTGGTCAAGGGTGAGCCTTCCGAAAATGTGTCTGACTTGGTGAAGGATGAGATCTCCGATGATATGTCTGATTTGGCGAAGGATGAGCCCTCGGACCAATCTGAGGACGGATATTTTGATGGTTAGGGTGAAAAAACTTTGCCTAAGAGTTTGTAACAACAACGCTATTAAACCTCCAGATTAATATCATCAATTTTATTTCTGACTACTTACATAGCCCATAGCTATATAAAATGTGGAAGAGGGTATGAATAATCTTATTTCCACTTGTGTCTATTCATAATGTATCTTATCCAAGTTGAACTAGGTATTTTAGAATCTACCACGATAAGTGTATCTTGCCAAAAAGATTTCTTGTCTGAATTCGTATGTCATATATGAGCGATTTCTGTTTTGCCACTCCAGGCTCGTCCATCTCTAAGGTTACTCTCAGTCTTCTCCGCCGCCTCCTCCTTCCCTCCGCCCCCTCTCTGGCTACCACAGGACTGACATTTCAGATCTTTTCACTCTCAGGCTTCTGTGTTTCTTTGAACATACCTTGTTTTACAATCGACGTATTGTAATCTGTCTTTCCGTTTTGCCAGCCAGAATGTCCTCGCCTAGTAAGGCTCCTGCCATGAAAAAAAAAGCTCCTCAGAACTCGCCCAAATCGCCCATCAAAGAGAGGACTTCCCAGAGGTCGCCCTCCAAGACAAGTGGTTTAACCGACGACCAGTTCATAGTTGAGATCCTCCGAGCCATCACCTCCAACGGCCAGGTATGCCTTTCACCAAAGTTCAGTTTCAAGAAGAGAATACTTGGAATTAACAGTACCTAGGTCGATCTTAACAAAGTTGCTACCAATTGTGGAGACTTGACCAAGACAGCCACGAAAGGCCGATTTTATCGAATCAAGAAACAAAATGACTTGAAGATCAGCGGTTTCTGGATGAATCAAAAGGTCGAAGCCCTTGGTCTGTTAATTTTATGTTCCAAAATTTGACTGTTTATCTAGAATGGAACTACGTCCACTGCTAATTCCACTGTCTCTGGTTCACCCAAAGGGCTCCCTGGAAAAAAACCTCGTGCTGAAAAGGCCAAAGCTGCACCAGCCAAGGTTGAACCTTCTGATGAGTTCTCTGGCTCAGATTCAGTTGAGCACCGCCCTGATGCCGGCTCTGATGATGTGGTTGACTTGATCAAGAATGAACCGACTGAGGATATGTCTGAATTTGTGAAGGAAGAACTATCTGGTAACTTGTCGGACTTGGTCAAAGATGAGTCATACGACCACTCTGAGGAAAATTATGCTGATGCTTAGGCGGAAGAAATGTTTCGGATGTATGAACAAAATTTGTGCCTTATGAGGCCATTATCTCCACTCAGAGCTGTGTCTCGATGTGATTGAGGAGATTGTGTGTTTTTAGCTAAAAGAAAATCAAATCAAATGGGCTTCAGATCCCTCTGCAAGCATACCAAACTGTGACTTGACTTATGTGTTCAACCCCCTTACAAACCCCGCCATAGAGTCTCCTCATGGCCCATAAAGTGTAGTGAAACAAAGCATTGACACAAACCGCCCACAAATTAGAGCCACGTCAAATGTAACTAACTTCAAGGTGCCTTAAAACGCAACACCAATTGAAATAAAATAACCCCGATAGAGTTTTATTATGCTGGCATAGTATCTCCGTGGTGCTTATGAGACTTTGCAATGTCACACCCATCGTGGAAAAAGTGATGTTGACCGAGCGTAATATTAATAAAACCTTGACATAGTTCTACAAGTGGGGTTCAGGGATCTTGGCATTTGCGCCAAATGCCTCAACCGAGTTCAGTTCACTCACCCTGAACTTACACATTGCAACCCTGAATTGGGCAGTGAGCCCTAGGAAATAATCAATCAATGAGGCTTGGTGCCCATTTAGCTGCGCAAACAGAGTACAACACCCATTATACTTACCAGGTGTTCCAGCGGCCCCTTTCCTACTAGATGTGAAGATGGCGGGGACAGAAAGAAGCATCAAGCTACTCAACTATCAACCGAATCCACGCGCCGGCAAACACCTCACGCAAGAGGAAAACGACTTCATAATACATTTGTGTATTTCAAACAAGTACCAGGGACCGTTTTCCGAACACAAAAAAGGATTCTGGATGCAGATGTCCGATCGCTTCGAAGCTTCCTGTGGTCGTCCCTATTCTTGGCAGTCATGCCGGCGTCGGCTATTAGCCTGGGAGAACAAACAAATAATGGAATCACAAGATGAAGCGACAGGTGGCATATTTCGACAAGCCATTCCCTTGGAGAATGAATACGAGGAAGGAAATGAGATTTATTATGAAGCGGAAGACAACGACGACAGCTTGCTACCGGAACCTATAACTCCACTCATTCGCCGTGGACATGCCATGTGCGAGATTGAGCAGGCGGCGCTGCAGAAAAATGTCGCTGATATGGTGTCTAGCACGCTGGATAGCTTTGAAGATCAGCTTAAAACTATCACAAAGGTTCTGAATGAGACTCGGGAGGGCCAGTCAGCCATTCACGATGCATTTGATACACTCAAAGCCGAATTGCAGATGTCTGTCGAGAGATTCACAAATCGAAGTGCATCGAGATGAAGAAAACGAATCGCAGGCATATTCTCATGCTATTGTATACGCTACATCGACTCCAGCTGCTTTTTGAACAAAGCCTTCTACTTTCCTTTTCCCATAATCGAGCGCTGCTATATACGCATGGTTTTCCATATCTCCACGCTATTTAGTGGACCGAGGGGGAATATAAAATATGAGAACAAGTTCCTACGTGTTTTGTTACTTGAGTATTGTGGCGTTGAATATTCTTCAGCTCTAATGTCAAAAGATTTGTAATGTTTTATGCGTAAAGGGTATTCAATATACAAATCGAACAACTATATGTCCAGAATACCAAAATGGTTCGCACTATGACGGGGTATCATCTCATGAAAGAAAGCAACAACGCTTATAATAGCAGGAATACATGGCTACTGCGCATGTAAATGATCAAATGTCAGCCATGACTGAATCAAGAATGTTGCGCTTGTACTGTGAAAGAGCGCGGTCCCTTTTCTGCATCTGTGCTCGAAGCTTCATATATCGTTGCTTCCAAGTAGCCTGAGAGGTTGACTGGTCACCGTCATCATCGTCTTCCATATCGAGACTTCCTAAGTCATCGTTCTCGGAAGACCTGTTCTGAGCCCCAGAAGCTGCAGCAACGTGTTGTCTGGGAACAGCAGAAGTGAGGGTTCCGATGCTTAATTGCATCGAAAAATTGCCGGATAGGTTGTAATCAAAGGTGACATTGTATTTTGACTCTTTCGGATTCGGTCCGCGATCGGGAGGAGCAGGCGTGGGATTTTCAATGTTCACAAGCATTGGTGCCAGGCGGGGGGCTGCAAGGCCGAAATGGTGGCCCACACCAAGATGAAAGGCCAGAAGATAAGGATGCAGCTCTATTGGAAGCTTTGAATACTGGGTGGATAAATTGAACACCATCATGGTCGCCATTTTATGAGCTTCGTCGGGATTTAATGGAGTGGGCCTCATGAGGCGAGCGCCTAGAAGTTCAGTTGACAGTGCACGAATGATCTCGTCAAATGATATCTTTGGAGGCGACTCGGGGACTCCTGCATCTAGGCTAGGTCCTGGGTCGCCCAATGTATTCGGGGGGTTGGGAATTTGAGGAATATGGGCATAGCTTGTTGGCGGGACCGCCGTTCCATTGACTCCATTGACTAGCAAAGTGGGAGGCGTAGCAAGTCGCACTGGAGCCCCCATGTGCTGGGGAACTTGTAGTTGAAGCTTTCCAGGCCTTCCTTGATTGAGGGGTGTTGATGACTGATTATATGATGGGGTTGATGTGATGTTAGGGGTTGGAGTTTGATCAACAACGAGAGAGGAAGGCTGAGAGGTTGAATGGGGAGGTATTTGTGAGGATTCTCTGCTTGGATGTACTTGAAAAGTAGAGAAGGAACCGGAGGATGGTTTGTTTGGAGGTCTACCCCGACTCTTTCCGTTGACTGAATTTGTACTAGTGGACCAAGCGGATGAAACAGCTGGGCCATGTTTCCGCTTGGCACGGGACTTTTCACCCGATGACGGCGTAATGGCAGATCGAGGTTCAGCAGACATGAGCATATCTGCGTGATGACCTCTTGGAATGATGGCGGACTGGGGATAAGCTGCTGGGGAGTTCTCCCGGTCTGGAAGTCTCCAGCGTAAGTCCTGTCCTGGTTGCTCTGTCGATGTCTGCGGAGGAAATGAAGTTGTTGCTGTCATCCATGGATCATCTTCAGGGAATGCACTGAAAGGTATGGCACTTTGTGGAAATGTCACTGAATGGTTATGAAAGCCCGTAGGGTGCAATCCAGCCATAGAAGTGTCCAATGAAGGCCTCTTAACAGGTCTGTCCTCATCAATCTCTCTCTCGTCGGCTCTTTTTCTGCCTCGCTTGGGTTTCCATTGTGGTACAAGCGCTCGAAGCGCGAGGTCTTCTTCCAATGGCACGCCGTCTCGAGATTCGCTAACAAATGGACCAGAGGGTGGCAGTTGAGTGTAATAATTATGGGGGTGTCCCAAGCAGTATTCAAAAAATGCATCAACATGCATAGCACGCATCCATCGCTAAATCTTGTCAGTATCAGGATAGGCGGAAGATAGAAGAATGGTCATACCTTTAGTCGAACGGCGTACTGTTGGACTTTCTGTGTGCTTTGCTTCTTCTCCATATCGGGGGGCTCAACGCCCAATTCAATGGCTAGTTGGATCCAGGTCTTCAGTTCTTTGTTGTCGAGCTTTCGTATTAACTCAAATAGAATAAAAACACTGAAACTTTTCCCATCGCTGCGCGGCGGACAACGAAACGTCTTTCTGAGTTCAGAGGTATCAACGGAAGAGGGAACATTGGGGTTGCAATAAAAGATGAAGAGCACATAGGAATCGTCGATATTTTCATCAGTAATTTCGCGGGATGGCAGGACTCGTGACTCTGCTTGGTCGGCTGCTTCTTTCATCGGGTGTGGACGCAGGGAATCGAATACGGGGGGTGACATAGATGGGCCGGGGCGAACAGCTGATGCAGGTATCGCAGGTCTTATACCTCGCGGCGAGGATTGTAAGCTTCGCGGAGTTCCCTTGCGATGCATAGCAGGTGATCTATTGGGGTCTACTTGACTCCGCGCGCTCCCCAGTGAGGAGGCGCTGCGGAGCGAGGATTCCATTGTTGGCGGGTATCTTGCATACTGCTGAACAACCATCGGCGGTGGTCCGATTTCATTCCTCGGTTGACGATCTGTGGATTCCATCATGATGGGGAATGAGGTTTCCATCGAGTCGGTTTGGGAGGCTGTCTCAAGCCTCACGCCCCCAAATCGCGTGCGGGCCAAATGAGGCCAATGATAAGCGGAGGCCAGTGTTTATAGGATCTCCGGACGAGTCGCATCGACAAATATGTACCACGACCAGAGCGATCGATTGCGATCGCATGGATGACCAAAAACCACATCCACGAAGCGGAAAAATGAATGCAACAACCTCCCACGAGGAAACCCCTCGAGGTGGCTGGAAGCGCTTCAAAGCTCAAGCTGAGTTCTATTTTGGGCGCATCTAGTGTTCCTAATTAGGGGTAGCGTTGTCGCCTGAGGGCGGGGGTTGATGCCTAGCTTCATCACGTGTTGTAGTAGGGGCCCAAACACACACAATTGACTCGACAGAGTGGATGCTTGGCAGAGAAGATCAAATTGCAAGTGGCCTAGGGGGCTTGAATGTCGGTATAGAATATATCTAAAAAAAGCATTATGGGATGTGATAAAATATTACATGCTTCAAAATGTGATAGCCCCATCTGTACTATCTTTAGATAATAGGCTCCTAAGTACGACAGAATATATGATAGGATCATTGATAAGCTTCTAAGACCCATTGAAGCCATTAACACGTTCATAATTGAGCATCTATTGCCTATCAAAAAATATGCATCAGTCTGAGCAATTGTTTTTCGGCAATTTGGACGAAAATCGGACACTCAATTATAAAGCGCTGCCATAGGTCCATCTGATAAAAAATAAAGAAGAGGCCCAGAACCGCTAAGAGCTTCAGGGCTGTGGATCGCGACACTCGTCGGCCGAGTCACATGCTCACTTGGTCCGTATTAGGTAAGGTGTCTGATTCCATTCCCTTATCGATAACGTCGATCGCTCCTGCCGTCGCATCCGTTAGAAGGGTGGATTAGATCCGTTTCATCACTTGAAGCTTAAACCTTTCATCTTGTTTCAACCCCATCTCAGGATCTTTCCATTCTAAGCTAGTCTTGTCTGGACTCACAATGCGATGTTATGATCAATTTTGATAGTCCCCTTACCTGAGCAATGACGTCCTCGTACTCTTCGAGCCGACAGTCCGCACGGCCTATGCGCCAATCTCGAACCCGTATTCCATCATATCACGAGGAGACCACTCCAGATGAGTCTGAGACCCAAGAGGAATTGGAGGATTCGGTTACGCGATGCGGCTCGCTATCACTGCGTTCCCGCAACACTATAAAAAGACGTCAGTCTTACCGTGAGAAATCCACTGACGAGAGCCTCGACGAGCTATCGGATAATGAGGGATTGGATGATCAACATAGTCACAATAACTTGCCAGCAAGTTCATTGCCTCCTAATCCATCTTCTACCTCATCTTCTGCGCCAAGACGCTCTCAACGCGCAGCACCCTCCCGCCCTCGCCAGCCTAAACGACCACGACCAACGCAAAAACCAAGATCACTGGGCCAGCCTTTGAAAAAGCGGTCCAGAGTCAATTCCGAAGAAGCAATATTTGTTGGCTCCGGCACATTTCCGGAGTGGCATACATTGCCGTACCAGGTGCTGTTCGACATCTTCGTCCAAGCATTCTACCCTCTGGACGATCCTAAAACCCACGCGACGAAAACGCCTGGAAAAACACCCGAGACAAAATCCGCGACGACCCTACTGGGAATTGCACTGTTGTGTCGGGGCTTTTCCGAGGCTGCGCTTGCTGCTCTCTATTATCGCCCACCGGTATTCTCTGCCTTTGATGGGCATGGCTTGTTGAACCTACTTTCCTTGCCAAAAGAGTCGTTGTTCATCAACTACGCTGGAAAGATCAAAGAACTTTACATTGATACGGAAACTGTTTTATCACTCAAAAGTGGGCCTACACTAGGCTACCTTGATCTGAATTCTTTGATCAAGAAAACACCCCAACTACATACGCTTCGCCTTTATCATCCAGAAGATGCGGTTTTCGGACACCACCCAGTGACCCTTAATCTGGCAAAATGGAACTATTCGCCGGCTTTCTTCTCTTCCATTGACGAAAGTGAGATCAAACTCCGGGCCTGGGAGTGGAATGGTCGATTTCTCGACACTCAGTCATTGATCCCTCTAATTTCTGAGAGACAGTTGTCTACATCATTCCAGGGTATAAAGGACATTCGGTTCGTACATATTCTTAATGACCCAGAGGATCATGAAAAGGAGGTTGCTCTCGCCACCTCACTCAAAGGGCTCCCGGAATTAGAACGCCTGGAATTCCATGAATGCCCTATAGTGGCCGACAACATGCTCGAACAATTGCCGCCCACTCTCCGTTCGTTGACGATATCTAACTGCGACCGGATCAACTTCAAACATATTGTTAGGCTCTTCAAACTACACGGAGAGCAGCTTCGTGAGCTGAACCTCAATCACAATCGGCATGTAAGCTTAGAATTCATGCCGCAACTGGGGATCTCATGCCCTCGGCTTGAGAAATTCAGTGTAGATGTATCGATGTATGATACGTCCAGCTACCATGACCTGGAGCCTCACTTCGATCAACTGATTTATCCTGGTCAACGTCCAACTTGGCCAGAAAGTCTTCGAGAAATTGAACTTTACCAACTCCGACATTGGGGCACAGATGTCGGAGAAATGTTCTTCGATTCTCTTGTCCAGGCAGCACCTAAGATGAAAGATCTACGGCGGATTGATGTCAGCGCAATGTTCTCCGGCGGCTGGCGTGACAGGGCTAGATTTCGCGAGAGATGGCTTCGCCGCTTGGAGCATGTTTTTTTGCGGCGTGCCCCTCCCCCAAACCCCGATGGGCGCTCCCTACGCAAGCGCCCTCTCATTCCTGCTCTGCCAACACTTGGTGACGATATGTCAGCCCAGTCACACAGCATGCACAGTCCTCCACTAACTCCGTCCAAGCGCCAAAGCAGCCGCATTGCCCTGCAAAGACTGCATGAGGACACTGAGTCCGAGGAGGCAAGCTCATCGGATGCCGAGGCTGACCTCACTAACCTGCCAGATTGTCATGGTATGTGTGAACATGTCGGTCTCCGCATTGATAATCAACGTCCGAACGATCATCAATTTAATGAGAACGACTTCCTCGATGATGAATTAAGCGGCGACGAGGACTGGGATGGCGATGATTTTGAGGCCGAGTCTGGCCATGCCTGGTGATTGTCCTGGCTTCATTTTAACTTGCAGTTTGATACCTTTTTTTCCAACATCCTCAATGGTTGGGTCTTTTATGGCGTATGAACAATGTCCGATATGGAGCTTATGGTTGTGTGATAACGGTGTCATTTTTCCCCCTTTCTTTTTTTACATGGGCGATTTTGATGCAATCTTGGAGTAGCGTTTTTTTCTTTTTCTGGTTTTTTTTTCTACGGTGTTTCGGAGGGAAATGAGACTTCATGAATTAGTACCACAGTCAATGCGATGTAACAACAAATTTGTTATTTGAGTTGGAACCCAATATGTACAATGCGTATGATGCGTGATCGCCAAGCCAAGCCTGGGGCCCCACACGATCTTCCTCGCCCGCCTGGACCACCCGTCGTCCATCTCCTTCGTCTGCGATGCTTTCCGCATCTCTTGTGCGTTGTCATCCATCCGTCTAGTGTGTACCATGCCACAAGATGCTCCTGCAGATACGGCAGGCCCGTCATCGCCTCCGCCACGCATGCCCGAGGGGTGGTAAGTCTGCTTCAACCACCTGTCCCTAGCCCACAAATACTTACGCCGCATGTCTCTAGGCTCCCTCAGTGGGAGGGGGTCCAGCGAAAATGGTATTACGTTCAGCGCGCGACCGGCAAATCACAATGGGAAATTCCAACTGAACCTGTTGTTTTGACACCATCAACGACACCCACGTCAATCGGGACCGGCCCCTCGCAGGCACCACCCTCACGACCATCAACAAACAGCCCCCAAGTGACCGGGTTGAGGGGTACAATGGTGGAACGAATTGAGGCTGTGGCGAACAGTGCGAAACATTCCGTAGGAAATCGCGCTCATTACGTCTGCACAATCATTGCGAGAGTAGCACTGATGGCGGGTTAGAGCTCCCTTAACGCCCAGCTCAATGGCCAGCCTGGGAATACTGGGCACGGCGGTTATTCGGGGCCAACCGATTGGTACCCAGAACAAAATAGTCAGCACAGCAGTCATGGATATGGTCAAATTGGTGCTTTAGGCGTAAGTGCATACGGCTCGGTATGCTAATCACTCGATATTCCTACCAGTTTGGCATCGGCTTTGTTGACTCAGGATCCTGCAGGGAGAAAATCATGAAATTCCTGGAAATATGGTTACCGGCTCCTCAAGCTACTATCCCCATCATTCCCACCCTAACCAAATGATTTCCCAGCAGAATTTTGCCGGAAATCCCTGGGCTCAGAGCTCAAATGCTTCCACGGGACAGGCGAGTGGATTCAATTCCCAGCACTATCCACACAACCCAGGGCTTTATCAAAACCCGCCCGTGGAAGTACATGGTAATCAGGACTCTGCAAACAAAGTTAATATGCATCCACCTCAGCCCGAATGGAGAGTAGAGCCACAGCAATCTCAACCCGTTTCCCAAAGCCTCGCATCCGGAAACTCATCACAACCGTATTTCCCTTCAAACCCTGCATCACAGGTTTCCGACTGGCCCCGCAGGGATAGCCAGTCTGCCTCTTCTCAACCTTTTAATCACTCACTCCCGGGTAGTGATTACAGCACAAGCGATGCCAGGCAACAGAAACATCTAGGTTCCTTTGTGACGCATTTTCCGACGCCAGTCAATAACGCACAATCTACTGCAAGCTACCAAATGGCACGATCTAACTCCCATCAAGCGGCCTTCCCCCATCATGGGCCTGGAAATGTTGCAGGTCTTCCATCTCACGAATACTCCCAGCACCCACATCCTCCCAACCAATATAGCAACAGTATGACACGGAGTCAGTCTGGGACTAATTTCGACTCTATGGTATATGCACCTGGTCCAGAACACCAGAATAATGCTCAATTCTACCAGAACCCCTTTGTGCAGGCTGGGATGCACCAATACCAGTCCCATCCACAACCTAGCCAGCCTGTTAGCAACATGTTACCTCATGGGGTTTACCAGAATGCTCACTCGACGAGCCAACAAGAACAGTGGACCAGTACAAACCCTCGTTTGTCGCGAGTATCAGGGTCAGACCCGCAGTTTATCAGTGGCCCTTGGGGCTCAACACCACCAACTTGATGCCGAGGGAACAACACTGTGGAGCTATGAAATTGTGTCATGCGTTATGTCTATTTTTTTGTATGTGCCATGTGATAGTTGTGTAGCGCTGCTTTGTCAATGCAGGCCCTTGTTTTCCCCGTTATAGAATCGATTTATGTTGTGTCATGTCGAGCTCGTCCTGTTCCCTAGCAGTTATTCCTCGATATTCTAAATTGATTTTCAATCAAATGAACTTTTATGCACATAGGTGGAAAGGAAAATGGAGACCCACATTGAGCCCTTTTCTGTCCCTCATTTTCTCCAGCTTTTGCCCGTCTTCACGCATCAGAGATGGAGTGGCTAGTCTCCTACTGGGTCAGTTCAAAACATCTGCTAACAATACTTCATTTCATATACATCTATGATCCAAGTAGCTAAACCAGCCGTTCTTCAGTGATGAAGTCCAATCAATAAACACAAGTAGACTTGTCTATATCAGACTTCGGATTATATACGTGCTCTATCTTGTAGATCTGGTCTTGCTGCCTAGTGGAACGAGCTGGGACGCCAAATTTGTGCGACATAAACCGCCACTGCCTTCAAATATGATATTACAATTGATTGTGGTGAGTCATGGAGGTTGGCATATGCGCACGAGTAGTGAATGCAAATTTCACAACGGGGGCACCAGAAGCTATCAACGATATTGGAGGAATGAGTAGAAGAGTGAAAGAGATATCAATTGTTGGAGATGCATCTCTGCTTTCAGACTGGAGGGAATTTGTATTAGAAAGCACAGACTCCACAAGATGCGCCATGAGTATGGACTTTTTGCTGTAATTATCACACTTAATGATCTGATCAATGTGAAGAGTGGGTCTGCATCAGATTGAAGGCAACAGGCACAATCAAGAATATGACTTGCTATTTTGGGTAGGCACCATAGTAAGTGTGGCAGGGCCATTTCCCTCATCCACTCTACTTCCTTCCCACCCATAGCATCTCCCTTCTCCATCTCTGATACAAACCAAGGCCACCGTTGATCCACAAATTCGAACATAGATTCGACGCAAAACGAAATCAAGATGACCATAACTTGGGATAGCAAGGCCGATGCCAAGGTACATTTACACATTCCCTCAACATGAAGTCATTCGCTCAATGAAGATGATACTAACACGAATCAAAGCTCATGTCTGCATTCACGCAGACGGGCTCGGTCGATTACGATGCAGTCGCCAAATACATGGGTGACGGTACGTGATTGCTGCTCTCTCATCGCTCTCACAAAAAGTACACTATCAGTTTACTAAACTCAAAACAGGCTGCACCGTGTCAGCTGTGAAGCACCGCATCGCACGCCTTCGAGACAAAGCTGGTATTTCCAATCTTCGTGGTGGACGCAAGGCTCCTGGCACTCCAAAGAAGGGCGGAGCTGGCTCGAACGGTCCTGACGCTGGAACCTCCGCCGGCTCGTCCTCCAAGGACGGCAGCACCCATTCTCTGACTGGAATCAAGAAGAACGGCCCAGCAACCCCCACCGGACGCCGTAAGCGTGCTGGGTCCTTTGGACCCATCCACGGTGGCCGTGGCATGAAGTCTGATTCAAAGGCCTCTGGGTCTGAGACCACCGATGCCGATGACGAGGAAACCCAGCGAGAGGAGGAGGGAGAGGCATATTTTGAAGGTTAAACCTTCTGGAAGCCATGCGCGTGATTACTTCCAAGGCCATCCTTCTGAGCTCTTTGTTTGTTGCCGGTTGCCGGGTTGCAGTTGGAAGGAAATTTGCATGTTTTCGTTTTACTTTTTTATTCCATGATGAGATCGGAGTTTCTTTATTTTCTTTTTCTTTTTTACCGACTTGCTATCTGATTCTTGCTATCTGATTCGTGGCGTTCATCTATTTGACGTTTAAATCGAATATTCGACCCATGGAGGTCTCTCCGCTCATCTGAAAACATATAGTACTGAGTCTCATAGTGTAGGCCATTAAGATAACAGTTCCCAGTTGGTAACTTTTGTAAAAAAAAAAATCATCATTGCAACATCACTCTGCAGCCCGTAGGTGAAGACATGACATTTATAAATGTTCCAGATCTAAAGAGCCATGCAAGCACTACAGACTGATTGTATGTGTTGCCACTTATTACTAGTAGAGTTTGAAGTTTGCTATGCATATTGGTTCCCAAGTTTCCCAGGCATGTTTCAAGACTCCGGAGGATCATCCACATGTACAGAAGTAGCACTGTTCATTGAACCGACGGAGCATGGCAGACTGATAGAGAAGTGCTGAAGCTCGAACTCTTCCTGCCAACATATTTCAATTCCTTGATAGGAAGGTATGATACCGAGTTGGTGGACCGTAAGCTTCATGCGCTACCTACCTGGGGATTCAAAGGAATCCGGTTTCTCGTGCATTTAACGGAGGCGGAAGTTGGGCATGGGGAGCGATCTTTCTGATCACGAAAAATGCCAAGGGCAACTCGTCTTCCCGAATAAGCACTTCGGTTATTATAGTCAGTCTATCTGAAGAAACGGAAAATAATAGGAAGGGAATACTTATAAGTTACATATGTAAGATTATATGTAGTGTTAGTAGATCGTAGATTTGTAGATTTCTTCCCACAGCTGTTGTTGGCTAATCCTACTATGTATAACCTTCTAAGGCTCATTCCTATCTTCTACATTCGTTAGCCTATTGTTTTCTGTCGAATGCCTTTAAGTTCTTGTTGCTCACCCGAACTCATCACAGCTAATCAACACAAAGTAGTAGTCAAGATCACCCAAATGATCAAGAATTCTCATCATTTCCAAGTTGGCAAAAGTACTTCATGAGAAAGTTAGGGCAGCTCTGATTAAGAAATTCCGTAATTTATGATCCTTTTGGATTCCTAGATGCGAACTACATCGCACTCTTGAGGGCGTTCTTCCTCTCTGTAAACACATCCCTCAGCAAAATCGAAAATAAGCTCCTTTATGAAGAAGGCCACGAAATAAAAAAAATCCATCCTCCGCAGATAAATCGTTTGAGATCGACTCAAGAACCAGCCACCCTTTGCAATTGTAACTACCTCCCATAACTTCCGAATGTTGACCACGTAATCTCAAAATCCTCCGCCATTATTGACCATCTCGGTATCGAAAGGCGCGAGGTCCTCCTCCTTCAATTCCCCCGGGAGATCGAAATCCTCAAGAGTTTCATACTCCGACTTGAAGGTAGTAAGATCATCATCACCATCGTTTCCCTCAGCAGCAGCATCTTCGCTTATCTTCTTCGCGCTGGCACCGGAGACGTTCCGCTTGCGTCGGCGCTCACTTGGAGAGCCATCAACTCCAACAGTAGACTTGGTGATCTTGGAGCGAGGTTTCTTTGCAGAAGACTTAGGGGTAGTCGGAGTCCCCTGTCCTCCATCGGCTTTGGTACCAAGAGTCTCGCGGCGGATTTTGAAAATTGCTTCACGAATTGCACGAGCGGTGGGCTTAACACCTCCCTCAGCTAAAATAACGATCGTCATTTCTTTTTCAAATGTGAATGAATGATAAATACCACGGAGGGCTCCATGGGAATGCGTGTACTTACGCCAACTATCAGCAATCTTCTGGCAATCAACGGAGATTTCATGGATCTCGAGGATCTTGACGAGCAGCTGAGTGGTAACCATGTGAGCTATTAGTTCTTTTGATGATCATGTCTTGTGAACTCGGCATTGGGATGAATTGAAGGGGTGCTGTAGTGCTCGAGGACAGGAGAGGGGAACTCACGATGCACTTCGCAGCGTCATCCCACTGCATGCGTCCAGTCATTTTGGCGATTGACGAGTCAAAAGCTGGGCCTAATTGATTATCGTATCGTCGATCAGTATCTTGATGAAGGAAGATGAATTTACATTCTTTTGTACAACAGTAGGTGCGCCAAAGGGATTATAGCAGCGAGCTCTTTGAGCCTCTCTTTCTGAAATGTGGGTCTCTTGAGATGTCAAAGACTTACAGATGGTTCGTTTTGAATTGTAAAAAGACTTTAAGTATTGGAAATGGATGAAAGTGTTGATTTTGATCAAATTGGAAAGAAGTGACGATATTTGGGAAAGGAAAAGGAAAATGTGGTGTGGTGGGATGGACGGAGAAGCAGAAGCCAAGAGGAAACGATCAAGTAAGACTTGGAATCGCGAGGCCAAAGGAATGCTTTGAGCACGTGCACGTCAGCCTCACTGCAATTTATTATTTAGAATGTGTGCTTCGCTAATAACTATGAGCTTAGTAGCTGAATCTTTCTCATGGTAAACTCGAGACTGTTGCCTAAAGGACTCGACTGTAGTGACAGAAGAGGGCTTGGCCTTGGATCCCTGGTGAGGCAGCCCTTCAACAACTTGAAATCAAGTAGCCTGGGACCTCGGGAGCATCTGAGTCTTTCTGGATTTTATTGGTAACAGTGTATGTGCATAGGCTTTTTTCAATTCAAAGGTTGCTATATCCAAAAGGTAGTACGTGCCACATATATACAACTTGCGAGGCAGCTAAAATAAAAATTGAATATACATCATCGTCATAACTTCTAGAAAATAAGAGGTATCTTGGGACATCATGATGGAGTCCTGCTCCAGCTTGAAGTATCAATGGCATAACTTAATCCACTCGGCTACAATGTTTCCCATGTCGTGCGCAATTCCCCATTGTGATGCAAGGCAACGGAAAAGCTTTTGGATGGAATTGAGTTCGTAAAGAAGGTTGCGAGTGGCGCCCCCATTTGGAGCGGACGCTAAACCTTCGTTCGTTTCAACAAAACGCCTAGTCTCAGAGCTCGACCGGGGACGTATTTCATCATGACCGATGTGAAGATCAGAGTGAGAGAGTAAGGCATCTTGCCAGAGGATTGTTCGGGGGAGATTAACACTTGCCAACCCAGCAAGAGAGAAGACAACATATATTGTAGCCGCGGAGAATAGTGAACTTGGCATGTGTACGACATGAGCTCGTCCACGTGGCAACTGCTCGATTATATCTTGGATAGCAACAGCGTGTAGAACTGCTCGCTTGGCATCTTCTGTACTTGTCCATTTGATGATGTTGAAGTCAGGCCGAGCTATTCGACAGCCCCCTGATACATGCTGAGAGATGTTGTATTGTGAACATACGTGGCGGGAAAGAACGGTGGAGTTGATCATTGTGTCCAGGCAGACTGTGTGCCAACGTAGCAACAGCTCGAGTCTCTCGGCAGCAGAGAAATGAATACTCATGGATATCGTTTCGTGAACCTGGGCAAGAGCCCTGCGTATATCGGATCGACCGGGTACTCCCACGGCTAAGTCATGCTCATCACTATCGGAAATTAAAGACTGAAGACCCTCCAAGGCCACTCGAAGACCGAATGCAGAGAATTGGTAGTCAAGTGCTCTGAAATTCCCAACGGGTGGGAAGAGAGATCGAAAGACGACTCGAAAGGAGGTTTGATCTGGTGTTTGGGAATGCATATGTGCTAGCCATTCATCTGCGGTACTTGCATCGAACACGCGTTCGCAATTGGGAAGGCTCAATGGGTTTGAAACATGACGAGCAGAAGCCCCATCACCAGACATCTGGGCCACAAGTCCATCCAGTACGTAGTATGCCAGTAGAGCTCGCTGTTGAATTTCACGTGCAGCCCAGATACGCCACTGATGATCCTTTTCGGCCGCAGGAGCGTCTGCAGAAGGTAAATTCTCCAGAGAGTAAGGCTCACTCTCATACATTCCACATTGTCGAGCCCAGAAAAATCCCAGGGGCCGGAAGACTTGGCTTGTTGTTCGAATTGCGCGGTTTTTAGACAGAGCTCCGTATATTTGGCCCAACAAAGCCGTGATCATCAGCTGCACGCCTTTACAAGCATCGTAGGGCCCATTGTGTGTGATTAATGATTGCCATGAGGTAGCGACAGCAGTATGAGCGAGTCGCCATAAAGCCTCGCCTTTTGGTATTGCATCGTTTGGCCCGAGATATAATGAACCGATAGCAATGGCGTTTAATAAAAGAGAGTGCGTGCACTCGCGAAAAACGAAAGTAGCTCGGTGTAGTATAGGGAACGTTGGAATGAAACGGACAAAGAACATGTGCAAACATTCATCTAGAAAGACTGACGTGACAGAGGTAGACTTGACGGCAGCGGTGACACTTGAGGACTAGTACACTTACGTATTAGCATATTGCATACAACGGTAGAAGGAACTTGCTTGAAATGAACACCAGAGTTTTGGGTGTATATTTTTCTGCTTGAATGGATGTAACTGGTACTTACCGAGCTAGTAACCATTTCAGTCACGTCACGGACGGCTTGGTGGCCTCCACCGGAAGGAATTGCTCCGACGGAAGAACTACGATCATCAAAAGAATTAGGCGATCCGAAATTCATACCGTTCAAGCCATTGATATCCTGCACGACTGGTGGAAACGGCAGAGTCCCCAACGGTATCTGCCACTGATCTGGATTATCTGAAGCCATCAAACTTTGGAAGAGATCTTCCGAGTCCGGCCAGACCAGAGCAAAATCGAGATCGGAAGCAACATTATGCATGCTCTGCTGATGCTCTGATTGCTGCTCATCCCAAGATTGACTAGTCGCCGTAGTTGACGCTGGGCCCCCAATGGATGCACTGCTTGATTCCCATGAAGCCATAGAGTCCAGGGATACAGATGGATGAGCTGAAGCTACGGGTGTGCCATTTTTGGCATTCATATCACGGAGGTGCAACTTCTCATGTCGGGTAAGTGCATCCTGCCGAGCAAAGGGCCGGCGACATTCTTTGCAGACATATGGCTTTGATCCGGTGTCTATGGAGCTCTTCCGGTCAGCCGACGGATCCTTTCGGAGTGTGTAATTTGATACAAGATGATGCCCGGCTGCAATAGGGATACAAGCAGAGTAATACACGAAAAGAGAATAAGAAAAAGAAAGCAAAATCAAGCAAAATGAATAACAACAATAGACAAGATCAATTACAACTTACGACAACGTTCATGTCTCTGTATAAGCCGCAATTAGTTTCTTAGCTTCATTGTATTCAATATCAAGGTATGCTGTGAGCTGCCCCTCAAATTCGTGGGGACCTTTGATAGGGTCTATGGATATGCAGAATACGTACTCGAAGGTGCTCGGCCTTGGTAAATCCTTTCTGGCAGACACGACACACCAATTTTTTCGCCCCTGCTGATGCTGGCGATCCCACCATGATCTCCATTGACGCCATCTTGATGTCCGCCTGGTCTTAGGGGCTGGGAGTGTGGGAGGAAAGAGGGAAAGAGAGTAGAAGATGGCGATGTGGAGAAGCCATTGTGGGGAGATTGTGGGGACGTGGCACTATCTTCTTCCCTCCCAGCATTAACAAGCCCTGTCAACTCATCAACTCTCCACTAAATTCGATAACCGGAACCAATTCCGGGGAATACAAATAATTTCTTTCCTTTACACCGAAGAATGCGATTACATATTGGGCCAATGATTCTCGGAGATAACAGTTCTGGGAAAGGTTTCGGGCGTATCCCCAAGCACTTGTGTGTGGCACCCACAATCCACGACGGCGCGTCTTTTCCTCCCAACAATAATTCCATTCAACGATAGACTATGGATTTACAGTACAGAAAAAAAATAACGGTTGGGCCCTTACCATCAGCTGACCAATGATGAGGTCCACATTTCACCTGCCGAGGCTGGCATAGTTCATAGGGAACCCCTTCTCCAGATAGGAGAAATTTTTCTTCTTGGCCGTCGAGCGAACTCCATCTGGGGGGCAGATATGGGGGTCAAATATGGGGGAAATGGTGCCAAGCTGTCTCTTTGAACCCTGTTCGGCAATGCGATACGGTAATTATCCATCTTTAATGCGATGCCGGTTCGTAGCAGGCTTGATCGGGTAACCGACGTCAAGTGCCAGGCTAGTCGGTGACTAATGGACATGACATCGCCTGCCGTAACAGCTTCTTTCTCACTCGCCGATCCCGATGGGGCGAATCCACTGGGACCGTGGAGACTCTCCGCGTTTTCTCTCCAGGCGAGCCGAGTCCGGCAAAGTACCCCAAACCCCGTGTCCGGATATCCCTAGGAGTTAGTAGTAATACTTTATGCACACTCACCGGGGGATTTTCGGCACGCCACAGACCACATAGTCCCGGGTCGAGGTTTTTCGCCTCACCGAACTGCACTGTATACGTGAAACCTCCACTCCAAACCAATAATCACCCATTTTTGTTCACCCCCCCCTTCCTTTCCTTTCCAACCCCTCAACTGCCCCTGGTCACATATTCGTAGTTGTTTCCCAAATCCCATTCATTTCCCCTGGGACTCTCGACACACCCATAATCACCCTTTCAGCAGCGCTCTAGCGTAACAAAGTACTTCTCCCTAGGGATTGCTTTTCCGCCTGCACTGCTGTTCCCATCATGCCTTCACTTGAGTTACAACCAAGCTCTTCTCGAGCAGGGCAATTCGAGGTGGCTCCAGGTGCCAAAGCCGACATTGACCTCGTTGAGAGTGCCGGTGCCGGACAAGCCGCCACTTATGAGGAGTCCGTTGCTGCTCGTCTCCCTAAAGCCCATCGCGACTACTTACTGCAACGCCATGGCACATTAGAACTGGATCCAATTCCAGGCATGGGCCCGGCAGACCCTTACAACTGGCCAGAATGGAAGGTGAGTGCATCCCTCGAAAGGATTTCCTCTCCCGCAGAACTTGATCGACGGAGATGAAGACAACGAAAGGGGCGGCAAAACAAGATACTGATTCAAGAACATGTAGAAAATGTCCAATCTGATCCTGGTAGCATTCCATGCTTGTATGGGTACATTTACAGCCGCCGCTATCATCCCCGCCTATTCCGAAATCGCCGCAGAGCTGGGAATCCCTCTGCAAAAAGCGAGTTACTTGACTTCGCTCCAGATCGCCATTCTGGGAGGTGCACCCCTCTTTTGGAAACCCCTCTCCAACCGCTTCGGACGTCGACCTGTCTTCCTTTTGTCTCTTATCTGCAGTTTAGTGTGTAATATTGGCTGTGCCAAGAGCACAACATATGCCTCTCTCGCAGCCTCTCGGGCCCTGGTGGCGTTTTTCATCTCACCAGCATCGGCCATTGGTAGTGCTGTGGTCATGGAAACAACCTTCAAGAAGGACCGTGCCCGCTACATGGGTGTGTGGACCTTGCTCATCACCCTGGGTGTGCCTACTGGACCTTTCATCTTCGGTTTCGTGACATACCGGGCGGGTTACCACTGGATTTACTGGATCCTGGCTATGGTAAGTACTCATAGAAGATGGACTTGTTTTGGAATCGTACCCGCTGACAAGACATTGGCGTAATAGATTAACGGTGCGCAATTCTTCTTGTATCTCCTCCTCGGCCCTGAGACCAGGTATATCGGCGGTGGAATCGAGACGCAAGAGGCCAGCTGGAAGCAACAGTACTGCTCGCTTCGTCGTATTGATCCAACGCCATTGACATGGTATGAATTTGTCCGGCCCTTGACCATGATCCGCCACCCATCTATCGCCATTCCTGCCTTTGCGTATGCAATGGTTTTCCTCTTCGGTAGTATTCTGGCGACAGTTGAAGTGCCTCAGCTCCTGCAAGAGAAATTTGAATTAAACGCAGAGCAACTGGGTCTCCAGTTCCTTGGTGTTATTATCGGCTCCTTCATCGGCGAGCAGTTGGGAGGTGTTCTTTCCGACCGCTGGATGAGACGTCGCTCCCGCAGAATCGATGGCAAGGCAGACCCTGAGTATCGTTTGTGGTTGAGCTATTTCGGCTTCGCCCTGACCATCATCGGTGCCATCATTTTCCTCGTATGCACACAGACTTCGCCCTCCGGTCATTGGAACGTGACTCCCATCATTGGCACGGCCATCGGCGCCGTTGGCAACCAACTTGTCACAACTGTGATGATCACGTACGCCATAGACTGTTTCCCTCAAGAAGCTGCTAGTATTGGTGTCTTCGTCACCTTTGTTCGTCAAATTTGGGGTTTCATTGGGCCATTCTGGTGAGTTTTCCTTTGTGTTTTGTTGTTTCCCTCGCGCACGAGAACTGACATTCACCCAGGTTCCCATATATGTTCGATAATGTTGGAATAGCACCGAGTGCTGGTATTGTATCGGCAATGATCGTTGTGGCCAGTGTAATTCCGACTATCTTCTTGCACTGGCGTGGAAAGAGCATGCGTCATGAAGAATAAAGACGCACAAACGCATATAATTCTCCCCATCCATGTGCACTCCGGTATATCACTTTTTCTTTCGAGTGCCACGACATGATGACCACTTCATTTGATTCATTGGCACTTTTGTATGATTCGTTCGGGGGCGGTATAGACGCATATGATAGACTCGAGCGGTATCGTGACGACTTCAACAGGGAATGGCTTGGGACGCAGGGTTGCTTTTAGTGTCCATAACTGTATATAGAATGATGCATTAGCAAGCAATGTCAGTCTTTGTCTTCTTTATTAAGAAACCATATCCAAACAAGTGTTGCGTGTAGAGAATTCGATCTCACCTGACCATACGTTGTCACTGAATAGTGTGCAGCAGTCGGTTGTATGTGTGGCCCTTCGTTGGCATAGCGAGTTGAATTGTGTAAACCACAACAAAGAAAGAAGAAAAACCCAAGTAGCAGGCGAAGTATCGACAAAGAAGCAATCCCATTCAAGAAAGGTGTAAAAAAGGAGAAGAAAGCACAATGATAGCTAAAAAAAATCATCTGCGTAAATGAAAAGCCGCCGACCGTCCTTATACAAGCAGCCCGACCGGGACAGCTCGGTGCTCGATTCCGAAGACCTTCCCGTAGCGCGTCAAACGGGCCCATCTCGCCAGACCCTTCATACTACCTCGCTAAAATCATACGACTCCAGTCTAATCAAAAATCATACAATTGCTATATTTAATGGCTATTATAGTGCTTAAGCATTTCAATGAGTGTATCGCTATTTGTGCCTTCTTCAAAGCCAGCATTGGTAGGTAAAACATCAAGCGAATAGTAGACAGCATAGGCCACCGGGATGCCGAGAAAGCCCCTATACAAACGTTTACTCCGTACTTCGGACGAAAGCCAAGCGAAATGTCAAGTGAACCCTTTGTTTACGTACTGATATTAACCCGCTAGGCTAGAATTGATGCCGAGCGCTTCATTCGACATCATGAGACCGCCTGCTCCTTGTTTGTCAGGGCTTGGCGCAGATTGAATGCTGGATGGTTACAGTGGCGGGATAGATTTACTCCGCCATGGAATAAATTATATCCCGATTGGTTCTCTGATTGGCTGAGAAGCTTTGGGCTTCTCTCCATCTTTTGCATAGAACATCGAGCGAGTCGGAGATGTAAACGCTTTGTGTTACGTCTTGTAACCTGATACTGCTGTTCTTTTGGATGAGTCCGAAGTATGCCTAGGCTAATTTAGCTCGGTCGGATGATGATCTTGGAAATAGTAGATGGTGAGTGGAACTTTAATTGAGTGACGTTGCATTTACATGGCAGATGTCAATGCAAGGGGAGCTTTATGAGCTTTATGAGCTTTATACTTTAATCAAAACTTAAGGCTTGAGCTCTTGGAGCATATACTCAGAAGACATAAATATGTATAGACAGTGTGTTATTCTTTTCGTAAAAATTCCTAATGTTCATTCATTCATCCTTGACTCTCCCATTATTGGTTCTCGATCTTGTTGATCAGGGTACCGACATGGGGAAGCAATTCAACGGCAAACTCGTCGCCGCTCTTAATGAACTCCTGAGGCTTCTTGGCAGCTCCAACACCGGGAGGCGTACCGGTCAGAATGATGGTACCGGCGGGCAGAGTAGTGCCCTGGGAAAGGAAGCTGATCAATTTGGGGACATTGAAGATCAGGTCACTATGGAAATGGTCAATTAGTTTTGAACGAGTGAAGAACAGGAGGATGGCATTGAATACGTACGTCAGAGGGCAGTCCTGCATGACATTTCCGTTCTTCAAGCCGCGAATATGAAGCTTGCTAACATCGGGAAGAAGCTTAGCGGAGACAAGGGCGGGTCCTGTTGATCATGTTAGTTTATGGTCTAAGGATCTCTAAAAAAGACACAGTCCAAGGAATGACTGCAATTGACGGCTAACATACCAATTGGGCAAGCACCATCGAATCCCTTGGAGAAGCACCATTGGCTCTGGTTCATCTGGTATGTACGGCTGGATACATCATTGGCAGCCGTGTAGCCTAGAACATAGTCCAGAGCCTCAGATTCAGACACATCCTTGGCGTCACGGCCAATGACAACGACCATCTCAGACTCATAGTCACCGGTGTTATCGGTTTGTGTAAGCTTCGGCAGGATAGTGGGGGCGGGGTACGGATCTGCCAGTGAAGTGGAGGGCTTCATGAACAGAACCGGATAATCCGGGAGGGCAAGAGACATCTCCTTGGCGTGGGAGACATACTAATCAATGTAGCGTATCAGAAGCGATTCTTTCTAGTTTCAATTCCCATGAGAAACTTACGTTCAAACCAATGCAGCGGATAGATCCGACTTCCTTCTGAGCCAGCGGGGATAGCAAGCGCTCAACAACTTCTGTGCCAGTAGTAGCCTCGCCAGGAGTCAAGACAGAGCTACCAGTAAATGGGCGTACGGAGACCTCCTGGCCTTTGTAGATAGCTAATCCAACATCAAGCTGTGCATCAACAGGCTCTCCGATCAGAACCTTGGAGGGGTCCGACTTCGGGATGAAGCGAACAAGGCCTGTTCATTGTCAATGTCGGACGCTCGAAGACAGAATAGGAACAATCAACTCACGAGAGAAAGTAGAGGCGATTTTGGACATTTTGAGAGATTTCAAATTTAATTATTTGAGAGAATAACTTTTCGCGACAGAAGGAAGCGTAGCTAGGTATTCTTGTACTCGTACCGGGCGATGAACGGAGTAAATCAATCCCGGCTGGCAAACCCGGAGACCACAATGTGGGGAACCGGTGGCGACGAGGGGACAACCGCAATGGAATAAATACCCCACGATCTCGCAAGTCATTTTCTTTCTCAACTTCATTACATTCGTCATTATGTCTGCTCCCAAAGGTCCCTTCCGTCTCGTTACTGTCAACACCGCTCCTGAGCGCGCTCAGCGCCTCATCGGCCGTGTGGCCGAAGCCTTGAAGGATCGCTACGAGATCATCCACGTCGATAACTGCTCCGGTGAGTCAATAGCCTAGATTTATTCGCAATTGTGCTATTTTTCAATTTTTTTTTTACTAAGAAACTGACTATTTGCCAGCTATCGAAGAGGTCGCAGCAAAGGTCACCGAGCACAAGCCGAATGTTCTGGTAAGTGACGAAGTTCGGGATTTCCGAGCTTTAAATCGTCCAATGGCTGACAGCATGATATAGTTCAGCGCTTCCATGTGGACCGATGAGGAGGCCAAGCAAATCCACGAAATTGCGCGCTCCATTGTTCCTGACATCAAGCTCCACGCTATCCCCACCGGGCTGCAGGTCGAGCGTGGCCCCGATGCCATTGTCGAATATCTCGTTGAGAAGGTCCCTGTGCTGCTGGACAGCTAGATTGCGGTACCCCACATCACTTTTGTTATGTATATACCATGAAATATCCAAATGATTATGGCTATCTGCCTACAACAGCCAGGAAAATGAAATTGAAGATAAGGGCTGTTAAAGTTACGAAGTCCGGTATCGGAGGCCGATATGAAGACGTTCAAGCGTGCTGTACCTAAATCGCAACGAGGCGATTTTATCGAAATGACTACATTTCAATTTGACTCTCCTTTATCGTAGCAAAGAAACAGTATGCTTTCCACGGTTATTCACGAAGACTGTATAGAGAACTTGAAGCATTTCATCAGCCCCGCTTTACTATTTTTCACATCATGATAATGATAAATTTGCGAGTTATACTGTGTATCCCCAACATTAGAGATACATGAAGATGTTTTATTCAATTGAAATAATAACTTGGTATGTTCTTCAATTCCAAGGATCAGTCCTTGAACGCTCAATTGCAACCTGCGTTGCTTCATCAATATCCTCCGACGGCAACCCGAGCAAGGCATTCAGAGTGCCTTTGTGCTCAATGTTACCATTTCCATCTTTGTAGAAGATCCGTGTATATAGCATCTTCGCAAATCCTATGCGATTCCCCTCCTTGATCGCTGCGACACCATTTGCATATCGTTCCGCAGCTGGTTCAATGGAAATTTTCCAATCTGACTCCTTGGTGCCAGTGACCCGCAAAGCAGAAGCCAACATATGTTTCTGGTTGATCGTGAAAGATTTGACATATACGACCTGGTTCTTGAAGTTCTCAAGACAGGCTTCCCTATCAGAGCCTTCGGCGTGAATTGGCAAACTAAGGAGGGCGGCAACAGCACGGCCAACCTGGGATACATTAATACTGTGGCATTCAAATAATTGGAACTGCAATCACGTACCTGGGGCCATGTAGAGGTCGTAATCTTTTGTTCACCGTCGTCAAAAAGGGTTGCTGAGCGGTTGAGCAAATCAATTCCAAAGGCAGCCGGAATAGCTAAGCTCCACTCATACCAGAACCCGGTTGAGATACTGATGAAATTGACTTGACCGAGCTCAGCGACAGTTTTTCGGAGAGCCGCTAACGTTACAAAGGCTATTAGCAGTATTCCTTGGTAATTGGTTCTTTTCCCTCCGTACCTTTTGGTGCGAATACTGAGATATCTTTGTTTACAGCCTCGTTGGTGGTATCCGGAGACCAGTCATTTGGCAAAACCCATTTCACACCAGCTTCGCCAGCGGCTTTGATAAGCTGCAGCTCGGTTCCCTCGGGCGCAAAGCCACTCAATGTAATTACTAGTGCGTCTTGGCCTTTCAAAGCTTCCACAATTGTCTCTGGGTTGTTGTAATCAATTTCCTTAAATTCGATTCCTGGTGGCAGGGTTCTCTGGCTTCCGGGTCTTGTCAAGGCCGTGACTTTATGCTTGCCAGAGTTCAAGAGGGCAGCAGCCATGAAGCTACCGCTGTGGCCAGTTGCCTAGTGGTTTTAGATATTTTAGTATATTGTAATTCGAAATGGGGGAAACTTCGAGATAGAGAAACATGCATACCCCGACAATGGCGACATTGGTAATATAGTTTGACATTTTTGAGAAATATTCAAACTCCCTGCAAATAGTTCTAGTACACGGCAGACGGGAAGTAATTTCTCCAATTCATAAATGGAATTATAAAATAAATAATACAGTTTCTTGGGAAAGAAGCAGGTTTTTAAAGCTCCGAGTCTAATATAAAGTTCCAGATGATGTTAACTAATACTGTCTCTGTAGGCGGAGTTAAGCCAGCTCTAACTCCGACCTCGGTCTTGAACGGACATAAAAGTTGAAAACAATTTGATATAGCAATTCTATAACACCGATCACCGACGAAATGTAAGCGAAAATATCCTGATTAGGATCGACAATGTATAATCATGATGCATCTTGAAATTTGCATATCAAGCTGGGGTGTTGAAGTACTGCAGGGATTTCACCATTCGAATTCCTAGATCGTGTCAATACCATCCCGAATTCGAAAAAGGTAGACAGGAACATACCTCAGTGTGTAAATTTATTGATGGACCATCATCAAACGCTTTCTGGGAAGTTGCCTCACGCGTCGCCCGAAGAAGCTTCATGGGCCCACACGCACCAACACCCACCCGGCCTCCCGGAGGACATTGAGAGATGCAGTCTGTAACCAGTCGCAACACATCAGGCCTTCCTTTACGGACCGGAGAGAGTGGACGACTTTCTGTGGCAAGTTTCTCTTTATTTCCCTCCATCTCACTGTTGGCTGCTGTTGATTCGACGCTTGAGGTATCACTGGCATCCCGCCCCAATTCGTCACCTTGTGAAACATGTATGAATAGATTCACATATGGTGAGTCTTGGAGCTCGCTCAGCTCATTTTCGAACCATGCCAGAGAGCCTGAGGGAATATGTTAGCAAAATGTGAGATAATCTACTAGGCTCTTCGGATTTAACATACTTGCATGTCGAACTGTCCAAATAAAATCGATAGACTTAGTCGTCCTATTGGTCTCAGCTAATTGTCTGATTAAGAGAAGTGCAATTGCAAATGTGAAGGTAGCACCACTTCCCCCTGAAACGAGAACAACTTTGTCAAAACTCCTGAAGTCCGGAACTTGCCCATATCCGCCATCCACTGAGCAACGGACAACCCTCCCTGGTTCTTCCTGAGCAAATTTGTACAACTCGCGAGTATATCCATCGTAGGTTCGGATGAGGAACTCAGCTGGATTGCTAGAAATCATTGTAAAAGGATGAGTTTCCATGAATCGAACAGCCGGCATCCACAGGAAAGCATGAGATCCAGGACTGCAACGTATGCTCCGCCGAAGCTTCACCCGGACAGCGCCATCCTGCATGGGTGTAATGGTTGCATAGTTGCCGAAAAAATTGTATGAGAGTTTTAAGAATCGCAAAGCTCGATCAACAAACCACATGCATGCAATGAAGATAGTAACAACCAATGTGGACGATGCGAGCTTGGGGCGATGCATTCCGACCAGGATCAGAATGACCATGAACAAGACAACATGCATAATATAAAAGACTACAAAGTTGAAATTTGAAATTTGAAATTAGTTTTGACCTTACTCTCATTAGCTGCGATACTTACTTTCATAGTAGTTGCGAGCAAACCAGCCAATTGTAGATATACCGATTATTACCATCAGCAAACCAGCAATCGCACCGACAAGGTCTTCCTTTTCACTGAAATAGAAAAGAATCTTTGCATCGGCAGCTTCCTTGAGGAACAATATTCCATGTAACACCGCACTGACTATGCATGTATACCCAGCCACTTTATGAAGGGGTCGTAGTTTTTCGTAGGATTGACCGGACAAGGGCGCGAGGGGTGTACTTCTGAGGGCGAGAAAGACTAGTAAGGTGAAATTGGCTATAGTAATCCTAATAATGAATTAATAGTCTGAACATTATAAGATGAAAAGTCCACGACACGAAACTCACCAGCCCATACGCTTGGCTATCTATAAACGCTGTTAGAGATTGACATTTCAGCATTCGGAGAGCAAACTCACGCCTTCCAGCTCACTCAAGTCAACGTTCGTCAGTATGAGGATCAAATTAATACCCCAAAAGATGAGGTATAGTATCCATTTATCCATGCCTATCCCAAACACAGAAGTGTCTAGTCCTCGCCGAAGAGTTCTGTGTTGCGTTAAGTACCAGAGCTGCTTCCAATGCTGCAATATCCCGTGTCTTACCTGGAGCCCCGCTTCAATGGCATCAGTATACCCCCCGTACTACTTGGCCCATGCCTTCTAAAGGCCAACCCTATCCAATGGGCCATGATAAACGAGAACATCATTGACCCAATGGCAATAGCATAGTATTTAGCAGCCCAAACATTCTCATGACGATCCGCAGCACTCATTTTCCGAGCTGCAATTGATAAAACGAATGTATGAAAAGATATAACGAAAGTATCGGTAGCAACAATGGAAATGCAATGCTCGCACTGATAAACCTGAAGGAAATCCCATCTTTATCAATCAACTGATCCACGAGAACCCGAGCCCCGCAGTTGATAGAACCAGATATAGAAAAAGGAAGCATACAGTAATGCTCCATGACGGAAATTAAATCTACTCATTCATGACACCAAGTAACGTGCTATGTGACGATCTAAACGAAAACGAGTAGATCTACTGTGGGAAAGTGGAGCCGGTAGTTATTGCCTGCCTGATCTGATAACAACTAAAGTTCCGACTAAGCAACTCAGTTTCGCGTATCGCGGGAGAGCCCAAGCGTCCGTATTGCTGAATATGGAGATCACACACTTTCCTCAAGAAGCAGGAGTCCGGCAAAAACCAATCATTACGTGTGTATTAGCCCCAATTATGATCTGAGCCACACTTAGATTGTGGTGGCGTTGAGACATGCCATACTGGCGGTATCAATGGGAGCATATTCTAAGCTTCGCGGTGGGGTTTCCATAAAAAACTCAGTTTGCTGCGCCATGCTGTCTTCCGAAGAACCTGAAAACACTTGTGCCTCGTCAATGACGGGAACTGTGAGTCTCAAATGGGAAGGAACCGTGCAAATCGACGAGAAGAGTACCGCGCTTCCTAGAACACCCCGATTTCCACTTTCAGCTTACATATACATTTTTGGCGAACAAACCCCTGGCCTGGAGAGATCAGATGCTGCATTACATGCACAATCCTACTATGTCTTAGATTGTAAATCTTTTTTGAAACACTAGATTCTTCTTGTTGTGCGTCAAAACATTCAGACAAAAAAAGAAAAGAAAAGTTCGGAAATTAGTCTGTGGAGAATCTATCTGATCGCCCATCAGATAACAAAATGGACACGAGACCCTTATTTTTGAAACACACTTATACTAGTAGTAACTTGAAGTGCTTTTGCTGGTTAAAGTTTTTGACGACTGAACCGCCATTTGCGATATCTTCTTAAAACCCCACAATGCAATCTATTCGGTTCTTTTGTTTCTGGAATGATTCCTCCCCCAAGGTATAGTTTCTGTCTATCAGTCTAAGATCGGCCAAGGCGGCTCGGCTTTTCCTGATTTTGTAACAAGCTCTGCTTGGCGAGGCTCGAGCGCTCTTCATGACTACTTAGGTATGGCGGTTCAACGAATGATCTGCTCATTGCGTCAGTTTTTACCGGCGGGGAATTTGTGTGCGGGTGAATATGGAGAAATCTGATTTGTAATTTGACAGTCATCAAATTATGAGGTAATGTATTCGCCTATATGGTCGGTCACTGGTGCTGAAGTCAGGACGCGCGTGAGACGGCTTGCATGCCGTTCTTTTTAGAAAAGAAAATCAAAAATGGTGCAATTGCCTGCCTGTATCGCTACTTTTCGTATATGAATCCTTGGGATGACTACTGCAGGTGCTATAGGATACAGCATGCGAGGAAATAAAATTGGAACCAAAAGGATTGTATACTCCTGCATAACTAGCCCCACCAACCTTGGTGAATAACACAATAAAAGAAAATTGCTAGAGAACGCGATGGAGGATCTGATTGTGTTAAAAATAGGGAAATATTCTCGAGTGGCGCGAGTGACGCATATGTAGAGCTTAATAAATGAAATGATTCCTCAGCAGAATTGTGCTTTCTAGCCTTCGCCCAAACACCGATATAATATGCAAATGCAAAGGAATGTTCTTATACTGAATTAGTTTCAGGGAGGACTTTGTCTGCCGCAATTTGGCGCCTAGACTTAATCAGAAGAAGGACTGCTGGTAATTGAGCAGCCGCAAAGCCTATCATAACTTTCAGCTGCGTACTGTAGCTATCGGCAAATACTTGTTTTACTGCATCCTGAACAGTTGGGGACAACCCTTCCATAAAATTGGAATTCTCCAGAACGAAATGCAGAGTGTGTGGGGACAGAATTCCTTTCAAATGATGTGCAAGGCGACCGTTCAGAATGTTGGATGAGATCGCGAGGCCAATGGCACCACCAAGAAACCGAAATTGAACAATAGTCCCAGTTGCGATGGCTGAAAATGATAAATTAGTTAGTCATTTGATGCAAGGCAGACTTTGAATCAGTACGCCAGACAGATTACATACCGAGATCCCTGTCCTCAACGACATACGGGGTTGCTAGCAATAGCACACCCATAGTTATCCCGATTCCAGCACCGGAAATAACCTCGTACGCGATATCTGTACTATGGAAACCGGCCGAATTTGTAATTGTTGATAAAAGACCGACGCCGATGGTGTGGATCACACATCCAACAAACAGGGAGTAAATGAATGGAATCCGCCCTCTCGAACTAGCAATGTTGACGATAGCCGCGGAAACCGCTGCAACAGCAGAATATCCGATAAGATAAATGCCAGAATCTAAAGGTGACTTGTTCAAGAGGATCTGTGCTTGCTGAGGTACATAAACCAAAACAACATTCCATACTGCGCCAGTAACGAATGAGGAGCTGAAAGTGGTACGTTAGGAATAATTACCCAGAAGAGGCAAAAAAGAGACGTACATGAGAAGGCCCATCCATGGTAGGTCAAAGATCCAACGTTTGGGGAATATAGGGTCTTGTCCCGCGACACTCGAAATATGCCACTCCCAAGCAAAGAAAAAGACCCAGGAAACACCAGTGAGTACAAGTAAAGCAACCGAGCCTCTTGAACTCCATGCAAATGCTAGATTAGCTTCGTTTAATACAGTCACGATTAAGAAAGAGCCCGCCATTGCGAGAAAAGAGCCCACGAAGTCCAGAGTGGCAAATGAGCGGTATGAAGCTCTCGTTCGAAATGAAGGTGTGTGTTGGTCAAGGCCAAAGTGTTTTGGCATCACAAAAAGAATGAGAATGATTGCAATGGCGCACAAGGGGGCGCTAGGAACGATATTAGTATATTGCTTTCCCCTTTGAAACCAGACAGCGCTGACATACTTAATGAGGAAAACCCATCTCCACTGCGAATCTTGTGCCAGGGCGCCTCCAACGATGGGTCCAATTAAAGATGCAAGCGCGATACAAATTGACATTAGAGCGCTGTATGTTGGCAGTTTCTTTTTAGGAGCAATCTCATACAGACAAAGAATTGCCAATGCATATGCACCTGCACCGCCTATTCCTTGGAGTGCTCGGAATATAATTCTGTTCCACACAGGTTAGTCTCGGTAGTACCAGAGGCGAGTAGGTAAATGGAGAATCCCACAGTTGATTGACTGTCTGAGCACATCCGCATCCAATCGAGAATGCAAGCAAAATGATAAGAGATGCAAGCGTTGTGACTTTCCTCCCAATAATGTCGCTAACTTTTGTCCATATCGCCATCGACCCTGTATATGTTGCCAGATATCCGGTTATAATCCAACTTCTTTTCTCAAATCCATTGAGATTGTCGGTGATGCTCGTGAGGGATGAGCTAACAATGGTCACATCCAGATTTGAAAGGAAAAACCCAATCAGGAGCCTGTTTGACATTCCCGATAAGCATATGTTGTTCAAAGTCTCCGAGTATACTTTTCGAACCTCCACCTACCCTGTAGTGGTGAGGATGAGTCTCCATCCTGTCGGATACACGATCTCGCTGCCTGGAGAAAGCGATCTTTGAGCTGACCCCTTTTCTGCAAGATCCCTACCCCTATTGGGGGCTGCAGCATCTGATTTGTGAGTGACTGGCTCGGCGAACTTTATATGACCAGGCATGGCTGTGATATTTCCCGATAATCAAAGGTGCTTCAAGAGTAAAGAGCGGAAGTGGCTGCCATCGCTGCGTACGAAGAGGAAAATTGCGAAAGGGCCCATCCTCAATGTAGGACCAAGCCCCGCGGTATATTTACCCCAGGGGCTTCATGTGGAACGCGGGCGACGCGCGATGACAGAATGTGGAATAATGTGGAATATGTCTGCCAAGGGAGTGATCTACGCCGATCATTGAACCTAGCTTTGGAATTGAGTGGCTTGGCGCAAATCTGTCTTGGAGGCTAGACCTTTTTGTCCGGTCTGCACGCTCCAAAAATCCAATCTTTGAGCCTCTTATCTTTCGCGTTTGATTTGTTATGGTTGTTATTGCCCCTTGGCGGATTGGCTGCTGGGCGGATGTTTGGCGGAAAGGGGGGTTGGACGTCATTCTTCCAACCAAGGGGCCTTAAGACATTCAAATGATCAGATCCTCATTTCATGCGTTTATGAGTGACTATTTGATTCTTCTGCTCCTTTTTCTTGGCAGCTTATCCCTGGAGAGGGTAGATAAGACTTAAGGTTGATCGGTTTGTTAATCTCATCAAGTAAAGGAGTAAGGAGCACTGGCCATACTACTCCGGATGAAGTGCATAATCTCTTATCCGTGACATTTTTATGGGGTTCCTGGAATTAAAGAAATAATTGATCTTCATCTAGCTTCTCAGTATCCACCTCTTTCTCCTATGATTTCATAGCAAGGTCCCCCTTTCCCGAACATCTGGCGTAAGTCTCGAACAATCACTTCGGGAATCTCCCAAGCCGCAAAATGCCCCCCGTGGTCATACTCAGTCTGTTGAACAACAGGTCCCATCGCAGCAGCCCATGTACGAGGAACTATCGATATCTCTTGTGGAAGATGCACAAATCCAACCTTGACGTTAGGTATATGCCCGATGAGCTTTTGGTAAGGAATGTCCTCGTCGGACCGGAGATGACTAGCCTCATAATAAACCCGCACGCTAGCTTCCGGACCAGCTACTGAAAACCAATAGATAGATACCCACGTCAGGATCTCGTCCTCAGTCCACGGGTAAGAATCGGACCAGTCATGCAATTTCTCATAGATCCAGGTGAGCAAAGCAACGGGACTGTCAGATAGAGCCGTGCCGATGGTTTGGGGCTTCGTTCTCTGTAAAAGATTGTATCCAAACCCTTCGCGCTCAAACCACGCAGATCGCTGTCGGCCATTGCTCTCGTGGGTGCTGTATGGCTGAATGGCATGTTGTAATGCCAGGAGCGGGTTCGAGCTCCATTTAGGAGGTTGTGAAGCGACCATGTTCATGTGTGAGGCTCTGCAATGGTCAGGGTAGAGAAGACCCATGCTCCTGGTTATCCAGAAACCTAAGTCTCCACCTTGTGTGACTATATTCATCAATATCAGAATTGAGTCTTCTCTCAATCTATGTATGTCCCTTGCAAACTTACCATACTGAGAATAACCCAGTTTGAGCATCAGTTTATGAAATGTCTCGGCGTATTGTGCCCAGCCAAATCCACGCTTAGTGACACCTGATGAGAATCCGAAGTTGGGCAGAGAAGGTGCCACAACATGAAACGCTGGCATACCGTCGGCCTCTGCCAGCATTGGTAAAATCTTCTTTACCTCAATAAAAGATCCTGGCCCTGTATAAAAGATTTGACGTGTCATTTTTCTTGAGCTTCAGTGAGTGTGAGAATTCCATACTCACACCCATGACTAAACAGGAGGGGAATCGCGTTCTTTACTGGACTGGTTTGATGAATAACTGGGATAGATATTTAGTAGATACTACTAATGTTAGGATCAAGCTACACAGGACGATCTGACAATGGATGTCCAGGACTCCAAATCCATCAACTTCAATGTCCGTCCGATAATGAGGAAATTTATTCAATTGGCTTTCCGCTTTTTTCCAGTCGAACTGATTCCTCCAGTATGTTACCAGTCGCTTGACCTCTTCAGCGGGGACACCGAATTCCCAAGGATCCTGATCGGAAGACATCAGTTGAGTTGGGAATTTAGCCCAGTCAAGGCGCTGATTAAGGTCCTGGAGAGTAGCATCTGGAATCGATATTGCATAGGGGGTTGGCGGCTCAGGCATGTTTGGGGGAGGATAGAATATTTATAAAGGTCGTTCAAGTTGCTAAGTTGACGGTTAGGGCAGAAAACAACCTTGAAATAAAATAGGAACAAATGAAGCCCTCTTGACGGTGGAATTCGTATTGGCATTCAAAATGAGGGGTTGCTACAATTAAGTTGGCTGCACCTGAACCTTGGAAACGATCGATGCCAGTGGCCTCAGGCAGGAATGGCGGTCTTTGTTTCTTTGTTAATTGGCTGGATCCATATCCACCTTCAACCCAGTTAAGGGTCCTAAATGTTGATCTCGTCTTTGCTTTGGCCCTGGAGGTAGATGAGGGCGGGCCGAGGGCCCCGGTGCTGTTCTAAATTTCGGTGTTGGTTTTGGGACTTCTGTGAGTATATATAGCCCCCTCTGTGAAAGATTTCAGGATTTATATGTTATACTGCCCCATGGTCTCTCTACCTAGGTACTATTAGGGGAGTTTAGTATAACAAGTTTGAGATGCTGGACAGTTGCAAATAACAACGTAAAGGGGTATATAGCAAAGTATTAACAGGAATGGCATCTGCACATCGATAGACAGTATGAGGTAAAACACTATCAAGGTGCACTGTCGAGGCAATCCGTGTAGCTTGTTTACAACGTTCCTCTCACTTTGCCTTGGCACGCGCTTCTTTTTTTTTAGCCTTTTTTAACTTCTTGGAGATTCGGACAGATGAAGGGGGAGGGGATGTGCTGTTCCTGGATGAGCCCGGGGTTTGCATTTCGTCATCTGAAATTATGATGGTGGCGTGTCTGCGGCGCTTTTTGCTCGATTTCGGAGTTGAGTTAGAGAGACCTTTGATTTGCAATCCCGGGTTTGACGCTTCGCCGTCAGTCACCTCTAGCGAACCTGGCTGGCTTTTGTCTCGTTTACCAGATGCACTGATTTCAGTCGAGTTCCGTTCGACATTAGGCGGGGCGTTCATTGACGAGGTTAGGTCTGAAGGACCTTCGGTTGTAGTTTCACTAGCGTGTATCTCTCGCAACGGAGACCGTACGTGTGGTCGATCTCCTGGGACAGGGAGACTCGAAGACGGGCCGATTCTGTCTGAAGTGTTTCCGGTACCAGTGAGTAGACCACCGACCACAGGGTTCACAGACGGTGGTTTTGAAGTGCCTTTGGCCGTGACTTTTCTGAGACTGTCAAGTTCACCAAACAAGTTGGTAATATCGTCATTTAGAGCTTGCATACGTTCAACGAAATCATGCTTCTCTTGCATTTGCTTGCGCAGCGACTCTATGTCTTCTGCCGAGCCCAGAGCGTCCAATTTTCTCTGGATTTGCTCCACGGGCTCTAGAGCAGCTAGTCTTTCAGTCCAAGTTTTGACAGAAGACTGCAGTTCTTGAAATCGGGAATCCTGGCTCTTAATTCGTTCATTGAACTCCTGATTGATTTTGTCAAGCTCGACGGAGCGTTCTTCAGAGATTTCTCCATTGTTTTCACTGAGCTTTAATTTATCATAATCGTAGTCCTCCACAAATTGTTCAAAGGCTGTCGACTGCGCATGAAGTTTACTTTTCAATTCGTGGAGATCTTCTAGCTGCTTGGTGAGGCTCTCTGATTGAGATTCTTGCGCCCGCTTGAAATCAGCGAATTGGTGATTGATAGAATCGTTGACTTTGCCTGTGATTTCACGAGAAATGGCGGGAGCATCGAGCTGCTCCATCCGAGCGTTGAGGAATTGAATTTCATTGCTAACAGTAGATTTGAAAGTTTGGACATCCTTTATTGCTTGGTAAAAGGATGTCTCCATCACGGCCCGAGCTATCTTCTTGTAGAGGTCTTCTGTGTTGATGTTGTTATATCGACGTTCTAGCGAGTGAATTGCCACTTGGATGCAATCGACTTTGTGCAAAAGCGATTGCGGAACATTCGTTGAAGATCCAAGCTGTTCGTTCACATGTTCCCCGTGTCTGTTGTCTATCTGGCTTTTGAGACTTCCGTATGCGTTATTGGATTCGTCGATGCTGGCTCTCAGTCGGCGAATATCTGCTGCGTTGCTCAGACAAGCATGATGGTATTGCTCAAGGCGCCCGAGACGTTCCTCGAAGTGCGGAAATTTCACCGATGACATCTCATCCAAGAGACTCTCCAGCTGGTTGTAATGTTGTGAATGAGTCGATAGAGAGGTTTCAAAATTCTGTAACATTTGGGGGATTTTCTCGTGGAGGCTTGTCGCCCTTGCATATGCTTCGTTGGCTTTCAATTGGGCCTCCTTCACATCTCGCGCTAAGTTTGACAAGTCTTGGGGCATGACTGCCAAGGGCAGAGACACCGTCCCTTCCTCAATGCTCTGCTTCCAGGTTTCAATACCATGCTTATGGTCTTGGAAGATTTGAATTTTCTCGGAGTGCATCTTGAATGACGAGTGGGTTTTCTCAATTTCTTTCTTTGTATAGACTTTATGATCATTGAGCGACTTTTCCATCTTGGAAAAGAAATTCCTTTCGGACTGAGTGCCAGGGGTCACCGGATTGGAGGTCTGAAGCTCTTTGACCTGGGCTTCCAGCTGAGATATTCGGTTCTTTTCGGTCTGAACGCTGGGAGGTGCCTGTTGGGATGCTTTAAGCTCTTTGACCTGGGCTTCCAGCTGAGATATCCTATGCTTTTGAGATTGAAGTTGAGAGATGGCCTCTTTTGCTTCTTTTAAACCCTTGACTTCAGCTTCCAGCTCATCAATCTTCTTATTTTCGAGTTGAGAAAGTCCAGTATTTCCAGAGCGTGGAGAGTTTGTTACACATGATGGGGCAAAAAGGCCTTGATGATTCGCAAAGTGAGTGTAAAATTCTAGATGCTGATTTTTAAGGTCCTTGTCGTGCTGGTGCAGCAATTCTTCAAGCCGTTTGGTCTCATTGTCCTTTTTCTTCTCTTTTTTCTGCATTTGATTGTGATACGGAACAGTCGTAATAAAATCGGATTTATATCTGTCCCCAAAATCGGCAATACATTGATTTTGAGAGCGATTCTGGATCCGTTGCTGGACTTCCTTTCGTTGCGATAGCGTTTCGAACTGCAGTTCTGTCAACTTAAACAAGGCTTGGATGAAGCTATTCGCATCTGTGGTGACCGCATCTTGACCTTTGGGGCCCTTAGATCCATTTGCAAGAGCTATCAAATTATTAGAGATTCCCTCTGTCCGCAGTGATTGCGAATGCGCAAGACGTGGCGAAGTTGGCTGGGATGGCAACGCGGATGGGGTCGAAGGAGTGTAAGAGGGAGCCGATGGGGCATTTGAAGGCATGGTCAGGCGAGGTGGAGGTGGGGGTTTTGCTTGCACACGTTGAAGACCTTGATTGCGTCGAGGATCACTCGCTGTGCTAGACGTGCTTGCAGCAGGAGGTATGTCAACGTCCATCGTGTTGGATACTACTCGCTATTGATAATGAAACGGCCGGTTCGGGATATTTAAAAGTTGGCCGAGCATATCCTTTCGGATTAAATGAGTGTCCGCATCATACAGTAGTCCTGTTTGAGCAAGATGAGGGAATTCAAAGAGTGGTGTGGTGTTTGTGAAAAACGAGAGAAAAGGGGGATGTGATCTATCAGATGAGGGGAGAGCCAAATGAGTGCGTCTTTTCGTGTAGTGTAAGCAATATACCGCGTCTGGTATCAGCCTAACAGGAAGCAGAGGCGTCAAAAAATCTGGAATCGCTCAGGGATATTGACATTGATCTCGAGGTCGCGATCGGAGGCTAGCTCTTCGGTAGATCCAAGGTTTCTTTCAGGGTTCCTCTCAAGATGTGATTGCTTTGGCGGCTGGCGGCAGCGGCAAACGCTAAAACTTAACAGGTACTGCCGGGCGGTGAGGACTCATCTTCCTTCCCTTGTTTCTTCCACAGCTTAGAGTTCCGCAGCCCTGTCTGACCTTCATCTTGAAAAGTGCAGTTGGTGACTTATTGAACAAAAGCATAGACCGAGTCATCATGGCGGCAGTGAGTTTGAATGAAATTTCCGTTCTTTCGCCCATTAATTGACTAATTTGGAATCCAGGCAATTTCCACCGTCGCGGAGAGCAAGGAGCTCCGGGGGCTGAACCTCATTGCCGCCCATTCGCATATTAGAGGTTTGGGGGTAGATGTCGATTCTCTGCAACCGCGAGGCTCTTCTCAGGGACTGGTTGGTCAGGAGAAGGCTCGCAAGGCAGCCGCGGTTATTCTACAAATGGTGAGAGAGGGTAAGATCGCAGGTCGTGCTGTCCTGATTGCTGGACCTCCCAGCACAGGAAAGACCGCGATCGCGATGGGCATGGCACAGTCGCTAGGACCCGATGTACCTTTCACAATGCTGGCTTCCTCAGAGATCTTCTCGATGGAGATGTCAAAGACCGAAGCTCTCACTCAGGCTTTCCGCAGATCTATTGGAGTGCGCATCAAGGAAGAGAGTGAGATCATCGAAGGTGAAGTTGTCGAAATCCAGATTGACCGCAGTGTCACCGGGGTAAGTTGAATTGGCGATCATTCATTTTCTCTCTCTCATATTTGTAGCAGCTGCGGAATGCTGACGGCCCACAGGGTAACAAACAAGGAAAGCTCACGATTAAGACGACCGACATGGAGACAATCTATGATATGGGCACAAAAATGATCGACTCTATGACCAAGGAGCGAGTAATGGCCGGAGACGTTATTTCGATCGATAAATCTTCTGGTAAAATCACCAAGCTTGGTCGGTCGTATGCTCGTTCACGAGACTATGACGCTATGGGCGCCGACACGAAGTTTGTTCAGTGCCCAGAGGGCGAGCTTCAGGTTCGCAAAGAAATTGTCCACACCGTCAGCCTTCACGAGATTGATGTAATCAACTCGCGATCACAAGGGTTCCTGGCATTGTTTTCAGGTGACACTGGCGAGATCCGTAGCGAGGTTCGAGATCAAATCAACACCAAAGTGGCCGAGTGGAAGGAAGAGGGCAAGGCGGAAATTATCCCAGGTGTCCTGTTCATCGATGAAGTTCACATGCTTGATATTGAATGTTTCTCCTACATTAATCGCGCTTTGGAGGCCGAGTTAGCACCCATTGTCATCATGGCCAGCAACCGTGGCCAAGCTCGCATTCGGGGAACCACCTACACCTCCCCTCACGGTCTCCCTCTTGATTTCCTCGACCGCCTTGTCATTGTCAGCACTCATCCCTACTCGGGTGATGAAATTCGACAGATTCTGGCCATTCGCGCGCAGGAAGAGGAAATTGACGTCTCTCCAGATGCCCTAGCTCTTCTAACCAAGATCGGGCAAGAGTCAAATCTCCGCTATGCTAGCAATATCATCACCACATCCCATCTCTTGAGTCAAAAGCGCAAAGCCAAGGAAGTCAGCATTGATGACGTCCAGCGAAGCTTCCGCTTGTTCTATGACCCAGGTCGCAGTGTCAAATTCGTCAACCAGTACGAGGATCGTTTTATTGGGGACCAGGGCACAGTTTCTTTCTCTGCGGCTACTAATGGCGACGCCATGGAGATCTCATAATAATTTGGCCCATGTCTATTCTTTCTTTGCCATGTGTTTTTAAACAACTTACGGGGGTCTAGCGGGTTGAAAAAAATTACACTGATTTTCTGGATTACTTGTTTCTCTCTTTTTGCAGCATCATATGATGTATGAATAGGACTGGCGCTTGTCAAGGTGATTTTTTCTGCTAATTTCATATTCTATTCGATCTTGGTATCCAAACAGATTGCTAGTATCTTACATAAAATTCACTGTAGCGTTCCATGGCCCCGTGTCTCCGACTCGCCGGAATTCGACTCCATCGCCAAAATAGCCAGCAGCTCGCCACGAATGCATCATGGTGTTATCGTAGGGCCCATGGGCATCGCCTCCGTCTCGGGCGTCTGACCAGCGATACTCCCACATTGCGGGTCCTTCAGCAGCTTGTTCGTCTCCAGGTGGATCAACCCAGTCTTCTCCCGTTTCAGTGCGATACTGCCTGGTCAGGAGCTCACGCTCAGTATCGTATATTTCAGGCTGTTCACGACCCATGAGAATATCGGCGGCACCAGTAATGTTATCGATGGCCGCTTTGCGCTTAGCCTCGTCTGGATTTTCTTCGGTCATCTCGGTGTCTTCGTGAACACTGTTCTTTTTGTTTTTGTTTTTGTTCTGCCATTTGGGCTTTCGCCGCAAGCCTTTTCCTAGACGAGCTAAAGCTTCCAATATTGTTTCTCCACGATCGAGATGCTGTATGATAGTTTTTAAAGCATCAGAAGTTAACACACTGTCATCCATGCGATCCTTTTCTTTTCTTTCTGTGTCCCGTTTCTCTGCAGCTTCCTTCGCCTTCCGAATATCTGTTTTGGAAACACCAGCTAGCCATGAATCATGCACAGCATCTGGATCAATGGCCTTGCGAACAAAGTTACCTGCTTCATCAAACCGTCCTTCTTCCTGCTCGGTGCTCATGTTGAATGCATCCAGTAATGGTGCATGTTTCTTCTTTGCGCCTGCGCCGAGCTCTTCATCCATCTCATTGTCAACCTGGGCGCGTTCCTCTTCACCAACCTCACTATCGTCACCACTATTCTCTTCCTCGATATCGATCTCATCGGCACCCTTTGTCAGATCCGCATGTAGTGCCTTTCCACCCTTTGAGGAAGAGACCTGGCCTTCAATCTCGTCATCGCGCAGGAAACGCACGGATTTTTTATTCTTGTGCATTGCTTCGTCGGCATCGATTTCTTCTTCGCCGAAATCTTCTTCTAACTCAGCAAACATGTCATCGTCATCAGCGTCATCTTTCGCGCGACTCTGCTTTGACTTCCCTTCCGTTCGCGCCGAGAACCCCTCATTGTCGCTGTCTGAATCGTAACCGTCAAGATTTATAGCTTTGCGACGAACTTGTTGGCCACGTCGACCAATTTCGTCTGCATCTAGGACCGCATCCTCTTCGGGGGCATCTGGCGCGAGCGCGGAGGGGTTGCGCAGATCAAATCGGGGTTTTTTGGTGTCGGAGGGTCCTTGCGGGTCTTCTTGCTCGTCATGCGTGCGGGCAAAGGATTCGCCTGCCCGCTTAGGGCGAGGTTGAGAGCTCGCCATGGTAGATGGACAAGACTATAGAGCGAAAATGAAGTGCAAAAGTGTAGTATTTGAGCTGTGTCGAAGCGTCATTTCTTGTTGGGTCCGGGGTCGGAGCGGAAAATCATGGCGGAGCAAACTGCGTCACTTGGATCTCGGGACGTTCATGGTGCTCTCGTTCTCCTCCATATCTATATTCAGCCACGCTTTATCCTCTTTTCTTTTCTCGAAACCCGTGCCCTGTCTGCATACTAAGAGGGAATATTATCAATGGTGAGCTCAACCTTACTTTCTCCTGATCATCCCACTCCTTGAATAGCTCCTGACAGCTCTAGTTCCGCCCGGAATACTGGCCTGACGACCCAATGGATGGCTTCATGGGAAATGGCATGATGCGTGGGGGGCCTCCAGCTCGCCGATTTGATGAATACTACCGATGTTATCCAGTTGCAATGCTCCCTGGCCCCGAAAGAGAGAATGTCAACCACGGCGGCAAGGTTATTATGCCACCTAGTGCACTCGACAAACTCACTCGTCTTCACATCACTTATCCCATGCTCTTTGAGCTTCATAACGGGGCAAAAGAGAAGATGACACATGCGGGTGTCTTGGAGTTCATTGCAGAGGAGGGCAAGATTTATCTTCCGTACTGGGTGAGTGCCAACTGAAAACCACCCAGTGGTTTAATATGGTTTCTGGAGCTTGCTGACTCGTCCGTCTGCTTCCGTAGCTGATGCAAACATTAATCTTGGAACCCGGCGATCTACTTCAAATCAAATCAACAGACCTTCCACCGGGACAATTCATCAAGCTCCAAGCCCAATCCACCTCTTTCCTTGACATCAGCGATCCAAAAGCTGTCCTCGAAAATGCATTCCGGAACTTTTCCTGTCTAAGCAAGGGTGATTTCTTCACATTCGCATACAACGACCAGGTTTACGAAATGGCAGTTTTAGAAACGAAACCTTCCGGTTCCAAAAACGCGGTGTCCGTTCTGGAAACTGACCTCGAAGTGGACTTTGCGACTCCTGTTGGATATGAGGAACCACAGCGTACGAGTGGCACCAGTACTCCCGGAAGTGTGATCAATAATGGAAGGCTTCCGGCCGGCGGACTCCTACACTCCCACGGCACCATGGCTCAGTCCATCAACTACGCTGCCATCGCCCCCGACGCCACCGATGCAGCATCCGGCGCCCGAGCCGTCTCCTCCAACTTTATATCAGAAGGTCAGCGACTAAATGCGAAGAAGGGTAGTAAAGCGCCTACTCCGAAAGCTTCTACCCCTGCCCCAGGCGCTACGAATCCTCAGCATCCTCCCCCAGCCCGAAGGACTAACGGCCCCCAACCGCTTCGACTTCCCCCTAACCAACTCTTCTTTGGCTACGCCATCAAACCACCCAGACCCCGTGATGAGAATGGACAAATTATCCCCGAGGACCAGCCTAAGTTCCAAGGTCTTGGTCAGACACTGCGAGGAAAGAAGAAAGACCTTGGGGGTGAATCCACTCCCACATCTGGAAGTGAGGCGGACAGCCAGAAAGGGAAGGGGACTGGCGGAAGTGGACGGACTTCAGGAAAGAGCAAACGCTGATGTGCTTAATGAACATAATGAAAGTTGCTAGACGTGAAGCCTCTAGATGCGCGACCGGGGTGTAAATTTTACGGGCATAGCGAGGTTGGCGTTTCATTTTTAGTCCAGACTTTTATCTTGGACGTAACGTTTCTAGGTCCGAATATAAATATGATTTCAATAGCTTCATACTATTCCTTCTCTCTAGCATCTCCTTTGGCAAACGTTAGAACCCAACTTCTATCTTCCCATCGATTGCCAAGGGATTCAATCGTGAACTTGGGTAGTAGCGTAGAGACATTATACAACATCAATACGGCAATGTTTAGATATTCTTTGCGAAGGCTGAAGTTCGTAGCCGGCTTTCAAGTTTGTCCATAAGGGTACATCCTTAATGATAAGCCGTCTAGCCGCAAGTGCTCCTGCGCCGGGATATTGAACACACCACAGGCCACGGATCTGCGGAGACTAAAGGCCCCCACCCACTAGTGAAGATCTATTTACCCACCATGAAGAAACAGGGGGCCTCGGAAAACCCGCTACAACTCCTTCCAAGATTCTGAGAATTGTCAAGGCGCATCATCATGGCGCAAACCCCCAAAGATGCGCTATCAGCGTTTCAAAAACTTAACGATTCTGTTTATATCTCAGATCCGGAGAATTACCATGGAAATGGACCTCTGGTCCTCCTATCATTTTGGATGAATGCTACACCCCGCCCGATTGCTCGATATGTGATGGAATATCGGCGTCTACTGCCCTCCGCTCGCTTCGTGATTGTGCTCGCCGAAACAAATGATTTCATCTTCAAATCCAAAGATGCCACCCAAGACACGATACTCTTGCCCGCTGTGGATGCGCTCCGCTCATTTGCTGGCCCCGACAAACCAGTGTTCATCCACCTATTCTCCAATGGCGGCGTGTTCAAAGTATCCAACTTGCTACGCTTGTACAAATCAAAAACCGGTACGGCCTTGCCTATCTCTTCGATGATATTTGACAGTGCGCCCGGCGTTTCGACAATTAAGTCTGGCGTCAGGGCTATTTCTTTCCAACTTCCGAAATTCTGGATTTGGCGGATGCTTTCGAAGACTGCGTTGTGGTTATTTTTGGTATTTTTGGAAGTTTGTCGAAAGATAACTAGAACTCCTAATGCAATGGACGTTGCTAGTCGCAGAATCAACGACCAATCTCTCTATACTCCTCCTACCGAGGGCTTGACTCGTTGCTATATATATTCTGATTCGGATCAGATCATTCCATCGAACCATGTTGAGGATCATATGAAGTCCTCAGCGTCCTGTGGAGTGACTGTGGATAGTGAGAAGTTTGAAGGCGCCGACCATGTTATGGCCATGATGACAGATCCTATTCGATATTGGTCCATTGTTCAGAGGTGCTTACAGCTGGAAAATACTGAATAATTTCAGGAAATATATCTATAAATCCATTACTGTCGTTCAGTCATTGGGCCATTGGCCTGGCCATCGAGTGTTCATTGAAAGCCTTCAAATGGCTCTTTTTCGGTTTAGTAAACCAAAGACGCGGAGCCTGCGAAATAGATGCCGAAAATGACGGCTTTTTGCACGACAAACCGGTGCCTTTCCACCTGTAATTCTGAAGAGCGAGCAAGTGCCCTTTACGAGCCGTAGTCCAGTAGCATCATTGAAGACGATACCTAAAAGGCTTGTTGTAATATTGAAAGTCGGGTCGCTACTGGGGTCACTATCTCTGGTACACTAGGTAGCTATTTTAATGGTTTATAGTAGGTGGCCACGGCAACTTTGCTCGTTATAGGGTATTACTTCGGCTGGGGGGTATATTTAAAATAATTTCAACCAACCCAGGTCGTTCTACTCTTTACTATCCTCTCCATGGTCACTTCCAAAACAGCATCGGGAATGGTATACGTCACCCTGAACCACCCATCCCTAGGTTCTTCTGCGAAGTAGTTTGCGCCGTCTTTGATCGACATTCTAGTTTGAGTGCACGTGTCAACAAACCGTCTTTTAACCTTTGAAACGTTAGGAGACGGGAATGAAGGATCATCAATGTCAATGACACGAGACGGAATGAAACAAATCCATAGATAGAAAGCGGCGGTGCAGCAGCAGATGGTTTGAATAGATGATACATATAGAAGCGAAGATGAAGTATAAAGCAACACCAGAATCATGCCGATGCAAAATTGGCATACCTGTGTCTCAAATAAGGAATTTGATGTTCTTGCAAGAATGATGTGACCTTTCCGCAACTGGTTGCGATCCGATTTTGATTTGTTTTCTTGAACCAATCAACAAATTCCCGGTCTTAGAGTATGTCAGCCCAGAGATCCTGAGTGATGTAGGCAGGCCAAGCAAACAAGCTGTTGAACTAAAAAATGACAATTAGCATCAAATTCTATAAGGAACTATGTTATTGGCGTACTTGTACTTGCAACCGCTTCTAACAAATCCTCGTTCCTCGTCTGAAGTACGCATGGGCGAAGGCCGTTCGCACAAAAGTCTTTGCTCATCCCATACATGATATGAACACGATATTTGTCAATGATCACCTCGAAGTCTATACTCAAGGAGGATATTCAACTTCTGGGATGATGGCTCATTCGGGTTAACAAAGACAGAGTTTGCGTATATTTCATCACATACTAGATGCAAGTCATAATTTGCACAGAAGCGAGCTACCTCCTTCATGGTGTCTGGATGTTGTCCGAGAATAATAGTCAGTAATGATTTAATCGGATAAGTCGTTTACAAAAATCGGATCATTCAAACATACGTAGCATTTCCCGATAGGATTATAAGGACTAAACAATAACGTCAGAATGATTGTATCCTGCTAGCGTTATAGATATCCACTTACTTTGAAAGGATCACTGCACGCATATCGATGCCATTTGCTGCACTTTCTTCATAGGCACGCTCAAAAGCTCTACGATTTGCTTCTGGATCGAACGTATGGTTCACGGAATATTTGCGACCTGATTCTAAGAAATAAACAGGAAGCAATTGGCCACGACTTCGCATCTAGATATCAATCTCAAATCCAACATAGAGTGGCTGGGGATTCAGAATTCCTTCGGAATCATCACATATGCACCATGTCAAGGTGTCAATCAAAGCTGCAACCCCAGAGGCGACAAGCAATTCACCCCGTGAGATTGGTATGGTTGGATTGAAATTTGAGTTGAAGAAGGTAGCCAGCGCTTTCAGTCGCCGTGGCGAGCCCACGGCCCCTTGTCCATATATCAGTGGGAAGAATGATGAACATCAAACTAAGACACCGTCAGTGATTTCTCTTCATCTCGTATTCCCACTCATCAAGCACCCACTGCACCTTTCAAGTGATTAGATATTTCCGTATGCATGAGATAAATTTCAGCGAGATCTCAATTGATCCTGACGAGAGAGTAGTATTTAGTCTTTTTTTTCTTTCATTTGGAGAGCTTGGTACTCACAATCCATTTGGATTGACAATTTTGTCATAAGGTGCCGCTAGTACTTTACGAATTCCTCTCCAATAGTCATTCCGAACAACATTGTCGGCTCCTCGGACTGACAGCCCGGATTTCTTTACAATCAACGCTTCCATTCTTCCATTACTGAGGTGTAAGTATTGAATTTTGTCTGACTAGAATTCAAAATCACTCTGGTCAGTTGGGAGGGTATTTGTAGAGGTTAAAGCTGCGGTAATTATATTTTTATTGACTTGTTGACCAACGGCCTATGTTGGCGTTGCCAGAGACAGAAGATTCGTTGTAACGGCGACCAACCACAGTGCTCATCTGGCAAAAATGACAATGCCCCCTGTATAAATAATCCAAGTAAGTTGTGTATTAAATTACAGAATCACACCATCAATATATAGTGCTTCATCAAAAGAAAATCATATATGTACGATTAGCTGTGCCCGATTGTTTAGTCACTCTGACAGCTGTTTCGGCAAGCTGCGGTATACCTCCTAAATGAGTAAATCAGGGCAATAAGTTATTGACTTTTGGGTTCTCGGAGCGAAGTTCCGGCTGTAGCACTAACACTCAATAATGTGGGGAACACAATATAAGAAACAGTCGATCAACGACGACAGCAATACATCATACTTCGCACTCTTAGCCGGGTTTCCGGTATCAACTAGCCAACAATGGTAGGTTGTTTGAAGGGAAATATTTCATTTCCAATCTTTCGAGCATTGCTGCCTATATCAAGCATTATCTTTCTGGGTTATTATCAACTTTTTTGTGGGCTAACCATCGGCTATCTTCGTTGCTGTAAGCGTTGAATCTTATCATTCACTATACAGCCCTTTCCTCGTTTTTCATTGTGACCTTGAATAGTGCAAAGTGTATTCACTCGCAAGTCATAGCAGACATGTTCCAGCACAATGCTAATGAACAAGCCTTCCTTACGACCAGCCAGAGTCAAGATTGCCGCTTCCTACTTCCTGGCTATGGCCGACCACTGGACTTTTATCCAGTAGAGAAGGATATCTATGGAGTGGAAAGCCGTAGTATGTTCCCATCTGCACTCGATGATAGAGACATCGAAATTGGGTATACTGAGTAAGTCGAAAAGCCGAACATAATGCTCCTTGGACAGTGCCTAACAGAAGTAACTAGGCTTCCGGTTCAAACCTTGAGGGAAAAGGCAATGGTTGATGTGATGGAAGACCTGACAGATATCCCTGGCTGGTGGAACAAGGTATCCAAAATAGCTCCATTGTTCAACTTTCAGGGGTACATACTGACATTTCAAATAGATCCATGATTTCAATACTGCAAAGGAATGGAAAGATATGGCACTCAAAAAAGGAACAGACATTACCGAAAACATGGCCGAATGGATCATCGACGAACTCAAATTCAAAGCGATGATATACGAAGTAAATCATGCGGTAGCCCTGTATAATGGCGATATCACCAAATCCGACACCAACGTACCTAAATCCATCATCGAGGAACTAAGATGTGCCACCCGTACTCTCGAGACAAATCACCCTGATCTCCAATTCTATCAACCAGGATCTCTATCCAAGCAGCGAGATCTCCTCGCTATGGCGCTTTATCCCCTCATCTACGGCAGGAGTCGTATCCTCCCAGACAAGCTCATCGGGTTAGACGAGGCACTGCGGTACGCCGGACAGGGAGAGACAATCCCAATACCTCAAGAAACGGGGATCACACGTGAAGATATTGCTTGGAGAGTGTATGAGCGATCGGATATTCAAGTTCGGCCGTATAGTCGAAATTTTCAGGCTTTGCCAACAGATTGGAAGCTCGGTGACGATGGAAAATGGCATATCACCACCTACATCAACAACCTGCACCCGGTGAAACACCGGAATATCTACGATTTGATTGAGAGGGCCTTCAACTGTCTCATCCCACAGTGGAACATGACCATGACTCCGCTCAAAGACATGCTGCATTCCCGTGCCAGAATCGAGTACCATAAAGCAGAGTATTACCCTGTCTCGAAGGAGGTTCTCGACAGCGTACCTCAGATCAAGGATCGTGAAGCACAAAGTGAGTATTACGAGCGTGTTGAAAAATGGAGGATGGCACATTTCCGCTCTATCCAGCCTGACGTGGATAAATTTGTACCATGGGCTGTGCCGCACTGTATGATGTCCAAGTTACCAGAGGACCTACCTGCCCCAGTTCGGATCGAACAAGGCGTCAATCTGAATAACAACTACAAAGAACGAGGTCTGCAGGTTATCACACGTTTGATGGGCGTGGATTTGACCCCTGATGATCCATACTATGAAACATATTGGCATGTGGAAGGCCAAATGGTCAGTAAACTCATTTCAAAAAGAAAATAACAGCTTACATGGAAAATTTTCGAACAGAACGAGCATATCTGCGCTGCGGCTTTCCTTACCTACGACAGTGACAACATGGAAGAACCGTCGATGGAGTTCCGCAACATAGTCGACGTCGATGCTCTGACAGCGGTCGAACATGATCCAAACGACTTCACCTGGCTGAAGCAGGTTTTCGGAATGGAAAACGGCGAACCAGCTATTCAGCACTCAGGCTCAATCCGATGCCAGATAGGACGCACAGTCATGTTTCCCAGCACAGTGCAGCATCGACTCACGAAGTTTGAGCTAAAGGACAAGACCAAATCTGGTTCTACACGGGCACTGGTGTTCTACTTGGTTGATCCGAATATCCGCATTATTTCCACGGGTAATATTCCACCTCAGCGGCTGGATTGGACGCTTAACAATAAGGACGCAGAGGCCGAAGACTTGAATTCTGCTATGGTAAAGTTGGCCCTTGATAATAAGGACAACAAGGGAAATATGCCTATGTCATTGGGTGAGGCGTTGGAAGTCAGAAAAGATAGTTTGAATGAGTTGGTTGAGTTCATGCGTTATCAGCATGTGGCGTTTGAGTCGAGAGTATTGATGCTCTAGCGGTTGTGGGGTCTCGTTTTAACATGACTGATTATTCGAAATCTTGGAAGCTTATAATTTCTTTTTTTGTTTATTGATGGTTGCTTTATTCTATTAATCATTCCAGCTACTATGACTTTTGTCAGAAAAGAAAATTGATTTAGATTGATGACACCCCCACACCATCAGAGTGTTCAAATGTTACGGTCCATATCTTTTAATCAACCCGGGTCAAAGGTAATGACACGAGACATAGTAATGACATATGATAAAAAGGTGTCAGTCAACCTAGGATCACAAGTATTGACTGGGGCCCAGAGATAGTAAAACTGTCTAGTATCTACAGCTTTAAAGTCTACATGTTTTAGACAGTTGTTTCAGTCATTATCTTTTAATGCAGAAGATACATTCAAATCGCCGCGCTATGCCATTCATAAACTCAATGTACACATAGACCGATAGAAATTCGGCCCTCTTTTATCTTGTATCATAACATAACGGCCAATCACTAGCCAAAAAACAAAGGAAGCAAGATAAACTCGAACGAGTTCCTTAAGGAAACATCTTAGCGTCCCTTCATCTCCGGGAATTCATCATCCAACTTCAAACGTGCGGCTACATTCATACTCATAAGCTCCTGGATCAGAAGCTTAGCAGCATATGGAATGACCATCTTCGTGACGCCGCGAGTAGTCTTACAAGCAGGACACCAGTTCAAGAATCCCATGAAACCACACTTCTCACAAATATCAACCTCGTGACGATCGGAGGAGATCATGAGACGTTCCAGGAGAAGTTGACTGGTTCCATATGCAATCAGACAATCACGTTCCATCTCACCGAGACGGAGACCACCATCACGCGAACGACCCTCTGTAGGCTGTCGGGTCAAAGTAGCCTTGGGACCACGTGCACGAGAATGCATCTTATCTTGAACCATGTGCTTAAGCTTCTGGTAGTAGATTGGACCGGTGAAGACGTAGAAAGGAAGCGGCTCGCCAGTAATTCCAGATGTGAGGAATTCCTTACCACCATAACTGAAGCCTTTGTCAATAAGGATCTGGGACATTTCTTGGACGGGACTGCCACCGAAGCAGGTGCCGTAACCGTGTTGACCAGAAAGCACACCAGCCTTACCGGCAACCAACTCCAGCATTTTTCCGACGGTCATACGCGAGGGGAAACCGTGGGGGTTCATGATGATGTCCGGGTTGATCCCTGAATCGGTAAATGGCATGTCTGTTTGCTCGGCGATGATACCGACGACACCCTTCTGACCGTGACGGGAAGAGAACTTGTCACCGACCTCGGGACGACGAGTTTGTCGGGTCAAAACCTTAAGGAGCTGGGTCTCGCCCTCTGTGGCTGATACCATGACCTTGTCGATGTATGCGGGATCAGGCAACTTGTAACTCATAGAAGCAGGGTTGTAGGAAGTAACTCCTGTGTCGGATCCCATGATGCCACTGGTATGAGCCTGGTCAGGAGTGACCTTGTTGATGTAGACCTCGCCTTGACTAACTTGCTCTCCAACAGCAGCCAGACCATCACTGTCTAAAAGAGCATGTTTGCGGATTGGAGCATCGTTTTCGTACTCTGGGGGGTTCAAGCGATCCTTCGTTCCATTCGGGTAACTCTTGAGGTTGGTCACGTACTTGCGGAAAACCTGGCAACGTCCGAAGCCACGGTCGACCGAGCCCTTGTTCAATACCAGGGCATCCTCAATATCGTAACCAGAGTAACTCATCACAGCAACAGTAGCATTCTGTCCAGCAGGCAGTTGATCGTACTTGATCAACTCGATAGTCCGTGACTTGACCATTGGTTTTTGCGGGTACACCATGACGTACAGAATCGAGTCAATGCGCTGGAACTGATTGGAAGCAATCGCACCAATAGCTTGCTTACCCATAGCACATTGATAAGTGTTTCGAGGGGATTGGTTATGATGGGGATAGGGAATGAGACCAGCAACAGCGCCGAGGACAGTGAATGGCTCGATCTCAAGATGAGTTACAGCTTCGTTGATATCCTTCTCGTAGATTGAGATGTATGAATCATTCTCCTCGTTCACATCGAGATATTCAACAAGTCCTTGAGCGAGGAAGTCATCGAATGACATCCTACCGTCACGTAACTTCTTTAAGTGGTGACGCCGAACTAGAGACTTCCCATTTTCAACGATAATAAGTGGTCGACAAATGCGGCCATCATCTGTTGCGATATGAACCGACCGTTGGTGGTGGTTAATGAAGATACTGACAAACTCAGAGATTCTGCCCATACGCCGCAGCCTGCGGAAGGAATTGAGGAAGTACTTCGGCCGCCTTGTCAAGGCCGTTGGTGTACCGTTGATAGAGATTGTGTAGGTTCCTGATTCGTAGAGCTGCATTCCACTGACAGTCAAAATATCTTCTGCCCCCAGCATGAAAATAAGGTTTCGCACAGGACCTTCTTCGTCGGTGGTAGTGATGTGTGTCATGAGAGCCAAGTTCTTGACCAAACCGCAAGCCTCTCCTTCGGGGGTATCCGCAGGACAAAGCATACCAAATTGCGACGGTTGGAGAGCACGAGGTCCACTAACCTTACGGGTCTTCTCGAACTGACTGCTAATACGGGTCATCATACCAAGAGCAGCAACATAACTCAATCGACTAAGAACGTGAGTCACACCAGCACGTTCCATACGGAAACGCTTAAGACTCCAGTTGCCAGTGGAAATCGCCCGATTCATGCCTTGGGTGATGTGGTTTCCATGCATACTCACAACACTCCAGGCATCAAATTGCTCAGCTCTGTTGCGTTTGTTCAACACTTTGTCAATGTTCAACTTGATATCGAAGCAGAACTTCTTGAACAGATCTTCGAAAAGAAGAGCCAACATTTGACCTGCCAGCTCTAAACGCTTGTTTCCGAGGTAATCACGGTCGTCCACCATGGAAGGGTCATTCTTCGCCATCAGAACTCGACGCGCCATGCTGGCAACGTAGATAGCCTTGGGCCGGAAGTTCATATCCTTGACCTCGATATGCGAGATAATGACGGATGCAATAGCTTCAACTGCTTCTTGCACGTGTGTCCTGCGGTAGGCACCTGTCTTTCGGTTGATTTTGATTCGAGAGCCCATCCAATCTAAAGCCTGCTGTTGTGTGAAGATTCCTAAATTGACGGCCTCCTCGAAGTTGACTTCAAAATCATCCTGGTATTTGGCATCAGAGCCTGTAATCATCTGCAACATCTCCTTATCGGTATGGATGCCCATGGCTTTCAACAACACAACGATCGGGAGATCTTCGCTGAGAACATTGTGCTTAACGTAAAGTCGATCCTTCTTCATAACGATGTAACTCTTCGATTTACGTTCGTTGGAGGAACTAAAGAATAGTCAGTAATGCCATAGCAATACGGATTGAGACTAAATAGCATACCTGGTCACTGAGGCCTGAACAATATCTTTCTTCGGGTCTGTCTCAACGATAATTCTGTTCTTGCTCAACTGCTCTTGTACCAGAATGACCTTTTCAGTTCCATTGACAACAAAGTAACCGCCTGGATCTAATGGACACTCGTTGAGAACAGTCATCTGCGCCGGTGTCTTATTTGCTAACACACACTTGGAACTTCGAAGCATGACCGGCATTCTTCCGATGGCAACGCCACGCCTAATGACACGTTGCCGTCCTCGGACATATTCGAAGTCCACAAGAATGGGAGCAGCATAAGTAGTGTCTCGGAGACGACACTCCTGGGGTGTGACATCCGACTGAAACTCAAGTCCAGCATCTTGGGTCTCATCGGCTCGGCGAGGCGACCCAACGTAAATGTTTGTAAACTTGATGTAGAAATTGTGATCGATATCACTGCGAATAGTGCCGCTCGATTCCACAATTTTCTTCAGTTGCACCTCGACAAAGTAGTTGTATGAGTCAATGTGCTGCTTCACCAGACCTTTGACTTTCAGGAACGCAGGTAGTAAGTTCCACTTATCCCTTGCGGTGTTGATGGGATCGGTCAAGGATTTGTTGTAGTAGAAGGGTTCCATGAGCGCATCAAAGGGATCGCGATGCTGGTATTTCACATAGTCCTCCACTGGGTTATTCGCACCGGTGGCATTGTTCGACTGGCCTGATTCCTGTTTCCTCTTCGAGCTCTCTGTTTCCGTCTGGTGGGAAGCCTATATTTTGACCGAAATACGATATTAGTATAATCATCTCGCGATTGGTCATCGCGCGGGGGAAAAAAGTTTTGTTACCTGTGAGGAGCGTCGGCCTTGGCTGGCCGCAGAGGGCTGCGGCCTCCTGCGAGGAGGCGGCATAGCGGCTATGAGATTCGGATCTTGATAATGGTCCTCTCGAAAATCTCAAGTCGCTACGTTGGTCAGGTTGAATGTGATCGCAACATGCATTATCGGCAACATTTTTAGTTGGAGGGGAACGAGAGAACATTTTTGGAGACATGATTACCTAATCTATCAGCTATCCCCATCGGGTTAGTGCTGTTGGTTCCTGAGGCAAGAACATCAATCCATGGATTTGTGGAGCAGAAGAACATCATCAACTACAAACAGCTACAATACAGCATTATCATGGCATACTAAGGCTAGAAAGGTTTAAGTGAAAACTAAAGTCTATCGTTGAAGCAATTCGTCTTTCAGTTAAGCTCTGTCAGTGACGAGTCTTTTCCGGCAGACTACTACATAGTATATAGAAGCCCGGATATAGTACTTGCTGGTGGAACATGATAATCACAATTGATGATTTTGAAAGCGCCCCTTTTGATTATTATCGCGACCATCAGCACTAGAGACTCATTTCAAGTGATTTAATCCGAACGCCTCGTATGTAATTCTTAAAGCGTTCGAATCCGAAAGCTTTCCGGCTTCGAGAATTGTTTTTAAGGCCATCATCCGGCTTTAGATTCAGACCAACCAAACGTACCGAGCTTGATCAGCGGCCATTTCAAGTTGGTGTAGATAAATTGATTACTGAGATTATTCAGGAACTCAGAGAGAGAAAAAAGGTATTTCGGAAGAAGTATATAGTTGTATCTATTCCGACATTAGTATGTCGCATCCAAGTTTAAGTGCTGAATATACCACCTTTCCGCTGAGGGACGTTTACCACCTGATAGTATCATCCTGACCTTGGAAGCAAAAGGACTCAGTCGCATATGACACACGGTACAAATATGTTGCACTAGTCAAGAATATTTGTAAGGAATGAATAGGACATAATGACTAACAACTTTATAACTGTTATTGAACAATTTTTATTGGAGAAAAGGTCTGCCGCGGGGTTAGGGTTAGGATAGGCAAGACTCAAAGTTAGATCATAACCCTCCAACTTTTTTAGATCAAAAAGCAAATAGTGGGCGAAATGGAGCTTATTTTACCTTTCAGACGCATATACGGTACATATAGATCGTCAAACGTGCGGCAAACGTGCGGCAAAGATCAACCATACAGGCGGAATACACTTTATTGCGGAAGATATTAAAATTCTTGAAGAACTAGGTACACGCGAGCTCAGAATAAGGCACCAGGCCCACAAGCCAGTGTATTCCTTGGAGATCTCTAGTGCCGTATAGATTATATACCTCACCCACTGAGGTGTCCAAGTGGGGCCTTGAATTTTCGCACGCGCAGCATGGGTGGGAACAGACGTTTTTGGGAGTCTGCACGGACACGGACGACCAATTTAGAACCCACTCGGCCGACCGGTCGTACATGATCGACTTATTGATGGGTTTAGGCATTAGAGTAAAACACAGCTGAGGCTGTCTCATGCGAGATTGAGTCAGGAGTAGGAGAAGATAGTACCGAGCAGACGTATTTCCAAGCTAATGTGTTAATCATGGGACAGTGTTCAGATTTCATTTTCATTTTCAGTCTATTTATTTATTTTTTGCTTTTTCATCTCGTGTGAAAGAATCGTGAATTGGAGAAGAAGATCCCTGTCAATAACAGGGCATACTATCCATAGGCGTGTTACACTACGGAGTATACTAGTAGGAATTGCGTTTGTGGAATTGATTGTGAAATCCGATAGATGGTTCCAGGTTTATTTGGCGAAGATCTAGTCTCTAAGTCTCCAACTCAACACCCCGCGACTCGCTTGTATAGGAAACAAATGTGGCAAACAAAAGCCAGACCGCAACTTTCAGGCTTTTTCAAATCGCCACGACAGCCAATGGAAAGAGGTAGTGATTGGAACTCTACACGAGACATTTCTCCCTTGGCCCATGAACCCGGATACTTCGTAAATCGTTCCGAACGGAGGTCTTATCCTCCTGCAGGCCATGGGTGACTACGTCAGAGACAGACCGGAAAATGATCCATAAAATGCGCGCAAAAAATAAAAATAAAAAAAAGCACAGTAAAATACAAATCAAAATGCAGCGGAGAAAATCGAGAACACGTGGCTGAGGATGGAACTAGGCCAGGGTACAATCCTCGCAAATCTTTTTTTTTTCACTTTTCTAGATTTCTTTGTTGAAGGCGCTCCGAACCGCAAGACAGACTTCCCATGAACAAGTTAGAGTTTATTCGCAGAATGCTTCCCAGTCATTCTAGAAGTGCCGCAGGGATATGGAGTTAGGAGCGGGGCATCAGCGTTAAGGGGACTGATTTGCCAATCGCAGGATCACAACTCCACATTGGTTTTAGATGGTGCATACATACCAGCGACGATTTGCGAGGTGAGCTTATATGAGGAGATCACGCTGTGGTTTGGTCAAGAGAAGCCCGAAACACGAAAATCCACTGGAACAGTGCAACCATTGCGAATTGGCCGAGGCTTCAATTGGGCATTGGGCATGAAAGACGATTCCCATTCTTTGGCTGGAAGTCCACCTGGCATTTGGGCCTCTACCTAGTAAAGCCTTAAAGCCTGAGGGCGGCAGGCTCGGTAGGGAGCCACGGGTGAATCCTTCGGCAATGCAGTTAGCCCTTATAATTTATATTTTATAATTTTTGGATAATTTTTTCTTACCCCGAATGTTATGTGTCATTTCGCGGGGCTCTGAGATCATCGCGAGTGCATTTCTAAGCGTATTCTGATTTTGGGCTATGTATCTTGGCAGTCAAACATCAGAGGAGGGGTTGTGGTGCTGGGGAGGGGCACAGACCCAACGATCAGGTGGAGGATGACTGGATGACTGGATGACTGTACTGGATTGTATGGAATGAGAGACGATAATTCATTGATTCATTGAAAGATAATCATTAGTTCGGTCGCTAGAGGGGAAGAGGGGGGCAAGAGAAGGCCCGTGATGATTGGTGGTCCGTTCTCCGATACCAGCAAGACCGGCGCGAAGGGAGATTGACTGGGGTTCTCAGTTGATGCACGATCTCCACAATCCGTGATGGTATGCTCGTCACTTTGGTGGATCAGGGGCTCTAAAGGACAAGATCAGCGCCCGTGGCTTGTATCATGTTCACCGCTTGTCTCGCCAGTCGAGTCCTTATCGCTTAATGGGATGTGTGTAGAAAGTAGGGTTATTCAGCCTGTCCGAGTAATTACGTTCTATAGCGTAGTATTCTTAAAAAATACAGAATGGGTTCTTTTGTTTAACTTGAAGTCTCCATCTTTTGTTTCCCAGGGCAGATCCATGGATCTCACCGAAGAAACCACCACGAACCTTGGGAACCGCGCAGCTTGGCCGTGGCGCGAACCATTTAAACACGCGATAGAATCCAGATTCTAGTCCATCCTTATTTCTAAGTTCTATTTGGGCCTCACCGAAGGATAGGACCCTGTGATTAATACATCACTGAATACGCGAAAATAGTACTCTTTAGAGGAATTCAATTGGATTCAGTCAGTGGGAGAGAAGGAGTCACAAGAACAATCCACAATAAAAATTCCCAAAAAAGAAAGAAAAGACGAAAAGACCACAAAATGATCCTAGGGCTCTGATCCAGGTACAGCTTAGTCGCCCCGTGCGGTGGCTAACCATCTTAGAGGGCGATCCGCTGTCACATCCTCGCAACACCACTCGGCAAGTCTCCACTCTCCTAAACCGATACAGTGACTGCCATCTGCAGCTGCCACGCTTTAAAAGAACAGCGCATCTTTTCTCCCCGCTAGATTTACCCCCTTGCGTGTGCGTGACTAAACCCGAGCCCATAGGTAGATGAATAGATGAAAAGGGACAGTTGGGAAGAGTCAGATGGGGGGGGAAAGGGTCTTGAAGTACAACAGGTCAGTCATCTTTTCAGTCCAGTATAAGATTGACCAATTACAGGGGCGAACAAAAGAAGAAAAGAAGAATAAGAGGCGAAAAAGAGGACAAACCCGTGCATTGATTAGTACCTATAAGACCATGTACCCCGGGCTTGTTCTCGGGGGCAATAGAGCTGAATTCTGGTGGTACAGATGCATCCTCTCCAATCATGCGTAGACTCCCCGAACAATGCCCGAGTGACTGTGAGCGATCATCTGTTGTGGCCGCCAGATTCTCATGGTCAATTTGGATATGGATTATTTCTGGGAGATTCCTTATATCCTGTCTCCTTCAGCTATGGGGGGGGGGATTTATTTGGGGGCTATAAATGTGATGATATTGGGGGGTGGAAGCCCGGTCGGCTAGGAGAGAACCCAAAGAAAAAAAAAGACCGCGACTTTAAATAACAATAGGTTAATGCAATGTAGATTAGATCGATGGACGATTAGCGAGGAAAGAAAACAGAACTAATGAATTAAAATAATAAAATAATAAAATAAAATAAAAGCACACAGTCAATGTTTCCCACCAATGTCCCGATTTAGGGTTGCTAAAGAGGCACTCCCCGCTCCCCTAGTATTAGCAGTAGGCGCTGCCACTCTGCCACTCTCTCTCTCTCTCTCTCTCTCTTGCCTGTCTTCCCAGCCTTCTCCTTCTTCCCTTCTCTTCCACCCACAACCCTTCCTCCGTCCCCCCTGTACAACAGTTATTGTATTGTTCCTTTGGGACCTTGTTCCCTCCTCTGTACTTGTTATTGGTTTTGTGAACACACTCGTTTGTTCAGGATCCTCTTGTGTATTCGCTAAAAGTGGAGGGTTAGCGGTAAGTGCTCCATCCCACTCTGCAACTCCCTGCGGCGGCTGATCTCCGCATTTCCAGGTACAACATCCACTGTTGATTTTTTTTCTAGCATCGTGTTCCGCCACAACTCCCATAGATGAATCAACTTGCCAGATAGGCCACTGGATCTTGATCATTTTGGATTTCTCCCTCTCGAGGCGTTCATTGTGTGAGTCGAGTCCCTTTCCCTTTTCCCGCAAGCGCAGATCTTCTCCGACCAAACCCCTCCGGCCCCTCTCGACCTTTCCCCTTACTTGGAGACAGCCTCCCCCCAGAACAGACCACACACACACACACACACATCACACCGCTAGCCCGTCAAACCTGTCAAAACCCGCCACAGTCCTTCTCCGGCCACCGGCATACCTCGTGACATTGGACATTTGAGGCTGGGGGTTATTGCTGTCAACTCCATGTCTTAAAAAGGCACACATGCAGGTTGCGGTTCAGGACTTCGAAGAACTTTTGGCTGACTCAAAGATATTGTCGGTCTTGTAGTGGAACATTATAAGCTGCTCAGCCCATCATGGCTTTCAAACACGGGCTCAGCGAACGCCTCGACGAGCTGCGATTCCCATCTCCTCGCTCTCCGCCTTCGGAGTCGACCTTCCCGGGGTATAGCTCCTTGTCGCCCGGTCATTCGAATTTTGTATCTGGGTTTTCTCGACCTGCCAGCGATGTCCGCGTCAATCTACAACGCAGATTCACCACAGATTCTAGCAAATTTTCCTCATGGAATAATCTCAACCAGGTACCTGCCCAGGCACCTGCCCAGGCACCTGATCCCCTCGACTTGTTATCTTCGGTAAGCATACTCTTCCATTGATATATTCGTTCTTTCTTGTTCGACCTGTGAGCTTGAGACGGGGCTTCAAATGACATACTGGTATATGCTCTGGGCGTGCATGGTGTTGCACGATGGTGGGGCATGGAAGACTGTGTCCTTTGCTTGAATGAGAGCACGTTTGATGTGCTGAACATTTCTCTCACACCTCGACCATGAGCCCCCATCGATTTCCATCAGGTTCCCCAGAGTATTTAACGTGTCTGACTTATTCCCGTCTCTTCACTTTTTCTTCTTCCTTCACCACCCCCATTTCCCGTCCCATACATCGTCCCATTTTCCATCCTATGCACATTCACATTCTACTTCTATTTATTTATCACTCCATTCGACGCGTGGACTGCAGTGAAGAAACCCAGAAAAGCAAGTTCAGGCAGCTGTATCCAAGTTATTGGACACCGGTCACGCTTGAATAGAGCTATACATTGTTTCTCTAGTCTGCCGTCAATGTAAATTGACAGAACTTCAATCCCAAGATTGATCTTCTTCCATCCCTACCCCACCCATTCTCATCACTCCCAACCACTTGCAACTTTTCTTCGCCGCGTTTATTTTATCATTTCTTTTTATCTGTCACGTTCGTCGTGTCGAGAAAGACTTGAGACTGCTCCTAGGACGTGCCCAAGACGCGTCTTTGAAGATCTGATCACGTTTCTCGCGTTTATTACACTTTTCTTCCCATAAAATCCATTGTTCACTCCATTGCCCTGCATGGAACAACCAAGAGCCCCTCTGACCAGATTTCAGTTCGAGAAGAAGAGACAGCATATCGAGTATATGCGTGAGCAGAAAAGGCGTTTCGAAGAAGACATGAAATTGTTGGACATTCAACACGAAAAAGAACGTATCGAAATGGATCAAATTGCTCGTTCTCTTGAAAAGGTTGGTTTTTCTGGCCCCGCCAGCGAGCCAACAACTCCTCCCGAGTACCGAGAGCCTGCAACAGTCTCCAGCACCAGCGCCGTATCTCGCCCCGGCCGCTTCTCGACTTCGAGCGTTACCTCATCGCCTGGTTTTTTCAACGCCTTCGCTCCATCTTCTACCCTTACTTCTCCCCAAGCTCCTTCGCAGCCAAATCACGCGCATGCGCAGTCTATTGATCGATTCTCTGGTCACTCCCTTCCGGGTTCGCGACGAAATTCAGAGAAGGAAGAATTCCTCATGGAGCCATCTACAAAGAATGGGTCCCTCCGCCCTAACCAATCGTAAGCAAACATTTCTCACTTTCCCTCGATGCGTTGATTTGCCCTATTTTTCCCGGCTGTCAGATACAGGCGAATTTGACCTCTCCGTATTTTGTGTTTCGTGTTTCATGTTTCATTTTTTGAACGTTGTAACTGACTTGAACTTGGCTAGGCTCCACCGCTATTCTTTGCCTGCATCTAACTACAATGGTCACCATCGTCCCAACCTGTCGGGCTACAATGTTGGAGCAGGTTTGGATTCGTTTGCGGCGGCAAAAAACCTCTTCCACGGCGACGACAAGTCAATGCTGATGAAGGATGAAGATCGCATGTCGACTCCTGACATCAAAAGTTACATTAGAATGACGGAGCCGGATGACAAGTTCCCAACTCTTCGTCGGGGTGGATCTAACATTCTGTCTGCCAACCCAGATGCGCTTGACTTGGCGAATGCGCGTACCCCAGGCCCCGAGAGCTATCGATCCCATGATCGCTATGGTTCCTCGCACCAGAGCATGCCTCAGAATTATACGGGTTTGATGCGCATGGATCAGCTGGGAGGACAGACAAACGAGCGCAATTTGTCTCACTCACATCACCACCCTCGCCGCTCTCTGGAGAGTGGATTCATTTTCCAGCAGAACGAACGCCCTGCTGAATCCATGACACCGGTGCCAGCAAGCAGCCGGCCATCTTCACTGCAGTCGTCCTACTCGACTAATGACCTGCCTACTGTCAAAGGCTCGGGGTTTGATGCGGCAATCACGCCCCCAAAAACCCACACCAACAGCCTTCACCAGCACAACACTAGTATGGGACGTATCCCGGCTGGCGCTGCTCACGCCCAACAGAGTAGACATTCTCCAGAATCGGAGAACAAGAATCGCCATTCCCCTCAGACCATGTTGCAGGCGAGTGCCGCTCCCTTTGGACCTCAGCTGGCATCACCAATTCCCAATGGTGGAATTTCTGGCTCCAGTACTCCATCCGGCCTTCCATTTCCCGCCTACAACTATGGTGGGATGCCATCTTATGGCCAGACTGGTTTCCCTGCTGCCAATGCCTATGGGGCCTTCCCAAGTTATCCCACCAATGGGTATCGTGTCAATGAGCCTGCTACTCGGGTTGCTGGTCAGCGCCGTGGCACAGAGGGAGATGCATCTCAGATGAACCGGTTCACGAACTTTCCTCTGGAACATTACAAGGGTGGCCTGTACGCTCTATGCAAGGACCAGCATGGTTGCCGATTTCTGCAGCGCAAGCTCGAGGAGCGCAACCCTGAGCATGTTCAGCTGATATTCAGCGAAACTTACATGCATGTGATTGAGCTGATGACCGATCCCTTTGGCAATTACCTTTGCCAGAAACTGCTTGAGTTCTCAAATGACGAACAGCGCACCGCTTTGATCAACAACGCTGCACCCGAACTTGTCAAAATTGCCTTCAACCAGCATGGAACCCGTGCTCTGCAGAAAATGATCGAGTTCATCTCTACTCCAGAGCAAACCCAGACAGTCATTAATGCTCTGCAGGATCACGTCGTTGAATTAGTTCAGGATTTGAATGGCAATCACGTCATTCAGAAATGCCTCAATCGCTTGAGCTCCGACGACGCAGATTTTATTTACAGAGCGGTTGGTGCACACTGTGTCATAGTAGGTTCTCATCGTCATGGATGTTGTGTACTGCAGCGCTGCATTGATCATGCATCGGGGCCCCAGAGGGCTCGTCTTATTTCCCAGGTCATCCAGAATGCTTACCCTCTTGTTCAAGACCCATTCGGCAACTACGTTATCCAGTACATTTTGGACCTTAAGGATGATGATTTCACCCTGCCTCTTTGCAACCTTTTCACCGGCTCTATTGTCCCTTTGTCCAAGAACAAGTTCAGTTCTAATGTCATCGAAAAGTGCTTGAAAGATGAAGATGTTGCCCCAATAATTAAGCATGGCATGATTGAGGAGATGTTTCCCAACAATGAAGTTGAAAAAATGCTTCGAGATTCCTATGCCAATTATGTCCTTCAAACCGCCTTGGATAAGGCCCAGGTGGATCAGCGCAAGAGACTTGTTGAGATCATTCGTCTTGTCCTTCCTTCCATTCGCCAGACCCCTCACGGTCGTCGTGTCGGCGGTAAACTCATGATGCTTGATACCACTCCTCGCCCCCCTGTCAATATGAACAATGGTGTCCAGATGCCTTCCCACGTGGACAAGGACTTTACCATTAGCCCGTCATCCAATGGTTTTAATGGACACAACCTTCCTCCGACCCCGGCCACGAGCTCTACCGCCAACACTCCTCCCAGTGGTCCTGAGTCCGCTTCCATGTTTGGGACGCCTATCTCCCCACCTGTCGGCCCCATTGTCACTCCAGGCCAGGCCCACAACAACTACTTCTAAACGGGCGGTTGGGCGGCCTCTTTGTGCATATCCGCCCATCCATTTCCCGTCTGTACACCTAAACCGACATGATGCCACGAAGTTTTCATTTCATGATTCCACGGATCCACCCTCGAGATTGCCATGCAGACCTGAGACCTGATGCACATACCTTGATCTTGGTTGTTGCATTCATCTTCATATTGCTTGCTTCGCCAGTCTGTTTCGCCGCGATCTGATTTCCTGCTCCCTGCATGACGGAATGCGCCATGACCATTTTTATCATCTGACAAGATCCGCGTGTTGCATACTGCCTAGTTTTCCGCAGTCAGCATTTCTTTCTTTTTTCTTTTTTTCTTTTTTTCCTTTTTTCTATTTTTTTGCGAATTTCTTTCTGTAATTTCTTTGCAGCTACTTTCCCATTTCCCCAAACTCTCCACAAGCTTTCTTCACCATGACTTCGTCAACTACCAGATCTCAATAATTGGTGTCCTTTGTCAAGTGTGTTCATGTTGACCATGGCTTCGAGAGTTCATTCATTTTCTGCCCCTGTGTTTACAACCCATTTTTGCCCCTATTACTGCCCCCGTTTTACTCTCATTTTGCACTACAGCATTGTATCTCGCTTTTATTTCTTTTCATTGCATTTCAATCATTTCCCCTCCATCGTCGATCTTTTCTTGTTCTTTCCCCTTGAATCCCACCACAAATATGTTGTGCTAGTGCTATGGACATTACGAAAGATGAAGAAGTTTGAGATGAGGCCTTCATGGCACTCTTTATGGGACCCTTCACGGTACCCACTGAAGCTTTCTCTTCCCTCGGTGTTCATGAAGGGTTTTGGTGGGCGGCCGGAGAACGCCGCTTGACCGAACTGGACCTGAAACCCCTGGTATCGGGACTGGTTGGTGATGGCATTTAAGTTGCTGCTAGCAACTGATCTATTTTATCAACGGATTGATCTCTGCCTTTTATGCATCTTATCCTTATCACCCTTCACATACATTTTGCATGGTTGTACTTTAGTCTCAGAAATTGAATTCAGTCACTCCTTGTCAATACCACCACTCAATCAATCAGTCCTAGGAATGAAGATAAACAGTAAAATTGGAGTAGAAAAAACTTCCTCTTTATAAGATTTGTTTATTTTTCAGTTCTTTATGTTTTTAAAGCAAAGGTGTTTACTAATTTGAGTATATAGACTGACGCGACGCGACCCCACGTGACCACATAATTAAAGTCCCAGAGACATTGAGCCCGAAAGTCCGCACCCTTTAGTCCCTTCGGCGAACATCCATCTTGTGCGGGCAAACTTGGAATCTCGGTGATCCATGCAGCCCACCGAAGTTGTCCGCTCTTTGAGCGCACAATGGCCCTGTCGGGATGTTCAAGCGCGACAACTTGCCAGCTTACTCCATGTAAGTTCATCTCCGCGGCTTCGGTGTTTAGACCGCATAGTTTTGAAGTCGGATTGAACTTCACGCCTAGCAACAATTGCTGACTTTCCCGTTCCCTTCTAGCCTAAGTTACCTAGTCCACCGACCCTAGTCGTTCATGGTGTTTCAGCTACTTGCAAATCGACAATTGTTCGTGGTGTTCTTTCCACGCTCCAGGCGCCGCATGCCGTCATTCGGAGCTCAGAATGTATCACAGGACGGCATCTACTGACTAAGATTCTGTGGAATACACTGGAGGCATTTGATCAGCAAGCTGAATGGGAAAGATTCGGAAAGGGACGCTGTGAACACGTCAGCACTCTCGTCGTGCTTTTAGAAGAATGCCTGGCGGCGAGACCAGTTGAGAAACAAGGCAAATTTGTCCTGGTATTGGATGAAATTGATCGGCAACGAGAGGCATCCCCGACACTTCTCTCGGCCCTCGCACGGCTTGGAGAAATTGTAAGTTTATATTCCGCTCATTTGAGGCAAAATCAGTCCCTTAAACATGTGCTAATTCATATATTTAAAGATCCCTTCACTTTGCGTCGTTCTCATCCTAAGCTCCACTCCACGACCTCTATTCCTCCAGAATGCCGCTGTCCCCCATATCAGTTTCCCACCCTACACCCGAAAAGAATCTATTGATATTTTACTGGCTTCCCCTATGCCTACAATCGAAGGCATGTCCGAAGAAACAACATCGCGCATATACCCACATTTCGTCGCTACGATCTACGATACATTGATTGGACCAACTGCCGGCTCGATCCTATTGTTCCGATCCATCTGCGATAGGCTATGGCCTCGATTCATTTCTCCCATTCTACAGGGTGAGACGCCCCCCGGCGGTAATACGGCATGGGATTTCACACGACTCCTCGTCAAAAACCGGCCACTTTTCAGACACCAAGGCGAATCAGCCCTGGTACATCGCATCGTGCCCGACAAATCCACCACCGATTCAGGCCCCCGCAAGCCTTTCGCACCCAGAGTCGCTCCCTCGGCGCTGCCATCATTACCATATTTCTCTACTTTAATCTTGACATCTGCATATGTTGCATCTCACACTCCACAACGATTAGATACGATATTCTTCTCAAAATTCTCTTCGTCTTCGCTATCTGCACGAAATAAGCGTGCCCACCACAGACGCCGACTTAAGGTGCTTTCTCAAGCGGAAGAAAGACAACAAGCTACCAATGGCGACGCATCTTCAAAGAAGGGCAAACGATCAAAGACCCGTATCACGAAGTCAACTCTTTCATCTGCCTTTGCTACTTCCTCGGCTACAACTTCTGCTACTGGAGGTGCCGCAGGCATTACTGGCCCATCTACTATTCTGACAGCACGTCCATTCCCACTAGAACGTCTTCTAGCTATATATCACGCTATAGATCCCAACCCACCTGCAAACCCGATCCGAACCGGTGCTGTCGCTGATCAGATCTACGCTGAGCTTGCAACGCTTCGTCGTTTGCGTCTTGTTGTTCCGGCTTCCGGGCACCATGGTGGACTTGGTAGTGGGAGTACTGGAAATACTAGTGCGGATGCAGGAGAAAAATGGTGTGTGAATGTTTCAGGCGACTGGATTGGTGAATTGGCGAAGGGCATTGGTGTTGAGGTTGGTGAGTGGTTGGCTGGTGGGCTGGACTGAGGGGAGTTTTCGTTTATGTTGCAATGTCTGGAGTATGTGGTTTTATCTTGATTTTCTGCATTAGGTGTTAGATATTCTGCTGGCTGCATGGTATCCCGTCTAGGATGCCAATAAATATACCCGTTCTTTTCTTTCTGCTTCTTCTTAAAACCTTAAACTTAGTTTTACCTCTAGCGTTCGTAGCCCGGATTTCTTTAGGCATTTTGTCTTTTCATTGAGATGGCTAAACGAAGATCGATACGCCTACGCCAAAACAGCCATGGATGAATGCACCAACCAATGCAAATTAGGTATCTCGTAAAAATAAAATAAAAAGCCACCAGAAATAATTGAATCTACCATGCCCATTCATCAACAGTAGCCCTCGAACAAACCATCAAGCTCGGCATCTGAGGTCCATTCATATCCATTCCCTCGCTCGAATCAAACCGCACACAAGAGATCGGCTCTGTATACTCTGCCTCTGCAAGGGGAGAGGCCACCTGTGTCCCATTTTGCAGGGAGAAGAGCTGAACCTTCCCATTATCAGAAGCTAAGACAGTACAATAATTAACGGTTCGGTTCTATAGCTTGCTCTGTGCCAGATAATGGAAGAAATGGCTACTTACCACTCGCGAGAAGACCAAGCTCTGTACTAACATCGAAATTGGAATTCGTGTTAGGGACGTACTCCTGAAATGTCAAGTATGGCCTTGTGGAGGTATGTGAAGGGGAAAGAGGTCTGGGTTTACGTTGGATACCATTTGGTGCGTATCGGATATCATACATTTGCATCTGTTGTAGGTGAGTAGATTGATAAAACGGGAAGGGTTGACAGGTAGAGCATCAGTTCCTTACAGATGTATGTCCTGTAACGACTAGACGGTGCTCATCAACCTTTCGTATATTTGCAATTGGGTATTGGTGTTGTAATCGTGTTGCACTACCTCCACTGCGAATATCATGTAGAATGACAGTTGAGTTCCGAAGTCCGGAAGCTATAACATTTGATGAGAGCCATTCGACTGCATTTACATGTGCATGTGCGGAGTTGGTCTTTCGATGAAATCCCTGATCTCCCTCTGTGGGGAACGGCTTCTCAGATAATGTCCAGTGGCTACCAAATCCCTCGAGAGTATAGAGACCTTCAGAGGTTCCGATGGCGAATAGAGCCTTGTCCCCTGCTGGGGAGGCGGCGGAACACCAAAGTGAAGGTGTAGTGCGGATGCGAATGGGATGTGTGACTGTATGTAGAATTAGTTGAGTTCTTAGTGATATTTCTAGAGTATGTTGGGTATTACGGACAAAATGTAGGCCATTGATAGTCGCCCGTTTCATCGGGAGTTGGGAGACGACGCGGTGCGAGGAATGAGTCTCCGTCTGCGCCGCTGTCCATTGTTGCTCTGGATTTATTGTTAGTTAGGTCATGGGAAGGAAGGGATGAGTGGTTCTTACAGAAGATAGCCTGTGTGGCTTAAAGAGATTGATGATAGCTGAAGACGTGTTAGGATATATGTGATGTTGATACGAAGAGATGGTGGCAGACTCTGTATTGTTCTTTAAATAAAACACGTTCCATCGTGCGGTCATAGGCCCATCGTCCTTTCTCGGTGTCAGGAAAACATACCCTGAGACATTGTTAGTTATGATTTTGGAAGTTTATGATTCAAACTCACGAGACCGAAGACTGCAGTCCGTGATTGCCGCCTATATCAGCCTCGTTAATGATGTTTTAATGTCTCTGCATGAACGTGACGACATACTAGCAATGAGAACGCCAGACTGGGGATTTCTCAAAACATCCTGGATAGTGAAGTCCTTTGGCCATGGTCTGAATCGATGGAGCCTTTCTCGTTGTATTTGACTCGCGTATATACGAGCCTGCTGATCCTGTCTAGTCGTAGTAGATGGGAGCCGAGACCCAATCTCTTGATCCCCTCCGACCAGCGGATGGTGATAGAAGCTGTCTTTGCGAACCTTTTCTTTAGAAACGCGCTCTGCTAGTTTTTGTTTTTGTTGTTGTTTCTAAAACTCAATTAGTTGAACGTCCAATGTTGTGGGACTCTTTTATGCTGACCTCATGCTCGGTTCGTTTCCTTTTAACTGCATCTTTGGAATATGTTGCTCCTGCAGGAACGGCATGATTTGCTTGGATTTTAAAGTATTTTTTCTTCTCCGGATCTGTGATGATGTTAGTCTTCTGGTGGGTTGAGACGAAAATCTTTCTTTCACTCTGTGCGAAAGGGAGTTTGGCTCACCGAAGTAGAAACCGGGAATCTCTCGATTCATATTTGTCGGTTTGTATACCTTTACTCGAAAAGGAAGAAAAGCAGCACGTTGATCAAGAACAGGATGTTTTGTATGGATATTGACGCGCGGGTTGCGTGTTATGCGCAAGTCCAAGCCTCGAAGTTTGAGCTGGTCAGTGTCATCAAAATTGTATGAGAGGAAATGACCGCGGGATGGCGCTCGTACGGTAGCCGGGCGATGCCAGAACTCAAATTGCTTTCGGCGCGCTATTTAACTTGGGAACCGTATGAGAATATAAACCTGGTGAAAGTATTTGGGCTCAGTCGCCTCTAGTCATCTTGAGTCGATGTCTGATGAATAAATCTCAATCAATTGATTCAAATGGCGACGGCAATGTCGCTGTGATGACATAACATTAATGCCTGAGGCCATAATTTTGTATACTTGCTTCTTGTTGCGACAAATCATATTATATTATGCAAAGAATATGCACACGTATGTTTATATTAGTCTTAGCGCTCTGCAATCATGTTCATCCCATGGTAGTACTTGCTGTGTTTACTTGATCCATCACCTTCCCCAATAGTATAATGGCTCTGCATCCGCGATGGTCTTTCCTTCGGAGACCTCATCTTCCTTTAATCTCACCTTCGCACCAAGTCCTCTCCTCTTTCAAATCCCTCTTTTGGAAAACTCCTCACAAAAGCTTTTCTTAGAAGCTGACTTGTTCATATTCCTAAATACTCGTTTCTTCGACCGTCATGTGCCCTACTGTGGACGAACCCTCCCTAGCTCTCAACAGTCATCCCGTCACCGATGATTGCGGTGTTGAAGCCAAAGAACTGTCCATCATTTCCCGACAAGAAACAGAGGAGGATATTGATATCTTGATATCGGAATTGGAGGCGGAAGATGGGAAAGACCCAGACCCAGAAGTGCTTGCTATCGGTCCCGGTCTAGACACGCCGATCAACCCATCCCATCTTGAAACCGATCTTAAAACTGGCTTGAGCGAAGTTGAGGTCAAAATCAGACGACGGAAGTATGGCTGGAACTGCTTGAAAGAGGAACGCAAAAGCAATATCCTCAAGTTTCTATTACTTTTCTTCGGACCCGTCCAGTTTGTCATGGAGGTAAGCGGCGCATTCTTATTTGGACTTGATACAATGAATACTCTTCGTGGTATACTTACATCGATTATCCATAGGTTGCTGTTATACTCGCTGCTGGTCTATCGGACTGGATTGATTTCGCTGTCATCTGTGGTCTCTTGCTGCTCAATGCTGTTGTGAGTTTTGTTCAAGAATATCACGCAGGGAATATTGTCGACAGTTTGAAGAAGACACTTGCACTCAAAGCCACCGTTCTCCGCAATGGCCAAATGGCTGAGATTCCCGTCAAGGATGTTGTTCCTGGTGACGTTGTTTTCGTCGAAGATGTAAGTGCCGACCGGGAGAAAAAGCCTTTTGAGCCTTCTACTGATCAGCATTTAGGGAACAATTATTCCCGCTGATGGTGTCCTTGTCTCGGAAAATTCTTATCTGCAAGTTGACCAGTCTGCTATAACAGGAGAGTCTCTGGCTGTAGAAAAGCATGCTGGGGATCAGTGTTTTACATCGTCCATCATCAAACGCGGATCCGCATACATGATTGCCACTTGTATTGGCGACCGCACATTAGTCGGACAAGCTGCAGATCTGGTGAACAAGGCAGGGAATTTCAAAGGGCACTTCACCGTCGTACTCGAAGGAATATCAACAAAACTTTTGTCTCTGGTGACCGTGTGCCTACTCATAGTATGGATAGCCTCATACTATCGTTCGAATGTCATCAGAATAATCCTGGAGTTTACCCTGGCTATAGCAGTGGTCGGAGTTCCAGTTGGTCTCCCTGCAGTTGTGACCACTACTATGGCTGTAGGCGCAGCTCAATTGGCCAAGAAATTTTGCATTGTTCGGAAGCTTTCTGCTATAGAGTCACTGGCCGGTGCAGAGATTCTTTGCTCTGACAAAACAGGCACACTTACCCGGAACAAATTAGCCCTGGGTGAACCATTTACTCTTCCTGGTGTTGACAGGGAGGAGCTGATGCTCACTGCGTGTTTGGCTGCCAGTCGGAAAAGGAAAGGAATGGATCCCATCGACCGTGTTTTTGTGAAGGCCTTGAAGTATTATCCCAGAGCGAAGGCTCAGATTGGTCAATATGTGATGTGTCGCTTCCATCCCTTTGACCCAGTCTCAAAAAAAGTAACAGCTGTTGTGAAAAGCTCTGCTGGGCATGATGTTATCTGCGTGAAAGGTGCCCCCGACGCGATTTTGAAAACTGTTGAAGCCGAAAATCAAGTTCCTCGGGATATCAGAAATGCATACGAAGAAAAGGTCACTGAGTTTGCGAACCGTGGGTTTCGAGCCCTTGGAGTTGCTCGTCAGATTGGATCCGGCGAATGGAAAATTCTCGGAATCATGCCCTGCTCTGATCCACCACGCCATGATACTAAGGAGACCATTGCAGAGGCACAGAAACTGGGACTTCGTATCAAAATGCTCACTGGCGATTCTGTGGGGATCGCACGAGAAACAGCCCGACAGCTGGGACTTGGCACAAACATTTACAATGCCGAACGCCTCGGGGTAACTGGGGCTGGTGATATGCCTGGCTCTGAGATTAATGATTTCGTGGAGGCTGCCGATGGATTTGCTCAAGTATATCCTGAGCATAAATACAAAGTGGTGGAAATCCTTCAAGGGCGTGGCTATTTGGTTGCAATGACTGGAGATGGAGTGAATGATGCACCGTCACTGAAAAAGGCAGACACTGGAATCGCAGTTGAAGGAGCCTCAGATGCCGCTCGCTCTGCTTCTGACATTGTCTTCCTTGCTCCTGGTCTTTCTGCCATCATCGACGCAATCAAGTGTTCGCGGCAAATATTCCACAGAATGTACTCCTATGTGATTTATCGTATTGCTCTTTCTCTTCACCTGATGCTGTTCTTTGGCCTTTGGATGGTCATTTTAAATGAAATCCTTGACTTACGCCTTGTTGTTCTCTTGGCTATATTTGCCGACATCGCGACTCTTGCCATCGCTTACGACAATGCTCCATTTTCAGAGTCTCCAGTCAAATGGAATCAGCCTAAGCTTTGGGGAATCGCTATTATATTGGGATTTGTTCTGGCTGGTGCTTCTTGGATTGCACTGGGTACCATGTTGCTGAGAGGTAGCCATGGAGGTATCGTACAGAACTTTGGCGCCCGTGATCCCGTCATCTTTCTCGAAATATCCCTGACTCAAAATTGGTTGATTTTTATTACGCGTCTCAACATTTGTGTTGTCGGGGATGGTCGTCCCTGGCGGGAGGCTATGCCTTCTCTTCAACTCGCACTAGCGGTGTTAGCTGTGGATATCACAGCTACTGTGATGTGCTTGGTGGGCGCGTTTGTCCACCAAACAACATCCTGGGTTGCCGTGATTCGAGTTTGGGCCTTCTCTGTGGGTGTTGAGGTTATATGTGCAATTATTTATATAGGCCTACAAAAGTCTGGGAAGTTTGACGACCTTATGCATGGTCGAAGTCTGCGTCGCCACGGCCGCGAGAGGTCTTGGGAAGACTTTGGTAAGTCTGTTCGTTCCTAAACTCCTGATTCATCAGTTGGCTAACATGTTTTGAAGGACTTTATCTTCAAAGAGTATCCTCTCAACACGAAAAGTCCGCCTAAGGGGTATTGACTTGCGAATAAGCACTTGAACATAGCGATACAAGCAAGCAATCAAACATTCGAGGAATCGGTGCATTGAGATACAGCTATGCCCGCAGGCTTGGGAGACAACCAGTGTGTTCAATCAATGGGATTCAGAGTTTTCCACTTATTTGGTCCTTCCTCAAGCTATTCAGAAGTCTCTCGGCGTACTGTCACCTGAGTTCTTTGAGTTTCTCTTCTGTGTTATCCTGAAAATCATTCTTATTTCCTGTTCCATGATGCGATGTCCGCGTCATTTTTTTGTATTCATGACTAGCTATCATCTGCTGATGGTGTTCCACATTCCATGTTAGATATGGTAAAAATTGAACTCTGTTGCATCCATTTTGTGTCTATCTGGGATCCTCGAACACAATCTCGCACCGTATGCCTTCTGACGGCTCGGGCCATATGGGCGCTGCAGTCGGCCAAAATTCCATCACATGTAGTCCTTCTCTGGAATGGAAAATTAAAAACGTGATGGTTTTATATTATACATGAAGTATATCTTTCTCAACCCCCCTCGATGCACCGTCCTCAAAGCACCATGAATCATCGCTTGAAACCCCAGCAGAAAAGAAGTAAACCGAAATAACCGAAGTTCTAAACCAACAAAACAGCCTTAGGTGGTTTTGAAAGGTCAGACCCTGATGAAGAAACTGCCCTCATAACCTCATACTCTTCCACTTCTTCGAGGTATTTTTGTTGCCGCTTGTACATGCGCCAAAAGACCATACTTCCATGAATCTGCGCAGCAGAGAAAGCAATATGCAATAGGGGCGTGACAACCTTGAAAGCAATCTGCCATCGCGACCATAGACTTCCAAAAAGCCACATTGTCACAATAGTCTCGCAAAGTGTTCCGCTTGCAGTTGTAATGCACGATAAGAGGAAAATGCGCTTGAGAAATGAATGACGATCTGGATAGACACGATACAATATGATAGCGATATGTGGGAAGAACTCCGAGATGGTATCGAATGCACCTATTAAAAAACGGAAAACATGTCAGACAGACAGTAGTTTTGAGGGTTTCAGGATCAGAAAAAGGTTACCCCAAGCAGTACATAGAATAAACTCGATATCCCCGTCCGGCTCTCGTGTCAACCGAAGACTAATAGCAATGGCAGATTGCCCGATAAGTATTGTTCCAATATGATGCGCAACAGCAATGGGAGACAACTTGACACGATAAAGTAGTTCAAAAATGTACATCGCTATCAGCATCTGAGCAACAACAATGAGCATATCGCCCATTGTGATTGTTCCGCCATGAACGAAGGGAGTGCGGAATGTTGATTCGCCAAATGTGATTGCGATGAATGGGTATGCGGCGACGATTAATATGAGAATTTTTGTGAATCCTGCTATGTGGTGATTTATGAAGCCGCGGCGGTTGGTTTCGTTTAGGTTCAGGTAGGTTTCGCCGTAGGCTTTTTTGATGAGGAAGCCTTCTAGGATATAGAAGCGAATTAAGAAGAATATGACGAGTGTTATTGAGATTATGAGTGCTGAGAATGGAGCGAGGATGGAGATTGATTGGAGGGGTTTGTGTTTTAGGCCTCTTGTTGAAGGTTGTTGGGAGAGGGACATATTGAGTAATTGATAAACGGGGTGGTAAAAGGTTGAGGGTCAGTGGTGGACTAAGAAGAAGAAGAAGAAGAAGAAGAAGAAGAAGAAGAAGAAGAAGAAGAAGAAGAAGAAGAAGGTTGTATATTCAAGGAGTGTGGATGTTGCCTTTCGTTATTCGGATGTAGATTAAACGGCGGACACAGGGTCAGCGGTGTAAACGAGTGTGGTCATGCCTGTGGAAGTAGAGAGATAATAAGAAAAGGAAGAGATTAAGTATTCAATTCACCCGTACGAGGTGCACGGGGGACTTACCTGGATCTTTCCTATACGAGTTTAATGTCCACATCTTAGAATAGAAACTAAGCCTTGAGGAGTACATGCAGGCCCACTCAAAGTCCACTCACTATGCAACGGAAGGTAAGCAGACGAGAATGATCCATATGGCGCGGATAAAATAGAATATCATAAAAATTAATTTACGATTAAGTTTTCATTCCCAGGTTGTTGATAAAATGAGGACAGAATTGTACCATGATCCCAGCGGGGATTCCCGTTTACATCCCAGGGTTCATTTAGATTCATTTTAGATTTAGGGAGCTAAGCTTTCTAGTCTACACGGGTCCGAAGCTTAAATGGTAGATTCCATGGTCTTTGATTGGTCAAGCCTGTCGCCTCCCCTGATTATTTTCAGGGTCCAGGAATGTTAAACCACATGCCATTGGCTCCCCAAGCCATGCGTCTCGGAGATCTGTCTCCATCTGACACGATTCAGGCAACAGAATATCAAGCGAAGGCTGCCTTGTCAGTGGAGGCTCTGCTGTTTCCACTCATGTGTCTTGCATTCCTGGTTATTCTAGAAAGGAAAGTTAAGAACCAGCTCGGGAGCCTCGTAGGCAGTGCGACTGGGTGATCAGCAGGGGAGATAAGGATGAATACTATTGTTCAGAATCCAGCCGTACTCTATAATAAGTTCAAAGTCCTTGGCTATTCTAGCAACCCTAGGGGATTTGTATTTTCAATTTTCCTGGTAAATCCCCGTCGGTAAATTGTCTACAAACCAAAAATTCTTCGTATGCTTTCCATGCTCTGCCATGTGCAACAGACTTCAATGCAACCTAAATATGACAGACCCGCCAAATAGACACTTCCAATTAGGTTTAGAAACTAAATAATCTAGTTTAGGTAATAGTGTCTGACTGTTCATTGTTCTCTTGTGCTGCATACAACATTTTCAGTAATTAAGGTGCCTAAATTTGCGACTGTGGCGAGGTGCCTGAACCACCCACTCTCTCGAAACAAATCATCACAGTCAGTGGAATGCGGAAAAATAAAAAGTAGAGAGTAGAGAGAAAAAGAAGGTTTGAGCCATCCGTAACTTTCGTCCCTTGATTATGACTCTTGACACCACCAATCTTGTGGCCAAAGCGAAAATTAGATGCTGTAAACTCGGGTTTATCCGAAAAGGGTACCTCCGAGAACAGTATATTATAGGCCTGACCTGAAGCAAATACCCCCATATTGAGATGAACCATTAAATTATCTGGAACACTTGTTTGTAGATACTCAACAGTGATTATTTTCTGATCTCTTTGAACTGTTCTATTGCATTTTCCAGCAACGATGAGCACATATGCTAAGCACATGTCTAATCTATCGGTGGTGCGAAAAGAAAGAATAAAGCATTTCAACAAAGAATAACCATCCATCCCCCGAAAAACAACCTACAGCACCGCAAAGTCAGTGTAAAGCGAGAAGCAGATAAGAAACAATACAGGTGGAGATTTGTCCGCTGCCTCGGTAAGCGTATCAGTTCCCCCGCTCCGATAAACGCAATGTGGTATTTGAATTGTGCCATGCTACACTAAATGCTTCACGACCAACTTGAACAGAACAGAACCACCTTAAAGTTTCCTGGCGCTCTCAATTACAGTTTAAGCAGAATCTAGTACCTACCTATACGAAGCAATGACAAAGACACTGCACCCATCGCTGCCGCAGCCCTCATCAACGCTGTCTCATTGGCACCGGACAACCCGTTCATTTCCTCACCTACATGCTAATCGACTCGCCCCAGTCCCATCCTCAACTAAGTTTCTAGTCATTGGCTCTGGAATCTCAGGAGCATTGACTGCTTGGAAACTAATTGAGAGCGGAGTAAAAGGCGAAGATGTCTTGATTCTTGAGGCTCGAGAAGCTGTTTCAGGCGCTAGTGGGAGAAACGCTGGCCATGTTCGTCCCGGTAAGAAAACCCTGTGGTATCAATTCCCATTATTTCGTATCATTGCTAATAATTTTCACAACTTAGATTCTTTTCGGGGCTTTCCCGGATATGCTGCAAAACATGGCAGCGAACAAGCAAAAAAGATCCTCGAAAATGAGAGAAAAGTTCTGGAAACTGTTCGCCAATTTGTCAAGGAACATGACGTTGAGTCTGATTTTAACTACTTGCGAACCTTTGAGGTGGCGTTAACTGAAGAGTTTGCTGATATCCTCGCGAACGCTTTCGAAGAATTCAAAGCCGCCGGCGGTGATACCTCGCATATCAAAGTCTACAAGGGCGAGGAAGCTAAGCGTGAGACAAGAGTCCCAACGGCCATCTCTGCATATGAGTCACCTGCTGCATCTAATCACCCAGCGAAGCTAGTACAGTGGATCCTGAACGATTTCGTCACAAAAGACGGCAAATTATGGACTCATTGCCCAGTAACTAATATTGTTCCGGCCGAGAGACCTAATGAATCAGGTCCAAGATGGAATGTTCAAACTGCCCGTGGGGTTGTTGCCGCTGAAAATGTCATCCACTGCACCAACGCGCATGCTGCATATCTTCTACCAGAACTAAGCAAATTTGTCACCCCTCGGCGATCACAAGTGAACTCATTTGTTCCGCCACTATCTCTTTCTGGGGAAGATACGCTCAAGCATACCATGGCGCTACGATACAAACCCGACCATTTCTTCTCTGTGAACTCATTGACAAACGGCATGGTTCTTCTTGGTGGTACCGGAACCAGAAGTGCATCGGATAAGTCGTCAGATGATCTCATCTCATTTGATGACTCGAAATATAGCGACCGACTTGCGCAGAATAGCCTCAATGAATTTTTAGGCCTATGCCAAGAACCGGATTCTGCTTCGCTTCGTCATGGAGAAGGACTAGATCATGCTTGGACTGGAATTATTGGTATGACAGCTGATAATGCGCCTCTGGTTGGTCCGATTGACGGATTGGAAGGTCAATGGATCTGTGCGGGATTCAATGGTCATGGTATGCATACTCTTTTTTTATGATTTCATCTTCTACATTTGAGTAGTACTAGGCTCACTATTGAAACTAGGTATGGCTATCATTTTCACTTGTGCTCCTGGGTTGGCCAAATTGGTGTCTGGTCATTCATGGCAAGATACTGGCCTCCCAGAGTGTTTCCAGTACAGCACTGAAAGAATTCGCCGACATGCAAGGCAGTCCAGGGAAAGTACCCTATAGTGGGCCCCACGGTGATCTACATACGGGCTTCTCTCCCAATGTCAAGTTAATATGCAAATCCGGGGAAATGAATAGAGGTAGATAAGGATCTTTCTCATATATTTCAATACTCTACCAAACTGTGTCTTATATTTAGCTCTATTTTTTCTGGATATTAATTCACCAGCAGCATATCATTTAGTCATGTCAAAATTGATCGATGCAAGATGTACATTGTCTAACCTATTTCGGTTAGTGTCGTTCTCGCTCACTAGAATAGGAATAGCGCCACATATTTACTTCAAAGATCCTTCATGCTGATTGGCTGTTGCCTCATGGAATTTCGATGATTGTTCTTCTCAATCATTTGAGAATGGGTTAGCCATCAAGAATCTCGCACGAACCTCTATTGTAACAAACTCCACAAATCTCAATCCCCACCTAATGTGACCTATATAAGGTTGCCCCCTATTTCTTTCCAAACGCGGAAAATAAACCTCTGCACCCCCGATACTTTTCATCCCCAACTTGAAAGATGCGAACAATCATCTCAAGCGACTTCGTCATCTCAGATAGAGGTGGGGTCGTTGAAAATAGACACGCCGTCCACGCAGCGGTAGTAGACAGCACCGGAAAGCTACTCTACGCACTAGGTGACCCATCACGCATAACGCTCGCCCGATCCGCGGCAAAACCCGCTCAAGCAGTCGCTATTCTAGAAGCAGGGACATTCGAAAAGTTCTCTTTCGACGATGCAGACCTAGCTCTCATGTGCGCTTCACATAGCAGCGAAGAACGACATATTTCTCGTGCACATGGGATATTATCAAAAATCGGTGCGTGTGAAGAGGATCTGAAATGCGGTGGTCATAAGCCTGTGTCAGAAGCTGTGCATCATGCGTGGATAAAGGCTGGATTCACACCTACTCCGGCTTGTAGTAATTGTTCCGGGAAGCATGCTGGGATGATTGCTGCTACGAAGACACTTGGGGCTGATGTGGGGAGTTACCATTTACCGGATCATCCTTTGCAATTGCGTATCAGGGCAACCGTGGATGAGATCTGTGGGCTTGCTGAGCAGGAGTCGCTTTGGGGTCTGGATGGTTGCAATCTTCCTACTCCTGCCTTCCCGTTGAAAATGTTGGGTCGCATGTATGTTTCTTTTGCTTCTGCTATAGACTCTGAACAAAAGGATAGTTCGCCGAGGATCAAGGCACAAGCTAGTGTTTTCCGGGCCATGTCTCAGAATTCAGAATTTGTTGCGGGCGATGATCGATTTTGCACGGCTCTTATGCAGGCTTTTGATGGATTGGTTATTGGGAAGCTTGGTGCTGATGGTTGTTATGGGGTTGGGATTCGGAAATCGGCATGTACGAGGCACATTGGTGCGGAGGGCGCTGTTGGGTTTGCAGTCAAAATTGAAGATGGAAATATTGGGATATTGTATTCTGCTGTTACTGAGATTTTGGAACAACTTCATATTGGGGAGGCTTCTATGCGTCTGCAATTGGATAGATTCCATTCTCCGGAGATCAAGAATACTGTGGGGGTTGTTACGGGGAAGGTGTTTCCCAGTTTCAAACTACATCAAATGCAATGAATGTCGTCCGACAGCATTTATCCGATTAGTTCAGCTATGGTCAAGGCAGCCTTTTCCGGATACTTGCATTTAGATCTTACTGTTTCAACGTAAAGAGATTCTTAAGAACTGTGATTGACCTGGTCATACGCAGATACTTCAATTAGATAACAGCATACATCATTAGAAGACTGTTCGAAGGACAGCACAATGACGATAAGTGAAATTTGAATCATCTTGGTCCCTTCGTCGACGAAATCTTAATATGCAAAGATCAGAATTTGATTAACAAGTAACAAGATTGAGAGAGTAGAAAAAACATTAGATTAATCGAATTGCAGCAAGATGAAGCTGCTTTAGTCGACGCATCACCATATTGTAGGAACCTTTCCTTGATGGTTGAATCAGTTGTCTTAAGGAAGGGATATCCATTTTCTTCAACAGCGTGTCCTATGACTTGCATCTTGTTCCTTAAATCGTGAAAGGTGTGATTCTCATCGTCATAAAAAATGAAACGATCTTGAAGGGGCTTTTCAGTTGAGAAAATACTGAATATTGACTTCGGGTCGTAAAAACAATCAATCGACAGAGTGTTAGTTTTGCCTCCCTCGAGTACAAGGTTGATATTAGCCTTGCCCTTTCCGATAGCCCGGGACTTCGTGTGGACTTCTCCGACAAGCCATATCCATTCAAATGTTTCCTCATCTGGCCCATATTCATGATACTCTGTCATAGCACATTTGTCTGCGCAAATATGAACATTCGTGGACTCGACAACTATCCAGTCTGAACGGAAGGCTGTGAAAATCGTGCTTGTATCGAGATCGAATCCCATGAAAGAAGCAGGAGCTTCGTCGGCATCTGGCATATTACTGATTATCGGTTCAGGGACATTCTCGAGTTCTCCCTTCTGACTGGTATCATTATTCTGGTCTGGTGAAAACTCTCGGCTTCGATTGGTTATCTCCATTTCTGCTGTCGAGAGATGGTGAAAATTGAAAAGGACTTTTTGGGGGTTTTGGGGGGTTTTTGATTCCTTCCGAGTCGCTGACTCCAAGTTGAGGGAAAGTCGTGAGAGAGTGGGAGAGGGAAAATAGCGTGCAGGGTGCAGAGAGTAAAATGGTGAGAGATGCCTACAGCCACGTGGTATCCAAAAGAAGAAATCGTTTTTCGTTATAAAGTGAAGTTGGTCATTGTTCATTTCTTTTACTGAACTTCGAAACTTCAAATATTATATATGTATACGATATGGAATATTGATTTATAAGAAAATATAATGGAAAATATTCATTTAGCCAAATGACATGGATCAATTTATTGATGAAAGAGGCAAAAAAAGGGAGAAATATGAGGGGAAGAGAGAAGCGGAGCAAATAAACAATGCTTCAATAGTTACAACCTTGGAGGCTTAAATGCGTATAATATGTATGGATTATCAGGTGCCCCCTGTATTACTGTATCTGTAAGGGCAATTTCTCTTTTGTGCCCTCCATTTTAAATATAATTTGAAAACGAGGTCTAGCTGATATGATCTTCCGTAATCCAGGCATTCAGCCTCGCTTGTTCTATTTCTCAACGCACCAAAACACCGCGGTATCGCATCTTGCCTTGACGAAGTGTCTCCATGGCTTCCTCGACTCCCTCCTTGTTCAATGAAAACTTCATCGTGGTAGGCACAATCTTCTTATCGGCAGCAAACTGCAGCAAGGAACGAAGAGTTTTCCGAGAAGCAACAAGAGATCCCTGAATACGGAGGCCCTTCATGTTCATCTGCAGCATTGGGACCGGCGATGGGGCAAAGTCAACAGTGAGTGGGTAGATAGATCCGTGAACATCCATCAATGGGATAAGACTGATTATTCGTTAGCAAAACATTCAAAGTTGACGATATGATTGAGACATACGAGGAATAGTCAACGTTCGCACTGCCACAGAGCAGCAGATGGTTGACAGGCTTGCAGTCCTTCAGCTCTTCTCCGGCCCGGAACACATGGTACTCAGAGGCTCCAAAATCGAAGGCCTCTTGTCTCTTAGCTTCAGAGCTAGAGAACACAACGACGTGGCATCCCATGGCAGCTGCGAGCTTAATCGCCAGGTGGCCGAGACCACCAACGCCCATGATGGCCACTCGATCAGTGGAGCGGACACCGTATTCGCTCAAACAAGTCCATACAGTAGCACCAGCACACATGAGAGGTGCTGCGTCGGCAGGATCATAGTTATCAGGGATGGGAATAACACAGCTAGCATCCCATACGGTTCCACCACTGAAGGATCCGATGTCATGATCATGAGTGAAATATTCCCTCTTGTTTTCACAGTACTGATCCCAGCCTAGTTGCCAATTTAGTGTTTTGCTTCAAGCTTCTTTTTTGTCAATATATGTACTTACCACTCAAACACTTCTCACAGGTACCACACACGTAGTGGGTGTATCCGAATCCAACACGGTCTCCGACCTTCACGTTCTTGACATCCCGACCAAGTTGGCGTACGATACCTACACCCTCATGGCCAAGGACCATTCCTGTGCACAGAGCATGCTCGTCTGTACCACAGAGACCAGAGTGTGTTGTCTCAATGTAGACCTCAGTGGGTTCCAAACTCCGAGTGGTTGTGTCGGCAACAATCTTTCCCTCCTTTGAGCCACGGAAAACTTCGAATGTGACACTCATGGCGTTTAGCTTGGTGATGATGTTGGAGATTGATGATTTAGGTATTTAGGGATCCTTCGATTATGTTTAAAATATGCAAAAAAAATACAAGGAGTGGCTCGGTTATTTAAATATAGTTAGTGGGTACAGATCTTCCCGTTTTGCCTCCTTGATTTTCTCAGAGGTATGGTCTAACCTGCTCCATTTTTCCCTAGACCGAGGCCCCTTCAAGATTTTGCAGGGATTTTCATTATGGATTACGCAGTATTAAAGTTGTTCTATGAAGAGTTCTTCGCCTTCCATTGACCCACAGATAAGCTGGATTAGTTAACACCTCCGTTGGTTCCACAGAATCGAGCCATTCGTGGCCGAGAGCATTCATTGCCGAATGTTCCGGTTCGAAACTGAACCAACCAGAACCAGTCTTTCACCCGGCAACGGCCCAATTCATGCTCCGAGAAAAAGGAATTCGGCGACTTTTTCCTCTGCTGTGATTATGAGATTTCAGTGTGCAGAATTTGACTATCTTACTAAGAACTTTATTGTTTTTGGGTCAATCAAGATAAACTATCTGCCCAAGCACTACGTCATATTTTATAGTCGTACAAGCTCTCAGAGTATAATCAAACAAGATTTTTTTCGAGCTTTATCTTCCTAGAAATAATGGTACAAGTAAAGCTCCTGGGGTCGTGATTAATGTATCCAATACTCGTTTACGAAATATAACAACCTTGAAATGTGGTCAAATCAGGACCCGCTCGCCGCCGCAATCGATCGAGACTTACTCATTGAACATAGCTTGCTCAAAATTCCCGGGAAAATGCCGATCTCCGATAAAAGTACTCGCTAATTATGTATGTGATACATATTGCATATAAAGTGGAGAATATTAGCAAGACTTCTGATTTCCCATTTCAGCCCCAGTATTCCGAAAGAGGAAAGATCAGAGCAATTATGCGCTTAGTTTTCAACGGCTGAGTATTTTTGTAGAAAAAAAAAAGAGAATAAAAAGAAAAGAATAAAACTCTTCACAATCAAAGTGCTTCGCGATAACTGCGTTAAAAATGAAATAACATAACATAGTAACAAGAGAATCTACCTAGAACTGGAGTATTGAGTTCCTCTTGATAGCCGCAGAGAATAGAATGGTTGAACAATGGGGAAGAAAGCAACCAATTTGCTTAAAACGACTTCTCCCGATCGCGTTACCCCTGGGCACCAAACGCAGCCGATCCAGCGGACTACTTTGTCGCCACCAACCACTTACTAGTAACTCAAATATTCAAATTATGATCATGAATAATTTGATCTATCTGACATACTAATAACTTGATTACCTACTATTCATTTATACGTACCGAGGTACATAGTGAACTTGAATAGAGGTCTTATGCATTCAACCAAATTTCAAGTTCAAGTTCAACTTTAACTTGAACGTACGCAGAATATATATCCAGCTACGAGAGATCGATATCCATAGGTTTATCACCGATGGTGCCTAGGTATTCTCATACACTGGCAGTCGAGTCTACATTAATGCTTTTAACATCGAAGCTCTCGCGAGAAAAATATCAATATCCTTCTCAATGAAAAATTTGAATTCTGGAAAGCTGGAGTGGTAATAGGTACATGCAACCTTAATCTACCTCGGAGGGAAGCCGGGATGCAGACGCAGGACAAGTGGAGCCCAAGATATAGAAAACGCTTTTATTGGTTCGGTCAAACAATATTCCAGACCCGTATTAAAAAAATTTGTTACGGAAAAAGTGGGATATGAAACCACTTTTGATCCAGTCTTCAACAACAGCGGCCGAATGGTGTAGTTGGTTATCACGTATCGTTAACACGCAGTACTGCCTGTTTATCCGATAAGGTCCTCGGATCGAGCCCGGGTTTGGTCACGTTTCTTTTTGGAATTTTCGAATATCTGATTGTTTCTCTGTCAATTTAACTCAAATTGCTGCACCTTGGCTTCTGAGATGGTTGATTTTTTTATATGATATCAAAACTGGTTGGTGTAGTTAATTACTAGGTCACGTAGCGTTACCCCCGTTTCCTCCGCCGACATGCCTATATTAGGTTGAGCGCTTTGTCTGGCTTATTAAACTGAATACGTGCCCATAACCAGGGCCCCCCGCTAATGCATATACCCATTCAATCATTCTCCAACTTTCAGATTCCCGTTCCACTGCTTACTGTTTGATCCACCATGCCACCCATTCGCAAGGACAAGAAGCCATCAGGCTTTGACTCCATGCCAAGCAGTCCCATGGAACCATGCCTATAGTAACATTCACTTGCGTCTGCCCCACACTGATGTAGCCAATCGTCGATCTCTCTAGCCGCCTAGCAATTCACTTATGGAACCATTCCTCTTTCATTCACCTCTTTCATATTCGACTTGACGGAAAGCACTACTCCAATACCATCGGATAAATTGCCGATTCGGAGGTTTAGATGACGGGAAAGCGCGTTGATTAGTCTCGCGGTTAAACATCTATTTGATCATGATTAGCGTCCAAATATGTATTGCGGGGTGTACACGGATGCAGTAGCACTTGAACACAAGGTCGAGGCGGCCGGTGATGATAATTCAACCTTGGAAACCTTGGAAGCATGCACATGTGGAGCCGGCCTGTAGATTTGGGGACGGACTCCTATATTCCAAGGTTGAGTTGAATCTCAGGTGTCGTGATTCATTCGGTATTCCAGACCCATCTGCCCCTGTGGTACCTAGATAGAACCTGCTATATAGGCGCGATCTTGGGCGCCACAGTCTTGGCTAACCCTTGATCACAATCGAAAGTGGTCCAGAGACAATTTATTTGAAGATTTAGTCGATCCAAACTGCATGTGTTGAATCACAATATTACTGGCTAGATTTGAAATTAAAATCGGTCCCTTCTGCTCCGCATATAGAGAGTAGCTGAAAAGGGATACCCATGGGTACCCTCAAAATTATCAGATGTCTCAAACAGTTATCTTTCTTTCGTGTTATTGAGATGGGTTCCAAATAAGAGATTGTTGCCGCGTGTCAGGTGACCCCCTTTCCTTCTGCCTCGCAAGATAGCCTAAATAGTATGAATAACAAGACTTCCCCTGATTCCCTGATTCCTAGTAACAAATGGGCGCAACTTGAATGGCCCGGTTATATTATTTCAGGTCACAATGTTGATAGGTCGCGAAAGGGCTCGAAATAAAGGAAAGAAATTAGGGAGAAGAAAAACAAGTATAGTTTTCTACCCCAAGTAGCCGAACTGAATCTTTCAGTAACAGCCTGGAATTGATTGACATCGTTCTTTCTGTTCTGAAACGTTATAAAGTTATTCACAAGAGGGGAGAACAAGAAACGCTAAAGAAAAAAGAAAATTGTGAACAAGGGAATGACAGGAGCTGGGCTTGATCCGAGGCCCTTAATATAATACCCTCCACCGTGACGACAGCCCTGGATGTAATAACCTGAGGGTGGTAGCGGAAAAAAACACGGTTATGTGTGGCATTTTTTGGAAGAATCGTGGCATTCGAGAGGAAACCCCCTATGGCATTCCTACCTAGTATCTTAAATACCGAGAAACGCACTAAGCTTTGGTCTATCCTATAACTAGTAATCTAGCCCTACCTAGGCGATTTACTACAAAGCTACTAGTAGAGATTATATCTTTTAATAAGCTAAAAATTGATAATATTGGATTGGTTGCTGAATAAAACAAAAACGCCGTCCCAAAGAACATAAAAAGCATCGGACAGCTACTAACATCAGGTTCGATACCTCACTTTCAAAGACATCTCCTATGGATTGAATGTTTGTGAGGACCCACGACCCAAACGATCTCAACTATGAATATCAGGAGCGGAAAAGGAAGCATCTGGCATCGGAAGAGTATGTAGGAAATAGTTTGTGCTGTAACACTTGGTCGACAGAAAGTTAACTACTGCTGGCCTGGGCCTCGGTGGCCGGAGTCTCGGTGGCTGGGGTCTTAAGACTTTGTAGAACCAGGTCAATCTGACCCTTTAGGTTTTCGAGCGTCAACTGAATTTTTGCTTGGCCTTCTGGAGAAATAAGGCTCAACGCACCTGTCGAATACCGCAGCTGAGATGTTTCAAGTGTCCGATTACCCTCCCGAATCTCAAGCAGCGAAAATTCGGCAAACTTGATCTGTGAGCCTATAGCAATAGCTACAAACAGTGGAAGATTTTCAGGGAGCGAGCCTTGGTCCTTGTATGCAACTTGACAAAATTTTCTGAGCTGCGACTCGGCTCCCGACCAAGCTCTCTTTGTTGGCCCTGTGGTGCTTCTCTGGACCTCTCGCTTGCTCTCGATTATAATCAATTTCTTTCGCCTCTGATTGATAACTGCTGACAAGGTAACATCGGATTGTTTTTGTGAGGCTGGGGAGGGATAATCTTCCCGCTCATGCAGGAAGCCCTCCCCCCAGGGGAACAACATTTCCAAGAGCCGGCCATAAATGTGGTCCACTAGGACCTCTCGCCCACCTCTAAGATCATTGATGTAAGATTTCACGCCTTCCTCTTCGAAACACTATAGATTTGCTATATTAGTTTTTGATTTGTAACATAGATAGCTTAGTAGACCCTTACATTCATGGTGCTGATGATTTTCTTAAGTAAAAATCGGTAGCGAGTGGTGCAAGGTTAAAAAGTTATGTACCATTGATATATGTTCCTATTTTATACATATGATTTATAGGTATAGCAGCCTAATCAACAGGTACCAACCTTGGAACATCAATTTGAATATGTAGTGAATTATGACTATTGAAGCCTAATTGTAGTGAATAAACTTATATAGTCACCTCCAAGTCTGAAATCGAACCTAGGTAATGCCGCCTGGGCAGTGGTTATGGTACCTAGCCCTGGAGGTGTTATATATCTACTACCATTTATATACATAACTCCGACTGGCCACTACTACACCTGCCCAGATGCTTTCATTGATAACAGAGCGGAGCATTTTGTGATGAGGTGCCTACGATCTACCAGAATGGAGAAGGTGCGAAGAACAACGAATAACAACGTTGAGGAAAGGGAAAGAAGAGAGAGAGCTATGCTACATACATGTAGGCGGATACCACTCTCCAGGCCAATCATCTGATTGGTCTGCATCCGAGAGTGGGTCAAACCGCACAAACGTGCAGACAGTGCAAACATACCCGTCCCGAGTCTCCTCCATGTAGTTATACTACACATTTCTTCAGAATAATGAGATATGAAATTTCTAGGGCTACATATTGCCTCGTATTATCACTATAGGTAGCTATCACGTATACACAGATTGGCCACCTTCGTCCTTCCCAGTTTAGTCTCCTGGCTACATTAAAGAGGAAAAGCGAATACATATGTAAGAAAAACGCGATGCAATAGATGCTAGTCCTATTCCGGGTTGAAATTTGATATCTTTGATACGTACTATTTGTATCATTTTATAGAGCCGATATAGAGACTAGATTGAACATTGATGAAGTTATGTTTCCCTCTGCGCCTAATAGTCCTAAGATATAGTAGAAACATTTGAACTGTTGATATACGTAGCACCACGTAAGATGGTATCTTCTTGAGACTTAGAAAGATTCTATTCTATACACATTTCCAACTTGAAGATTCTAATTTCCCAAAATCAGTATCTTCATTCCAAACTTGGGAGATATATGCACATGTGTTTTAGCCTCAAATTTTCCTTTGTCACACGGTCCAGTCAGGGTACAGTACTGCCAGCCAAAAAGCAAGATATTCCCAACGTCCTTTTCAATCAATAGACTGAACATGGTGCTTCAAGCTAGCACTTGGGGGCATGTTTGGAATTTCCAAACTTCAAATGTTGAACTTCCCATATCATATGATGATACTAGTGAGGATTCTCAGTGTAGCGGTGGCCAGGTATGATTATCTTCCCATGCTTCAAATATTTCAAATTTTGGGCATTCTTCACAAAGAAATTGAGACTTTTCTGGTTGACCAAGACCCATTCTGAGATTTCGAAAATTTCAAGAAACTTCGCCATTGACTATCAGCAGAACATCGTTAGTCAAGTTATCAGAAGCTACAGCATGATTGAGTTGGACTTACCAAAATACTTCTCAGAAAACTCATCCATATCTCAGGGACGGCTCCAACAGTACAGCCCTCATGCCATAATCTGAGTCGTGAAAGTGCAGGACATTTGATCAGAGGTAGTAAATGCATATCAAAAACATGGTTATAGCAAAAATTTTCAGATCCTTCCAAACGGAAAACTAGCCAGTTTCCTACCGTTAATCGGATTTCAAGGGTATGTAGCCTTGAAAATCCCAAGCCATTGAGATGTCTTTTCTCCACACATAGCCTAAAATTACCACTATTAAGTTCTTCAAAGTTAGGTCCTTCTATCATTGGCGTATCATATATCGCATATTTAACGCAATTTGCCAGTGCTTGTCTATTTGGTGACTTCTTTACATAGTTGGTAAAGATGTGTGAGAGCATAGGCATATCGCGCCAAATAGTTTGTGTTGCAATGTAGTGCCAAGTATGGTTAACTCGTGCACAGCTTAAGAGACATCCTGGCCCAGGCTTTATTTCCTTCCCCTGGTTTTCTGGTGGCAAAACTTGAAGCCATAAGAATATCTCGTGAATAAGTTCAGGAAGCGCAAGGGTGTGTTGAGCAGCTGTTAAGCTGTTGGTTGTGGTGATGTATGACATCGAGGAACATTGAATAGGGCTGGGGCGCTGTGACCATACGATTTTCTAGAGTGAAACTTGGGGGAGCTTTGAAGGGTATAAGAGAAAATAAGGCAAACAAAATGATTCTTCAAATGTTTACTCTTCTCATTTGGGTCTGACGTGATGGTGAGTACCTAGACTACATAGGGTGGATTCAAGTTTTTGGGACAACATTTGACTTTTGAATATTACCTAAGTAGAAGTATTGCAAAGCTACATAGTATCCATGGATCTTATCCCTTCCACCCTTAGAAGGTTCCAGGGTTAGCTATGTCCTATATACAAATTAAGTATCCTTTTGAAACCTTGAAAATACTTCTAGCGGCAAGCCTCCTTTCTTAGTTCTCTACAATATATCGGAAGGCCAATGCGAACTTTTCGATGCAATTAGTATCATTGTTAAGGTTTTAGCTGACTAGGCGATGAAGGAAGGATGACATGTGATCGCAGGAAAGAGATGAAACCTTCAAGAACCTTGGAACATTTGCACCGAAAATGCACATGGCTCAATTTCGTCAATTTAACATGCTATTGAGAGAAAAAGGAAGATTGATCAGATTCCAACCTTGCAAGCAAAGTTAACTAATTTGAAACTCAATCTCGAGCGGAAGAAGAGATTGATGAGTTGAACGATAAAACAAGCTATCAGACGCTGCAATTCGAAGAAAGACCAATGAAATCCAGACTCGAATTGATACTATTGACTAAGGAAAACAAGCATTGGGGGGAAAAAAGAAAGAAAGGAAGAAAGCTACAGTGCCAAGAAAAAGAAGTAGGGCCCATGACTTCGCCTCTAGATTAGGTCATCAGCAAGGGAGAGCTATGTTTTAAAGTTAGGTACCATAATCAATGCCGTGCTGATTCCTCGACTGTTTTACCTGGTCACACCTGGGGCTGTATTAATTGATACTTCTGTAGCATAACTACATGGAGGAGACTCGGGACGGGTATGTTTGCACTGTCTGCACGTTTGTGCGGTTTGACCCACTCTCGGATGCAGACCAATCAGATGATTGGCCTGGAGAGTGGTATCCGCCTACATGTATGTAGCATAGCTCTCTCTCTTCTTTCCCTTTCCTCAACGTTGTTATTCGTTGTTCTTCGCACCTTTTCCATTCTGGTAGATCGTAGGCACCTCATCACACACCGAGGCGGACCGTATCGCTGTCTCAACGGCCCTTCGGTAGCCTTGCTTTTGATGTTCGTCGCTGAAAAACCACTGCTTTGATAGCTCTAAATCTAGCTCCTTCCAAGTATGAGCTTATCTATGATATAATCCACAGTGGCAAACTGTCTATAACTGAGATGGCACAGGCCGCTGGTTGCTACAAGAGCACTATCTCGAGAATCTTTTTTAATATAACAATGTTTGGTAGTGTCAAAACACTACCAATTAAAGGCAAATAACCCTATAGTATCACTCCAGTCATACTCAAGGCTTTACATAACTATCTAATTAAAAAGCCTATATTATATATAGAAGATATAGTTGTTTTCTATAGGACGAATTCGCTTTTTAAATAATAAAGTTTCGTATTAGTTACTCCCTTAAGTCCAAAGGCTAGTCAAAAAAGACTACTTGGGTCAAGGCCTAAGAATATAACCTTGATCTTCCGGACAAATACTATTATTTTTTTATATTAGACTTCAAGTCTTACCACCTTGTCTATATCAATAAATCTGGATGTAATAAAAGGGTAGGCTTCTAGTAAATAGGTTAGTCCTCTCTTAGTACTATGCCGGTTCAAGTATCGAAATTCTATCGTAATCAGTGTTATTAAATTCTATCTATATATATATAAAAGACGGTATTGTTTTGTCTCGAGTGTTCTAGGATTCAACTGATATATGTATCTTTAAGGATTTTATCGAGTAGCTTCTCTAGTATTTTAGGAAATAGTCCGAGCCGAAGTCTGTGCTAGTAATGGATAATGTATCCTTTCATTACTCGGACAGAATTAAACAAATATACTTAGAAGCTAGTATAAAGCTAGTGTATTTGCCCCTGTATTATCCTAATTTAAATCCTATTGAGAAGTTTTTTGCTGAGCTCAAGGCATTTATCCAGCGGAACTAGCAATCCTACAAGAAAACCCAAGATCAAGGATTCGAACCCTTTTTAGAATGGTGTGTTAACATTGCCGGTACCAGAGGGAAGAGTAAAGAGGGACACTTCCGGCATGTAGGTCTAACCGTGGAAGAAAATTTAAAAGCTACTACAGTACTGCAGCTATATTAGATCACAAAGGCGACCGTTATCGCCTTCTTTATCAGACATACATGATTCATATTTCTAACACAAATCACATGTTACGAGATTCTCGGTCAGGTTAGCATTGTAATTATAGTATGTCTTCATATAGAGTGGTATAGAGCCGAACGCATATTAAGCCGAGTCATTTGTATGCTCGCGTATTGCCAAAGCTCCGAAACCAAACCCGGCTCCCCGCGTTGTTGTGTGAGCTTAGACACACATCTATCTATGTTATTCTCCATACATATTTCGGGGAGAGCATCGACAAGAGCCATTTTGCATTCTTTCAATCTCATGGCCATTGTACCTACTGCTTCTTCCACGCGGCGTGCTTGCGGCAAATATCGTGCCGGAAAACTTGTTTCAGTGTATCCACTACATCGCGATCTAGTGGTAGTGCGGCTTGGATGGCGCCGACGGCGCACAGGTTATGTTTGTGATCAATGAACCAAGCGAGCGTGAATCCGCCGCCCCATGTCAGAGTACGCTCTCCGTACCAGCCATGGACGTCTTGCAATGTCAACAAGCCGCCCAGTCCGTGTCCCACCTGCGTCTCTGAATCGATGCCTATGCGGAAAAGGACACCGAAGGGGCTTTTTAACGCAGCCTAATGTGATTGTTGACCAAGACAGATGTTTCAAAGCTTTCAAAATTCAACCGCAGGCGCCCGACACGATAAAATAAGAAACATTATTTCGAATCATGCCATTTAAAACCCAAAGATCCCAATAATCCCAGATGGTGATCGATATTTTTATCCAATATAAGATAGCCCCCTTTACACCAAGTGGAGTCTCTCTGATGTGAAGATAATCTATCTGTCTCTCAAGCTCTTGCTACTCCCCAAAACAGCTATGAAATTCTGATCACCAATGCTTTCTGCGCTCAATCCCGCTATTGCTGATGAGTTAGGGTTATGCGAGCCCACGAAATTAGCTGGTAGCCTGTTGAACAGCAAGATCTCCCAGTCTTGTCAAGAACAATGACAACAGCTGATAGTAGTATGTGAGGGCTTTCATACCTCTGAATTGGTAGGCATAGTTAATGCAAGGAAAAGCGAGTGATAACCTTATGTAAATACTGAAGGGGTATCCTCCGAGGGGAGTATGGGGATGGGTGAGCCTATAGAGGAACATAATGACACATTAATGTAATCCAAGGAAGAAGAAGAAGAAGAAGAGAAGAAAGCAAAGCGTCAGTTTCACCAGCCTCCATAGATATGAACACCGAGCAGAGCGCAGCTTTGAGAATATGACCAGTGGAAATACTTTGGTCATCACTGAAACGGAGGTGGGACTTAATCGACACATCATAAATACCAAAAGTAAAATTAAATCCCGAAAGCATGACCAGTCCACGGGTGAAGCGCAAATGATAAGAACAATACCAGACAACTCAGAAGACAGAAACAGCAAAACAATATCGTCGTGTCCAAACGTGATACATAACAGCATAATCTCAAAACATAAAAACGTATACTCAAGGGGTACGAGACAGCCAGCCCAAAATAAAAACTAAATATCTGAAGACAAAGAAACAAACGAAGTGAAAAAGCAAACCAAAAAAGATCATGAAACTCAGAGTTCCCATACAAAAGAGGGATACAAGTAATTGAAAGAGATTAAGGAGTCGTAGATACTTTCCTCTTCGCTGGCGATGGAACATGGCATTGACCCACCAGACACAGGTAGAAAATGTATCAGATATGAATTGGTGTAGAACTTATTCCGTCGTGAGTGGGCATTTTTAATAGTACGCTTGCTTGCTTGCTTGACATGAGCTTGACCCCATATTGGATGAAGAACCTCGGAATTGAAAGAAATATCGGAAGCCAGCAGATAAGGGCTTCCACCACGACATGGCATCATTCTTTTGCACTCTCATGAAGAGTAAATGATTAAATCAATCCGCGGTTCTGGGGTCCATCAAGGACAAAAAGCAGCAGAAGCCAGTAGGTTCGGAAAGTCCAGAGAAAATCTATCCTTGGGAGTAATCCAAGGGCTTTCACATGTGGCCAGGGAAAATTGGAAAAGGCCATATTTCCGGAATCTCAGGTGTTCGCAAACCTGACGCGGCGGCGTCGGTCGGTAATCAGTTTCTCCGTGTCAACATAAAGACGGTCGAAGAACTGCATTGCGCTAGAGTCCTTGAGGATCTTAGCAACTTGAGTTCCTGCGGAAATGAGCTGAAGCACGTTACGATCATCCTTAACGGGCCGCGAGCTATGCTTGGCAGCATGACGCATTTCCAGGGAGTTTTCAAGTACAGTAATCAGCTGCTTGATCTGACCATTGTGCAAGGTGTGCCGTGGGATACGGCGTCTGGTGGCAAGTCTCTTAAGTAGATGTACCCACTCATTCCATTCACGGTCTGAAGGAACATTAACAGGGCGCTTGTCCTGTTCCAGGGGAATTGGAAATTGGTATCTTGCGAAGAAGTCATAAGCTGACTGAGACAGACGGTCATTGACTTGGTGGAGAATTCTGTCTTGCTCTGCGGAATCAAGATTAGTGGGGAGCTGGGGCAGCTCATCCTCTCGGGTCGGGAGACTCCGAGATGAAGGTGGATCCAGGATCTGATGGGGACCATCAAATTCATCTCCACGGACAGAAGAACGACGCTGGGAGACGTATTGGGAGCTTCCTCGGTTTACATCGGCAGCGCGCCGGCTGTTTCTTTCCACGATAAAAGTTGGGCTATCCGGGGCATTAAAGAGTCCAACATCCCGTCCCAGTGGCTCACGGACAGGATGGTTCCATTCTGGATATACAGGGCCTGGAAGCATGGGTTGTCCCATTGGGGGGTAGGACAACCGCCCCATAGGCTGCTGGTTCATCATGTGGCCGTAATTTTCCAGGGGGCTTGGAGTTCCTGGATAATGTGGGCGTGGATGTTCAAATTCTACCATATGTGGACGGTTGTCCCTGTTGCTGTATGGTCGTGGTGCCGAAGGTGCCCTTTTACCACTTAGCGAGAGTAAAGAAAGAGTAGAGGTACTGGAGCTCGGGGGATGGAAAGACCACTATACATGGTATAGAAGTACCTTTGCCGGTGAATAACGGGAGAGCCTCCCGGGGGTCCATACATTGTATTCTGAGCCATGGTGCTACTGCGAAGTGTGAGCTAGATGTACCTCACGTGAGAGGGCACGAAATAAGGAATGGAGAGGCCGAGGGGACGGCAAAAATGGCATTTGTGCTGACCTGGGGCGAGACAGAATATCCAGCTTACTGCTGACCGAAATTGCTCCTGCTGGAAACCGGGTGTTTAATTGAGCTGCAGATAACGGCTGGAAGCTCGCTGGAGCAGCAATGAACGAAGAAGAAAGCGCAGGGACCATGGAGTCAAGATAAGAAAGGATGGCTAGGAATAGAAGAGTAATAGAAGACTCAATGTGGATACAAGTGATGTCCAGGGTCAAAGAAAAGTCTGGGATAGATTGAAAAATAAAAATAAAAGGGAGGGATAAGTGCTGAGACTGGAAGAAGCGCGGGGTGGTCAAGTCTCGAGTAATATATGGCAAGATAACCCGGGCGAGATCTTTGTGGTAGGTGTGCCTGACGCCTATTGCTGGACCGTGCTTCTACAACCCCCCAAGTGGATGGGAGAGCCGCGCTAGAAGCTTCATAATGGCAGTGGGGATATAAAATACTAGCAAATAATACACTGGTGGTCTGTGTGCTATTATTTGCCAGAAGCCAATTGCGTCAATCCGACAGGGAAAATCCCTGGTGCTTCTGTGCCACTTCGGTCTCTTTCCATAAGGTGATCTCGATCGATCGGCCGTCGGAACTGGTGCGTGAGCCAGGCTGATTTGACGGTGGCGTCGACGTTACGGGGCGGCTCTAGAAATTTTGGGGAGAAAGTGTATCCACATTGATGGGGACGGTTTTGGAATGCATTGTTCGGATCTTCACAAGTTCGAGGGCGTAAAGACCAACGAGAAATTGCGCCACTTTACCATGGTGAGATAATTAAACTGTGAAAGACGGCTTTGGGCAGCATGTTGGGCAGGTGGGCATGAATCCGGGTCAGGCCCTCTTTCTAGTTGGTAGATGATGACCTGAGAAGATCTGCAAGAGCAAGAAGAGAGTGTGAGCCTGACGAGTGGAGGCGAAGTACATTGCACCCCATTTCACCTGGTCAGTACGAAGTGGTTTGACCCCAGGGCCTCCTGAATTCGACGAGGTTCCGGGGCTTCCATGATTGTTCTGCATAATATGGTTATTGGGCAGTGAGAACACTTGTGGCCCAATCGGCGCATGGACCAAGTCTTCATTTATTATCTCGAGTGGACCGCGATCAACGTTCGGTTTTGTTTAATTAGTTCTGGGGCCGCTCAAAGTATAAACCGTTTTGGGGGCTTTTGCAGCCCAATAGACAGCCCAATGTCTTACATTTGCCGCAGTTACAAGCACAGAGATCGACTCCGCTGAGAGTTTATCAATTGAAGCAAACCATATCTACCCCAGCGATAGTAGGATGCGCCTCCGAACTAGATAGATCGTATAATTATCGGGTTGAATTGCAGGGTATCATCCATGAGCCGAAGCCCAGTGTTAGAAATTTTATCTTGAAACCCAAGAATCAGTGATTTTGTATATTGTCCCCATAATTATCCCTTGGCAGGTAATTTCACTCTGATGCAATGAGCGTATTCCTGGAATTCCAAGTAAGTCACCAATATTTTCTTTGACATGATGAAACCGAAACCCGAAGCGGCACAGGGGCAGAATTCGTAATCTTGGCTTACCTCACAACTCAAGCGAATGGCGTCCTCAATTCCAATGCGAGCTTCGTACCCCAGAATCTCTTTAGCCTTTTTTCCATTGGCGTATCGCACGGCACAAGCATCCTGTACACCCCCCCGGCTTAATGTTGTTGTGCCTCCAGTTACCCAGGTGGCCATCTCACACAGCCATCCCACTAAATAGGCTAGTCCTTCGGGGATTCGTATCTCAAAGGGTGGCACATGCCCAAAATGAGCCCATATTGCTAGGCAGAAATTTCGAAAAGCGATGGGCTCGTTATTTTGGATAAAAAAAGCCTCGCCCGCAGCTGTCCGAGAGGTCACCATATTTTCCACGGCCAGGACATGAGAATCAGCGATATTGCTCACATGCGTGACATCCCATAGATTATCTCCAGTGCCAATCACGAAAGGTGTTTCGTACTTGGCAATGCATGCATGTATGGCTGGTACCAGTTGGCAATCGCCTGGGCCACAAAGCACCGAGGGACGGAGGGCGCAGGTGGCCATTTTGTCGCTAGATGCATTGAGCACAAGAGCCTCCGCAGTAGCCTGGTTTTTTGTCAGATTCAATTCATCTTTCTCCAAGGCATAATTATCATTGCAATTGTGGGGTACAACCTTGGATTCGCCATAGATAAGCGAGTTAGAGGATGTGGGCCATTTTTCATCAACATTGGCGTAGGATGATCGTATGTCGTCAGTCACTACACAACAGCTGCTGGTATAGATGAAGGCTGCGGCCTCATTTTCTGTGGCTGCATCCAGCATGTTCTGGGTTCCTACAACGTTGATCCTCCACACCTCCTTCTCTAGCCGCCGACCGAACCGGTCCGGTAAACCTGGCACGATGCCAGCTGTGTGGATAACTATATTTGGTTGAACCGTCTGAAACGCCTTGCTGGTTTCAGGCGCAGAGGTCACATCGACTTGCATGCAGCGAATACCGTCGGGTAGTGCATGTTGGGGCCGAGGGGGGCTACGGTCGATGACGGTGATGGCGCACTTCGGATGCCTTTCTGCCAGGGCGCGAACAGTGGCGGAGCCAACAAACCCAGTGCCCCCGGAGATAAGTATTCTTTTCGAGGCCAAGATCTCCTCAACGCCCTTGTGATCCATGATGAGGTGTAGGGAGTACAAGCTGTTCGGATTCACGGCACGGGTAGAGTACAACCGTGGAATGTGACGACCTGCTAGCGATCGGCTGGCGCGTGACTTGGATGCGTAGGTGCAGATACACAACGTGTCTGAAGAGATCAAATAGCACTTTCAGAGGAAAGAAGAATTGACGAATATCTGGATATACTGCATTTGCTTTTTTCCCGAGTCTTTATCTATACAATGTGTCGCTCACGCGACAGCCCCACGGCCACTTCCGAGCAGAGCATAGGAAATGCAATACAGGCAAACATCTAATATACATATGCTCGACTGAGGTCAAACATCCCAAGTCACCAAATAAAGTCGAGTCTTGAAGGGGAGACTCCGCTGTGACGAACCAAACAAACTCCAAAGGTAAATGCGAAAAGAAAAACAAGACCAAGGTATCCTAGTACACGCTCTCCAGCCTAAGAACAAACATAATCTTCGAACCCAATATTACATCGGATACTAGATTTATGCCACGCGACAGAGAACCAGACCTCCAATCTTCTTCTCCACGCACTCGCGCGCCTCCAGGATACCTCGATCTGTGGAGAGGTAGAGACTCTCACCAGGCGACCGGAGACCGGCAACGTGCTTTCCTTCGTAACCACGAACAATGAGTCGCAGGTCCTCAACGTTGAGGTTGACACGACGTTTCGGTTTGCTGATCATACTAACTTTTCCGAGGACGGCCTCATTGCGCCAGTACTTCAGACCTAGCCAGAGACGTCTAGACGCGACATTGTCCCGAGTGATGGCTTCCACGCCCTCAACTTCATCACTGGCTGTTGGGAAACCCAGAATTGGGTGTGCTGGGGGAGGTGTTGGGCCTCCGCGGACGACGGAGGAGATGTAGCCGGAGTTCTGGAGAGCCTGGCACAGCTTCAGGTGAAGGTTGCTGTTGGGGATGGATGTAAGACCCAGACGGGCCTTAGTGGCATTATTCAGATGAGAGCACACATGGGCGAGGTTGACGAGAGACATTTTGGATGCTCGGAGTCGAATTGGACTTTTCGAATTCGTTGGACGGAGGAAGGTAAAAATGCGGAGGGAGCACTTGGACAACGCACGGCAACCGATGGGATTGGCTGGTGGAGAGTAGAACTCGGAATCGGGATCGAAATTAAATTAAATGAACGAAGAAATAGAGATGGACGATAGCACCTGAATTGGCAGGGCTGCAGATAATAATCGAACACGATCGGCTTCACGCTTCGGAATTGATGATGGAGTTGATCGCGATGGAAATTTTCGGGTAAACAGTACTTCCGGCCCGGACAGCAGAGTTGACCAGTTGACGGGCTATGGCCCCACTCATAGATGCACAAGTGTGATGGCCAAGTACTAACGATCCTATCACATCACGCTAACTATAAGCGCCTAGACAGACACGGCGGCTCGAGGCCGCGTTTCACAGGCTCAGCCCATCTCTACCCCTCGTTGGAGGTTTTAAAGATAGCTCCTCTTGTAAGTCTTTTATCCCACAAAAATATTCTTCTTGCCTTCACCGTCACCCCCCGCAGTCGCTGCTTCGTATCAAGACTAACGAGCAATCATGCCTCCACTCCCAGGCGAAGAAATACTGGTTACTGTGTAAGTTAAGTCAACTTGGGAGTGTTTCCCTGCAATCAGAGCGATGGGATAGCAAGAATAGAGTCTAACATGGCCTGGGCGGAATAGCTTTGTCGATATACATTACTACTTCACTGCGCCAACTCCAAAACCTCTCCATCACCGGTTTGAGAAAGGCTCCTACCTGTATATCTATCAAGATGTTTCACGAAATACTGCCCGCATTGAAGTAGCCAATAATGCAGGAACCGAGTACCAAGACTCGTTCCAAGGACTGTTAGACAACGTGCATATACAACACTCCGTCGAATTTCCAACACTATGTACAGTTACATTGGATGGGCTCACTGGTATACCGACACAAGGTGCCTCTGAATTTGACTGGAGGCTCCCAGGAAGCGACGAAAAAGATGACTGGATTCGCCTCCACACGCTCGATGTGTATTTCTGGACACTAGACGACGCAACTCAATTCCTAGACGCCGCCAGCCAGATCTTGTCAGAGCGTCAATTGGAAACAGATCGCGATATCCCCGTTGAGCATCCTGACCAACCACTCAGCTCAGTCGTCCAGCAGCTTGAAAACGTCGCTGTTTCAGACCCAGCTTATCAAAATGGCCAAACCCCAGATTCACGCACAAACCCACCACCCACCGCGCCTCAGCCCGCACAAGCTGCCCCAGTAAACCTCAGTTTCCCACCGCCACCACCCAGCGGGCCATCCACATACGAGCAACAGCAACCAACTGAGTATCAAGCCCCGCCAGAACAACCGAAAGAGCTTGAAGGCATAGCACCAATCCCTTACAATCCGGCCGCTCCGGCAGCCCCAGAACCAATCAAGCACCGCGAGAAGACACCACCCCCCGAAGATGGGACGGAAGGAACTGGCCTTGCAGCCGCAGCAGTAGCAGACATGGGCGTTCCATATACGCCACCTCATCAAGCGAATAATGTTGGGATGAGCTCGTTTGCTCCCCAACCAGCATCAACACCAGGCATGCCCTATAACACTGCTGCGGTTAACACGGGATACGCATCTCCGCCCCCAAGTGCCGGTTTACCCCGTGCGAATACTTTCTCCGTCGGCGGGGGAGTAGGAACCCCACTGCAGAGCCCTGGATTACCGTCGTATCAACAAGCTTTCCTGACGGGCCAGCAAGTACCAAGTGGGGGTATGTCGTTTTCACCATCGCCCCAGGACCCGAATGCCCATTTGTATGGACAACAGGCACAGCATCAACAGGTTCAGTCGGGTTATTCGAATTACGGTTATAATCAACCTCAGCCGGGATTGCAGCGAAGTACAACAGAATATGATATTCATAGTCAGGTTTACCGGCCAACTATGGAGGAGGTTCACTCACATGCTCATCATACTTCGAAGAAGGCTATGAAGGCGCCTGGGCAGCGGCCGCATGGAATCGAGGATAAAGCGAGTAGAGTGGAAGGCGGAGTCAATCGTTTCTTGAAGAAGTTAGAGAAGAAGCTTGGTTAGAGTATGGCGTTTTATTATTTCCTTGTATTCCTTTTAAGATTTTTGTTGCGTGTATTGTCTACTTTAGCGACCTCGTTGAGCCGCCCATTGCAACGAATGGATAAATTTGACAACGATTTTTCAAAAGCTTGAAAACCAAGTACATCTCACATGGCGTAATATTGTCGGAAGGGGTAGGAAAAAAAGCCCCGAGGGTGTAGCATTGACTTCTAGCTTACAGGAAGCGCGCACGCCCATCGTTAATAAATGACATAAAATACAATATGCTCAACCCGAAGAATGCAATCAATCGCTCAATATAACCATATGCTCTCAGTACAAGAAAATGCAACCACAATAGACATCCAGGGTACTAAAGAGTAACCAAATGCTACAAGGGAAGCCAAAGGGAATAATAGCCCGTGAGAAAAGGAGGAAAGAAGAAGAACAGGAAATCCTGACAAGGTGTGCGTCTAGGAATTGCTGGGGGAGATGCTCAAAATGAACATCCTCAATGTGAAAAAGTCGAGGGTATAAGCAGAGAAAATTAATAATAATAGAGACCAAGAATGGAAGAATGCAGAGATGGTGCTGAAAGTGAGGTGACGGTTTTAATTGAGGGCAAGGTTGACGAAATCAATGTCCTCGACCTTTTTTCCGGCCTCATTCACGGGATGTTGAGCAAGATTTGACTCCTTAGCAACATGCTCTTCTTCCGACTCAGCCAGGGCCTCGGGAGTGCCGATTTCCTTCGTGGGCTCAGAGGTTTCTTTCACTTCCTTGTTGGAAGGAGCGTCGGATGGCTGAGAAGCCACGGGATCTTCGACCAAAGCATCCTCCATTTGAGGGATAGCGATGGTCTCATTGTCATCGGTTGGATCAGCGGGTGTTTGGTAAACATCCTCGGGCGTTTCCGTTTGGATCTCAAATTCTTCTTCTCCAGTTATTTCAGTCGGAATTTCAGCAGCTTCTTCAATATCAGGCACCGGGGATACTGCTGGAGCCTCATTCGACTGTTCGAGTTCGGCAGCGCCTTCAGTGGAAGCCTGGACAGGTTCGGGAGTCTCCGTGGTCTGAGAAGGGGCCAAGGGTGCTTCCACTTCGGCAGCTGGCTTGACAGATTCAACGGGAGCTTCAACGTGGCTTTCCGCTGAGGGTTCAATAGCAGTTGGCTTAGCTTGCTCGGAGGCATCCTCGCGCTTGATGGTGTCGACAGGTTTATCACCACTGACATCGACTGCTGGCTTGACTGGAGCTTCAACTTCGGGCTCCTCTGGAATTACAGGCGTAGAGTCCTCAGTATTTTCCTTTTCACTTTCTTGCTCAACTTGGCAGACCTTGACATCCTTGCTATCCTTCTTCGGGACTGAGTCCTTGTTAGGGGCCTGGAACTTCTCAGAATGGGGCCGTAGGGTTGCGGGCTTTGCCTTAGGCTGTACGCTGCGCTCAGGTGCCCGTCCCATGGATGGACGCGGGGCCTTGGAAGTCGCAACAGGCTTTTGTGTAGGCTTGATATCCTTTTGAGGAGGTTTGGCATCCGACCGCTCGTGGGTCTTACTGGCCGAACTGGCAGTTGGGCGCATCATTCTTGCAAGGAATCCTTCGTTGACAGGCTTTGCGCTGGCCCCCACATCACTGGTACGTGAGCTGGGTCGCTCTTGCGCTGGCTGAGCGGGAAGTGAAGGCCGAGACGACTGTTTGCGTAGGCCGGCGGCAGTACCAGTAGCCCGTGAATGGCCGGCAGCGGCAGCACTCTTGAGAGAGGATGGTTTTCTTGTAAGTGTTGAAGCCGTAGTGGTAGCTCGGCCGTTGCTAGGCGCAGAAGTGCCCGTTTTAGCAGAAGATGCTTGCGTCTGCGCAGTCATAGAGGGTGGCAGACGGGCAGGTCTGGTGGGCGATCTTGGCCGAGACTTAGCGCTGTTCGGGGGCGATACTTTCGAGCTCTCTTGAGATGGTGTCGAGCCCCTGGTTGTTCGAGGAGCGGTTTTAGTTGCTGGATTCAAAGAAGGGCGACTTGGTTTAGTTGCAAGCGTACCAGCGCGCTCCTTGGCTGTCTCTCGGGCGGTCTTTGTGGTTGCCGTAGCAGGTTGTTTGGTCGCAGTCGATGTTGCGGTAGAGGGGGACTTATGCGCGGGAGTTGCTTTCGCGGTATTGATAGTCGATGGGCGCTTTGTGACTGCCTTGGTGGCCAGTTTATCGGAAGTTGCTGGGGCGCCTGACGCTCCGCGAGTGGGCGCGGGGACAGGTACGGTGGCACTCTCAGTCATCGCAGGTGGTGCTGGTGAGGTTTCCTTTGCTGGTGGTGAAGGATTGACAGCAGTGGGGGATTCTTGCTTGTCATTTTCCTTGGGCGCAACGGGCGAGGTTGCCTCCGGCTGGGTAGGCTTAAGCATCTGATCAAGGACGCCCTCTTGGCCGTCATTCAACCCCGCAGGTGTTGGGGATGCCACATTCTGCCGACGGGCTTCCACCTCTTGCTCGTTGATCTTTGGTCCAAACATTCCTGGACTATCGCTTCGTCCGCTTGTCTTTCGCAATGGCGATCCTGGGTTCGATTGGACCACACCGTCGACCGTCACAAAGCTTGCTCGAACTCTGGAAAGTTGGCGGGTTGAGCCTGGGGTATCTGAGCTGTCGGGAGATCTTCCACGAGAGGGCGGCGAAGTTACTTGGCTCGGGCTGTTCTCAAACTTGGCCAAAAGGCTGCGAACACCAGGACGGATGTTATTGTCCGCCATGACTTTAGTCGGAAGTTGTTGAAATAGTCAGGGGAAGGTGCAGTCGGAATTGAGGGGCGGTGGTGGGACGCGTCCGTAGCGCACAGAGAGACGCGGGGAGTAGGGAAAGCAATTGATTATAGCTCAACAGAGCCCCCTGCTGGGGTAGACAACAATTAACACGGTGGTTTTTTTTTAAAGGAGGGAATGGAGTCAATGGAAGAAGGGAAGACGTGAAGAAGGGTCGATCAGAGAGACTAATGCACTAGTGATTGATTAGCGTATCCAATAGGGTGAAACACCCAAGGTTACAGCAATTATACACTGTTTTTCGCTCTTTGATCATGCATTTCAGGGGCAGAATGTCTCATTCAAGGCTGTAATCTGGTATCGTTACTTATAACAATTATCCAATAAATCTATCAAAAGCTCCAATGATGTTCCAGAGGCTCCAGGTTCATTTGTCTGTGACATGATCTCATACCCGTTTCCCCTTCCACATTGCTGCTCATCTCCGTGTTTCTAGTGACACAGAACCTCGGCTAGCTACAGACTGTTCTCCTTTTCTGACTGCAGACAATATGAAAAGAACCAATGGCTTTGTCTGGTATCAGACCTGTCGTTTACCACCATGACTCCTTGCAGCAGCAAAGAGTGGAAAATCAAAACAAAACAAAGTTGGCCTGAGGCTAGCCGTGCTGCGCAGGGATCCATGGTTCGTGTTGGTCTAAAGTCTGAAGTTTACAAAGTATTTCTCTGTGCAAGATATGAGGCTACTTATATGTAGCTTATAGTATGCCATTCCCATAGTCAGTTGAAGTTAAAAAATCCAAAAAAATTAACTCTTTAAAAAACACCTTTCAGGGGCTTTCTCTCCGATTGCTCCGTGCAATGGTTTTCAATACCAAACAGTGGGGTGTATCGTCTCTACTCCACCTCTAGCCTGCAGGGTTTGTCGGCTATACGGAATACAAACAGAATATGATGGCGAATAATAGATGTAGACAGACGGCTTTTATGTCATGCAGTCATCTATGTAGTCATATCCTAAATAAAATTGCATTTTCGTCCATTTTCATCAATTTTAAGCTGTTCTGGTTGCGCGCGATGGCTTGACTAATCGTCAGTGTTATGTCAGCATTTGCACGAAGGAATACGAGCATCAACGCCCAAAAGACTTATCCGAGTCTCGCCATATTCATGTCTCGAAATGACCAAATATGGTAGGTGTACCTCGCAGCAGCGGCTGTCGCCTCTGTGTAAAACGCCGGGTGAAGGTATGTATCCCCGCCGCTCAGGACAATTTCGCCTTCATAACTTACCGAACGCCACAGTGCGATGAAAGGGTTCCAGGCTGTGCCAAGTGTGAAACATATGGTCAGCTATGTCCTGGATATGAGAAAGGCTTTAAATTTATTGCTGGAAAGCCCCATAGAACCCGACGCCGCGCTCCTGAGACAATAGAAGGACAGAGTAGCGACACAAGTCATGCATCGTCTAGCGTGAATTCAAGCCCAATTTCGAGCGCGCCTGGATCTGAACTTCAATGGGTGACCCGAGAAGAAATTCCGTCCACTATGATTTCTGTCGATCTAAACGTGCTACAAAGCATAAGTGCTCTTATCAATGATTTTACGTCTCCTGGTGCTCCGCAGAGCCCCGATATCCTTATGGCCAGCTGGTTTGGATCCCTACCATCCATTTATGGGCAGAACCGAGCATTGGATGCGACAATTAAATCGTTCACAGCACATCACTTTGGTCGAATGCTGCAAAACCAACAAATGGTTGTCTACTCCCGTTCGGCCTATGGTGAAGCATTGCACTGCCTTCGGAAGTCTCTCATGAACACATCGGAAGCCCTCTCCTCCAATATCCTTTGTACCGTTGTGTTGCTTTGCTTATATGAGGTAGGAATGGAGACCACACTTCTTGATCTGATAACCTAACACTATATTCAGCTTTTTACAGACACCGAGACTCCCGATTCGTGGATGAAGCACGCAAAAGGACTCGGCCAACTAGTGAAAGTACGGGGGTCTGATCGATACCGCAACCAGCTTGAAATCTCATTGCTAAAATCTGCCCGGGGTCTAATAGTACGTGTCAAGTTCCCATTTTTACCACCGTTGTTGCATCTTTCTGACTCGGGTAGGTTATGCATTCGATGTTCTCGGGGGAAGATTGTTTCTTGGCCTCCCAGGAATGGCATGATCTGATGCGAGAGCAACACATAACGACCATGTCGAAGGACTACCACGACAGTATTGAGCAGTACTTTGCTTACTTCACCCACTCTCCACGGATTGTACACAATCTTTTCCGCCTGAGAGAAATGGATCACACAATGCCAGAGACACTACAAGAGATATCCGAAGCTCTAACGCAGGTACTAGACATGCAAAGTAAAATGGCTGTCTGGTATGAAAAATGGTCTCAAATATCTTCTCCTCCAATTGAGATCCCTTCCTTCACTGGCGACGCTTTATTCCCGATGATTTTAACATATAAAGATGTGCTTGACGCCTCGGTATATTGCGGCTACTTTGCTTATATGGTAATTATCCATGAAGCATTGAGGAGTTTCGGGTATCCAGGTCCCCAAGAGGCTATGGTGACTTTCTTCCGCGATCAAATATGCAAGTCAATCGAGTACGCCGCAATTGGAACTCTGGGTCCTTTTCGTATCGGATTTGCTATGCGGGTTGCAATCGAGACGGCAGACCCATTAATACGATCATGGCTTTTAAGTCACCTGCAAGAGTTTTCAAAGACCTATGCTGCTGCCAAACCAGAGAACTATGGACCAATCCTATGAAGGACCGAAACATCAAAATAGCAAAATTTTCTTTGTGATCTGGGAGGCACATAGAATAAGAATGATATAGAATCTCGCTGAGTATCTTCTGTAACATTGGGACTCCTTAGAGCATGTCACGCGGGAAATAGCGAATTGAATCAAGGAATCCCATGCGGATGAGGATCCCCGCCCTCGACCCCATAACGGAGCGGGGTGTCCGTTGAACGACAGCTGCGGGGCCTTCGAGTCGGGGAAAAGATCCAGAGACAGGACAATAAGTATAATCCAACCAATATTTATATTTTTCCTTTTCTGCAAACTCCCCAAGCATACGAAATATACGAAGCTTGGAACTATCTAACATATACGATTTTGGCTATTAAATCGGCATAATGACTGTATGTTTTCTCGTGCCTCACTCTTGTACAACCTCTGATGTTGGGACTATCAACAGGAAACAAACCGCTCCTTCGTCTTGCGTGCTGTTAAAGATGTGGTACTCGAGGACCGTCCAGTTCCCACGCTAAGAGATCCTTGGGATGTTCGAGTGCACATTGCGCAGACTGGTATCTGCGGGAGTGACGTGCACTACTGGCAGCGAGGGCGGATCGGAGGTAAATGAACCCAAAGCAATCGCAATCACTATATGGCAAAGTTAGGTATGGCTGACGACTAGTCAACAGATTTTGTCTTAAATTCTCCCATCGTTCTGGGGCACGAAAGCTCCGGTACTGTTGTTGAAGTTGGCTCCGCCGTGAAGAATGTCAAAGTGGGCGACCGAGTCGCTATCGAACCTGGAGTGCCATGCAGACAGTATGTGTTTCCTCTCTTCGATTATGTACACACATTAGACGGTGGCTCACTTCACATAGCTGCGATTTCTGTCGTAGTGGTTCCTACAATCTTTGCCCGGACACAGTTTTCGCCGCAACTCCCCCTCACGATGGCACGCTCTCAAAGTATTACAACACACAGGCGGACTACTGTTACCCGCTACCGGAAAACATGAACATGGAAGAAGGTGCACTTGTGGAGCCGGTCGCTGTTGCCGTGCAGATCACCAAGGTCGGCAAAGTGAAGCCAAATCAGACAGTCGTGGTATTTGGCTGCGGGCCCATTGGACTTCTTTGCCAGGCCGTAAGCAAGGCATATTCTGCGAAGAAAGTGATTGGGGTAGACATCAGCCAGTCGCGCGCAGACTTTGCGCGCACGTTTGGTGCGGATGATGTCTTTGTTCCTCCAGCTCGACCTGAAGGCAAAGATGAAATCGCGTGGAACGAAGAAGTCGCAAATATTATGAAGGAAAAGTTCAATTTAGGCGAGGGCCCCGACGTTGTTCTGGAGGCCACTGGAGCGCAGGCATGCATACAAACTGGAGTATATTTGACCAAAAAGGGGGGCACATATGTGCAAGCCGGCATGGGTCGAGAAGTGAGTCCAGCCGATGAATATCAATTCAATGTTTAAGCTAACGAAGGTACATTAGCATGTTGTTTTCCCCATCACTACTGCTTGTATTCGCGATCTGCACATTCGAGGGTCCATTCGGTATACGACTGGCTGTTACTCTACGGCCGTGGACTTGATCGGTTCAGGGAAGATTGATGCGAAACGACTTATCACTAACCGATTCAAGTTTGAAGATGCCGAAGAAGCATTTGAACTTGTAAGACAAGGAAAAGAGAGCGTTATCAAGGTGATTATTCAGGGTGTTTCAGTATAGAGTCGGCGGCATTGTTCTTCTGGAATAGACTGAGTGAAAATCGACTCCGGGTAAATAACAAATCTAAATTCTCAAATATCTATCTGTAGTTTTTCACTCATAACATTTTCACATTTTTTTGACGATAACTTGAATGGGATGCGATTGAGGGGACATATGGACTCGAATAGGCAAGTGATATGTTCCGATAATGAAGGAGCTGTCCACGCTGTATGCTCACTGCTTGTGGGTATAGAAGCTGTATGAGCCCGAAATCTCAGGTGTCATTTTGTCGGACGAGTTCGCCCGGCTATCGGAGCTTCTCCGCAAATTGCCCCAACGCGGGCACCACTCAGCTCCGTCTTCTGAAACGCAGCCCAAGCAGGCCCGAGACCCTTTATACCCCAGCATAATAATCCCCTATGCCGACTGAGTCGTCTCCACGGTCCTTGGCTAGTGGGTTGTACGAGAATGACATTGGCGCTACTGCCGAACAGGCATGCAATGAATGTCGTCGCAGGAAGTCTAAAGTAAGTATCAAGATTTGCCCAGTGAGCTTCTGCTGACATGAGCACAGTGTAATCGCATGATTCCAGTATGCACTTTATGTCACAAGTTTGGGCGGCGATGCACCTACGAAAGACAGACGAAAACACCGCTCACTCGGCGCCACCTTAACGAGGTTGAGAGTGAACTAGCACGTACTAAGGCGCTGCTTCAGCAGCTTATGACAAACCGGAAAAACCATGCAAATGTGGAATTTCATACGGTGGTTGAAGATTTGAGTGAAGTGTCCCATTCTGAAGGTGTTGCTGGATTCCAGCCGTTGAGCGACCCAAGCGACCGGCAACCTAGACGTCTGGCGAGTCCCGGGGTCCATTCTCGACATTCAACCCAACACATGGCACTCGAAGAAGCTCGTAGCCATCAATATCAATCTTCTGTGTATGAGAATGAGCCGCAGACAATACCATCTTTACCACTGAAGCCCAACTCTTCTCCTAGCAACTTTGAATGGGATGAAAGAAATGAGAACGCGAACGGTGAAAGATTCATCGATGGCATGGCAAGTTTGACAAGTGCGCCCCATGAAGGGGGCTACCTAGGTTCGTATATTTTCCGTTATCTTCGATCTCAATCATCATACTGATATTGATTCAGGTGTTGCATCGGGTGCTGCTTTATTGCGTGCTACTGATACCGGAATCCATGGAACAAACGAGTTTCCATATTTAGAGCAACGTTCACCTGCTTCAAACCATCGAAGCCCGAGGATTCAATTTGCACTGAGCTCACTGGGCCAGCTAGAGCCATTTGTGGATGCTTACTTTTCTGTTTATCATCGTTCATACCCGATCATACATGAAGCAACCTTCAGAGCTCAGCTTATGGAGGTGATTCCCCGGCCAGCTGGAAATGCTTGGCAAGTCCTGTTATTCATAGTGTCTGCCGTGGGAGTATGGACAACAGCAACGAATCCAATCGATATTGATCTTCAGTTGTTTGAGTCTGCAAAAGCACGTATTTCTATTGACATGCTGGAGACTGGAAACCTCGTCCTGGTACAAGCACTGACGTTGTTTTCGAATTATATGCAAAAAAGAAATAAGCCAAACTCCGGATACAACTACACAGGTCTGGCGCGTCGCATTGCGATGGGTATCGGTCTGCATAAAGAATTCCCAAACTCCGAAGCTAGTCTGTTTGCGACCGAGATGAGGCGAAGAATTTGGCATTGCCTGTACATATTTGACGTCGGTGCAATTATTACCTTCTCGAGACCACTTGATTTTCCAAATGGTGGTATTGATGTGGCACTTCCAATGAATGTCCATGATCCGGTCAGTATCAAACAAACTCGAACTCTACAATCTACTAATTCCAGGCTTAGGATTTCACGCAAGCAACCAAAGCCCTCCCTATGCCAGCGGGTGAAACAACCGTGTATACCCATATGCGAGCCCAAGCTACTTTCCATATGGCGACTAGTACGGTTTACTCCAAGATAATATCGTCCCCCTTTCCCTCAGCATCAAATTTACTAGCTATGGACGACGAGCTCATTGGAGGTTGGCTCCGCGAGATTCCTGATTTCTTTCAAGAATCTGTCACTCAAGAGCCCAGGTTTCGCTTATGTCACTCGATCTTACGATGGAGATATAGGAACTTTCGCATTCTCATGTACCGACCGTTACTACTTAGCAGATTGATGGCACGCCCAGGTCAGGGAGCCGGACAGGAAAACCTCGCTCAAACTGATATAGCCATTCAGCGATGCTTGGACGCAGCCGGTGAGTCGGTGGAGCTAATATCAAATTTCTGGGCACAAGAGCAGCAGAATATGATGGCTTGCTGGTATGGGCTGTACTTCTTATTCCAAGCAATCCTGATTCCTGTCATCTGCCTTCGCAACGATCCCCAGGGCCCGCTAGCACCAGAATGGCGTGAACAGATTCATCAGGCTATGCTGGTTCTTGAATCTATGGCGCTCCTTAACCCCACTGCTTTCAGATGTCTATCAGTCATTCGCAACCGATGCGGGACCTACCTCGATACTTCAGTAGAGGGATGGGGCAACCCGACCGAAGAGTCACCACAGACACAATTAGCGAACCTTTATCCACTGATGTGGCCAACTCTAGAAATGGCTCAGCTTGATGGAATGGATTCTGTTTTGTAAGGGCCCTCCAAAAGTGACTCATGAGGCGTACTAACTTCCTACAGGCAAGAGTCTACGATTTTGGACTTTATGAATCAACTTCCAGACATGGAATGATTATTACTCTGAATTCGGATAAAAATACTATAATGATCTATGAGTTTTTGTACTATTCACGAGCATAAGATGCTATTCACATCTAGCTAATTGAGTCTAAGTAAGCTGTGGGCTCATCCTAGCTTACGGTAGAGTGTAACCACCATCAATAATCAAATCCGCGCCAGTCATGTAGCTGGATGCGTCTGAAGCACAGAAGACATAAGCCTGTAATTTTTGTTAAATAAAGACGTGATATATTCATTTGGGAATTACTTACGCCTTTCAGCTCGTATGCCTGGGCCATCCGCCGACCTGGAATCATATCGTTCCATTTATTGCGCCATTCCTCGGGGTGAATATCGAGAATCTCTGTTGCGATAAAGCCCGGGGAGATGCAATTGACACGACAAAAGTCTACCCATTCCACAGCAAGACACTTTGCCATCTGTACGACACCAGCTTTGGATGCATTATACTTTTTTCAAGTTAATTATGTCTTCATTATCTAATTGACAACGGGGATAAACTCACAGCAGCCTGCTTCTGAGGAATATTAACCAATGTTGCGCTCACAGAAGCTGTGAAGATGATGTTCCCATGACCCTGCTCTTTAAAGATCCGCGCCGCAGCTTGGGCGGAATAAAAAGCTCCATCGAGGTTGACTTTCATGATCTCACTCCATTGACCGGGTGTATAATCTTCGGCGGCGACACAACTTGCAATACCTGAGTTTGCAACCAAAATGTCAAGCTTTCCAAAATCTTTCGAGATTTGCTGAATCACGCTCTCGATCTGAGACTGGTTTGTGACGTCAGCCTGGTACGCGGCTGCTCGAACGTTGTTTGCCGATGCGATTTCGGCCGCGGTGGCATCGGCCGTCTGGGATGAGTTGTAGATCACAGCCACCTGGATAAGAGTCAGAAAATTGAAGTCGACAGAATGGATCCTGTCCATACATTTGCACCAGCTTCTGCCAATCCTCGAGTAACTTCAAGGCCAATTCCACGAGCGCCACCTGTAATCACAGCGACTTTGCCCGTCAGGTCAAATGCCCTGGTGACATGCTTGTTCTCGGGTTGCGAAAGGACCATTTTGATTATGAATGGGATAGTATGATCAAGTTCAGATGTACTCGTATCTCCAGTTAGTCTATTATATGAAATATGTGTCCAGTTTCGATCAAAACGATTAAAAATGTCACACCCCGCATTCATGTTGATTCAAGCGGACGACTGGGGCCGGCCACGGCCCCATTTGTCCGTAACTCAGTTTCGACCTTCACAATTTGTCCGAATCCTGTTCTAGGGCCACTCCTTAGAAGAGCATCAGGAATCGTGGCCTGACTTTCCTTCCTCCGGGAGCGGGGTAATCTAATTGCCACTTATTGCAAGGCGAAGAAGTGTCCTCCGCTCTACGATATCCTCGATAACTAGTATAGGCTTTTACGCGAAGGCAAGATTAATACGATATTAGGCAATGAAATACACCACGATGGTTTTCTCATATGGTTTAAATTTTTGAGAAGTGGATCGATCTTCAAACAATAAATAATTAAATAAACCACAATAAACACCACAATCTCAAATCACTGAATCTCCTCTTACGCGACATGCTCAGCATGTTCAGCTTTCTCAACCGTATCATGGTCCTTGCCGAAAACATTTCCACTGGTGGCAAATGAGGGACCGTCGAATACTTGAGCAATCTCCTCGAGCGAGTGACCCTTTGTTTCGGGAAATGCAAACCAAGTTACCACCAATACCACAACATCAAAACAACAGAAAAAGATATAGTAATGCCACCCGATGCTACCAAGTGCAATCGGGTTGACGAACGCCAATATAATTAGTGAGCCGTACACGCTTAGAAGCTCAACAGTTAACCCCTTACTTCGCAAAGAGTAGGGGAAAATCTCGGTTGGGTAGCCCAATAGTAATGGCGTATAGGCGATATCGTAATGAAAATAGAAGATGAAAACAAATGCAATCACCGTATTACCGAGAGGTTTGGCTTGCGTAGTATTGAAGACTGCCGAGCAGGCAGTCCAAACTATGAAGGAGAAAAGCATTCCCACAGCCGACCAGAGAAACAGAGTGCGGCGACCCAATCGGTCAACTAGCATAGCGGCACTGCCAGCTGCAATGAAGTTGAAAATTTGCAGCAACCCGTTGATTAGTGTCTGTGTACTCGAATCTGTAATGCCGACTGTGTCGAGAACGAGGCTGAGATAGTATGACACGACTGCTACTCCCTGTTTTATAACGTTATTTCCCATATATATATAGGTAAATGTGTCTTTCTGCGGCTTACATTCCACTGAGCAAAGGCGCCGACGCAGACTGCAATAAATGTTCTCTTGCGGTTGCCAGGTGTCTTTACTAAAGTTGTCCATTTTGTCTCGGCAGCCTGGCTCTCCATCGCGATAGTGTGCCCGATCTCAGCCATTTCAAATTGAATCAAAGGATGCGAAGTATCACCAGCGGTATGGAATCGAGCAAGAAGTTCTTCGGCTTTTTGGGGTTGCCCATTGGCAATCAGCCATCCATGTGGTTGTTAGCACTAGAACGACTAAAACTAGTAGAAGACTAACCGTGGTGATTCAGGCACAGCCCACCAGAACATGACCTGAATAATTGGAAATCCAGCTTGAAGTATTGATGGAGCTCTCCAGCTCCAATTGGACTGACTGAAATGTATCTGAGTTCCATAAGAGGCCCATGATGCCAGGATGGCTCCAAGATAGTACACAGTCCAGAAAGCGCTGGTATACTTACCACGATGAGTGGGATACGCCAGCTCAGTGATCAACATTGGTGATGGCTGCACGACCAGCATGGAACCGATACCAACTAACACGCGTGAAAACACAAACATTCCATATTGAACCGAAGCTGCTTGGATTATTGAGGCCACGATTATCACGATCGCACCCGAAAGTAAAGTCAGGCGTCGTCCGATTCTGTCCGATAGAATACCAACGAAGGGCAGTGAGATGACGCTTCCAATAGATTGAGCGGCATTTACGACTCCTAGGACTGAGCCAGTGGGATTGCCGAAATATTCTTTCCATTCATCAATGGATTGGAGAGCATTCATAAGAGAGCCTGTCAGAAGGTAGAGAATCAGAGCCTTTCAAAGGAATATAAAGACATTTTTTAGGCTTACCATCATAGCCAGCGACTGATGAAGATAGCAGCGGAATGAGCAGAATGAGGTTCAGCTGTAGCAGATGAGGCACGCGGAACCAAGGGCGATCATACTGAGGAAGGACGGAAGCCAAGGCCTCACCAACGATGTCTTGATCTTTCATGATTTAAAATAAGGCAAAATGACAATTGAAAAAAAAGGGAATTCATTACGTTGGCACCGTAATATATGGGCTGTCTCATCATGGATAGGGGGACACTCGCCGGTATGACAGTTAACAGGCTTTCCTTTCAAAGCCGAGACTTAAACTCTAATTTGCTGGTTCCCCATGGGGTTCCCCGCAACAATGACTGCATGTCATTGCATGACTAACCAACCATGCCGGACTGACTCCTCCGTTGCAACGGACGATGATGTCCGTTTGCCTTGAAACAAGTAACTCATCTATAGATTCTCTGGCATTCCTCTGGAAGCTACATAGGGTAAGGTACTCTCTCCCACGATGCGGACATATGCATCCGTAGCTCGGAGATGATCCGAGTCATCCTTAACATGTTTTTTTTTCTCTCGTCGGATTGCTATATGAAACACGCATGATTCCACATTCGTGAAAAAAGAAACTCAACAAAAGAGACGCGTCGATTTATTCATTGAATTTTCATTCCGAAATAATTCTCGCTACATACTCAGCAATGACAGGTCAACAGAGCATTCGACGGCCCAACCCGACACTTTCGGACAGTGTCTTCAAAATGTTCAGCCTGCATGGAAAAGTCGCCATTATCACTGGTGGCACAGGCGGGATCGGTTACAATGTTGCCCGTGGCCTGGCTGAAGCCGGGGCCGATATTGCTCTGTGGTATCATAAGTCTACTCAGGCAGATGCTTTGGCCAGCGCGCTTCAAAAAGACTTCGGCATCAGGGCGAAGGCGTACAAATGCTCTGTGCAGAATTTCGATGAGGTATTTCATCTTCTTCGGGAGATTAGTAGTCACGACGCTCATTATCCCCTTCTTCATAGGTTCAAACGACAGCCGACGCTGTGATCCGCGACTTCGGCCGATTGGATATTATGATTGCAAATGCGGGTATCCCATCCAAGGCTGGTGGCCTAGATGACAAAGTGGAAGACTGGCAACGAGTGGTTGATATAGACTTCTCTGGGGCGTATTACTGCGCTCGCGTTGCCGGCACAGTATTTAAGAAGCAAGGTTCAGGTAATATGATCTTCACGGCATCCATGTCCGGCCATGCAGCAAATGTCCCCCAAGAGCAGGTAAGTCGCGACCGATATCAACCTTTATTTTAGAGTATGAGCTATGTTAATCATTTTTAAGGCTTGCTATAATGCTTGTAAGGCGGGCGTGATTCACCTAGCCAAATCTCTCGCCGTAGAATGGGCCAGTTTCGCACGTGTGAACTGTGTTAGTCCTGGCTACATCGACACTCCAATTAGTGGAGACTGTTCTTTTGAGATGAAGGAAGAGTGGTATGGCCTAACACCTCTCAAGAGAGATGCTGATCCTCGCGAGTTGAAAGGCGTTTATCTATATCTTGCCAGTGATGCCAGCACATACACAACTGGTGCCGACATTGTAGTTGACGGAGGCTACACCTGTCGATAAAAATTCATTTGCAATCATATTATTCACTATCAATTCTGGTAATTTCTTCGAATTTGAATACATATTATGAAATCTTTCTCCTGAAACTTGAACGCAACTCGTAAAGTCAATGTATGCCTATCATCTTCAAGTTCTAGAGTATATTCTGATTTCCGAGTGAGAAAAAAGCTAGGATCACACGACACATACTATCATAGATTGCCTTCTTCTAGTACGGATCAAGTGCGCAGTACTAGTAAGGGTTCTCATATACATATCCATATTTAAACGCTAGTATTATGTCCAGTGTAGAGAGGGCACATAATTTGCAAGAATATCATCCCACTTGTCCGAGCCCATTAACAAAACATTCGGCACATCCCTCTCCACATACTGCAAGTAGTTAGATTCTTTTTTATTATCAAGACCTTGGAGAGAGGGAAACCTACATCACGATATTTACCCTCCATGCGCATCCTTAAAAAGCATTTGAATTGCATCTTCTCTTGTAGGCAAAATTCATAAAGCCCATTTTGAGGAAGCTTTGAGAGAACCTGTTCCAATATATCACGAACGATAGCCCATCCATCATGCTTTTGCAAATTCAAAGCATCTAAGAGGTACCCAACATGGTTCTGCAATAACGAATGGTGCACCTTCCCCCACACATCCTTCATATTCTCCGTCACCACTGCCCAGTCGGGGAACATGGCGTCAAAGCTCACGCCCTGTTGGCGAAGCGTCGGCGTGTGCAAGCGAATCCCGCCAAAGTCACGCACGGCAAACCCTTTGATGTTACCTGTCTCTCGACATATTCTTGCAACCATGTTTTGTCCGTGAGCTTCAAGGCCAATTCCATGATTCACCAAAGGAGGGAGAACCAGATTCAGGAGACACTCTACGTATCTTTCGACTCAAGTCAGTCATATTTCCTCTGGAATGATTGTATTCGTCTTCTTACCTTCTGAACCATTCTTGTTTTTGGGTGATAGTTTGTAAATTGAATAGAGACTCTGCGTAAGGCTGCGATGTACCAGGCAACTGTTGCGTTAATGCCGCCCCTAAGATGAGGACCTCGTTTTCCCTGTCGGCTCGCTCTTCTAGACTATCTCGCAGAATACACGAGAGATGTTTTGCATCATCAAAGTTTGACTGGCTACCTGTAGCAGCTGCTAGCTCACTGAATATCCACAAATCAGACGGGATGAACCGTTCCATTATCTCTGTCACAATGGGACCACCCTGCGCAGACCAAGGTGTGATTGTACGGAGTGCCGAGGTGATTTGACAAGCGAGGGAAAGCTTCATGTGGAATCGGAAATTCAGTTCCGGTCGAATAGTCAGAGTCCGTAGAGAAGCTTGGGCGTCAGCACAGTCAACTACTGATTTCAGGAGATTAGCGTTAGGGAAGCGCTGTAGCACGGAGGGCAACTGTTGGGTCAGACATGGCATGGTTATGGAGCCTTCTGGAGCTTTTGGAACATCAAGCTTGTCAAGCATTGGTTGTAGTAATCGTTCGAATGGACCAACTAGGTGCAGATCACTGGATGGGAGGCATAAGAATGAAATTCCAGGGGTTAACATTCCAGGGATGTCCTCTGGACTGACGGGTTTGAGAGGTGCCTTTGCATCACAGGTACGATGAAACTATATTCTTTTGTCAGAAATGAATATAGGCTAAATTCACGTCCACGGGAATACATACTGGGTGAGTCGGATGTCCACAGATCATCGTTCGCTCCCAAGCAATAGATGGATCTTGCAAGTTCAATACTTTCTGACTTGCCGCGATCTTAAACCATGTTTCTGATTCTCTTAGCGGCGAACGAAACGCAATAATTCAGGAAGATCTAACCTTGATTTGTCCCAGAATTCTGCAAATGTCGTGAAATTTCCTCCAGGACCTGTTGGCCAGCCATATCCTCAAACCATGGAATTATGGCCGTGAATATATCTCCGGGGTCTGACATTTCACGTCTAATTCCGTCGTTCATTGCAATGACGGGAGGGCACAGCATGCTCGGCTGTATTACCGGAAGCACCTCACCATCACGATCTTCGATCAGCGCTCCGGGCGTCGCTTGCACCACAATACTACTACCTTCTGCCCTCGGGTTCTCATTTTTTTGCAGATGTAAAAATTTATGCGGTTCATTCTTCACGCCCTCAATAAATGCGTCGACTAACCCTTCATTAATCAAGGCAGCCAGTAGACGTTTTGTTGTTTCGAAGCTCGGTGGCTCTAGTGGTGGTTTAACAGCCATATTTAAGGGTTCGAGTAATTTCAACGCTCTTTTGGAATTTCTCTTGGGAAATTTTTATAGGGAATTTGGCTCTTACATACGAATCTTCGGTGAAGGAAAGCTTTAATCCACACAGAGGAAAGATATTATTCATGGATGGGAACTGGCGCAATTTCTGGTGGATGCATCACAATTACTATGTCACGGTGCAGCTAACCTATCCGACAAGACGAGGGCGGAACCCTTCCTCAGTTGAATTGATGGACATATCACAACCCATCAAGTGGGGGGTAGAGATCTCAGCTGAGAGGTGGAACGATCGACATTGGAATTAGCCGCATGTGCTTACCTTGCAGATTGACTCGTCCGAATTGTGCAGAATCAGGCCGTTCGACTTTTATAGACCCACGTGCAGACATTTCTGGTCTTTAAGAAACCATCATGAAAGAAGCTATTTATGATGACCTGTTTTTATCTACAAACTTATTGATTTTCTTTTAATGATAAAATTCGACAACATGAGAGAACCGGTGGGGATTACCTCTTATGTCCCAGACCGTGTCAAATATGAGAACCAGCAATCATCATTCAAGAGAAAAGTTCCAGAATCTCCTTCCTGACAAGTTCCCTACTTAAAATTCTATGGTGACGGTATGGGATATCGACAGTATTTTCCTGGATGAGCGTGGGCTCGTGAATGATGAAAGACACCGTTTCAGATTAAAAAGAGCATCTAGAATAACTGAACAACTTGAATACATGGATTAGATGAATACAGATGGATACAGATGGGTATATATTGGAAGACCAGGACCCGTAAACGTGACTCAGATCCCCGTACTTCATTATCCCTCAAGCCTGCCCCATACCATCATGATCGGACAGAATTAGTCTTGCCTTAGTATCAGTCTTCCAAATAGGCTCAGCAAAAGCGCGCGCTGTTAATAACAAAATGACAACAATGACCTCCATAACCAAGCCCATCCCTGCCAAAACACCAACATCACCCGAAGCTAGGTTGAATCTTGCAGGCCCAACCTCCTGTAACAAGAAATATATCACTCTTACCAGCAAAAATGGAAGAGCAAGCATTATCAGCAAGACGCCACGATGGCCTTCCATTGGGAGAGTTGAACGAGATTTCGCTGCCAGCCAAAGAACAAGACCGCATACGAATGCAAAAGTCACAACGAGAAGTACTGATCCCGCTTCTTCAAGTGCTTTGATCTTTATGATTTTTCCAACGACGCCTAAGACGATAGACACAACAATAGGGAAGCGGAAACCAAGCAATGCAAAACGCAATGCTTTGGGGTATTTTGACTTCCCGGGGCCGAATTCGCCAGCTTGTCCACTGTCGTGTGCATAAATGTTAGAACTTTAATGTGTTCATTTTTTTATTCCGGTGGAAAGGAAAGGTCATACCATCTTAGAAGCACAAGACTAACTTCGAAGAAAAGAGGTGAAAGTCCCACGCTCTGTAAGGAAATCTCCGCGGTGAGCATCGACTCGTCGGGGTGGGAGTTGGAGAGAAGCATGGCTGATCCCACGATGCGAACTATGATCGGAGTTTTTTTAGCTTTCCAAAGTGTCACTCGGTATTAGGATATAAGACTTGATTTACTTATGGATAGCAACCCAATCATACTCCACCACGAGTAGAGGATGCAGCGTGCAGGACTTTGCCTTTTGTTGTGGTGCCAATACCGCCATTCTTGCGTATATCTCATAGGCAACTGAATCAATTGAATCACAGAGAAAAGAACAATCTGGGCGATTGCAAGATTATGTTGCCTATTTGAGATTGAGATGCTGGTCTCACGAGGAAATATGTTCAAGCCCATCATGATCAAGGGAGCACTTGTGTGAAGGTTGGTGATCTGCTTATATTGTTCTTGGAAGAAGAAGAATGATGGAAATCCGAGTCGTCGGTAGCACGAATCCGGAACTTCATTCTCTTTAAATATCTCACCAAGAGTATATCCCATCTGGTTCTCGTTACTCTTTTGTTGTATGTACTCCACATGTGCATGCCAATACATACTTCTTTTCACTATGTGGATCGACACATCGCGGGTACTGACCACTTTGGGTTTAGCGTGGGCGTTTCACTGGCTCAAACTTTGAAAATGAATGGATCAATGTCCATAAAGGGCTTGAAACAACGAGCAAAATAAACTAAGGAATTAGGTAAAAAGATTGAGTTCAATCGAAAAACGACCAAAAAAGTTTCCAGAATACAAGCTCGCGACAATAGTCCCTTTTTGGCAATGCTCATGGATATCGTCTTAAGGTTTTAGCTCTAAAATGGCGGTGCACAGAGTACAAGACTATCCGTTTGTCTCTGTTTAGGCTCTACTTATTTGGTAGCCTGGAAGCTCGCCACTTTTTTGTTATCGGAATTCATTGTCTCCATTTCACATAGCCCGGACTGTCATGTTCACTGGGATGGCGTTATACTCCGCACCCCGGAGTGTCCGCGGACAAATGATCATCCGGAGCCGCATACAAAAAGAAAAAGCTCCGATGACGGCGAATGCTTGAGTCAAGAAGCAACTCTGAATAAATCACCATGGCTGCTGCTGCTCGGACTCTTCGCATTGGTACGTGGAAGAATCGCGAGGGCGCTCATAGTGGATGTTCAATTGAAGCTAATCTGTCACTGTATAGGTCTCATCCCCGGTGACGGTATCGGACGGGAGGTCATCCCGGTACGTAGTTCTCACACCAGCACGACAAAAACAGAACCAATTCACTAACCAGTGCCTCAATTGATGGGAAACAGGCCGGTCGTCGTATCCTGGAGTCTCTCCCTTCGTCTCTGAACTTGAAGTTCAGCTTCGTCGACCTGGAAGCTGGTTACGACACCTTCCAGCGTACCGGTACCGCCCTTCCCGACAAGACTGTCGACACCCTCAAGAAGGAGTGTGACGGTGCTCTCTTCGGTGCTGTCAGGTGAGCCGCTTCACCCCATCCACTCATACCCTTACGACTACATGCCACCTTAATGTCCAATCCCACTGACAACTTTCCAGCTCCCCCTCTACCAAGGTCGCCGGCTACTCCTCCCCCATCGTCGCTTTGCGCAAGAAGCTCGACCTGTATGCCAATGTCCGCCCCGTCAAGACCACCGCCGGCAGCAGCAACGGCAAGCCCATTGACCTCGTCATCGTCCGCGAGAACACGGAGGACCTCTACGTGAAGGAGGAGCAGACCAAGGATACCCCCGAGGGTAAGGTCGCTGAGGCTATCAAACGTATCTCCGAGCGTGCCTCATACCGCATCTCCAACATCGCCGGTGAGATCGCCCTGCGCCGCCAGAACATCCGCTCCACTGCGCCTGTTGCCTCCGGCCACACCCAGCCCATGGTGACAATCACCCACAAATCCAACGTGCTCTCCCAGACAGACGGTCTGTTCCGTGAGACAGCCCGCCGCGCCCTCGCTGCTGAGAAGTTCTCTTCTATCAACGTCGAGGAGCAGATTGTTGACTCTATGGTCTACAAGCTCTTCCGCCAGCCAGAGTACTACGATGTCATTGTTGCTCCTAACCTGTACGGTGACATTCTGTCTGATGGCGCTGCTGCCCTTGTTGGTAGCTTGGGTCTCGTCCCTAGTGCCAATGTCGGTGATGGCTTCGCTATTGGTGAGCCTTGCCATGGCTCTGCTCCTGATATCGAGGGCAAGGGTATTGCCAACCCCATTGCTACTCTGCGTAGTGTTGCGCTCATGCTGGAGTTCCTTGGCGAGGAAGGTGCTGCTGCTAAGATCTACGCCGCTGTTGACGGTAACCTGGATGAGGCTCGTTTCCTTTCCCCTGATATGGGTGGTAACGCTACTACCAACCAGGTTCTTGATGATGTGCTGAAGCGTCTGTAAGAATCCTCATGTATATAACTTTTCGTGTGGGTAGGAGTTGAAAAAAGATAAGATCTGTTCGTGTCTGCATGAATACTTTATTTGATACCAACATGTGTTGTCCATAGCTGTGGGCATAGAATACGACCACCTGATAGCTGTGTTCCAAGAAAGGGAACACTACAGGATTGAATGTGATTTGAAAAGTAGACCAAGCTCATCGGGTGTCTGTCTGGCCTCGTGACGAAAATAACTAAGCAAGCACAATTGTAATCCTCAGAGCTCCAACGCGAAAGAAGCGATATTTGAAAGATCGGATTATACTAGTATCAGGTATTCCCGAATCTCAAAAGGCATGTCTCACAACCACCCTCATTATTTGCATTCCCGTCTATACAACTGCTGCAGCTCCGACTGAGCCTCCGAAAATCGACGCTAAATAAATTTTAAGACTCTGACCAGGGCCACAGCCTCTCAATTTATCCCCAGCCTACATTAGCCATCCACGCATCGTCCTCTTCCACTGCTCAGTGTCCTCCTTCAGCTCACCCTCAAAATTACTAGCCTCGGCCTCGTTAAGGTCGAGCGAGAACAACACAACCAAAAATATTTGCCCAGTTAACTTGTCTTTCAGGGTATATCTGAGCTCGTGGGTCTCACTGTCCACCAAGTGGTGGACAGGCCATGGGTACCCGGGCAAGTTCAGACAAAGGTCTATACAAGAAACGGTATTTTCAGCTAATAAGCCCCGATGAAGAGGGCCAAGTAATCGCAAAGATCAGCAAAGAAATGTGTGGCTTACCAGTGACGTTCAAATAAGCATTCGAAAAGTCAGCACAGTACTGGACGCCTCTGAAAAAGCAGAACCTTTCCCGATTCTCTTGGTTCTGGAAATGCGCACGGCGATCCTTTGCTGTGCCTGGTATACCATGCCTCTTGAAAATCTCCTGGCCGCCTCTGGTATCGAACCCTTCTAAGACGATGTCGTGGTGGTGTAGTCTGCAGTTCTCAGGTGGATCTTCGAAGCTGATGCGAAATTGGGAAGCGCTTGCGAGAACAGGGCTGAAGATTGAAGGGGTGTCACTATATGCATCGATCTCGATGGATGGGTCAATGTGTTTCTTGACCACCATTTCCATGACCTTGAATGCATTGGGGAGTTTGTGGCGAATTGGATAGTCGAAGTCATTACCGAAAACTAGGTCACTGCCATTGATGTCGTGATGGAAGACAATGGAGAAGGAAATTGAGATCAAGTCATCTCGATGAAGAGGGTGATTAAAGTAGGTACTGGTCCGAGGGGATGAAGATGGAGATCCTTGAGACATAAGAATGTTTGCCATGAACAAAATGGTTCGGAGCGATTGACATACCATGATAATTCTGGACACGGACAGCAACGTTAGCAGTACTCCAGTCACCTACTAAAGTGTTGGTTTGCCCATTAACTTCAACTTCCTGGTGAGTGGCAGAATCATTTTCGGTGCCTGCTGTCACTTTGAGGCGGTATTGAGCACAGGGAGCCTGTGCCATGGCTCAAGCTTATTATGAAGATGCAAATCAGCAATCGGCGTAGAATGACTCTGTGTGATCGGACATGTACTCAATGTACAGGAATCGAATTCCTTGAATATTGCTCAAAGCTCAACTGCTTAACACCCCGCCATTAACCGACGGGATGACAGCTTGCAGGCAGGTAGACCAATCGATTGTACAATCAGATTTGAAGAACAATAGGCATTGTTCAAATGTTGCCTAACCCAACAATGCACCATATGGATGTGCACGAGTATACGACCAATTTGGTCATGACAAAGCCATGACCAGATATGACAACAGTGGTTCAAATAGGTAGGAAGCACTGTGCCACGGTCGACTATATAGAGTTGACTAAGTTGACCGATGGCCCACCAAAAACATTATCTCTTTCAGCGATAATGAATCAAAGATACTCCAAAGCCCTGTTAAACATACTGAAGATCTCTCCGGTCAGCACTATGTCTAAGCTAATGCCGCTCAGTCCACTTGTCTCAACCTCTATTCTCCACAAATAGAATATTCCACGTTCCGTGCCCGCAATTAAAGATTGCCCAATAACGCCATTTGGGGGCCGTGACATCACCTCCTCTGATATCCACGGGAGACGGCGATGCTGGGCGGTGATGAACTGGGCGCATTTTGACTAGAATCGCGATCGATGATTGGCTTAGCGGCACATTATTCCCGATGAAGAGTGGATCGTCGTGGTCTTGGAGATGCCAAGGCTCACTGCCCCCGATATCTTGGTCCATCCTGGCCCACTGCGTTAATTTTGTTCGTATTCAATCGGACCCTTGGCGAAGTTATAAAGATGGCCTTAGTCCCTAGTCAAAGGATCGTATCATTCCAAGCATTCAATACAGATTTTCACCTACCTAATCACCTATCTACCTTATTTTGAAACATCAATCATATTCATCATGGAGACCTCTTCCCAGCTCGCGTATACAAACACACAATTCTCCGAAGCTTCAACAGTCGCTCCTTCGGAATTGCCCCGCGAAAGAAAAGTTGGAGCTTCAAGTTCAACCTTTCAATCCGCAGAGACATCGAACCAACATGTCAAGCTTCGAATCGATTTCAAATGGGGGAAATTCAAGTCCTCCATCAGCGACGTAAACAACCCCGAGCAGCCCCTCTATATTGTCAAATACAAGATGACAGGCAAGAATTTCATCTACATGGCCCCAGATGGCAAAGAAGTCATCGGCTCAGGAGGCGTTCATATGGTCAACATCGACGCAGATTACGAATGCCGTGGCCGAAAAGACACCCTCGTCGCTCAGAAGCGTTTCGTCACAGCATATACCCACCGCTCCGGCGTGATCGAAACCAGTGACGGAAAACCCGCCGTTATGAACTGGACCGGTGATATCAACCTCAAGTCTTGGGAATTTGTCTGTGTTGATGAGAGCCAGACGCCCGTAGCCAAATTCTCGGCCAATCTGTGGGGTATCAAGAAGCTGGGCAAAATCGAGCTGATGGGCCCATTGGCACATGATGAGGCTTTTAGGGATGAGATGGTTATTGTTGGTATGACATTGGCGTACACTATGGTCATCCGCATGAACAACATTTTCAGTCTGTTCGGTTCCCTCTTTGGGAGCCCTGGCCATGACAAGAAGTGGAAGGCTGAGGACTTTTCTGGTCAGTCGAGCAGCTCTGATAGTCTGTCTCTAAAAGGACCTGCTCCAGCACCTGTACATCCTCTATCCAAAGAGGCTCAGAGTGACGTGAGACTGAAGCAGTGATATGATTTTCCTTCCTTTCTGGCTTTTCAACTTGCACTGCTTATTCCATTTTTATGACCATCAGATACCATGATTCCCCCTTGTTTTATACTATACATTGAATTGAATTTTACTTTCCTCTTTCACGTTATATCTTTGTAGAGTTGCACACAATCCGCCCTCAAGGCTTGTAGACAATTGGTGTTGTAAGACCCATTCGCCCTCTCCGGAACTACTAGTAATACCTATAGTTCGCAAATTATAAATGGTGAAACACCATTTTAATACTAGTATGACCAGGTAATCACCAAAATAAATCAAATCAATATTAATATGAACAAATGAAATTGTAATCAAAAGAAAGTATTTGGTGCTTGTAAATCAATCAGAACACGGTTGGTAGGTCAATATCAGAGTCCAATCCTTGTCTAAGATCTGACATGTCTTCTTCTAGAAGCTCTTCAGTGAGAATTCCAACACCACTGTCGATGCGTCTGCGATCTTTGCCCCTCCCCACCTCGACATCAACAAATCGACTCATGCTGACAGGAGTAATGGGTTCACTGCTAGGAATAGTGGTGCCATCTGACATAAGATCATCAGATCTTAGTTCCCAGTTAGCTGCCCGGACCTTGGCACGGCGGCGTTCATCATTAACAGCCTCCTTCATATGAGCAAAAGAGCGTGCCTGTTCAGCAGCCCATTTGTCCAAAAGCTCGTCACGGGCCTCAAGCTCAATCTTCAGTTGTTCTTCAAGGCCGCTAGTAACTTGGCGGAGGCGCTGAGCCTCTGAACGAGCCTCCTCGAGAGATGTTGTGAGCTCTGAAATGCGGACGTTCAAGGTTCCCATCTCCTGTTCGTGCTGTTGTAATTGCTCCTGGGCCTTTAGTTCTAGAGCCCTCTCATATTCTTTCTCCAGGGCCTCCATCTCAGCTGTTAAGTCACAGCTGCGGATCTGGCTCTTTTCAACAGTTTCCTCGAGCTGCCGAATTCGGGACTGATACTTGGTGATCGATGACTCGATGGCAGATCTCTGTTCGCGCTCATGCGCAACCTGCTTCCGGAGGGCGGATATTTGCTGTCTGTACTTGGCCTTTATGGCCACATTTTCATCCTCCATTTTGTTCACCAGCTCTTCGAGACCCTTGACGTCGTCGTGGTACTTGTCCAATGCCGTATTTAATCTGTCAATCCCAACGGCTTTTTCCTGGTCATCACTCTCCAGGTCTTGCATGCGCATTCTGGTATGCATCATATCACTTGCAGATGATGTAATCGAATCCTCGAGTGTGTTGATCTTCTCTGCGGCTGCCTCGTACCGGTATAACAAGTTGTCGAATTGTCCCCGAAGGGCTTTTTCACGACCCAATGAGCCATGGTGGTAGTTGCGTTCTGATCTGAGCTCCCTCGCCAAAGATTTGACTCGCTTCACGAGAGCGTTTAATGTGGCCTTGCCGTCCTCCAGAGCTGCATCTGCTGTTTCTCCAGGGACAGTACGCTCGAGTTCGATTCGCGCTGAACGAAACTCACACCTCATCTCGGATATAATGTCGTCTAGATTTGTTCCTGAGAACCCCAAGGTAGAGCAATCTTTGCTTATGCCTTCAAGGGTCTTTGTGGCATCTGAGGCACGAGACAGAGCATCTGTCAAGGTGTTCAAGATGTTATCGAAGAAGTCGGGGGGTGGTGATGGGTTCTGAAGGACGTCACTGAGCTCAGAGTTTTCAAAAAGGGATATTTGTGAACGGCATGAGTCAAAGAGATCTTTCTTCGCATTTCTGGCAGTCTCGAGGTCGAGGTTAAGTGCATGAGTATCCGCATCCTCCGGCCATTCATTGGTAGACTGGTCAAGCAAGGTGGAGTGATTTGGTGAGAGCGAACGGGCATTGCTTTGGCTCCGGAAGGCGGGTGAATTGGACGTGAGAATGGCGCTTTCGCTAATCATGAAAGTATCGTCATTGTTATTGGTAGGAGATTGAGGTTCATTGACGTCTCGGCTTGATGCGGCGGAAATGTCATCGCGCGGAATAGTCGTCTGTTCTTCTAAATCTCGGGTCTGCACTCGAGGCGACATCCAACAGGATTCATAAGATGGCAATCGCTCCTCTGGAGAATCCGACCCTTGTTTCATGGAGTCCAATTCCTGCTGAAGGGCATCTCGCTCGCGAAGCAGAGTTGCCAAAGTCTTTTCGAAAGTAGCAGCCTCACGCTTCTCTCGCTGGATACTGTTGATCTCATCGCTGAGACCGATTCGACGGATTCTTCGTTGGGTGCGCGTATCCAGGATTTGTCGCAGAGGGGTAAACTGAACGATTCTCTCCGAGGATGTCTCGTCAAAGGGCTTGATCGAATCAAAGGATCGCCGATAGCGTGGGGTTGGAGCCGAGCGACGCCTGCCTTTAGTACGGGTTGGTGTGCACTCTCCAGCTCTTGAGAACCCGGCATCAAAGGAAGTACGCTGCATAGCAGGTGTTAGGCCGGTGGAGCCAAAGGCATTGTCGTGCAGCAGTGGACCCGGATCAGAGAATCGAACTCGCTTTCTAGATCTTTTGGGGGTATTTTTCCCACGCTTAGGTGCAGCAGGTGCAGTACTAGTGGGCTCCGCCGATCCCGATATACTCTGTCTTGTCCGATGTGAAACGGGCGACGAGTTCCTTGAATTAGCAATAGAGCTGCTTCGTCTCTTTCTGCAAGACTGCCTGGCTTCCATTTTGAATGGAATGGAAGACGACTCGATCTTCTGCTCCGAATTCTTATATAATATAGTAGGCAGATTCAGAATATAGGTGTAACCAGGCTGGGTACAGTTATAGTGGGGAGAACAAAAGAACCTCGTAATGTCGATGGGTGGGACGAATAATAAAAGTAAACAACAAATGCAGACGCCGAATATCGTCCGATTGGCGCTTTAAAGGTGTTTTGCTCTATAGTTCATAACATAAACAAACAGCAGTGGGTCCCTGCAGGCAACAAGAGGCGTTCTGCGCGTGCCTGCCCATAATTCCCGATCCGGTGCATGTAAACAAGCTGCTGTTTTGGGCAATCACGTGTCTATATTCGCCCAAGGCAAGAGTTAGGGATCCGAACTCGAAAGACGCGTTATATTTTCATATTTTTATTTTAAGTATCATCGAGACTGTTATCCATGAACTTGAGTTGGTTTCAATGGGAAGAGACTCGGGAGCGCGCCGCGCCCAAACTCTGTAGATGGCAGACCCACTAACCAGCATCCAAAAACCCCATGTATGGGGGACAATAACGCGCAGTGGGAAAGTACCACTGGCACTATGTAATACTTACCGCCCATTGTACTGCTATCTGCACTATAAGCTCTACATGGAAGAAAAAGCAAGTATAAAGACAACTAAAAAGACAAATGGAAAAATGTCTTGATAAAAATTTGGATTATGCTGGCTTCGGCGTATACAAGTATCCCCATGTCCCTACTCTGGAATAGATACTCCAGATACCTCTTGACAGATCTTCAATAATTCTTCTTGCTTAGACACATTACCAGCTCCAGGATGCGTCGAGTCTGGGCCACTGGTCGTGACAAAGGCCCCACTTGGAACGCTCGCCAATTTACCTTGACCGACAGCCCACTCTGCCAGGGCCTTAGCGGGCGTCCCCATTCCACCAGGAGCCATCGAGCCTCCCATCTTCGTCCTCACCCAACCCGGATGCATACTCAGGACCTGAATACTATCACTCCAGCGGCGCGAAAAGGCATTGGCCAGCATAATATCATGCAACTTGCTATCCCCATACGAAGTGGACTGTGTCACGTTTCGCAGAGACTCGTCCCCGCCGTAGTGACTATCTGAACTCATATAAAGTAAACGTGATGTAGGCCGATCCATCAGACAGGTAAGAATGTATGGCGCAAGAGTGTTCACGGAGAAAACGGCGGATATTTTATCGGCAGTCATTTCTCGACTCGACGTCGCACCGTAGCCGATGCCAGCATTGTGGATGATTGTATCGAAGGGACCACTGGTGTTAGCTTCTGCGGCTAATTTCTTGATCTCTGAGATTGAGCGCAGGTCGCCGACTAGTACCGCCTCGGCCTTGGGGACGGCTTGGTGGGTTGAGGCTGCTCGATCGGCGTTTCTGGCGTGGAGAACGACTGAGTGGCCTTGGTCTGCGAGGAGTTTGGCTGCGGCTTGACCAATTCCGTCGCTTGAGCCGGTGATAAATATGCGTGTCATTCTCATAAGGGTTGTATGTAGAGTGGAGGTTGAGTTGTAAGAAACACAGTTCGAGGTTCATGCGGAGGAGGTAAATGGTACCTCGAGACCTGGAGCTCTATGATATCATCAAGAACAGAAACCCGATTTTTGTACTTGAACCAGCTTCCCTTACATTTGTGACGTCAAAAATAAATCATCCTAATTAAATAGATAACAGGAATGGTCTTTCTTTTGTTATCAAAGAAGTTGAACTGAGATAAAACCATGATATAAAGATACTCAGAGACAAAGAAGTGTGGGGCTATTGAGTGTCTAGGACGCGCGCTGCACTACCTTAAAACTAACATTTTAGCTTTGGCGTGTTGAAGACAGCTGCACCAAATATTCAATTTGATCGACAACATTCAGCTCAGGCTCAGGGTCGCATTCGCCTAGCAGCTAGGTAACTAAACAATATTCGACTATTCGTCGGCAAGTGCGGAGTTGATTTTATCTCTTATCCACGCGACCCACCTGCACCACCTGCACCACCTGCACCAACTGACCGCGATTCTACTATCAGCTCTTGGCCCCCTCGGTATTTTGAATGGTCTAGCTGAATTCAATCTTGAGCTGGATCGTGTTGTCTACCTGTAATCTTCACTTCCCCTCACTTTAAGAGGCAGCCATGTCTCCTCAGCGTGGCTCCAAGTGATGTCATCTGCGTTACTGCAGGGGGTGGAACAACAAACAGCTTTGCACCAGCTTTTCTTTTTGAGATTACCTTTGGATCCTAGACGCCATGGGAAGTGTGGTGCCTGTGGAAGAGGTTAGTCTACCGACCAGTTGACATCCAGGCTGACCAGGATCCGAATCGAAGATAACATTAGCTAACTCCGAGTGTGTTTGTCCCGCTATAGCATTCGGGGGACCGAAACCCCAATGATAACCGAGACCGAATCGAAGAAATCCTCCATGATCAAACATGGACCCAGGTCTTCAAATCATCATCCATCCTTGATAAAATCCCTCCCGAGATCCTACACCAAGTGCTCTCATACTTGTCCGCCCGGGATCTTGCCCGTGTCTCCGCTACTTGTCGAGTGCTGGCCGAGCATGGCGCCGACGACCGGTTATGGGCCGAACTGGTCAACTCGCATTTACCTTCATCTATCCAAGAGCCAGGACCATTTATATCATTTCGCCGCCTATACCTAGCTCATCTCGCCTATTGGTTCATTCCTCAGCATAAGATATGGTTCGCAGACAATGAACACACCGGAAACCTGATCTTAGCTCGTTATGATAATCGGAGAGGGGTCATCGAAGGCTATCGACTTATAGCAGATCGAGGTAGTCCAAGACTTCACATTTGGCAATCGAATCCCGATGTTATGATTCAGTCATTTGACCCCAAGGTCGGACTATGGCTAGACGACCCAGTTCTGTTTCTCAAAGACCAAGACCCCACAGATCCTATCGCCCCTTGCCAGACCTGGTCAGAAGAGCGTCGTATGCCCATGGCCGCAGAGGCCCAGCATGTTTTCAGCTCGTTGTTATTATGCCCCAAAGGGACCCCACAACCAGAGGACCACGAAGAGAATGCAATGAAAAAAGATTCCCTTTGGCCACCGTTATCTATTCCTAGCTCAATTCGCATACGCCGAGAACTTTCTGCGCTCGAAATACCGGATCCTAAAAGCTTATTTGATGCCTCCGAATTGGCATTCCGCATTCGACGATGGGCTAATTTGCGCATGGTGCTTTCACCGGGCCATAATGAAGCTGTCGCGACCTACGCTACTCTTGACCCGAGCCTGTATGTACCAACGAAAGAGAAGCCATACCAAGGCATTTGGGTGGGAGACTACTCAGCCCATGGCTGTGAGTTTCTTCTGTTCATTCAGCGGGATAAAGAAGATGTCGCGGAAGACCAAGATGCGGACCAAGCCGAGCAAGATGGAGCCAGTGGTTTGGTTCATCAAGGAAGTCTCGAAGCTGTTAAGCTTACCGGGGATCCCAATGTTCCTCGTGGTGCGACATCCTTTATAGCTGAGGATATCGGGCCGAAAGGGCTTGCTAGAGTGGATCCCAAGGAACCATTCGAGAATGCACGCATCGTGCGATGTTCAGGCCATGTTGCTGGGATTGGATTCCAAGATGGTAAGTTATTATTCCCCCCCCAATCTAGCTCCTTACTCGTACGAATGATGTTTCCAATGCTGACCTCATTAGATTCTTTCATCAAATCTCAACTCATTCTTATTTCACCGGATTACATAGCACACTACTGGCAGGAAATGGGTCACGTCTCCTATTTTCGTCGAGTTGATATAGATTCTCTCATCCAGACATGAACGGCGTTTGTTCTTTCTACATCTATGTTGCCATATGTTCATGTTACGCCTAAATACCCCCTTTCAATTTACCCATAGTTATCATTCTAGTTTCTCCACGCTCCATTCTTCAAAGTACCACCGCTAATACTAAACTGGTAATCTTTTTGGTTGGAAAGGCCGATGTGGAATTGAATCCGCCGAGACCAGGTGAATAGTGTATATTGTGCAAAGAGATGGTATAGCACAGGTAGAGTGGACAGAAGGTATTCGCATAGAAAGAAAGCCAGACGCCTAACTCTGAATATGATATCAGAAACAGAGAAGATGAAGCCAAGTAAGAGTGCAAAGAGTAGAGTCAGTCGTAGCTCGTCAATCCAGACCAGCCGAGATAACCCAAAAAGCCTAAAAGAGATAGACAAAAGCCGCGGAGCAGGTGTACCTATACAAACGACCTGAATCTTCCGTGGGCTTCGACAAATCTATGCCATCTTCCAGTATCATGTTTTGGTACATCAGGCTGGGACTCAAGTCGAGAAAAAGTAAAAGTGAATCGATCGGTCGCGTCCGTTGCAAGTCGTATGATCAATTTATCGTCGACGCTCGAACCAGCTGGAAGAACCCATAACCGCCACAGATTGGTCCATCACCCACTCGCCAACACCGAGGTAGTTGTCGATCCACTTCTTAACATCCTTGTTGTCTGAGATTTGTTCGGTTTTCAGACTGGGGCTGTGAACTGCCCCCGCACACACGCGACCCGACCGATAGGGCGGCGCGGGGGTCAACAGAGTTAGCCAGACGTTTTTTCTCCTTTGCTTCTTGTTCAAACGACATAAAGGGCCAATTCTTGGGTAAGGCTGGAGAAGAAGGAGCGGATTCGGGAAGGTTGTATTTACGTGAGACCTGTGGAGCGCTGGACGCCAGCCAGGAAGGCAGAGACTATTCAAAAAACCATTTATTAGCTTGTTTTCATGAAATTCGTCCTCCGGGATCTAACTTACAGAGCACCGCATCAAAAGCGTAGTGAGTAAGACGGCCGAGCTGGTTGAAGAGTATTTGTTAGTTCTTGATGCCCAATATGTGGGTTGAAAGGCCTGTGAAGCCCCTCGTGGGGTGGGGTGCGGTTAGTGCGCCGTACCATGATTGCGGATTGTGGTGAAAGTTGAGTATGAGGCGAGAATGGTAGATTTAGATCAAGACGAGCTCTGTTATACCATGGGTACTTAGGCAGATGATGCGCGGCAGGAGACGGTGACTGATGTCACGTGGAGGCTTGACTTTCACATGACGCCGGATGTTTATGGATCAGATCGGTTGGCCCAGTGACCTTGTTAGCCAATGAAATATCTGTAAATGACTACATAGTGGCACCTGGGACAGCTGGACCCACTATATACTAGGCAAGTGCAACAAGCCAGCCAACCTATTCTTTCCTATAAATATGAACAGGAGGTGAAGAGTAGTGACTCGGGAAGAAAGTCTGTTCTTAGGGAACGGTTTGCCGAGTGGAATGTGAGATGTTTAACGTGCCGATGATCAATCAAGGAATTCACCCTAACGAGTTAATGGGCCCATTCATCTCATGCCAGAGTCTATGCATGACAGATGACTTAGCCCATTATTAAACACACGAAAAGAGAGCCATCTTTGAGCTTTCCAAGCCGAGTGGTAAGCTCGGCCGGGCTCACATACCTCGTGAATCCATACGTCCTATCTAGCACTTGAGGTGTAGAACTCATCGAACATATCTAGAAAAGCGTAAAAGTAAATGAAATATAGAATCGGCCGTATCACACGATACACAACGTTTTGTCTTTCTGAAATACGCCTTTACCAACTTCTTCCGTGGTACCTAATATTCTCAATAAGGACACAATTGCACATCGTTCTCGAGTGCTCGTAATTATTGTACGCTTAAACTCGGCTTCGTTATTGGTTCTCAATGCTGCTCGTCGTTCTTGGCCTAATAGTATGTTCCGATGTTTATTTACATACATGTACACCTTTATGACCATATTCCAAGCCCCCCATCAATGTCAAGAACAGCGCCATTCATGTAGCTGCTTTGGTCGGAGAAAAGAAAAAGCACAACGTTAGCGACTTCATCAGGGCGACCGATTCTCTTCAAGCCCGACTCGTCAGCAGCATGCTTTAATGCGGCGGCGCCACCACGCACGGCTGAGTTGGTAGGTGTTTCGATTGCTCCAGGAGCAACGATATTGACCCGAACACCCTTGGACCCAACCTCCAATGCGACACTCTTTGAGAATCCGACCACTCCATATTTTGCCGCGCAATATACCGCAAAATGGGCCACGGGGTAATTGCCACACACGGAAGAGACATTGACAATCGAGGAACCAGATTTCATGTGAGGTAGACACCCACGAGTCATGCTGAAGACTCCTCGCAGATTGGTGTTGATGAGTTTGTCCCATGTTTCATCCGACACGTCTTCGGTCGCGATAGAGGTGGGGTTTATTCCCGCGCAATTGAAGAGATGATCGATTTTACCAAAATGAGCAACAACTGCTTCAATCGATTGGTTACATTGTGTAGAGTCGCTAACGTCAAACGCAAAGATTTGGTGACTGGCATCGGCTGCCTTGACTGCGTTGCATTCTTCTAGAACGTCTTGCAGGCCATTAGTGTTGATGTCGCCTAAGGCTAAATGAGCACCTGAGCTTGCGGCTTTCAGCGCAGTAGCACGCCCAATGCCACTGCTTGCGCCAGTAATAATCACGACCTTTCCAGTGAGTGCCATGATTGAAATACGTCACTGGTCGAGTGGTGCGGGGAGAGTAAGCTAAGCTATACCAACACAGCCTTGGGTAGCTATCGCCGATCGTTACCTATCTGTATGCAGTTCATATGACTGAGCCTCCCGGGACCAACATTGAACCGTATACCCCGACATCCTATCTCAAGCTAGGATTATGACGAATGGAATGATATATAGCTTTTGCAGTATCGCCGTTGATGTTTCATTAGGCAAGCTAGTAGACGGAGATATCAAACGTGGGCTTTTTCCGATTCCATGAATTCAGCTTATAGAACTAACGAGGCTGAGATGATTTGCGGTTAAAATGCTACTATTGAATACGGACTTGAAATTGAATATGTCGCTGTCTTGTCTTAGTTAGATAAGTTAACACTCTACTCCTCCTCAGGCATCCTTAACTGTATCCTCAGGCATAAAAGTCACACCACCCCACCTTACATAATCCATCCTTATCGATAAGCCCAACGCCCACCGAAACGCCGTTTCTGTCCAGAGAATGAAATTGGTCAAATTGTGTCTCGCGATTTGTCACGTTTATTATTGCTTCGATAAAGAGACTCCATTGTACGCTGCGCGGATCAGCACGCTCCGTCTGGACTGGTTGCTATGCATTTCCTCTTTTTTTTTCTGCCTATATGGTCATCCCGCCATTGCCGATTGGCCTCAAACGAGGGGGCGAAAAACTGCTGGGCATTTTGCCTTCAGGAATCTGGTAAGATAGGGTATCAAGCAACAATGATGTAAATATTGTCAGATGATAGACATAAATGTACAAATCCTGTAAGAAAAAAAGAACAAATAAAGTAAAACAAAGCAAAAAAAACTCAAACCTGCAGCGCCAATCTATTGAGGCTTATGGAATCTACACCGGCGCGACCTTGGGGTTACTGTACCGCAAGTCAATTTCTAGTTATGGTGGGAAGAAAGGCGGAGAGGGCGGAGATAGCATCGGCCGCCAATATTTTACTGCTCCCGCCCCTCATTTGAGTCTTCTCTTCTTTCCCCTCCCCATTCTCTCTTCTCACTCCTCACATTTTAATCCTCTTTCTTTCTGCTACCTAAATTCAATTAGTTTAGCAGTTCAAAATGGCGGCCACCACCTCTCTTGACCACCTGTCCAACCGGATGAAGCTGGAGTGGCACTCCAAGCTCAACACCGAGATGGTCCCGGCGAAGAACTTCCGTCGTACCTCTATCATCGGTACCATTGGTATGTTCATTGTAAAAACACATGCTGTTGCTTCTAGGTCTCTACAGTCTGGAAGGAATACCTCGCTGTGTTCATAAACCTTGGGAATTCATGCTAACGCACAATCGCCCTTTAGGTCCCAAGACCAACTCCGTCGAGAAGATCAACGCTCTCCGCACAGGTATGCCTTTGACTCAATAAGATGTCGATAATGTAAAATGCCGCTGTGCAATAGCTGATTCATTTTATAGTCGGTCTGAACGTTGTTCGCATGAACTTCTCCCACGGTTCATACGAGGTAAGTGTTTCAGTTCTCTCTTCGGGCTGAGAAGCGGTGATGGGAGCAACCATTGACTTTGGGTCTAGTACCACCAATCTGTGATTGATAATTCCCGTGAGGCTGCTCGCAGCCAAACCGGTCGTCCTTTGGCCATTGCCCTCGACACCAAGGGCCCCGAGATCCGTACCGGTAACACCGTCGATGACAAGGATTTCCCTATCAGCATGGGCACTGTGCTCAACATTACCACCGATGAGGCTTATGCCACCGCCAGTGACGATAAGAACATGTAAGTTTTCATCGATTGGCTGCCAAAGAGCGCCCATGAAAGGTTCGGCTTTTTGCCGAGTAAACGAGATCCACGGAAATTCCGAAATAGGGCTGACCACTTGGATCATCACAGGTACCTCGACTATAAGAACATCACTAAGGTTATTTCCCCCGGAAAGCTCATTTATGTCGACGACGGCATTCTGTCTTTCGAGGTGATTGAGATTGTGGATGAAAAGACCTTGAAGGTCAAGTGTTTGAACAACGGTAACATCTCTTCCCGTAAGGGTGTTAACCTGCCTGGTACCGACGTAGACCTGCCCGCTCTCTCCCAAAAGGATATCAACGATCTGCAGTTCGGTGTTAGGAACAAGGTCGACATGGTCTTCGCTTCATTTATCCGTCGCGGTGAGGATATCAAGGCTATCCGTGCTGTTCTCGGCGAGGAGGGTAAGGAGATTCAGATCATTGCCAAGATCGAGAACCAGCAGGGTGTCAACAACTTCGATGAGATTCTCGAGGAGACCGACGGTGTCATGGTTGCCCGTGGTGACCTTGGTATCGAGATCCCCGCCCCCAAGGTGTTCATCGCCCAGAAGATGATGATCGCCAAGTGTAACATCAAGGGCAAGCCCGTCATTTGCGCCACTCAGATGCTTGAGTCCATGACATACAACCCTCGCCCCACTCGTGCTGAGGTTTCCGATGTCGCCAACGCCGTCCTTGACGGTGCCGACTGTGTCATGTTGTCTGGTGAGACCGCCAAGGGCAAGTACCCTTGCGAGGCCGTCAAGATGATGTCCGAGACCTGTCTGCTTGCTGAGGTTACCATTCCTCACTTCAGCATCTTCGATGAGCTGCGTAACCTGGCTCCTCGCCCCACCGAGACTTCCGAGTCTATTGCCATGGCTGCTGTCAGCGCCAGTCTGGAGTTGAACGCCGGCGCCATTGTTGTTCTGACCACCAGGTATGTGAAAGTTCCTCGGCGTTACCCTGCCGAAAAGGGTTGGAAAGACCATAGTACTGACAAATTCCCTAGCGGTCGCACTGCCCGTCTCCTCTCCAAGTACCGCCCCGTGTGCCCCATCCTCATGGTCACCCGTAGTGACACCGCCGCTCGCGTAAGTTCACATAATCGCACTCATTCAAACTTACCAAGTCAGCTTCAGTGCTAACATGATATCTCCAGTACTCCCACCTGTACCGTGGTGTGTGGCCCTTCTACTTCCCCGAGAAGAAGCCCGACTTCAACGTCAAGATCTGGCAGGAGGATGTCGACCGTCGCCTCAAGTGGGGTATCAACCACGGTCTTAAGCTCGGTGTGATCAACAAGGGCGACCCCATCGTCTGTGTCCAGGGCTGGCGCGGTGGTATGGGCCACACCAACACTGTTCGTGTGGTTCCTGCCGAGGAGAACCTCGGTCTCTCCGACGAGTAAATGTAGATCTAGACGCAACCAACCCAAAAAATGGTTAGCCAAAGATCTATGACTTAAATGATTTATTTTCTTATTATTTGCTGGTGCGAAAATGGGATACATACCTTGTTTTTTATTGCTTATTATGTCCGATTTTGATTTCTTATTTCGCTTGTGTTGATTCAAAGCCGAGATCGTTTCTGCTGTGCGATCTGGACCATCGCTATGTCTCGAGAAGGAACATGTTAATGCATTGATCATGTATATGAGACGAATTTAATGCCTTCAGGTCAAGTGCGTTGTTAGTTAGCCTAGACACTCTTTCTCTTGAAATCAAAAGTTGAATAAACCCCCAAAAATGCTGCAGTTTGAATTGTTAGTATTCTGATTCGATTCCGTTAGTCCGTGTAGCACGCAAGTATTCGGAAGCATTCATGAACTCTGCGCGCATAGGCATTTTGCGGGGATGACAGTTCACGCGACAATTTCTGTAGTCGCAACATATCGCATATTAAATCAGGACATGCGAAGAATTCAACAAAGAATTAGAAGAAGAAGGAAAAAGAAAAATTGCGAGACAGCGAAATCGATTATCCCGGGTCCAAAGTGCTTAAACTGCGGGGAGACACGAAAATGCCCGAGACCGAGGCTCATGTGGGTTACGCTGCAGGAATTCCGGTTGCTTTAACCCTCAATGCAATGCAGGTTGGACAGGTCGAATCGTGATGAACAACAATATGAGAAGTTGAAAGGACGAGAATAGGAGCGGAATAAAAAAAAAGTATTGCAATGGAGGTCCTTGACAAAGTCCAGTCTGTTTCTATGGCTAAACACAATTCCCGGTCTGTGTTTCCCGGTTGGATCCCGGTTTGTGCCGAGAGTTCGGGTTTTACGTAGTAAGCAGGCCTGATGGATGAGGCAAGGATAGGCTGGGTTGGAACATAGAAACTTTGTAATTTCTAGGCTGAAATGAGATATCTGCATGTCTTAAATATGTATCATGCCTCGTCATTATGTACACAGTGCGCTTCAATGTGGTCTAAAGGAGGCCGGACAAGCCTTCGGCATAAACATCATCAAGTCATCAATCATAAAAACAAAAAAGGAGGGAAATAATAATGATTGGATCCCGCTGATGCATGGAAGCTATATCGTTCGTATGTATCTCTAGATGCTGGATTCTGCATTTCCATCCATGTCTAGCTCTGTCACATTAGAGACCTCTCCTTGGGGGTATCGATACATTGCACTAGCTTGGAATTGATGCCAACAACTAGGGAAACTGTTAATCGTTATGGAACGTAAAAATTAAGGTGTAGAGAATAGCTTACCTTGGGGCTTGTAGGACATATCTTGCCATTGCCTCTCGGAAGCGACTCTTGTACTCCTTCGGACTCGTGACGGTTGGCCGGTTGCGATTACCTCCAGCAAATCCGCGATCTTTAATCCACGACTCGAGTTTCTTGTCCCAAGTGTACGTGCGAATGCAGTCGATAATTCCAACCACGAGCTCGCTTCGCTTGTCATCAATCGCAATCATGAGCGAATAGTCCATGACGTTTTGGCGCCCGAGGAAAAGGGTATCGTTCCATACGCTCTGGCTGAGCAGCTTCTTAGAATGTTCGCGAGAGAACAAAGGAGTCTCGTAAATGAAATCCACCATATTCTCGTCTAGCAAGACCTCATCGCGTTCGCCGGTGCTCTCTACTTTGCGGTTGCGCATCGAGCCTTTAAGATCGAAGATCCGGTTTGGCTTCCGATCATAGAACAAGTTCTCCATTAAGAGCAAAAACCAGTTGAACTCCATCCCAGTGGCAGGGTTCTTGATGATGACTTGGTAGAACCCAAACATCTTGGCAATGGCGGAGGGAAGCTCGTGAAACAGAGCCTCGGACATGATTTGAAAGTAGGCCGGGGCAAACTTCAGGAAGGCCTGGGTCTCAACAGGAGATAAAGACTTCAAAATGAATCGATCATCCAGCGTCTTGAGGAACAGGGACTTGGTTTTGCCACCTTTGGAATCCCACTTGGCACAGCGAGATAATGATTCAACAATTCGATCAGCCACGCCGCACTTTTTGCGCAGGGCATCAAACTGTTCTGCGTAGAATACTTTGCAAAGCATTTTCGCTTGGCCTTCTTGGAACTGATATTTCAAATGTGTACCAGTAGGCCGCAAAAGAGCGCGCTCGACTCGGGCCTCATTGGCAACTTCAAGCTCTTGTCCAGGCCCTGCGTCCTTTTCATCCATTTCATCGTAACGTTTCTGGATGCTCGCCAACTTCTCCTTATAGTCAGAAGAATCTAGTGCAAATGCAACAAGAGAGCTAGGCTCATCCTCGCGTACAATGATGTCACAATCCGCAAATACATGGTCCATGACAGTGAGAGGGTAATCAAGAGCAGCCCATCCGCTGGCCGAGCGTTCAGACCAAAAGTTAGTCAACATCTTCAACAGTGTTGTGCGTTCATGCTTGGCCAAGTCCTTGTAATCCATGGAATCATCCTCCGGTAGCTTTGTCTCCTCTTGAGAGTCCACAGGGTGAAGATCTTCACCGGTATTGCGCTCATCATCGCTAGGGCTCTCATCCAGTTCAGCCTCGGACATGATCTGAGAGTCTGAGCGGATAATACCCCCTGACTCAAACGACTCTGGCGGGGTTTCTGACGAAACAGGTTTTGTGGGTGATTCTTCAGGCCTAATCTGCTCCGCAAACCCCTCGCTGATACGACTTGACTCCTCCGGCGTATGCTGGGGTACTGATAGTAGAAGGTCCTCTCCATCAGCAGGAGGCTCACGTTCTTCCACAGCTTCTCGAACATTCCTGTAAACCTCCACAATGGGCTTTGAGGAAGCCAATGGGAACGCTCGCGACTGTGTACCTCGAGCAGCTCGCTGTCGCCTTTCCCGCTGTCGTTCTTTTTCAAACTCACGACTCAATTGTTCAAAGTGTCTAGCAAGACTCGAAACTTGAGTGCTATTCCGTCCCTTCGGTGTAGAGCGCGGTATGAGAGAATGTCCAGGGCTGAAACGGCCATTTTTCAAAGCAGTAAAACCGAGTCTCTCGGTGAACTTCTTCTCGGCCGTCTTGGTGGAGTTGCCACGACTATCAAATGATTCACTTGGGTTGAATGAGGTCTTAGCCCCTCCGGCAAAAGGTCCAGTACTTTGTTTTTCTCTGAGAAGGTGTGCTGGTTGAGACTGGGCACGTATCAAAGGCGGAGAACGAGCTTTTCCAGATCTTCTGACTGCACCTTCGGCTAACCTCGGAATGGCGGATGGCCGATTGGGTGGTGTGCTTGGTGATCGAGGTATGGCCTCCTCCTTCGATTTACTGTTATCTTGTAATGGCGCATGTGATTTCGGTGACAGTGGCGGTGAAGAAGAATCTGGGAGGCTTTGGCCACTGGTGGCTTCAAAAGGAACGCCTGGGATTTCGGCATTGGTAAATGAATTCTCAAAGGGTGGCTTCGGACCAGGCGATGAATTCTCTGGAGAAGGAATAGCCAAATCTAAATGTCGAACTTCCTGTTCCGAAACAGCTTCCTCCTGCGAGGCTGGTCTCTTTGCATCCGTATTGTCGACTGAGCTGCCTGTTTCATCCGTAGATGGAGGTAGCGGAGGAAACTCGGACTCTTCTTCTGTTTCTCGGTGCTTCTTGCCTGCGTGTTCCTCAACTACGGAGACCAGAACATTTTGAGCTTTCTCGGGGGAAAGCGTCATACGACGCAATAGCCTTGGTTTTTCGTTTTCATGAGTGGTCTCGTCTTCCATTTCAGTTGGGGCATGCGACGGATCGTCTGGAGCCACAGACGCGACGTCTTTGTCTAGAAAAATTTTCTTGAGCTGTAAAGTTGCGAGCCTTTTGATATCTTTCTCGGAAGGGAAATATGCCCGCTCAAAATCAGTAAAGGTAGTGTCCCACTCGACGACCTTTTCTTGAACTGAACGAAGAACTTCATTGAGGGGTATGATTTCCCAGTAGCGAGAGCCGCTATATTTCGCTTGAAGTAGTTTAATCAAGGCAGCTTGATCCTCATTCGCCTTCTTAACTAGGCGTTCAATTTCTGTTTGGCATGCTTCGAATAACTCAGGAACAACACTTTCACTATTGATTCCATTCAGGCGTGCATGCACGGAAAGCATAAATTTGCTTAGACGTCGTTCCGTTTTCAAGTAGACCTCATTTCTCAACTTCAAGTCGTTGTCTACTTTCCATGTGACACGTGGCCGGGGCACAATAACCTCCAGTAAGTGGACAGTATCATATTGAATACGAAGGGCAAGATCTTTGAAACCAAAGTAGCGTAAATGATCTCGTTGCAAGTCATGAGGGCAAACCCCAGCACGGGCATGTAGGTTTCTGCCCCAGAATGATACTTCCAAGTATTTTCCGAATGAGTATTTCCATGTATTTTCGGACATTGGTGTCACCTGAGTTTCGTTCCCACAAATCTTGCAACAACTCCACATGAGTATGCTGTCCTGCATTCCTCGGAGTTTGGACTGGTATGGCTGAACAAGTACACTGATCTGTGCATCACCGTGCACATATTGGCGATGATGCTCAAACATGCGCTTTTCACACCCATTGGCAGTGCAGACGGCATTAGCTGTATGACAGAGATCTTCGACATACTGCCCAATCGTGCAATCCGGCTCATAGATGGTGTCATCTCCATGCTCGTTATAAAATTCCAGAGCAAAACTGTCTGGCCCGGAACAAGGAATAGACGTGGTGGTGCATACAAGACTGTAAAGAACCACGATGTTTTGGTGCGCATACGGGTCGAACATATTGGTTGCCCCTGATACATATGCTTCCCATTGCCGCTTCTGAGTTTGGTAGTGGTATAGAACTCTATCATACTCAGCATCATGGGCTGCGCGTAGTACTTCTTTGACCTGTGGAGAAGCATCATGAGGGGACTCATGAACCATTTCAGGGGTGATAAGTGTGAACTTTTGCGGCTTGGCTTTTTCCTCGGCACTTTGTTCGGAGTATCCATCCTGATCACGCAGACGCTTCAGATACGCCAATCGTCGTTCCATTTCTCTGGTACGCATGAGTAGATATGGAGGTTCAAACTTAACGAAAGGTGAAGCCGACAATATTATTGTTTTGTGATCGTGTACCATGTCATCGAAGTATGTCGGCATTGGGACATCGTCAGGAACATCGGCAGTCGCATCGGCGGCTGGAAGAGCCTTGTTTTCCTGGATTGGAACACAAGATTTGTCGACCATGGCTAACGGTTGCGAGGCAGTCGCGTTAGTGCCAGCGTTGCAATTCATTGTTTGATCCCCTTGGTCAGTCGTTATTAGCTTTGGGTCATCCGAGAATGAGGACGAAAGCTTTGCAAACTCATCTCTCATGAGACAGGTCTCAAGTCGCAGGTTGTATACGACATAGATCATAAATTCTGTAATTTCTTTGACCTTCCCGAGAGTTTCTTCATCCCCGCCGCGTAAAACGATAGTGCATCCAAGTTCCTTCGGGCAGCCAGATATGTACATATATGTCTTTTTCCGACCACGATGAACATAGGTTTTGACGTCAAAGCTACGGCAATCGCTATGTAAAGCCGTTGTTAGAAGCTTATCCATCGATGTGACAATCCGAGTTTGTGTACATCGTGAAACCGCCTCGAGGACAGATGACTTCACATTATATGCAGTTGCAATGCCCGCCTGTTCAAGAAGGCCGAGGGCTAAGCCGGACACATTGGTTTCAACGAGGAGTATATTTGGGCGCAGAGCTGCAATTCGGCTGACGAGATTCTCGAGAAATTCACGCTCCTGGCGGATGACAGGCTCCAAGCTCATGAAATGCTGTTGCTGACGGGCATATTCGAGGGGAAATGTGATAATCAAAATATTTGGGCGTAAGATATTTCGTGGCATGCTCTTCAGAGCTAGGTTTTTGGTGAACACCAACCCTGAGACATAGGACGTATCGCCGGGTCTGCCGCCTGGAATCTTTTTCAATTTGACGTAGTGACGAATGTCCATGTCATCTCCTTGTTGAACATCTGGGTCCACCTCATCGGCTGCTTTTAACAGTATTGGCATGAGTGCATTCTCCCAGCTATCGGCATTTGACACGGCAGACATTGTCAGAAGTTGTTGTAGAAGCTTTCGCACATGTCCCCGGCTAGCTTTATTGAGCTCAACCGGCGGCGCCCTAACCCCTCTCATCGACGAACTTCTGATTTGTTTAAACCCGGACTGATTTACAGCCTGATTTGTAGCACCAGCGAAAGGTACACTGCCAATTGGGAGATCATGGAGGTGAAACATGTCCTTGGATGCTCTAGGTGATTGTCGATGAGCGCTACTTGCCACACTCAGATTCCTGTGACGAGAGGGACGTGGAAGGTTCACTGCCCTCGAACTGCTGATACTGACTTCGTCCGCATCGCGACCAGTATGATTGATACTATGGACACTTCGGTCTCCGAATGCAGACCTTCCTTTCTTCATGGCCGCTAGAAAACCCCCATAAGGGACTCGTTCTCGATCTTCGCCACTTTTAGAGAAGTGGGTTTCTGCAACAGCCGCCAGGAGACTTGGCTGCTCGTCACCACTTGAAGCATCATCTGAAAGGTATTGAGCCAGATCTGGGTCAATGATATTGTCTTTGTGGAATGCGGGCAGTCGAGACTCTGGGGTGAACTCGTCTGCATGGCGGCGTTGAAACGGCGCTCGATCATCATGGTATGGCTTGAAGCTTCGAATATACTGTTGCCGAGAGGGGTGCCTCTTGTGGCCCATTGAATGCGGCCTGCCTCCCAGTGAAGATCTCAAAGATCGAGAGGAATTCGGCCGAGCCAAAGGACGGTCTGGGTTGATTTCGAGCACAGCCGAGCGCTGACCCTCACCTGCACGTCGTGTTGCCGGGATGGCCATTGTTGGAGTTTTGAGGACATGGTCAATCGATTGAGATATCACGGAGGATGAGTCATCGTCATCCACAGACTGACGAGCGCTATTACTCCAGCTCAACTCGGAAACGCGGGGATTCATAGCAATAGGACTTTGCTCGCTGTCAGAGAACTCCGAGGAGTCATCATCATGCGCGTTAATCATCGCTTCGCAAGGCTTGCAAACACGAATCGAGCCGGGCTGCCCGAAACGAGTTCCGGGTATGGGGAGTGTGCATTTTGAATCGAATATCTGGCCACAGGTACGACAATGGTGTTTTCTGCGAAATGTCGTAAATGGCTCTCCGCAATGAAAGCAATCTTTGGCATTTTCATCGCGCATCCAAAAGTCTTTACTTAGCAACTTGCTTCCTAGCTGTGATAGCATACCATCTCGAGAAGGCCCGTCACGACGTTCACGTGGAACTTGACTTGGGATTTTGTCAAGGGCTGTATTCAGTGGTGGTAGGGAGGACACGGTTGTTGTCGTTTCAGCCGTGGATGCTCGAGATACCCCATGCCCTGGTAATCGATTTTTGATCGGGGCTGGCTTTGAAGTTTCAGCTGTGTTTGAGGCGACAGATGCAATCGGTGGCTCTTTCGGTTCATTTCCTCCGTGGGATACGGAGGCAGTTTTGTCAGACGTCGATCCACTATCCTGCAAGGGTTTCGCGGTAAAATTTGATGCTGGGTATGCTTTCGGGTCGTCTTGTCCCAGAGAGATGCGAGAATTTGACCTGCTGTTTCGACTTTGCGTCTCAGGGTCGTGGTTAGGGTCTGTGGCTTTTGAATTTCGTGGCGCACTTGGTATGGAAGAATCGTCCGAGGGCCTTGATTGACCTGCTGCAGACACAGACTTCCTACCTTGAACATCTGAAGGTTTATTGATCGAGGTGAAAGAACTACCCCTCTCCAAAGGATTATGTTCTTCATGGAGGCTTTCATGTGTCCTGATGGATAGCACTGGAGAATGGGAGCGATTTTGGCTCAGTACAGAGGCGCTTTGGCTCAAGGATACCTCCATGGGACCGTCTTTACTATCAAGACTAGCGGATTCTGCATTCTTAGGTCCTTGGTGAGAAACATTAACAGAACTACTTCTAGACTGTCGATTTTGGCCAGTGGTGTTCACGTGTAACTGGACATTGGCAGAATCGGCAGCTATCATAGAGCTACCGGTGGACTTGGTCAGTGGTGCGATGTTCGGCTTGACTGCCGGGGATGCCGATATAGAGGTCTTGGAAGATATGCTAGCGCTCTTGGAAGATCTTTTGGAGCCTTTAGTGGTACCTGGCTGCGTTGCTGCTTCTTGGCTAACCTGGAAATTCGTCGCCACCGGGGAATGAAGACGTGAACCTTGAGAAGAGTTGGGGTGCGACTGTTGATGATCAATCGAGCTAGTCGGCAAATCAGAGACTGACTTCTTCATGGAACGCTCCGAGGCTGGGCTTCTAACTGAAGCGCTATCCGTCCAAGTTTTATCAGTAGATCGTGTTCCGCCGCCCACAATATCCCTCATCCCCCCAACTGACGTCCTGAACCGGGTATATAAGCCACTGAGGCCTCCATGGAGTTCTTCTGATAGTCCTTTTTCATCTGCTGCCGATGCTGGTGCAGGTGGGGCTGTAAATTCGTTGAAAAGCGTAAGTGAGTCGGATTGACATGCCGTAGTGTGAATCTGGTCGAGAGCTGTGTGTATGTTTTCTCTTTCAGTCTGAGTGGTAGTCATGGACGCCCTCGACCTACGTCGCCCAAGGGGGAGAAATACAGACGACGTTATGGGGCTCGGGGCATCGATCAGTTTCGGGTCCATCTTGAATGGGCTGCTGTAAGTTGGGCTGCCAGCTCATAAATCATCCCCGCACGGTAAAGAAAAAGCTGCTAGCCAGTCATACGGGGCCAGAGAAGGAACAGGGACTCGTAGTAGAGCATAGCACTCGGTCCAGCGAGCTTAAAAGTCTCTATGTTTTGGGTGAAAGGAAAAGTGGAACTGAAAGAGAATAAATGAAGAAGGGAATCTTCAATCGCCCTTGCTCTCCGCAATCTGATGCTCGCCCAATGACGTGGTGGAGGCTGAGTAAGCGGTAAGCGCGTCGGTCGCGTCTTATCGTTATCAACGAGCTTCGGTGCGTTTTTGCTCTTGGACGCCTTGAGCTCGACAACTCAAGACTATACCTGGTTATGCTAGGCGCAGTCAAACGAATATGAATTGTGAGAAGAACTTCACAATATATCACCCCATGATTCCAATTGCATTTGCACGATGAACCAAGGATTCCCGTGGATCGCAACCTTTGTCCAGGAGACCCTGTCGGAGTACTTGGATCGGATCGACCAGCATAACATTGAAGTGAAAAATGATGGAGCCAACCTAAGCTTTGCCAATCCAAAGCGGTCGTTCGTCGCGCATGTACAAGAGGTGTGTCGGTCAATAAATCTGATACAAACCAGTTCACTAACATATTTCGGTCTATCAGTGGGGTGTGGATCCCTCCGGGGATGGTGTTGCAGTCTTGCAAGATGTAGAACACCAGGTTGATGCCATTATTCCTGAAGAGCTTTTATCCCTGAACAATATCGACTTTTCTTCAAATCAACCGAAGGGGTCCAATCCTAAGCATCACTCAGTCCGCCTACTAGACTTCAAGTTGGTCTGCGCCTACACCAAAAACCCGGCCCAGATTCACCTTCTCATCACCAAGTTCCAAATCAATTGGGAAGATGGAAAGACGAAGAACTTCCAACTCAAGAAGAAGCTGAATCGAAACCCCAAAGTCAAATCGCTACTGGAAGCCACTCGTCAGCAAGCTCAGGGCATTTCTAAAGCCGTCAAATCTGGCAAGTCGAGGAGCCACATAGTTGGGCGTGTCGAGTCCACACAGACTGAAATCGAAAACGAACCATTATTAGGTGGTAACGAATCGCAGCAAATCTCTTCGCAAATCCCTCGCGATCATCGTTTGCCGAAACAAATATCTCAAATATCACCCTCTTACTCGCGCGAGCCAAATGAGTTACTTCGGCACCTAGGGTCATCTTCTCCCAGAATTCGCAGCAATAAATCTTTACAGAAAGTCGAGAAATTTCCAACTGGCCGGAATGACCGGAATAGCTCAGCAGAGGCCCCTGTCAATGACATTGGCTCCGTCGATGATGAACGGCACCTCACCATGGCGAGCTCAAAAACAGAAAAAAGTCGAACTCGGAGCTCTAAGGCCGGTTCTATGGTTAAGGATGCGCCAGGAGAGATATCTGATGATGAAGGCTCAATCTCTTCTCAACCAAAAAATGGAGCTGATCGATTATCCAAAAATCCCAACCCTTCGGCTTATTCCACCCCGAACAAAACAACGCTCGCCGGACTAGACACCCAACGCGAGGAGCAGTCCCCTTCCAAAAAGCGAACTCGAGAAGGGAGGAGGACTCCTTCTCAATCAAACAGTAATAGAGATGAAAATATCGACCCAGGGACAGGCATCCCGCCAAAAAAGCGTCAGCGCACTAGCCCCACGCCAGAAATATCATCTCAGGTATCCCAAAGCAAGACGGCTGTTCAAATAGGGACAGAGCCATCAGTGGCCCAAGACGCTGTCACTGATTTGTCCACGCCAGCTCGCTCGCGCATAGTGGCAACTCAACACAGCCCATGGGAAAACCTAAAAGGTCTCAATGAGCGTGACGTTGCGGTTCCAATGGACCAGCAAGAGCTTCTTGATGACAACAAACTATGTTGGGTTTCACCCCGATCGAATTGTTCCTCGCCTCAAGGCCACATACCCTCTTTATTGCTCAAGAAATGGAACACTATTGCCCAAAAACGCAAGCGTAACACGTCCACTCCAGAAACATCACCTGAAAGATTAAATAGCGGGAAGGCTGCTCAAAAAGGGATGGATATGTCGATGGATCAAGAGGCTGTCACTATCTCATCCACGCCAGTTCGCTCATATAAAGCTGTGCCAGCTGGTCCCAGTCCATGGGAAGGTTTTGATGATATCAAAGAGCGCGACATCATAATCCCAAAAGACCAGAGAGAGCTTCTTGATGACAACAAACTCTGCTGGATTCCACCTAACCCGACTGATCCCCGTCCTCAAGGGCATGTACCGCCTTCGTTACTAAAGGCCTGGAACGACTCTGTCAACAGGCGCCATCACCAGACAGAACTCCCCAATGTTACCCCAGAAAGATCCATCAGCCCAACTCAAGAACGTGATGGCTCTTCTACTACAAGTCGCACAACTGAGGAGTATAGTGACTGGGAGGTTTCTCCTGAACGCTCTCCTGCACCCGCCCGTGGTCCCTTTCTCCCCCCGTCTAGCCCTGTGAAGCAACCCACTCTAGCTAAGAGACGGTCAAACCCAACGCCCGTAGATGGCAACCACTCCGGTCGTTCAGTGAGCACTAAACACACGACGGATGCCAAATTAAATGGCAAAGGACCTTCATCTGGGCCTAGGAGCAATAGAGGCTCGCCAGAGACCGCAGGCAGTTTGATGCGCGAGTCACCAAAGCCTCCAAGGCCTGTTCCAAACCACAACCAACCCAAACGTCAAAGTATAAGTTCTCGACGATCTTCGCCACTAAATGAGCCGCAAAATCAAGATCATCTTTCACGGATATCTAGTACCCCATCGCCTAATCAAGAACTGGCTCGGAAATGCCCTTCCCAAGCAACGTCCCTACAATCCTCAGCTGTGGCCCAAGAAGACGATTCAGATGAAGAATCCGTAATGGATACATCCGTACCAATAGCACTTGGCGAAAACATTCCAGAGCCCACACAATCCAGTCAGGTAGAGGAAGAAATGACAAGCTCGGGCCAATCGCTCCCCGGGCCAAATGGGGAATGTATTCAAGTTGCCGTTAGCCCATTAGTTGGCAACAATCGCTTTCATTGTGGCATGTCGGATACTAATATCAACGAACTTGGACATACAACGGCCAATCACTCCTCCTCTCAGTCACATAAAACGTCTTCCCAGTCCCGTGTCCTTAACACGTATCCTTCTCATGAAAGTCACAACGAAGCTCAATCTTCTCATGAAACTTCGAACCCTGGAGATCAGACCCAAGAGATGCAAGTTCAAGTGAATGTCCCTGTAACCCAGCTGGAGCCTAGCAGCATGGCATCACAATGGCAATCGCGATCGCAAGATGTTATAAATACTTCGCAGTCGGACATCGTTCTCGATTCATCGGGGCCGGTTCAGCGCCACAAAGACATGTTTTCTCCTGTCAATCAGCCCCCGGTTTTTGAATTGACAAGTCCCCGTGATTCTGCTCAGTCAGAGCCACACAATACAACTCAAGAGTCTACGGATGGAACCCGTCCTCCAAACAATCACATGAGTTCTCCAGTGGTATCCCCGCTTCAGCCAGTCAACACACCGGGAATCAAACAAAAACAAGCTTTGTCCAAGGCCCTTACGCTTCCAGTCGGAGAGGATAGAGGCAAATACGACCCGTATTTCAACACACAAAGCGCTCATCTGCTAGCCCGCCGGGAAGGCTTCATTAGCAAGAATAAGAACCAAGCTGAAGCCCGAGAGGTGTACCAGCAATTCTGCAGCTGTTACTGCTCTTATTCTGGAGATTTCGATCATTTCACAAAGATGTGTAAGAAACTGTCTGATTTACGGCAGCAAGGCAAGCTTCAGCGTTCATATCTTTGGGATGATTTTATCATAATGCATCTTCATACTTATCCCAGCTATTGTGAAAATGCGTTCAGTCAAAATTCAAAGAAACTGAATTATGAGGATTATTTCCTAGACATCTATTCCCGGCCTAGTTTCAAGAAACGCAGTTTAACTCTCCGAGGCATTGAATTGGTCGCCTCACAGTTCATTGAGATTGAACCACCGCGCCCAACCAGAAACATCTCACCAATTCCAGTGTCAAGTCCACTCCATGGTCTCGCTTTAGGCGTCTCTTTCACCAGCAGTCTGGTAGATAAGTTTACGAACCTACAAACCCATTCATTCAATGTCTTATCTCCGAACGGCCCTCCCGCTGCCAAACCTGAAATTGAGCGCTCTTCTCGCGCAAGCTCGGTGCAAATTAAGCTAGAGGGGAACGAACCAGTGTTTCCTGAGCCCATGGACATTCAACCCTCTCCCGTGAATGCCTACAACGAAAGACCTGTATCTCCTACCGGTGAACCGAACAATGAACCAACAGGCCAGATTGATGAGCCAGGTACCCCTACTAAGATGGAGGCTGAAGTAACTGAGGATGATACGGACATGGAAGAAATACCTGAGACCGATCCAGAGGATAGTGACCAACATGATGACACTCTCCATGAAACCGCCAGTGTTGAACTCGGCGACGAGTCGTTTGATTCTGCAGCCAGGGGCCAGTCACCTACAGCGTGCGATCCAATGGAGGTTATCTCCGGCGAGGCGAATGGTAAGGAAGACTCGGAGCCAGAAAGCGACAATGAGAACTGGTTTATATCACTTAGGCACATGCGCCCCAAAAGGGGTGTGTGGTCGGATGGGCCGACCGAGTTCAAGCGCTGGGCAGAAGCTGACCAAAACGTGCACAGTCAGCGTTCTCGTCGAGGAGGCTCCAGAGTTCTTCTAGATGACAATGGCGTGATCCGGCGCCCCATCTACCGGTGAAAACCACATATATAATTAAAATATAATGAATTGAAGTTTTCTCACTTGATTGATCCGAGGTATCATACAGATCTCATACATGTTCCAAAGTCCTACACATCTACTTGCTTTAGGAAGGAAGCCTAGGCAGTCTTAAACATCCATGTTCTTCCAGCAGTAGCATAACATTTGAACTTCGCCGTGTAACTCACTCGAAGGTTCCAAGGTTCTACCTACTACTACATACTGCCATTCCACCATCTACACAAAGTACGGCTCCAAAATCGACAACATCCCAGTATAAGCCACACCACTCGGAGGCTCCATACTGAAAATATAATCTCCCCACCAAGGACCCGCAGCCCACCACGACGCACCCAACCAAACCGCCGAATTATCTATTAAATAACTCAACATCCCCGTAATCGCCTCCTCGCAAACATCATTTACCCCACCAGCAAACTCGCCCAGGACCCCCACCTTGTCGTTATCGATAAGCCACTGCGTCGCAGACTCCACACGCTCCTGTCCAATCGTGTGCGAAACGCAAGTCGCGCTTGTTCCTGAGCCGTCCGAGTCCAGGTACTGATGCATCTCGTAGATGATTTTGTTTTCCGTGTCTGTGAGATTTACCAGGTTACCGTTAACTTCGGTCCAGGTCCAGGCACCGGTGTATGAGTTGCCTTCTACAAAGATATATTGGCTTGTTGCTCCTGCGGCGCGGATGCCGTCGATGGCGGCTTGGTTTAGGTCTAGGACGAGTGTTTGGTCCATATCGTGGTATTCGTTGTCTGGGGCTAGTTAGTACCTTTCTTTCTTCTTTATTGCTTCTGTGAAGTGTAAAGTCTAAAAAGAGAGGGATTCTCAACTGGTATCAAAAATGACTAGGCTGTTTGACGCGAACTTTGTGGCCACATTATTCCAGAATGTCTGGAAATCCGACGTGCTCTCGATGATTGATCCGTAGCTGCTGAAGTGTTAGCTTTGGGTAGGCAAGGTCGTGCTTAAATTGTTTGACCCACTATCGACCATAGTTATGCGGATCAAGAACGGCATAAGCACCTGCACCGGTAATGTAATCCACCACCTTCATATCCATTAGTCACTGTATTTCTCTTGCAAGAGGTTGAAACTTACACTTGTCAAGTTGGCTAGGTATTCTGAATCAAATGATTCAGTCATGGTGGTCGGGACTAGCCGTTCCATGAGGAACGCTACCCGGAAGATATTCATGCCATCGTCGATTAAAGTCTGGATAGTACTGGTATCCGGGAAAATAAAGTCGGTTCCCTATGTTATATGTTGTCAGTCAATGATATCAAGGCCTGGATATGGTGTCAAGTACTAACATAAACCCCAGGTATATTACCCGAGCCGAACTCAGCGCAGGATTCACTGACTCCAAACCCTATATGGATCGTGTAAGTCTTCAAGTTTAAGAGCACTTCTATAACTCATAGTATCGGGTACGAACATTTAAATGATGAAGCCCTCTTCTTGTGTTCCTTCAATGGAGATGCAGCCACAGATGCCGCCGCAGCGAGAAGAGCAAAATGACTGAGTCTCATATTGATACGTCGCCTTCTGTAAATATGATCCAAAACGAACACTACTGTTCTGTACTTCCGGTTGTCAACACAGAGATCTTCTTGATTTTTGTCGCCAAAACAGCTACATTTTATATCTCGGATATTCTACAATTCTACCTATCTCCCCACCTATACAGAAGGCCATAGCCATCAACATCGTCAAAAGAGACACGGAGTAGATCTAGTCGGTCCGTCACGCCGTGAATTATTCAAATCTCGATGTCACCCCGTAATTAGCAAGTGTCTCTCAGGACGCTTTGCGGGGTATCTGGGGTGTGAGAATCCCACCAAGGAAAAGTGTTCCAGCTAAAGCTAGACAACCATTTGAGTATAGGTGCCCAGATCTGAAACGGGATTGTTTCGACTATCATATGTTCTTAATGATGCCAGGTGGCTTTCTGCTCCGCATAGCTCTGTCCAAGCTTTTTGTCCTCAGGCATGGGTGATGATTGTGGGGGAATCGAGTGTTCTTTACTGGGCCACGGCTTACGGGTATGTTGGGCTTTCCCCGTGGCTTTTCGGGAATCGATCTGCAGCCCGGCAGTTTAGGAGGGGCTTGAAGATTGATTCTTCAGGTTGTATTAATTAAGGACTTTGCATAGTCTCAGTACATATCACCTCGAATAATGGATCTGCTTTTGAAGAACATGGTCTAACTACTAATATGGGTGCCTACTCTTGAACTGGGACCTAACAACTTCACAACTGGTGTCGCTGATAGTCGAAACTCTCATGAAGAGTGGCCTCGGAATAACGGTACGTCTGAGATAAGATTGTTCAAAATCTTTCAAGAGATGTCTAGTTTGGGTGAATGCATATGACGGTATACTACATATCCATCTGGAAGCCCCAGGTCTGCCATCGTTGCCTAGGTGATAATCCAGAGGCGTCAAATGTTAGACTACAGCCTGAGAAACTGGGCAGTGATTTCTAAGGTTTCAAAAAAGGCAGAAGTTCCGCAGCCCGGAGTTATATAGGCTCCCGGCCAGGTACACCTGAGAGCAACTGGGACATAATGTAGGTGTAATACAATTGATCTACCTCTCCTTCAACTTGAAATGTTCAACATTAAATTCCAACCCGAGACCTCAACTACGAACGCCAAGCGCCACATTCTTCATCGGCAGGTCTCCACTCCGTGGGGGGGTGGCTTGCTCGCCCTGGAAGGCTTTCAGCTAACTCAATATTGAGTTTATTCTAGTTTATCCTAGGATTTCCAAGATATTCGCGTCATAGTCTAGCACATGCGTATGTGGCTAGTGGTTCCATCGCAGAGATTTTCCTATTCGTTTGCCTGTCAAGGCCAGCTAATCTCGTTCTCCTCGAATGATATTTAGCGTGGACAGATTTTCTGGAACAGGATCTGCTTTTCCCCCACTGATCCGCCAAATAAGCAGCGTTCTGGCATGCCTCGGGCTCGGGAGTTCGAGGTCCCCCACAGACGATCTCTTAGCTTAATGAGCTCAGGTACCTTGCACCTCTGTCTCTAGTGGTCAGGGATCACTGTCTCTCTCACCTGTGTGTCTGTACGATCTGATATCTGAAAGCACCAATGCAACCCTTTCTATCATGACATGATTGAGTCTGTGCAGGTACCAGGTCCATGACATCAGGCGGGACCGATGACGTCGGCGATCGAGCTTTCCCCCCCAAAAATGCAACTTTGGAAACTCCAGCAGAATCTGCGCTATTGGATCTTTGGATGGATTAGCGTCCAATTGAGTTGGCTAGTCAATCCTCTAGTGTGTATGTAGTTAGCCTTCCCAGTTCTGGGGCGCAGCAGACAGGATCCGCCAATCTCCGGTTTTTCTTTTTTCTGCTCGTGGTCTTTTTTTTGGCCCATTTGCCCTATGATATTGGGTAGCTAAGCTAGTGTTGTATACAGTTTTTGGACCTTGTGAATCTCGTGAACTCTTATCCCAAAGAACTCACCCCCGAATCGGGTTAGGCTACCGATAGTCGACGTCACCTTCAAAACTCCATAGCTTCTTCCTGAAATCATCTCTCTTCAACTTTTTATATCTGCCTTCTTTCTCCTCTATAAGCTTCTATTCTTTCTTCTACCCCTGTTGTCCATCTCCGGTTGCAGTACATCCCGACTTCCGTCACATCCCGTTCGAGGTACATCCCCCTCTTTCCCTTTTACCACACGTCATTACTGCGCAAGGCACCCTTTTTTTTCTTTTATGAATTAAGATCTAACTACGTGACCGCCTGCAGGTACGACTCCTTAAGAAAAGAAAAAAAGATTCAAGGAACCCTTCCTCTCCCGGATCACCTTACCTTCTACAACACCGTCCACCATGCACCGTACCTATTCTATGCGCCAGACGCGCGCTCCGACCGCCTCGCAGGTCGAAAACCCCGCTCCTCCTCTGTCTACGACTAAGTCGAACCGCTGGCTAGGAAAGGGTGGCTTGGGTGAGTGGTGTCAAAATTGGACCAGAAAATAGGGCATTCCGATCGCGATCGCGATCGCACGATCTCCGGCTACGATTGGAGGTTACTGCGCAGACCTGCTCCCGCCCCGATCGGGGGGGGGGGGGGGGCTCCTCTGCTTACTCCATTGCAAGAACATCTGCCAAACCGCGATCGAGATTTAGGAAAAAAGCTCGTTCATGAGAGTCAACAGCATCAACTGACAGTATTACGATTATAGGCCATGCATTCCGTAAGAACGCCGCGGGTGCCTTCGGCCCCGATCTGTCGCGCAAGCTGTCCCAGTTAGTGAAGATGGAGAAGAACACTATGCGCAGTATGGAGCTTGTCGCTCGCGAGCGCATGGAAGTCGCGGTATGTGGAACTCGTTTCCCCCCATTTTCGCCCGTCGCCCCCTTCCTTCCCTTTATTTTTCGCAATTGATGGCGCCGCGATCTCGAAACCACGCGACTAACAATGGATTAGCAACAACTCTCCATCTGGGGTGAGGCCTGCGACGAGGATGTGTCGGATGTCACCGATAAGCTTGGTGTCCTGATCTACGAGATTGGTGAGCTGGAGGACATGTTCGTCGACCGATACGACCAATACCGTGTCACCATTAAGAGCATCCGTAACATTGAGGCCTCTGTACAGCCCAGCCGAGACCGTAAGTCAGGCTTCTTCGTCCCATTCTGGCCTTCTTGATCTTCCGAAGCTTGGGTGGTTTAGCTACCCAGAGAAGAGAGGCACGGTAGAGAGAAATCATGTGACTAACAGAGCCTCCTTCGCACACCAATAGGCAAGCAGAAGATCACCGATGAGATTGCCAAGCTCAAGTATAAGGACCCCAACTCTCCCCGCATCGTCGTTTTGGAGCAGGAACTTGTTCGCGCCGAAGCCGAGTCTCTGGTCGCCGAGGCCCAGCTGTCAAACATCACCCGTGAGAAGGTCAAGGCCGCTTTCCAATACCAATTCGATGCCCTGCGTGAGCACTGCGAGAAGGTCGCCATCATCGCCGGCTACGGCAAGCACCTTCTCGACCTGGTCGATGACACCCCCGTGACTCCCGGTGAGACCCGCCAGGCATACGACGGTTACGACGCCAGCAAGGCCATCATCCAGGACTGCGAGGATGCCCTCAGCAGCTGGGTTTCCAACAAGTCAGTCGTCAAGTCCAGTCTCTCCCAGCGCTCGAACACCCTCTCTCAGCGCCACCGTCAAAACCGCCAAAACCGCGACGGCATTGATTTGTCCCAGCAAGATGCTCCTATGACCGGAGACCGCGACTCCTGGTTGCCCGCCGACCAACACCCCAACTACGAGGATGGTGAGGATGGAGTGAGCACCTTGGAAGGTGAGATCCGTGGTCGTGAAGAAGAGCGGGAGCCAATTGCTGCTTAAACGAGAATACGAAAAGAAGATACCTTTTGTCCTAATTTTCCTTCTTTTTTTTCTTTGCACCTACCCCCTCTTACCCCGTTCTGCTTTTCTCCGCTTCTCTTCTCATCAATCATGACCGACGGCTCCTTCCGGAGCCCGGTGCAGGCTATGCCCATGCACACACACGCATGGACCTGCAATTTCTCCTTTCGGCCGCATGATCCATCGTCGGCTATGTCGTGATTGTTATTATCATGTCAGACCCTATTAGATGCTAAGAACGACCTAATATATACTGGTTTTAACTTCTGCATCTCACGATGACATGATTGTTCCTATGACAAAACCCCAGTCACGCAATATCTGCTATATGTTGGATCACTGCGCCCCGGTCCTTGCGCCATTCTTCCCTTCCTTCCTTCCTCTTTTTGTGTTCGCTTTTTATGTCCGTGTCCTTTTCAGTTCACATCATGAACACCGCCTTATGTCGTGATTCCGTGCCCGTGGGTCGTGCTTGTCTTACCCCAGCTTTGTCACACTGGATGTGGATGGGTGGGTGGATTCAGGGTCCTCCGAAGACCCTGCATCTCCAACTTTTTTTTTTTCCCCGAAAAAGAAAAATCAATTCCGGATTGACTGGGGTGAACATCATGACCAAGAATACGCGCGGGCCGTTTTTACTCTTGTTCTTTGTTTGACTTGGTGCTTTCCCTGATGTAATACCATCTTCTGCTGGGTTTTTTGTCTCCTGTCTGTCTTCGACCTGATAGGACGGTCGGAGTTGGGTAATTTAATCACTAGGTGTTAATGAAATCGTTAATCGAATCTCCGTTGATTGTTTGAGTTGTCGGTAGCTTCTGAAGTACATGTATTTAGTACTAGTAGCCTGTAGGTACTGGTTGATAGTAGAGAAGGTTGCACGTGTGGCTATATTCATGCCTAGATAGTACATGAGCCTTCCAAGGTTGATTCAAGCTTATAGGGAAAAGGCACTTGCCCCCAACTTAAAGGTCAAGGTCAACTCCAACCTTCATTCTAACTTACTAAAATCTTAACGAAGTACATGTACAGGCTGGTATACTCCTGTGATAGGCTACTTGTCGAAATAAGCGGGGCATCACCACAATATTCACAACTTATTAATGAACATTGATGATTTATCGACTGAGTGCCGGCACAAACTATACGGTGTCTTCGTCTGGCGGCGACTCCCTACTCCAAACGCCTTCTCCATATCTTCAAAACCTTGGAAGCTTCCCCACTACTCTTGCTGATTATATCTGTTTAAAGCATAAACACAAAAAAACGCCTTAGCGACTGACTAGTAGTATATCATATTGGACCAGGTCATCGGCAGCCCCCGTTAAGGCCCAAATTCGTGGCTGATTGGAGATTAAATGCCGAGTTGATATTATCCTCGAAATCTAACCTTGATTGGGAGAAGTGCAAGACATAAGATCGCAAGATCAAGACTAATATCTCCACCAACAAAAAATAGATAGAGAGAATGAATTTTGGCGAAAGAATCTAGTCCTATAGCTTCCGCGCAATGAGACAAAACTGCGGGGTATCATCAGAGTCCACCTCCGGGGGTGGCACAAATACTTCCATCCTCTCATCCAAAATCTCAAAGCCACTCTGAGCCAATATATGCCTCTATCCAGCTCGAGAAAATAAGGTGTTCAACCCATTCTTCCCCATGAACCGCCTTGTAACAGTTACAGAATATCCATCGGCGTCGAAGTCGCTGACAATCTTGGCTGGATTATAGTCATCAGCCGCCAGGACCACCATGCAAAGCAGACCGTTACTCTGCAGAGGTCTGGACTAGTTCTACGCTATCTTCCAGCCCAACACTTATCCGAATAATATGCTGAGGAGCACCGTATTTAGGTACCTTGTCACGATTCCAGTAATTGGCCAACTGGATATAGGGAATGGCCAGAGTGAAATTGGTACCAAAGCTGGACCCCTTACAGATATCTAGAACATTGTAAAAATGCTCTGCACTGCTGGGGTTGTGGAAGATAACGCTGAGGACGTTCCCATAGCCGCCTTCTTTGCGGATGAGACTCTTGTATAAATGAGCGGTTGGGCCGATGGAGGGATGATTGACCAGAGCAATTGATGGGGGTTTTGCGAATAAGTTGATTAGGGGGAAAGTGTTCTGATTGCATTTTATCACCCGCCAGGCAATGTCCTGGCAATTATGCAGGATCGTATCAAGGTCAAGAGGGAAATAAGTGTTCTCGTAGTTACCAAAGAGAGCAGCTTGGATTCTCTCCATATGACGGGAGTTGGGATTGATGACCAGGCTAAATGTGTCAGATGAATGGAGTTCATGTGTGGCGATTCGGGAACTTGAACATACCTTCCTCCAGTCACGTTGGAATTTCCACTGAAAGCTTTGGTCAAACTAGACATCATTAGATCTACATAGGGGAGTGCATCGATGTTGATGTAGCCGACAACGGTGTCGTCGCAGGCGACAATGAAGTTATATTCATCAGCTAAAGCGCGAATGCGGTGCAGGTTGGGCGACGAGAGTTTGATGTTACTGGGCAGCTCAATGAATAGAGCGTGAATCCGTTGGCCAGATTGCAGTATACTCTCCAGTTGATCTAGTTCTGTTTCTGTCCCCTCCTTAAACGACAGGATGTTTTTCCATGCGCCTCGTCGGAGTACCTCAACCGTTTCTGGGTAGAGCCATCCGTTGCGCCGTGTCAAGTCTGTGCATCCTAATTCTCAAATATAGTACTTTACTAATGAATCAAAGGTAAATGGTTGGAGATTACTGCCACCAAGCCACTGCTAGATCTTAATTCTTCATTTCTAGAATGGGAAGCTTCTCTTATTTTAGGACATCCAACTCATCCGGTATACTCATACTCCATGACAGATATGATCAATGATTGCTAATTTGAAATAAAGGTCCATCGAACATGCTTCGCTGATAATCTGCTAAAGCCAGTTGGACCAGAAGATCTACCCGATATGCTTAATCCGGGTATCACACTGGTTGCCCTCCCACGATCTTCAGTCCATGTTTATGGACCATTTGAGGAGCTAACCCACTCTCTAATGAAATGTTTGAAAGTGGTCCGCCCGACTTCCACTGACTTGGTTGTGGTCCCTTGCCTTTCCCGGCAACTGCCAGCGGTGTTATATTACTTCCCAGAAGCAGAGCATGTAAAGTCCGTCCCCGGTGTTGCGAAGGCACATGCTGCTATCCGAACAGTCTCTGTTCCTGGTTATGAACTTGACTTGAAGTTTTCTCTTGCATGTCAGATTACCTCCGCGCTGAGAGCCTTGCCATGTTGGCCTGCGGCTGCGGCACCGGAGATGACTGCTTTAATGAGAATGATTTTTCCAGAGGACTTATGGTTATTTGGAGAGATCGCTGCTGTGACTGGGAGCCAGGAAGGCAAAAGTGAAGCTCGTCACCTGACATGTATTCTCCGGGAGAGTCTGGAGGCTAAAGCACAAAAGAACGATGAGGCACTCATTCTGGTCTCGGCATTAATAGAAAAGCCAAATGGTAGTCAGAAAACGTGTGCGGAAATCTTGTTTGACCTCAAATTGACCGCTGAGAAAAAAGAATGGTTCACGAGGTCTGATTATTCCCCCCCCTCCCCCCCAGGAAAAGAAAAAATTAGCATGCGTCTAACATTGTGAATAGCTATATCAAATGCCTTTTTCGGCTTGGATTGGATCCACTACTGCATCATGGCGTCGGATGCGAGCTGCATGCTCAGAATACAGTCGCCCGCATTTGTCGGCAGTCAAAGACGATCAAAGGATTTGCAGTTCGAGACTCAGCCGGAGTTAAATTACACACACCGACGCTAGAAAAGCAGGGTTTTAGCGTAGATGCTGCTGGGCTTGGCACGGATGACCTTCACGAAGTGTGGAACAGGGTTCATCATGCACTTCTGCAGAACAACGTCGGTTACATGCTATATGCCTTGGGTCTTGAAGGTGCAGAAGGCGGATGGGATATTGTGAGATTGGCATTGTCCGAGATCCTAGAGACAGACAAGAACCCAATTGGAAAGGAGATGTATCGCTACTTTACCAAAGAGATGATGCCTTTCAAAAGTTTCTTGAACATGAGAATGAAAGCCTCATTGAAAAATGTGAGTTAGGCTTGATTTCATTGATAGATATGTTAAAGATCAACTGACCGATAATATAGTCAATGGCCATTATTGAAAAAGAGATACCTAGCGTTGTCGCCAAAGGTTCCCCATGGTTACTTCAAATCTCTTTGAGAGGTACGCAGGATCCTCAAAACCCGGTTCTACCCCAACAAATCCATCCAAAATTTCGTATTTATGAGAACGAGAAACTGCAAGAGAGATTGGCAGACAATGTTCGTCCGTATGGTGCACTTCCTGGTGCAGCAAAAAGACTCAATCCCCACCCAGCACTTCTGCCGTTGCAGTTTATAAAAGAGCTAGAGATCTTCAATGAAGCCTTGGCCATAGCTCTGAACAATATTATCGAAAGATGGTGGACAGACAAGGAAGCCAATCTACCGAGTCGAACGCCATTGGATCCCCATGTCGAGGGGCTCTTGCAGTGGGTAGATAAGGCGACTGCAGATGGAATCATGTCACCTTTCCAAGGCCACCAAGGCAATCTACGACCAGATATTTTACTCCCAGTCACAGATTGTGAAGTCCCGGAATTTCGCGTTTGTGAAATCAATGGACGATTTCCTATCAGTTTTCTCCACTACGTCGCAACGGCCTACGAGGCACTAGCCGGTAGTATATGGAATACTCCCTTGATCGAACCAGCCACCAACTACAAAGTTCTCCAAGAAAGCCTGTTTGATTTGTTCGACTCAGGAAGCCCTATTCACTTTGTCAAGGAGAGTCAAGCTTTTCCATCCGATAGCCCTCTGTTTGGTTTTATCGAAGAGCGAACCGGGATGAGAGCGAGAAACGTCAGGCCAGGTGATCTTCGTCTGGTACCTAGTACAACCAGCCAAACCGGGTTCATGCTATACTGTGTCTGGGGCGCAGATCCCATGATCAAAAGTCCCCCTGAATCCTTGCTAGAGGTAGATGATCAGTTGTTGGAGCCAGTATACCAAGTCGGATTACAGCTGTACTACATCGAGCTCTTTTCTCTATCCCCCGAGATGGTGCGACACATTGCCATGTACTGCAGAAATGACCCACGGAGTGTATTCATTGCCCAAGACAAACGTATCCTAGGCATTATCCTCCAGGAACTACACAGTCTCGTGAATACGCAGGTATTGTCTCTTGCACAAGCGCAGACCCTGCGTGACCATATCACTTCTACGGTCATCCCCGGGTCGACTGATTTCAAAGGCCTTGTCCGTCAGAGCCATATCAACCCCACCTCAAAGACCAATATATCATGAAACCTGTCCGGGACGCTCGCGGAGCCGGGATTCTACTAGGAAGAAACATTTCCAATGAACAATGGTTGTCGATTTTAACATCTCTCAGCAGCAAGGATGTCTACGTGTCTACGGCGGAATATATGCTGCAGCCTCTGCTAAATTTACGGTCTTTTGAATGGTTTTGGGATGAAGAGCGCCAGATCCGCAAAAGTCGGAGCGTGGGCACGTACTATTCTGTGAACGGACGTTTTGTGGGGTTGGGGATGTGGAGAACAGGGTCAGTCGAGGGGGATGTGATTTCTGCATCTACGAAGGATGCGACGTCTGTTTTGGCTGTGGTAGCTCTTAATAGTTGAATAATGATACTGAAATGCCCGATGAAATACTGCGGCCTGAACTCGATTTCGTTGAGTTATACCGAACGGAAATAGATGGACCTGGAAATTTGAAAAAATGGCATGCGATGATATGTTAGACCCATTTCTTTCAGCACGAGGGCTTAATTATGAAGGATAGTATACAGAAGAACGTTTGAGTAATGAGCAAGCAGCTAACGAGACTAGATTGAGAATCTGATCTCGGGACTCAATTCTAGTCCAAGCTTTAAGGTCTTCGTTTACCTCTTATATATGCATAGCAATAGAAGATTTAATCCAAAGTCATATATAATAAGCAAAAGGAACCTTGGAGTAGCGAGATATAAAATATAAAAACCAGCATCTTCCCATAGACCAGAACCCAGCACGAAGTTAAGCAAACCCATTCAAAGAATTCGACCAATCCCCCGAGTGTAACATGCGATTCTCCGGGTCAACACCATCCACACCCGCACTTCTAGTCTTCCACGCATAATTTAAAGAACAAGAGACAAATATTCTAATCCCGTATCAAAATTCAAAGCGCAATGGCTTCTGAGCAAGAGGATGGAAAAAGGATAATAAGAGGTATAAAGAGCCGGGGCTTAGGGTGATTGAGTAGATAGAGCCCGGTGAGAGGATCGGCGGATAAGAGGTAGGTAGGATGTTATAGGAGCGTCAATGTTCGATAAGCTAGGCGTAGAAGCGAGACCCCTGAGAATCACAGTCACCGGTCGAAGGAGGAAGGTCGATAGGAGAGAAAGATCGTGACATCGTCATGACTGGTTTTTGTCATTCTCTTCCCTGCTGTATGTTTCTCAGATCCATTTTTGATAAATAATAAGATTGAGAGTAGAGCGAGGGAGGGAGAAACTAAAAACCGCAGTCGAGCAAGCAAAGAAATTCAAACGCCTGGATGGCCTTTCCAGTCGAGAAGACGACGACCATGAAATCAAGAGATGATACATGAAAATAGAGCCAGAGAAAAGAGGAAAAGAAAAGGCGACAACGCAAGAGACGCAGTGAACGATCAAAAAGACAGACAACACTTCATTTTGACGCTTACTCGTCAGTGCCGACGCCCTTCTTTTTAGGCTGAATATGTTTCTGGGCCCTGTTTCCGGATGACTTCGGTTCTAATGCGCCGCTATCCTGTGGAGGAGGGGGCATTCTGGTGGTTGTAGCCTCATGTTTCTCAGTGAGAAGGTTCTTCAACCAGCGATTCTCCATTTCCAATTGGGCGACGCGAGCCTCAAGGGAAGCATTTCTCTCTGTAGTCTCACGGACAGTACGTTCGAGAACTTGCTCGCGGGCCTTCTTCTTCTGACGGAAGCGAGCACTAGCAGCCGTATTACGGCGGCGTCGGTCCTCTTCAGCGGCGACGCGTACACCGCCCTCTTGATCTAGAGCCGCGGCGATGCGGTCTCCAGAGATAGAGGTGCTGTACTTGGTGTTGCCCATCTGGCCATTGGGAGGCGAGATAGACGAAGAGACATCCGATGGAGTCATCTGTCCCGGGCCGTGGCCGAGATCATCGGGATTAAAAGGGACAGGCGGATAGATAGAATGAGCCGAATAAGGCATCATGTGGTCGGGAATAGAGTAGTTGATGGATTTGTCGCCAGTTGGGCCTGAGGGATGGAGTAAGCACTGGTCTTGATTAAGACTGAGATTCAATATGGTAGAGAGGTTCATCCGTCTGCTTGAGACAAGGAGATCCGTGACCCTATGGAGGGATCCCGGACCATGCACAGAAGCATATGTAAGTGCATGAAATAAACTCCAGGGATTCACATATAAGGAATGGGGGAATGGGGAATTTGGGGGGAGGGTCTGAATGGGAATAGGGAGAAGATGATTTGCAATGTAAGCCCCAAGGTATCCATGGCTTATTGCGCTCATTTGGATGCGGGATTGCGTGCTCGATATTGCAGATGTAGTCTTGGACAGGCAAGAGGGGGAACACGATGATCTCATTCCACGAAAATAGGATAGATCATTCGCAATTTCAGATCGACCTCTGGGGCTTGCAGGAGCCTCGTGAGCACGAGCTTTAACCTCCTCAGCCATGCATGGGCCCGAGTGACATGGGGGTGTTTTTGTGGGGGGTGGGAAGAAGGAAGGGCAGTGTAACAGGGTAAGGCGAGATGCCAATATCGCAGCGCAATCAAAAAAAAGGGGGAACGAGCAGAGTAGCAAATGTAAAAATACGGACGAATGGGATTTTCAATATAAAACAGCAAGCAAAGAAAAGAAGAAGAAAAGAAGAAATTCATAAAATGAGAAGGGTTCTAATCCTCATCAAAATGGAAATCCAGCTTCTTTTTTTCCTCCCCGAAGCCAAAAGGAAGCCAAAAGCCAAGAAACCATAAAAAGCAGAATGATGGCGCAAGAAATGCAACCTTTTGCAACAAGTCAAAGCTTGAACGTACCGTGATAGGGATATCCCCGTAAATCGAGAGACGAGCGTTCGTCTTCAATACTATCATAAGAGCTAACGGACAAGCCGCCCATGCCCTCGGTCTGATCGTAATCCATATTCACGTTGGCAAACGGGACCAGCCCAGTGTCCGCGTCAAATGAATACTGTCGGGGCCTAGCGTTAGGATCGGTTCGCGATAGTAAAAAATTGAAGTTTTCAATTTTGTCGAACCCAGCAGTAGGTAGGCGAAGATGATGAGCCTGAGGGGGTGGATGCTCCTCGGGCATGATGGAAGAAAGAAGGTTGTTGGAGGGGGTGGAATGTAGAAATAGGAAAAGGAAAACAACGACAATGATCAACCCCGAGAAAAGAAAGCACCAAAAGAGACAAAAAGAGACAAAAGAGTTTAAAAAAAAAAAAAAAAGAAAATAATAATAATAATATGGAAATGATCACGAACGATCAAACTCCAAGAGGTTTATTATTTTAATTTCTAATTTTTTTTTATTTTTTTTTCTCTTTTTCGTCGATGGCGTTTTGCCCTGGTTTGGGGGGTGGAAGAGAGAGATGATGGAAAAAGGTCCAAGTCGCAAGTAAAATTCTAAAAATCCACGGTTAATCCCCAGATCAGATGAATGGACCAGGACGATCCCCGAATAAGCAAGTTGTCCGGAAATCTGGGATTGGCATACAATGACAGGGACGAATTATAACCTCGGAGATTGGGGGAATTGGGGGGCGTAAAGGTAGATTCGGCCACGATCACCTTTGCACGGGTGTACACGCATAACGCGGACAATACGAATCAGGATTGGACGTTGGAAGGCAAAAAAAAAGGGGCAAAGAGGGCAAAGAGAGTAAAGAGGGGGGCAAGGGAGAGGAGAGAAGGGACGTAAAGCAACAAGTTCAAGCCTCGAGATCAACTAGTCGATGATCTGATAGAATGGAGAAATGTCGTGATCGCGAATTCTGGTTCGTCCGCTGCGCCTCCTCACCGCTCGCGAGTTACAGACATACGAGGACTGGGAAAAGGTTGGGTCGAGATGGAAATGATCAGTATTATATGGGGAAGACAAAATGCGGAGAAAAAAAGGGATATAAAATGATCAAGAAGTATAAAAAAAAATTAGCACTCGTTATGACCACTTCAGTTTTAAGCAATGGGTCCCTGATCACTTGTCACGATTAATCAGAACATCTGGGCACAACAGTACATCCTCAGTACATCCTCAGTACCAGACTGAACCAGACTCAAACAACTCCACTTCCGTGTGTGAGAAATGTGATGGGGCCGCGGGACAATTTCTGGATCCACTTCCCACTCCGATGACGCGGACTGGATTCTGGCGCTTTGTACCGAAGGTAATTACATGGAAGCTTGGCTCCTTCTCCCATGGGATCCATAAGGGGGGCCGGGATCGAAAGACTCTAGCGCCTCTCTACGCCTGTAGAACTCCCCCCAATTTATGTACAGTACAACTGTGTACTCCATCCCAGACATTGAAGCTAATCAACTCTAGAACCCGTGGACCTATGGTTCCGACCTATGGATCCAGTACAGGTCCCAGGTACGGACAATTCCGTGCTCGACACAATTTCGTGATCGTCGTCCCATTCATACAGCATCTCAGTGTGCTTATCCCTATGACATAGCCCAAGCGATGTCGTGATTTGCATTTTGCATTTTTTTTCTATGTATCCCCGACCCTGGACCGATCCTGACGTTGAGCTATGATCGTGGCTGCATCCTCCACGCTAGTCCCACGCTGTCTTGCCTCGACTCGTTCTTGTCCCAGAATGGTATCTTCGGCCACGCTTCGGTATATCTCTGCAAACCCGCCATATACACTACTTCCAACTCCATCCCATCCACCTTCACGATCAAACGCTTCACCAATTCCGCGCATCTCATCAACCCACCGATACGCCTTAGGACTCATCCCAATGATACCAGACTGAGCTAACGCCGCCGTATGAGGTGAGTACTGCTGTAGATGTTCCAGCAACTCCGGCAAAAGTGATTCCCGCTGGGCAGTGGAGAACGACATGATCGATAATGCCGTCAGACCTTTGGTGAGCGCCGCAAAGGATAACTTCAAGGTGGAAGCTGCTCCAATCCGCTCCGACACTAGCTTTAGATTTAGGACCTCCGCCAGCGGTGCCCAAGTGGAGGGTAGGTCCACTGATCCCGAGAGTACTATGCTAGGTTTCTTCCACTTACCGTCCTCCGTGTTTCGGGACGGCGGGCCTCCAATGATTCCACCATCTAGAAAGTGGCAATGAGTCGAGGCCTCGGTTGACGTGGTCGCATTTGTTATATCCATTACAAATAGTTCGGCCATTTCCTCTGCTAGTCGGCCGGGGGTTGCATTCAGCTCGAGAAAGTACAATGGGCTGCGACTCGGCCGACCGTTCACGTCTTCTAGTGCCTCACGTCTTGTCGCGGTATCCATTTGTTTGCATGAATGCGAAATACGTTCGGCTATGGCTAGGGCATCGCGAGGAGGCACAATCGATAAAATGTAGTCTGCCTCTACCACTAGTTCCTGGTCGGATGGTAAAACCTCGATTTCGGCGGCGGTAATTCGTGCTAAAGTGTGTTCACTACATAGAGTAGGATGGTATCAGTGGGTTTGACTTTTGATTTGGTCTTAATCTTGGTCTTGAATTTGTTTTTTGTTTTTGTTTTGTTTTTGTTTTGTTTTTCGTAGAGCATGAACCTCGGAAGGTCAGGTCATAAAACGTACCTTCTCCCCTCTCCGACCGTGTTCACACGATATCCATGGGCCTTGAGCAACCTCGCCATTCCGAGACCCATGTCTCCGATGGAGAGAATACCAACAGTCACCGCACGCATGGTGTCAAATGTCTTTTGGAAAGATAAATTTTTTCTAAGTCTAAATTCACAATCTCGGAAAGTTTGGAGTCCTTCTAACGATCAAATACTGGTATATCTTATCTCTGTTTACCCTGGCGGGGGCATTTGTCAGCGCTTCGTCTCGCAAAGATAGTAATTAGCCTCAACGGAGTTAAGCTCATAGATCCCGGTCCTCGACTCTTTCAAGCTAGGACATGTCACTACTACTAGTATTTCTGTATGATCTACCTCTCCTCTCAGGTACATACCGGATATAAGTTGCCGGCTTCACTAAATATGCACTGATATCCTCCTTTCCTTTTCAAATATCTACCCCAAGACCCTGACCATCCGCGGTCATTCCGGACATACGTTTAGATCACTCAGGTTAACACCGGAGGACATTTTAGAATATTCAGACAGTGAACTAAGTTAAACAGAGTTAAATTAAACTCCAAGCCCATTAAAATAGTCTCGAAAATACCAAGATGGATCTACGAAGAAAGATACCTAGATAGTACAAGCCTTTACTCATATCCCAACAGACTGTGGAGGTTCCGTCCAAGTACCCCAGACCACACAAAATCGAACCCGGGAATCGGAGCCCCGAGACTCCGAGCCAACGACAAATCCCCAGAATTCAGAATTCAACCTTATCTCAAATGAATTCCTAGGCAATATCAAAGTCTCAACCTAACACTCAATAATCAAGCAAGAAACCAAAAAGTACCATTCCTTCCCGCACAAACAAACAAGCTCGTGGCGCGCGCTAAAGTAAATCAAACCAAAAGTCTTGGCATGACCATCGAACGGACCACTTTCCGCTGGGGGACATGCACAACGCAATGCGTCAATCTGTTAGCATAACCCCCCGCGATGATATGAGCAAATCCTCCGCCCGGAAAATGCACTCAAGTGGTTCCACCATACCACCCGGCACTTCTTCGGTCGGGCGGAGAAGAAGCCAAAGGGTATGTTGCGCTACCGGTGCTGCCGGTTAGACCCGCTGTCGCTGGAGATATCATGATGGTGCCGTGCTGACTGGTCGTCTAGGCGTGTGATATGTGTTATCGGAAGAAGACTAAGTGTGAAGTGGAAGGACCCAATTTAATCTGTGTGCAATGTATTCGCCGTAAAAGCAAATGTGTCTTTCCCTCGCAGCAACAGGAGCAGCAGGCCTCGCCACCCCATGAGGAGCATGAGGAATTACCAAGGTGAGCCCCACAATCTTATATCACAATTTTAAGGCCCCCCTTTTCTGTTTGAAACAACGTTTCATGATTGCCCTTATACTAAGCTGACTTCTTACTAGTGATCAATATGTGCAGTCTTTAAAAAGTCGCTTGGAGAGAGTCGAATCGCTACTTGTGGCAGCTGGCATCTTGCATGAAAGTGATATCAGTTCAAATGCGCTCTCCGAGGATGAGGATGAAGAGCTCACCGATGATTATGAAGGAAGTAGCAAGCGTCCACGATCATCAGGTGAATTGTCAGATATTTCTGCAAACTCGGATTACTGCGAGGCTGCACGCTTTCCGGGGGGTGGCGATATCGCCGATACTCCTATATTCAGAGGACATGAAAATGATGACTCTCGATACTTCGGTATGCATTCCATTTTTTTTTTCCTTTCAGTCTTCTGACTCCCATTAACCAAGTATATCAGGCCGTTGTTGTTCACTATCCATTCTATCCCGAGGTGGAATCGAGTGGATCAAGAGCAAAACAGGCGAAGCCAATTTCTTAAATGTTGTATCGCCTGATTCTGTTGACGACAGTCCCTGGAATCAATGGCGTCCAGATGTCTTTCATGATCTCTTCGCCTCCCAGGTCTATAAACCTCTTCCGCCAAGATCTGAAGTGTTCTCTTTGATAAAGGACTTCTTTCGAACTGCCAATCGTCTATTTCCAATCTATCACGAGGCATCGTTCATGAAAATGGTAGAGTGGCAGTACACGCAGCAGACCTGCGATGATGCTGCGCGATGGGCTAGTATTAACATCGTGATATGTCTAGCTTATGAATTCCGGTTTTCGAACAGCTTGAAACCAGAAAAGGATCGCGAAAGGGCCCGATTATACTTTAAAAATGCCATGTCAGTCTTCACAGAGCTGGCATTACGGCGTACGGATTTGTTGAGTGTGCAGGCTTTGATTAGCATGGTAGGCTCAGTCTTGCATTTTATACCCACCACAATATCCTCTTCTAACAAATCATTTTTATCAAGGGATTCTTTCTTCGTGGTAACTCGGGAACTCAATTTGCACTGCCGTTTATGACAGCAGCGATGCGATCTTGCCAAAGGATGGGACTTCATCGTAATATTGCCAGGCCAGACTTGAGCCCCGTTCAACAAGAGCAAAGGCGACGTGTGTTCTGGGTCGCCTTTACCGTTGATCAAAGGTAATTTTATCCCCATGATAATTCCCACCCAGTTCCACTTGCTGACTTGGCCTCTTCAGTACATGCTTGCGGGCTGGAAATGCCCCCTCCCAACATCCAGATGACTTCGACGTGCCTTTACCAACAGAAATGGATCACGATAAGGACTCGGAAGTGTCGACCAACATTCCATTTTTCCGTCGACTTTGCCGCATGTGTTTAATCAAAAGTCGAATTTATTGCAGACTGTACTCGGCCAAGTCATTACTGAAACCACCTCATGAGATATATCAAACTGTGAAAGAGCTTCATAGTGAACTTGAGGAATGGAGGAAAGACTATCCCTTCGCCGAAGTACCGAACTTGAACACGGGTGAAAAGGACTTCCTCTTTGGCTTTGCGTCTATTGGCCTCCATTTCGTCTACTACAATGCTTTGATCATGATTCACCGAATACCTCTCCTTTTGAATTATTTAATATCAGCCCGTGAGGATGAATCGGACGAGGTAAAGGCTCTCAGCAAAGCACAGGCTTCCAAGTCGGCTCTTATTTGCACAACGGCAGCTCGAGATACACTCAGATTGGTGAATAATATGCCATGGGGAGACATTGCATGGCTCTGGTAAGTTTTGGTTTAACCTGCTTTACTCGAACCATGTACTCATCTAACAATAATTAGGTCCTTATTATACTACGTTTTCCTCGCAGGAGCGACCATATTCTCCACCATCCTCCGTGATACCCACGGCCCAAGTGTCAAAGAAGATCTTCAGTCCCTAAATATGGCCGCAACGTTCTTTGCATCCCTAGCCACAGGCGATGGACCAGCAAATTACGCAGGCTTCATGACCCGCATGAGTGCCACGCTAGAACGCATAGCAAGACTAGCTGTCGACCGAGATGAAAAACGGGCCCGAAGCGCAGAGGACCAAGATGAACAGGAAGAATCCCCTGTATCAAAACGACATGCATCTCGCTTAGCATCAGCGCCCCATCCAAAACCACGCCGTCGGCGCCGCGGGTCGGTGAATCGACCTACAGTAAACTCTAATGCAGATACACATCCACGTCAACCCGCTGCTCCACTCCCTTCAAGTATCGCATCAATCAATGCTCGCTCAAATGTTCCAGATAGCAGTTTCCCAGAAGAAATTGAAGGATTCCCACCCGTCAATTCATTAGGATATGTCGTCCCAATCAGTCCAAACGACTCATCCAACACACAAACACAAAGTCACCGAACCCAAATCCAGCCACAGCCACAATTACAAACATCCAATGCCTCAAATCCATCAGGCCTAGGTCTAAGCGACCTAAACGGAGCAAACATAGCTCTCCTAAACAATATGAGAGCAAACATGAACACCTACCCATCCTGGCAGCTGGCAGAAGACCACTCCAGATCAACAACCTCACCTATGGACAACACCCAAAGCCCCTACTCAGTAGCCAGTAGTGGCGGGCCCGGACCAACCATGTTCCCCGACTCATGGCAAGTCCCACTAACAGCAGACTGGCAATTCGGCGAAGATCTCTGGGCAGGTCTTTTCCGAACGGATACATCGGGTGCCTCTGCTCCGCAAAACAATTCTATGCCTGTGCTAAATGCTGAGTCCTTTTTGAACGGTCCAGATGCCACGACGGAGGCAGAGAGCCAGAGCCAGAATCAGAATCAAAATCAGAATTTTTCTGTGAATGGCAATGGTAGTGCCAACGCCAATGCCAATTATCTAGGATATGGAACTCAGATAATGGGATATAATTTCATGCCGGCGGATGTACTATCGGCTCAGGATCCGGATGGTGATCAGGATCCTCAAGACAACGAATACTCGCAGTCGATGTTTTCGAATCCGTTTTTGGGGATGTTTCCGTGAGGACCTTTGGCTTTGCATACCTGTTGGCTATTTGTCTTGTTCATGGTATATTTTCCACCTTCCTTTATGATGTGATTGAGATTGACATGTGTATCACATTGATTTGTTAGCTGGGTACTTAGGTACCGAATGCACAAGGAACGGTATGATATGATGATAATGGATGCATAGACTGCTCGAAAAGAAACAAATGATCAAAATACCAATTGGGTTTTGATGCTCTAATTGTATATCCCAAGGTCACGGTCTTACCCTACGCTCATCACAAGCAAGCCTATGGTTTCGAACCTTGGAATTGAATGAAGAATTAAGTCATTTCAATAATAAACATCCCTTGAGATAGTAGTAGTAACGCTCACACCCATAATCATCAAATCGGAAAGAAAAAAAATACCCTAACTCCTTCGCTCTCGTTCCATTCCATCACTTGAAGCGTCGCAAAACCCAGAGGTATCAATAATTAATTCGCCCGCACCCAGCACCATCAACTAAAACACAGACCCGGTAAGTTGTTGAACCGCCTTACACCAAACACCATTCCCAAGAGCACCAGCCTCTGCATCATCAAGTCCCTTGCCAAGTATGCTTTGCATATCCTTGTCTGGAAGACCGGACTTATTTCCAGAACCGAAGCCATAAACCTTCGTCGCAAGGACGTCAATGTTGAAGTCCATACCACCAATTCCCTCAGTGGCATCCTTGTTTGTATTAATACATGTGCGGACGGTAAAGTCGACATCTATACGCTTGGCGCCTTTGTTTTGGGTCGCGGCGCCTTTGCGGCTCGGCGTTGATGTTGATGGAATACCATTGCCGAGGAGGGTACAGCGTGCCCGTAGGGAGATGTTGTTCTTGGGATCTGAAAGGGTCAGGCGAGTGACACCGCAGAATTCGAGCATGCGAGCTTCATTTTCGAGACCAAGAGTGCGGTCCCATGCAGTAGAGATGAAGTGGAGGAGTTGTTTGGAAGCAATCTTAGATTGCTGGATAGTAGGGAGATATTGTTGCATGGACTGCAATACCAGAGAAGCGATTGCAGAAGCCGCTTTCTTGCTGGTGAAAGTCAGCTCGAGTGGAAGATTGGTCTTGTCGGCGGCATTGGAGTTGTTTGTAGCGAATGCGCCTGGGTGGAATTTGATTTGTAGTTGTCCTCGGTATGACATGGTCAACATGGGGACACTGGAAGAGTCTGTTCCAGGGGATGCAGAGGTGATAGACCATCCTGTCTGTCGCTCGATCTTGTGGACGGATGCTATTTTTTCAGTTAGATAATGCAATTCACGATAAATTCCGGGTCAGCCAGCCTCACCTTTAAGCTCCCTGATATCACGAGCACTCCAACCTCGGCATTCTTCTTTGACCTTCTCGGCTTCCTGGATCTGAGCCATATATTCTTCGCGAATCTCCGTACCAGCTTCTATTATGTTGGTCTTCTCCTCGGTCTCTCCCTGTAGTTGTTGAAGCTCGCGCTTCTTGGCCTCTATTTCATCCTCAATGTTGGACAGTTTTTGGCGTATTTCTCGCAGCTCATCTTGATCGCAATTCTCCATCTCCTCCACTGATTGCTGTAGATTTGTTGCTACACCTTCGAGTGTTGCGTGCTTTTCTACCAGGGGAGGCACATGAGTGCCCAGGAGTTCCTCGCGCTTAGAAAGCAACTCATCATCGGCCTTCATATCATCTACATGGCGATGAAGACCTTGCATCAGGCCTTCTAAGAGCTTCATGCGCCATTCATACCATGTAGCTTTACTGAGAAATCGCGCATGCGTCTTCACATTACGGAACTGGTTATCCATAATCACACGAATATCTGGCGGGGCTGTGACATATTCGCGGAAGAGAGGTGGATTGTCGGTGTAAGTCTCTGCTTCAATAGATCGGATCACTTGTCGACCTTCAGAAATGTAAGACTTCAATTCACGACATGAGTGTTGATATAGCTCAAGCATAGGAACCGTGCAGAATCCAGCAGCTACGCAATCGTCGAACGTGATCGTTCCTGCCTTCGCCACATTCTCACTCGAAGGTCTGGACAACCGTTTCTTAGCACTTCCGGGCGCAGTGGTATGCCTCCTCTTTGTCGTTGTGAGTTCCATGAAATGGATGTTGGTCATATTTAAAAAGTCTTGAAGCTGAATAGATTCAAAATCAGAGGCTGCCTCGTCCTGGCCTGAAGCATCCTCGTCATTTGGATCAGGCTGTTGAGGATCGGAAGCAATGTGCAAGGCATCAATTCCCTCTTTAAGCGGTGTCGCGCCCGTTTTCGGGGCTCCGCGGGGCTCTTGAGTAGGAGTAGTGCTTCCTTTAAGCGGCGATCCTTTGAATGGTGAAGAACTATGAGCTCTGCGGAGGGGAGATCGAATTGATCGGCGGCTTTTATTCTCATTCATTGTCGGTGCTGGCAACTTCACACCTTTGACCGGGCTGACATCCCTCCCACGAAGCCTCTTGGGGTCAGGGGAGTTTTCTGAATCTTCATCCAGGTCAAGCTCAAGGGGGCGTTTGCCTAAAATGCCTCGAGCTGCACCGACGTGAAGACTTTTTCGGCTGCCGATTTTGTTCTTCTTTGGACTGAGTTTTGAAATCATATCCCTGAGGTTCGAGGTCACATCACCATTTGGAACTTGAGGAGGGGTATGACCATCTTCCCTCAGCTCCTCTTCTTCGCGGTCCCGATCTTCATCTTCCTGCATCTTAAGGGGGTCCTCGAAACGCACCCCGCCACGTTTATGTTCCTGCGGTACGAACTGTGGCGTGCTGTCTCCAAGAGACGGACGTCTGTCCAAAATCTCAGCTACACGAGGAGACCCAAGGCCTTCCTTGTCAATTCCAAGTCCAGAGGAGCGACGGGCTTCGCGAGGCTGCAAAACAATGCGAGGCGTCGATTGTCCCGTGGCCGCATTTTGTTCAAAAATGCTTCGCCGCAAAGAATGCCTTCTATCCGCAGAATGTCTGAGTTCGGGCTGAAACAGCTTTTTCGGAGAGGCACTCCTAAAGCTCACATTGGCAGACGGGGGAGTTTTGGTGGGGGTGGTGGGTTTTTGTTGAGGCGTTAACTGCTTCGAGGGGGTTGATGGCTTTTTAGATGGAGAATTGCTTTTAATTGCAGACCTTGGGGTTCCAGGCGTGCTTGAGGTGGCGATAGAACTCCGGCGCGATGGTCGGGAACGAACGCTTGCAAGACTAGGGCTTCCATTCTCGGATGCTACAGCAGCAACGTGGGTGAGGGGAGATTTGGCGGGAGACTTAGCAGGAGACTTTCGAACGTTGTTTTGGAAAGATGAGCTCCCAAGCTGTCCAGAGTCAGACTCAAGCTCCATTAGTGCTTTGGCTTGGCCCTTGTCCTGGACTTGGAAAGCAGATGGCAGAATGCCACCAACGGCGCCCGTCATCTCCATATCCATGCCTTCATCGGAGTCATTGTCTTGTTCAAAATCCATACGATCCGATTTTGGACTTGATGCGGCCGGCTGTTCAACGGTATGTGCAGTTTGATGAGATCCTCTATTCAAGAGTCCTCCAACAGCCGCAGTGAACTCCATGGTCATTTCCTCGTCCTCATTGTCATCGTCTTCCATTTCGTTTTCGGGTTGAGCGGAGTGACCTTCGGCAATACCTCCAACCATAGTAGTCATTTCCATCGTTTGATCATCATAGCTTGTTTCCTGGCCTAAAGACTTCCTAGGAACAGCACTCTTCCGACGTCCATTGCCTAAAATACGCCCAATAGCATTGGTCACATCCATACTAAGCTCTTCATCTTCATCGCCCATCTCCGAATGTGCTTCAACTTCTGCTGATGCATCCTTTAATGGATTCACGTTTTCTTGATCAAGGCGTGCACTGATATCATCCCAGTCGAAGCTCTGGCCTTTCTTGATCCACGGTTGAAAAGCGCCTGTAATTTCTTCGTCGGCAATCTCCATTGTCATTTCTCCGTTTTCATCGTCGATGGCCTCGGTGCCAGCTTCTTTCGCGGCGAGGCGCAAAGCCTCGTTGAGCTTGGCACTAGAACTGGAGCTAGAAGTTTCATCTGATCGCATAGTTGCAGCAGAGCGTGCTGTCATATCATCTATGCTCATAGCAGTGCTTTCAGCATCGAAGCCATCTTCGGATTCTGATGAATGCGCATCCTCTTCAACTAAACTCTGCGCGCCTGTGTCTTCACTTCCAGAAACAGAGCTTCCACTGAAAGGACTAGAGGACATATCAGTCGGGCCCTCGGCTTCCCCAGAAGATGCAGATTGGCCTCTCATTTGTTCGAGATCCTCCCGGCGAACTGGCGAAAATCCAAAATCGGATTCAGCATCTCTCTCGGGGGAGGAAGAGCCTTCTTTCTGCGGAGATTGCTGTGGTTGCTGGGTATTTGGGGTAGAAGAGGCACGTCTGGTCGAGTTGGCAGCTGACGAGGAAGTTGAATCATCGGGGATCTCGACAACATTCCAAGTGTGCAGTGTAGCCTCCGGGGCAAAGGAAACGCGCCGATTTGCTATAAAATCCATGTTCAGTATATCATGTTATCGATATTCAAAAGATCATACGAACCCATAGATTTCCGTCGTGCCTCTCGCTTCTCTAGAATTGTCTGGCGTTCGCGTTCCTTACGTTCCTTATCATCGCGTTCTTTGGTGGCAGCCATTTCATCGCGAATGGCTGAGGTGGCATTGAACGTGTCGAATGGATTGGTGGTATCATCAGAAGTTGAGGCAGCAGGCTGAGGTGGGGTCGCGAAATCGATAAGAAGCCCTTCCTGGTTTTGGGTACCAGTGTTGCCTTTTTGGCTTGATGCATCGCGAGCTGGGGTACGGCGACGAGTCTCTTCAAAAGTCGGGATTTTGCGCACTGGAGATACTGGGACTGTAGGCTTGAGGATTGATTTCAGAGGGAAAGAGGCTGTTGACTACAAGTTCTGTGAGCGCATGTTCTTCAATTCAAAATCGCGCGCGGAGAAAGTCCGGTTATCACCTACCTGGCGACGGTTACCATTTGAATGCTGTAGAGCATCCAAACCACCAGGACCTAAACTTTTGCTTCGAGACTTCTTGTCCTTGGGCGCTGTTTTGGCGCCGGCAACGAAGGGTGGCACTGCGCCGGTATCTGCTATCGCATTCTCCTTATCCAGTCCAGACGTCATCTTTGATCGCGGTACATGAGCAATGGAACGGCGAGAGCGCACGCGTGTCACCCCGGAATCGGGTCGAGAGGACATGATGGAAGGCACCCGCAAAATTATGGGTGATCACCCGAGCATTGTCTGGGCGAATAGGCGTGGGCGAGGGGCAGATCTTTAAGATGAAGCTTGTCGCATTCCCCTCTTGATAATGCAATCTAAACACGCCGAGGCGCGTGCTTATCACGTGAGTGTAAACAAATCTCGGATTATGTCATCATTTGATTATATAAACTTCAAGCCCTAACCCGCTTAGCGCTAATCCCAAACTGGATTAGCGGCCACACAGAGAATAATCGCACTCCAACCCTTTCGCCATTAGCGAACCTTTCTGATTCTCGACGACGTCTAAACCGCCAATCTCTTCGACACCCGCTTCCTCCGTCGACAGGAAAATACCGCAACCATGGCCACCGAGTTGACCGTCCAGTCTGAGCGCGCTTTCCAGAAGCAGCCTCACATCTTCCTCAACTCCAAGAGCAAGGCTTCTTCCAAGAAGGTTGGCCAGACCCGCCGCTGGTACAAGGAGGTCGGTCTTGGTTTCCGTACCCCCCAGAACGCCATCGATGGCAACTACATCGGTATGCACGACCTACGAATCTTTCTCCCGCGCGAGATCTGCGAATACTTCGGTCTTTTTTGAGGATGAGCATCAGGGAGGCGCAAAATACAGAACATGGTTGAGCCGGGGCTGAGAAAGAGCGCTGTATGGAGGCCGTTGTGCTGTATGGTTTGAAGATGCTACTGCAACTGTTGCTGGACCTTGCGTCAATTTTCACCTGCAACAAAAAACCGCCGCCTCAATTCCCCGCGATTCCTCGAAAAAGACTCAAGATATTTTGAAGACCTGCCAGCCAGTCCGCTACAGGATCAACTGCTAACAATGCCTTACAGACAAGAAGTGCCCATTCACTGGTCTCGTCTCCATCCGTGGCCGTATCCTGACTGGCCGTGTCGTCTCCACCAAGATGCACCGTACCATCGTCATTCGCCGCGAGTACCGTAAGCGACATATCAAACCAACCCATTTCACCCCATAATCAACCTCTTATTAACCTTTTATCTCCAAAATAGTCCACTTCGTGACTAAGTACAACCGGTTCGTGTCCAAAGTTATAACCTCTAGATGAATATTTTGACTGACTTGATACAACAATAACAGTTACGAGAAGCGCCACAAGAACCTCGCTGCCCACGTCTCCCCCGCTTTCCGTGTCGAGGAGGGTGACTGGGTTACCGTTGGCCAGTGCCGTCCCCTTTCCAAGACTGTATGTTCTCAACACGAAAACCCACAATATATCCGTTTGGCGCGAGATATGCGGTCATGAATATATCAACATTCGAAAATCATTGATTTGCACTTCCACGCTCACGGACATTAACCTATCTTGGCTTGATCTGTCTCTAATATGAATTTCACAGGTCCGCTTCAACACCCTCCGTGTTCTGCCCCGCACCGGCAAGGCTGTCAAGTCTTTCAGCAAGTTCTAAGCGTTTGAATAAAACTGGGTGCTCGGAATGGACAATAACGGCGAAGGAAGCGGTTTCAACTGGATAGAGGAAATTTCTTGTGGACGGGGTTCGGGATAGTTTACGAGTTTCCATGTCCCAGATACCTTGCTGAAGAATGTGTATCCACATAAAAAGCAAAAATATTTCATCGATCTTCCTGCCATGGAAACCCGTACGCCAACCTCAGGCAAAAAGGCCGTGGGCTGGGCCTATTCTTGGGACTGCATGTTTAATTTTTCTCCGGAGTTCTGCTCTATTGAAGCTGTGATTTGATACAATGAGAGGTTACGATATTTTCAACCTCTGCATGCTTTGTAGTGTAGACCGAAAGTGTCACTATCACGTCTTTCAAGTTGTTATATTGTGGACCGTAGATCATGAAATGTCCCCTGTACTGGATGTCATTCATGTAAATGGACAGGATACTAGAACTCTCCTTGGGACTCCTCATAATGATGCTAGTCTGACAACAAAGCCTACGGTAGTCGCTGTCACCCTCATTCATGTCATGGAATTGAAGTGAATGGAGTGAATTTAGAGCAATATGGGCTTACCTTTGAACAATAATTAGCACAAACCGGTGCGGTGTATCATCGTCCCTTTACGTCAAACAAAGGCCACCCTTAAACTATCATTTGCAACGCTTTGCATCATTCTGATATACCATAGCAAGGTAAGTGAACTAGACGCTAGCTACTATCAACGCCTTATTAGCTTTCTAGTAACTGCTTATCAAATACCCTAGCATGGCTTATATACGTGGGCCATTCATATCGAGTGCTGACTGCTAGCACGATATTTACGTAGTAGGTTTGAACATTCTCAATTTGCTCTCGGTAAAATAATAGGTTGCATCAAACCCAAATACCACTGGCAGTGTGCCACACCCATAGTCGCCAGTGTACCCAAACTTACGGCAAATAAATCTTAGACCCTAGCCCGCACCCTTTTTTGGCATTTGTTTGCCTTAAATTTGCCAAAGAAAACTTGAACTACGTATGTAGACAACCTTGGAACAAGTAGTACATCCAAGGGTACAGGTGGATAGGTTCACCAGATCCTTGCGCCTAAATGCGATCTAGGTACCTCAGTATGCCTGTGGTCTATACATCTCCTGAAAAATGTTATCTGGCGGTGCTATCTTTTATTTTGATTCTTTGAGTCTGAAGGGGAGGTCAATTTAAGATGGTACTACATAGGAACAAACATTTGTATATATTTCGGGAATTTCCCGGTTTTTCTTTGCCGAAGAAAACGGTAAAATCCAATGGCATCTGAACGGCAGGTCAATAGCTCTGCAAGGAGTTCTAGCACATAGAGATTGAATGCATATATCAAATTGCAAAAGGTGAGAATGCTGAGACGGAGTATAGATAGATGTACATAGTGCATCTGATGTATACGGAACTTGATGATCCTCGTGCTGGCCAATCACGCTAGACCCGATTGGGCCGCCACGACCCAAAGTCAAGCTGCAACGCTCCAGCACTCCCGCCCACCTCTCTTTAACCCTTGGACTTCGACTCTCAACCAACCCCTTATCCTTATCCTTCTTACTATTTACCTGCCATTCGGTGGTTATTCGCCGCTTTGGTCCCTCACTTAGAAGCCGCCGTAGTTCTTGCCCCAGGCTCCCGCGATGGCTCAATGAGCCAACCCCCCCGTCGGCGATATCGGTGATGATCGAGCATCCCCACAGCTCTTACCAATATATTTACTTCTGAAGCCGGTTCTTCAGTTTCTGGTCAAAGACCTCAGCCACATAGAACAGTTCACACGCAATTGATCACCACTGAAGAAGCGGGCACTGGTCCAACCCCCGAGCGCAATGACCGGTTTCGAGAAGTCCGTCAAAGGGGCCACCAAGTTAAAGGTGACTGATGCCGTTCCAACGAACACGATTGCAGCATACATTAACTCTTCTTTGTATATAGCTTGCGGCCCCAAAATCTAAATACGTCGAAACCATCCTTGTCGCGACCCATACTGGCGAGGCGGGCGTCGCCGAAGTCTTTCGCACCCTGCAGCATCGACTCCGAGACTCAGCATGGACGATTGTGTTCAAAGCATTGATCATCGTTCACCTGATGATCCGAGAAGGCCAACCAGATGTTGCGCTCACCTTCCTCTCTGATAACCCGAAGAAGATTGCGCCGAGTAATTTCTCCGAAGGTGAGATCAACAATTGAACCCGAAGGGAAACATGGTGTACTGACTACTGGTGCAGCGCAATCACAGGGACACAATATCAGACGATACGCTGAATATCTTATTACACGCGCAAAGGCGTTCGATGCCACCAAGACGGACTACGTGCGAAGCGGCCCGGGGCGTTTGAAGCGATTAGGGGTGGATAAAGGCCTCCTGCGGGAGACAGAATTCGTACAGAAACAGATCAGGGCGTTACTACGGTGTGATGTGGGTTACATTCGAGATTGAACCTGGGATATCTGGAAACTAACCTGGAACATAGTTGTTGACCGATGAACCCGAGAATGAGATTAGTTTGACTGCTTTTCGTCTTCTCACCCTCGATCTCTTGACTCTATATTCGGTCATGAATGAGGGTACAATCAATGTCTTGGGTATGTGATCTTTTCCTAATCTCCACCCGGCATGATGTCTGACCGCCACCAACAGAGCATTATTTTGAAATGTCAAGACCGGATAGTGAACGCGCCTTGGCAGTATACAAAACATTCACCAAGCAGACAGAGGAAGTAGTTCAGTTTCTCGGTGTTGCAAGGCACTTTCAGTCTGCTACGCGATTAGAAATCCCGAAACTCAAACATGCCTCTACCGACTTAGCCCGCCTCCTCGAGGATGACTTGAATGATCCCGACTTCGATCTTCGCCGAAGAGAATATATGGCTGGAAAAGGAATTCAGAAGGAAGGCCGTGCACCGCCTGCGTCCTCATCTGTTTTTGCTGCCAGTCAATCCAATTCTATGCCAACCCCGATGCCAAACTCGCCCAAGCAGGCCGAGCAGCAGAAGCCGCCACCTTCGGATCTCATTGATTTCTTTGATTCGATCGAGCCTAACCAGCAGCAAGTGGCCCCACAGCCTACCGCGCAATATCAGCAGACAGGTCTCCAACAGGCGCAACAAACAGGCTTCCAGCAGCCCCAGCAGGCATTCTATACTGGACAACCTGGGTACCCACAACAGCAGAATCAACAGGCCCAGATAATGGGGTATAACCAACAGAACTCCTTTGGAGGTGTTCAGCAACAGAACACTGGTAACCCATTTGGCCAACCACCGGCGCAGCTTCTCCAAGCTATGCCGACTGGTGCAGGTTTCGGAGGGTACACACCACAACCACAATCGTATGGATACCAGTCCCAGCTGGCCCCGATTCCTCAGAACGGAGTCGCCTCATATGCTCAGCAACAACAGCCGATGCAGACCCAACAACTTCAACAGCCACCATCCACACCCACCAATCCTTTCCGCCAATCTATGTTAATAAATCAGAATACTGGAGGACCAACTGCCACTGCTCCCACGCAGATAACCCCGCTACAACGGCAGAATACGAATCCATTTGCAAAGCGACTTTCCATGGCAGCGCCTCAGGGGAACTTCGGAGTACCTGAGCAGATCCCTCAAGTACCTCAGATTCCTCAGTCACAGTCGCCACAACCACTCCAACCCCAACGCACTGGCACCAATCCGTTTGCCCGTAGCTCATCAGTCCCACCACCTCAAAACACCGGCTTGCAACCTTTGCAACCAAATCCCACGGGAAGTACGAATCCTTTCCGCCAGAGTCAATTCATTCATCAACAAACCGGGCAAGGGTGGCAAACAAGCGGGCAACATGGTACTATGGGTGGACTAGAACAACTAGAGACCGTGCCCATCTTCCCTCGACCGGGCATGACCTAAACCGGTTGATTGCGTCTGGGAGTTTTGAATCATAACGACGGTTACTTCTCTTCCCCATCCTCCCGATCATCCCTGCATTACATAGCTCTTCATTTTATCTTTTTCTTGTTGTATTCCAAAATTTCCCCAGTCCTCGTCATATTGACCCCCTCCTTGTTCCACATGAGCTCTTGCATTGCCCGACAGTAATTGGTGTACGCGTGGCGCATATTTGCCTCCAAGCCTCTTGATGACTGAAATGCCAGAGCTGACTAATCTCTGTTGCGCAATGGAAGAACCAATTTGAATAGATAGGTACATGATATTCATAATCCAACCGATTCCATCTTAATCTTACGTGATATGTCGTCCTTGCCACGTGCAAACCGTAGAATATTTACCTTGCGCATGTTGTATGTTGTATCGTTGTGGCATTTGATAGTTACATTCGACAGTCCATTCAAATCTCCGATATAAATTTCCAGTTCACAAACTTTGAAGTACAGGGGGAGATCATATACGCTTTTTCGCCGTGATATTCCCAAGTGACCCGCAAACCCCCGTTGAAGTCGGGCGCACCATCACTACTTGGGCATGTAAGGGGCGAATTCCCAATTAGCCACGCGCGATGAAACACAGTAGTTTGAACAGATTCCGATAGTGGGTTGTTCAATTTGATATCTATATGTTTTTCAATTTGTTACTGTTACTTGTATATCCATCTTCGTAGCTCATGGCATCCCGGAGATTCCGCCATCAGTAGGATTTTCCTACCAGTCCTCGAGTCAGGAGTTGTACTTCCAAGGTTAGTGCTAGTATATAGAAGTGGATCCGATCATCCATACTCCAAAGACCAATTGCAATCAGAACTGATCATCTCATTGGGTCTGTGAGTAGCGCATCCACTTCCGCCCGGCGAGTGCTCCTTCGAGGAGTCATCGCCGCTCCGCAGATATTAGCGAGGCGCCACGGATTCCGTATATGTACGGTCTGAAGATCTTAGCCAAGTATTCTTATTCTCCTATGGTCCACTTAGCTTAGACGAGCTGCAGCAGAACCGCACATTTGCAGTTGTAAAGTCCCGAAAGGATTCAGAGATGCCGACAGAGCGGGTATTGCAGGACAGTCGGGATAAGACAGTGTGGGGCGCATCCTACTTGTACTGTACTCAAAAGTACTATAGAGCTACTCCAAAGTACTCCGGACAAACTCAGATAGCAGAAAAGTGGGAAGAAACGGGGGAAAAAGTGGTGCTATTGATTCCCCTTTTTGAGGAGCCGGCCAGAAGAAGGTCTAGTTCCGTAGCTTGTATCAATCTAAGTTGGCGAACAGACCTCTCTATCTCCAGGGCTACTTGACTTCCCGACATCCTGGGTCCTTTAGACTTTCCTAGACATATACTTCTTTTCCTTTTTGTCTTTCCATGTTTTCATCCTTCTCTTCCCTTCCTTTACTTCGCTATTTTTGATTCCTAGCTCCATCTTATGCTTGTGCCTCGCTTTGCTTTTGGGTTCGGGTGTTCTCCGTCACCTCCACTACAGCTTTGCGACAGACCCAAATCTCGCCAAACCTAGCTGGCAACGGGGCGCAGCCTCGCATCCCACTAGCGACTTAGCGGGCCCCATGATTTGTTACCTACTGCTATGATAAGCTTGAAGCATTCGTTCTCCAAAAAGACCGTTTGGAAATATCCGAGTACGATTGAATTTCTACCCCGCCGGTCTCGCGGGTGGAAGGAGAGCTATTATTTCTCTCTCTCCCCGCCTCTTCACCTTCGCTCTTCCTGCATGCCTAGTTGGCCTCGTCAATTCCAATCTTCCTTTCCCATGGTCTAAGCTCGTATCATGAATACCGAGGACCACTTCAACGGGTACGAGCAGCCCCTCCCCGTGCTGTCTCGGCCTCCCGCTACGGCGTCATGGCTGGCGACCGATCCGACCCCCCACACAGACCCTTATGCCGTTCCTCCGTATCCTGCCGTAATAGCACCCACAGATTCTCTCGCCAATACCGGTCCAATTGCGCCGCTGCCAGTCCCAGCACCAGCGCCAATTCCCAAGCCACAGCCGGCTGCAACACGAACGACAGGCGCCGAGCGCAATGCATCCGCCAAGGTCCGCAAGCCTCGCAAGACCGGTAATGCGGTTGGGAAATCTACATTGTTCTGGGTCAATACCGATCCGCAGACTGCGTCGGCAGGGACAAAGGAGGAGACCTTGAAGCGCATCCGTTCGCATGTGATGTCAGAGCATAATCGAAAGAAAAGACTAGAGAGTACGAAACGATATAAGAGCAAGACTTGGAAGCATTTACCTTTTCAGCCGCCGGAGCAGATCCCCGGAGGTGTGGGACCACCGCGGCCTCCCGCCCCGCCATCTTCGGTGTCCTCAACATCAACTCCCAGTGAAAATCGCAGAACTTCTTACGCAATAGACGATGATACAGATACAGATTTGGTACCTTATACAAGCTCTGCGGGTTATGCCTCTGGTGATTTGTCGGAGAGTTGGGACGATACCGGGTTCGATGGGGTTGTGGGCTATCAGAGCAGATCAGCGACGGCACCTATTTGGACATATATAGGACCGGGTGCCCATGATCCCTTTAACACCGGGCATACACAACTTACGGATCGTATGATGCGGCACCTACAAAATTGTCAGTTTTATGATTTCCTGCGTCGTGTGCATTATGCAGACTATGCCGGGTATACAGAGAGTGGAGAACATCGGCTAACTTTGTGAACAACAGTTCTTTGGGATTTAACGCAAGAGGCACATCCATTGCAGACTCGATATAAACCTAAATTACAGGCTCATTGGGCGGCATTGATCCAGCGTGACCCCACTGTTTTACATGCGACAATCTGTATGTCTACATCTAATGCGGCCATGCAAAGAGGCGAGTTGCCTTTAAGAGATCCAAATCAAGCGCGCAGCGCGCTTGTGGTGGATACGTTTCATCATCGTGGTGAGACTATTCGTTTGGTCAATGAGGGTCTGTCGGACCCTGTCAAAGCATCCAGTGATGAGCTGATTGCTGCGGTTTCAACCTTATTGACAATTGAGGTGGGTACCCTTGACAAAATCCACCTTGAGTAAAGTTGCTTACAATATCTCAGATTGCGTCTGGTAATCCAGACTATTTGAAAATTCATTTGGCTGGCCTGCGACAAATGATTGGGCTGCGCAAAAGTTTTGCGGATGTTCCTTCTGACGTCCGCTTCCAAATATCATGGTTAGTCGTCCTATCGATATGTTGCATTGCGACAACGTTGAACTAACACCGGGATAGGACTGATATTCGAGTTGCCTGCATGGCAATGGCAAAGCCCATCTTTCCATTTGTACGAGGGATCCGCCCCACGGGATTTTCGCTCGGCCCACCAAATGATGATGTCGCATTGACTGCCACTCGTCTATTCCCTTTGATGAAAATTCCTGGAATATTTAGTGAATCGTTCTCCCAGATCATGTACGACTTGCTCGAGCTTTCCTGGTATGCAGAATGGATCAAAGGGTCTACCGGATACAAAGACTTTACAGAAGAAACCGAAGACTATTATAACTTCGAGGTAATCTATGTCGAGTACTCACTCCATGCAGACCGATATCTTCCTACCGGTCAAGTAAAAGGGGATAACTCTATCGAAGGCTGCTGTCGCATAGCCTGTCTCTGCTTCCACAACAGTGCCATCTGGAGCTTCTACCCCATGATCGCCCCGCTACTCCCCAAGCCTATCATAGCCCTACGTGCCGCCCTAGAGGCGACCATCGCAACCGGATTATTTGCGCTGTGCCGCGATTTACTTATCTGGTTGCTTTTCATTGGTGCAGCATGCAGTCAAGTCATGCCGGCGGAGCGCACATACTTCGTGACGGAGCTGGCGGCTGCAACACGCCTTCATGGCGTCACATCCTGGCAGGAATGCCGCGCCATTCTGCTGGGCTTCTTCTACACCGATCGAGTTCATCTACCTATGCTGCGTCAGATTTGGCAGGAGGTCCAGATGCAACAGATGGAGCAAACGGCCGTATAATCCCTTTCCAAAATTTGGACACTCACGTATTGGACTTCTCAGGCTTCAAGCCCCTTCATTGTCTATACAACATACGCACATAATGTAAAAGTAGTAAACTACATATTGAGTGGGTATCTCCAGTCTTTGGACAATCTGCTAGTTCTTCATGTTCTCCATAGGGCGAAGTTGGATACATACTCAGTACTTGTAAAGACAGATGTGCAGTCATTGAGGTGATGATCGATTGGCCTAGGCTGTTACCTATCTGTGGACCAAGCACCCAGAGTGAGCCAGAAAGCTCCATAACTAATTTCATACTTGTACCTAAGGCTCCTTGAAGGTCAGCCGTGTCTCATGTGGCCCGTGGCTCCACTTCAGCCTGGCTAAGAAGTCCACGTTCTCACCTTCGCTATATAGGCTGTCCCTATGAATTCAGGAAAGGCCACATACTAGATTTGACCGCAGTAATTTCCAGCGAATTTATTAGCGATTGATTTTTTAATGAACTGAAAAAACCAAAATAAACATATTCTAGCTTGAAATCCCGATGAAAATCAAAAGGTGTGTTACTCCACTCCGAGCACTAACGGCTTGAACGCCGAGCTCCAACCGAACCTCTCCTCTCCCGGCCCAAGCTCGGCGATCTAAAGAGCTCAAATAAGCCCAACTCCTGCATTCTTCGCTCTTTTCTATTTCCAAAAATATCTGTTATACTCCTCTAACACCTTCGAAATCCCCATTCCAAGATTCTTGGAGAATTGTGTTTTACTGATCTTCTTGTCTATGCACCCCATCTATACTTTCCCTTTGATTACATTGACCCGCACCAGCTTCAGGGAAATGCCGAGCCCACTCGGTACTTCCGGATGACAGGTTCAAACCGGATAAAGAATGAAGCGAACTAATCAATTGGTACTAGAGAGATATATTTTATTCCTCTATGAGGAATAAAAGGAGATGAGTATCTGCCCCGAGAATCCCGGGTTTTCTTTACTGGTCCCTGGCCTGTACGATCAAGGGCCATGAAGCCTCCAGATGGCTTGACCTTCATAATGAGCATCTGAATAAGGCTCTTTCGTGAACTCGGACTTCACTAATTTTACAGCTCGTAACTTTTGTTTTCACATTGCAGACAGGCTTGCCCTAGGCAATGAATGCATGTCTGCCCTCGAGAGCAACATCAGTCTTTTTTCTAACTATGTGCCCTGCTGCTTTATCAAACACAATTCACAGCGCGACGATCATGAGACCGAAGATATTAACTTTGCAGCAACTCTTTTCTTCATAGAAAACCCGGTAGGATGAAATTAGAGCACTAACAACATGATTGAAATATTTGATTAGACTAGACATGGTGAAGCCATCCGAAGGACTCCTGACGATTCGATTCTAAAACCGACTACAACTCAACTGGGCAGTGAAGGGGGTGGGGGGTACGCAGGTTAAAAATGTCAGTTTTACGGAATGCACAATTTATCAGGACAACGATATTAACACTAAGTACAGGATCACAACAAGGAAATAGATACAAGGAAACACAAGAATCTAATACGATTCTCCATTATATATGCCCACACTTCGCCGAGAGACTGCAAGCCCCCCAGCAAGAAGTGCGGGTTCGATTTGTTCCACTGCGCGCTCACAGGATCATGACCCAATCGTCAACGAATCCTATACATCGAGAACGTGCAGTCATAAGCAAAAGTCAAAAAGGTATCACCAATTTCTTCTCTTGAAACTCAAACACAACATTGAATCTATCAACTACGAGTGAACGCGTTGAAGGAAATTAACGGTGCTTGTTAATAGTCTCGAAAAGAAATGACTGTAAATCAGTGCCTTCTTGACCTCAACCAGCCGGAAACAAAAACTGAGCGGGTATCAATAATTACTACCATAACACATATCACTCAACCTCCCCTTCCCTTCTCCTTTTCATGATGTACAAGGAAAGGCGATGAATTTAAGCCATCTCCCGCTCGCTCTTGTCACGGCGGCTACGGCCAGTGGGGGACCAAGGGAAGTGGATAACGGGAAGAATGAAGAAGCTGTTGCTGGTGTCGGCAATACCGGCAAGAGCATTGTACCAGGCAGCGAAGGCAGCCAAGAGTCCGAAGAAGCCTCCTGCCTTCTGAACAGCGAGGTTTGTTCCAGCACCGCCACCCTGCAGGTAGGCAATACCGAGCAGGAGGAAGGTCAGGTCCAGGAAGAAGAAGAGCAGGAAGAATGCGACGGTCGACTTAAGGGTGCAGAAGAGCATGACGGTGGTGAAGATGAACCAGCCCTATTTTCCAAGGTTAGTAAGGGTCCTTTCGCGATTGGTGAGCGCCATAAGAGTTGCCCGGGTATGGCTAATTGCAAAATCAGACAGAAAGGGTATTGCATACCATAAGAAAAATTCCGAAGGAGTAGTAGAATTGCTCGGTACCCTTGCCCAGCAAAGTTTCTTCAATTTCAAATCCGCCGGGAGTCAAAACAATCGCGAACGAGAGCCAGAAACCACCGTAAGAAGACAAAGCAGTGGCACCGAAAGTGTTACCAACGGCCATTTCCCTGCGGATCGATTAGCAAAATTGCGACAATTGGGGTTGATTGAACCCCGCGACAGAGGAGCCAAAAAGGAAAGAAAGGGAACATACCACATGCCAGCCAGCAATTGAACCAGACCACCATAACCAAAGGCCAGAGCAACGACAATGTTGGGCTGGGTGATACCATCGGCTTGCATGTTGATGATGCTCAGCACGAAAGTGGTGAGGGCGAAAGCAGACAGGCCCAGTGGAGCAGGGTTACCGAACTTGCGATCGACCACGGGCTTGTACAGACCGGGCTGGAACTCACCACCGAAAGGGCGGAGAGGAGCATCAGCGGTGTTGACATGGGCCAGAGGGCCATAGCCGAAGCGAGCAGCGGCGCGAGCGACCTCGTGCTCGTGAGTGGACATCTGAGGCTGAACTGGGGAGGTGCCATCGGCAGTCTGCTGGGGCACAATGCCACCAACATCCTTCTCCAGAGCGCCGTTGTTTGCAGTTTCGGCAGCAGACATTTTTTAAAATCGCGGGGATTCTAAATTGAGACTTTTTTTTATAATTTTGTTTTTGTGGGTTGAAATGAGGTTTAAAAAAGGTCGAAAAGGGAAATATCCAGCTTGCTGGATAAACAAAGGAAGCTTCAAGGGAAGTGTGTAACACAGTTACACGGAGGGAAAAGAGGAAAATTGAAGAAAGACGATCAAATCACGAGCCTATCAGCGCTGCTGAGGGATGAAGATGAGAAACAAAAGAGAGGGAGAAGTGAGAGGGGAGGCGCAACCTGAGCTAATATAACTTTTTCTCTGGCTTGCTCCCCTTCTCCTTGGTTCCCCGTCTCCAATTGTGCTCCACGGCCGAATCCAACGCAGATGGCGCTAAGACGCAGCTCACAGGGACCATGAACCGCTGTTCCGAAAAAGAAAAAAGAAAAAAAAACACAAAAAACGAAAAATTACAAAAAGCTGAACCCACAGCCGTTGGGGACGAAAGGAAGCGCGCGAAAAGTGGGGACCGAAGCAACACGACTCACTTGCTGTGCTAGTGCCAAGGGTTGTTTCAATAAATTGCAATGATGTGCAGCCCGCAGAAGCCCTGCCGACACTAACAGAGGTTAATTTGGGGGGATTCCAACCGAAAGTGGGACCAGGAGTTGGAAGAGCAAGAAACAATGGGCCGAAGCTGAGTGAAGATCACTCAATGAGCTTGTGTTGTTCTGTGAGACCTTTGGAAAGAAGCAAAAAAAGGAAGAATAACATCGAGACAAACCCTGGGGGTTGCGAGATTCATCTGGTTACATATAATGCGCTGTGGCAACACAGTACTTTACTCAGTTTGATTTCTTGATTACAATCAACTTGCTAATCCCTACAAGGGACTCCGTCCGTGGCGTGTGCGGTGCTTAGTTACTTGTTCATCTAGAACGAGTACCGAGTACGCCATCCGCAGCAACAGTGGAGAACAATGACCCGCGGATTGACTATGACACGAAGAACACTATCCACAGTACCTACAATACTCGGTGTCCGGAGTTAAGGATAGAGTATGCCTAGCAGGGAGGCGGGGACTCCGGGGGACTGGAGTGACTGGTAAAGTGGGTGAGTGTACCAGGGGATAAATCCGGGGAGCCAAAGCTCATTGGCGGCATGTTGGTAAGCCCTCCGACTTTCGGTTACCGTGGGCATCTTCTTGGGGGGTGGTTATGATGTAGACAGGCACCGAACAACTTCGGTAACAAGGAATGAGCAGTGAAACAGAGTTTTTTTGAGTTTGATGTCGCAGCTTGAGCCTTCTTCCAACATTCTCGGATTGGTTTGAGTGGATGTGAACTACAACACAGATCGCACCTTTTTACTGACTTAGCGTGTTTAGCTTCGCCCGCTGCCCCATCATATTGTGGCTTTACAAAATGCTACTGACAAGGCTCTGATGAACAATTGGTTTCTAAGCCATCTGTCCACAGGGTAATTTGCAATTTCACCGTGGCCAACCATTTGGACTTCATTGGAAGCAAGTGGGTCCCATTGATTTAGGGTCTTTTGCCTGGTGGCTCTCGTTTTGCCTCTTTTTTTCTAGTTCTTTTTCTTTTCCTACTTCAGGTACAAATTACCCTGGTGACCTGTCAGTACCACGGGTAAAGAGAGTGTCATATCCCATTCTTCGAGCCTATTTGTGCCTTGGTTTTTCTTCCGGGAGCACGCGGATGCAAAATATCTGCCCCCGGGAAACCGAACGTGGCGAAAAAACAACTTTTGGAGAGAAGTCGGGTTTTTTATGGGGCAATACCCGCGCAGTGCTTGTTGATCCCTCCCGCGGTCCAGCATTTAGCATATTTCTCGCCGGATCGGGGTGACGATTGTTCTATAAACCGGAATCCATGAGTTTCTGCATCTATGAGAATTTGCTAACTCTCCGGTATTCCCAACATTCGAAGACCCTACAGTCTGAAGACACCAAAAAAAAAAAACACCCAAAAGATCATCCGGCTAATATGCGAGTATTACACGTCTTGGCGAAAATTATGCACCAATGATTTTCACCTATTTCCACCTTACAGGCAATTCTAGTCCACTCCACTCTCCACTTACCATACCATCTCACACTGGGCCCCCCCTTTGCCCCTTTTTTTCAGTCAGTATTCAACAAGCTACAAAGAAGCACCCTGTGGATCTATCATCTCAGCTGCAGCGCACTAAAGTGTACTAATTACTCCCCGACCATGATGTGGAGATTCGTAAACGTCCCCGCCCGTGGCTAGATTGTGAATCCTCATTAAATTTTCACCCCCGTGTGGTACTTTCGTTTCATGCTGCAAGGAGCTTGGACACGATTCATCTATTGTTCATCAATGACTCGATTATCAATTGAATAGACTTTTGGGTGCCCGACAGTCAGCCGTGTCTCTCAAAAGTTTCAATTGCTGACGCTAACCAGGACAGGCCATTATCCCGGTGCTGTACGCTAGAATATGATGCTAATATGCTACATGCGAACTATGTACAGGATACGTAAGTAGGTAGTACTACCTACTAACTACTGACTAGTAGATCGTATGTCGGTGGGACCGCATACAGAAACAGCTCCTCAATACTCCACACTAGCTGAGAAAAAGAAAAAATATTCTTGTGATATACACTTTTCAATTTGTACACCGTACGTTTCCTCGGAAACTTCATCAGAAACGTTGTTGTTACACAAAACCAAGTGAATTAGCTCCTCCCGAGGTCGGATTCGGCCCGCATCAAGCCCCAGTAAACCCGCGACCGCTTGTGTATCAAGTGGTTTCACTCCGTGGCAGGGGTATGTAAGTAAAAAACTGCCTTGTCCTCTGAAATTTGGGACTTTGGGATAATATGGGAAGGATAGTCGGTTCGCGGGGCTGCGAGGGGCTTCCCTTCTATCCTTCCAAGTTCGCTTCTCCCGTATTCACCAAGAGAAGGCCCATGCAGATTTTATCTCAGGGTAATCTCAATAGTTCCCGCTTACGGAGTAGCTATGAGACTGCGAAGGCAATAATAAATATAGAAGATGCTACTAGATAGTCAACAGAGCCTAGGATTGGTGTAAACTATGCCGTCCCCCGCCTGTAAATCGACCTAGGAGCACGCTGATTGACGGAGTTTCGCAATTCATTCCGCATAGTTGCATGTGGCGCCTGGGACTACTGTTCATAGGGTGGGGATGCCGTACACTCATGCCAGTGGGCTAAGATCAGATGGAGACCTCGGCGATCGATGGTGCAACTGTCATTTTCACTAGCTTTGCATACAATATCACACATAAGCCATGAGAATTATACATAATTAAGGTTAGATTCTAATAGAGAAGTTGAAGAATCACAATTGTCATTCAATTCTCCCAAACTGTATTCTTTCGATGCGGTGTGAGCATCGCGTTGTGCAGCCTCGACTCCAATCCCGGTCGCAATCCAGACCTCGACAGAATCCGACAACATCCTACGCTTCTTTTCGCTGAGTCTTGAAACCCAACCCCCCCCCCCCCCCACCAAAAAAAGGAAAGGAAAAATTAGCAAACACGTTCCACAGGATTCAACTCAACCAAGTTCTCGTCGCTATAGGTAAATTACTCTTTCAATAATCGAGTCGCACGGCTACCTCGGGGGTGATTATTGAACGCCTCTCCACACTGTGATGCACCCCGTACCCCAAACGGATCAGATCTCCTTTCCCCAAAAACCTTGGCAAGCATCGTAAGATTATTGGCCAAACTACCCCCCAACATCAAAACAAGCCGCGTACTCCGTTCTCTGGCAATGTCCAAATTTACATACAGTATACGCTAAGGTATGCGGGGGAAGCTCAGCTCAGCACAGGGCTGAGACGATCTCAGCGTCATCTAGAGGCAAAATGGGGGGAAACGAAGCAAAAGAGCAGAAAATACACCAGTATTCCCCCACAGTGAGATCACTTGACCCCGATCCTTCATGCGGGGAAGTTCAGAATCAAGCTATCAGCCCATTGGTACGTCTGGACTCATCCTTCAACTAGTTCACAAGCTGGTAAAGTCGATCCTACAGGGATCCGGCAAGAGCCATAGCCGAGATGTCAGGATTTCCAATGATTTGCGACCATCGGCACAGTCTATGAGCTGTTACTGAGTTCATGTTCTGGAGTGGATTTCACAGTGTGAATGCTGTCATCCATGGGTCTTGCAAGTCACCCCAAGAGCTTTTGAAATGTGGGTTGCCGGAATGCAACCACTCATATTGCTGTTCACAAAGTCAAACCATGGATCAATGCTTTTCTAACTGAAGATCTGGGAATCACAGGAACCACTCGGTTCGGCGGAGCGGAACTGATGTCAAAAAAGGATTTTCGGATCTGGCGATTTCTTGAAATTTCGGGTTTCCACTGAATGACTGGTGTTTCCTGCTTTGATGATGGTCCCCGGATCCGATTTTCGGATGCGGTGCCGAAGATCAGTGACGTTGAGGTGAAAATCGTGAGGAGATGTTTCATGCTAGGTATATTTCGTGCTAAGGTGAGCTGTATCATTGTAAAAAAAAGATAAATTATGGAGTAATCGTCTACAGTTGATGTTGCCTCAATTTTGCAGCTATCGTGATGCATCGTAGATCAAGGAGATGGAGCTTAGTGCATCTCGGATGGAGAGTATCCGAAAACGCAACTTGGCGCAATCTGGTATCATACGATGATCTTCCTTCTAGGGCGAAATACGCGATATACAGTGAAGGAGCTTAAAAAACGAGCTTTCTCAAAAGAAGAAGCAAAAATATACTACACTATAGCTCCGAGTTTTGCATGCAGATTCAACTAGTTCGGGTTAAAAAAGCTTAGTTGACTGACAATATGAAGTAGCCGGGGATCTTATGAATAATTATGCTTCTTCGCCAGCCACATTCACACTAACGAGCACAGAGCTCACTTTCCTGGATCGCTAAGCTTTCACGTAGTAGCTGTTAACTACATGTACTTGTGAGTGTACGCATAGGCGCCTGCTTATGCGATACCGGAAGCATAGGAAGCTGTCTGAGTCTACAATATCCCGTACACACAGATTTACATTTTTTCAAAGCTCTTTTGAATTTGAATTCATGCATCACACTAATGTTAATAGACAAGAGTTCATATTCATGTGTGTATGTACTCCAGAACTACTTTTCCAGGTGTCTTTCTGCGTACCTGAGCCGCCGCAGAGGCGCTTAAATGGCCCAAAAAACCCAACAAGATCGCGCCAGGTTCCCCAGAAAAACAGTGCGTTGGAATAACTAGTGTCGCCAAAATATTGCGAAGAAAGGCATGCATCTGTGTGAATTGATAATTTATTCTTTATCCTTTCCCAAAAATTCCAGGAGGGAGCGAGGAGCAGAGAGAAGAAGAGAAACAGCAATAGCCGCCAAGCCGAGGCTTGATTCCTCTGCCGGGATATTTTATCTTCTCTGCAATCCTTCCCTTGATAAGTCTATCATTTCATGGTGATTTTTCTCGTTATCTTTGCCCCCAAGCCAATTATGGTACATATCATCCCCTCAAACCCCCATTCATGACTCTGAGTGCGGGGTATAGTCCGCACCGACACCTCTCTTCACCACCTTCCTCTTCAGGACTAACAAGCTGCCAAAGCAACCTGTCAGAAGCTTGCGATCGTCTATCTATGCACCTCCGGTTGGATGCGTATCGCATCTCAACCAACCATGCTTCAACTCGACCTGGCTATCTGTCTGTGCACCCGCGTCAAGAGCGGAACAGCCCGCGTCTCCGCACAAAATGTTTGCGAGAGCCGGCATCGAACCTCTTGATGTAGTATGAAGCTTCGTGTTATCAGTGATATGGTAACTCGGCAAATGCCGAGCTGTGAGGGGAGATACTACGCATGGACTGCGTGGTGTGTATTTAGACGCGAAGGGTTGTCAACTTTGTTTGCTCCTGGCTGTTTATCTTCTACTATCCCAGCCTTCTGGTACGAAAACTTCGATCCGGATATCAATTTTATGTGAGCAATGGGACACCCTGAAGAGCACCGTCCCTCTGTGGCGCAAGGGTCGATCGATTACGAAGTCAAGAATGGCTTATCGGCTGGAAATGTTGATGCGGCGCTCGAATTCTTGCATGGAGAGAACAATGCTGTCGCAATTGAGGTCGATGAGAAGGCACTCGTGCGGAAGATTGACTGGATGATTATGCCTTTGATGTGGGCTGCATACAACCTGCAGTATCTTGATAAGGTGCTAAGTAGGTGATAAACATGCCATACCGTTGTTATGGCCCTCGCAATAGAAAGTTCCTATCTAATGCCTGGTTCGATAGTCAACTATGCCTCTGTTATGGGTCTTCTGAGCGATACGAATATGCAGACGAATCAATTTTCAGATCTGACGCTGGCTTTCTATGTGACTTATCTGTTTTTTGAACTTCCTACGGGATTTCTTATGCAGCGTTTACCCACAGCGAAATATTTAGGGTTTAACGGTATGTCTGAGATTGTTCTCTGTTATGGAATAGACTAATTGATTTCTAGTTACATTGTGGGGACTTATGACAACATTGAATTGCACCGCTAAGAACTTTGGTGGGCTAATGACTCTTCGAGTGTTGCTGGGCTGTTTTGAGAGTGCAATTGCACCGGCGTGAGTAGTCCCATTCAAATGCACATCGACATGTTCCAACTAATATATCATATAGGCTAATTCTGATCACATCGATGTGGTACAAGCGAAATGGTAAGTTTTTCAGGCTAACTCATCTTTGAAATCTGAGCTGAACATAATCAGAACAACCAACCCGCATGGGAATTTGGTATCTCGGTACTGGCACAGCCTCTATAATGGGAGCGCTAGTATCATACGGCCTCCTATTCTATACAAATGACCGCTTTAAACCATGGCAGATTATGTTCCTTATATTCGGCATAATCACCATCGCCGTCGGAATTTGCATCTTCATCTTCCTCCCGGATAACCCCATGACCTCCAAATTAACCAAAGAAGAGAAGATCTTGGCTATCGAACGCCTTCGCGAAAACCAGACCGGTATTGAGAACAAACATTTTAAATGGCACCAGTTCATCGAGGTCCTCAAGGACCCACAGACATGGCTGATTGTCGTGGTTGTGACGGCCATGGACGTCCCCAATGCAGCAATGAGCAGCTTCACCTCTCTCATAATCCAGAACATCGGATTCACAACGAAGCAAACAGAGCTCCTCAACATTCCAAACGGAGCAGTGAGCATTGTCAGTATTCTAGCGGCCTCATGGGTAGCATCTCGCTACGACCAGCGCTGTCTCTGCGTCGTCGCTTCATTGCTATGTGGTCTCCTGGGCGGATGTCTCTTAGCATTCTCACCAAAAGAAATGAAAGGTGCCCAGCTAGCAGGAAATTACCTTACACAGGTAACTGGCTCCGCGCTACCAATTATGTACTCAATCGCTGGAGCCAATGTGGCGGGCCATACGAAGAAGGTTAGCATGAATGCTATCCTGCTTATGTCCTTCTGTCTGGGTAATATTCTTGGGCCCTTGACCTTTCGCACGGAGGATGAACCAAATTACGTTCCGGCCAAGATTGCGATCGTGGTTACTATTAGTGTTGCGATTGTTTTCTCGCTTCTCTTGAGATATTACTATATCTGGGAGAATAAGCGTCGGGATCAGCGCCAAGAGGGGGATGCTCATCAGGAGAACTTGGATTTTATGGATTTGACAGATCGTGAAAATAGACAATTTCGGGTGAGTTATCCAGCTGTTGCTATTTCAATAATGCTCTGCTAATTCCTTTCTAGTATAAACTGTGATTTCAGAGTGCGTGGCTTACTAGCTTTAAGCATCTCATGATCAACAACATCTTAGTACCTTAGACTCTGAGCAAACTATGTGTGTCTAGTGTGGTCTACTAGTATCAGATATGTTTAGCGCGCCTTGCCTACGGGGCCTTAATCCCATCGAATATAAGAAAGGATTCGGAACCGCGAAACTAGATATTCAACGCCGCTGGGCAGCTGCTCTGCACTTATGTACATTAGCTTCAAAGTATGCTAAACATAATCTAGCTAGTGATGCGGCAAGTGGGGATAGAATAGCTTGCGCGAAATGAATATGCATATACAACCAAATTTTGCTACATACTCAATACGTTTTGTCAAGGGTTTTGAGTACATTACACGAGGCCACTTGCACTAGCTCTCAGCCAATTTTGATAAACTCCCACGTCACACCCTTCTCCCCGTGCTCAGCGACCACAAGCTCCCTTCCCTCCTTCCCACCAACCCTCATGCTTCGAAACCCAAACCAATGCTTAACACGCAGCTCATGGCGTCCGTTTAAGCCAGGTCTTGTCGTGAAATATTCCCACAAGTCATGATGCTTTACATCTGCGACAAACTTCCAGTTACTCCAGCTATTGTTATGTCTAATGTATGTGTCTGAGTGAATGTTTCGGAATCCAAGCCAGCCGCTTGCAGTTTCGATTATCCGCCACTGGCAAATTGTGTTGGTGATCTCAAGTGGGTGGAGGCATAATTCTCCGTCCTTGAGGGTGATAACGAGGTTAGTTTGGGGGTCTCGGATCAAAAATGTTTCGTTCGCGAGTGGCGGAGACAGGGACAGGCTGGTGGATTGGCTAGCTTGATCTTCATGAGGGACAGTCGTGTGGGTTGGGGTAAAGCAGTGTTCAGTATCTGAATCCGACATATCATGAATCTAGTCTAATAATTTGTGATGAAATTTGTGATGAAGTTGTTATCAATAGATGGTGGACAGTGGATCTTTTCCTTTTGTCTAAACGGGCACTGAAGGTGGATAATGTTTGCACTGTTTGCTGCGCCGGTGAACACTGCTATTGCTCAGGAAACATCCGTTCCTGTCCACTTGCGTATACTTCTAAATAACGTCGAGGCAATTCAGCAATTGATTAATCATTTTATCTATCTATCATTACAAAGCACAATTACATAGAGGCAGACGACCTTTCAGATATCATCATCTCGCAAGAGCCGAACTGAAAGAAAACGAGTTAGAGCTAGCTTTAAGCAAAGCCACCGAAGACTGAGTATGTGTTGCAGTAGATGGTCCATCACTGCCCAGATCAGACTTATTTTTCTTTGCACCAGTAGCCATCTCCCACCCTTTCAAAGTCCGATCGAAGAGCTGAAGCGAAGCTTCTGGCTGGTAATAGGGGATCATGTGTCCCGCCTCATAGACATGGAGCGGGACGATTTTGAAAGTTTGTGGAAGAAGGAGAGATCAATCAACGTGGCAGGATCAATTGGCCTATCTATGTGATTTCTAGGATACTCTAATTGATCCAATATTCAAAATGTCGTGTATAGCCTTCGGGGCCAGGCACTTTCGCAGGCATGGGGGGTGTTTGCCAAATCTCCGAGCTGTTATTTCCATATGTAATATTGTTCGATGGTGAGACCGGACAGAACTTGAAGAAGGATGACTCGCCAAAGAAAATATCTCCGACGCTCTACACATTGGTAGGTGGGCCCGTTCAAATCTCCGTGGGCACCCATGTTCCTTCGAGTCGGTAGGAATAATTGCCGTCTAGTACTCTAAGAAGATGAGCCTCCTTGAATTAGGACCAAAAAAAGAGAAAAATAAAATAAAAATCTACACGGAGAATAATGTAATAGTCTGTGTCCATAGCCACCTTTTTTTCTTCATCAAAACTCTAATAATAGGTAATTTGGGGCGTATCAGCAAAACTCCGAGCGGCCACGGAGGGTTTTCCACAATAACTTCAAAGTTCTTCATGCGTGATCCACCCGACCGTATAGTTGCACCACCACACATATAAATTGTCTTTCCTCATGGTCTGCCATTGACCATAATATCATCAGCTCATTATTGAACAAAATACAAGATAATTCACACTTTAATTCCTCATCATGACTCAATCGAACTTCCCCATACTCGCCTTCTTCGGAGCAACAGGTGGATGCACCATCAACTGCTTGGTTCCCTCACTCAATGCCGGCTACCACTGCAATGCCTGTAAGTGTCTTCATGATAATTTTCAATAATTATCTACTCGTTTCGATTCCATCGATGCTAACAGTAATTCTCCTGAAAAGTGGTGCGCAATCCTCAAAAGCTTCAGGATATGCTCATACAACAGCACGGACTATCCGAAACTACACTGCACAAACTCCTTACCATTGTGAAGGGGAACGTCACTGATGTGGCTGCTGTACGACAAGCTCTTATCGGGCCAAACGACCAGCCCGTGAATCTCATCATTTCCGGTATTGGGGGTCAAATGTCGTTCAGCAACCCCTTGCGACCTACGCTAGTTGACCCAACTGTTTGTGCTTCAGCAATGCAGACAATTTTGGCTGCTGCGCGTGAGTTGCCGAACGCCCCACAACTGGCGGTGATTAGCACCACCGGCATCGACAAGAAGCGAGATCTCCCTATTGCAATGATGCCTCTCTACCACTGGATGTTGAAACAGCCACATGAGGATAAGCGCAGTATGGAGGAAATGATCACCAAGGAATTGGACCAGCCTGCCGACTACCGTGCAATTTCCAATTATACCATTATTCGCCCTAGTTTACTGACAGATAACGAAGGGAATGGCAAGCACGAGGTTAAAGAGGGTACGGCGGAAGAGCCTGCGGTCGGTTATGTTATTGCCCGCGGCGATGTTGGTCGTTGGATCTTTGAGCGAGTCGTGCGCGAATACAAAGCTGACCTGGGCCAAGGATTTCCTGTTGCGGGCAAGATCGTCACAATCACTACTTGATCTTTGAGTCCGCGTGGTGGGGATGTTTTGTATGGAGTTTGTAGTTTTGAGCTGTTCTTTCTTGGTCTCATTATTCGGGCTGTTTCTTTTTTATATCCACTAGTATAGACTTGATTTTAAAAGGCTTCTATATTCTATATACTCTTTACCAGTCTTATAAGATCACAAACTACATTTTATTTTTAGACTTCCACCTGGGCAGTAAGCAGCCCGCAGACGGTCTTAGCGCGTTCCAGCCTCACCCTCACCCTCACCCTTCAGAATTTCGGGGTGGTCGAGGCCAAATCCATTAAGCCCAGCCCAACGGCGAGCCTCACTGGCGTTACTTTATCGAGGAACACCCTCGGCCATCTCACAATTCTCGTAAAAATCATGATAAAGGAAGTTGGTACGAAGTCTAAGTTTCCGTTCAATCCGGACTTTCCACCACACGCTAAATTACATTTTCCACTGCGTGGAACGAGCGCGATAGTCTCAGGCTCCGAGGCCCGTCCCTGAGTCGATAATGGACCCCAGCTTGGTCTCTTATCCCGGCAAGGACGTCCAACGCATGATGCGCAAGAAGAAGGAGCTTCGCAGAAGCTGTAATCTTTGTCGCACACGCAAAATTGCCTGTTCGGGCGAGCAAATTTGTGCCACCTGTCGAGAACGCGGCGTTGAGTGTGTCTATGATCTGGAGGGGCTCAAAGGACGACCCCCAGCAAGTTTCCAGGCTGATGCGGCCAAATCCCAAACAAATGTCTACCCAGAGACTTGGTACAGTCCTGCCGGGGGCTCTCTACCACCTTCTAGGAAATCAAATGACGACAGCGACAAAACCCAGCTGTCGTCAAGTGTGGCTGCTGAGCTAGACTCCATATATCGAGAACAATTTGGCGACAAAGCTCCTTATAAGCGCAATAACCGGTTTCAGAAACGAGTGGTTGAGTTCAATCGCTCCTTGGCAACGAACTTGGCGGCGAGCAAAGGACATGCAATCGATAGCAGCAGCAGTAGCAGTGGTGGTGGCGGCGCTAGTAGTATCGGTAGTACCGAATCTGTTGTGGGTATGAACTATCACGGCTTCTTGACTCTGGTCACCTTGGACTTGGTTGAAACTGTTGTGCTCAAGTTTAGCCGACTCGGCGTCCGCGCCTTTTTTGGAACTGGTGAGCGATACTACCGAGCTTGTATGCTGCAAGATGAAACAACCACCATGTTTGACACTCCTATAACCGTGCCGGATACAACGACTGCACCCTCAACTTCTACTGCAGCTACACAGGGTTCTCCGCCAGATCTGGGTCCACTGGCAAAGTATAACAGTCATCTTCTTGCTCAAATGGTCGACTTGTGGTTTACCCACCACCCCTTGAGCATTTTACTGTCCAAATCACTACTAATGACTGATTTGTGCACCAATCGTGCCAAACCTACCCTGTTGGCAGTTATGTTAGCTGATGCGCATGAGTTTACAAAAGACCCCGAGGGGGAAAGACAGGCAGTAGAGCTACTAGAATGGGCCATAGGTCAACTGCATCATCTGAAGACTGAAAGCCCTGACCTCACAACCGCCCAAGCCTGCTTCTTCATATGCTGGTATCTTAGTTGTAGGGGCCAAGCAAGACGGGCTGTCGCTTATATCACCTTCGCCGGAAGGACTGCCACGCAGCTGAAATACAAGATCCATGAAATTCCAATCACGGACAAGACTCATATAAATGGGATAGATCGAGGTGCCGTGGAGGTCGAAATGATTCAAAATTTGTGGTGGATAACATTCGCCCTCACTCTATGGTCATTTATTCAGATGGACATCTCGTTTGCCGATCTGCTACCATCGCGAATAATGCAAGTATTTCCACCTTCCAGTGCAGCCGAATGTACTATACTACAGCTCGATCGCACCATGGGAAACATTACTTCCCAACATGCTCAAACTGCATCTCTACAGTCTGTCTGGCTGCTTGCCCATGTTAGCTCCTTCACGGCTCACCTTTATGCTCTTTATCCCCACCCCACGCGAGGCCCTCCTTCTATCGATACGCCAGTGAGCCATTGGCAAGATCAGTTGATAATGCGAATGGATCACTTGTTCAGCCAACAACGCAATCTAGCCGCAATCTGTGTCGATGCCCGTGAAGCAATGCAGGATATGATCGACCGTGTCGATACGGCCGCAGGGGAAGATCCCATTGGAGCTTGGCTCTTGGCCCAATACTATACTACATCTATCCATCTCCTTTTCCCACGAGGGAAGCCAATTTCTGCTACGTCTCCTAGTGTTGGAGAAGAATGTATCATCAGTGATGGATCAGCCCCTAGCTCGGATTATCAAACCGCAGCATCTGTTTTAACAACTACGATATTCACTGAGCTCGAAAAAGCCATGCAAGGACTGGCATCGATTTTCCATCATATAAAGACAGCAACATCATCTGAAGAATCCCATGTCGTCGCCCCTCCCGCGTTTATTCATTCTTATGTATTAGGACTCGATGCGATTGGGCGAGCTTTGACACAGATTCTATTCGCGCAAGATCGAGCCTCATCTCTTGAGCAGCAGTTCTGTAGCGGATGGCTAAAGCGACTTCATCCGGGACTCATCACGCTGCATGAATTATTCAACAGTGATGCACTCCTGCGGGACCATCGCTGGAGACCTGTCAAGCGGCAAATCAAATATGTACGCAAGCGGCTCGATCAGATGGTAACCACTGAATACGCATCCGGGCCATCAACAACAGTGCAACTAGGCTCCACAATTCCCAGTTTCTCCATCGCTTCCTCGATGGGAGCACCGCCTCACCCTGAAGAATCACTGCCGTGGTCAGATTGGCAACCCCCTGATCAGACAGCCTCAGATCCACTGAATCTTTCCATGTCCAATATGCCTGTATACCAACCATCAATTAATCACCCACTGATGGAAACTAATCAAAGGTATCAAGATTATGGCGGGGTCCAGAACAACCCGATGGACTGGTTCCAAAATTCTACTCCGTTGGCCTCGACGTGGACCGAGGTCCAGGCAGTTGATACTACTATACCGGGTCAATTTTCGAATGCCTTGTCCTCTCAGGCATCTCAGCTCAATGAAAATGGTAAACGAAGGGCAGACATGATATCCTCTGACGACGGGATGTTGGTTGGCGATCTTTCGGCTGATCAGCTAAACGGCCTTGTTCGATTCACGTCCGGGTGACAAAAGATATAAATCAACACCGTGACAGTAACCCGAGTTTACTGGAGACTGCAGATGTCATAAATGACAGAAAATAGCGGAAAATGTAAAATAGTTCACTATGCACCCGTTATTGGACATGAGAATTCAACTTCGAAGAGCCTGGTCCCCTTGATACCTCCACTGCTCTATGTTCCAAGGGTTGTGCTACATATGGTGCCCGCTAAGAAAAAAGGTTCCTAGCGATCAATTTTTTACTCCAACACATTTGATAAATTTGATAAGGGCTGCAGACCTGCTCTAGCCAGATTTCCACATGTGTGTCTACCTGTGTGAATGAGATAGGTTCAGATGTTCAAGTTGAAGGTGTGACGATAGAGTGGAAATTAGTCTTGGCTAAATTATCTATAGCAAATCAAGCATAAATATTGACATCCACAGATGCACCCATGGGTGTATTCTGCATAGTATGTGAAGCTCATCTCTCAAGCCTACTCTAGAGGGCAGACAGTTCCATCGGATCCACTTCAACAATGATTCGTGACAGGTCCCCAAGCAAGCTTAGAGATTCCAGTGCGGTTTCAAATGCCTTATCTTTCAGTCCAGTCTCACGGGCCTATAAATTGTGAGTAAATAAGAATTTGATCTTAGAAGTCGGGTTCTATCTTCATACCTCTGTGCTTGCCCATCCCAGCATCCCAACAACGACATTTCCCTCAAGATTCAAACTGTGACCAGATACCACAGTTGGTGCGACCTGGCCATTGGTAGCTCCTTCCCCTGAAAACACCTTCCAGCTCTCCTGTGCCTCTTTGACTTTCTCCGAGTCCGAGATAATAAGTCGGATAATCTCCACGACAGGAGCCACAGCTACATTCTTGGGGCTGAGATCCGTGTTGTAAAGCTGCAAAATCGGTGGTCCCTGGATAAATCGCTTGATCATTCCGACAAAGGAAGCAAATTGAGCAGAAGCGATGAATGAATAGAAAGAAGCTTCCTCCACCCACTCTGTTGCAGCATGTTAGCGCTGCCATTCAAGATTCTATATAGGCAGATCTGCGCGCGTTGATGATGCTTACCAAAAATGAGAACCTCACGGTACTGGTCACGGACATCTTTGTCGTTCTCACTGACGACCCAGCCTCTAAAGGCGCTGAGAAGACCCGGGTTTGGGTGTATCAAAGCCTTACTCATGGTCGGCCAGTTCTCTTCGACTTCATCAACAACCTCCTTGATGGGCTTGATGGTCGGGAAAATGAGCTCTGTAATAGCCATTGCGAAGGGATAAATTGTATTCTTGTGTGTATAGATGAGAATGAGATTTCGAATTGTGTGTGAATGTTCATTATGAACGTTCATCAAAAACATTACGAGGAGGCTGGCTTTATACATACAAGAAGATCATATCATTCATGCTCAAATTCAAGCCACCGCGGACTTTCACATACAAATCCGAATTTCCCCGATATGAGAACATATTGATTTATCATTCCCGCAAACTTGACCAATAAAATAGACATCTCAGTACTTGTATTGCGGGAGCTGCGGAGTTTCTGCGGAGTTTCATGCGGATTTTGTCAGCTTTGCGATGACTCGGCCCACGGATTTTAACGTCAACCCAGAAAAACAACCTATTCACCCAATCACCATGCCTCATAGCTCGATTCTTACTCGGTCCCGCCAGAAATCTTGTGTCGCATGTGCGGAAGGCAAGCGGCGTTGTAGTCGACAATCCCCACAGTGTTCGCGATGTCTCGCTCGCGGCATACCATGTCGCTACATGAACGGATCGTCAGCTCCACGGCAATCCGAAGCTCATCCAAACAAGCAAATCGCAACCGCCTTCCCAATATACGTTAATGACCTGTTTCCATATACGGAACTAGCGGAGCCGCTTTCAAATTTTAACGACAATATCAACATTGACTCATGGTTTACGATGAGTTCTTCTCCATTATCAGACCAGGGATTATCACCTATGCATACTTATCCTGAGCTCGTAGCTCTGGATAAATGGTCAACAAATCAAATACTACAAGTGGTTAAAGGCCTTCCACAACTCTTCTTCAAGCATAATAAAACACCGTTTATTCATCCTCGCTTATATGATTCATATCTCCCTCTCGCAATCCAAGATGCATTCACCGTGACAGCATCATACTGCACTAAGAGCCCAGAGACGGAAGATATGGTCTTCCGGATACTCGAGTCGAAAGCAGATTTCCTTGTCGGCCAGGACTATCAGTCTGAGTCCCTGGAGAATCTTCTCGCGGCTGTGCAGGCTCTTATGCTTTTTCAAACGATCCAGCTATTCGATGGGAATATCCGACAACGCTCGATCGCGGAGCGGAATTTGGATACCGTGAGATTAATGACTTTCCAGTTACATATTCGTGCAACGGAAGAGCTCAAGCCGGCATCTACGTGGAGAGAATGGATTTTTGCAGAAAGTATTCGGCGGACGGCTATCATGTCTTTCATTATTGAGGGAGTGTTTTCTGTGCTGAAGTCGGGACTTTGTTCGAATGTCCCTTTTTTAAGTTTACTTCCTTTTACAACTGGATCGGAGGTATGGGAGGATACGACTGATGCGACGTGGGTTGCCGGGTCTGGGCAGGTTGTTTTATATGGTGATTTCTCGGTTGCTTGGGAGAAAGGACTGGTTTTGAGGGAACTGGATACTTTTGAGAAATTCTTGCTTGCGCCTTGTTTGGGTGAGAAGTATCAGGATGCTCTGGAGATATTGGACTAGTTGTACATTTCAAAATTGTATTTAGGATAATGTCGTGGGCGAGAAAAAATACTATATCTCTACTTATCAAATAACCAAACCACTCGAAATCCTCAGAAGAAAACATCGTAAGTACTCTATTCCCGAAAAGAACAGATCGTGGGGGGAACGAGCACAGTACGAATGATTTCTGTGGTTCAAAAGAGCTATTTGATCATTGATGGTGATATAGCCAGAGATGCGCTCGTTTTGATTCTGATCTTGGAATTATTCTTGATAGATCCATATCAGGGAATAGTATGGCCATGTTTGCCATGGAAAAAATTCCATGGCAATAAATTCCTGTTGGTCTACTAGGGTATGGGAGATTGTTGGTCAAAAGAGAGATTGAAAGAAATCTTACAAGCATATGAAAGATCCAGGGCTGTGGTGCAACAGTCTATCGTTGTATATGGGTATAGTTGTAGATCAAGATATTTTGAATAGAGGGATCGAACCAAGTAGAGTTTACCTCATCCTAGCAGATTTGAATTTGCTGACCCTCTTTGGTGGCTCGTCAGTCTCGATGGGGATCATTGCCTGCTCCTCTTCGTTCAAGAAGCCACCGTTATTCTGGATCATATGGTTTCGCATTCTGTAAAATTCAGAAGCGATTTCACGACGGTGCATTTCTTCGTCCACCTCCTCCGTCTCTGGTGCTTTAGCTGCTCCAGGAGCGATTTCTCGTTCAACTAGCTTGTTCGCAAGAGTTTTTCCTTCTGGTGGCCGAGGACCGGTGTAGGTTTCTTCAATAGAATCACTGATAGGAGCGGAGAAAGGCTTGGGCTCTTGAGATTTGGCTGGGAATAACGGTAGAGATGTGGTCGGGTGAGTGGCATTTACTTGTGTTTGGGCAGCGCGGGTGTCTGCGACAGTCGGTACAACATCCAGTGCAGCTTTAGCGGGGGTGTCTGTCTCAGCGCTCGAGGGAGTTGATCGAGCACTCTTGAACCGAGAGGCCTTCTTAGGCGGAGCAGATGCAGTTAACTTGGAATCTTGTACACGATCTGTGCGCTCAATGATGGCATCTGACAATGGAGAAGGCTCAGGCTTGGGTGGAAGAGTCCTACGCTCGGTATCCGGGATCTGTTGAATCTGTGGTGCTTTCGGAGCAGGAGCGATATCGAGGTCATCTGCAAACGCTACCCGCTTCTTCGGTTTCTTGCCCTTGGAGGAGCTGTCGGCAATCTCTTCAACCGGAACATCATTTGCCGGGGCGGGCTCTTGAATTTCTTGTTGTACTTCACTCGGGAATGTCTGCGTGTCCTTGCCCATGTTCCACATTCCACGAGCATTGAGTTTGGACTCCAGCTCTCGCATTTGTTCGTGATAATCATCGGTCAACTCCGTACGAGTCCGACCGAATTCGTCCTCTTCCTCATCCTCCTCATCCGTAGCCCAGGTGTAGTCTTCCTCATATGACACATCGCTTGCGTCCTCGTCCAGCTCTAACTCGGCAACAATAGCGCCCACTTCGTTTATACCATATTCAATCATTTCGCGGCGTAGCCTCGCATCTTCCTCAGACTCGTCAATGTCGGTAGTGGAGAGTTGTTGGCGGTCTTGTTCTGTCACGATGGACACAGGCTTCGAGAGATCCAGTTCATCTTCCTGTGAGCCATTTGTTTCCGGTACAGTGGTATGTATATTCGAAATGCCGTTTTGCTGAGGTTTTGTTGTCTCCGTATTGGGTGCATTGGAACTCTTCTCAACCGTAGCAGAGGAATCCTTGCTTGACCCCTCGCTCGCACCTGCTTTCTCGGGGATATTCTCCACGCCAACCTTCTTCAAAACTTCCAAAAGCTGAGGCGCCTGATCACCTGGGGCATTAACAGAGCTAGCAATGACCTCTCCGTCCTCATCCAGCTCCTCCATAATCTCCCGCATCGGAAAATCCGCACCGCCCTCAGTGGGTACGCTTTCACTCTCGTCCAACCCGGAAAGTTCGTCTTCAGCGGCGCGTAGTCTCTTCTCCATAGTCGCAACATTCTGTTTCACATAGTCGATACGTCGACCGAGAAGATCAACCACCTGTCCGCGAGACCGCGTCCCAATAATAGTTTGTAGTTCCTCCTCGGTCACCAAAGAACCGCCAAGATCCTGTCCCACGGCGAACAAGTCTTCAGACGTGGCTGAGCTCGGCAAGTCCTTGATCTCGTCGCGAAGGCCATCGTACTCTGCTTCCCAGGTTCGCCAGTGGTAGAGAGACTTTTGTAGTTTAAGAATGTTGTCTTCGAGCGTTAATCGGCGCTGCTCAAGGGCATCGAGGTTGTGGGCCGGAACACCCATCTTGAAGGATAATAAGAATATAACGATGAAAGAAGCCTCTTTACACCAAATAATAAAAGAGTGTAGGTGTAAGAGTTGGAGGGGCAAAAAAAGAAAAAGATTGAAGAGTCAAGGCCGCCGGAGTTGGTCCGTGCGCAATGTGGGTCATATATTCATTGTTCAGCTCATCTTCCCGCCCATCCTCACTCAACGCGGTGAATCCCACTCACCATGGCCTCCAAGAATGGGATCAGCCGTAGGGATGAAGACGGTAAGCTCTCCATGTGAGACGTCTATGTGCTATATACTGATTCAAGTGTTACAGAGGTCTGCCCCGTCTGCAAATCCTCCCGATACCTCAATCCGAACATGCGGTTCCTCATCAACCCAGAATGCTACCACAAGATGTGCGAATCTTGTGTCGACCGAATCTTCTCATCCGGCCCTTCAAGCTGCCCTGTAGCAGGCTGCCGAAAAACGCTGCGCAAGAACCGATTCCGAGCACAGACTTTCGAGGACATCGGAGTAGAGAGGGAGGTCGATATTCGGCGGCGAGTGATGCACATGTACGGACACCCACAGCCCAGAGACAGTTATATCAGGCCATACTAACATATCTAGCCTAAACCGCCGTGAGGAAGAATTTGACTCCAAGCGCGCATACGATGACTTCCTCGAACAACGTGAAGAAATAATCGCCAACCTAGTTTCCCGCATCGACGTAGCCAAGACCGAGGCCCAGCTCCAGAGATACGCCACCGAAAACATGCAGTCCATCCGCACAAATCAAGCCATCGAGGAAGAAGAAGCATCTTCCTTCCAAGCTCGCATGACTCTGGAACAAGAAGAAGCTCGCCTGCGACGTCAGCTCGCCCGCGAACAGATTGAGAACGAACGTCGCGAGATACAAGCCGGTCGCGAAGATATGCTTTCACGACTTGCATCTGGATCCAGCGCTGATGCAGCGGCTATTGCTCGTGAGGGTCACAAGGTTTTGTTGAAGAAGTCGTCCGCGAGACGGAGTGAGGAAGACCGTATTCGGCAGAAGCAGGCTGCGCTGCGTGGAAGTGAGCTGAAGCGGGGCGGTGCATTTGGTTCGGCGAGTGATATGGCGTCTAGCTCTGGACTTATCAAAGGCCTGCGGAAGATCAAGACGCCAGAACCGGAGAAACCTTACGATCCGTTCATGGGTTATGTCCCCGAAAAGAGGGATTACTATACCTTGCAGCAAAATTATCCATCTATGTACTTGGATCGTGTCAAGAATGACACAAGAGTTGCAGCTGGTGGATATGACTTACGAGAGTACTACGCGCGAACGATGGTGGAGGCGTTTGCGGGACTAGGGTGTTTTGTTGAAGATGAGGTTGCGCAACGAAGTGTTGCTTGAGAGTTGGATGCGAATCCTGGTATACGACAGTGCTGTGACGGTTCAAGCTGAACAAATTGCCTTGATCTGACTGATCTATCTGGTTTTTTCCATATGAGATTGATTTATGGCGGTATAAAGCATAGCGACGGTGTCTTTCTATGGAGTTCCTATTTCATTTTTTTCAATCCTGATCTCCTCAAGAGATACATACTCGGATACAAAATTGAATACATGAGCAATCAGCTTAAATGCTTATTTCTTTTACAGTATCAAAAGCGAGTGAAAAAGAAAGTTGGCAGTGAACAAAGGTCTTGCGAGCAGTAAAATTACAACGACCACAAATGATAACGCTAAAACACTCTTGAATGCTAATTCACATCAGAACAAAGACATTAGGTGCGCCCAGTCAACTCGGCAGTGCTCTCAATTCCTTCCCAGGGCAATTCATCCTCGTCATCCGACTCAGCCAGTCGCGAAGACTTGCTCGTTGTGCCAGTAACATCCGGGGCCCCGGTTATATCAATGCCAATGGATTCCAAAGTCATTTCCATCTCCTGTTCTGTCATATCATGGCCAACTTTTTGACCTTCGAGAACATCGTACAGAGCGTATATTTGATCAGATTTCATATCAATATCCCTCAAAACAGTCTCGATCTTCTCTAGTAAGGCCTTTCGCTGTCGCTTGCCAAACGACACATCCAGCTTGTTGTAAGCACTCTGGTAAGTGGCAAGCTGCATCTTCAAGTGAGACAACTCATCTTCAAGGGTTTTGAGGACGGTTGCAAGTGCCACGGCTGGGGATTGAGAGGGACGCATAGTTGGTTCCTCATTATAGGGAGATGGCTTGGGCATGCGGTCGGAAACGGGAACAGGCTTAGATACTTTAACAGGTTCATGGTTGCAAGTGTCATTGGGAAGCACATTTTTGCAAATCATGCAGTTTTTGCCCTCGTGTTGGGCAAGGTTGTCCAAGGCTCGCTGATCAGATTCTGGGAGACGAGTCGGGTTGCTAGCAGCCAACTCCGCACGGCCAAGAGTGATGTCAGGGAGAATGAAGGCGGACGTCATATCTTCGATGTTCTTGCGCTTCTTGCGTTGGGAGGAAACGGAATTCACAGAGTGATCGGAATGGCGTCGCGGGCGTTCAGCTGTTGGGACGACCAAGCTGTTATCTCCCTCAGCGGTCGTTGTTACTGACCGAGTAGTAATGTCGCCGGCTGCCGATGCGGGTCGAGGAATCTGCACCTTGGGCTCACGTAGAGATGATTTACGTGGCATGGGGGCCTTCAAAATACTTTGGCGTGTAGTGTTGACGGTCTCGGTGGTAGTAGGCTCCTTTACAGCGCTGGGGCGACGCTGCTTGCGTGACAATCTTTCCTCCTCCAAAGTCTTGCGCAGACGAGCAATCTCATTTTCCTACGACAGAAAGTTAGCAGCGATCAATATCTGCGTCTGGGCGATGATACTCACATCGATAATACTCAGCAAGGTGAGCTCGTCCACCTCAGAAGGCATCCTACTCTGCTCAGTAGCCTCCACAGGTTCGCTCACATCCTCTACTACAACTCTCTTGACTCGCTGCTTGCTGGTGTTGGGCTGCTTTTTAGCAGACTTTGACTCTGGGTGGCGAACGGCGGCCTTGGACGACTTCGATGAGCGCTTCATCATAGGCACGTCGATGGAAAATAGTTCTTGCTCAGCACGTTCCTTCTCTAGTCGAGATATTTCCTTGTTCACCTGCATCGAGACCTTGGCCCGAGACTCATCCTGACGTCTGGATTTGGTATTGGTATTAGCGCTCTTTGAGCTCAGATCTTTAGTACTGCGACTCATGTCTGCACTACGACCTGTATACATTTGACTTTCGTCGGCATCGGATCCGGTGAGACTGGCTTCGGAATCAGCAGTCTCTTGTTCGCGGACTGTCTTGTTTGGAGAATGTGACAGCTGTGATTTGAGTTCCGCATTCTCTCGTCTTAATTCTTCATTCTGAGCCTTCAATTCGCGGAATTCGAGATAGGCCACACCCAGCTGGGAAATGGCTGACTCTCTGTCCTGGTTCAAGCGTCGTACTGCGGCTTCCTGGACCTGAGACTTTCGATCGGCGATGTCAAGTTGATTCTGAAGGGCGATGTTTGCAGCTTCCAGCTCTAAAGAACAATATTAGTCGAATATCGAGGGATAAAACCAGGGATAATACATACTTTGATTCTCACTGGCTGCGCGCTTCGAAGCCTTCCTGCTCTCGGCATCGTCAACCGTGTACTTTTCCGAATGACGAGGTTTGCTTGTCTTGAGTGACGCATTCTCTTCGCGGTAGTGCTCTAATCTCCTCTCTGCATCTGATTTAAATCTTTCCAGCTCCGACACCTTGTCCTGCAAAAGTCGGAGGGAAACAAACAAGGCCTTCTCGTCCTCAGGAATAGGAATGGCGTCGAGAGGCATATGCTCGCGGGTGAAAGATACATCCGTGACATCGTGAGGCGGAGACACGAAGCGTGTAGAGCGTCTGTGTGAGAAAACTGGTGTGCCATCCTCATAGACGCCGGATACTAGCTCTGATATATTAGGTAGGTCGGGGAGAAGAAAAGAGTTGCGCGTCATAGTGTCACCCATGTTGTTCTTCTGGGTGTTGCTAGGAACTTGTCGTCGTGGAGAGGCCGTCGAGTTGCCCTTTCCGATTTCTTTTGCGTAGGCTTCTCGAGAGACACGCTCAATCGCGTCGGCGATCTCTTGAGAGTTATTTGGGTGACTAAAACGCGTAGATCGGGACTTTGTTTCAAACGGGGCCGGGCGCTCATCCTCTAAAAATGATCCATCATAGTTGTCTCGCACTTTTGCGTGCATATCTGACAGAGTTCGGCGTTGTTCGCGTTGATTTTTCGAAACTTGAGGGCTCATCATATGTTCTTTCTGTGCTTGGTTGGCCCGGCGCAATTGGGCGTCCTTTCGCAGATTTTCACTCACGGCACGTCGCGTCGTTGAGCGAGGAGGAGGAAGATTCTTCTGAGGAGTTGGATACTCGACGCGCACAGCAGGGGAAGAGGACCGCACACTATTCTGAAAGCTCATAACGGAGTCTCGCGAGTCGTCTATGCGACGCGCAGACTTCCCGACTGCGCGCCCCAACTCCATGGAGGGTTCGCTGTTATCGTCGACAATTCCATCTACTTCAGCTTCTTCCTCAGAGGTAGGCAGCTGAGAGAATTCGGGGAAACATTGGTCGAGAGTGGAGGTGTTGATGAGGAAGTCGGGTTCGTCGTCGTGGACGTTTGAATACCGGGGGCTACCCATTTGTCGGGTGGATGCGAGGGCTTCGTGTTCGGGATCGAAGTCAGAAACTGTCACACTGACATCTGAGTAAGGCATATTCACGCAGCCAAAGTAATTGTGAGGTTCATGTGGAGGAAGCGGCAGCGGAGGTGGGTGGTGTTGATGGTTTTGTTTTGGATCGGCGGAATGTTTTGGTCGCGCGTCTCCGCCAATCACGATTGGTCCATAATCCGGGGGCTGGGAGACCATATAGTTCCAATGTTGTAACTTCACCTAGTGATAGTACATAGATTAAAATTAAATGTTGAACTCTCGAATGCAACTTTGAAAAGGTTAACTAGTATTTAACTCAACTACTTGACAAAAAATGTTTTAAATGTTTTTGTTGTCGAGCAAATAGCAGGGTCTGTATCATCTTCAGATTGTGTTTATGGCCTAGACATACCTCAACCAACCACCTCGAATTCAGCATGTGGACGAAAAATTCTTCCAGGTCAGTGGGCAATTCAAAGCCGGGTTTGCGATATGTTGAAAGTATCAGCGGATGTGAGGCCTCGTAGCAATGACCGAACAACGAGGAAGACCCAAAGAAAGACCCCTTGTGCTAATTCAACAATCTCTAACACCAGTTCTGTATATCTGCTATCGCAGTCCTTTGCTTGAACAAAATTCGGATCCTGTTCAAACTTTTCGCGGACGTATATCTCAATGCCCTGGCGGGTTAGGTCTTGTAGGTACAGCCTTTTCGCAATGACCTTATCGCACGCTTGCTTGAAGACTTCCCAAGGTCTGCTCGAAACACACATTTTGATATTTTCCGAAGCTGTCGGTTTTGTCAACATTTCAAGGAGATCTCGCGGCTCGCCAGGGTACTCGTCTAGACCGTCAATGAAAAAGCAAAATCGTGTGGAGGATTTGAGCTGCCTCCCAAGCATGCTGAGTGCCTTTATTAGCTCCGTACGAGTCCATCCCTCTGATCAATCTTTGCCCATCGCTCTCGCAGAATATCTGAAATTAAATGTGGACATTTTCGCAAGATCTCATACAGCAATGTCTGCAGAAGCCCCTCTTGAGACTTTTGCAACGTAGCGACCGCCAAAAGAAGAAGTTTGCAGTGTCTAGACGTCCACCTCCCGCCCAGCATCTCAATCTTTCCATCGTCATGGGATGGTCGCAGATGAACTTCATCAGTGTTGATTTTCCCGAGCCGGCTTTGCCACCAACCCAGTAAAGACCTTGGTCTATGCGATCTCTTCTCAGCCATTCCATGAATTTGACTTTAGGCCTCAAATCATCTGCGCCTTCTGCGCTCTGGAATATCCAATTAAAGGTTTTCGTATGTGCTTCAGGGATGCTTTCATGGCGGGCATCTATCTGCTGAAATCGCAAACTTGCAAGGATCGTCTGCTCCTTCAATAAATTAGAGGCATCGGTTCGCAATTGAGCCAACGTTTTGGCAAGCTCCGTAAAGTTTACATCCACCATTGTTCTCGCTTGCATACGACCTAAAGCATCTACTTTACCCGCAAGTGTTTGAATTTGCTGATTCCGATCGATCTCCATCCTTTCATTTTCATTCACGAGACCGCGAAGCACGGTCAGGACGTCAGACTGCTGATCACCAAACACTTTCAAAAGTTGTATTTTGAGCTCGGATCGATACCCATCTAAGCGAGTTTCAAGGTCCCTGAGATCACGCTCTTTCCACACACATTTTAAGGCTTGTTGAAAACTTTTACATTTGGTGTTTGTCTGTTCTAATTTGAGCCTTTCTTTTGCCAATAGGAGCTTATTGCCGTCATCTTTGCAAGCGAGAGCAAGTCTGTTGAGCGTCTGTCCATATGTCGTGGGAGATGCTGAAGCTGAGCCTTGAGATAGCCTGGAGTTCAAATCAATAAGGCTAATAGTGATCTGCTCCAGGTGTTGGTGGTTAGCTGAAAGGCCTTTGGCAGATTTGTAAATCTCGCGCGAGCTGGAAAGCAGCTTGGAACCGAAATCGATGAACTGCAAAATATTCCCCGCAAGCCCAAGGGCTGAAAGCGGATCAAGTACCATCTTGGCGAAGTCCAACTGTTGCAAGGTGATCAATTTAAGACTTCGATCCTGACCTATCTATACTTGGAAAGGTCATTCACCAGGGTCCATATCCTTGGATCCCTGGCCTTCTTTCTAGACAAGAAAGTCTTTTAGAAACAGCCTTGGACGCATTTGAATACGATGCGCCCGGGCATAGAGCGTCGGGCGGGGTTTCCTTTCAACCTTGGGACTGAATAGGTTCAGGCCGGCCGTCATCCGGTTTGATAAACAGTCTACTTACAGAGAATCAATACACTTAGCCTAGTGCTTTGCTTAAAACGCCAGAACGGGATGAAGGTTAAAAAGATTTCTGGTGTCGATCTGGGGGCTCGCGAACTAATAGCGAATGGAGGCCACCTTGATGGGTGTTTTTCATACCTAACCTACCGGTGGGGGGGGGGGGTTTACATCAACGTTTAACGACTTTTTTTTTAAGTGGTCCTTTTTTGGCATGAACACTCGATGAGGTTTTCATTGTAGTATCACCATTCTTTGCTGTCTGTCAATAATAAAAACACGATAGAGAGCTTGAATACCCTAGGGTTTATACATTCGAGATTAAACCGAATCGCCAGATCCCACGCTAAGGTATTCGGCTTCAGCCTCGACGGCGACGCCGAGCATTGCCACCCTCAGCCTCAACAAAGCAAGCACTCAAGTTTAGTTGAGGCTGCATTGCCTTTTTTTTTTGGCACATCCCTATTAAACCTCGAAACACAATGTTACGACAATAGGAAAATGATGAAATGTACAGTTTATCCCGCCATGCGTTTTAGGTCCCACAGAATCTCGTTTAGCGCGTAAGATACACATGGAATTAGACTTCAGGGTCCATCTCGTGGCCCCTCTTCCCTAACCAAGCACCATGCAAGCCCCCACAGAGATCTGGCAACTCATAATCCAGGAGGCGATCGAGGTATTGCCCCTGAAGAATTTATACGAGGCAAGGCTTGTGAATTGTTCGTTGATCATATCGGGTTTACGAGATCGATCATCATACGAAATGAACGCTCACTTCAGACAGTCCTTTTCGCAGATGAGATCAACGCCCGATTACCAACTAATCGCTGATTAAAGGAAGACCCGGATCTCTTTCAAGTTGCCGAATGGAGACGATTTCCCTTAAAAAGGCAGCACATGTGGAATAAAATTCGACTTCTTGCCCAGAGACCATGCATGTTCTCCACATTGATTTATGACGTTCTTCAGTTGCCGCGTCTGGCCAATTTGAATAAGGATCAACAACATATTTGGATCGACAAAATCATCGACGTAGTGATATGGGGCCAAAGGAATGCAGAGCAATTGTTTACTGCTGCCCGCTACTCCTTTTTCTTACGGTGGTATATGTCTATCAGACGAAGTCACTGGGTCGTAGAATGGGAGCCACCGTAAGTATTTTTGAACCTTGCCTTGGCTGCTAGTGCTATCCAAGCGAGGGGATAATGTTAAGCTTCAAGGCTTGGTAGATCAGGGACTTCAGGTGGATGGGTACAGTTCGCGTATCAAGATGATGCCCATGAATATTGCATGTAGGATTGACAATAAATAGGTGATGAAAACCATGGTGGCAGCCGGGTGTCCCCTTTGGTACCATAATTACACATATACAGACATTCTTTACAATCGTACGAATGCACTGTCAGTTGCAGTACGGAGTGGAAACAAAGAGGGGCTAGAAGGGTGGATTGAGATGCTGTCCAGCGATGAAGAGTCTCTTGAGAGTCTTTCATCAGCATTGCGCACTGCAGTAAGATTAGGCAGATGGGATATGGTTGAAATGGCCGAGCAATGTTATACAGGGAATCTAAAGCCCTTGGAGGCTGAATGGCTGACCGAAGGCACGAAATCGGGACAGCTGAAAATTTTGCAGCATCTTCTCCAAGAGCGAGGATTGGATGCTACAATGCAAACTCCACGTTGCAAAAAGGGGTTAATCTATGCGGCACTCCATGACTGTTCCAACGCAAGGAAGACCGCGGTAGTCAAGGCTCTTCTGGAACACGGGGCGAATCCTAATAGAGTTTATCCGCCGATCACGCAGACACTCTTTCAACGAGCCATCGAGGACAGAGAAGTGGAGATTGCGAAATTGCTGGTGGAATATGGGGCAGATGTGAACTCGGTCGGCAGCAGTAGCTGTATAACCAAACAGAAAGCGCCGTTATTTCTTGCTAGTCGGCCTGGACTGGCGCCGCTGGTGCATTTTTGCTTGCGCACGGTGCCAATCCCCCCTTTCGGTGGAAAGGAAAGTCGTCAACTGGTTTGTTGTTGTGACGGAGAGCACGATGATTGGTTATGTGGAGCAAGCATTGATAGAGTTGGGTTGGTCAGCGGGGAATGTACGGGATACGAAAATCGACTACCTGGTGCTAGAGGGTCGATCCAGAGGCGAATAAGACATATACACTAGTAGAACTATTAGATTAAACTTGACTCAGATCATGAATCAAACAGAGAATAAGTCCCGTGCCCATTCACCGTGTCCACTGTGTACTATGTAGAACTCCATTAGGCTGCTCTCTCTGGCTTCATCTCATTCGATGTATAGAGCCCCACTTTGCTCTGGGCTCGTGTCCTCTTTTTTTATAAATAGAACTTTGGAACATCTAGAATTTGTGGTTTGCTAGTGGTTTAGCCAACAAAGACATCACTATGGCTCACATATAATTAAAAGCCTTTGACGTAGAGATTTGCCCATATAAATACTTGATAAAAAGCCACACCATGTATAGTTTAGAGGTTTAAAAAAATGATGTTCTAGCATAAGTCTCATCTCGCCCCCCGACGATCGTTCCCAGCTGGTCTCTGCTAAGATTTATTTTAGAACGGGCAACGATCGAGGCCGATCTCCACCTCCGACCGGGCTGTGGCGTCGCTAGTTCTAAATTCATCCTTGGAGGGAGAAAAATGGAAGAGGGAAGAAAAGGGAAAATAATATAAAAAAATAGAAATTCAAAAATCTCTGCGCCTAGAGATCTCATAAGTCCAATCAAAAATTCCTGTACCTAGCCGCACATCAAGAGAAAATATAATAGGGGGAGGATGTCCCCTATGCACGCAGATTAGATGGGCCCCAGTTATTATTTATCTCATCACATTTGCTACCAACTATTCTTAGTCCCGTTCACCCCACCAACCCGGATGCTGAAGTACATACATTAAACCACGGAAACCCATCTTTTCCCCTCCCACCTCCTCCCTTCCCAACCCTCGATGACACTCTTGACACTCTACCCCTCGCCTGAAGTGAGATCCTCATGTTCCCCATCCACTACTATGTCCTGCATTTCACCTGCCGCCGGTGACCGTCCAACCATGACCGGGCGACCGAAACTCACTCTACAAACCTCTGCTCTCCCACGGACCTTTGGCACTTCAACAACAGGCCTCTCCCGTCCCTTCACAGCCGCCGCAGGCACATCTCCTACAGTTCGAAACACATTCAAGAACGCCTACGATGTTGTTGCATCTCCCACCTCCGCAGCAACCTCACCCTCCAAGGGCCCCAGCCACCGCTTTCCCACCGACAAACCCATATCTCCTTATGTGCACCACCCCTCCAATAATAATACCTTCAACCACCGCAGTGCCTACCAACTACCTCTAGGAGTGCGCAGTATCTTGCGCAACTCCCCCCTCGACACAGTCTCACACCGACGCTCCGGCTCCATATCCGCGGGGACAAGTGGGCCTGCGAGCGCAGGAACTCGCCGTGTCTTCTTCCCAGCCAAGAAACAAGTGAGCTACCGCGTACCACTCGAAGAGGAGATCCGCACTACAAACTACACTGCATCACACCTGGACCTCGTATTAGAAACAGAAGAAGACGAAAAGCAGAAGGAAATCCAAAAACAGACAGAGGCCGTGGCTGCGCCCCACCAGGCAGACCGGGGGCCAGAAGAACCAAAAGTCGACTCCACCGACGAGTCAGATTCTAGCCAAACCTCGTCAGCATCAAGTACGTCGGATGAAGCCAGTGCAGACGAAGGCGTAACGAAATCTACACTGTCAAAGCTTGAACGCAAGAAACGACGAACAATGCGAACAGAGCGGCAGGTACGGGCTGTTGCTCTTCTGGACGGCCTGGACACAGATCAATATACTGGATCGTCTACACCGCAGACTCCGCGGCAGGGTCGCGTTAAGCGCCGACGAGAATGGACATGGACTTTGGGGCCAATTCACTCGATCGGGAATACAAGTCCTTCAAGTGCCTCTTCGGCGACAACTACTCCTGAAACACCTTGCATTTCTTCGGCCTCCACTGTGGATGAACCGAAGATGGAGCTTCCTTCCTGTCAGCAGGAGCAATAAACCATTTGGGGGCCGGGCGCTCATGACCCTGCTATGACCTCTTCTTTCTTCTTTCTTTTTACTGATGCATAACGGTGATGCATTTACTTCATTTACCTCACGAATCACGGTTCCCCTCATTATAAGAGGCATTTGGTGGCATTTCTATGACAAGCGATACATTCTTGCTTCCTACTACTATTATTTTCTATTTGTGGTTTTGACCCAGTTATGCTGGTGATTTACTGTACCCAACATTTCTTATTTAATTTAGAAATACTTAATTTCTTTCAATATACATATTTTTTTGTCACACGGTTAAGCTTCCAATGACTTCTTTCATCACACAGCCGGCGCCAACGGAGCGTGGCAGAAGTGACGCATCGTGCATAATGACGCCGCCACAATAAAGCCAAGACCTCCCAACCACACACTCCCCCACCCCGGGAAGTACAGTGCATATAGTGGTGTCAACAAAGTTTGTCAAAAGAAACTCCGGAGGCGGGTCTAACCATTTTGCATAGAGACCAAGGCTATTGCTTACGGGTATGATGCAATTAGTCTCCAAATCATCATTCAGAGTGGATTTCGTGCAGTTGCCATGTGTAAATCGTACTGCGTGTTTTCAACTGTTGATCTGTCAATCATTGCCTCAACAGCCAAGGAACTAGAAAAGTTATCCCAATGAAGTGTTCAATTTAAATGTTTAAACTCTCTTTAATCTGTGGATATATGTCGTCATATCGTATACTATAAGCAACGGTCCAAAACCATAGAAAAAAGTACACTAAATCCTCTGAAGATGGATAGTCCCCACCTCAAAATAACACTAGATACGAAACTGAGGCACAAGCCCCTCAAAATGACATCAACAGCAATATCAACAATCCTAATTTTTCTTGTCTTCAAGTCTCCGTCTCAACATCTGGCTCGCGGCCCGTAAGCCCACCAGCACCGACCTTCTTCTTCATCTTCCGAAGCGCAAACTTCGCCTCATCCTTTGCAAATATCGCATTGCGCGCAGGACGCCACTGCATCAGACCCCGCTGCTGTCTCTGTTCACTCCTCCTATTCGCTTTATCGCCGTGCTCGGCACTCGTCCTTGACGAAGACGCCGTCGCCGCACTAGCACTAATCGTAGACGGCCCCTTAGAAAGCGCTTGGCTGCTATCATCGTCATCTGGCTCCTGGTCAGAATCAGAATCAGACCCATCATGCTGGCCATCCCCATTATCAAAGCTTCGATGCACAGATGGTTGTCCCTTCAGAGGCGGGGGCGTAATAGGATCATGCTTCGGCTCGTCTTGTCCTGGCTCTGCAATCTTCTTACCCGTTGAGTCAGTGTAGGCCCGTGGATCATGCCCAAACGCACCACTCCAATCGTGACCTTCACGATCGACCCAGCGGCGCTGTTCAGCGGGGCTAGCATGCTTCAGCACATCACGAGAGTCAATTAGACTCTGTTCGTGCTTCTGCTGAACTTCCTCGGGGACTTCGACTAATACGCTTCGCGAGCGGACACCCTGTGATACACAGGCTTCCCATGTTTCGAAAGTCTCGCGGGAGTCATTATCGATGACGAATTGCTCGTGCGACTCGTCGATACCAGGTGAGAAGCGACAGCGGAACTGGAAGCGGCCCACTGTCTTTAGATCTTCAAGCCCGGGGACTTCCTTAGCACGCCAGTTCTCTTCCGTAATGTAGTTCTGTGTTAAACGAGCGCCACTCTTTGTAGTCCAGATCGGGATGTCGATGTCCGTATCCTCGTTATCGACTAGATGCTGGAGCCAGAGGATGGCGTAAGCGGCAGCGGTACGTTTGCCTTGGGTATGGAACTCGAAGACGACTGGTGATCGGTAGCGATGTTTGACTGGCATGCGGAGCTTGTCGCGGTAGGTTTCGTCGGATGTGTCGTAGATCACGTCGTTGCCTTCTGTGCGTGCTGAGTGTCGGGATATCTTGCCTATGCTGCCACCAGTGCGCATCTTGATCTTGGAAATCCGGCCGTAGTCCTTTGCAATGATCTTGTCTGCAGTGAACTCGAATGTGCCCACGTCCCAGCCGAGCATGGTAGGTGGGAGCTTGGTCTCGACGTGGCGTAGGAGAAGGGAAATACGGATTCGTCCGAATCCAACGCCGCCGTCTAGTGGGTACCAGCGGGTGACTTGGGAGCTTGTTTGGAAGATGTCGGAGAGTTTGATTGGGACCACGCCCAGGATGGGATCGTGTTCTCTGTAGCGTTGGTCACGTACGGTGACTGTGACAACAGCTGATCGCCAGTCACGCACGAAGCGCTCTGTTCCAGCGTTGAAAATTGGCTTGGAGCTCACGGCCTTGGGACGTGTGCGATAGATCTGTTGAGGATGTGAGTATATTGGGTACATTTTGGGCGGCCTATAGAGTTGGAGAAATAACATACCAGTTGATCATTTAGTAAGATCTTACAGTAGCTTGTAGGCAATTCACCACCTTCCTCCTCTGTGTTCTCGCCAAAGGGCTTAGCAGGTTCATACTCCTTACCCTTGCGATCTCCATCGCTACCCTTGATATTGGCAAGCTGGAGGTTGACGATCTGGTGGACAACAATATGAACAATACCGCTAGGCCAGATAGGATCCGGTGGTGTATGCACAACGGCATCCTCTTCTTCATTGTTGATAACGCCCTTCTCATCCTCAAATGTTGGATCTCCCTTCAAATTCTCAGGAAGATCCTTCTTCTTTCCATCAGTCCGCAGCTCAGGTCGTAGCTTGGGTTTTCCGAAGTATCCAACCTCCCAATGAAGTTGACCAGGCATCTCGCTGCCCTCGTCAAGACCTTGTAATTTAGAGATCTGAGGATACATACGGCCAGGATGCTGGAGCATCTCCCGGATTGGTAGTTCCACCTTACCGACAATATCATCGGCTGTATTGCGGTCAGAGTCCCAGAGCTCAATGCTCAGGTTTTCGTCTGCCTTGATCAGCTCTGGTGTGACAATTAGTGCAGCAGTCTCCTCCCACATTGGGTTGAGGTCATCTGTAATCACTCGGGTGCAGTACATTGGCTTTCCGTACTTGGAAAACGACAGGTTGATATAAGGATCGCTACCACCACCTTCGCTACCGCGACGATCTTGTTTGCTTAGACCAACGGCGCGATGAATGCGAATCCACATCACACCCAGTGCCAGAGTATCCTTGTGGATATCGTCACCCTTGAGCATCATGCTCAGATCCATAGTCATAGACTTCGGTGCAGCGAACATAGAGCAAGCGGCACCAATAGCGGAGTTGACGAAGTTAGAGATCAATGGAAGGTTGAGGATGTTAACACCCCTTTTGAGCATAGGCACACATCCAGCCTTGACATGTGGAATACCAACAAGACTAAAAGTGAGGTCCTTTGCGAAGGGAGGCTCTGGCATCATCTGGAGACGAAGTCTGACGGTACCCACAAGCTCGGTGAGCTCAACGAAAACGGGGAATGGAATACCAAATAAACCACGAATACCAAGGTAAAAGACTAAGTGCATGTGCATATTGCGGGCCTTGGAAGAAGCTGTCCCGCCGCTTGGTTTGGCGTGGTAAGCAAACGAGGCTTCCATGTTATAGTAGCTTCCTCCTTCCTCGGTGGCAGCAGCCTCCTGGGGGTCTTTGTTCTTCAAATTATCCTGGTGAATGTTTTCCTTCAAGTTTTGAACATGATCATCTGGAAGAGCACGCATGCTCAGAATGCGGAATGGATTATTACCCTGGTCGATCTCTGCGATGCGGACATTTTCAACCACGCTTGGCGCAGAGGCTTGCATGATGTCCTCGATTGTGTCGGCCATTGGTGCTAGCATTTCAGGATTCATAAGACCCCAGACGACACCGAGGAGTGAGTTCATCCATTCGACAGACTCCGGGAGAAGGTTTGCAGTAGCCTGAAATAGAACACATCAGTGTGGGCTTCTCAATGTTGAAGAATTCAATACATACAGTTTGCCCTCGAAGCTGCTCACTACTCCATTCCATGTTTTTACCGCTGCGAATGACCTCTTGTACCCATAGCCAAACACCGCTGGCAATACACACTGCCAATGGGATAAGCCCCCATAGCGAGCCCCCGAAATATCGTCCAAGCACAATAATCGAGAATGGAATAGCAATACATAGTACTGTTGCACGAGATTCTAATTGCTTGAACATAGGTTCAAATGTGATTGTTGGTGTAGGATGGAAAAGGACATTGGTTTTCTCGCCGCGAATGGGGACATCAGATGTGGTTCCTTCGGCTATGGGATCGGGAGGTGCAGTGATATCTTGCTTTTCTTTATATTCCGCGAAGTCTTGATCGTGGCTGGTATAAACATCCTGCCATATCCGTATTAGTCTTCAAATTTTTTTTTTTCTTTTGCATAGATCATATACTCACAGTCGGCTGTCCGAGGTTGGCATTGGGGACTGTCAACTATATCGTGTGTTAGCGCTCTTGAAATGCTCGTTAAGCTGACCAAAGCACAAACCATAGGGTTCTTGACAGCCTCCATAGAAGTCTCATCTTGATCCTCAACTCCGATCTCCTTTCCCGTTGTCGGATCAGTCACGGTCCGCATTTTAGCTTTAGATACCTCTCGGGCCTTATGAGCCACCGCATCTCCTTGTTCACCAGCATGTTGCTTTCCACGTGTGTCTTCCCATTGTTGTTGCCTGGCTTTCTCATCATTTGACCTCTTCTCTTCATCGATTTTGCGATCGCGCTCTTTCTTCTCGCTATCGAGATGCTCAATGAATTTCTGAACAGTTGGAACAGGATTGGCACCACTCCAGTGTTCTCCGACACGATGCCGCTCTGGCGATTCAACTTTCGGTGGTTCCGTCATTGCGTTGCAATTATACCCACAGGAAGTGCGGGCGCTTCGTTGCTGTATAAGAGATAATATTCAATAGACCGGGGGTTACGATTAGGGGATCTATAGATCGTTCGAGTCGGAAAATTGATTTCTCACGACTGCCCCCACGTCAATGGAGATTCAATTCAAGTAATCAGGCGGGGAGAGAACTTTAAAACAAGCTCCTCTCGTATGTGTTTGCTTCAAGCTCAGCTGTTGAAGCAGAAACTGCCTTTGCCATTAAGTTGGGCGGACGGAGCAACCGAGAGCTTCCCCAGAACTACGTCATCAGTGGGTTCAACCGGGAAATCTGGTGTATGACGATGGCAAACACGCTGTCATTTGTGAGTTTAGTGTTTTATCTGCGACAATCTTGTCGTTTCATGCAATAGAAATTGATTTTACGACGATCTCTTCACATCCAAGGCCTGGCTGCCTCCTCTCCGTCCTTCTCAGCGGGGTTCCGTTCTTGGCGTTCAAGTTATGCTTAGACACCCAATTCTAATATTCATGCAATGATCTCGTGTACACAACCCCTCCTCTTTAGATTAAATTCAAAATGTCAAAGGTTTATATGAGCAGGTCAATTGATCTTTTTTCTTCTGCCAGTTGGATTGATATTCGTGATGGATCGTCCATCATCAAGGAATCGGATCCGTAACATGATGTCACTAGCAGATCTGTGACTTCAATGCCAATGCTGTATTAAAATCCTGCTCGACGATGGAAACAGTCATTTTCAAGTTTCCGTCCTTAGACCCTGGTAAACTTTGCTTAGGTTCGTCTGGTATTGCGGCTGAAAGCTGTGTTGTACAGGTCGACATGGCATTGTAAGCACATGAGCAACTGTTGAATAAACAATGATATCTCAGCTCAGAGATCGGCAAAACTAGTGATTAGATCAATCCCTGGAGCAGATCAGGTTCACCGACCAAGGGACCTAGCGAAAATTGGGGGTATTTTATAGGTCCATCAGCTTCTGAATGATGATCGATACTCGAGAAGACATTTTCATATCCGCACTGTTCGATGGATCTACAGCATCGATGTCATAATGGTTCATGGGTATATGCTGATCGCTGAATTCTGAGGTGCCTGCCATTTGCTCCAGTTTCGACATATCAAATATAACCTGGGAAGTGACGTCTCTTGTGTTTGCGACGATATGCCACCGTACATAGTAGGCAATTAGCGGTTCTGGGAGTGGCATGAGGCCAAACACTTATCGCGTTGGCAGAATCGATCCAGTAACATGCTGAAGAGTCCCGGAAGGAAGCTAGTTCACTTCTCTTGATGTTTTAAATATGGATACATGGGATATTATTGTTTGAACTCCGTAGCTTTAGGGAAGTTGAAGTTAGCAAAATGCACCGAGTAGCTAAAGCCTGACTGATTTGCTTATCGCGACCTACCGCTTTCCATCACCACAACCTCATCCCGTAACTTCGATCCACATCTCGGACCTGCACATTTGAACTTCGCAGTCCACATTGATCGCTTTCAACAATTTGATTTTATTAAAATGTCGACACCGGATGAATCACCAGCTCAGAGAGCCGCTCGCCAACGCCGTGAGCGCCGTGAGGCCAAGATCAGGGAAGGAGGCTCCGCCCGTCTGGACAAGATCACCAGTCTAAGCGGTCGCACCCCGCAATCAAGTATGTCACCCTAGCAGCAGGACCAGGATGGAGATGTCGAAAATGATCAATACAGAAAAGCTGACGAAGGTTCTTCACACGCAGCCCAGGAAGAAGATTCACCTTCTCCCCGACCTTCCCAGCCCACTTCGCCCGCCATCTCTCAATCTCCCTCCCCATCCCTACAAGCTCAACAAGACCAACAATCAGTGGCGGCCCTCCAAGCTCAACAAGATGCCTTCCGTGCTATGCTCCGACAAGCCGCGCCTGAAGTGGCCCAGCATCAACAGAGCCAAGAGGCCAATGAAGTAGAGGACCCAACCCTCAAGCTGTTAAACTCCCTTCTTGGATCCATGCCGACAGACCCCAACGGCCCACCACCACCACCAGACGGAGCTCCCGGCCAAGCACCAAGTGCAGGACCTGGCCTTGGGCCTGCAGCTATCGCTTCTGCACTCGGCCTGCCCCCTTTCCTCGCGAACCTGGTCGGTGGAGCGCTCCAGACACAAGAAGAAAACCCAAAGAGCGTACGACTGTGGAAGACTCTGCACATCTTCTTTGCGCTCAGTGTCGCTTTCTACCTGCTCTTCATCATCGGATCATCTGTCGCACTGTTTGGTAGTCTCCCTCCGAAGCCTGCCACTGCACAGAACCCATTTGTTATTTTTATGACGGGCGAGCTGCTTCTATGTGGAACACGGGTATTGTTTGGGGGGCAAAATGGGATACGCTCGGGAATCAAACTGGTAAAGGATGTTATTCGTGATGGCAGTCTTATTATCTTTGCATTGGGCTTGGGAAGTTGGTACACTCGTGAGTGGCAGGTTCTTGGTTGATTAGTCGCTTTTTTCTCTCGCTTCCCACTTCCCACTTCCACGATTAGCATACAAAGCATGAATTTATTCGGGTCTACCATGATGTAAAATCAATCGATCGCATTTGCATAGAGTTTTTTATGTAGTCTACATGTACGGTTCCTTAACTAATTACAGAAATCCTTAACCAAGTTGACAAATATCTTTTCCATCTGCTGTAGACTCTCTACAGTAACCCATTCTTCTTTGCTATGCAAGCCTTCACCCGAAGGACCGAAGACAATGGATGGAACCCCCACTTCGGCTAGTAAAGCTGCATCGCACCAGAAGGGCACAGTTCCAAGTTCTGGTGCCTTTCCCAAAATTGGGGTAGAAGAAGCGACTGCTTTCTTTACCAGAGGGTGATCTCTGGAAAGCTTCGTTGTCGGACGTGATATAGTGATACGAGGCGTTCTGTACTTGAAACGAGGATTTTCTTCCAAAACTTTGCAAAGAATGGTTTGAACATCCTTCATGATAGACGCCTCGGTCTGAGTAGGAATAGTGCGGAACTCAACTGTGATGGTGCACTTTCCAGGGTAAGAAGACGGCTCTTCACCTCCTCGAATGAGACCACAGTGCAAGGATGCTCGGCCAAGGAGATCATCTTCAGGTAAGCTTTGCTGGTACTCCTCGAGAGCTCGAAGGAACCATCCAGCGTTCATGATGGCGTCTTCACCGGATCCAGGATCAGAGCCATGAGCAGCAACTCCGAGAATATCAACTTCAATCCACACGAACCCCTTATGCGCAGTGATAATACTTTGCATGGTTGGCTCGGGGATTACCGCGGCATCGGCACGCCATCCAGCAGCTATAATGTCTTGAGTACCCTGTGACGCATCCTCTTCGTCAGATACAGCAGCCACAATGATGTCTCCTCGGGGAAGCTTCTCATGCTTCCCTGCTTTGATTGTTGCCATTGCTGCAAGTGCCGCTGCCAGACCACCTTTCATGTCCAAACTTCCTCGCCCAAATACAGCCTGTTGTTCATTTTTCATGGCGATGACTCCTGAAAGGGGGTTTACACCTTGCTCATAGCTTGAGTTGCTAACGGTGTCGACATGACCGTTGAACATAAGTGACTTTCCTCCGCCGCTTCCACGAAGCACACCTACAACAGAGGGACGACCAGCAACAGACTCAATACGATGTGAATCGATATCACGATGAGCAAACCATGCCGTTAAGTAGTCGGCGATTTCGCTTTCCCCCGCTCCATCGCTGACAGATAAAGTAGGGTTGGATGAATCAATTTGAGTGAGCGCCTGAGTAAGACCCACGGCATCCTCGACAGACACATCCTTAGGGATCGAATATTGCCGTGCGCCTTCCGTGCTGAGAAGCACTACGACAGATTCATGGCTCAACAATGAATATGCTTCTTTAGAAATGCGTCGCAGTGCAGCCAAGGACGCACCGCCGCATGGCCCAGCAGGCACTGATTTCGACGTTAGATACTGAACTGCACAATGGCTCTCATATGATGATACAGTCACGCAGGCATCAACAAGGCGTTGCAAGTCTGGCCATGCCGTTGTAGATACAGTACCGCAGTTCATTCCATTCATAATAGTCGCAGTTGTCCCGACGGAAATTGACTTCCCAGCACGGAGACTAGAGGATAGGCAAGGTGCAGAGTCGGGCTCGACAGCAACAACGCCCACATCTCGGGTTTTGCAATGCCTCGTCACAGCATGAGCAAGACTTCCAACTCCAACAGGAGTGACCATCATGTTGGCGGTCAGACCGAGCAGAGATAATTGTTCTTCGGCCTCGTTCGTCATCGTAGAATACCCCTCCACAATCCAAGCGGGGACATCTTCGTACCCGTCAAACGCAGTGTCTTGGATCAAGAGTACAGTTTCATCTTGTGCTTGTTCTGCAGCTTTCTCGACAGCTTGATCGTAGTCCCCTTGAACAAGCGTTACTTGAGCACCCTCCGATGCAATGCGACTGCGCGTGTCCTCATCCATAGACCGGGGCGCAAATATCTCGGCGGGAATGCCGAGCAGCTTTGCCATATAAGCAACGGCTCGTCCATGATTGCCTTCAGTTGCAGTTACTAAAGACATCGAGCTCGCCTTCGCCTTCACTGCGAGTTCTTCTAAGGTGGTCTCAGTGGCCGATAATCCGAGATGCTGCGCGATAGCTCGGAAAGAGCCCCATGATGCACCAAGGACCTTGAATGCGGGGAGACCGAATCTGTTGCTTTCATCTTTCACAAAGACTGATTTAATCCCAAGCTCAGCCGCAAGCTCTGGAAGAGATACAAGCGGAGTAGGTGCATAGTTGGGAAGCGATTTGTGAAACTTGGCGACGGCGGGGGAGGGCGTAAAGTCGCATCGCTCGCTAGCAGCGGCGGGGTTCACGTAGATCGGACGCCTGGAAGACATGGAACAACGAACTTTCTTGAAACAAATTTGACTTCTAGTCTCTAACGCTCAGGATGTGGCCGGACTCATATATTAGCTTGTTTGATGTCACTCGGCAACTTTGGTTCACGGCCTTCCGGAGACATGGTGCGCCTTCTGACAACAGCGCCTTCTAGCAACATCACCCGTAAAGTGGGTGGACCCTCTGGAAATTCAACCATGTCCACAATTTCGCTGTGGCAGTGTGGCTTAATGAGAATTCAAAAATTTCTCGCTGTTTGCATTTTCGGTTAATCATTGCTCATTGTAGGTGAGCGAGCGCCTTCGCAGAACATTCGGTGGTATAAGCTTTTGTGCCGGCCTCGCTCAGGGTTGATCCGATACAAAAATACCACTATATGACCCTTAAAGCTGCTAAGCCAGGGTCTTCAAATCGAGAATTTGGAGCACTTTGTCGAAGAAATACACTCTATGATGCACGCAATCAAATATACCAAGCCGACCCACTATGATCCTCGTTCCGTGCCACTTGGCCCGGTTTCCGGTGCAACGGGGGCCAACTGTTTCAAAAAAAAAAAAAAAAAAAAAAGCGACGACATGCTGTGGTACAATGGCTGGACAAAGGAAACTATGGGCGATGTTGTCAAAGGTAAAAACATTGCTAGACACCATTCATTCTTATGTGCCTGTTCGTCGCAGATAGTTACAAGACCCGGAAGTCTAAAGTGTAACTCATGACTATCGATGTTCATATACTTACTTTCCTTTCAAAGGCTATACTTGGTTTGCCTGCAAGCTGTCCTGCCTGTCTATCATAGATATCAAAGATCAAATCTCTTGCTAGCTATGACGACTGACTCCCTGATCATCCCGCACTTAGACTTTTTATTTGCCCGCCAGTATAGTGAGATGAGTAACAAGATAACAAGAATAGAGGAAATATACAGCAACAAGATGGCCAGAAACTACTGGGTATGGCGAGGGGCATCGGAGGATCTAAAGAGTTGTTGTCCCGCGATACCACCTATATGACTCCCTATGACGGCCAATGCGAGTCCCAGACTGCGGTTTGTGGGCTTTGTTGCATTGATACTCACCCAGGCATCGTTGAGGCCTTGAGCCAACGCATTCCCTCCGGCCAGAAGTGTAAATATGGCATATAGAGTCCATTCATTCCCATCATTTGCTATGCCAAACAAGGCGCCTGAAAAGGCAATGACCAGATAAAGGCGACAATGCACCAAGGTCCCCGCATGTGTGTTTTATCCGATCCAAATGCAATTAGGTATGAAAGAATGATGACCAGCACGCTGCTCACGGAATTGAGCAGATTCGCGTTCACTGTAGAGAATCCTAGCGACTTGATAATGGTAGGCCCGTAGAGCTGCAATCCACCTTTCGGAGCCAGGCTGACAATGTTGAGAATCATGTGAACCCGTAGTCGGTAATCTAAGAGAGCTTGAACGATGGATTTCAGAGACATTTGTGCATTGTCAGTGGTTTTTGATTCATCATCTGCCACGACACGGGCGCGCACAATAGGAAGTTCTCGTTCGGAGAAGAAATCCCAGCTGTGATGCAATGGGGCAGTTTTGGATGGGTTGGCGGGGAGGAACGTCACGAAGAAGACAAAGATCAGCAAAGTAAGTGTACCCTCCACTGAAGCTAGTTAGAAAAAAAATTGAATGTACTTTTGGTGTGTGACTTACGGATAAAAAGCCATTGCCAGCCGGAGAGACATTTGAGGCCTGCCATTTGAACCACTCCAGCAGCAAGTAGGGAGCCTATAGCAGTGGCACCATAATTTCCAAAGTAGAAAATGGATGTTCCGAATTGCGGAATTGAAAAAGCTCTCCGACTTTGAGGATGGGACTGTGAAATCAACCCGATTTAGAAGCAATATAGACGTTGCGAATACAATTAGGGCGCGAAAATGCACATTTGCCAGAGACCGATCAGGTGTAGAATTGTTGTATAAGGGTTCGATCATTTCGAGAAAATTTTCACTGGAAGAAAGAATGGGAGAAAAGAAATCACAATGCTCAAAGTAGATATCCAGGAGCCTCTCAGCTGCGTCCCGTCCAGATATGGCCGGTATTGTCTCCGATGGCATTTCATCCAAGAGAGAATGGCTGTCAGACCTTTCATTCAAAGGTAGCCGGGAGACCGGGCCAGAAAGTAGTGATTGTAGCAAAGACAAACCATCGTGGCTTTCGTGTCTTGCAAAAAAAGGCTGTTGCTGGAGACTGTTACTCGCAATCTGGCCGACCAGGTCTGCAGGTTCTTCCGCAGTCTGATGAGGCAGTCTGGAAGGTGAGTCAATATTTGCTCCCACGGATAGAGGAAAATTCGGAGTTGGTGTCTGAATTTTCTGAATAGCATGAGCTGGTGGCTATGATTCGAGAAAGGCGATGCGGTCTTCGAGGCTTTTTACATAAATGAGGTACTATTAGAACAGTGCCGAACGCGAAATTATATGGTAGGCTTGGGAAGAACCTTCTGGGCACAACACCCCCATCTATATCAGTGCTAAAACACTCCACGCCCACGTGTTCGCAGTTTGAACAAGCCGGGATCATTATAATATCCGAAAGCTTATCACTACATTCTATGTTATTATCTTCAATTTTTATTTCTAGGACGGTACTCAGGTATATCAATTGGTCCAAAGAAAGCTCATGGGTGACAGTGTATAGGCGCCGAGGGATTCATGCCGCCCCCATACTATATCGCTGCGGTGATCCTGCAAGGCTGTGTACGGGTGTACGGGGGAAAATAGCGATCATCGGGAAAAAACCTCTTATAACCTTTACACTAGTAAGTTCATTTAAAAAGAAAGAAAGATTACTATATCTCGAGGATACATCTTAAGATACATGGTAGGATTAAGGCTCAACTTGGCGATATCGTGATTTTCAGCCGGCAGAAATAGGCAAACAGGGACTAGGTAACTAGCAGACACATTATCCCACTCCCTCTCTCTATCTCTCTCTTCCTTTCCCCACAAGACCCTTTTTCGTTGACCTCCTTTCCCATAATGACACACACCTTCAGTTTTCGAGTCTCCGGAGACTCGACTCCAGATGTCCTTGGCGTGATTGCTCGGCGCTAGTTGATTGGATAGTCTCATCTGACCGGAAACATGTGACTCGTATACGAAGTATGCAGCAGGCAGGTCATGGCGACGCACCCGATGCGCTCATTGGAAACTAAATTCGAATCAATCAGAAGGCACCTTAATCGGGCCAAACAAACCGATGGGGCGAGTTGACAAATTTCCTTCTGAATCTGCCTGATGTCGTCGAGTGATTATAAAAGGCATCATCACTCCAGGCTCTAACCAGTCACCGACGGCGAAATTTGACACACATTGGTATGTATTTGTGCTTTTGTTGAGGAAAGGCAGGTTACCGTGCTGACTAGCTTAGAATTAATCCGAACTTCAATTGGAGCTAAACTGAGTTCCTAATCATTCCCCACGCCGCATCCAGTGATTAAAACGGTTACAGCCTTTATTACGCAGATTGAACATAGCGGATAGGGTAGTACATCATGGTGCAAAGGAATGGCTTGAGTGTCATTCATTGTGCGGAGAAGCCTGTAGCTGAGTAAATTTTAACCATCCATTCTACTTGCTGATGGTTGAATATGACGCCAACTGAGAATTGTCAGCATCGTGTTTGTCCATGGGCTATTTGGAAAACCTCAAGATACTTGGACATACAAATCGTCAGCCGCTTCGAATGCATATTCATCCTCGGACACAGAACAAACCAAATTCACCTCGAATTCCACTGAAAAGCGAAACCACAGGTTGAGTAAGCTGAGTTTAAGGTCTTTATTGCATCGCTCAAGCAAAGGAAATTCAACACAATTCGAGCATGAGCAAGGGTCTCCCTTTTCGGATCCGGGTGTGCATGATTTTACCCGGAAAGCTACAGAGGGCTTATTTTGGCCGAAAGATTTGCTACCAGAGGTGCTTCCAGATACCAGAATATATGTCTGGGGCTATGATGTTGACATAGATCACATTTTCTCATCTGCTTCTCAAGCAACCGTCTTTCAACACTCCATGAACTTACTCAATGATCTTGCTGATTGTCGGATTTCTGATGAAGAGGTGAGTCCCAGAACCTTGGAATCAATTACCGAGAAGGCCCAATTTTAATGATTAAAACACAGAGAGCTCGGCCTCTGATATTCGTTGCGCATAGTTTAGGTGGCATCATAGTGAAGGATGTAAGGAACTTGACATTTCTCATCTCATGTGCGCCGCTGACACTTAACAGATGTTAAACGCCTCCCGGGCTGAAGTCACATATCTGAAAGATATACTGCCTGCAACCCACGGTATCATATTCCTGGGCACACCGCACAGAGGCTCTCAGATTGCAAGTCTTGGCAAGATAGCGCATGATATAGCAAAACTGCTCTGGAAGTCGCCAAATACTTCTGTGCTTCGCGATCTTGAAGTTAACTCACAAACCCTTGAACGGATAGGCAGAGGCTTCAATCAGATCTTAACACAAATGAAGTTGGAAATTCATTCCTTTCGCGAGGAAAAGCCTATCAAGGGCATCATGGTATGGTGAATTCATAAGGCGTCGTGGAGAAATGACAGCTGATGAAGCTCACCTTAGGTTGTGAACCTATTTTCATCTACCATAGAAAATGGGCGGGAAATAGTTGGAAGCATAGACGCCGACCACATCAATATGACCAAATTTTCTAGTCCTCTTGATGTGGGATTTATTCGGATTAGTAACACCTTGGCACGATGGTTTGATGACATTCAGAATAAGAAAAAAAAGTTGCCAGATGACGGAGCTGAGTCAAGCTATGTATGTCTTATGATGTTGCGTGCCGGCTAGCGACGATATGCTAACCTTACAAGGACTATGATCATGTAGGCTGCCTTCGACAACCCCAGATTCACGAGGATAAGCTAACAAAGAAGGACAGGAACAAGTCAAAAGGTGGCTTGAACCAGTGGATTTCAAATCGCCGTTGGTAGCTCTTATGGACCAACCAATTTTCATCTCCAACCGAGCTATTTCCCGGATACCCGCGGTCGAAAATTGGCAAAGAAGCTATGGCCGTGTTCTAAACATCACTGGCGATACTGGCTACGGAAAGACTTCTTATGCAGCTGCTCTTGCCGAGCAGAAACTTCAAGAGTCCTCACAAACAAATGCTTTTGCTGGCTTCGCGTTTTGTCGCGGCCTTACATCCTCGGCAATTTTCAGAAGTTTGTTATGGCAATTTACTCAGGTTGGCCACACGAAGCATGAGCAAGCTCAACAAGTCATGCAGGCATTTCACCGACATTCCCACTCGGAAACGGACGCAGGAATCACATCAGATGGAGGGGGTGTGGTCTTCAGAGAGATTTATGAGAAGCTTCTAAGCGATTACGATCAGGTGACGCTAATTTTGGATGCTGTCGACCAATGCAGATCTCAGGAACACTTCATACGTCATATCTCAAGATTAGCATCGTATCTGTCTAGAGCCCAGGTCAAATGCAGAATTCTACTCACTAGCCGGATCGCCATCGAATGGCCAGAAGCGGAAAAAAGCAATATATCCCATCAAGTCATACCGATAACAGAAAATGAAATGATAGATGACATCATCCAATATGTCAGTCGCTCTCTACAGAACCTGCGACCTCCCGTGTCGGAGTCCTCACAGGCTAGAATCCTGTTGAAATGTTCTCACGTGGCAGGAGATGGTTGGCCATATGCGATGCACAAAATGGCCACTGAATACCTCTCCGAAGGCAGGCATATTGCAGCTCAAAGGATTGAGGAGTCCGTATTAGATTACAGGAAAGACAAATTTCCGGAAGAAAGCATACCGACTATCGAGTGCAAGAGGGTACTTGCATCCGCATTGGGGGACCAAGGACTATACCAAGAAGCTGAAGCTTTGCAACGGCAACTCCTGAACACGTTGCGGCTTAAGCAATCAGATAGTACACTCGTTCACGTGATTATGAGTGACCTCGCTCACACACTAGCTGACAGTGAGAGGTGGGCAGAAGCCAAGGAAGTTCAACTTCAATTGGTAGATATCTGGGAACGAGGTGGCCCGGAGACCGTAGGTCAGTTGAGGACAGGAATAAAGAACCTTGCTATCACCTGCAGTAACCTAGGAGAACTGGACGAGGCAGAGAGAATGTTGCGACAGGGCCTGGATCGCGACATTGAGGCTTTTGGAGACAACATGGACCACGAATCAATTGTGCTTGATAAAATCAATCTTGGACAAATTCTGGCACAACAGGAAAAATGGGACGAAGCAAGAGTACTGCAATTGAGCGCTGTGGAAGCAAGCCTTCGAATCTTTGGACTGGACAGTCCGATTACGTTAAATTGCATGTCTAACGCAGCTTGGGCATTGCAACAACAGGGTGAGTACGTAGAAGCAAAGGAGCTTCAACTTGAAGTTGTTGCTGGGAGAACCCGTATGTACGGGCCTGATCATCCCTTGACTCTCAAAATATGTGGCAACCTTGCAGCGACACTAGGCGGACTTCATGAATTTGATGAAGCCCGGAAGTACGCCAGGCGAGCACTGGGATATTATGTTGCTTCGTGATTTATTTGTTTCAATTAGGCGAGTGCTTCACTTGCATTCTGTATATGCAATATGCATCTTGTCCTATAATATAATGACATTCTATGTTTCTATATGTGGATGCCATTGGTAACTCTTCATACAATTAGGTGAGACATTGGAAGCTACGTACATTGAATCTGTAGCGCTAGGTTGTTTGGATTTGTTGAAGAGGTCGCCATTGTCTCAAATCCCAAACGCCATCACTTTTAGTACATAGTTGTAATATCTCAAGTGTTCCGAACCCGAGAATCCAAGTCCAGGTTTCCATTGAACATTGAACGGTCACTCATCGAATACAACCTCTATCACACTTCTCACAAGTTTATCAAGCCCGATAATTTGAACAAAAAGCCCTCTAAACTTCTGCTGACTGAGATTTAAGAGGACTGCCAGTCTACTGACGCTCATATTCCTTCTGCACACCCAACCCAGCTCGCGCACTAATATGCCGCTAGGCATACGAAGCTGCAGGATCCTTTACTCCAAAGCTTGCGGATACACGTAGACATTCAGTTTGTCATCCTTTTTTATTCTCCCACCCCGCAGCCACTCCAAAGAAGATACTCCCAGAGGATATCCAAAGGAAGCGTGTAGAGAGGGTCTAATCTTTATTTACCACTGCCAGCGCCTCAGAATAAACTTTTAAGTGATTTTGACGAGGCCTTCTTTAATAAACTCGAGTTCATCTCGGGTGCCTGGAGGAACCTTTCCGATAGGAATGATCATTGGCCCCGTAGTAGTAATATTGGCGGGTAGACCTTCCTGCCCACTGTGATCATCTTTATCGAAGGTCATTAAACCACAACTCCAAACAACTGACTCAACAGCCTGGCGCTGATCAGGTCGTGATGATGTAAACTTGCGCTCATTGACATGTAAGTGCACATGTGTATGGCGGCCGATAGGTTCACTCTGGCATAAACGATTTTTTAACCGGCAGAAAATAAAGATACCTGTAATACAATATAGATTCCCACATGTCTGCAAGTGCAAATCATAAAAGAATTTCACTTGATTGTTGCTACGATTTCCACAGGTTACAACTTACAAGCCCCGTCGGTCCCCTTTCGGATCCCCGGCTTTCCTCTGTTATTGTCGCTCAGCCAAGGACAGATATAGGACAAGTCACAAGACCAAATCCAATCAAGGGCTACATATAACCAAGCCCAGCTACAAAGTTAAACATTTACAGAAAAAGAACTTGGAGTAATCTGGACCTGGCACATATGATCAAAATCCAGCCGCACCAGTTCCTTTGAGAATCTACTTTCTAAAAACCCAGGTCTATCGCGAATATATTTCCATTCCCATCTGAGATAAAACCCCCTAGCTCTTCAACCTTTGTCGTGGGACGACAATATAACCCATTAAGGACCCTGTTGCTCTCACATGCAACCACCACATCTTTGACTATAGCCTATTGGACCGTGACGAGTCACCACTTTCCGTGATCTCATAGCAAAGATAGCCCAGTGGCTCTAGTCATTAACTCTTCAAGTTAAGCTCTGATAAGAATTTATATGTGTCAGCGCCTGAGGGCAGTCAATTTTCGCATTCGGGGCTTGGGAATTTTTTCTATACCTCAAGTTCTGGAGCGTACAGTCTTATCACACTAGCCAACAGTACCAGTACCAGCACTGCTATGCGATATTAGTTCATATTAGGAACTACGCTGTGTGAAAAACGATCATTTTGACCTTTTTGGGTTGAGTGCCCTTCTCCGACTATATATACTACTATTAGTAGAGCAGAACCTTGGAGGTGACTTGAATTTCCTATAAGATTACATTTTCCGAGTCATACTTCGTTCGGAAATCTTTCTGATCAGAATATAGCTACAGACAATAGATAACTAACTTTCTTGAGCCCATGTACGATAGGGCATGAAGATGATGTTGCTCCATGCGAATACATGGTCACCGATCTTGTCGTCGATCCTCCCCCATCGCCCCGGGGCGGCCCCAAGCGACCATATAATCCACTTTCACTGATTTAACTTGCTTGATAAACAAATGAAGTCTCCAGGTTGAGCCCCACATAACCCTGGACGCGGCTCAGGGGTTGAATTTAGCCCACCTTGCTCCCCGGTAAAATGTTCTTTCTTCAATCTCTCAATGCCCAGCAATAACTTATAACTTACCGAAGGTCACGATTGGAGGCTACTTAGCCATATAATAAGTGTCTGCTAAAAACGAAAGAAACGTATCGAATATTATTTATTTCAATGGTCCGATTGTGACTCTAGCTTGATCTCCACGGAAAATCATCTAATGACTTCCACCTATCCGCCACAGGTGACGAGTGGCTACACGACTACATTTATTCCATTAACGACAGCATGGACGGCACCGGAATACTGCTCGACACAGTATCTTGGTATGAACGGCACAGATGGAGACCTCACGTATAGGGCCTTTGACCCATTTTACCACCAGTATGCCAACACAAGCGCAACGTGTAACCCCAGCCAAATACTCGAACCTTCGGGGGATGACTGGACATCCCTGGGTCCGTTTATTTGTCCTGGGAACTGGACTTCGGTCGCGGAGACTCTTACTGAAGGGTCAAGTACACAGACTGCGTGCTGTCCTTCGTGAGTGTTGATAACCTTAGAGACACTACTATACATCTTATCTGATTCCTTTTCGCACTTTAGAGACTACACTGCAAATGTTGTCCCGAACACGGATGGATATCTTGACGTGGACTGCATTTCTTATGCTGGAGGTGATATGAACCTTACCTATGCATCCTATGGTCTACCAACAAGTAACATGGCATTTATCACTACATTCATCACTGATGGCTGGAAGCTATATGCGGATCCTGCGTCAGGATGGAATATCGGGCCTTCCACCGCAAATGCTACCACGACCGGTTCTACTACTCCTACAAGCACAGACGTGGGAAAGTCTACCTCGACTGCAGGGTCAGAACATCGTGCCTCTGGTGATGATGGTGCTGGACGCAAGGCGGGGATTGCGGTTGGTGTTGTAGTCGGGGTTTTAGCTGTGCTGGCACTGTTCGCCTTCTTCATTGTACGCCACCGACGAAGTAAGCGAGGTCTTGCGACAGGCGAAGATAATAAGCTGCCACCCGGGGAGCTGTCTGCTGATCCTGAATTATTCGATCCACAGGAAATGAGTGGAAAGGGTCTGGCGGAGTTAGGAGGTAGACATGACCGGGCAGAGCTACATCACGAGAGCGTCCAGGAACTACCTGGATAATTTTGAAGTGATACGTGGATTATCTGCGATGAATATGGGCAATATTTTCTGCTGTAAAAAATAGTTTATAAGCCAAATAATACATCTCAATGGTATTTGATACTCACACCTCGACTTTCATTGATATAATATCTAACCATATATCATAGATAGTAATTCAAGGTAGAGGATTTGATAATCAGTATTTTAAATGTGAGGTGTCTGTGGCGAAACTTTGGGTGGCTCCAGTTCGCCCTTTATTTACCCATAGCTGATCATTAGGTAAAAGCAGTCTTGGCCGCGGCATTAGGCCCTGAAAAACCCTTATTCAGGAAGGTTGAGACTACGACCGGATCAAGAGCAATATCCGAGCGACGAATCACGATGCCTTCGATCTGCCGGTGATGAATCCTTTCCTCCACTTGAGGTGGAAATAAGCTCCTTCCGTTAAGTGAGCAGTCGATCGGATAGGAATCCGCCGACACTAGAATATCAGTGTCAGTCTCTCGTGTCATGCTGCGTAGCATGTGGTGGATATCGGCGTCCACCGAAATCTATACGGGGGCAGATTCTCCACTCCACGTCATTTCAATTTGAAGATCGGAGTTGACAACCCCCAGATTTCAGAACAGATTAGCATATATTAAATAGGACTTTCCCCCGCATTTTTTTTGAAAACATCAAATCTCATTGACACTTCTCAAGAACGATTCTGAGACTTTTCTGAGACAAATCCCAGCAATTTGAAACTATCTGTTGTGGTAAACCTGCACCAGTACAATATCCACCAAAATGTTTGGCAAAGAAGACGGAAAACTTGAAAGCCTCAAGGAGAAAGTCCGGGCTATTCTACCAACAAATGACTCTGATTCTAAATCAAAAGATTATGAAACCGACTCCATAAGAACATTGTAGTAAGGTGTTCTCGATTTTGGTGGCGTCATGTCCTCTAACCCTTCACAGTGCTCAATCTTCTAGACGGAGGGCAGCAAGTACACCGGCTCCTTACAATGGTATTCCTGCACCTTAGTTGTATTTAAGCATGAGTATTAACCATTTCCAGGAGATCAGTGTTTTGGCAGTTGTTGCCGGGGGAAGGGGTATCCCCGGTAAGGAGGATTTGCATGGGGGAGTTCATTATTTGGAGTTGCTCTTTTTTTTTTTTTTTTTTTATATATATTTTGGGCTGTGCAATTATTCAAGTGTTGAATGATTCTCATTAGATTGATATCGATTGAGATTTTTGTTTGTTATCTGTGTGATATTTCGGGTATTGGCCGCTTTATGCCTATGTGGATGGTTATATTGGTTTATGGCTCGATTCTGTACTGTACCTGTCGGCTCGGCTCCGTGTCAAACTTTCAAACTCATTGACCAACACCGAGAAGATACAATTTTAATATCGACCAAATATTTTCGATCGCGACCAGAAAACTTAATCTGGATTCGAAGAACACAAGAATGCGGCCCCTGTTCTCTCCGAACAGATTTTTTTTTGGTGGGCTCCAAAGTTGTAGATGTTGCGGGAAGGCGTCGCTGCCGATGTTCCTTCTGTCCATTTTGTCCCGCCACTCAATTCTTCAATACAAACCACCAGGTGATCGTTCGGCGAATTCGAGTCACTGTTGGAGCTGGCTTGAGTGGATTAATATCTTCGCTCCACTTCATATCCATACACCCTTGTTCAGAGAAGGCGTCGAGTGCCGTCTGTAAAATAAGGTCTGTATAATTAGCAAGGTGTTGAGTTCATCACAGGGAAACACCCCAGTCAGCCATCTGAATTTCAACTTCAAAGTTTATTTCAAGTTCTTGGATTAGGCAGGCCATTTTTACCTCGATTTCGGTATAATATGTATACAACACGACGCGTGGCACGCGCCCTGCAATTTGCTCCGACCAAGGGGTTTTCTACATCCTCTCGGCTGCAGTCGATTTCAGGTCTCAAAATCAACGCCGATCGGCTCAGAGAAACATTGCACGAAACCTGCAAATGGGGGGAGGCACACAAATATGGAAAGTACGTACTTGCCTATCTCAGATGTCCTTGCTAGCCGAAATTATCTCCCTAATATGCCCTTAGCAAGCCGACACAAACAGGAATGGCTCGTTTAACTCTGAATGACGACGATGCTCGCGTGCGGGCGTGGTTTGCTGGGGAAGTTCAAAAGCTGGGATTTTCTCTTTCCGTTGACCAAATGGGCAATATGTTTGCACGTCAGACAGGAAAACTTCAGTCATCTGATCCTATGATCGCAATGGGTAGTCACTTAGATACTCAACCTCGAGGTGGTCGGTATGATGGTATTCTCGGCGTCATGGCGGCACTTGAGGTCTTGAGAACTATGAAGGAGAACAGCTTCCAGACCAACTTTGATGTGGGTGTAGTAAACTGGACGAAGTAAGTTCATGATACTAGAGATGACTCTGCCCATATTTCTAACCAAAGTTTGAAATGTTGCAGCGAAGAAGGAGCTCGATTCCCGAAGTCAATGTGCTCCTCTGGTGTTTGGGCTGGGGCAATTCCCATCGAGAAGGCCTGGGATTTGCGTGATATCCATGACCCAAATATAACTCTTCGATCTGAACTCGAGAGACACGGATATATGGGTGAAATCCCCTGCGATGCCGTGAATGGGTTCAAGCTTGGTGCTCATTTCGAATTGCATATCGAACAAGGCCCCATTCTTCCCGCGAATGGACGTTCAATTGGAATTGTGCAGGGTGCTCAGGGATACCGATGGTTAACATTCACAATTCAGGGCAAGGATGCCCACACTGGAACCACGCCTCTTAGTGCTCGCCATGATCCGCTACTAGCAGCATCCAGAATGATTGCGGCCTCGAACGACATTGCTAAGCGCCATGATGCACTGGCTTCAACCGGCATCGTCAAGATTCCTTCTAATGCCTCTACCAACACTATTGCATCTGATGTCACATTCACGCTGGACATCCGACATCCAGATGATAGCGTTGTCCATGCTGTCCAGGATGAATGCTTAAAAGCGTTCAGTGACATTGCAAGCCATGATGGCAAGGGCGTCACATTCAACTGGACGCTGGATACCGACTCTCCCGCAGTGAAATTCCATCCGGATTGCATCGCATCTATCAAGGCCGCCGCGGATAGCCTCGTTGGACCCGATGGATCGATCCTCATGACAAGCGGTGCGGGTCATGATAGCGTTTATACTAACAAGCACTGTCCGACCGCGATGATTTTTGTACCTTGCAAAGATGGTGTTAGTCACCACCCAACAGAGTATTGTTCCCCAGAAGACTGGTAAGTGACAGATTCATCAACAAGCAGTAGTAAGTCGTACTAATTTGTGTATATAGCGCACTTGGGACCCAGGCTCTACTCGAAGCCGTTGTCCATTACGATCAGTCTAAAGCGGGCAAAGGTTTGAATCTATAGATCAATACATAGGTATTTCCACGACGCCACAGTTGAGCCTCATTTGGTAATGAAACCTTGAAACTTAGCTCTTCATAAAGTTGTAACACCGTTGAGAAGTACTATACAAGGGGCCAAGTAACGCCCTGTATGGTAGGAATTCGCTTCTTCCCTCGCATTTCCCCACTACTGGATCCATATCGAGCTTGTTTTTCACCTATCCTCGACAGTCTCCACATGTTTCCATATATGTGGCGTCAGCTTCTAGGGCCAAAGAGATAATAAATCTTGCATTAGTCCTTCCATGAGCCGCATTGAAATTGGATGTCATTGCTCCGGACACTTTATCCCTACCCATGATCTACATAATGTACCAAGAGGCAGCCAATTAGAAGGTCTCTAAATAGATATGACACACTACACTAAATCTTGATTTCAAATACAGTAAGTTAAGTGATCGCGATTTCTGTTGGGAGGTTTTGGGATTCAAAGGAGCTACAAAGGAGATAACACGGTCTTTTCTCGGCACTCCACTTTATACTTACCGAGCCCACAACCAGGATAGTTCAATCCTGCCCCACGACAAATCAATTGGCATGCGTATCATTGGACATTGGATTGATGGACTGAAGATTACAGGCGTATTTTGCGTATTTTATTCAGTGGAATTTGTTGATGCATCAACGCCGGCTTGTCCGAGGCGTGCGAAGTTTGTTGGGGCACGAAGTGGGATGAATGTGTGGAGCTTATTCTTTGTTCGAGTGCGTGCCCCTCTCTTTCTGGCCTCTCGACCAGGATGGATGGACAGGGGTTATTTAACGAGCGCAGAAAACAGTATGTAATAGGTGCATCCTCGTATTCCCACTGATTTCCCGATTCTCATGTAGGTATCAAACTATACCATTGTGGAAAATCTCAAACCCTGCAGTTGGAACACGACGTCGGCTGCCATCGGTGCTACAGTAGCAGAAAGTGTCTTCCCCACTGTACAAATTAGATAATGTGGGAGTCTCCAGAGCCCATTGGCAATGCAACCGATGATCGCGAATCGCTTCGACAGTCTTGAAAGTCGTGTCTTACCAGAATCTTGCCCAGACACTGTATGTACACACCAAGGGCCCCTCTTTCTGCCACTTCTGTTTTTTTTCCCACCCCCACAATATCCCACTTTCTGGCAATGGATCGTGAAAAGGGGGGAACTCGGGCTAACCACAATCCGTTACTAGGGTCTTTGGCAAATTACGGACCTTTGACCGCGCCTGTCTAGTGCCATGGTACCCCACTATGGTACTTATGTGCTAATACTGACTAGTCGCTAGGTCGTATATAAAGGGGAGATGATGAACGTGTTAATCTAAAAGATTTGGTTAGATCCTCGAACAAACCCGCTCAGGAACAATAAAAACAAGAATAAACTTTGTTCGGTATTCAAATCACACGACTGGTAGGCTGGACATCCCCCACAGGCCGTGCACACAAAGCGGGAGGGAACAACGAGTGGGATCCCGGTGTTCTCGGCCTGACTTGCTTCGGGATTGGGATGGAAATGGAAATCTACCCGCCCAGGCTGCGGAATGATCAATTAATGTAGTGTCCAGGCGAACTTACTAGTACGGAGTACTTGCACTAGCCCATAGACTATACTGTAGTATATTATACAGTAACTCATGACACCCACCCCACTGGCAGTGGCGAGATCCTCTGCACGATGTCGACCCAGCTCCACGGATCAATACCATTCAATCTCTTTCGACCCGACCTTCTCGGCCCTTCATATCTCTATATTTTGCTGACCATCTGGACTGAGATTTTTCACTCACAACATCAGGAAATCCAGGAACAGAGTATTTCTGTTATAGATTTCGATCGGTTCGGACAAATGGTGGCGGGATGAAGGTGGGGGAAATAAGAAGGATGACCTAATATTGAGCTTTCCCCGGAGCAACGGAAGAGCCAATTATTGATCCCCGCATGGCCGAACCCAAAACCACTTCGTCTCTTGGCTCGCATGATCTCGCAGTCACAACAGAAATACACGTTGACCCGGTGGTGTAAGGGCTTTTCCCGGTGCGGTTCCGATGTAGACTATCTTGTGAACGTGGTGCCTGGCCGTATGCGGGATACAATAATGGTCTGGACTAATTGTTGGGGTAGTTGAACCGCACCCGTCGCAGTCGTAAGGACCACATTCCTGACACTCGCGAGGATGCACGGTCCATGCCGCATAAGGCAGTTGCGCGCGCAAAACTCCGCTTATCTTATTTAGCCTCGTAAATAACTACGGGGTAATGGGTTTACATACTGGTAGTAGCATAAGGTGCTTTTGTCTTTTGCCTATTTAGATGAATTGAGAAACGAGTAACATACGAAGAGCAGGTCTACAGGGATCTGTGGAGTGGCCAAGATACACTTATGAAGCCGGACTTAAAAGCGACTGGGGAAAAACCCGAGAATCATGTGTACTAGTACATGCTGGTTCTCTTCCTTCTGCAGCATTCGTACACCGAAGACCCTGGTTCAATTAGCACGGGGGGTATTCCATCTAGATTGCGGATACATACATATCAAAATCGAATTCTCTAGCAAGTTGAACCGCTTCGTGCCGAGATACTGCATACAGCATACTCGGAACTCGGACCTAAGGCGGATTCGGCTATAATCCAGGGTCTTGATGCGATCATAGTTTGCCTTTTTTGTAGAGCTCCAAGCTCTGGACGACAACTCCACGGGTTTTCTGATACCAAGAGAAGATCCAGAGGGGGCGTAATTTTGGTAAAACGAATACCAGCTGATCCCAGATGGCCGAGCCAACGCAAGCGGGGGAGGGCTAAAGCCGGGTACGAAAGTACAGATGAGCCATGCCCCACCCAAACTTTGGGAATACTGACAGCCCGTAAAAAAAAAAGTATTAATGGAAAATCAAGAACAGGATCTCCACTTGTCCGGCTGTGTGGGCAATGGTGTGAATGGACCGACTACTAAACTGTCGCGGATCCCCCGTTGTTTTTACTCTTGTACTCTCTCTCACTTTCCGTCGTCTCAAAAAAAATAACTCCCCCCAAAGTAAGTTGAGATGAGCTCCCCACCATCCCTCACTCTCTTCTCCCCGGAATTATCTCCTAACCATCTGAACCGTTAGAGGTCTGCGTTCTTTCTTCGTAATTCCCTGAGCATTGGTGATCACAATAATGTCGGCCGACCCTAAACCCTCCGTGGTAAGTTCACTTGCAAGATTTCTCACTTGCCGTTTGATTTAGACACCTCAAGTCTAAACTCACATTGATTTGGGGATGTGGACCATCTGATTGCTAATCCGGACTTCGGAATAGGTTCTCGAGGCCCACGAGGTCGACACCTTCCACGTTCCCCAAGCTTTCCACGACAAGCACCCCACTGGCACCCACCTGAAGAATATCGATGAATACAAGAAGCTCTATGAAGAGTCAATTCGCAACCCCGACACTTTCTGGGCTCGCATGGCTCGTGAGCTGCTCACTTTCGACAAAGACTTTCAGACCACACACCACGGCTCCTTCGAGAACGGCGACAACGCCTGGTTCGTTGAGGGTCAATTGAACGCCTCTTTCAACTGTGTCGATCGTCATGCGTTGAAGAACCCCGATAAGGTTGCCATCATCTATGAGGCCGACGAGCCCAATGAGGGCCGCACTATTACATACGGCGAGCTTCTGCGCGAGGTTTCTCGAGTAGCCTGGACTCTGAAGCAGCGCGGTGTCAAGAAGGGTGACACTGTCGGAATTTACCTTCCCATGATTCCCGAGGCTGTCATTGCTTTCCTAGCCTGTTCCCGTATTGGTGCTGTCCACTCAGTTGTTTTCGCCGGTTTCTCATCCGACTCACTCCGTGATCGTGTCAATGACGCCAACTCCAAGGTTGTCATTACTACTGATGAGGGCAAGCGTGGTGGTAAGGTCATTGGCACCAAGCGCATTGTCGACGAGGCGCTCAAGCAGTGCCCTGGTGTTTCCACCGTGCTTGTCTACAAGCGTACTGGCGCTGAGGTTCCATGGACCCCAGGCCGTGATATCTGGTGGCACGAGGAGGTTGAGAAATACCCTAACTATCTGGCCCCAGAGCCTGTGAACTCAGAGGATCCTCTGTTCCTTCTTTACACTTCCGGTTCGACTGGAAAGCCCAAGGGTGTTATGCACACTACTGCTGGTTATCTGCTGGGTGCTGCCATGACCGGCAAGTACGTGTTTGATATCCATGAAGATGACCGCTACTTCTGCGGTGGTGATGTGGGTTGGATCACTGGCCACACTTACGTCGTGTACGCACCTCTACTTTTGGGTTGTGCTACCGTTGTTTTCGAATCCACTCCCGCCTATCCCAACTGCTCTCGTTACTGGGATGTCATTGATAAGTACGACGTGACTCAATTCTACGTTGCCCCTACCGCTCTCCGTTTGTTGAAGCGCGCTGGTGATGAGCACATTCACCATGAGATGAAGCACCTCCGTATCCTGGGCTCTGTTGGTGAACCTATTGCCGCCGAAGTTTGGAAGTGGTACTTCGAAGCTGTTGGCAAGGAAAAGGCCCATGTTTGCGATGTGAGTAGCTTACGAAGGATATGACTTTGTGAATTTTACTAATTATTTACGCTACAGACTTACTGGCAAACCGAGACTGGGTCTAACGTGATCACTCCTCTTGGTGGTATTACCCCCACCAAGCCTGGTAGTGCTTCTCTGCCTTTCTTTGGTATCGAGCCTGCTATTATCGACCCAGTCTCTGGTGAGGAGATCACTGGAAACGACGTTGAGGGTGTCTTGGCCTTTAAGCAACCCTGGCCCAGCATGGCCCGTACCGTTTGGGGTGCACACAAGCGCTACATGGATACCTACCTGAATGTGTACAAGGGGTACTACGTATGTCATTCTTTCCCACTAATTCCTCGATGTTGTCTTTATTAATAATTATCTAGTTCACTGGTGATGGCGCTGGTCGTGATCACGACGGATACTACTGGATCCGCGGGCGTGTGGATGACGTTGTCAATGTTTCTGGCCACCGCTTGTCCACAGCTGAGATTGAGGCTGCTTTGCTTGAGCACCGTGAGTATCCTGTCAACTCCAAAATTGAAGATGAAAAAGACACTAACTTGTATTAGCCATGGTTGCCGAGGCTGCTGTCGTTGGTATCTCTGACGAGTTGACCGGCCAGGCTGTCAATGCTTTCGTTGCCCTGAAGGAGGGTAATGAGACAAACGACCAGGTGCGCAAGGATCTGGTCATGCAAGTTCGCAAGTCCATTGGTCCTTTCGCTGCCCCTAAGGCTGTCTTCGTTGTGGATGATCTCCCCAAGACCCGCAGTGGAAAGATTATGCGCCGCATTCTGCGCAAGATCCTCAGTGGCGAGGAGGACAGCTTGGGTGATACTTCAACTGTAAGATCTTCCATTTTCTTTGTTCTCATTTCATTCCGGTATGCTAATTGGTTTAATAGCTTTCTGACCCCTCCGTTGTTGACACAATTATCGCGACCGTCCATGCTGCTCGTCAGAAGTGAGAGAGCGACTAATGAAATTTACGATAATGATATCTCAAAAGAGTACCGTCTTGGTATTCTGTTCGATTATTGTTTGTTCCAAATAATCTGTAAAATGATTCTGCTCTCTGCAGTTGGTTCGAGAGCAGTCTCCGACGGGAGGTTGAGATTCCCTTTTATTACCTGCATAATTCCGGGTTTGAGCTTCTTTTTGGTGTATTTGAGATTCCCTACCAGTCTAACGGGCAGCTGTTTCAATTTATTTGTGTCCCGGATTCAAAGACAGGCGACTTTGTAAAAGAAAATTGATAGCCGTAAGCTCGTAGTTCGGGACGAAACAGATGTGAATCGCCGCCTAAAAATGTATATGTAAAGCTCACTGGGCACCATTGATTGGCATGAATGCATATCCATAGATATCATGCTTTGAGATACATAAGATACATACTTTTGCATAATTCCGATCATGCATGAATGCTATTTACATACAAGATGCACCAATGAATCCAATCCAAGCCGCATCCGATTTAAGGCACCAACCACGTGACGGATCACTGTTGCCCGTGCTGACATAATCGTGCTCTGCCTCAGCAAACTTGACTTTACTATTTCTGTCGCGTCTCTCTCTCCCTTTCTCTTCCTCCACGCGCATTTCTTGTCATCCAACCCATCGTTGACGACGTTACCGTCTTCCTCACCTGCACGAGCCCACCTTATGAACTCATAGCGTCCTCGGAATCCGACCGACAACATGTCTTTCGGCTTTGGAAGTGGAGGAGGGTTCGGGCAGAACAACCAGGCTTCGAGCTTTGGTTCCTCTGCATTCGGCGCCAATAATAATACTGGAGGAGGTAGGTCTTACAATTTATATCTTTGCGCTGCTTCATCCCCAAATTGTTCTTCTACACCTTCCCCCTTTCCAACTTGATTTGCTCGTTCTGCTACGCCCTTGGACGCTCTGCTCTCGACAACAATCCGGTACTCCTGACGTCGACCCGCCATGGCCATGACACGCGCAAGGGATCACTCCTAATATCACACCTATGAATTCCTTAGCCGTGCCACTACAGACCTTACCGCGGTTTTACTCGATGCTCAGCGATGCCGCGACAAGAGAAGGGGCACCAGTCCTAGCTTGAAAGATCAGTCCCTCTGACCGCGATCCCTCCTACCATATAGGCTTTGGATCCACCGGCACCCCTGCTTTTGGATCTGGAAATACTGGAACCACTGGCGGGAGCTTGTTCGGTGGTAACACGACCAGTAGCTTCGGCTCCGGTGGCGGTGGAGGTACGTGCCCAAGACGACAGAGCTTTGCGATCGCGACCTTTTCGGTCTCCTCAGTTGCGTCCTTTCACAAGGCTTAACGGATCGGTCCAAGTCATTACGGTGTGGGATTTATATACGTGGTCGCGTGGATAACCTTCCTGCGATTTCCTTTGCTTGGCTGGGACGACAACGGGCGCTAGCGTGGATCGGCAAAACTGAGGATTTCCGTCAAGTCTGAGTGGCCCACACACTCACTCGAGCTTGGAACTTTGACAATTCCGCCTCCCGCTCGATTTTGATTTTGATTTTTCTATCATCTTGATTTTTCGACCGTGTTTACTAACATTTTCACTCCTCCCCAGCATTCGGTACCAACACCAATAACAATCAACAACCTGGTTCAGTTTTCGGACAACAACAAAACCGTCCTGGCGGCTTTGGAACTACCAACACAACAACAACACCAGCCGCTGGGGGCATGTTTGGCGGCGGCAACAACGCCACTACAGGGAACACTGCATTCGGCTCTGGGGGTGGATTCGGAACTGGAGCTGCCGGTGGTGCCTTCGGTACCAACACAAATACCAACACTGCTGGAGGCCTTTTCGGAAAGACCGCTAGTCCAAGCGGCTTTGGCACCTCGAACACCGCTGGTGGTTTTGGCAGCGGTGGTGGTGGTTTTGGAGCAACCAATACAACAACGCCTAGCACTGGATTTGGTTCCACCGGCACTGCCTTCCAAGGTGCCCTGGCTCCCTGCGAAGGCACAGGCAGCACTCCATTCAGCCCATTCACCGAGAAGGACGCCAATTCAACTGCAACCAACAATTATCATAGCATCAGTTTTATGCAACCCTACAGCAAATTTTCTTTTGAAGAGTTACGACTAGCCGATTATCAGCAAGGACGTCGCTTCGGTAACGGAAGTGGTCAGGGTGCCGGTGCCTTTGGCTCTACTGCGTTCGGTTCTAGCACCGGTGGTGGCTTTGGAACTCAACAACAAAATACTGGGTTCGGATCCAGCAGTACTACTCCTTTCGGTGGCGCTGCTGCTACAAGTGCACCCGGCGCATTCGGCCAAACACAAACTGCTGGCGCATTTGGATCATCAAACTCGAACCCATTGTTTGGCGGAGCCAAACCTGCAACCCCGATGTTCGGAAGTACGCCAACCACAGGTGCAGCTCAGCCATCCGGCTTTGGCACTGGGAACACAACTGGTGGAGCATTTGGAAACACAGGTTCTACTGGTGCCTTCGGAAACACTGGGAGCTCCTTGTTCGGTCAAAACACCCAACAGAACAAGCCAGCTTTTGGTGCTCCAGCAGCCACCAACACTACAGGTGCCTTTGGTGGATTTGGTAGCCAACAGACAACGGCTCCTGCCAATGCCTTCGGCAGTACCACTGCTACAGCCCCGGCTTTCGGCCAGCAACAGGCTGGAGCGAATACCCTAGGCGCATTTGGAGCGCAAAATCAAACCCAAAACAAGCCAGGGGGTTTGTTTGGAGGTGGCACTGGAGGTGGTTTCGGCTCAAGCACCACCCAACAGAGTACCGGCGGTGGCTTGTTCGGTGGTGGTAACACCTCTGGAACCGGAACAACTGGCGGTGGCTTGTTCGGCCAGCAACAAAACCAACAGCAGCAACAGCAACAGCCTGCCGCTGGCGGTGGACTTTTCGGAGGAGGCCAATCTACAAACACCGGCGGTGGGCTTTTCGGCAGTTCGCAGAATCAGCAGCAGCCAAAGCCTGCTGGAGGACTTTTCGGTGGTGGCTCTTCTACTGGAACTGGCGGTGGTTTAGGTTTTGGCACCAGCCAGCCTCAGCAGAATACTAGTGGTGGTTTGTTCGGCAATACGCAAAGCCAGCAGCAACCGAAGCCCGGTGGCATGTTCGGTTCTACTAGTGGTACTGGTGGTCTGTTCGGTCAAGGCTCCACCGGTCAGAACACCAGTGGTGGGTTCTTTGGAAGCCAAAGCCAACAGCAGCAGCCGGCCAATAATAGCTTATTCGGTGCTTCTCAGCCCGCCCAGCAACAACCCCAACAGCCCGTTCCTGGCAGTTTGACCTCATCGCTTCTTGATGGCAATCCATATGGAAGTCAGTCTATTTTCTCTGGCCTTCCAGGCCCCAATGCGCCATCTCCTGGTCCTCTGGCCACCCCGCTCTCTGCTAGCCAGAGACAGAAACGCCGTACCCCCTTGCCAGTCTACAACATGACGCCTGGGGCCGCCAATCGCCTTATTACCCCTCCCAAGAGAAACCAGGGCTACGGATTCTCCTACTCCACCTATGGGTCACCAGCCAGTGCAAGCAGCACTCCTGGGTTCAGCAACAGCTTGTTAGGCTCTGGACCTAGCAGTGGTAGCCTCCGTGGCAGTGTCGGTGGTAGCTTTGGTCGTAGCTTCAGCAAGAGTTACTCCACCAGCAACCTTCGCAACTCTTTCAACCCTGACTCCGACAGTGTCTTGTCTCCGGGCGCCCTGCAAGTTGGCAGTGGACGTGGTAGCGGCGACAAGCTGAAGAAACTTCAAATTGACCGCAGCCTGCGAAATGATTTGTTCACTCGTCCCTCTACCTCATCTCCAGCTCCCATCACCAACGGTGAGGATGTATCTCATTCTACTGACAAGCTGAAGAAGAAGGTCAGCTTTGACTCCACCTCCCCTGGCGTGTCAGGTGGTGAGCTTGTTCGCGTGGAGTCTAAGAGCCCTGAGCCAACTCCTCAAGAACTCGGTTTCCTCCGTTCCACGCGCAAGAGCGGCAGTCTTAATGGCATTGATACCATTGACCGCCCTGAAATGGAATCGGTGAATCTCGCTGTTGTTCCCGAAAATGGCGAGCCTGTTACTCGTGCTACTACCACAAGCAAGCGCCTTGTTACTATTCCTGGCAGTGACCCCAAGCCTGGTGAATACTGGATGCAGCCTTCTTTCGCTGAGCTGAGCAAGTTGAGCCGTGACCAATTGAGACGTGTTGTAGACTTTACTGTCGGTCGTCAAAACTGCGGAGACGTCACCTTCAATGGCCCTGTTGATCTCAACGGCACTGATCTCAGTGACCTTTTCGGCACTATTGTTGATATCGGGCTTCGCAAGATTACTGTTTACCCAGATGAAGCCACCAAGCCTCCTATGGGCAAGGGACTCAATGTGCCTTCCACCTTGCGTATTGAGAACTCATGGCCCCGTGGCCGTGACAAGAAGAAGCCTGCCCCTATTACCAGCGGACCTTTGTTTGATAAGCACATTGACCGTCTTCAGAAGGTTACCGACACCGAGTTCGTTGACTACGAAGTTGATACTGGCACTTGGGTTTTCATTGTGCCTCACTTCACCACTTATGGACTTGACTATGATGAGGATGAAGAAGGTGAGAGCCTTGACCAAAGCACTATGAGTGCAGGCCCTGATAATCACACTCCCAAGCCTCAGCGCGATCATCCCGTCAGCTTTGAGCAGTCAGCCACTTTTTCTATCGACGAATCATTCGTGGGATCGATGGCTGGCATGGATGATGATACCTTTGATTTCAAGAAGCACAAACTGGTTCCTGGATCTTTTGGCAATCAGGCTGTGGCTAATGAAGACCATGAGATGGTTTCTGAGGGCGAGACTGAGTCTTTTTTAGAGGAAGGCTCCGCGGGTTCGATTATTGAGCATGACGACGATGTCACTGTGAGCCAACAATCTGGCGACTCGATATTTGGATCTGATGAACATGAGGAAATGGACATGGCGGGTTCTTTCCCCAACCTTCATCGCACCGTGGAGCACGACGATGACCAGAGCAGTATTCTGGATACCACCCAGCCCATGTTTAGGCCTTTCGGCACCCCTCCCAAACCCAGTCTAAACCTTAGTGGGGATTGGACTGAGCAGCTTCAGCGAACTATAAGCCCTCGGAAACAGAATCGTGACGCGCTGCGGGAGATACAGGCAAATGCCTTTACTGACCGACACCTCTTCAATGACGATTCGCCAAGTGAGAAAATGGCCTCTCCAAAGAAGGGATTCACCAACAGCATCGACTTGATGAACTCGCTGTTTCAGCAGCAGCCTAAGAAGCAAAACACTGCTTCTCAGCTGAACGCGTCAAAATCGCAGCCTAAGGGCTTTGAGGTTCGCTCCCCTCTCCTTGCCCATCTATGATCCCTTTTCACTTGTATCTTTTGTTTACCCGTTGTTTACACCCGTGGACGTTTTGTACACGTTTTATTTACCCTTGCATACATTCACTATTCTTTGCTTTCCCTGTCCATGTACTACCCATCATGTATCTAGCACTTCCATTTTCTCATGCTCACAGATAGTTTTAACCAAATTTGAGATCATATCAGCTAAAACTTTTTCTCCTCTTCCGTACAGTGGCCATATCCCAAACAACCAAAAACCTTTGCCGACGATACCACCCCTATGGATCTAAAGGACCTCGCTTTCCACGAATCCTTCAAACCCCGCTGGGGTCCTTTGGACTCCATTGTTTGCGCCAAAGGTGACTTTACAGCGCCTATTCAGGGCGCCGGTAACCGTTGGCATGAACGCTTCTCGATCTTCAGTGAGGGAAGAGATGTGGCCGTCATGGACTACAATCAGCCCATCGAGGTGCGTTTATCGTTTACATAGGCTTGCTTGTTGGAAATGATCACTAATCTGTAAATTCAGTCTAAGGAAATGCTTGACATCCAAAGGCAGCAGTCTACCATTCAGCGCGTGGATGGAACACCATTAGTCCGTATGGCTAAGATCAATATCCACCAATTCGCGCTTTCCCATGGCACAGAAGAGGAGCGATTAATCTGGCAGCTGACCAACATTCTGTTCAACGAGGATATCGAGGACGACATTTCTGCGGGTGTTCCTCCACAGCTGCGATCTAATTTTGCTCATCGCATTAAGAAGGATCGGTTGACACGTCTGTGGAAGGGTATCATTCGCGACCGACATGCCCATGACCAGGATCACATTCGGTCCCCAGAGGAGCGCGCCGTTCATCTTCTTTGCTCTCACAGAGTTGAGGAGGCTTGCAAAACCTTGGTGGATAGTCAAAACATTCACCTTGCTACCTTGGTTGCTCAGATAGGTCGGGATGGTACCTCGAGGGCTGATATGGCTAAACAAATCGAGGTCTGGCGTCAAAACAATGTTCTCTCTGAAATGACCGAGCCTGTTCGTGCTCTCTACGAGTTGGTTGCTGGTAATGGTCTGCGCAGTGAGGGTAAATCTGGCGGTGCGCTGGAGGATCGAGCTTCTAGCTTCGGTTTCACTGACCGCTTCGAGTTGGACTGGCTGCAGGCTTTTGGTCTTCGTCTCTGGTACTCGACTACTGAAGATGAGCCGATTGAGGCCGCTGTTGCTAAGTTCCTCGATGACTTGGCTACTGGTCTTGAGCCTGCTTTCCCACACCCTGCGCACCGTGCGGGTACTCGTGCAGCTGTACAGCCTGGTTCAGATACCGTGGGCCGTGAATCTCCACTTTGGGTCCTGCTTAAAATTTACTCTGCTGTCAATGGTAACACAAAGATTCCTTCTATTGAGCTTCCCGCTGCTCTCCTTCCAGAGTCTCTGTCCGGTGATGTTCTGAGCAACCGCCTATCATTCCAATTCCACCATGTCCTCGTTACAGTAGTAGGACAGAACAACGCCGTCAAGATCAACCAAGTCCAAACCGATCGTCTTGTCTGGGACTATGCCTCCGAACTCATTGCTGGCGGAGAACTTGCTCCTGCTCTTTTCGTTCTGCTACACCTTTCACAGCCCGACGATCGCAAGCGTGCTGTGCAAGAAACTCTCGCCCGATTCGGCCCTCACCTTCCCGACCCTACACTCCAGGGTGAGGCTGGACCTGACTCTGCCTGGCAACATCTAACCACGGACCTGCAGCTTCCAGATGCATGGATCTGGGTTGCCAAGGCCCTCGATGCCCGTGACCGTGGTGATGCCATCCGTGAAGTCGACTGCCTTATCCGCGGCAGACACTGGAACGATGCCCATGCTACCTTCTGTCGTGTGGTCGGTCCTACCACCATCATCTCACGAGACTACGACACCCTTGACCAACTTGTCACTGGATTCGGTGAAGGGCCCGAGCGCAAGATGCGCGGCTGGTCATCTGGCGGTGGTATCTACGAAGATTTCCTGCGCTTAGCTACTGCTCCTCGCGGTAGACGCGACCCAACCCGATTGAGCCGCCTGGTAAATGCCCTCGTAGCCATGGGTGATCGTGTTAGCACTGGCTCCGGCATGGATGGCCTCGAAGAACGTGTTGCTTTCAAGGAGATGAGCCGCACATTGGCTAGCTGGATGACTCATGAAGATGTTCAGGTAAGGATTATACCTCCACATTGCTGGATTTCCAAATTTACTAACTTGCTTTTTCATAGTCCATTGATTCTTCTTCGGCTCTGCGTCTACCTTTAACCGGCGATGCTCGCATGCAACAGACTTTGGAAATAAGCAGACGTTATTACGGCACCATCATGGCTGGTGGTTTCTAAGTTTGCAAAGATTAAAATCCATGGGTCTATCTTTTGTTTTAAATCCCCATGTCTAACTCTATCTCAGCATGTTTCTCCTCATAATTTCCTTTGTATCATCCCCAACGTGAACATGTATTCTACTCAAACAATTTTTTGCTTCATATGTGACATTTCTATCCACATAGTAGTCTAGTCTGTAGATTACCGCCTATGATCTTGCTACGTACTATCTTCCCTTGGCTCCTTTGTCTAATTTCAAGCCCAGCTGCAAGTCCATCTAAACCCACCTAGTTATCAAGTCAAAGAGCATCACCTACCATTTAATAGCCTTGAAGATTAAGTTAACGTAGTTAATTCATCCCACCTAGCCATGCGATTGGGTCTATTTAATCGCCTCTCGTATATACCTATGGCATTCAAGTTGCTGTGCAGGCTCAGTATACACATGATGTAGTCTAAATCTCTATATTGTCAAACGGTATCTAAATGCTAGTAAGGCCACAATTTGAACACATATATAGGCTTACCAGAGTGGTATTGATATACATCATCCTTGACTACAGAATAGATCAAAATTAAGACGTAAAATGCATCAATTGCTATCGACTGTACATGAAAGGAAACTACCTAGACGCGACAGGAAGGGGATCGAACAGGTAAAGAAAATAGGAAAAATAATATGGAAACAACCTCCCTAACTGGCAGTACACCATCATTACCAGCCAGAGAAAGGGAGATCTAAGAGAGATCTAGTTTGTGAGAATGAAACTGACCGATTCCTGCATCGTTTTTGAGAGGCAAAAGTAGAGGGAGAGCAGAGGGATGATAGAGAGATGTGGAGTAAGGAGAACAGGAGAAAGAAGGTCTTTTTGCATTTATTGGCCGGGGGAGATCAGCTTGCCCTCAGCACGGCTCTCGGGCTTCCAGCCACCAGCATAGGGTGAGGCACCACCAAGCTCCTTCTGGTACTCCTTGATACGGGCCTCGAGCTCAGGTCGGAAGTGACGGATAAGACCCTGGATAGGCCAGGCGAAAGCCTCACCCAGAGCACAGATAGTGTGACCCTCAACCTGCTTGGTGAGCTCCTGGAGCATGTCGATCTCACGCTCGCGAGCGTTACCGGTCTCCAGACGCTGCATCATCTGCATGGTCCACTTGCTACCTTCACGGCAGGGAGTGCACTGACCGCAAGACTCGTGCTTGTAGAAGGTAGACAGACGGGAGATAGCACGGACGATATCGGTAGACTTGTCCATAACAACGACGGCGGCCGTACCGAGACCAGTCTGAGAGTCCTTCAGGGCATCGAAGTCCATGAGCTGGTTATCAGCCACAGACTTGGGAATGACGGGAGTAGAAGAACCGCCGGGGATAACAGCAAGCAAGTTGTCCCATCCACCACGGACACCTCCACAGTGCTTCTCAATCAAGTCACGCAGGGAGATGGACATCTCCTCCTCGACGGTGACGGGGTTGTTGACGTGACCGGAGATACAGAATAGCTTGGTACCGGCGTTACGCTCACGGCCGAAAGATGAGAACCAGTTGGCACCACGGCGCATGATAGTTGGCACCACGGCGACAGTCTCGACGTTGGTGACGGTACTGGGGCAACCGAACAGACCGACGGCAGCGGGGAAAGGAGGCTTAAGACGGGGCTTGCCGGCTTTGCCCTCGATGGACTCGATCAGGGAGGTCTCCTCACCACAGACGTAGGCACCCATTCCACGGTGAATGTAGACGTCGAAATCGTAACCGGTACCGCAGGCGTTCTTTCCGATGAGACCGGCCTCGTAGGCCTCGTTGATGGCACGCTGGAGAACAGTTGCCTCATGGTAGAACTCACCACGAATGTAAATGTAGGCGGCATTGGCGTTCATCGCGCGACCGACGACCAGACAGCCCTCGATGAGCTTCTGGGGGTCCTTTCGCATAATCTCACGATCCTTGCAGGTACCTGGCTCACCCTCATCGGCGTTGATAACCAGATAACGAGGGCGTGGGTCCTTATCCCAGTCCTTGAAGTTCATGAAAGACTATATGCATAGAAAAAACGATTGTCAGATAAAACAAGAGAACGTCTCACAGTTGAGGGTCATCTTGAGGAGTGCCATATTCCCAACTTACGTATTTCAATCCTGAGGGGAAACCAGCACCACCACGTCCACGCAGACCGGAGGCCTTGATCTCGGAAATGAGCTGTAATAAGAAGTATCAGCACACACAATCCCAATTCTTCGTTTCATCCGCCCAATCCGGGGCTATCATCCAATTCGGAATTTGAGGTCTACCCACCCAGTCATGACCCTTCAGAACCATATCCTTTGTGCGGTGCCAGTCACCGTACTTCGTTGCTGACTTCAGATCGGCGCCATGGTGTCCGTAGAGGTTGGTGAAGATGCGGTCCTGGTCCTTGAGTCCGCCATAGTGCTTGACGGGAGGAGCCTCTTGCACGGTCGCGAAGGAGCGGGCGGCCGCTCCCTGGGCGCGGAGGGAGCGGGATGAGAGGTGGGAGATGGAGGAAGTGGAGGGAGCCGCCGCTCTGGATATCATGATGGCGGATTGGCAACTATGCGTAGTGCAGAGGGTCAAGCGGTCATGAAAAGAGAGAGAAGGGGGAGCTCGCGGTAACTGGCAATTGGCAATTCCTGCGCTGTGCTGAACGATCCGCCTTTACGTGATATGTGATTGGCTCCGGGTCATGTGATCGGTGCTTAGTCATTTCTGCTTATTCGGGCTTGGTGACGTTTTCTTCATCTACACAAAGTAGTATAAATTTATATGAAAATATAGATGTAGTTTATTCATTGAAGACCTTGTCTTCTCTCTCTTACTTTTTGGTCTTCTTTTCTATCTACTCATCTTGCGGCACATAAAGCACAGCCTGTTTGGCCATGGTGGGTTCCTCGGTCACTAACACCTGTAGTGGCTCAACGGGAATCAATACCCGTTCAGCATCTCCCACAATACAGGCCCACTGTAACGAGGCCGAAGCCAGCCAGTGGCTATCCTGTCCTAACCAAGTAATACCATCTTGAGTAGCCAGTTTGAGGAACCCAGCCCGATCCTTAGAAAGGACTCTCAGTAATTGCTGAGCTGGTGATTCTTCCTCGTCAGCAGCACATGCGGGTAAAGGATATTCTGCGACCAAAAAGTCCACCCATCGAGTCAAACGAGAAGATAGCCGGGGTCGCACTTCATCAGACAAAGCTGTTGCAACTAAGAAATTAATTGCAAGCGCAAACATGACTTGCGGGTCTGTTGCCCAGGGCCCGTTCGCAACACGAGTCATGAAATATTTCTGAGTTGGCGCCTGCAGCTCTTGGGGTAGCAAAGTAAATAGCTCTGCAAGTCGAAACAGTTCACCATTCTTGAGGACAAGAGATTGACGCTCGAGAATACGCACGCGTACCCGAGAGATAACCTCCTCTGGAAATAATCCAGCCGGTACTTTTGATAGGTGTTCGTGCAAGAGGATCTTGATATCTTCCCATTGTTCACCACGCTGATGCTCCCTAGCACGAGCAAGGGTCCAAGATGCGATTATCAAGGCGGTTTGATCTAACGTGATTTGGCCATTGCGGTAAGTTTGTGCGAATATCTGCTTGAGATTTGCAGGTTGGGCTGGCAGGTCTTGTGCACTGCCCCGTAGCTGGAGAATGTGCGCGATGAGCTCAAGACACACTTGAGACAAGGCCGCTAGTGTACTGCGGCCGTTGCCATATGCCTTTTGAATAGATATCCCGGATTCTTGAATCTCGACTCGTTTGCGCTCTCGCTCGTTTGCTTCCATGATTGTCAAAGCATTGAACAGAGCTAGCGATATAATTGCATGCTCCATAGGACCTTCCGGTGCCAGTAACGGGTATGATACGTTGAATATATAATAATGGTCGTCAGTGTTCTTTGCCACCTGGGGAAACAACTTGATCTGGTGGGCTTTCGCGATACCAAGTGGACTATCCGATGATACATTTAGTTTCACAATGCGGTAATCGGTTGGGTTGTTCAATATACAGAAACCGTAGTTCATGAGTACTAGATTCCGGTTAGCTTCTGCTGCGTCACATATGTTGTTTAGTTTGAAAAGTCATTCAGTGCGCACATTGCTCATTGTTCCGAGGACCATAATTATTTGAGATTTCCTGGCCTGGAGAGACGTTTTCCAGAACAATCATGCCAACGTCTTTCTCGCCGGCTCTCCATTCGACCTTTGCCAGTGGTCGGTGATTAGGCAAGTCAATGAGAGGCAAAAGCACCGAAATACCCTCATCTGGAAGATCGGAAGACTCTACAGCACTAGACAGCACCTTTCCCGAAAAGGCTCGCGAGCTGATAATTGTCCATGCCCAGAGATATAGGTCCCTGGTAGATTCAGTTAGTAGAAACTCCAAGAGCAACAATTTTTTATTACTTACCAAGTAAATTCCCCAGTACCCTGATAGCCTGCTGTCTCCAGTTTCTCAATTGAAGAGTCATATTTCTCATCCCAGGCCTGGTACCTTTGTACTGAAGCATCCGGAATTCCCGTCCCTTGTAACCAGTCCACATCCTCCTCTCCAAAAAACAGAGGTGTTGTCAATTGGCCAGGCTGTGGTAATGTTCGCAAGTACGGGTGCCAGAAACTTTGCTCTCCTCGCAAGAAATGGGCCATCAAGAAGAATGTCATAGTCTCCTCCAGACCGACGGCATCAATGAACGCACGTGGGAACTGCACACCATGAGAAGAAAATGATCCCTTAGGCGAGCTGTAGTTAATGGCGTTGAAGTATGACATCGTAACACCTAGAGGTGTGTTGATGACCCTTGTTTCCGAGGAGACCGACGTCGGGTGGTCAGCTCTCACTTGCAGGTGGACGCCGCGCTGGTCGTCCTGCGCAATGCAAACGGCATCGCTAATATAACCTCCATGGTTTTGAACCCATTCAAGAAGAGCAGTATGAGCTTCTAAGGAGTGTAATTTTGTATCTCTGGCATCTGCTTTAGTTTCTTGTGTGATGCGCAAGTTTTGGTATATATGTCAAGGTAGGTAGGGCAGCTGATCTAACGAGACTTACTCTGTGGGGGAAGCCATGGTTTAGAGGCAGATTCTTTGAATGTGGCCAAAACGGGTACAATAACAATGCAATTAATTGAATAGATGTCACACGGCGTGGCTGGCAAGCACAAGAGACCCGGAAGTGATATCACTGAAAGATTTGGTGGGATGTGGACAGGGACCCACTTTTTCTTGGTCCCGCCAGCATAAAAACCACCCGGGAAGGGATTGCTGTTGTATACATCTATGGATGTTCTCACGGAAAGATCGACCGGTATTAGTAGAAATGGATGGATTAAGATAGGTAATGCTTAGACTAGTATAGAGTTCAAGTTTACTATGGCCCGGATTGCGGGGCGCTACTTATGATACTGCAAATATGAACTAAAAGCATCAATTGATCAATTCAACTTCTTAAATATCGTACAAGGACATCAACCTCCAAACGTCAAAACCGTAAACCCATCTCCCCGCGATGCACACAACAGCTTAACGACCGAGATCGAAAAAGCAAGATAAAAATGAACCTAAGAAAGAAAGAAAGCATAAATAAGATCCATGCAGGCGAACTTGCCGTCATCAGATGTCATCCTCCCAAAGATTAACCAAATATGGAAAATATGTACAGGGCCCGTACCATAAGAACAGCACGAATTTAAACATCCCCAACAAGCAAGCGTCGAGAAATGATAGGAAAAGGAAAAGGTGCGAGAACACGAGGATACGTTGGCATCCATGGAAATCCCACTAATAATCGAAGATCACCGTGTATGCATGCAACGAAGCGAGATATTGTAGAAAATGCAGACTGGGAATAAAAAATGGAGAAAGACATCATCACAAGCAGAACAAAGCATTGCGGCGTTAATTCGAGGTAGAGGATTTTCGGCCTGGAACGAGAATCTCTACCAGACCATCATCTTCACCATCGCTGCTGTTGTTTTGGTCATCGTCGAAATGGGAGCTTACAGCTCGTGGGCGACGGAACCCAGTGAATCGACTAGGAGCCGTAAGATTAGAGTAGCCCAAAGATTCGTTGATGATAGCATCTTCTTCTTCGTCCGAATCAATCATACCAGGCGCGCTGGGTCCCACCATTTCACCCATATCATCATCTTCGTCCTCCACCTCAAGAGGTACGCGGACACGTCGCCGCATAGACTCATTCTGTCCATCGCCATCTTCATCCGAGGAGTTGGAAAAGGAGTCAGGCGGACTGAAACCAGCCTCCTGGAAGCCGGGAACAAAAGAGTCGTCTACATGAGACCCAAAGTCGGTGTTCGGGAATGCAGAGTTGCTACCGTCTGCGTCGTCGTCAATGCCGGCAATGACGAACGGGTTGCTAGGCCACTGCGAGTCCCCGCTTTCGGCCTCGTGTGGTTTGTCTCCATCCGCTTCCCCCCCTGCATTTTCAGCTGCTAACTGCTTTTGGGCTGCCAATCGTGCCGCTAGCTGGCGTCGAGCTCGGGAAGGCCCGGTACTCAATGGAGCTGGAGGAGGAGGCAGAATAGGGATTGGCTGACTTGTAGAGCTTGTTGATACCTGTAATTATTCGTGTTAGTTGGAAATGTTCACTCAAATAAAAAACGACCAAGGGTTGAAACAAGCCAGCCGACGAGTCGGTAAAGGATATGGGAAAGGAAACGGAGAGATAGCCAAAGGAACCAAACAGAAGAAGGGGAAGGTAGAACACAGATTAAAGGTCTGTCAACCCCCGATTAAAAGAGTAGAGTACCGAGCTTTCTGTCACCCTGAGCCTCTGCTTCAGACATTACACCAATATCATACAGATCATCGAAATATATTGTTACAGAACGAGGGGGGAGAGGTCATTGTGGAAATATGGCGTATGCGCATGACGGTCACGAATCGCGCTTGTGAAGTTTTGTTGGAAAGAAAGTACCCACATTCTCGGATTCGCCTTGATCCACATGAGTGGCATCTCTGTCATCCTGGTCCTCCATTTCCTCATCTTCGTCATCGTCGCTTGAGCTGGCAAATCCACTCAAGAGAGAGGTACCGCCACCTCCAAAGTTTCCGCCGGAAACACTTCCTTGGTTGATATCAAAGCCTTGGAAGGTAGATCCACCAATGCCGCCGTTCAGACCCGCTTCAGCGAGAGCATTTGAACTGCTGAATCCCTGACCAGAGCTCATGCCAGTCTGGCGAGACCCAACGGACATATCAGGGCGAACTCCACCTAGAATGGCGTTGTCCCGCTCCCGTGTCTCAGACAGCGTCTGTTCGACATAATCGATCCACTCGGGATTGAGTACGGACTCCATGACAGAGCGCGAAAGTAACTCCGGTGGATGACGTTCGCTGAACTTGACTACTTCCTCAGCCACGAGAGTCAGGTGGCCCATGTAGCCGAGACGAATCTGCTTGGTCTTCTGAACCTCGTCGCTTCGCTTTTGGCCTTCAATAATGGCATTGGTGATCTGGCCATTTTCGAAAACATTGACCGCAAGGGCTCGGTTGTAGCCGCGCTCCATGGGGCCGTTGAAAACTTGTTGAACAACATCGTACACGACATTGTGAAGGAAGTTGTTCCACGGGAAGCGGAAGAAGAAACCCTGTATTTATAATCAGCAACTGGTCACGAATGATCAAATGGGATAAGCTACTTACCAAGATAGTTGGGACTACCTTATTCTCGACAAACATTATTTTCAGATAGTCTCCTACAACAGGTTGTCCATCTGTGTCATACTGTATGTACTGCTCTGCAGGATCCTCGCCGCCACCGTCATTATGGCTTGTCTCCTGAGGAATTTCGGGATTGGTAGCAGATCCCTCTGCCTGGTCATTCGACGGACTGGCTTCGGGTGCTTGGTCCTTCGCTGTGAAGAGGGGAGGGGGAATATCTTCAGACTCAGCGGCAACCAGTGGTTCCTCATTTTCTTTTGCGATAGTTTTCTGCTGCTCAGCACTCAGATGGATGTCACCGATTTGATCGGCAAGGCCAGTGGCAGATGATGGAGCCTCAGAGGAGGTGGGGGTATTTTGGGGAGACGCGGTTGAGACTGTTTCAATGTGTGATGCCCCTTGTGAAGAAGCGGGCTGTTCAGAAATAGCTTCCAGATCAGTGTCCGGACCGGTCTCTTTTTCATTGACGAGAACACCCGAAGCACCGACATCCTCAAATCCTTCCTCTTCACCTGCACGAGGCATGTGCATACCCTTGATATCTTCTGGTGAACCCGAGCCTAGAGCAGAACCATTTGTGAAGTCCGCTGTAGTGTCATTATATTCCATTCCGGAGTTATCATCTCGATGCGGACTGAAGAATCCCTCACTGATCAATCGTTCGCGTTCTTCATTCCGGTGCTGGACATACTCGTCACTACCAGGCTCGTTCAAAAGTCCCATATTACTGCAGTGCAGTAACTCAGCCATCAGTTCGCATGTCTTGAAACGATCGAAACCAAGTGGTTCAATCTTGCCACCCCATGCAGAACTCAAGCTGCCGCGTTCAACAATCTTTAATTGCTTTCCATCGTAAACAGCGTGCTTCGAACTTTGGATTAAAGCCATAAACTGAGGAATATGTTTGGCAAACAAGCGAAGAAGGTTTCCGAGGTAAATTGGGTCATAGGGGGTGGGCATTGATTCACCACCACCTAGATGCTCTGGGTCGTAGTCGGAATTGTTTTTACGAATGACCTCGATCACGATGCCCACACCGACAGTCAATGGGTTGCCACCTTTAAGCATGGCATCAACAAGTTGCTGCACACACTCAGCCGAAACTAGTTGACGTGTTAAACTGTTGGGGCCAATGCACGATTGGTCGTTCGGGGTCGCATTTGCGGAGATGGTGATAATCGCCTTCAAGAAATCACCTGCGGAGGTTTGAACTGAAGCAGGTTGATTTGGCGATAGGAAGGAAAGTAGAGTCGGGATCAACCGCTGAGTATGGAGCCAGTCCACAGTACCCTGACCTCCTTCTACCTTCTCAAGGCTGATTATCTTCAGCAGGAGATCCATAACCATGGGGTTATCTACATGCTGCAATAGCGCGGGAACAATCCCATCGAGCGATTTGAGGAAATCCAGCATGTCCTCTGTTTTCTTATCAAGCAGGGTCTCGTTCACTTTAGTGAAGTAGCTTGCTTGCAGGGAGTCGAGAGGGGCCGGTCGCCGCAGGAAACCCCAGAAGTCGCGAAGATAATTGGGGTTTTCCATGATAGTCTCGAGAATTGTCCATGTCTCAGATGAGAGGATTTCGCAGGCTATATAGGCATGCTTTATGCGTTGTTTCTCAACCCTTTCGAGATCCTCTGGGTCTAGGACACTCTTTAAAGGATCCTCCTCTTTTTCTTCCTTTTCATTCTTGTCGTCAGTAGCACTTTGCTCTGTTGTGCCAGTCACTGCGGCATCTTTCTTTTCATTGGTATCTTCTTCATCGTCGTCGTCATCGTCATTCACCAAACTCGGTGCAGTCACGTAGTCCATAAGCCGTTTCAAGACATGATCCTCGCGCAGGAATTCTATGAGTTTCGTATTATGCTGTTTTAGATCCTGGATGATCTCCGGCTCATCCAGGAGGTCTTCGAGGGTGACATCAGGCTTGTCAAGAAGTGTATCGATGGTGGAGATACTTGCATATCCCCCAAAACGCCAGAACATGATGGAGTATATAGGCGAGAAGAAAGATTCATGGGACGTTTCAAGTCGTTAAAATCTCCGAGGTATCGTAACGGAGCGGTCTATGGTACACGGAGGGATGTGTAAGGAGTTGGATCGCATCCGAGTTTGCAAGGTGAACCACCGTCGTAATCCACACGCACACACAGGGGAAGTTGCCGCGGAAGGCGGGGGTTGATGTGAAACTCGGCTTTCGACCTTATGGAAGGGACTCGGAATTAAGAAACGATATAGGCTGGAGCGATACTCGCGCTGTGGATCTGGTTGTTAGCGATGGTCGGTGCTCGGGATTGGTTGCATCAATGACGGAGCTAAGCAGTGCGTGAACCCGGAGGTGCGGTTCGATCCCACTGAAGCCGATACCCACGAGACAGAACTTTGTCGGGTGGGGAGAGAGAGAACAGACCAAGTGGGCGGATTAAGAAGCTCGAAAGGGGATGAAATTTTGGTGTACCGACCTTCCAGTAAGAGAATGACGAGGAATTTGATCCTCCGGTGTGGGTTTTTGGGAGGAGTGCGGGAAGGAGAAGAAATGGAGAAATGAAGAAATGGGGGGGGAAGAGGGGGTAGAGAGAGAGAGAGAGGAAGTGGAGAGTTCACACTTTGGATATGTAAGATCTCTCAACCCAGTCCATCCAGACACAAGGAAGTAGAAAGGGAGGACGCGAATAAGATAGTTGAAGCTGGGAAGGGATTCCAGTGCAGGGGCGGCCTTCAACTCAAGCACACACACATGTAATCATCTGCGCGGGGATCGCATCTCCGACCAGCGGCAGATAAGCAGCTCTTTCTCCCGGACAAAGGCATTATATTTCACTGAATATCTATGGTACATTAATACTCTATGACGGGACTTATTACTAATTTACAAAGTGTTATATCTCCTCAATCCCCCCAAGATCGAAGGGGAGCTTACATGGGTTTCATGAAGGATCTGGGAGATTGCGAATGCCCCATCTCGGGCTCGGATTGTGTTAAGAAATCTAAATCCTGGGGCCCTGCATAGTCGGAGGTATTGACCTCGTGCACTTTACCCCCGACATTTTTAAAAAAATAATCAAAAATTGAGAACGAGTAATGAGCTGCATATAGAAGTTTAACACCCCATGCTATAGTTTATACTTAGATCGCTTGATTCGTGTTCATCTGTCAGTTGAGCCACGGGCTTGTACCTCATACCTCCTGATCTCGCTAGATCTGGCGTGGGGGATCAAGTACTAGGTACTCCCGCTCTGCCTAATGCCCAATCTCGAGTCCTACCGCCCAAGCCAGTCCTAGTGTATAACCCACCTGATACTTGCAAATGCAATGATCATGTTAATTACACCTGGGCTTGATCAAGTGTTTCATCCTTGATCGTCTGCATTTTGACTATGTCATCTATTCATCCATACTAAAAGCAAAAGGCCACATTTCGTCAAGGTCAGATCTAGATCCACTTGACTGGACACCACTGTAAAAGCATCCGATATCACGTGTACTCAATACCTCAGGCAACAAGGCATCAAACTGACGTCGGCTCCGCTTTATCATTATCGGTGCCTGCCCAGCTGTGCTGTACTGTACTCCATAGCCAGAGCTGATCACAGCCGAATCCCCTCTACCTAGCTTTGCATCTCAACTTCCAACTCAAAGTGTCTGCATATTCGTCCTCCAAGCTTCGAGCTGGTCACTGATTTTCCTCAATCAGCTAGATCCAAGTGCTCTTCAATCTGCCACAACCATCAAACACCCCACCCCGCCTCCCTTCTCCAACCTAAATACAGCACAACACGCCAACATGAATCGCCTATTCGGCAGCAAGAGTGCGGCTCCTAAACCGACTCTAGACGGCGCAATCACCAAGGTAGACAAGCCCAGATACACACACTTCAAACCTACCAAACACTCCCCCCAATCTAACAACCAACCACAGGTCGAAGACCGCGTCTCCAGCCTAGACGTCAAGCTCTCAGCCCTTAACACCGAACTCTCAACATACCAAGCCAAACTGTCCAAAATGCGCGACGGACCCGGCAAAAACGCTCTTCGCCAAAAAGCCCTTAAAGTCCTACAACGCCGCAAGCAAATTGAAGCCCAAAGAGATCAACTCTCCCAACAATCATGGAACATGGAACAGGCAGGAATGATGCAAGATAATCTTAAGAATGTGATGACGACCGTTGACGCTATGAAAACAACAACGAAAGAGCTGAAGAAACAGTACGGAAAGGTGGATATTGATAAGATCGAACGGATGCAGGATGAGATGGCGGATTTGATGGAAGTGGGGAATGAGATCCAGGAGAGTATTTCTAGGGCATATGACTTGCCGGAGGAGGTGGATGAGGCGGATTTGGATGCGGAGTTGGAGGCGCTGGGTGAGGAGTCGATGTTTGATACGGGGATAGGCGAGGATGCCATGCCGAGTTTTTTGCAGGATGAGGTTGCGCCACCGCAGTTTATTGATGAGCCGCCTGAGCAGGCGAAGGTTAGGGAGGCTGCGGGTGGCTTGGGTTAAGAGACAAAGATTTCAAGATTTGGTTTGCAATATCTTGGGCCTTTTTCTTCGGAGCTTTATCTGAAGAAATCGGGGTCCAGGTTGGAGTTGGGATCATAGTTATGATTGTCATACTTGACTATGATGAACACGGTTCAATTCTGATAATATGTAGCGTTTATTGTTGTCTATCTACCTATTAGTAAATATCTACTCAGCTATCCATCTATGTATGCTTCATGCGATAATAACATATTTGACGAAACCTTAAAACCAGCCATTGCTCACCCAATGACTTCTGCAATCTAATGTGTAGATTAAGATGCCTTGCCCATTCCAACCAGAACCAAAAGTGCAACATTCATAACGGCAATAAGAAGCCACACAAGCACGGCGAGGATAGAGGTGAAAATGCTGTTCCGCATCTTGACTTCTTCGACTGTGACACTTCCATCGTCGTCATCGGCTTCTTCAGTTCGGACGGTCATATACTTGTTGAAACAAGTTAGCCAAATAAGAGGCGCAGAAACGAATGGCAAAATAACGCTGAGGACAACCTGACTGGCTGTCAATGTTTTGTCCAAACCCTCTTTACCAACAGCGGCAGCAATGATGATGCTAGGAATGATACTAATCGAACGAGTGATAACTCTGCGCATCCAGGGCTTGATGCTCCAGTTGAGCATTCCCTCGCTAACCATCTGGCCGGCCATGGTGCAAACAATGCCAGCAGATATTCCAGACAGAAGAAGTGCCAAGGCAAAGACCAGACCGGCGGCGGGTGCGATCGAGGAAGAGAGAAGGTCGTGAATGCCGAAAAGATCGGCGTCAGCCCCACCCGGAACGTCATATAGAGATGCTCCAGCGACAATGAGAATGGCGCTATTCACAAAGAGGGCAAATGTAAAGAGACATACGACCAGCTCGATGATCGAATACTTCAAGCAGCCGCGAATAGCATGGATAGAGGGTCGATATTCGACCTCGCCACCATTGCTCCCCAATGGGACAGACGATTCGACATACCCGGAAGTCACATCGAATTCTTTCAGGCGGGATTGGACGACACCGCTACCAAGGAAGAGCGAGTGCGGCATAACAGTGGCTCCGAGGATACCACAGCTTTGATAGAGACTATATTTCTGCTATTAGTTATGTGGATACGCATTTCGAATATTGGGCTGAAAATTACCCTTCTGACTGGACGATTGCCGACGAGGGCAGATAGCCTCGGAAAACCTCTCCAACGGATTGGTCTTGGATCAAAGACAGCTGGATACAGAAGCAAATGACAACTGCCAGAACTAGGCCCATGACGAAGAACTCGAAGAGACGCAGTCCCCACATGGACCCATCAGGGCGCCAAAAGATGAGTAAAAAGAAGACATCGACCAGCGTGATAGCACAACCTGCCACCAGTGGGATGTTTAAAAGTAAATTCAATGCAATTGCTGAACCGATAACCTAATTTAGTTGTTAGCAAGTGCTGACCTCCCCCAAATCTCCCTTGCAGAATATACATACCTCTGCAATATCAGTGGCAACGATGGCTGCTTCCGCAAAAACGTAGAGGATATAAACCATCCACCGTGGAAGATGTTCACGACAGTTCTCAGCGAGATTAAGTCCAGTGACAGAACCAAGTTTCACACAAAGCGACTGTAACAAAATGGCAAAAAGATTGGAAAGCAAGACAATGAACAGCAAAGCATATTTGAATTGTGCACCGGCAGAAACGTCGGTGGCGTAGTTACCGGGATCGATATAGGCGACCGCAATGAGAAAGCCAGGACCGATAAAACGGGCAAACTTGACGAGACTTTGTGCACAGTGTTGAGCAGAAGAGGAAATATAATTCTTGAACGGACGGCGAGGCGATCCGCTGGCTCTCGTGGGTGGTTCACACCCCGAGGCAACAGCGGTCACTCCACCGTCCGGGACCTTCTCGCTCCCTGGATCCGACTCCGGGCTCAGCGGTCTGGGACCTGAAGCTATCGATAACGTATCTTCACCCACTGCCCCGCCTACCCCGGTGGCATTCTTACGATGCACACGTGAGTTTGCGATGCCATTGAAGTCATTCCGAGTGGTGGTGTCGGGATTAAAGGGTGCTGGATTCTGGTTCCACCTTGGGTGCGTGATTGTATCATCTGTCCGCGAGGGGCAATTCATGGTGGGCTGGACAGGGCGGAAATGCGCTCTTGCTAAATTAACGTTGTCCGCGGGGCAAGTAGATTTAATAAGTCCTTGCAGAGTCGGGACAGGATCGGGGAGTGTTCATGAAGATCCGCTTGAGTACCTTTCGGAAGTCCGGAAGTGCCCGATCTTTTTTTCTTTGGCTTTGGGGCGATGTCGCGGCTGCCCCAACACTGAACCGATGACGCCTAGAACCGGCGGGTCTTGCCTAGACGCTGGCCCGAAATCACCATAAACCCAATACGTAAGGGCAACGCGATCTTCACTGTTGCCTGTGCATGTTTCACTTTAATCTTAAATTGCCTTCGATCGGTTTTCAGAGAGGAGATGAGAAAAAGAGAGCACCGATCCGGCTCAAGGTCCATCATTTTTAAATGATTCAATGGCCGCGGACATGATGGGCCTCCCCGCGTTTGCAAACGGTAGTGGATCGCGAGTTGCCAACCCCCGGGATCACCCTTGGAATGTCAACAATGAATCCGTATTTGCTCCAATCAAACCCCACCTGAACTGCGCCCTTTCGTTGTAGTAGGACAAAACATCGGGAGAGATGCAGTATACCCAACTGCCTTGGAAAAACGTAGATGAACATCCCGAGGTCAGCAGACGAGGGAATATTGATGGGATGACGAATATGTATTTGTCTATATGCGTGCACTTGGCAGCACCAACACGGGGGAGCATCTGCCAGTGGCCCCCGAGTAAGAAGAGGATAGGAAAATTTGACCACTTTAAGGATTTGTAGGATCTTTAGAAGCCCTGGCCATTGAAACCCATAAGGCGTGGCACAAACGGCCCCAAAGCCACCTTCAGATCTCTTTAGGCTGGGCATGATGTCAGCCGTTGAAACCTTGGAAAGAGGAACTAGACATAAATAGACATAAACAGCGCACGCGAGTTGTTGGTTCTAATCGTGAGGAAGCTAGCGGTGGACGGCATGAGCGATTGTTATCCGCGGGGCTAGAACACATTGATCCCGGCGACGGAGTACGTAGCATGATATCATCCGCCTTGAACGACTATTGAATATACGGACTTCATTTAGTTCGAAATTGGGTATCCTCTTTTATGACGCGTGAAGTGAGATCAGAATTATTACGTGCCAATATCTACTCATTGTTGATATTGTTCAATATTGGTAGATCATAGTTACCCATAGTTGAAATTTGAGGATAGTGTCTGTTGACCGACCATCGGAGACGCAATAATAGATCTAGATGTTACCCCTCTTTCTCGCAAACAATAACAAGACCTAAAAGAGAGAGAAATAAAAAAGAAAACACCGCTGTGAGCCCCTAGAAAGGGTGATAGAAAGCCCAAAAAGCTAAACCCACAGGAAGATACATATGCAGGGTGACCTGTCTAGACAGTGGACATGTCTTCCCCTCATACACAGTGAAGATTACCCACGTTCACCGCCAACAGCGCCCCGTTGCCCCGCGCAACCAGGACAATCGCACGTTGTTTACTCCTCCACTTGCAATCCAACCAACCCCAAGGATTGCCTCACCACGCTAGTTGTTCAGACCCAAAGCAAAGTGGAGATCTGATCCTCGAAGTTGCCGTTGGCAGCCAGACACTCAAATTCCCCGGGTGCCCGGCTACTTTGTTTCTCATCTCCCAGATTATTTTTCATCATCCTTGGCTTTGCATTTGTCTGTTTTGTATTGCATTGATTGCGGTTGTTCTTCCTTTCGAATCGGCTGTCTATGAACTGCCCCATTTGCGCTTTTTGCTTTACATCGGCGTGATTTGGTTTTTATTGCATTGAAAAGACATCCCGTAAGTCGCTGTCTCTACCCGCGCGCCCCTCTCGAGATCATCGGTCCATATTCTAACATGCCACAGTTGCTGGTCAACGGTGATAACGATGGCCCCTACTACATCCGGTCCTCAGATATTCGACGATGCGAATCGTGTCCCTAAGTCCTCGGTTTTCCGGGCTATGATTTCATCCAAACACAAAAGAAACCAGTCCGCGGACGATGCTATGTCGCCACAGCTTCCAACACCTAAAACCTCTGACCCAAACCCCTTCCCATGGACGCAGCAACCTACTTCGACACCCGGCCACCTCCCACTGGGTGAAATAGTCCCCAACCGCGATGCTGGTGATAAGAACATTCCAGTCGCGAAGTCAGACAACAAGGAAGGCAAAGGCGCCCTACACAAGAAGACTAAGAGTGCCGTCTCCTTGAAGTCACTGAGAAGCTATATGGAGCGCAAAGATGGACGATCCGAGTCACCCGACGAGCAGTCGGATGAGATGAGGCCTAAGAAGACCAAATCTACGAATAGTTTCTCCGCTATCTTGAAACGATCTCAGCGGGGTCGTAAAGATGGCTCGAAGCAGAGTCGCGATAAAGAGAATCGGAGTCCAGCCGATCTGATTGACAGCATGCCCTCCCCAGTTTCATCCCCAGTTTGGTCACAAGACTCGATCCCAATATTTCAGCAGGATACCAATCGATCTCGGCAGAATTCGACAGCAGACAAGCGCCGAAGCGTCGCCGACGAAGTCTCACTCTACACGCCCAAAGGATACAGCCCCGCTCAGCAACGAAACTTCTATGATTATCACCAACCATCGCTTACCAAATCTGCAAAGTCTGGTGAAAGCAAGCCGCGTCCCAAGTCGGAGAATTTCGCGGGAAATAAGAAGGTAAAGGAGATGCTTGGGTCAGTGCAGCGCCCGCCCACTGGGGATGGCAATGCGATTGACCGAGTCGACAGCGCCAATTCTAGAAGCCAAGGGCTTGAAAGAGGGCGAAAGATGTCGGCTCCTGAGCCCCCGGCACCAAAGTCCCCTGTGAAAGAGGGAAATCCCAACAGGCTGTCTCGTGTGCAAGCTGCCATCTCCGCATTCAATGCCAAAGAGAAAGATGCTGATGTGCAGCGACACCTCAACTCCAAGGATGTGGAGAGCGAGTTTGAAAAGCTATTGGTAAGCCTATCGATACAACAATTAAAGCTTTATCTCTTTCAAAGATTGCCTAGTCTAACATTCATATCTGCAGGATGCGAGAAACATTCCCCATAACATGCGGGACAGAATGCGCTCACTTGACACCAATATAAAAGTAGACTTCATTCAGAAAGATCGCACTGAAAACGGAACCCCTCACAGTGCTGGTACTTCTGACAGTCGCCGAGGACGAGGGAAAGAATCCAAAGATGACCAGAAGTCTCAAGACCGCAAGAGTTCCCGTTCACGGTCCAGAAGCCGTGGGTTCACGTTTGGTCGAGGATCATCCTCTCCGGGAAAGAAGGCTAGACCCGATAGTGGAAGTAGCTTTGCCCGTCCCAGATCAGTTGATTTGTCCCAACCGGTTGGTGTTTACACAACTCTACACCCAGGTGGCTCAACTGCCTCTCTATCTGAAGCGGCAGTCGTGGACACTGCAGCAGATCCCTCAGACTTTGTGCACTATCTGAGAGAGATACAGAAGCCAGAAATGGTCGAAGTTGGAAAGTTGCATAAGCTACGTCTTCTTCTTCGTAATGAGACGGTCAGCTGGGTCAACAGCTTTATTACCGAGGGCGGAATGGATGAGATTGTGCAGCTAATATACCGTATAATGAAGATGGAGTGGCGGTATGTATTCCTTTTCCGAACCCTTCACACCGATTTGCATCTGACTGTCTATTAGGGAGGATCACGAGGATACTCTACTCCATGAAGCTTTACTTTGCCTAAAGGGCTTATGCACAACATCCATTGCCCTTGCACATCTTACAAGTATCGAGGCAGAGTTGTTCCCTGCATTGCTGAAGATGCTATTCGATGAAGAAAAGAAGGGTCCAAGTGAATTCACAACCCGTGGAATCATCATCAACCTCCTCTTCACGCAACTCTCTTCAACTTCATCCCCCGACAGCCCCGCTCAGCGCGCTGAACGACTTCTCAATTACTTGAAAGATCCATCCCCGGAAGAAAGCAACCAGGCACTCCCTTTCATTGCCAGCATATATCAGTCACGCCCCTACCGCGTGTGGTGCAAGGAGGTTACAAATGTGACCAAAGAGGTGTTCTGGATTTTCCTACATCACTTAAATGTGATCCCCCTCCCCAAGGCCGACCCCAACTCCGATGATCCCTTCACCGGGACGCGGCCGGTTGATACTCGCCTCTACTTTGAGCGACACTTCCCTCCACTTCGTCCCCCTGTCCCCGCCGCTCCATACGTCGGTGGTGTCGAGTGGGATGCTACCAACTACTTGGCCGCCCACCTCGACCTTCTCAACGGGATGATTGCTTCTCTTCCCACAGCCGAGCAACGCAACCAGCTTCGCTCCGAGCTGCGAGCATCTGGCTTCGAGAAGGTTATGGGCGCAAGCCTACGCACATGCAAAGAGAAGTTTTACTCAGCTGTGCATGAGTGTCTGCGAACTTGGGTTGCTGCTGCTGCCGAAGATCGCTGGCCCTACACTATGGTACGCGAGGGACCACCGCGCTCTGGAGACCCTGGATCTCCTAAGAAATCCGCCTCAGGAAGCCCAAGGAAGGGCCTTGTCGATGAAAAACCACCCAAGCTGGAACTCCCACCACTCAATTTTCCCGACAGTCGCCCCGCTCCTAGCCCATTGACTCCAACCAGTGACCTACGAAGCTGGCTTTAAGTCAATGGTAAGCCATTCAATTGGTTTATTCTATTTTATTTTTCTTCTTTCTTATGTTGTCTCTTCTTCTTTTGAACATGTCCATTCCACGTTTCATGACTCGGCGTTCCGGTTGATTTTCATTTTCAGAGGATTGGCACCAAACATCGAGGTTATGGTGTCGAGATTGCCCTGACTCATTTGAACCTCTCTTCCTCTTTTTTACAGGCGTTGGCATTCATGGTGTTGTTTTTGGGTATTGCATATTGGCCAGACAGTTACTGGCAGAAATGATCTGATGAAACCAGGTTATGGTGCAAGCCTAGGAAGATGGAGTAAAGATCCAATATTTGTTTCTTCTTTTTCTTCCTTGCTGTGAATAACGCTTGCAAATCATTGGATTTCTTCATGATAATCAATGACAGATATGAGAATTGAATGACACGTCATTGATATAATTGAACGCTTCTTAATTATTCACAAGCTGGTCATGACTAGGAGTATGATGTAGAAGATATGAGATATTAGTACCTGTGGCCATAGTCGGCCAGCCTTACGGTAGGAGTGTGATACGTTTCGACAGACGATTGATCCAAGAATAATCTACAGGTTATGTTTCATGAATATATTCTATAGTACAATTATGCTGGAAGGACAAGCCATAAAAACCAGGCCTCTCCACCCTCCTATCAAACACCCAATCAATTGCTTTCATCAGACTTCTTCGGCTGCGGAGGTGACGGGGTGGTAAATACACCCTTGATGGCATCAAAAATGCTCTCTCGAAGCTATAATAATATCAGTTAGTCCGTTCACCAAAAAGCAAACACAATGCATAGAAAGAAGATCACTAACCCCATCAAATGGTGTATCTCTAGTATCCCAATTCATAAACAAAATCGCATAGACCGCAACAACTATAAAGCGTCAGTATAATTCAAAATAACACAGCCCTACACCCCCAAAAATAAAAGGAAGCATACATCCGATAATAATCCACTGAGCCAAAGTAACCATTTTCATAAACTTCGGCCGGGCGTACTTCAGCGCCGCACGTCGGCGGTACTTCCGCTCAAGACGGAATTGGTGTTTCGGCGAGAGCTTCGACATATCGGGAGGCCATTGTCGCTTAGGTTGGTATTGGCTGTAGGGGTCGTCATCTCGGAAGGGGGAGAACGGTTCTTGGTGTTTGCTTGGAGTTGGACGGAAGGGTACGTTTTGGACCGCAGATGTTGTGGTGAAGAGGCGGGTGCAACGCGGGATTGTGGTTGAGTTCTGGTTAAGGGTATGTTAGAGGTGGCATTATTTTGGGTCTTAAGCACTTGGAGATAGTCGTACAGGAATGCGCCATGTTGGTTGGTGGGTGAGTTGGGTTTTGAGGGTTGTGGTCGTGATCGGATTTGCGAGTCGCGCCGACGGGGCGGCCGAGGCAAATATTTGACGGAGCATGTATAAGTTGGTTCTGATTATGCGGAGGAGCTTTTTTTGTTCCTTCGCGAGTGGTTAATCCGTGGCGGGGTTGGAAAAGGTCGGTGAACGGGGAGGTTTAAGCTTGAGGTTGAAAGTTGGAGAAGTTTGATCTGATCTGATCGGCTCGGCTCCGCAATCACTCCGCAACGTCCGTTTATCACAAATCACGTATAAAACTTTATGACCACAAATGCGACATACCACCGGATGTTTCTATAAAATAGAAACGAGTATCACCTCAAGTCCTGATACAAATTTCATTATTAGTAAAAAACTACCAGTCATAGTCTAATAATCTGGTATTACGAGCTGAAACAGTCAAATGTAGGTATGATGCATGACATTTTTCCTACTCGGTTGGACTACAAATGACCACAAACGACAGTGAACCAGCACTTTAATTGACCCACCTGATACTTGCTCGACCAAAGATGTCACATTAGCCCTCCAAGCAAAACTCTCGCAATCTCTATCGTTCATATTGACGTGTAAGCCACATGCAAGTTCTTCTTCAATGATAAACTTTTGACATTCTGGCAGCTGTATACAAGTACGAGAGGACTTCTCTAGGTGTATTTTTGGATAAGACAAAATCTATACTGCACACACTCGCAGGACATGCTCAAGAAGTCGAAAACGTCATCCATCTCAGGTTCCGAAATTCGGTCGACACCATGCCCAGTGGTACGCGCCATATCACCTTATTATACCATTAAGTACGTGAATCGGCTACAAGCTTCGAAAGCATAGTCTTTCCATTTTTTAACCTCATGTCTTATTAGTGTGTAATTGTCGCAACTCGACCATTATTGCTTTCTGCTTTGATGGAGCGTTTGGAAAATCTGGACAGCGAGAGAGAAGACTGACAAGACTTCCTGGCTCTCACCAAAATCATCATACCAGTCGGAATCAAGTCAGCGGCCAAAAATTTGCAAATATTGTCGGACGACGAGTGCCTTGTTGGTAAGTTTGATCTACTCTCCACAACTAGTTGAGTGAAACTAAACCAATTTCTTTCTAGATGCATTTTTGCTCTATGCCCTGGAGTTCACATATGCTGCCGCTATTCATGAAGCTATGGCAAATGCTCTTTTTCCACAAGTGGACCATGGCCAAAGCCTTAGTCGACAAGCACATACGATTTTGGATGTGATGATTTCAAATGGCAACCGAATTGCTGAAGCGCGAAAGGATCTATCGGCTCCTCGGGTTCTTGAGTATTGTTTTTATCTACCACTTGGACTCTGCAGATACTAACAATTTCCATAACTACTTGTATGAATACCAGTATAAAACAATGATAATTGTTGAAGAAATCGTACTATAGTTTGATATCAGTGTGGGAAGACTTTTTTGTTTAATAAATATTTCAACACACATGTAACTAGTATAATTTGACTATTAAAATAGATTGAAGAATGTATACCCTGCACTGCCAGTGACGGCTGTTCGACTGTCAACGCAGAATATCGCCAATTAGAGTCCCTTTTGTGTATACTGATGCCAGTGGACAGTGTATCTGATCTACCAGGCGCAATAGATCATGGGAGTGACTTCAATCGCGGCTAAAGTTGTTTAGCAAGTCGATATCTTCGGGCCGGGCTGCCCCCGACGCGACACGCGACCGAAATCCCAACATTTGAATCAAACTTGAGGGTCGCCTCTCACTGTGATGATTTGCTGAGGGCCCAAATAAAACGATTGGTGCAAGATGTCTATCACAAATCTACCTCTAGAGATATTGTCTCACCTTTGTGAGTATCTAGAGCCCCAGGAGTGGGGTGCGCTCAGGATCACTTGCCACCAAATACACAGAAAAACACTAGAAGCCTATTCAACGCGCTACTTCAGAAGTTTATCACTTCTTCTCACCCATGAAGGCCTTAGCCGCCTGGAAGAGGTTGCAGAAAGTGAAGCTCTTCGGGGCTCCGTTCAAGAAATTTGGATCATCCCGAACTTATTCGAAGGCTGGCCACAAAAGGATAAGACAAGCTTCAAACGTCCGAGCTTGACCCATTGGAAAATGAGGGGCTTATTTCGCCGTGAACCGGAAGAATCAAACGATTCTCAGGCTGAGTACGAGGCTCAGCTTGATGCTCTATTTGCCGTTTATGAGGCTACAATAGCAGAGCACCGTGCTATTCTTGACTCGGGACTTTTTGAAGCTCTTGAAAAATGTCTCCCACGCCTCGAAAACGCCATAAATATTGGGTTACAGTGTTACCCTATAGACACTCTCCTTAGGGAAGCACATTATGGTTCTTTTCGCTGCCTGGGGTTACGTGAATTGAAGAGCCAGCTCAACACCCCTGGTATGCTTTCGAATCTCACACCACCACAACAATTTCAGCACCACATGTTGTCTATACCTCTGCGTTTGGCATTCTCACATCTGCTTAATGGTATAATAAAATCCAGCCGGAAGGTTCAAGCCCTCCACACGTGCGGCAATGATGCTTATCCCCTTCCCATCCGTGACAATTACGTTTGCGGTATGACATTGGGGTCTTTACAACTGCCAGAGTCACAGTATCAATTACTACTGCCACTTTTATGCGAACTGACAACTCTGCATATGTGTATTCGTATTAAAGATAACAAACATGATATATTCCACGAAGACACCCTCAAACGTCTTCTCAATATTCTGATCACAGTTGCACCCAAACTGAAGTTTCTGGTATTTGCCCAATGGATTCCCATGGAAGAACTGTCCCCTCTCTACTTTCAGGATCTCTCCCAGCGGATCCAGTTTTACCAGCTGGGGGAACTTCATCTTCATTCGATCGAGGTGACGGTGGACGCTCTCAAGCACTTTCTTCGGACAGCAGCGCCAACCTTAAAACGATTGAGTCTAAAGAAAGTCAACTTGGTTGATGCGATCACTACAGATCCAGGGCCTCTCACTGCAGATAGGGGAACTTGGGGTTCTTCATTCTCCACTGAAGTCGTCAACGAGATACGGGAGCTCTGGAAGCAGAATTTTGAATTTTGGGCAGATCATCTCAAGCTGCAATTTCTCCAACTGTCTAATCTTGGCTACCGTGGAAGAGAGATAATGTTGCAAGATAACTTGTATACTGAACGCGGGCAGCTGGATGCACAGCCTTCTACCGACCCGGAAGAATCCTTCATGATCACCACAATGTCCCAAGGGAGACCCGCGGAGGCGGACGACAACCCCATGGATATGGCATATGTATTGGTAGATTTCTATTTTGATGCCGAGAGGGCGAGTATACCCTTCAAAGGATGGATCATGCAACTTCAGATAAAGATGTATCCGCAAGGCTTTGGAATTACCCCAATACCATGGCTTAGAGGCATGCGCAGGTTCAAGCAATATGGGTGAGGCCCCGTCACGCGTGATGATACCAAATGCACTTGGAAGACCTTAGAATTGACTCGTTTCATACGGAGGCCATTGTGTTAACCTGCCCAGTGGTGAGGCTACCTTCTTCCGTATATTCTATCACAATAAATGTATATAGTCCAATTGAACACTAGCCAATGACACTGCTTCCTAGTGGTAAGCACAAAGGGCTTGAGTGGGACTCAGGATAGTACGGCGTTATCTTCCAAACAAAATACTCCCTCAGTGTCCAGTTATCTTCGGGCGTAACTCCCTTCTCTTTATGCAGCATGGAATGGCCGCAATGTCAACGCATCATTACTGAATGCTACCTCAATATTCTGATCTGCATGTGTCGGTTCAAGACAGCAGTATCTAGTCCCCGCCACAGGTGATCAATTATATGAAAAATGGCAATGTTTGAGCTGATTCGGAAACAATATTGGGAAGTCAGAAGTCTTAATAACATGTCACAGATGTATCAAGCTCTTGTATAAACAGAACTATGCCCGAATGGACATGCATAAATATAATGGTAGGTACAATATATTCAAGTTTCTCCCTCTACTAGTAATATCAAGGATTCTCATGGATATAAAACTTCACAACATAGGACAAAGTACACCTTCCTGGCCCCCAGCGCTGTGCTTTTGTTCCAGTTGAAGATGACCTAGAAACTGCCACAGTTGGGATTGTAAGCTCACACGTTGAGACGGCCTCAGCCCTCAAATCTCTCTGAGGGGGGCAAGTCAACGCCCTAATCCGATCAGTGCGCCGATAGCCGTGCTCACTTCTACTTATTGAGCAAAGGGGCCGAGTCAGTATGTCCCCTGACGTAGGTCAGATGAAAGCACATGCCGAAAAGGGGCTGTTTCACATGCGACCGTCTCCGTCCACGTGATTTGCTTATGACATACCCCGGTGAGATCGGCTCGGAATAACTATCATCCAATGGACCTCGGCATGTTCATCGTGTGTCCAGCAGCGGCGAGCTTGCGACCAAGGCAATATCACCGAGTGGAAGGGTCTGATTTATAAAAAAGCCCCCATCCGGAATTATAAACCTCTGGCCTTCTTCTCTCCCGCACTTTGAGCCCCCCCAGATTATTTCTTTACTCTCCTTATCTCTCAAAATACCATCTGAACTTCATTTCCCTTTGACGTCATGTCTTCTGGTATGTACTTCGCGATCTACTAATTTTGGATTTGGTGGACCAAACCCTTCTGGCAGCATTCATGGCTAACAAATACGTTTTACAGCCCAGCAGCGCTTGTCCCAGGTTTCTTCCCACTTCGGTGGCCAAAAAGGAGCCGCCGCTTTGACCGAGAAGCACCCCGATGATATTGTTGTCACCTGTGCCCTCCGTACTGCCTTGACAAAGGGTGGCAAGGGTGCCTTCAAGGATACTGCCGCCGCTGATCTTCTGGCTGGTGTTTTCAAGGCCGTTATCAAGAAGAGTGGTATTGATCCTAGTGCCGTTGAGGATGTTGCGGTCGGCTCTGTCCTTCCTCCAGGTGGTGGTGCTACTGAGTTCCGTGCCGCTGCTCTCGTAGCTGGTTTCCCCGAGACAACTGCAGTCAAGTCTCTGAACCGTCAATGCTCCAGTGGTTTGCAGGCTATCGCTGACATTGCCAACGCTCTGAAGTCGGGCATGATCGATGTTGGTATTGGTGCTGGTGTGGAGAGCATGACTTCTCAGTACGGGTAAGTAAATATTTGCAGAATGAGGTCCTTCTTGCTTGTTCAAGGGTAGTATGCTAATTCAAGATTTCCCTGTAGTCCCGGTGCTGTTACCGAATTCTCCGAACTCCTTGAGAACCACCCCGAGTCCGCCAACTGCAAGGTTCCCATGGGTGTCCTGTCCGAGGACATGGCCAAGGACCGCAACATTTCCCGTACCTCCCAGGATGCTTTCGCCGCTTCCTCATACCAAAAGGCCGAGAAGGCCCAAGCCGCTGGTCTTTTCAATGAAGAGATTGCTCCCCTGGAGGTCAACTGGACCGACCCCAAGACTGGCGAGGAGAAGAAAATCACCGTCAAGGAAGATGACGGTATCCGCAAGGGCATGACCGCCGAGTCACTTGCCAAGATTCGTCCCGCTTTCGCTAAGGATGGATCCATCCACGCTGGTAATGCCTCTCAGATCTCTGACGGTGCTGCCGCCGTTCTCTTGATGAAGCGTTCCACTGCCGAGCGCCTTGGACAGAAGATCATCGGAAAGTACGTATCTGCCAGCATCGTCGGTGTCAAGCCCCTTCTTATGGGTGTCGGCCCTTGGAAGGCCATTCCCGTTGCTCTGGAGAAGGCTGGTATCACCAAGGATGATGTCGATATCTTTGAGATCAACGAGGCCTTCGCCTCTCAGTGCGTGTGGTGTGTGAACGAGCTTGGCCTGCCCATTGAGAAGGTCAACCCTAAGGGTGGTGCCATTGCTTTCGGTCACCCTCTTGGATGCACTGGCGCTCGCCAAGTGAGCACACTCCTCACAGAGCTCAAGCGTACCAACAAGAAGGTTGGTGTTACCAGCATGTGTGTCGGCACTGGTATGGGTATGGCCGCCGTTTGGGTGGCTGAGTAAATAAATACCGATAATCTTTGATATTACCTTGCACAGCGATTGGACTTGTTCTTGTCCAAATCTTCCTTTCATGTATTAAATATCCGGATACCACGAGAGAATGAACTACTTTACATTTCACTGTCATTGAATTACCCTGGTCTTATATAAACCTTATATACTTGAAGTCCACTATTGATTGGGTCGGTTTTAAATCAGACTGGCAGGGATATGATACCCAAGTTGCTTATTTACACAATTCATCTTGAGAGACTCAAAGGCCTTGTAGGTGGCTATCCTACCGGAATTTCTGAAAGGCATCTGTAACGCTCATCCCCTGTGCCACGGCTTCCTTCGCCTGGTCATCCATAGCGATCAACTTGGGCATAGTCTCAAGTACATCCCCCAGTAATTCGCGGGGAATGGAAACGACTCCTTCCATTGGGTCACAGAAAATGATATCGCCCTATTCACGCACTCATATCAGTTTACATCGCTCGACCCAGCGTAAAAGTCAGTGGGCTCGACTTACCGGCGATACAGTCACTCCACCTATAGAAATCGGCACATTTCGAACCCCAGCTTTAGCTTCAGCACCTGTACCAACAGTTGAAGTGGCCCGCGCCCAGATCTAAAATGAAAAACAAGTTAATTTTCAACATAAAATAAGAACGTGGCTCATATCAAGAACCTACCGGGAGTTCCGTCCCCTGTAATTCCCTCAAGTCTCGCACCCTTCCGCCAACGACAGCAGCCTTTATTCCCAGATAACTCATCCTCGTCGCCATAATACCACCCGTCACAGCGCAATACTGCTCATCGGGCTGCTCGATAACAATGATTGAGCCTGCCTTAGTTGGGTCCTCGTCTTGGAAATCGCCTGCGTAGTCTACCCAGTGTTTCCCAGGTGGGAAGCCATACTTCTCGGGGTTTTCAACGGCGATATTTGGTGGCGTATCAGCTTTATTAAGAAACTTGAACGTTGTAGCTGGAGCGGCAATTTTCCGCGCCGTGTCGTTTCTTCCGGTTATAGGGGAGAAAGGGACTGTTGAGATGTCAGCATGAAGGGTTGATTCAGAGTAAACCTGATCTGTTATGGAAATAGAATATCCCATTAAAGCATTAGAGATTGAACGGTGAGGTCTTACGGAGGTCTGCTAGATATCCCGCTCGTGGGGCGCTACCAGCTGGGACTTTCTGTAGCTTCAATAGCGCATCCGATACCTGCGCGATAAGTTTGAGTACGAACACCAGATGATTATATCAAACTTATTACTATCAAAGGAATGGTCTAACATCACATGCTGTATAGTTTTCGATCAGAGTTGTAAGCTGTTCGTTGAGAGAAGTCATCGCGGTTGCAGAATGCGGGGCTATAGAGCGGAGTTTGGTTGAGGTGACTGTTGGGTGTTCAGGCTAGACAGGACACTCTAAATTTAGAAGTTATAAGTAAAAATAGTCAATTCGGTGGTTCAAGTTAAGATATGTAATACTGCTGCCGAGTTTAACCATATGTTTCCATTATTCCGGATATCGGACCACGACATCATCGGGCCCGAGGATATTCCAATCGCTTCGAGTCCGACATTTTCCGCGGGAAGATGTAATAATACCTCTATTTTGTAAAATATCTTCTGGGCAATAAAACAACACACACGAATATTCCGGTTCTTGAAATCAAATTTCGTAGATTTGAATAGGTATAAAATACTATAAAGGAAAGGAAGTAATTGTATGTGCATCATGATCTCAGCTGGCACAATCGCATGTGACGATCAATGTATGCCGGGCATGATTGATGTGATATTAGTTTAGACTATTAAAACCCTTAGGCTATCTTTGAAACCACAAAGCGAAACAGAACAGCTAGGAGATCTCGAATTTAATTAATTATCTTCAAGTCCACAGTCCTATTCTTGAATGACCAACCCGACGAGGTAGCATCTATTTGTAGATTAGCTCTATAGGAGCCTTAAACCTTAACCTTCTAGAGGCCAGGCAAGACTTACTGATATTGTCTTTTAGATAGTCGAATTTCCCAAAATTCTGCAAAATTGGCAATTTCTTTTGACTCGACGAGATGGTTGGCAAACCTCCTACCCCAATGCTGGGTTTAATCTCGCAAAGTGAAAATAGGCCGGTTGAATAGGGAGATGTGCAAACCCCGAGGGGTCTCGAATACCAACTTGGCAGGTTTAGCACTATTATTGTTTCGGGCGCACATCCTAGGTATAAGACAGTTTTAGAGTGGCGGTTGAAACTGGATTCTTTATTCGGTCTTGTTCCGAGCTGTTGCGACATCGACTACTCTGGTCTCCTTGCCTTCGCTTCCGCGTGTATAGCAAATAATCTAAACTGGTCTGTTTATTTTGAAGTGAAAGCTATTCAGTGCTATGTGGAAGAGGGCCTTAGCCTGTGCTTGTTTAACATCTTCAAAATCTCAAGGCCGTTCAGTGTTAGACCATCTGGGCTTGGAGTAGAATCCAACACATAGTTCTCGGGGGCAATTATAGCTCCTATTAATTACCCAGGGATCACTTGTTATTATGCAATAATCTACATGCGTGGTACCCAACCGGTAAACAGAACAAGTGAGCCCAGAATGACGAAAGAGCCACTGGAAGTCGAACCTGCAAATCCAGACCAAAAGCTGGACCCTGTGAAAGTTTTCCCCGTTGGCCGAATCACGAAAGATTCGTTAGCGAAGTTCAGAACCTACACGAAGGCCGATTTCTGCAAGTAGGTTATAGGTGATATTATAGGTCAGATCGAACGGTCTGTCTTTACAAGGAATTTTTTACTCTTTGCTTTTCGTAATCAAACGAATGGCGGACAGTGGTCATTTGGGAGGAATTTGTATACGCTCGGGTTCAGATATCGTATTCATTTCGTCGCGTTCTTATGATTTGATGTTGCTCTGCGATTTTTTGTTGAGATAATTGGCTATTCTCATACCCGACTAAATTTCTTTCTTTCTGAACAATTAAGAAAGCCAAAAAAAAAAAAGTATACATGAATAACCTTCATAATTGCGTTGGGTCAATGAGAGTTGCATCCACTGCCAGTGGTAGCTGAACTACATGCCACACTCATATTGCCGGCGATTGCCATTTTGATGAGAATATATCCGGCATCGCAGTTTGCAGCGTTCTTTTGGAGTGTGAATGAATCATACTTGTAGAAAGATGCTATACGGCTTATGAACAAGAATAGAGATCAAGGAAACTTTTTGTTAAGATTTCCCCGCGTTGGGATATCACGTGATGATTCAGCATTAAAAAAAACCTTTGACCGCCCGAAAAACCCTGCGAAATCTCACCGCCCGCTGAAATTTCCCAAATCAAGCAATTCAAGTTCTGCTTTCTAGAGATCAAACAGCACATCAATAATGAAGCGCAAACTGGATGCAAACGACGTCCCCGCTCCCGAGCCTGCGAGCAAGGAAGAGAAGGATCTTGATTTCGAAGCACTTGGACTTGACCCGCGACTGCGCCAGGCCTTGATTAAAGAAAAGTTCTCCAAGCCTACTCTCGTACAGTCGAAGGCTATCCCGCTGGCCCTCGAAGGAAAGGATATCTTGGGTAAGCCTTAATCTCTATATTGAACATCAAGACTTGAACTGACAACAATCAGCCCGTGCAAAGACTGGCTCCGGTAAAACCGCTGCCTACGTTCTTCCAGTCCTCCAGGCAATTCTTCAACAAAAAACTGTTAGTTACACTTGGGTTTGACGTCGATAACCACAATTTTACTGACCCGATTGAAATGGAATTAGAATGACCCATCTCTGAAAGCGACTACTGGTCTTATCCTCGTCCCAACTCGCGAGCTTGCTGAGCAGGTTCAAAAAGTCGTTACATCCTTCACCACCTTTTGCGGAAAGGATGTTCGGTCTGTCAACTTGACCCAGAAAGTCTCGGATGCTGTCCAGCGGACACTCCTTGCCGACTTCCCGGATCTGATTATCTCGACACCCACTCGTGTCCTCGCTAATGTTAATACCTCGGCTCTGTCGCTTGAAAAACTTACACATCTCGTTATTGATGAGGCCGACTTGGTTCTATCATATGGATATGACGAGGATATCAACACCCTTTCCAAGGCTATCCCTCGTGGTGTGCAGACTTTCCTGATGAGTGCTACGCTTACTTCTGAGGTGGACACTCTCAAGGGCTTGTTCTGCCGTAGCCCTGTCATCTTGAAGTTGGAGGATAAGGAAGAAAAGGGCGCCGGTGTCAGCCAGTTCGTTGTTAAGTAAGCTCCCACCTATTCAAACACCTTACAATATTGAAACTGGTGCTAATTATGTTTCAACAGGTGTGCCGAAGACGAGAAGTTCCTTCTCACGTATGTCATCTTCAAGCTGCAGCTGGTCAAAGGAAAGGTTATCATTTTTGTCCATGATGTGGACCGATGCTACCGCGTTAAGCTTTTCCTTGAACAGTTCGGCATCAAGAGCTGTGTACTCAACTCAGAACTCCCCATCAACTCTCGACTACACGTCGTCGAGGAGTTCAACAAGGGTGTCTACGATATTATCATCGCGGCAGACGATCAGGAAGTCATGGGAGCGGCTAAGCAAAGCAAGAAGTCTCTGGAACCTGTCGATACTAAAGAGGCAGAGGAGAAGGAGGAGAAGGAGGAGAAGGAGGAAATTGGCAGCAGCGAGGACGAAAACGAAGAGTCAACCAGCAAAAAGTCTCGACCAGAGAAACGCCGCAAGATGACCGGTAAAGAGAAGGATTACAGTGTTTCCCGCGGTATTGACTTCCAGAACGTCGCTTGCGTTCTGAACTTCGACCTCCCCACCACATCCAAGTCATACACCCACCGTATTGGTCGTACCGGCCGCGCTGGTAAAGCTGGCATGGCACTTTCTTTTGTCGTCCCAGCCGATCAATTCGGAAAGCATAGGCCAACTTCAGTGAGCAGCTCTAAGAATGACGAGACTGTTCTCACCAAGATCACCAAGCGCCAAGCTAAACTGGGACATGAGGTTCGACCCTACCATTTCGAGATGCAACAGGTTGACGCCTTTCGCTATCGTATGACTGATGCCCTGCGCGCTGTCACCCGTCTAGCCGTGCAAGAAGCTCGTGGACGCGAGATTCGACAGGAGCTTATCAAGAGTGAGAAGCTGAAGCGCCATTTCGAGGAGAACCCAGATGAATTGCGCCAGCTGCGACACGATGGTGAACTGCGGGCTGCACGTGTGCAAGCACACTTGAAGCATGTGCCTGAGTATCTGATGCCGGCTAAGGGACGCAAGGGAATCTCAAAGGAAAACATCGGATATGTTGGATTTAAGAAGACGAGTGAGAACCGCATTCGCAAGGCTAGGGATCGGAATCGCGGCAAGGGCAAAGGCAAGAAGCCCTCTGGTGGAAAGGTTGACCCTTTGAAGACGTTCAACAGGGGCCGGAAATAAATATCCTTATCAATTGGATGCGAGAAAGATGTTCGCGGGTGATGGAATGGCGAATGCTATGATACCATTGTACAGTTTTATGGAGCAAAAATAAATATAGGAATGAGTAAAAATTTAAATCAGTTATTTTTTGCCATTGAACGATCTATTGTAGATTTTGAAGACTTATTCACATAATTCATACTGGAACAAGGGCGGCGAAAACAACTTGCGATGTTGTGACTCGGCTCTAAGAGTTCAACCGTTTTAACTGGAGCTTTAGTTCCTGCAGTTCCTCTCTCCCGGTCTTGGCCGCTAACCATTTCCCCTTTGCATTGGTTCTGCGTTTATTAATGAGAGCTCGCATTTCCTCCGCCACGAGAACATCCACCTGGAATCTGCTGAACTCCCTTGCACGCTGACGCTTTGCTTTATCGCCGTCATCTCCAGTCTCGAAGCTCTCGAGCTCGTCTGATGACTGGCCAGAATCGGATGCCCCAGGAATGCTTTGGACAACCCATCCAGGTGCAAGATTTAAGAAATCGACATTCCGCCAACTGCCAGTCCAATCTGGTCCATTGGTTCCAGCAGGGTATGGGACGCCGTCCGGGTCGAAACCCCTCCATGTAAGAGCAACAAGCCAGGAAGAACATCCTTCTAGGTCTAACCACTTCAGGCAGTAGGTGTTCTTAGAGAGATGGCGGAGAGTCGCGGATGCTTCAGCCCATACAGGACTCCGACTACCCGGTCGAACCTCGTGCCCAGGCTGCTCTTGGAGATCCTCGTCACCAGCAAGTTTATGAGCGACTTGTGGCTTTCTGCCTGGCCGGGGCCAATGAGCGAGAGAAAGATGAGTAATGGTTGGAAGATGGGATAAAAGTTTCACAAGACTACTCCAGTCGGCAGTGGGGTGGTATGGATGTGCAAAGGAGAGATATTTGAGGTTTTTGAAGCGTAACGTATGGCCTATTTGGCCAGGAATAGAACTTTCTTCGACTTCATCTTCGGTTTGATCCCATGATTCCGGAACAGAATCTTGGGCTGCCTGCTCAGATGAAATACTTGGTGTGTTGGCTAATTGCAACTCTTTGGCGAGTTGCCGAAATGTCATCCGGTAGCCAATGGCATTTCCCAAATCCAACCTAGTCGTCATAGAATCTGCATCGATGGAGTGAATAGCTTCACCCGATGGATCGGTTTCATAGAGCGTAGCATATTCTTCTTTCGTGGGATAGAGCGGCTTAAGTCCATTTATCCGGTTCCTGCGCGTCTCTGTCCCGCCGTAAAAAGCAATATAGCTAAGTACAAGCGTTTTGAGATGAGCAGGAATTTGGGACATGAACAAGCCATCATACTCCGTATGCCAATCCCATTTCTGAGCTATAGACTTCAGAACAGCATGTAGAAGACTGTTGGGCTGGGGGAAGATAGCCCCAGGCAGCCTATCCAAGCAATATATTATCTTGCGTTCCAGTGCAGGCTCAAGGCTTTCTCCTGTGGCCTGAGAATCCCTTGTGGCTCCCGTCAGCCAACTCTCGGGTGGGGGCGGTCCTGGTGCAAAACGCCGTGGGCGTGCACCGATTGGGGTTTGACGTCGAGGGCGGGGTGCTGGGGGTTCGGGAAGCTCAAGAATGTTTCGCAACGCCGGTGGTATAGATCTTTGCGACGCGAAAGAATGGGAGAATGCGGAGGGCGAGCTATCATTCGATACTTGTGTTCGGCGTAGGTGGCCGATTAAATCGTTGACTGATGAGTCGCTAGGTTCAAGCCCTCTCGAGGACCCAACATTGGTAAATTGGCCAGTCTGAGGTGCATTTTGATTCGCTCCTGACGACCCGATCGAATGATGAGGTGTATTGACTGGCTTTGTGTGTATAAATGACTTTCTGTGCTTTTTGGGCATAGAGACTAATTGTAGACAGATGGATGTGCGGAGATGGAGGCGAACTTGATTATTGACGGTTCGGCCTTATCGTCTTATCGCCCCGCGGCGGTTCCAGATAACATAAGCCAAACAGACGCTTGTAAGTATTGTCTATGGTTGATCTATGCACTATTTATACAGTAATATACAATGGGCTCAAATGTCTCGAACCCATGAATCATCTTTCATATGCCCTTCACGCTTGGGGCCCTCCTCGAGCCAGGTCTCTACAAGACCTTCTTTTGGATCTTCGTCCGGCAAACCACGGGTTCTCCGCACGTCCAGGACTAAGTTGCGGATCTTCATAGTCACTTCCTTGCGTAGCTCTACCGCTTCTTTGCTGTTTAGCAGTTCGTTGCTCAGAACGCCAACAGGCAGGTCTCGCGATTGGGCATCCGCTGCCTCGACCTTGGCCTTTAGTTTCTGCCACCGCGATCGCATGCCTCCAAAGACCGCCTCGGAGTCAACTTTTGACCCGAAAGTGACGTTGATATTTTTGCCGGCTCGAGGAAGGAATCGAGGGAATTCACGGCTCTCATGCATGACGTCGTCGAAGCCCTCGATCCACATCGGGACCACATCCGGGCATTCATTTGCTTCGAGAATAAGGCGTGCAATTCCCCATTTGAAGTAGCGCATCGTCTTGCGAGGAGCCTGGTGAATCTTACCTTCGGGGAAGATATGAACCCATGAGTATGAATTACATGCGTATGCTGAGGGTGCCAAGTGCGCATCCTCGCCATTGGTGGTATATGCGACAGATAGGTCGGAGAAAGGGTCGACGCAGACATTTTGGAGGCTGTAATGCTGGCGCTCTTCGGGGGCGCGGTGGTGATCGACACGGAAGGGGCCCTTTGATAGCAATCGAATAGCCTGGGTTATGGCTGGTTGTCCAAGTCCACCAAATTGTGAGTGGGCAAGACGATGTGTTGGGAGAACTTGTCCCATGGTAAAAAAGAATGATAGCGGTCTGTACGAGTCGGCCAAGTTAATAACAGCACCAAACGATAACTTTAGGGGTTGAACATACCTGCTTTGGTAACAGATATCATGACTACCAAATGACCATCGCTTGTTCCAAAACCGAGCCGGCAGCATTCCCCATACCAATGGATCGTCCATACTGTTTTCCCGCGGCAAGATGTCAGTCACTTTCCCACTTTCATGCTCGAAACGATCCGCCGTCAAAACCTCGGGGAAGCACGTACACGCTGATATGATTTGAGACTAAACATAATTCCAGATCTTTTAGCAACCGATCGCAATCAAATCGTATAAAGAGTGGGGCGATGTACCAGTAATCAATCCTTTAGTTCTTTGCGACGGATCCCGTCGCGAGTCTAGCAGTTCCGTAAAGGCCTCACCACCGTGAATCTCTGCATTACAGAGTCCTGACAAGAATGCGCGACTTAACCCGGCCACACCCCACATGGTCATGTTGGACCATGCCCGCCAGGGGAGGGATGGTGAATCGCCTGTTGCGCCGGGGTCCATGTTGCTGTGTAATATGTGTAAGAGGACGCGATTTTAGACAGGGCCCATTGAACAAGCCCGCCTGGGCAAGCGAAGTAAATTGCAAGGCAAGGAACGTCTTTCCTGGCCAAGCCAGACTGAATTGATCAAGGAGAAGAGAGAAACAAGAATCCAATTCTCGGCACAGATATTCTGCAAGATCACATGACTGAAGCCGGGGTAAGACCGTTTATGAGGAATAATCATGGCATTTTGAGGTTTACTACTAAGTTTTTCTAGCATAATCTAGTATCAATACATTCTAAATCTTTATCCATCTGTTTCTATATTCATAGCTCATAATACTATATGTTATTGTCTGAATTATTGAGACTGTTCAAATTGCTGCTCCAAGTATACCACTGACCGCACGGGCCAATTGCAACTCCGACTTTGAGCACGATTTTCGCCGATTCCATCTTCCACTGCTGCATCAGCTCAACATGTTCAAGCCCACTCAGTCCCTGTTCGGGGGTCTTCTCTGGTATGATGAATGATTCTTTGCTCAATCCGATTCAATAAAAACTAATGCCATCTTTTTCCAACTTGTAGGAAGACACCATGGCGTCTGTCCTCGCCGCAAAAGGCCCGGCAACGCAAACGCCTGCGCGCGGTTGACCGTGTCGTTGACACTGTCAGTGCAGCTCTTGCTCGCAATGGCCAGAGCACCAAGGCCGTTGAGCGATGGTATACCGAGATGCCGCGCGAGGAGGAGATGTTGCCCAAGGACAAGTACACCCTCTTCGACAAGAAGGAGAAGTCTTACCGGAAGAGCATCCACAGTATGTTAACACTTGAGCCCGGCTGGGTTTCTTCGAATCTTCTGAATACAATACTAATTGAGTCATTTTTCTTCTACCTGACAGAGCTGCCCAAGTGGACTCGTGTCAGTCAGCGTGTGAACCCTCCTGGTTTCTAAGTCTTCGCCGCTATCACCTCCCCTATCGAATATCGACATCGGACACACCCTCTACGGCTCGTCATTACGGGATAATCGAGCCTTCATCTGTATTATACACCAGTTTACCCGCCGCTATGACTACCCTCGATAGCTGGTTTGGGTTCAAACAACATATCAAGGATTTCCGGATTTTTTGGCAATTGCGAAAAACGCGGCCGCTCTGAAAGAGGATGGCGGGATTTATACATGTTTTATTACTCAGCGCTTAAATCGATTTCTCGCAATACAATTTTATATTCAAAAAGTGGTGGTCTTGTGGTATTCGGTTCTCCACCGCTCTAATGATAGGTCAACGACTGTGAACGGTAACGATATCAGATCAAAGATTGAAGATGAAATGGCGTTTTCAAGTTTATGCCACTCAAGATTGAGTCATAAAAACCAGTTAAGGCCGGATTCATGGACTGATGGCAGGGGAAGCGACGTTGCTTCCACTAATCCCAGGATTCAAGCTGAATAATGTTTGACGACAGTATCCGCCAAATCTCTGTCCAAGCTCTATGGCCCGATTCCGGTTAACGCGTCCCTCGAATACGGCTTTGTGGAGCCGATAGCCACGACTCACTCGTTGCCAGTCGTCAAGTCTCTCCTGCCATCCGGCCCCTCCCTCGTACCAAGCATGTTTCTGTCTAGTCGACATTTCAAACCCTTGGGGCGGCTTTGGCAAAATCCAGCACGCAGGGTCAATATGCCCTTCCGGTGGCTCTTCAGCGGAATCTTCATATAAGTCCACCAGCTTTAAGATTTCCCGGGCCCCTGAAATTCTTCTCTGTCGGTTGACGGCGGCGCGCCATGAGTCAATTCGAGGTGTGAATGCCTTCTTCCGTAAGTTCTCTGGATACTTGGATTTTCGCTTCAGTTCTGGTTCTGGATAAGGGACGTTGAAGCGTGGATCACCTTGCCTTCTTCGCGCATCGTTAGAGACTCTTGAGATGGGATCAATCACCAGCCAAGTTTCTCGATTCAGCCAGTGATTTGCAAGTAAAGCAAAGTGGTAAGGCTTTTGTCCAGGAGTCATTTCGTTGAACAGCCATAACAATTTCCGGTCTAACTCGTGTAAAAGTCTCAATTCCCCGTCGCTGACTTCTTTGAAAGATAACGAGGTACCTTCCAGAATGCGATTATGGGAGAGGCGATGGCCTTGATATCGGGATCGGCCCCTTTCCTGATCCCGTAATATATCGTGGATGGAGTGCCTACTAGCAGTGGTGGGCTTCAACTCATATAAAGAGTGTCGCAGATCCCGTGAATCTCGGGAATGGTATATCCCTTGGGGTTTTCTTTTCAGCCGCAGTGGTACGGTGCTGTAGTGGGCTTTCGCCACTTGGAGGTCGCTCCGATGCGCAGAAGAGCCTCGGCTTATCATGCTGCTCTTTTCAACTGTAAGCGGAAGTCGTCTAGTCAAAGTCTTTGAATTTTTGCTAATCGCCGCCGCTTGTCTCTTCAAAGTATCCCCTGTTGCGCTGTGCTCCGAGGTAAAGTTTGTCAGATTCTCGGTAAAGGGCGTCCCGGGCGGTCCAGATGAATCTCTAAGGTCATACAGCGAAGGTCTCTTTGCTTTTGTTTGCATCTGCGCTGACCAATCCTGGTACTTCCTCGCATGTCCACGGCGGAAGCGGAAAATGGTAGTCTGGCGAGTATGATCTCTTAGGGCTTGGTGGCCTTGGTAGGCAGCTGGCTGACGTGCTTTCGTCTGTCGAGGGCTGCTCGGTCCATCAAATTGTGCCAGGTGTATGGTTTCTTCATCAATACTTGAGTGTCGCCCCAGAAATGCATCCCTCTTGACGCAAGGGATATCTCTCAAGGTAGAAATCTGTTCGTTTTCAAAGGATAGGGTGGATGACCAAATATGCATCCTCGCATCAGACCAAACAACCTCTTCGGAGGTGCCCGCACTAAATCTTGAATGACGGCGTCTGTTGACTTCCTGGGTCTTCAAAATGACAGGATGATCCTCTTTGCTATTTATCCCGATACGTATCTCTCCTATTGGTTGGGTATTCTCCTCGGAAACTTCTTTTCTTGTCTCTGCTATCTGAGGTTCTTCGGCCTCTGCTGCCTCTGTCACTTCGGTCACTTCTGTCACCTCCGCAATCTCACTCAGCGCGCCGCGGCATTCAGAACTCGGACCTGGGTTCCAGATATCGTCAGCAATAGGCGATTCATAATTAATCAGGAATTTCGGTAGCCATTGCAATCGTTTTCGATCCCGACGCCTAGTCTCCAAAGCCTCCTGGCCGGGATCCCACCACGCCCATTGATAGTCCGTCCTAGTCGATTTCCAGGCAGTCCAGTCTCCCAATTTGGAAAATATATCGCGAAGGAATTGTTTGTTTCTCTCATGTGTTTGGATGGTAACCCACCCATACCACGTCTTTGCATATCGAGTGGTCGGAGATTTTCCTGGGCCCACAACCCTGTGTTGGGTAAACGAGCGAATAAGGTGGCCAGTCTTCCAAACCAAAACAGAGAGTATGAATATTCCCACCGTTCCGGCAAACAGCTCCGCAAATACCACAGGGTCGATGTGGGTTTTCACGTCAACAGGCTTTGTATGGGGTCCATTGTGAGGACGGGGAAGCGAGGGACCAAGGGAGTGATTTTGTCGAATGGCCAAGGGCGCCATCTGCCGGGTGTATAATTACTCCCACATACTCGTATAGATATCTGGCATGACTTTGGAAAGCAGCCGCGTGTGAAGTTTGATTTTAACTTATGATCACCCAGGTTTCTAATGAGGAAAGTACCTTCCACTGCATTGCGGTGTTTGAATTAAGGTTATAACCGCTACTTGCCTTGTCCGGGGAGCTTTGCTCTATCATTTCTGAAGACCACTAACACTGGATGCGATCCACTGTACTATCAGTAGGATAAAATTCTTACTACTACCACCTCGGGTTATGCACAGCATATATAATAGTATCGGTGGGTTTATGGTCCTGGCCTCTTGGTTTTGTCAGGTTTCCATAAACTCTATTTTACTTTTTGGCCATTATTTTGAAACTCTAAGCATTAGAAATTGGAGTTTACTTTGTCAAACTCGAACATATCATGAGACTTTGCCCATTTAATTGACCAGCTTTACAGCAGTGCATATGGTGATGCGATGATCGACATTTAAAACCTCGGAGTCGGAGTTACCGGGGATCGGAGTCGGCATTTTACTCTCGGATTCACAGCCATCCATAGACACTAACGCTAAATTCAGCATTGGGGGTCCCAAACCGAAATTTGATTGGCTCTTTGAATTCTTACATAGCATGCAGTACTTTGCTTCAGCCTCGCGTGGCTCAATGGAGAAGGAGGCTAACCCTCCCTAGTAATCAGTAATCAGATCACCGCTACCACTCCGCGGATACTGAACACCATCTTGAGCTAACCAGGCCCACTGAAAAGATGCCGGACTCGGGGCTGGGCATTATTACAGTTACCGGCCATGGTCTGGTCTCAACCATATAAAGCTACACTGAGAACCTGAATCTTTGTGTTACCAACTCACAAATCTCAGCCTCAAGAGTCATCACTTTACAGGAAAACATTTCGCAATGCCTCCAATCCGGGTTGCTATTGTAGGTGCTGGACCTACCGGTCTGACTCTCGTTCGACTGCTACTCAATAAGCCAAATCTCGAAATCACTGTCTTTGAATCAGAGAAATCCAGAAATATTCGTCCCCAGGGCGGAACTCTAGATCTCCACCCTGACACCGGTCTTGCAGCCTTGAAAGAAGCAGGCTTATGGGATGAGTTTCTCAAGAATGTTCGTTATGACGGAGAAGCCTTAACTGTATGCGACAAAAGGCTTCATAAATATGTCCGTCTCAGCGGTACAGAAGAAGGCTCTTCTCGTGGTCGTCCTGAAATCGACCGTAAAGCCCTTCGAGAGATACTCTTGGACTCTGTGCCGGCGGGGATAATCCGTTGGGGCTGTCATCTGCGTGGAATCGACCAGGGGCACAACTTGATCTTCGACCACGGCATTGAATCTGGATTCGACTTGATAGTCGGCGCCGATGGAGCTTGGAGCAAAGTTCGAAAGCTGCTATCGGATCAAAAGCCACTCTACTCTGGCCTTGGAGGTTACATGATGACTATTCCCAACGCCAAAGAAACAGCGCCAGAGTGTTACGAGTTAACCAATCGCGGCTCGATGTTTTCTTTTTCCGATGGCCGGTCAATCTGCTGTCAGCAAATTGGAGACGGAAGCTTATATCTCTTATGTATCTCTCAAGTTTCTGAGGATTGGAGAGAAAAGCTTACGCATGACCCTCATGACGCTGAAGCTGTGAGAGCGTCGCTGAAGACTGTGTTTAACGACTGGCATCCAGGACTACAACAGCTTATAGAGTCAGCACAGGATCCTGTGCCGCATTCTCTGTACATGCTTCCCGTTGGTTGGCGCTGGGAAAACCGCCCTGGTGTAACTTTGATCGGAGATGCAGCCCATATCATGACTCCATTTGCTGGCGAGGGTGTCAATTTAGGGATGCAAGATGCAGCGATGCTATCTCGGGTGATTCTCAAGGCGACAAACTCGCCTGATCCCACTACCCAGTTAGCCGTGGAGGTTAAAGCATTCGAAGCAGATCTCTTTGTTCGTGCAGAGCGGACAGCATTCCTAACGAAGGACATGATGAACTATATGATGTTCACGGATGGTTCACCACGGACTATCGTTGACAAATTCATCCTGCGAATGTTGACTTTCCACGACAAAACTCTGCTTGATTATTTGAGATACCCATTTTTAGCAGCTTTGCTGAAAAGCTACTTCTTTTTGCACAATTTATGGTATCCATAGGCAGCAGCTGAAGTTGAACCCATATTCCTCCGTACCAATTCTACGGTTCCTGTTTCTTTCTTTGTACTTTATGTTTCTGTCGATTTATTTAGCTATATTAAAATTACGCCATTGCGTCATACATATTTCCAAACGCCATGCGTCAATCTGAATCATTAAAATGCAAGAATGTGATATGATGCTTCCAGATGTAGTCCGCCCATGACGAATCCTCCTTTCATCCGAGCCCTCATCTCTTTTCTAGAATGATATCCGAGTGACATGTCATATATTTCCTCTCTCCCTCAATTACCGCATCTGCTCATACGAGGCAGGCAGCAGGAATTTCAGACGGTGAAGACTTTCACATGAAAAACGACTCAAGTTTGGGTTTTTCTTTATGTATCCCACTTTCCTAAACCAGGGGGACCCATGTCGAATATCGATAAAGCGGGGCTCCTAGCGGGGCTTCTGGCGTGGTCTTCAGTGAGATCAGAGACTATTTGGGCCCGAATGAGCGCTCGGGGAGCTCGGGATTTGTGATGAAGTATAGCGTCTTCTGAATTGGGAAATATGGTTCCACACCGCCACATTTACACCAGCCACTCCTTGCTTTAGCCACAGTTTTAGCCACTGCGGCTGAGTATGTGGCGGTGCGACTATTGATCCAGGGCGCCTAGACCGAACCCCTGGACCGCGATCGACGATGCATGTTCTCTCACAAGACACTACGAAACAAAGTTTCCTTTTGTTGGGATTATTTTTGCTTCAGAGGATCAAAACACCAATCAAGATCGGCTAATTCAGAATATCCCAAGACGTTTCCCCCCGTCTCCCTTGTTTTCGACGATGATCTTGCCAGGTTGGGATGAAACCCCACAGGTTTGTTTGCTCAGTCTCAGATCAGATATCACTTGATACTGCATCCTGAATATTGCATCACCGTTTGTCTGTCGTAGACATATTCATCGACACACCATATCCTACTTCTTGTCACTGCATGGCCGCTTAGGCCAGCATCTGGCAGACACGCAGTATACCCGTGCGGACCTAATTGCGATCAACATTTGCTATGGGTCCTCGTTCGTGACAGTAGGTCCTAGGGGCAGCAAATCATCCAGTCGTCGGTTAATGGGTGATATGACACGGGATCGCAAGCGACCCCCAATGGCTAGTTAGAGCTAGACTCCAACTTAATAGAACTATTAGCCGGTCCGTGTCAGATCGGCAAGTTGATCGACTCCAACAACTTTCTTAGAGCCGTGTCAGTGCCAAGCGAGCGACAAACGACGAACGCGCGCGCGAGTGGAAGCTTCTTCCCCTCGTGGAACGTATCTCTCATCTTCCGCGATCCCGGTCCTGCGTCTCAGCGTACATATGCTGCTGCATGATGCCCCTTTCTGTAGTTGGCTCCATGCTTTCCCGAGTGGAGCACGGAAAAATGGTTCTCGGCCCTAACCCAAACAGGATAGAGGCAAGGCTGATGATGCCGAACCAACTGTGGCTGGTGTGATCAGATTGATAGAGCTGCCATCTCTATAAAAAAAAATCTACGTCTTTTTCTTCCAAGGCAACACTTTTTGTTTCCCTGGCGGTTGGAAATGCAATGATATCTCAAGATGGAAAGAATTCACCGGTGGCCATCTGGAACGGTTGCAAGGGCTTTTTGGGGGCCTCTGCAAATAGGCTCTCGGGGAGCCCGACAGGATATGAATTGGATTACTCAACTCCACACGCGCCACAGGTCGCCGTTGGGTGTGGCTGCAGCTCCCCTAGAAGAAAGACAAATCTGATTTCCTGCAATCAATATTGCGGTCTGTTCGTCCCTCTCTCCCTTGGTAGGGTTGATTTAGTTACTAGGCTTTAGTATCTTTGTTCTGCTTAGTGGTTCTTTGGAGTTACGCAAGATTCCATATATTTGCCTCTGTTTGTCATTTCAGCTTAGCATCGTCTGAAATTTTGAAAGTGAGGCGACTAGCAGTCTATATTTGGTTGTTACTAATGTGTGCCAAAGGCCTATGACAGCTGCGAGCGAAAGCTTTATTGAGGAGGCAAGCGGGGAGATCCTATGCTAAGGGATTTAGTGGGACCGTGCACTGAACTATTGAAAAGAAAGATTGGGAAGAAAATGGAATTAAAAATCCCAGGTAAAAGGGAAAATAGAAAACTGTCAATAATGAAAAATGAAAAATGAAAAATAAAATCAAACAAATAATCAATAATAAACCACATTTTCTTCCGTCGAGTCTCTAGAGGGAGGGGTCTTATTACCATGCACAGTCTGTTCCTCCTCTTTGCACATGAACGTCGATCTTGCATGCCAAGGCGCGTGTTTATCTGTGTAAGGCCCTTCCTAGCTATAGATTCGGTCAGACTGCATGAAAGGACCAAACAAAATCCATGTGGAGTACCGGGTGTACGCTCAAACCTGATCCACCCGCTAGCATCAGATCTTCCTGCATCACAACCTTGGATTCCTCAGATCTAACTAAATCTTTACTTTTCTTTCTAATTTCCTTTTTTTACATCCTTCTCCTATGTCGATCAGACACCGGCTCCATAGCTCCCCACTGTTCGTGTCCCTGTTCCCGGAACGTGCTTCAGCAAGGATTATTGCATGACCCGAGTCAACTCCTAGTCGGCCGGCTGATCATTTCCTTTTTGTTGGCTTTGGATGGATTTATTGCTTTTCTTTTTAGATTCCAATCCGTCATTTCCATAGTATTCCGGCTGCCTTGGTGGTACCCCATCCCAGCTTCCTGGTCACCGATCGTTAATCGTGGATTGTGCATCGCGTGGTACTTTTGGCAGTGGCAACATCTAGGGCCTCATACGGGTCTAACGCCTGATCTCAGATAAGGATCCATAAAGATTCATGATTATTGAATGGGTCTCGGCTTCTGCCGGAAACTATATGAACCCCAAGAGACACCTGCTTCTCATCTTGAATCCCAGATCAATTCATCTCATGCTTTTATAGATTAACATCTCTGCCCACAACTTTGACTTTGACTTCAACCAAAGCTCTCCATAACTCTTGGTTATATCTCAATCTGCCCTACCCGATTTTTTGGGAACTCTATCCCAAGATAGATCTCTTATACTTCACCGATCTTTGCCTTTATCCGTCTGTCCGATTGGCTCGCAGTCGATCTCAAGAGCTTTAAGGGTCCAAATCGCCGCTCATATAAACAAGATCATAGATCTCCATTCAATAACAGAAAACAGAAAAGCTCAACCCACTTCAAAAAATCAGCAAAAAATCAGCAAAAATGACAGCTCGCGAATTCAGTCTGTCCTTCGAAATTGCCCCCCCGTCATCAGTACGCCCAGGTCAAGCCTTCACCATTCCAGTGGTCGTTTCAGTCCGACAGATTGGCACCCCATCTGGAAACGTGCTAGCCCTTCCCGTTCACGCCTCTCTGCGCGACGAAGCCGGCACAGGCCCCGCAACAGGGCTAAGCGGCAATCTAACGACAAGCTGCCGCGACGCAAAAAGCGGGTATGTCAAATTCAGTCCTTTGACCATCTCGAAAGCAGGCAAGTACCGATTGCGCGTTATGCTCGGCGCTGCTTCGTACAATGGTGTCGTTACCAAGGAATATGTCGATTCCAGTGTCATCACAGTGGCAGCCAATGCGCCAGCAGCCCAACGACCAAGTGGGTCCCCGTTTCTCTTTCTTCTTTAAATCCAAAAGTCCTCTCTTGTTTATTTTCGACGTCTTGTGCCCGGTGGATTTTTAAGTGGGACTTTGCCCAAATCCGTTTTCCCCTCCTTCCTGTTCCAGTATCGTGGGTCCCGGAATGAAGAAGTCTGCCCCTCTCCTTACCTTTCCTGGACACTTGCTGACTCTAGAAAACTTTAGCTGCTTCCCAGGTAGTTTCTTTGCAGCGGCTTACGGCTCAAAGTTTGGATATCACTTCTGCGGATATTGCTAAGTGGCAAGCGGCTTGAGTTGACCTAGGACGTGATTTTATTGGGTATTCTTGGCTGATGAGGAGTTTTCTGGTGTTGATTGGTTTCGTTTTTTTCTTGTTTTCCTCTCCATTGATCTTGCATATCACTCGTCTATTTTAGATCTTTTTTCTATATTTCTTTGTTGGAATGTGCATGGTGTGAGGTTTCCAACTTTTTGAGGGAAACTGATAAAGGTGAGGCAAGGGGATTTAGTTCAATTCATGCGGACTAATTGGACGTCTGGGAATAATGAGTAATATTTTATTTGTCACTCATGAGGGGTTGAATTCATTAAAATTGGTTTTTTTTTTCTTTTTTTCCTCCTTTCTCTGGACATGAGTACTATGTTTTAAGATCAATCCTGGGACTGTGATAGATCTGATAGTATAATGTTTAAGGATGTATTACAGGGATCCGGGGCATCAGATCAGAGCAGCCATTGGATAAAAAAAAAAAACAGTTCAATTTTCTTTTTATCTCACTCGTGCAGGATCCCACAATTTGTAATTTCTGATCGGCGGAATCTAGGTCTTGACCAAGTTGAGCGCCCTGGACGTAGTAGTTCTTTGTCTACCAATTCATTTCCAACTTGAAGGCTCCCATACTATATCCATTCCAACTATCTTCTACCTATTTGCGTCAATTCGAATTCGACAACTTCTAATTCATCAACTCACGGTGATTTCACCCGGAAGATAGAAAGATCCTGACCCGTCAGGTTTTGAAGCCATGAGCAGCCAAAAAAAGCAGCGAGGAATTTATACAGCCCAAACTTGAATGATTTGGATACGCAGTGATGGACATCAAACGGTTACTTATCAGAACAGACGTGGACCGGTATTCCATTGGTAATTTTATATTTAGAAATCCGTAGTAATTTAAATATTATGAGGCTAATCATAGAATCTTAAATGTAGCGTTGGTATCGACCCCAGAATTTGGTCGCTTACTCTGCATCCAAAGAAAGAATGATTTTTTAACAGGGGTTATTGCCAGTCAACTATAAGCTCTTGTCGCCGTTTGTACGGGAGAAAGGGAATCAGGCTAATTTGAAATGGCTTCGATTTTCCAGTTTTAATTTGTTTTAGTCCATTTTCTTTTCCTATGTAGCATGTTTCTTTCTATTTTGCCGTTTTGAATCTTACCTCACTTCCCGGTTTTTCTTTCCTATTTCATCATATCACGCTGCTTGAAGCAATGGACTGCTGTAATTACGAAGTTCACCCAACTCCGGCGCAGACCCAAGTACATATTGTAGGAAACCAAGGTAATCAACACCTACACTCTCCGCCGCAAGGCCCATAAGACTCAATTGATCTTCACGGCCGGGACGTCCGGGTCCCGTGAGATTCTAAATAAAAATCAGCATAAGCCCAACTCAAGTATTGGAACAGCTATGGGAACTTACCGGCTTCATATTGATATCGAACAAGGCAAATTTTGAGCCTTCTCTAAATCGCCGAATATCAATGCGCAACGGTGCAGTTGTTCCCAATAAACTTGCTACAGTCGCGCATTCTTCCATGATCTCACCATAGGCAGGATCGGCCTCCATCTCTGCCGCTGTCACTGCACGCGAGTTCACAGTTACAGCAACCTTACCACTGTAGGGCGCAATACCATCAACATGGTTGAAGCGGGTGACTGGTGGCAGAGACCTGTGCGAGCGTTTTGTAGGGTCTGTTTTGAGTCCGGGGATAGGTTCCCCTGGTGGTAAGATGGTTATCGTGCCTTCTTCACCGTTCAAGTATTCTTCAGCCAATACGCGAGGTGACTCATCGAATAGGTAGATGACATGTTCGCGTAATTCGGACGGATTTCGACAGATCTTTACGCCATGACTGCCTCGTCCTCGAACTGGTTTTGCGACAATGGGGTAGTTGTCGTTGATTGAACTCAAGACCTTGTCCAGGGTATCTTGGAGTTGCTTTTGTGCAACTTCGCTGCGATCCGTAGGACGAGGATCATCGATAGTCCATGATTTGGGTAGTGTCAGTCCACCTTGTTTGCGAAGTAGGTCATTTGTAAACGACTTGTCGTCGAATTGATCTGCGCAGAGCGGTGGTTGGCCGACAACTCGAATGAATTCATGAGAAGTCAATTGTGAAGACGTCTGCAATGGATGTTCCGCGAAAAGCACCGTGTTAGCCCATAAATGAGTTGCGCCTTTGCTGATAGCAGTGAGAATCCCCTCTTCAGTATCAGGGAAGCACCAATGATCATGGTTCGAAGGGTCAGGCGACTCCACTGGTGTTAACACGGTGGTTCCCCCCTTTCTCAGCGTATAGGCGATATCAGCACCAGAGTCACGATAACCTAATAGTCAAGATCAGCAATCTAAGTCATGGTATGAATTCATACACGTAACTAGTCCAAAGGTACATTTTCCATTTGGAAATGCACGTATTCGAACCATCAATCAGTCAAACTTACCTCCTGGTTTAGGGGGCTTGCTCACACCCCCGTACATCGGTGGCGGCAGAGCCTGATACAAAACAGCCACTAGCGGTTTAGTCGCGCTCATGTTTGCCTCTGTTACAGCACACGTAGAAAATATAGATTGGGCTTGGCAGCGTGCACTTATGGATGATGTGGGCTGAAATGCAGGTCGATGTAGCTGAATGTGGGGGCCGAATGTCTGTGCGGTCCGGCTGAAGGATGCAAGTTTTGATGCAGGGCCGAAGGCAAGTTTCATAATATATACTCAGCAGAAAATTTCAATTTCATGCAAAAAATGGACAATCTGACTGAGCGTGCTCTGTTAAATGTTTTTGCTTGGCGGCGATGACTATACCTATTGCCCGAACGGATGTCATCCGAAGTGCCGACCTGGGGAAGTGCCGATGACCGGAGCCACGGAGCGCTCCGTTGGCGGTTACTGGATTGCTCCGAGTCAAGGAGCTTCAAGTTGGGGACCATGGTCAGCCTGAGGAAAAAACTAGATTAGAGTTTGGGGTTCAAATAACTACTACATTTTATATATTAGTTAGACGGCAGAAGATAATCATAAATGGGTTCTCAGCATGGCTGAGAGTATTGTCATTCTGTCGTATAAATAGATAGATAATATTCTAAAGGATCCAGCACAGCGGATTTGAGAAGACAAAACATCCAGCACACTTGGTGAATAGAAATCCGGATCAAACCAGGTCGTCACCTTCTTGAGATGGTCGACTCACGGCTAGATCCATGCAAAGCGATCTGAACACAACGTATTGACAGACTATCGCGGTGGTTTGCTGATGGAGCACTCAGGGCCACAGAGCAGCGGGTGGGAGAGAAACAACTCGGTTTCACGGTGGATCAACTATCGATTCACACCAACGCCCAGGAATCAAGTGTCGACATATAGGTCTTGAGGTAAAATAACCAAATTGGTGGTCGGTATTGAGGAAGGGGAAGGGCTCAACCCACAAAGGGGCAACCCAAAATACATGAGTTCAAGAAGAGATGAGACTGCCAGCGAGCTCAATCGTCCTTGTCGTGGTGACGTAGCTTATCGATGCCATCGCGGACAGTATCGCGCACGCTGAAGCCGCCGAAAAGCCAGTCATTTGAATGGCGACCGTAGTGGTTGACTGTACCACTGTAGCGACGGTAGTCATCACTGTTCTTGCGGGTTGGAGTAGGAGGTCGTTTCCCGAAGTCCGGCTTGGGAGACTGAGGTGATGTAGGTGATGTCGGGGATGAAGGTTCAGGAGACATTTTGACTGGACTGGTGGAACTGTGCTCCTGGCCAAAGTAGGCAGCGTCAGGATTGCTGCGGGGAATGTAGTGTGCGTCTGCGGACTGCCTATTCTTGGGAATGTTGATCGCAGCAGGCGACTTGGAGTCTGGCCGAAATAATTTAGAGGTCAGAGGGTTGGAAAGACGATGATGTTTTTTTTCGTCGGAGCGCTGGGTGCTACGTGAGGAGCTAGTTGTAGCCGAAGTCTGGGATAGAGAGCGCCTGGGATAATTTCCGCTCTGATGGGATTGAGAGCGCATTCCTTGGAGGATAGTATATAGGCGTGGTAGAGATGGGAGGAAAGAAGAAGAGGGAGAGAGGAGGGGGTTTATACGAGTCAGAGGAAATCGTGGGATTGAGTTCTGACGTGGGAAATACGAATGTTATTTATCTTTGGGGCCCTTGTCTCACTCGCATCCTCTGTTTCTCCTCAATTTCGTACTTTCCGAGTGATCGGCCTCAAGGCCCTGTAGGGCATCCAACCAGAACGCAGCGGGGTCGCATCAAACCTGTCCTTGTGCGCGGAGGGGAACGCCCCAGGACGAGGGTTACCAATGATGCTTTGTGCACTGGGTCCATCAAGCGGACCGGTCCTCGAATTCACCAACCGGAGTTCTTGAATGAAACTGGACGAATCCACCGGTAAGGTTTAGCGGGAAGGACAGTGGAGGAGGGTCGGTGAGAAGTGACCCGACATTCATACCACGGGCCAATCCACGATCGTGTCTGCCTTGGAGCCTCCTTATCCAGTCCGCCATGTGCCTTCATCATTGCTCACTTTCTCGGTCAGACCCCGCAGATTCACCGCTCGTTACGACACCATTGTATGCCACGTATCCATGTATCCATCTCGTGAATCTCCTATCTGAACCGAATACGCCATAGGGCTGCATTCAAAGGTTGCTGCTCCACTTCTTACGCTTTTGTTCTTCTTCGTCTCCTTTATCTCCCCCGATTCATGGTCCTCATAGGGCTGGTCTCCGCGGAGTTAGGCCACCAACGTTTTCCTCAGGGCTGAAATTAGTATCATGAACCATTTTTTGTTCCTCAAAAATGTGGATCCTGACAGCCGAGCTGCTAGCCAATGCGACCCTGGGGTTGGTTGCCCCGTGTGTTGCCCAAGGATAGATTCCTTTCAAATTTTGCTGAACTCGGGTCATCTGTTCCCTAACCCAATCACATACGAGAAAATTGAGACATGTCTCCTTCTAGCGGCCTTCCAGAAGATCTTTTAACCGAGGACAAGGACACCCGCACACGAATTCCTGGTTTGAGTCAGTATAGCCCCCACAATGGGTCTTTGAGCCAAGACACGGCTCAGAGCTATGATGAAATTCGGGACGGTCATTCCGGGGAGAGATAACAGTCGACTATGCAGGGTATAGTCTTTCAAACTAAAGGAATTGCCACAGTTGAATCATTGCCGAGAGTCCGGTCGACGTAAACAAAGTTATTTTTTGGGCTGTCTCGTTTGTCACAGGGTACAGTTTGACGTTTCTGCGAAACAACTACATACTGTCTTGAAATTCCTCAAATAGTCTCGATCGGTCTACTTCCCTATCGCGATAAACATTCCGAAACACGCCAGAGGAAGCCAGCTGGCAATGACGGGAAGAATGCAGTCATCACTACAGATAATTCCCAAATCAATATGCATCCATATGCACCTAACTTTTCATTTCCATAATTCCCTAATTTCCTGATTGATAAGTGGATATTACTTTGGCCGATCATCTTTAGCCTTGTCCCTCTCGCTGAGAGATTACGTCCTCTCCCCACAAGCATACAAGGTTCATCATTCTCGCGTAAAGCACGGAAATTCCTAGTAAACATGCCGTTTGATCGACTTTGCGGGCAGCTATTTATCCACTCGAACTCGCTTGTACACCTTTTAAGAATCTGACTCATCGCCTTGGTCCCACATTTAGTGCAGTAGAACTCCTCGTATACATCAATCGCGCTCGACATATCATACAGACTCGCATCATAAAGTTGCGAGGCAAACATACTGTAAGCAAACCACCGAGGCTCCGAAACAAGCACGCTTGGCAACTTGAATGAGATTCACATTCGATACATCGAGCACTCCACAGCGTAGACACATAAGTGAGGTTCTTAGCATGGGGGCCCATGCTTCAACGGGCAGCTTCACGTAGGAGAAAAGCACGAACTGTTACGCAACAGCAATGCCAAGATGAATTCTAATGCGCAATCTGTTTGTTTACCTTTTTCCCTACCTAGTGATTTCAAAGTAGCACAATGCACATTCTGTGGTCCGAATGAAAATATTTGTGATACCATCTATGCCTGGGGCTGATTTTCTCTGGCTCATACCTTTTTTTCAATCTTTGCAATCTTATAATTGCTCATTGTGAGGATACCCCGCGGGCCCGCCCCTCGTACTTATTACCTATCCAGGTTATGAGGTTAGTACTTTTAACTAAATAGGCCCATCTGTTTTTACCAATGGTGGATTGCTGGATAATAGGTCCTCCGTGTCGAAGGGGACAAATTTTCACTCCAGAAGATAATAGGATCTCCAACTTTCATACAACATTATTGAACAATCTAGTTGACTCTAAAGCTTTGGCACTCGGTAGACATTTTTACTCTATGGACCAGCAATAATGACTTATACATAATCTGCAACTTTACTTGGAAGTACACAGACTTCCCAGTCTCAAATAATAGGTAGCATTTCTCTTCGCATCATCAAACTAAGTACTGAGGATACTGGGCCCGCCAGAAATCACTCTATGAAATACCATGCATAGTCAAAAATTACCAAAAACTCCTTCCTCCAATAAATTTAATCAAATCGCCTAGTCCATATAACCAAAATGACCTATATACCCTTGCCCAACAGGTAATAATCACTCCTCCTTCAAAGTCCAAAGACTAGCGCTAGGCTCTCTCCACACTCGCGGCTGCTCAGAATGAGACCTCCGATGTCTCCTCTCCGACACAAACTGCGGCGAATCGGTCACTGAAGACGTGCGTCGCTTGTCAGTCACCATGACCGGCCGTGCAGACACCCTAGATGGCATCCATCCGGATATCATCACCTGGTCACCAGCATTCATCATAGTAGGCACCACAAACAATGACCTGGTTTTATCGAGAGGCGGTCGACGAATAAGCCGTCGCAAAACACTGCGATGGACATGCTTCCGGGCCTCAGCTGTAGATGCGGAAGCTGGAATCTCGTTCCAGCCTGTGGATTTTTGGGGGCGAGACCAGAGACGGTGCATGCCTCGTGATGGCGTCCGGACTATACCTGCCATATCGGCGTCATCGCTTATTGCTTCCTCTGCTATCAGAGGTATGGTTGCTGCTTGTTGAAAGAACAGTTGTTGTTGAACTTTGGAACCTTGGTCGCTTGGTTTAAGCATGCGGATTTCCAGGTTGGATGGGGCGCGTCGGCATAGCTCGGAGCCACAGTGAGGCCAAGAGTGGTGTCTGCGGTGGTGAGGGGGGTTCGGCATCATATAGGATGGGTAGTAGGTTGAGGCTTTTTGGTGTAGAAAGGTAGATAAGTGCAGTGTAGGTGAGTGGTTCGAGCTCGTTTATTTATCCTGTCTCCATGGTGGGTTTCAAGATTCGTTCTTCTTATTTTCTCGCTCTATCCAGAAATCTCTGTCTGGTCGGAAAGTGTAGTATAGGTAGGTGATTCATTTTCAAGTTCTGCCTGGCAGGTCGCAGCGTTATAAAGTAATAGCCCTGGAGGCGCGCCCGACTCTGTCTACACGTGCCGGGGTCTTGTCTCATAGGGCACCCGGGTGATTTATCATTCGGTCGGCTATGGTGACCATTGAATTCTTGAAATGGGCGGATGCAGAGTCATGGTAGGCAATCATCTTCAGATGAGAGGTGTTGAATAATACTGGGGATGACGGCCACATGTAAGCATTGGCAGCTTATCAGAGATATATATTTACAGATAAAAACGAAAAATCTGGCATACGGTCGACTTTTCCAAGCTCCTTACCGATCCTAGCAAAAAGACAGATTTAATTAATTTAATCAAGGACGAGCGCAGACGTGTCTCCAGTTGAATGGTGCCCGTATTCTGTTGACGGCTTGAACCTAGTTGCGGGATGACTCCCCAAGGTGACTGGGTCATCGGACTAGAGCCGCAGCAGGGCTATTATTATACCAAAGTCTTATGACAAATGCACCCGGACCCTGTCTCAGCATCAGGTTTTTGAGTGACATAATTACTAACTGGACGACTGTCAAAATTCTCGATGAAATTCTTGACATGGCGGTGATTTCCGAATGATTTCCCATGTGTATACAGACAGCCTCAAGGATGATGGAAGAAATATTCATATAGCTGGAAATGTCGAAGCAGACATCAACCACCCCAAGTGGCCGAGTGGAACTCAGCTGTCTTATCTTCCTTGGTCTAGTGGTCATGATTTCCGCTTGTCATTAACACCGTCAAGCGCGGGAGACCGGGGTTCGATTCCCCGAGGGAGAGTTTCTTTTTTGCTTTTTAATTTTTCTTCGCAGAATTAAATTCAGCTTCTTAAATGTTTGTGTTACATTCTGCTTCTTTGGAATTTAATACTGCAATTTTTTTCGTCATGGCTAACATATGGGTATCAATTATACGTAACAGAAAAAAGATGTATTGTTCTCAAGCTTAGTTTTCCGAAACATGTTGTAAAATTTCAACTCTCAGCATGCAGAGGAGCTTCATTCCTCGCCGCTAATTACCAGATCCATTCACTAGTCCTCCCCGTAAAACAAGTTAACGATTAAATGAACGAGGGGGATAGCGGTCTCCCTCGCAGAGCCTCAAGAAACCCCTCTCGATCTATTATCATAACACAAACATTAGCAAAAGAAAACAAGGAAAGACATCGTGACATACGAACCTTTCACACGTTTAAAAGATATAGATATAGCACCTTCACGGTTAATGACGCTGGTTGTCTTCGGACTCCGAGCCATTATATTCATCAAATCTAGACTCACACCACGAAAATAAGGCAATTTCGCAAAGCTCACTCGCAAATTATCCTTTGGGGAGTCAGAAAAGTCCCCTGGCAGAGACATAGTCAGCCACTTATCAGGGACACTGTCGTTCCAGCGTGCAGCAAGCTGGGTTGTATTTCCACGTTGCCAAAGTTGAATTTCAGCATCCCCTTTGCCCGATCTCTTGCTCCCTAGCATATTGGTTTTTATTGAGAGGGAGTGTATCCGTCGAGAATAAACAAGATCATATGATGGTGAGAGAGAACTCATGAATGCGCGTGCGATGGAATCGCTGTCGAATTTGAACATGGCTGCCTTTGTCTTTTTCTCGGTATGTGAAAAGACAACGGGCTTATCGGCTACATAGAGCTGATCAGAGTGAGATGAGATGTAATCCGCGTAAGAGGCGTGAGGAAATCGCACACGGAGAGATGAGTGTTGATAGCTATAGTCTGTGTCGCGATACAGGTAAAAGACATCCGAATAGCGCCATGGTCCACTGTTCTGTATTAGAACAGCTGCCTTGTACTGCTTGTGCTCAGTTCCTGTGTCGACCACATCATATATGCGACCGGAAGAGCCACTAGGCTCAGACCATGAAAAGCTTGATTTGAAATTTATTTCCATGAGGGCTCTTTCAAAGTCTTCTGCATTTTGCTGGGTGCTGAACTGTAATCCTATCCCGATGTTTGGGGCACTGTGATCATACACATATGAGTGGAGAGTGTTGTAATTTCCATCTGTTTTGTCTGATCTCTCTTGGCAAGTATCGGACCACTTGAGAAGTACCTGGCGGGATAGCTCTTCGCGTTTGACTTGAACCCGACTGAGGGGCATGAAGAATTCAAGGCACCGGGGGCTTCTTTCTGCCACCGATGGACTGATTACTATCCTCCTAATGCAGCGCCAGGTTTCCCCAAATGATCTCTCGAGTATGCGAACATCGCAAGACTTGATCAACATTGGTGGGTTCATCGCCTTCATGGTTGGGGTTTTTAGTTGTTCGAACGTCTGTACTGAACCCTTGAAAATGACCGTCTCGGTGAATTCTTTGGAATCGATCGGCTCCCTTGACCAGACGGAGTCGAAGTAGAGTTTGGGAATATTGATGAAGTGTGCTAGATCTGCTTCGAACTGGAAAGATATCGAGACACTTGTATTGTCGAATTTGAATGAAATAGGTTCTGAGATTTGGGCTCCTGGGAACCCAGTGCGAGTTGAATTGATGAGATTGATTAATGGTGGTAAATCATCAGGAATGACTACACAATGTAGAGATTAGTGACCCAGAATTTGCAAAGAGAATGAGCCTCTAAACTTACAATCTCGTTGGAGGCAAAGCGAGCTGCTCTGATTACAGAGAATAATTTTCGGCTCACTTTCGCCATCCTTGGCTGTCAAAAGGAACATGTATGGAGCACCTCGGGTACGCATTCGAAACTTCTTGGTTCCGATTCCTGCGTTCACGAAGGTGCGATAAAGCACACGTTCTTCTTCGCTGCCAGCATCTTCCTGGTTGACGGCTATCCAACGTGCAGTGTGGAGCCCAAAAGAAAGGTCCAACCCGCTTTCTGATGTCTCCTCAGATTGGATAGGCTCCCAGATGTCTAGTATCTGAGCACGAAGAATTGAAGGTTCTGGATTATCAAGAGGTGTGTACTGAGAAAGTTCCTCGTTAATTCCCAAAGATCCAAAATCGCTTTTCGATTTTCGTCTGTCAAGATAGTCGGTGAATGCTCGTCTTTAAGAACAATATCATAAAGAATGTACGAAGCCTTGAGCAGGTCGACATATGCCTGTTGCGTGACAGATCTCGAGTCGGCTGGCATACTTATTCCTCCGCGTGCACTGACAAGGCTGTGTCTACTACAGTTGGCCAACGTAGCACGCGCTTTTAACAGCCACCAAGTCGCAACGCGAAGCCAGTCACTTGTGATAAGTCTTCGAATTTGTCGCTCCTCATTTATTGAGGATTCGAATATCTTGATGGTATCCTCATCTGGCTTGTGCACTTTATTCTGTGGCTCGAAGCGGATTGGGCGTGCTAGCTGCTCCTGGAGACGAACTTCACGCAGCTGATACATTGCACTATTAACCGCTTCAATGACATTGTTATCACCGAACTCTGTGCTGGATGAATTGCTGGATTTCCCGATACTCTGCTTGTCCTGATTATCGGAATCCTCATCCCAAGCAATCTTATCCGTTGCGAGACTATCAACAGATTTCTCGTAGAGGGGAGGCGGACTAAGGGTTCGCGAAACATGAACCTCTCCAGTCAAACTTTGAGAATATGAGCGGCTTGTGTGAGGGTAGTAAGATGGAGCAGGCCCACCATAGAGAGAACTATCGGATCCAGACATCACGGAAGCAGATGAAGAAGATGCATGTCTTGGCCGACCGGGACTTTGATATCCGATTTGCTGCGAGCTCTTTGAACCACGAGAAGATGTTCGAGGTAGTGTCGGCCGAGACATAGCTGGAGAGAATGCGTCTTCGAACTCATTGGTCAAGCCACTCTCGACACTGAGCGGTGATACCATTAGGACTGAATCGCGTCGGGATGTCTCGAGGGCAATCAGAATCTCCTCATCTTCTTGCATTGCCTCTGTCATTTTTCGTTCGATTTCGAGCAGGGAGGAACTTATCAAAGAACGTAAAAATTAGTTATGCTATGTGGAAGTGACCAGGGAGAGTGGTTACTTTTCAATTGGGCTCATGCATAAGCTCATATTGCATGTATGGACCATAAGTTTAGACCTGATGTCTTCGATCTGCATTTGCTGCGTGCTCCATTTGATTCTTTGCCAAAAGTGTCTTCCATCTGATATTCCCAATTCACGATAATGGTTTAGAAGATCTGTCAATCGTGACAAGGTCTCAAGACAGGCGTGTAAACATCGTTCCAGCATTAGTCGTCGATCTTCCGCTAACGTCCCGAAGAAGGCAGTATTAGAAGCGTAGTCATCTGTCATCGCTCGCATCGCACCCTGAAGCGACCCTAGCTCCTTCGCAAGCTTTCGAAATCCGTCGGGCGCATCCTTTGCAACTTGTTGGCATTGACTGTAGATTTCCCATGTTGCCCTTGTTATGGCCGGGAGATCAGAGAATCCAAAGACTTCTGACATGGTAAGAGAAGAGGAGAGCTATGATATAAGCTCAGAATTTTTTTAATAAGAAAACCTCAATAAGAGATGGCCCTACACGAATTTTCAAGTTCATTTTCCATCGACAGGCGAGATTTAGCTGGTCTCGATTTCTGACACCCAACCTACCCAGCCCGACAAAATGAAACTGCAAGGCTAATATTAGCTGCGAATAAGCGAGTCAATACGATTGATATTTCTACAAGCTGCCGTTGATCTCAAACACTGCTGATATAGATAAAAAAACATGATATTCCCTGTTCGACTTCCAACCCCCAAGAAGATATATTGGCTAGGAATGAAAGGCGGGGCTGAACAATACTCTGACCGGATGACTGATATTTCCCATAAAGGAGCTACCTCCTTTTGAACTTTGGAGCCTCTACAGTTTGTGTAGACTAGGTAGGACTTATCCAATCTAGCCCCGGGGTGATTGCTGCATTGGCGAGTTTGGTCCGCCAGAAAACCTTTACCACGAACATGAGGCGAAAGAAAAACAGATATTTCTTTGTGATGGGCAGAGAAGGCGTTCTGACATAATTGGATCGCTTTCACTTTTAACGCCATAACTCAAAGGAGTATCTCGGGACTGTAGAGACAAAGCAGTGCTGAAGAACGAGGCGTTCGTGTGAAAGAACATGGGTTTTACTTGATCAGGCCCACTCAACTCTTACTACCAAACTTTCCAAGTAGTATTTCAAGCATCAAAGCGTTCAATTCCTTTTTTTACCCTTTTGTTTTGTTATTTATTCATAAAACCACCAGAAAATAGAACAGAAGTAATGTAAATAGAAACAATGTCTCCTCACAGAGGTACTTAACCTTTGCTTTCTGTCTCATCTCGTGTATGTCTCATAAACCTGTATACCCACTTCAAATGTTCTAAGGGATTTTTTTATCCCCCAAGTATATGTACTTGGACCCAGACCCCTATCGCGTCATGATCTCTCCCTTCGTGAAGACTCAATTAGGTAGAATTACAGCAGCCAGAGACTCTCGTATCCCCACCCTGGTCAGAAACCATCCGGGCGTTACAGCTTCCCTAGTAAGTTCTACTACACCACGCCGACACCTAAGGCAGATCACACTCCCCACACTAGCTAGCACTAGCACTAGCACCCGCCGATCATCACAGCTCCACTCCACACCCGTGAACCCCATCACAAAAAAAATCTCCCCCTAATTGAATCTAACTTTCCTTTTTCTCTGCATAGTTCTTCGCACACCAGATCTACAAAGGCCTAACAGGCTACCACCTTGAGCAGGATTTTTGTAAACCCTACTGCGCACCTACCAAAATGGCCACAACCCCATTCACCCTGGACATCCCGACAGTCCTTTGCATCCTCTTCTCCCTCTCCTTTATGCCAATCGCCTACATCCTCTCCAACCAACTCGTCCCCCGCTCCTCAAAGCGCAATCGCCTTCTCTTCCTCTGGCACGCCTACGATGCCCTAACCCACATCTTCATCGAAGGCTCCTTCCTCTACGAATGCTTCTTCAGCTGGACAAGCGTAGCAGGAATGCACGCTAGAGGCCCCTACTTCCTCAACCGACCAGACCGCATCTACGGCCCCGCCTACGGTACAGGCCCCTCAGCGCGTCTATGGCAAGAATACGCAAAAGCCGATCGTCGCTGGGCAGGCACAGATACCACAGTCGTCAGCCTGGAACTCCTCACTGTTCTTCTCGGAGGTCCTGCAGCTGTATACATCTGCTACCTAATTGTTAAAGCAGGCAATGGGAAGGCTGGATCTACGCGTGGAAATGCACGAGCTATGCAGTGGTTTATTTCTACTATTTTGGCTACTGCTGAGCTTTATGGAGGATTTATGACCTTTGCGCCGGAGTGGTTGACTGGTTCCTCGCAGCTTGCGACAGATGATATGGTTTATTTGTGGCTGTATCTTTTCTTCTTCAATACCCTTTGGGTGTTTGTGCCTGCTTGGGTTCTTTGGGAGGCTAAGAAGGAGTTTAAGGCTGCTTTTGTTGCGAAGGAGTCTGTTTCTCCTGAGCGGTCGGAGCGGTCTGATACTGACCGTCGGAAGAGACATTAGGGTTTCTTCTTTGGTGGAGTATTTTGAGACCCTTGTATAGTGTTTTCTGGTTGTGGGTGTTCTTACTTTTTCCTCTCTCTTTGATTAGGAGAGGCTTTTACGTACTCAATTTGGAATTCTTTGGTGGCTTTGATTACTTCGTATTTCTTTTTTCTTTTTTGATTAGGTTTGGGTTTCTTTCATGTTGTTCAAGGTTCCAAGGTTGTCTTGAGTTCATTGAGATATTGGGTTATGGTGGCTGCACAAGTAAGGGGCTCGTGTTACGTTTGAGATACCTTTTTGTTTTTGTTTTTGCTTTTGTTTCTTTGACGTTGTACGTACCGGACTACGGGTGTTGGGATATCTCAGGTGATACACATGGATGGATAGATAGCATGCTTATATAGGCAAATAAAGTTCAACGGAGAGTTTTCAAATTTTGCTAATGATACTCGTATATTGTACATGCGTTGCTGATTGCTGGATTTGGCTAGTTGGAATGAACATAATAATCACAATCTCAAAAGCTATACAAACGACAATTAGATGCAGTTTAGTTATTGACATATTCTCAATCACTCCTTATACCCCCGATACTTGTCCCAAAACCAGTGATAGAAGCTCTTCCATTCTTCTGCCGCATCTTCAACGTAGTCACCCACCAATTCAGCAGTCTCATTAATCTCATCCAGTACAGGGGACACCTTCAACCCAGACGATGCATCAACACCATGGCTAGCACTTCTACTCGCAATTGTAGCAGCTGTCACAGCATTAGAAGTCATATCAACAGCCACACCTCCCGAATGATGATTTAATGCCTCCTCGGCACCATCTTTTGCCTTTTCAGCAAGGTCACGGGCCCCCTCACGCGCAATCTCGCTATATTCTTCTGCCTGCTCGCGAGCGCGCTCAAGTAACTCCTCCGGCGACGGGTATCGACGCACAAGCATAAGGAAGAGATAGTATGTTCTCACAATTGAACCGTAAACAGCATCTTTCGCGAGCATAGTGAATCCATGCGAGAAGAATCCTTTGAGAACCTCACCTGATAAACCAGCGTAGAGGGCAGGAATTCCATCTTCACGAGCAATAGCAATAACAGTAGCGACAATTTGAGGCGTAAGCATAGACAAAACAGACTTCGAACCAGAAACCTGACCAGATCCTGATGCATTCTTTGAACCACTCATCGCCTGCGCACGTGTCTTCGCCAGCGAAAAAGGATACGTCACCGAAGACGCGGCAGACTTGCTCAGCGCAGCTAACAAGAAAGTAATAGCAAAAGAAGGCCTCTCCCTCTTCGCGCGCGGAAGAAGAACTCTTTTCAGAAACTCATTCAAAAAGAACGTAATAGAAGGATTAAGCGTTAAAATCAACGAAGCCGAGTATCCAGACCAAAACCCAGCTATACCCTTCTCCCTCTTAATCTGAGCAGCTATGTCCCCTGTCGAGATATCCTTATCACCACCTTTACTAGCGGCTGTTTGTTTCCGGGTGACGATGTTTGACAACGGGGTGGTGAATAGCTTTGCAAAAGCACCTGCTACAACGCCGACGGCAAGTTCATCAAGGATGGGAAGAACGATGTTTTTATTCTTGGCTGCGCGGGCAGCGCCTACGCGGGCAATTATTCGGCGCTGGCGAACGGTGTTGTAGGCTAGGAAGAAGAGGAATGAGTCCAGGACGGATTTGCATGTGTCTTGTGCTAAACCGGGGTAGAAGCCCGCGAAGCCTTGTTGGAGATAGATTCTGTAGGCTGCGTCGAGGAGGCTGGTGTATTCTTTCTCTTCTTCCTCTTCATCGGTGTCTTCTTCGGCATCTTCGTCCTTTGTGCTAGATTTGGATTTGGATTTGGAGCTCTTTTGTTGGGTTTGTAGTCGGGCGACGATTACGTTGAGTGGGTAGACGACGACATTGGAGACGGCGGACCCTACAGCGCCGGCGACTGCATTGCCTAGAACTGGGAGGCCAGGGCCACGGAGGGCTTTAGATTTCCAGTCTTCGCTTGAATCCGTGCCTTCCCAGCGGTAGGAGGGGTGGAATGCGTCCTGTGAGGAGCGTTGTGTTAGCGGGGTTGGAACAGGACGGGTGTTCTTAATCTTCGAGTGCTTGGGACATACCAACTGGGACTCATAGGTGAGCTTGTATTCTGCCATTATGACTTATTTGGTGATAGGTAATCTTCCGGACTGGTAATACAGCCTGTGAAACAGGTTTGGCTCGGTCTTGGATGTTTGCGACCGGTGGATTTCGGGTGCTGTGTTTTGTATATGGGCGTGAGTTAAGCTGTCGGTGTAGTTTTTGGTCTTGATTGATTTACATTGCCGAGGGATAGAGAAAATAAATCTTGGAAAGAAGGGGAACGCTTCGATGTTCAGGAGTAAGCGTTCAACTTACGAGAATGTGAAGATAGTACTCCATGGCCGAGGTAGTGGGTCGATTACATCATGCCGATCGTACGGTCTGTGCGGGGAATGAACTTGAGATAGCATGGCATGACAGACTATGTACTCATGACAGACTACGTACTGCGAGATTCGCAAAATTACAAGAGAAAAGGCAATGAGGAAATCAAAGGCAATTGTTCAGTCTAGCTTCACAATGAAGTCAAAGCTCACCAAATCAATCCCGAATGCATTCTCAATAATTTATCGCAGAAAAAAGCCCAAGATAACCCCAAATCCGATCCATTCCTCCCAAGCGTAATCCAAGAGACAGTAAAAATCCAAACAAAGTAGGGAGTCGGTAAGAATATTTGAAAAAGATCATCTTGTAAAATATGAAAAAGAAACCATCACACCGTTGAGCACGTTAAAAGGAAAAGAGAAACGACAAGGTAGAATGCCATATCCAATATACAAGGATAAGACAATTTAACCACCGAAACCGTACAAGGTACGACCCTGGCGCTTCAGAGCATAGACAACGTCCAAGGAAGTGACGGTCTTACGCTTGGCGTGCTCAGTGTAGGTGACAGCGTCACGGATGACAGACTCAAGGAAGGACTTGAGCACACCACGGGTCTCCTCGTAGATCATGGCAGAGATACGCTTGACACCACCACGACGGGCGAGACGGCGGATAGCGGGCTTGGTGATACCCTGGATGTTGTCACGCAAGATCTTACGGTGACGCTTGGCGCCACCTTTGCCGAGACCCTTTCCGCCCTTTCCGCCTGTTACGGATAGAATGTTAGTATCAGATGACATTATAAAAATGGATAAGAAGAAGTAAAGTGGAATGAGATGAGACAAGACAAAGAAAAGCATAAAAATATTCAAAGGGTATAGAGTGACAGCGAGGTGGAAGTAAGGTGTAAATAGTAAAATGGATTTCCTGATCGGGTAAGAGGGAGATGCATAGTTGCCTCAGGCACCAGGATCGGAGACAGTTTGCCACCAATTACATTGGCGCCAGGGGCATCACCAACTTCCAACATCATCACAACGAAAAACACGACGACGACAATAAAGACAAACAACACGAAAGTAACAAGGTCATGAAGGAAAAAAAGGGTTACTCACGTCCAGACATATTTAATTATGTGTAAAAGGTTGATAAAAGAGATTTGTTTTGGATAGTTTTGATGATGGGTGAAAGACGCGCCGATAGGATGATGAGCGATGAAGAGAGGAAAAAAAAAGAGGGAGAGAACGACTAAGAAAAGAGGGGAAGAGCGGGAATTAAATACGTGGATGACTACGCGTGATTTGGTTTTGGGGGGTCGGGGAGAGTTAGGTAAGCGAGAGATTTTGTTTTACATTCTGCAATGCGGCGGTGATTGGCAGGCAGGCAGGGAGGAAAAAGGGTGTTATGAAGGGCTGGATTGCGAGCGCTGTTCTGGGCCGTTGTGTGTGCCTGGTCTTTACTGCGGGAATCATTAATGTTCGGTGGGGCTGATCACGTGGATGATAAGCCACCCGGTAAAGGCGATAAGGGGGACCCGCCACATCAAAGTATCCATCGGACAATGCAGAGCCTGTGGAGTAGACCCAGGTGGAGTTATGCATGCCATGTCAAAGAATTGGCATCTTCTACCCCATACAGTACTATAGAATGGTATGCTATTGAAATAATTTCATCATGGTCATTCTATTATTGACGGAAGGGAAAAAATAATACACAACAGTTTGCATCCGTAAATACTCTAAATCAAGTACAGAGTTTCTCTCTATACCCATGCTTAGATATACCATGCTACGGTGCAAAAAGAAACATTAAACCATGAATCAAATCACATTCATTCATATCCCTCATGCTATCAAGATATCATGTCGCTGTACAGAAACAGCGGACTGCTCTTGATCTTGCAAATCATATCTCTCATGCAAATCCGTTTTCGCTTGCATCTTGTCAAATATGTCGTCCCTGAAAACACGAATAAAAAGAAAATTGGAAAAACATAAGATAAAACGAACCACCCAAGCGCCATGTACGCAATGAAGAAAACGCAAAAAAATGCAACAAGGAGGCGGGCGATACTAAAACTTTTTTTGGCGAAAAATGTAGAGCTGCATGATAGCAGGAAGAAGTGAAAATGCCTCAAAAAAAATAGGTGACGGGAGAGTAGAGGGCGTAGAAAACAGTAAAACCAAAGGCAAAAGAAAATTCGTTACTTGTCATCATGCGTATCAAAACAACCGACTGGAAACGGAGGAGACCGCTCCAAATAAAACTCGCATCGATCTTGTCTCCCAATGCCCCGATGTGTAACCCATAAATCTCAGCTAACACGTACAATGATCTTAAATTAGGCTCCGCGGTTTATTATGCATCGCAAGAATCGAAATCTTTCACATGTACGATGCAGTTGCAAGACCATGATTGGCCACAAATATCAGACACAAGAGAAATTCACTATGCGTGACGAGTGAAAAAAAAAAGAAAAACGTTATTGTGCGCCGATCCAAGCCATGCTTGCGCAACTGGCCATCGACGGATTGGGAAATGACGTGTTCGATCCCATTTCAGATAAAGAAAAACCAGGCCTCCTTTTAAGGAAACAGTCAATATGAGGAGTTTTTTTCTGGGTTCAAAAAGTAGATGCGAAGGGGCAGAAAGTAGCTTGACCCGAGCAGTCGTATGTCACTCACCCTCTAATAACAGGCGAGGTATGAGGCTCGGCTAGGAATCCCTTCCCAATGTCTGATGATATGGATATCGGTGAGACATAGGCGATGGGGAAGAGCGTGGAGAGCTTCGTGGACTAATAGCTGCTGGCGACCGAGACCGGATTTCGCTAGAATGCCCTGGGGATGGAGGCTCCAGAGGAGCTGGTGACCCAGGAGACAAAGGCGGCGAGGGAGTCCCGGAGGGAAACCTTCTTGCGTCTTCGCTAGGAACATTCACGGAGAAAGTCTGCTTTGTACTCGCGGACTTGGGCGTGCCATACTAGATAAAATCAAGTTAGTAACGTGATTTTGGTAGTCAATTTGTATTACGATAAACTTACAAAGCAATACTTATCGACCAACTCTTTGTACACAGAGGACTCGAGGCATGGCTTGCTAGAGACCAGTGAGGAAGGCTTCAAGTTTTCCGCAGGGGCTCCATTGCGTGCAATGCTCACTGGAGATGACTCGCGCGGAGAAGGCTCTGGAGCTTTCTCGACTGGTCTAGCCGTGTTCGCCTGGATGGGAGTTTCAGAGCGTGCTCGTGTTGTGAGAGTAGTCCGGTCAACAGGAGGCTTCGTCCGCATAGCAGCAGTCAACGAGGCACCAAAGTCATAGCGGTTACCAAATGCCTGAGGGGTAGGCTTTTCCCGACGCTTAGGTGGCTCGCAAGTATCAATGTCATCCGACGCAGCCTTGGTGAGGGGCGAGGCCTTCGAGCTGGCGAACGGATTGGCAAAGGAAAGATTCTTGTTGAGCTCTGGGAAATCGTCCAAGGATGATGGCATTGATTGGGGACGGGTGTGTGAGCCAGTGAATGTACGACTGCGGGGAAGCGAAGGTCGGGATCCACCAGATGACTTGTTGGCATTGGGGGTAGAGGTGGAGACCTTGAGAGCTTTGTGGAAATCAACTTGGAAGTTCATTCCATTATTATTGTCCCAATGTTCCTGTCCGTTCACAGTATAACGAATACACATGGACAGCGACTTTTTCTCCAAGTTTGCCTGGTCGTCCAATTTGATTTCGAAAGAAAATCGGTCGTACTCATCGTGTATGTGTTTGCGGCGAATATCGTGACAGAATACTGCACTAACCTCCGAGACTGTCCTCCAGTAATCAAATGTGAAACGGGCGGCCACATGCTTGTGGAACGCCAAGTTTGCTACAGCAACCGAACCGACCAAGACATTCTTGTCTCCAGAGAGAAACAGTCTTTCCAAGCGAACGGGAATAGTGGCACGGGCCGACAAATCCTTTGGGAAATTTGGAAGGCGGAGCTCCCACTCCCATGAAGGCGACTTGTCCTGCTTTTGGCTGAAAGGAAATTCGCCTTCTGTATCATAGTTGTCCACTGGGGATGTCTCAGCACTGACAGCCAAGGGTCGGTCAAGTTGTAAGAAATGGCGGATGTGTTCCAAGTGTGAGTCGAAGTGCACAGCCTTAGCATAGACCGGGGTCCCTGGCATACTGGAAGGCCGACGCCGAGCCGATGCGGGCCGGAGAGCTGGCCGAACCAACTCGCCCGACTTCTTCCGGACCATAGGTGGTCGAGGCGAAAGTTCTGCATCGCTCTCATCGGGGGAGCTGGTCAATGCTTCCTCATTTCTCAGCGAGATCGCTGATTCAGTGGAAGATCGCGAATGAGAGATCTTCCGAGCTTCTTTAGATAATCGCAGATGGTTGCTAGGCTTCGATGTCAAGATAGGTGTAGTATTATTATGACTCAATGAGGATTGAGCCTCTGTTCCTGTTTGACTGGCTGGGCCCATTCTCTCCGGTGAGTGTTCCTTTCGTTGTTCAATGGCCTTGACGGCTGCCTCCAGCTCCTCGAGCTTGATTCCTTCACTTTGATAGGGCGACTCCTCATCTGAGTTGGGGGCGGATTCTGGGGGCGAGATTACCGCCCCTGGAGGAATGGCAGCATTGCTTAATGGGGGCGGGGACTGCCGTAAACTAGCATGAGGGTCAATGATGGAGGTCGATTGGCGTGCAGACTCGGGGGTATGCACGGGGGAGGACTTGGAGATCGATGGGCTCCTTCTGTGTCGACGAACGTACGAGGTAGAGGAATAGGAACGGGAGTTCTGCAGACGGGGTGATGTAGAACGAGTCAGACCAGGCCTTTCGGGAAGGACATCTGATTTCGGATCACAGTATTCGATGTGTTGCGCGGCGAGCAACGACTTGAACGGCGCAGTGTATGGCATCCGGCCGACTTGTGTGTTTCAACACAAGAAGGGTTGGGATTGGGATGAATCAAGGTATTCACAGAATACTCAAGGTGTGCTCAAGGCAAAATCATTAAAACAGAACCTGTTAAATCGGAGATATCTCAGGTCAGTTCATATCTCAATTAATCCCATCAGGTGGCAAAGTGCGGATGGAGGTTTGGACGGAAGGCAAAAGCCGAGAAGCAGGCGAGGTACAAGCGATGGCATAGCCATGTAACAGGCAGAATTGCGATGCAGATGTGAAGGGCACAGGGGAAGAGTCAATTGGCGTGCAGGGTAAATGCAGATGGGTGTGGTACCAGATGGCGAGAGGGAAAGCGCAGACCATTTAGGATTAACAGGTATCACAGCTTCATTGAGTGACACCGGATGGCATGAGTAGTCCAGAAGACAATGGATGGATGGTGTAATTGTTGGATGGAAGAAAAAGAAAGGGATTGAGTGTGAGGAGGATTGAGTGAAGAAAAAGGGAAAGAAGGGAATTAAAAAAAGAAGCTTATCCTGGTCTTACCGGGTGGCAGTATATAGCACGATCCAAGTGGGGGAAGGAAGTGGCGAGAGACCAAATCGAAGGTTTCGAGGGCGAAAAAAAATAAGAAAATAAGAAAAAAAGAAATAAAAAAAGGATTCCAATATATAACAGAAACAGAAAAGTATTATGTATATAAAAAAGGGTAGAATGAGGAAAAAAAGTGAGGGGATTGGATGATTTGGATCGATGATCACCTCAGTCACCCTCAGTACCTCCGAAGTCACTGATAAGTCGTGCTGGCGGACGAATCAGAAAGCCATCCCCGGAACCGTTTTTGACTGGGAGAAGGTTAAATCAAAGGAAAACCCAGGTTGTTCGAATATTTCCCCACGAGAATTCCCCAACCAAGAATGGAGAAGAGAAGAGGGAATAAAGAGGAGAGAGGAGAGGCCTAATCTAGGGGGAAACGAAGAAAAAAAAATGAAAACTCGTTGCGATCCGGGAATCATATAACAACCTTTTTGCGTAAGAAAAAAAAAAAAGTGGAACAAGATAAATAAAGACTATTCCAAGCGCCTGGCCACAGAAAATCACTAGGGTGCGTCTGCTTTGCATCGACTCCGCTCCAATGTTACCGTCAGTGCGTCCCGTATAGCATGGTTAGGGACACGCCGGTGGGTCTGGACAATGGAAGTCACTTCCAAGGAAAAAAGATAAAAAAATACTTGAATTTTAGTTTTATTATTATAATTATTACTATATTTCATAATTTTCGATAATATATTATATTATATTCAGTATAATTTAGATCCTTCTTGAAACGAGACCAATCTATAGAACTAACCTCTTCAGTAACTATACTAGTAACCATGACTCTTAAATGCTATAGCTAGTATAGCTAGTACAGCTACCCATATTGTACCTCAATATATCCTACTCTCTCCCTCCGACTTATCCGCCAGCCTGTGGCGTACTCACTCAGGAATGTTGGGTGATCGCCCTACAGATTCTACAAAATCATCTCGATTTTCTCTTCACTAGGTGGGCTCCGCTCGCTAGCTTGAAATGGGGACCCCATTTTCTCCATCATACTTCTTGTGTTCCCTGTTTCTGGACTGACGTACGGCAATTGTATCACAATTTTCTCTGCGGTCTGCGACCGGGGTAGGAAAGTAGGAAACGAAAATAAAATACATTTTAGCAGTGCAGCAATAACTCCGAGAAATGAAACTGCACGACTATATCCTCAGAAAGAGAAAATGATATTTTATATCTTATTAAATTATTTTTAATTTTTGATTTTCTTCCCACTGCACTTCTTCGTAGTACTGAAATCCTTATCAAGAGCTTTTCGTGGCGTGGAGGTCCGAGTCCCCGAATTCACCCTTGCAACCACCATTGGCTCGACCTGATCCGAACTAAGAAAAATGAATTTAATTTAAATTTAAAATTTTCAATCTTTTCTTTCTTGCTGGAAATACGGAGTCAAACCATGTTCTCCGTAACATCATGGTTGATATCAAATTCCAATTTTTATCCTGATTTTGAAATTCCATCTAGTCAATTTCAACCATACGTAACTCTCGCGCAAAACATAATTCTCCTAATGGATATACAACCCCCGATTGCATAAATTCTCTCCATCTCAGGGCCCCCCTTTTATTTTTTATTTCCATTTTATTTCTCTCTCTTTCGGCCTCCACTAATCAAGATGGGGTGAAAGACTCGCAAATTCTCTGGCCTCGTCGCCTTGGTCATCGCCCCAGAGGTTTGCGTGTTGCGACCATGGAACGGACCAGGACCCCCAAATGGTATAACCAGGGAAGTCAATCGTCTTACATGCCGTTCTAGGATAACAGTGGCTACTAACCTGTTATCTATTATCTATTATCTATTATCGGATTGATCTTTCTGTCCGAATAGATACTATAATAGAGTTATGATTTTATATGAAGATTTGATTGAATTCCAAGAGTCATCATGTAAGGAGGTGTTCACTTGACCCCAAAAGTCTGACTTGCGACAGGTTTCCACCCCCTTCAGCCTCGATAGGCTACACAGCCGCATGATGGGAATGGAGGGGTGGAGGGGTAGAGGGGTACAAAGAAAAGAAGATGAATAAATCTAATAAATCCAATCAATAGAGGTCATTCAAAAAACCAAGGAACCAAGAAACCAGGAAACAGGATACAAGAAACAGGCCAGGCATGAAATTTCTCCGTGACATGCATAGTGCATTGGTGTGGATGTGTGGAATATCTTGTCAACGCTCTGTGGATCGACCGAGCAGCGACTGTATGCACTCCGTACTAATAGTCCCCACCAGAACGTGCCGCCAAACCCGGAGCTCATGGGGCCGAACTATGTATTGCCCACAGTAGTCGCTGCTACCAGTGGGTTCGGGTTAGTCAGAAAAGATTAGATGCAACAGGTCGCAGGAATCGCAGGAACAGATGATATTCATCTTCAGTCTGGTTCTGCCAAAGAGAGATCGCATTCTTATCGTGTTTTAAATTTGTTTGACCCATTGATTCTTGTTTTCATGGCCTCGGAGAATTTCCCCTGATATAAGAAAATGCAGAGATCGGGTGTTACTTCCACGGCTGTAGGGAACTTACGTCGACAGACACTGCGAAATAGATGACGTCAGACTGCATTTGACAGGCCCGAGAGTCGCGAGTTTCCTTGGTTTTGGTCACTTTGGTCACTTTTTGTCCCCCTTGGCGGCAGTGTCTGGAACCTCCAAGCCTATCCCTGTTTTGCGTGCAGCTTCACTATTCTGTCCTCTCCTGTCTTTTTCTCTCTCTTTACCCTAGTGTGCGACCATTGCCCTAGTTTTGAGGCGGTTCGCCAGATCCCCGGAGCACGATCAGCCGCAGTGGACACAACCTGTTCCCATCTCGTCTTTTCGGTTCCTCCAAGGTCCCTCCCGCGTTCTTGAATCAACCCCAGCATTGATTGCTCTGGTGGTTCAAGAATTCATTTACCCTCGGGTACTGCCGTTATCGAGACCATCGTGAAACCTCACGATCATTGCGGTTGTTACAAAAAAGACTTTGAAAGTACTACAAGAACCAGATTTTGATATTAAACAAGACGACAGAATCAAAATCAAAATCAAAATCCAATTTCCTCTTTGAGTGATGGTATTCTCGTCGATTTTACTACCCGGGTAACTCGATTCCGTTGTTTCATGATACCACAAGCGCCCAAACGTCAACTCACCGGGAGGCGTAGAGGCGCATGTCTCATTGTATATGTAAAAGGGTCATAGATTTTTCTTTTTTTGCCTTTCTAGTATTTTTTGCTAGTCGCTTGCATTACTTGCATTTCTGAATTTGAAACCGTCCTGCGTTTGGATCGTCAAACCCCTGCGGAATCCTTTGTTGCAGAGTTTTTTTTTCTCCCCTTCCTAATCTATTTTGCCACCACCGTTGGGAATAGTGGCAGTAGAGGTTGGTGGTGGCTGTTACTGTACAAAAGAGTCTCTTTTGACGCTAATCCTCAGATTGGTAAAGCCGGTCTCAAATCAACTAAACCGCACCTAGAGTGGATCAGGGCAGGTCGGCTAGCGAGCTCCACTTAGTAGAGAGTCGAGACTTCTCTCCATTCCTTCAATCATCCTGCGATCAACCCCGGGGCCCCCAGGCTGCAAAACAAATCCAACTCGCCATGTTGATCACTCCAGATTTTCTTTCTCTCTCAAACCCACCCCCGCCTTGTACTTGACTCAGGAGACTTCGTGGAGAGGGGCAAAGTGCATATGATTTTTATTTTTATTTTTTACTATTCAGATGACTATGTAGCTCCGCGGAGCTCAAGCCTCGAACTATCTAGATCGTCCGACATACCTTGGCTTCAATATGAGATAAACCTGACATAGCCAACCCGGTCGGCTCGGTGAAGCTGCAAGGTTGTAGAAGGTTTCCGACTATGTTGTCCCCACTGCAAGACGATAACGCCCGTTGGCCAGTCCTCCCCCCTTATTTTCAATTGAAATGCTAGAGCCTCCGTACACTTTTCGTCCGATGTCGACAGAAAAAAGAAAGCATACCTTGATTTCTTGTTTTTTAAGACGTGGGTGCCCTTTAGCACCGAAATCGCTATTTTACCCAGATAACAACCTTGGAAAGAATCAAAACGTGAGTTAATGCAGTAACGCATTGGCCTGTTCAAAGCACCGCCAAATCATACTCCCCAGGAGACCCTAGAAAAAAGTGGTCAATGTGTTGCAGCGCTCAGACCAAGACCTGCCACCATGGTATGTTCGAGATGTCACCTCGGATTGGTAGCCAAAACCAGAGAGTTCAGCCCTAGATCTTAGTGTCCGGCCCCTCCAGCGCTTACGCAGTATACGACCTCAGACCATCATTTCCATCAATCCCCAAGAAAGTTTTGAAGTTTCTTTTTAATAACTTTGTATTTTATTCACTGGTATAATGTACATCTACACCGGCTCGCGATCAGTTGCTTGAAATGATCACCCTCGCGCCATCTTTAATCC